GTCTTGCCGTCTTGGACCGAGGATCAACAAATAGAGTACCCGCGATCCCGGATTATGTGCATTGGCGTTGGATGTGCAAAGGTGGTTGAGGGCAACGCACCGGAGCGGCACAGAGAGAGGCAGAGGGAGAAGAGAGAATGCAGAGTTGCATCAAGGCTACCTTCCCAAGGGATCAATCGACGTTAAAAACGAGAATCATGAGAATCGCTCCGCATCCTGTTGCGGTAGGTGCCAGGGGCACAAAACAAGGCACTGCCTTCGTACTAATTAACTCTGGCTCCTCTCGTCGCGTCGTGCATGAAGCGACAAAATTACCCTGCCCAGTCCAACGCAGCAACCCGGGCGGCCCGGCCGGCAGGCAGAGAGAGAGAGGGGAAAAGACCTTCTGCCTTAGCTGGCCTAATACGGACGAGTGCGACGGTGCTACACTTGAGGCTATACCACTTTGCCAGCCTATGCTTTCACTCTGCGTTTCGCCGCCCCCTCACCTGCCGGTCGACGTGAAGATTATCTCCACCTCTGTCTATCTCTCTTCCTTCAGGCGGCGTTCCATCCTTCCCCCCGCCTCTGGCGTTCGTGTTCAACGCTTCTTGCTCCTTTTTGCCCCCACCGAACCCGCTCCAACGCTGCACGGCACGCTCCGGCCAAGGCGCCCCCGGCCGCCGCGGGAGAGATAGGTTCGAGGTACCCCAGATACTTTCAATCTTTAAGTGCCCCCGCCTCGTATGGATGTACCAACCAGCTTGGCGTGGCGGCTCGCACCCTTGGCCTCTCGCCCTCTGCTCCCATAAGCCCAAGCCCCCGTCCCAAGCCGCTAAGCCCGCTGCCCACGCAGATCTCACATAAGCACTTTCTTTTTCTCTTCTGCGCTGTACAAGGCTGACCAGGTCCCTCCGAGCCCCATTCGCTCCTCCAGATGGGCCGAGCCCAGGCAGAACAGCACGGAGTCGGAAGCAAGCCCGTTCCCGCCCAGCCCCATGCTCCGTATCGCTCCACGAAGCGAGCGAGAGAGGAGGAAGAGGCTACGAACCTTGGCTCGAGGGGCAGGATGAGAGATGACCGAAGCGGCGTTCTGCCTCATCATCCTCTCTCATTTTCTTCCCTGATTCAGCCCCCGGTAGCGAAAGCAGGGCGCAGTCGATCCAGGGTCGAAAAGCAGATGTGTAGAGCGCAGAGAGAGAGAAAGACCCTACAGGATCGCATCCCGGGAGCCCTATTTCTCCCTTTGGCACGCCCTCCCTCGCATCCCAGTTCTTTTTCTCTCTCATCGAACCGCACGCAGCCCTATCGTACCTGGTACACCTCACGCCTTTCTCGTCCTCCATCCAACAGCACACCACCAACTCCACACCGCACCAGCGCCCTTCTTACTGTGTTCCCCACCCCCTCCGTCCTTACCTTACTGCTTATGCTCTGCAGCGGAGATTTTTCGAGAAACAGGAGATGCTCCCCCTTTCCCAAGAACTTACCTACGCAGCCAATTTCTTGGATGCAGCGTGGCACGCCCTCAATGCTTCGATGCCAAACCAAAGAAATCCAGGGTCCATCCCAAAATGGTGTGACAGTGCGAGGCCGCGATTTGGGTGCAAAAAAGCCAATTGTGCATCTGGGCGATCGTGGTAGCGAGAGAAAGGGCAAGCAAGTTTTTTCCTGCTTCCCTCGAAGATGTAAAGATAGAGAGGCAAAACAAAAAAGATAGAATCAAATGGAATCAAGAATAATTATCGACGGCGACGACGACGACGGCGACGAAGGAGGGGAGCGCCAGGCGCGGCGCCAGCCGGATTGCGCCATCCCTACGATCCTGATCCTCCTCTTCCTCTTCTCAAATTGTCGACTATCAGAAAACCATCCAATCTCCCATCATCATCCGCGGGCACCTGACTTTCCGCGCCCTTACTTACCGGGCAATCCTGCGCGCCCCCGCCGCTGACTCCATCGAGGGCAGAGGCCGATGAGAGGGGCGCTGCAGCTACCACTGGCTGCTCCTTTCGTTTGGCGTTTGGCCCGCCCTGCCGTGTTCCCGGCGACCCGTCAACAGTGGGCGGGGCGGGAGGCGCTAAATTAAGAGATTAGCTAGCAGAGAGGGTGTGGGTGGGTGTGATGGCGGTGGGCGTCTGTTGCATCTTGACGGCAAAGGCTTTGAGACAAGACGGGAGTTTTCTCGTGCCGCGTGGGAGAAATGGCTTTCCGATTTGAAATTAAGCCCGGGCGGGCGCCCTGTATAAGGTCTCCTCGCCCGGCTGACTCGACTGTGGGGCCTTTGGGTGTCGCAGCAGAGACAGATGTTTTTTGTTTTTGCGCGCGCGCGCGCTTGGGCCCCACACACTCCCACCCTCAAACTCATTGTACGACGCGGGTGGGGAGACCGCCACTTAAACGGTTTTGTGCAGCCATAACCGAAGGCGACGTCGAAGGGTCCTGCCAGCAAAACTTGGCCTTTCTAGCGCGCGGTTGTCATGACGTAGGCTGCGTGTCTCGTAAGGGTAATTGAATCATGGCCACAACGTTAATCGTCTCCAGCACCCGAGTGGTTGGGAACAAGCACGCGGTGCAACTGGCGAGGGCCACGGCAGAAGAAAGACACAGGCAGTCACGGGTACAGGCGGCAGCGGAAAAATCGGAGTCAAGGTGAAGACGGGCTCGAGACATAGCGCGTAGCGTGGCGGCGCGGCCCACCAGCCACCAATACTCTTGTACAGTAGCCTTGCAGAATCGACGGGCAAGATACATACATGTGCATGCAGGTTTCTTTCGTAGGGCAGAGATTCCTTCGATGCGGCGCTGATAGTGACAACATCGCGACGCTCAAAGCAGACAGCGAAGCGAAGGCAGAGCCAGTAGGGGACGCGGTGGGGAACCGATGCGCTGGGTCGACTGGAATCCTTCCCCACTCAAAGGCCAACGTCAGCGCGCGATAGGTATTCGAGGTCGAGTTGCTGAGGGGAGCGGGGAAGCACGGGATATCGCTCGTATGGTCGAGAGCGTGCCCTGCGGCCGAAGCCGTCTTGGGAAGCGGCGCGCCGATCCTGGGCCGTATAGGGACTGCCGGACCGCGCGACCGCGAGTTGGCGCCCGCGAGCAGTGCCAGCAAACCATGTAGGTAAGCAGTCCAGCCCGCCCGAAACGGCAACGACCATTGCCTAATACGAGCGCTGGGCCTCGCGCGCTCGCGTCTTTGCATGTGCGAGCTGTGGAGGCGGTGCCTGGCGAGCCGGTGCTCCATCGGGCGATCCGCGCGATCGACATCAAAGATACGCGACGAGCCGGCGTCGTTAGAGCTACCGCAGCCCTCCGCCGTTGGCTTGCTCGCGTTCTGCCTTCGAAAACGAGAGCCAAAAATCGGGATCGACGGGCGCGGCCTCGTGTTGAGACGGCGCGTGCGAGCCAATTGTCGCGCTGCTGGTCCGAGGGGTACGTACCGTGGTAGATTGGAGCGCGTGGGGAGCACGTTGCGCGCCTCTGGCTGACGAGACTTCTGCAGCGGCCTGCCGCCGACGCAAGCACTCGGCGCCGTCTCCATTTTTTCCGACGCAACAACCCGCAACCTCGACAACCCCAGCCCGGCCAAATTTCGCAGCCAAAAAGTCAACGAGCCTCGCAACGAAGCAATTGACGCTCCAGGCGGCCTGAGCTCCACGCATGAGAGCCTGTTTGCCGGCAATAGACTCGTCGCGGCTGTTTGCACTCGGCATTTCAGGATTACAGATGCTGTCTTTACCCTAAACAGCCGGACGCTCGGCGCCTCCTGCGCACGCGGCGCTGCTCCCCTCGAGTCTCGACGAGCACCTTGATACACACGGTCCTTCCTACGGCAAGCCGACCGCGGCGCTCCCGTGCCTGCCGGCGCTTGGCGGTGGGCCCGAGGCATTAGAGTTGATGTGTAGACTTTGGGTGGCTCGCGCGCGCCCTATGGGCAGCCGCTGGCCCAAAGCGGCGATTCGAAACATGGCTGGCTGAACGAGGCAATGGCATCGACCAGAAACGGCCACCGGGGCCCGTCGATCTGCGGCCGGGGCTTGATGCTGGGCCAGTGGCACTCTGCCAGAACACTCGACTTAAGCTCGCTGCTCTACCGATCGACATTTGTCCAGGCAGCCTCTTGGAAGCTGCGACTCGCCCACGTCAGCAGCGCGGAGGTATATACGTTCTGGGGCGCGTCGTCAGCCCTGCCTGCTGCGCGACACGCTGAGTGAGGCCCGTGAAGAGTTGTTTCGACGGCTGCTATTTCGGGCCCGGATGGCGCAAGACGTGAGACAGGCATGGGCAGCCGCGAAGGCTTGAGCGCGCGCTCCAAGACTCGCATTCTCGCCCAGGGCGACCCAGTGACCGGCGTGCGCAGCCAGATGTAACAGGCCCCGCCGCGGCGGGTGGCTGTCAGCCCGCGCCTGCTGAGCGTCGCTGACGGCGGCGGCGCCAGGCCGGCGCTGCCTGCGGTCCCAGGGCCCCGGGCAGCCATGATCGCCGCGCGCTGACGCCGGGGGGGTGCCTTCGATGCCCGCCGATCGACCCTTGCCGTGTTTCGTTATCGCGGCAGCAGCTAGCCCCAAGCCTGGCGCCGGTGCGAGGGTAAGCCTCCCATCACAGCCATGTCACGACTTTCCCGTAGACCGCACATGCTAGGCGTTCCGCGTGTAACGGAACAGCAGAAAGGACGACTCTTGGGTTATGCACTCGCCTGACTGGCCACATCCGCGAACTGTGTAGATGTAATGAATAACTAAAACTCTTGCTGCCTCAGCTCAAGCGCATAAGCCCCAGTCCGCAAGGTAGCTCCCGCGCCTTCCATAATATCAGCCTCAGCCCTCGCTGTCCAAACATCTTTTCTCTCTCCACCTACCTCCACCCTCTCCAATCCATACTCGCTCTCAGGCACGCTCTTTCTGGAACTCTTCTGCCTGCACTGCTCGCTCGCTGCTGCCCTATCGCGCATCAGCCCCGCCGCGTGCCACCCCGCCGCCTTCTTCCCTTTACCAGACCCAGCCTGCCCCTCCGCAACCATGGTGTTCTGCACCTATTGCGGCCAGTCCTTTACCCGGGACGAACATCTCGAGAGGCATATCCTCACCCGTACGTCCCCCAGCCCGGTCCACGCCATCTTGTTGTTCCTAACCCTCTTCGCTTCCAGACACCAATGTGAAGCCCTTCAAATGCTTCACATGCCACATGTCGTTCGCTCGTCGGTAAGTGGTTCCCCAGATTTGTGCGGCATTTAGCTGCGCCCCGTCTTTCGATAGTCCCTCCTCTTCCCCACCGGCGAGCGCCGCCGGCTTTCCGTCATTCTGCAAATCGCCTTCTGGGGTACGCTAGAGTTGCCAAGCTAACCGTTGTGGTGCCACCCAGAGATCTCCTCCAGCGTCACTACACCGTCCACGGCCGGGACCAGAATAACCAGGAGGGCCTGCCCCCGAGCAACGGAATCATTCCCAAATCCGCCGGCCGCACCCCGATCGCCTGCAGCAATTGTGCGAAGACCAAGACGAAATGCGACAAGAAGTTCCCCTGCAGCCGCTGCGCCGGCCGCAACTTGAAGTGCACTCTCCGCCCCACTCGTCGAGTCTCGAAACAGATGAACCGTGTGGGAGGTCCCGTACAGCCTGGCGAGGCTGGTGTTGTTGGCGCAGCTAGCTCCGCTCCTTCGGAAGGCAGTGGTGAGAACGCGTCGAGTAGGTCTCCTCAGAGCAACTCTCCTCCGGCCCAGCCCCAAGAACCAGTCCAGCAACAGCCCCTTCCCCAGCAACAGCATACGCCCCGCGCTTCCCATGGACACCACCACTCGTCGTCGTCGGTCTCCCAGCAGTCTGCTGCCTCCCATGCCTCGCATCACGCCAGCCCTGAGACCGAAAAGCCCATGGCTGATGGCCCTCCCGCCTTCTTCGAGCACACATCGCCCACCACCGGAGCTCCTGCTGTCCTTCCCGCCGCCAGCGTCATCTCGCCCATTCCGACTCCCATGAACGACTTTGTCCAACACACTCCCATGTCCGGTTATGAACAGTTCGCCGGTGCCACTGGACGCAGTTCGGAGCAGAGTGCCAGCCCGCAGTTCGCCATGGACTGGCAGCAGATGCCCATGGCCACCGGCTTCGACATGGCCATGATGGCTCCGGATATGAGCATGGATTTCGCTGGTATGCCCGCCGGTCCTCACGGAGACAACATGTTCTCCATGATGCCCGACTTCTCGCAAGCCCTCCCGCCTGTCCAGACACCCATCACCACGCCTCAGATGGACCGCGCTCTTTCGGATCTCGAGCTCGGCAGCTCGGCGTCCATGCTGTACCCCACGCGTCAAGCATCAATAAGCAGCAACCCGGTTACCGGCGTTCCCGATCTCGGTGCTATCATTGCGGCGCAAGACGGCTGGAGTGCATTCCGCTGTACGCCGCCGATTCCGGCATCGTCGTGTCCGCGGACGGCGAAGCTGAACCTGGAAAGGTTAGAGCAGAGCCTGAAGAACCACGAGGTCTGGAGCAGCTGGAGACCGCAGTGGGAAGACGGCGATTTCCCCACCGGTGGTGAGCGTCTGGCGGTAATGCAGCTGCAGGAGAGCAGCCGTGACAAGCTGCTCGCGATTACTCAGTCTTTCCTGCACAAGGCGCTCGACATCCACAAGGAGGGTATGAGCAGCTCTCCGGCAAGTGGTGGGTCTCCTCTTTCGAACGGCGGGTCCAACTTCGTTCTCCTCCCTCCAGCACGTGTTCTGGAATACTTCCTCCGCTCGTACGCCAACAGCTTCGAGGCGTACTTCCCCATGACTGCTCACGGTGTCCTCGATGCCAACAACTTGCTCTCGTCATACAATGACAAAGCAGCTAGCTTGCTGGTTTTGATGATGATCGCGCAGGGTGCTATGGTCATTCCGTCAGTCGAGGCGCGGTGGCTTACCGGTGGTCTCACTGAGGCTTGCCGCATCTCACTGTTCGACCTGATCGAGAAGAACATCATCATGAGCGGTGACCCCATCGTTCTACACTCTGCTCTTCTCTTCACCGTCCAGGCAGCATGGAGTGGCGACAAGTGGCAGATGGACATTGCCATGGGCCAGCGGGGTATGTATTTTGCGATGCTGCGGCATTCTGGCATCCTGGAGCCGAGGCACGCACCCACACCGAGGGTCGATCATGCGGGTCCCGATGGCTTGTGGGAGGACTGGATTCAGCACGAGAGCCGTAGCAGGTAAGTCGATTTCCTCCCCCTCTTTCAGCCGTCTCCTCGGCACAGCTCATGACAATCACATGACTAACCCATTTCAGGCTGATCTACTCTTGGGCGATGGTTGACCAGGAGCTGTCCCTCTTCCACGATACAGCACCGTTATTCTCTGTCACCGAGTTCGGCGCTCCCATGCCTGATGCCGACTGCCTGTGGACGGCCAAGACGGCGGCGGAGTGGTCGGACATGTTTAACCGGGTGCACGAATTCGCTGGAGGCTTTTCTTCTGTCGGTTCGGGCGCTCGTCCGTTGTCTCTGCGCGACCTCTTCCGTCATTTCCTTGATGACGAGATCTCGGCGCAGGGCATCGAACTGACGCCGCTGCACCTGCGCCTGCTGCTGCACCCGCTTCAAACTCTCGTGTGCCAGTATTGCCAGCTGCTGAGCTGCTTTTCGGATAACTCGGCGTCGCGGCAACGCACTCGTGCGGTCACGGCAGCGTCGACTCGTGTGCGTCTCGAGGAGGTCCAGTCGTTGCTCCAGCGCTGGTACGACCTTGCGGACAGGTACATGAAGAACAACGCGCCTTGTGCTCTCATGCAAGCGAACTTGGTTCTGTTCCACCTCATCAGCCTCAATGCCGTGACCAACTTCCCGGAGATCGAGCGGCTCGCGCGCCGTGAGAACTTCGACGGTAGTTACCAGCAGCTGATGTGGTTGCACAAGCGCTGCATCTCCGACGTGGAAGAAGCCATCTTCCACTGCGGTCAGGTGCTCCGCCTCGTCCGAAGCATGCCGCGTGCCGTCCGCCCGTCATGGTGGGCTGGCGCCATCTACCGCACCGCGCTCATCTTGTGGACCGATGCCCTCACCCACAACGAGGGTATCTCTCCGCCCAACGGCATGTTCCCCGTGCCAGGGCCGAGCTTTGCGGTCGACAGCCTGCCTGCCGAACACCCATTGATCAGCCGCTACCTCACCAAGCGTGAGGGTGTGCCAACGCTGACGAAGCGTGATGGCTCGCAGCTGAGCATGGACAACGCCTTCTCGGTCCTGACTCACTGTATCGATGTCGTCGACGAGGGTTATGCCACGAGATTCTCCGACGGCATCCGTGGCAAGCTCGAGAGGTTGGCGAGGGGTTGAAGAGTCCATCGTGGTGTTGCATTCAGTCCGCCCATCATCCCATCGCATCGACGGGAGATGATATCCATCAAACGCAACCGATCCGACTCGTTGTCCAAGTGATGGCGACGTCGTCGCAATGTCGCGGTCGGAGCAGCAGTAGCCAGGGATGAAGACGCTACGCGTCGTGCGAGAGAGGCTTATCTGCATTTTGCCTCGATAGGCAGGTGAGCACAGCGCTCGCATCAGTGGGACCAAAACCGCCGCCGTTGCCGGTGGTTCGTCCACATTGTCGCCATCCCCAACCTCCTTCCCAAAGGAGGTTTGGTTGGTTTTGGCAACACAAAAGGGGGAGAAGGAGAGGAGGTAATACTCTGAACTCGAGTAATGTGTATGCCCCGGCCGTGGAGCACTGACGGCCGAAGATGTAATCCGTTCTCGCACGTTGCTTTTTTCTTCTTGAGAGATACGTCATTCCCGTCAGCCCGAGTATATTGCATCATCACCTCTTTTGTTGTCGTTACGATCTTCCCTTTGTCGCATTCGCGTGGCTTAGCCTGATCTGTCGTCTTGAAGCCGATGCTGTTGTCCGTTTCATGATTATTGTCGTATTGGGTTTCCCTGCTTTTATGGTTGCGATCAGGACGGTACCGGGATAGACAAAGTAAATGGTGATAGGATATCGAGTAATGTTTCTTCAAGTCTGCCGTGGTCCTTCGCGATGTCGTTGATAAGGTAGTCGAACATGTAATGAAAACGAGGCTTGTCCACGAGAAGAAGGAATGCGTGTTCGTCGACTCGAGAGCCAGATTGATCCTATGACCCGGTTTTCGCCATCATAAGTGAGAAAGTGTCCCATGATGATCGACCGAGTGGAAGCGGATGATTGGCCGATGGTAGACCGGTGATTGGTGATGGAAGGCTGGGTTGATGCGGGGTTGTGGTCGAAGTAGAGGGTAGGGCGGGCTGGCTTGTGGATCTAGGTAGGGTTGGGTGGCGGGGGTTCTTCGCGCGAGCGGTTCCCTTCAGGCCAAGTAACGTGACCTGGATGCCGATCCGGACCGAGTTCTCGCATTAGGTCGTTTGGCTTTGGGCTGCCAATTGTCAGTTGAACGGGTGGACTGCTGCGAGTGGATGGCGATTAATGGTCGCAGAGGTTATCGTGTAGGGAGAGAGCCGGGAGCAGAATGTGGAAGTGATGGATGGAAGAAGAGGATAAAAGGCGGATGAGTGTAAGGAGGGGTATGGACCAGATGGGAGAAGTGGGCGGAAGGATGGGGGGGATGAGTGGGTGGTAAGTAGCTTTTGTACGTGTACACTGCTAAAGTATACCAATACTGACCATACATACCCTATCTGCGCGGCAGAAGTAAACCATCTCATCACCACCAATGGCCACACCATGGGAGGCGATCGGCGCTTGTGCCTGGGATTGGGCTGTCAACTCTCTCCTTCTTCTTCCCGACTTTCCAGCTGATGGCCGAACGGTGTTTCGTTTTTCTACCTTGCGGACGAATGAGTGAGTGCTGATGCGCTCGTTGACAGGCGGCGGGCGTTGTCTCCAGCCAATGGTGGCAAGGTTTTCGGCATAGCTGCGTCGACATGGATCGGAAGGCCCTACTATACGGCAACTGTGGCCCCTTTTTCCTGCCTCAACTCCTGTATGTGCACCGCCTCAGTAGCGGTGTGCGGCCTCCCATCCTGGTATGTATGTCCCTATGCGGCGAAGTGAAGGTGCGTTCCGATGGTTGGTGTTGGCATATGGTCAGAGATAGAACGGCGGTCGGAAACGGACGAGAAGGTCGATTGTTGATGACGAGCAGCAGGAAACCAGGCCTCCACCCTCCTTCCCTCGTGCCTCGCGCCGCTCATGGGCTTCTTTCCTTTCTTTTTCCCACCCTTGATCACGACCTGGCCGTTTTGCTGCAAGGATGGCGTGGCTGAGTGGAGGACGTATGTGTTGTGCGTATGTTGTCATAGGGGATGTGGTGCCACAAGGGAAGAGAATGGATGCTTGTAGCAGCATCAGTTCCGAAAGGGAGGGATGGGTAGGGTAGAGAATGGTCAGCCTTATAGTGGGCGCTGCTACACAACCTGAACGGGCGGCGGGGTCCGGGCGCCTTCTAATATCCTGACTTGCATGGACTTACGCAGCGCACTGTTCACGTCAATCAATACTATACTTTATTTCCACCTCCGTTCTCCCCTCTTGGTTTGTCTCAGGGAACGCGCGCGCGCGGCGTAGGCGCCCACGCTAAGGACCATGTCATATCACCCCGACCGGACAACCGGGGGGAGATTGACGCAGGCTAACCACCAGTCGAATCCCACCGCTGATGGCAGAAGTCCGTCAAGGCTCTCCTCCTTGGGCCCCCCCCCCTGGGCCAACCGGACCATGGCCGTACCTACTGGCGATCAACACCATGCGGGCCGGAGATGGGCTCCCTTTCAAGCAGCCCAAACAGTTACGTAGGCTCGGCCGAGCTGTTAGGGCTCGGCGGCGCATGCAGGAGCCGTTCCTTCACATCAATGATCCACACCCACGCCTGACTGCAGAACGCAAGACGCTAGACGCACCCTCTGCCAGGCTGCTTCTTTTTGCTTGTTGGCTGTGAAACGACAGGTGGACCCAACTTCAGAAGCACCTATCACGATGACCTCATTTACCAACTGCACGCGTGTCCCAAGAGAGGAAGGCTCCTGAACAAGCTTCCCAGTCGGAGAAGGAGCCTAACGGCAAGCATTGAGCAAGAGCAGCGCCCATCACTTACCGCGAATAGAATGTCCGCGCCGGACCCAGATACGAGGTGGAGGCTGGCAGAAGCTTGAGGTGCAGCAACGATTCCTAGGCCATTACTCGGCTCCATCATCGAAGGCCACCAGTGCCGGGACGGGAGCTAATGTGCCTCAACGCGAGGTGGCCCACGCTTCCCCAGATACAGAGGGCCGGGCGGAGGACCGTTTGATGTAAGCAGCATGCAGCAGCGTGCTGATCTTCCGCTGGCTAACCAGCTTGAGAGCGGGTCAAATGGCCAAGAGGATGGGAATCGCTGACAGTATACCCATGTCTGTGTTCCCGCTCACCCAGACACGCGGTGGCAGCATGCCGGACGGTGGACATGGGGATCAAGTCCGAGCACGGTTCAAATGGCTCCGTATAGGCAATATAGCCGCCAGAAGGACAGACCAAGCCGGATGCAGGCAGCAAGCAGCTGTATTCGGAGCCGAGCCTGCAAGATCTGTGCGGCGAAGTCTATTGTTGGAGACAATAGCGGGTGCTGATCGCATGGGAGATTGGGATTGCGTGCGATCATCTTGTTCCTGAAGCGTTGCTGGGTGCATGCCCATGTCATGGCGGCTCCATGCGGGGATCAGGGGAATAGGCTGATGCGGTGCCAGTCAGAGCCGCAGTCACTGGCAACGGCTCTCCAGCAGGAAACAAAGTTAGGCAGACGGACCGACGTCCGATGTCACGTGAGCGGGTCACGGACCGACCAGCACGCGGCGGCGAGTCGAGTTGGGTGGTCGAGGAGACGGAGGCGGGGCCTAGGGCGACCAGGCATCGGCGATTGTGGAGGCTGGTGTGCTTGGCGGAGGGTTGAGGGCGAAGTCCGGAATGCATTCTGCGAAGTCCGCGTGGGCGAATCCGGGCGGAGAGCGGGGGGATTGTGGTCGAAGTCCGAAATCGATGACCGCACCGAGTGGGCGCGAAACACGCTGCACACCCCGTCACAACGATCTGCCGAACACGCCGTCCATGGCCGTCGCAGTCTGGGCCAGCATGACCTCTGGCTGCAGGCGCCGACAACCGGAGTTGAGTTGCAGCATGTAGAACGAGCCGCAGACACAGCGTGTCTTGCACGGGACCTGTGGTACGTGTGGTCGTCTGTACATTAGCAAAAAATACCCGACTGGTAGCTTAGAGACCAGCACGTTCACGACGGGATGGGGCGCTGGGCGGCGTCAGCCAGCTATCTGGGTCCGTCTCACTCTTGGCGATTGCTGCCGGTCAGTACTCCAGGCCACACAGGCCTGGTTGGAGAGTCATCACGCAGCGAACAAGTCGTCGTGTCAACAGGTGCAGGCAGCCGGGCGGCCTCGGGCTGCACCCGCGCGGAGGGCGTTTTTCCGCGCCGATGCTTATCGCTCGCTTATCTGCCGGGCCGGCTGTCAGCCCTGCCCTGACCCGCGCCGGAGTCTTACTCTCACTCACTCGAGCGCGTCTCAACAAACACCGTCTCAGCTCGCGCTCGCGCTCTGGTCAAGGCCGAAATTCTCGGGCAAAAATGCTCGACTGCAGGCCGAGCGCTGCAACTCGTCTCCAAGTCTCGAATCCCCGACGCAATAGCCACCTGGATGACGATTCTGATTGAACGAGCCAGCTTCGGCCCCGCGTGTCCGAAGCCTCTCACCTCCAGCCCCTGCGCCAAAATCTGAGGCGAGGCTCCACTAGCCTCCGCTTCTATTCTCAGCCCAATAGCTTGAGGGAAAACACCATCCGGATGGGGGCGAAATCCCGGTCCGCCTCGTCGCGGGGAACCCTCTGTCATCCAGATTCCGGTCCGACGTCCACCTCGAAATCACTATATAGATGCCCTCAGCTGTGCCAGAGATGAGCTCATCCAGACAACAAACAATCATCTCAGCTCTTCTCATCTCTCCAACTCAACTACTTCCACCACTTTTCCCAAATATCCACCAATCCAATCACAATGGCTGTTGGCGAATCTAGCTCTATCCCCAGCTGGAGCTTGGAGGGCAAGGTCGCCGTCGTCACTGGCTCCGGTAAGTAGTGCTGACACCTGCATTAATACCCCCGCCCCTGACCACTAGCATTGCAGGCCGTGGTATTGGAAAGGAGATGGCCCTTGAGCTCGCCCGCCGTGGTGCCAAGGTCGTCGTCAACTACGCCAACAGCTCCGAGGCCGCTGAGAAGGTCGTCGCCCAGATCAAGGAGGGCGGCTCTGATGCCATCGCCGTCAAGGCCAACGTTGCCAATGTCTCCGAGACCATCGCTCTCTTCGACAAGGCCGTCGAGCACTACGGCAAGGTCGACATCTGCTGCTCCAACTCGGGCGTTGTCTCTTTCGGTCACCTGAAGGATGTCACCGAGGAGGAGTATGACCGCGTCATGTCCATCAACACCCGCGGCCAGTTCTTCGTCGCTCGTGAGGCCTACAAGCACATGTCCGAGGGCGGCCGCATCATCCTGATGGGCTCCATCACCGGCCAGGCCAAGGGTGTCCCCAAGCACGCCGTCTACTCCGGCAGCAAGGGTGCCATTGAGACCTTTGTCCGCTGCATGGCCATCGATGCCGGCGACAAGAAGATCACCGTCAACTGCGTTGCTCCCGGTGGCATCAAGACCGACATGTACCACGCTGTCTGCAAGGAGTACATCCCCAACGGTGACAGCCTCAGCAACGACCAGGTCGACGAGTACGCTGCTACCTGGTCTCCCCACAACCGTGTCGGCCAGCCCATCGACATTGCTCGCGTTGTTGCCTTCCTCGCCTCCCAGGACGGAGAGTGGGTGAACGGCAAGGTCATCGTAAGTCACCGCATATCAATTCCCCGCTGCATTCATCCACTAACCACTTCCAGGGCATTGATGGTGCTGCCTGCATGTAAGACGGCCGTTGCAGTTGATGGAGACCCTTCTCACATCATTTAAATCCTTATTCTCCTCTGGGTCTCCTCAACGCCGGCATTTGGGAAGGGTTTGTTTGTCTTTTGTGGTTCGAAGGCGTTGGCTCCAACTAGCATGTCTCTTGTCATTTTCTGGACCTTGACGCCTAGACATACTTTTCATTCTGCGCACGCCAAAAAGAGTGGACGGCGCCATATCATAGCGAATGGGAAATGGATGACGATTCAACCGGTACACACATGCCCAGACTGTGAATGAGCCAACCTTTGAGGAGCTTACCCGAATGCCGAGAAAATTCATGCACGCCAGGTATATCACGCACATAATGCTGTTCCTCCCTGCATCACTTGAGCTCTTCACCGCAAATTGCGCCTTGTGTTACACAAGGCCATCCTCATGGATCACTTGCATCTTCGCACACATTCCCAAGCAACACAGCTGGAGTCGACTAAGCTGCGTACGTGCACGGCAGCATGAGAATCAAGTGCAGCTCAAAATGACGTACGCTCTTCTATTATTACCCTCCTGCTGTCAGACGATAGAAAAGATTTACATGAAGGTATCTCTATCACTTTCTACAACTCCGCCACTGTCTCTGGCGTTGCGGGCATGCAAGCTTGCGTGAAGTGGCTGGCTCTGTGGCGCCGCTCAGCCCCAAGCCCCGCACAACGGCTATGTATCTGACGTGCATCATCTCGGCCTGTCGAGACGTTGGACTGCTGCCGTGGTGGCTGACGCGAGATTTGGGTCGACCTATCATGCTTTTTCACTCAGTCTAAATTTTTCGACTCACAGCCAATTGCCGTGCAAGTCACTATCTAAAGATAGCGTCTGGGTTATGTTGATCATGCGCCATTTTAGACCGAATGGGCCGCGTGTCGGTGCTTCTCTGCTAATGCGCTCTGTAGGCAACTTGCTGCAAGATCCGTCTCATGTGCGAAAAGTGCTTTTTTTGCAGCGACGGGCTTGGGCCTAGACGTCTGACTAAAAACACGGCGGCGCTGCTGGTGAGAATGGAAACGTTCATCCGCGCACATAATGTACGTAAGATGGGAGCTCCGAGACAGCTGGTGCATCCGGGCCGATGCTTATACTCCGACCACTGCGGGACCCTGTGACTGCGAGAGAGTAGTACAGTGATCCATCCGGCAGTTGAGGCCCGGCCGTGGTAACGGGACCCAGGCGAATGAGCGTCATAGATACAGTTAGACCATACCAGACTTTACGCTCTCTATTCCCCTCTCACTTGTGATTGCCGGTGTTGCACTCGTGCGGAGCCGAAGCCTTCTTACCGGCCGGAATTCCAGACTCGAGCGAATGCATCTCGTACGAGCTGCAATAGCTAATGCACTCATTCTTAGAGAGATTCAGTGGGGAATGCCGTGAATGTGGTTCTGCAACTGATGTTGTGATCTGTATCATATCGTCAAGCAGGATACCACGGCACCGGTGAGCATCGTTGCTCAAATTTGGCCAGTTTATACCTGGTATGGGAAGGATGCCAAACTCTATACTACGTCCGGCGAACTAAGCATTTGCTCCAACCATCGTCTCTGTTTGTTGCGACGGTAGTGGCAACCACCGTGTTAGTCGCCCTAACACGTACCCAAATCAAGCCAGGGTACTTGTCAGTAAATTCGAATCTCCACTCTTTCCGAATTCTTTGATTTACCATTCCTCAGGTTTTCTTCTCCACAACCTTGGCAAATGCATCTGTCTCTTTGATCGCCGGTTTCAATTGCTACCTTGATTTGGACCTGCGATGCGTTCCATGTCCGTGAAAGCTCACATATCTTTCTACACGTGGATTAATATTCGATGAAGCAATTGAGAGATGCTCTTGAGTGAAGGCTATTATGCCACATCTGCGGATCTCTCTGAGACATCCTACTGCATTCTACAAGAGAATTACACTCTACATGCATGGGTAGTTGAAGCAAATATCTGGACAAAAATGTAAAACTCCCAAATGCACCCCTTCTTCGTCAGACCAGCTCTTTGACAACCCTTTCGGATCATTAACCTGGCTCTAGTAAAATTGAATCCTATCTTACGTATTGTGTTCTCCACCTGCAAGTACGATGCTGGTTCCATTGAATACACTTGGTATGTATTTGGGGTGTCTTCAGAAAAACAGTGGAGCAACAAACACAAAATTGAAACACGATATCACCCATCAAATGAGCCCAAATATCGAGCTCATTGGAAGAAATTTATCACTGATGGGTGAAAAAAATACTTCATCATGTCCTCAATTTTTGCGCAACATGCTCGATCAGAACAGCGTTTTCGTAATGCTTAGTCTTTTCCACCTTTCGTGAGGTTTCGATTGTTTCTTGTGCCTTCTGAATGTCATCAAACTTTTCTTCCCGGTGCTTGCGCTGAGCCCAGGCCGGCATGTCGACGGCGGTGTTGGGGTCAGGGCAGACTGCTTGCTCGGAGGAGGGCCATGACGCGGTGCCAACTTCGGAATGTTGGTGGGGACTTCTCCGGCTTCGACCGCTTTCCGATATTCTCTACGCTCCTGCGCCGCATTCCTCGAAGCTTCCAAGTCAGCTTTGACTTCATTGGCGCTGAAGCTTGCTGTTGCAATAAATCAGCACATATGATCTGATAATGATGGCACGTGCAGAATTGCCTCTCCCGAGAAGAGGGGCAGACTTTTCCGTCGGAATGATTGGCAGCATCGGCATGGAGCCGTACTCCGATAGCTCGGTGTACTTCCGAGTAGTTTCATCCTTGGCCACGAGGTCTATCATGACCATCGTGTGCTTGAGAACGGTCAGGATCTCATCTGGATTGTTGATCCAGTCCTCTGAATCTCTTGGCACTTTCGCCAACGTCACAACCTCAACATTGTAGTGGCCAACCTCGTTCAGTTTCTGGTAGAAGAGCTGTTTTGAGAGGCCCGCGCGATACACTGGATTCTTGTGGTCTTGGAAACGGCCCTTCACGCCATGATCAGCACCGCCGATTCCTCTGTAGTCAACATTTGGCATGTCATTGTCTGTTGGTTTCCTGAGCTCCAAATAGGCTCCCGAGCTTGTGTTTGTGTCCAAATCAGCTTGGGATCCGCCTTGGATGTCACCAAGGATATCTTGGTTGGGCGGCTACTCACATCCCAGAATGTCTTGAACCTTCAATGGGGAATACTGGACAATTGTGCGTACAAGATCTGCTGAACTCTGGGCGCGAAGTTATTTGACCCTTTCCGAATATTCACTCTGGATTCCTGCTCAAAATTTTGTACATGTCTTTCACTGAAAATTGAACTCTCAAAAATAACACTTCTCTGGATGAACTGAGTCCGAGGTAGGCAGACGTGATCTCGAGTGTAGGGCCGACGAGGTAATGGCCAGCAAGGCGCCTAATATGGCCTCATCTCGCCTCTTTGGGGTTCTCCACGTTATCGATATCTTGGTGGTCGATTGCGTAGCTCCCAACGTGACGACGGAAGGTTATGATGCGAATTATAAAACACACACATGGTCCGGCTGCAGAGAAAGTCTCGAGTACTGAAGGCTATGCACACTATGCCACGCCGCCGCATGGGCCCTTTCGAGAACAAAAGAGATACTTGAATGGACCTAATCGAAAGTTCATTCTGGCGTGGTTAGTCGATATATTATGTCCGTGACGCATATTACCCGATGCTCCCAAGAAATAAGAAATGCCACCATGTCCAGCCCTGGATGTGCCAGAAGGCGGCTCTGGAGAATAAGCTTGGAGCGCGCCGCCGGAGGGACAGGCATAGATGGCGCCAGAAGTTTCCAAATTTCACCGTGCGGCGGGTTTCCCAGAAAGCGGTGACTATTAAAGGTGTTAAAAGCTAAAGAAGGTTCAAAGAGGTTGGTCGGTTGGTACGTAGGCGGTAGCGCAGCGATACTGGATTGCCGGTTGCTAAAGAGAAAGCAAGTCATAGGGGGTGCAGAAGACGGGTGATGTGTGAAGGGATTGCCGGCAACTTTTCTGGCTGGCTACCAAGAGAAGCGGGACCAAAATTAACAAGGCGACCGTTGCAGTGATGAATGGAAGGTGCGGAGATTCGGCTGGCATGCTCGTCAACACCAAGCACGTTTCTCTGGCCATGCTTGGGGTACTAGGGTCATTCAGCTACTAACTGGTCTCTATTACGTTTCCAGTCTCGTGCCTTGCAGACAGCGTTAATCGTGCATAACCGTAGGGAGTACTAGTGTGGATGAGAACGACATGGAGAAGAACATGATAGTTACGCCACGTGAATATCCCCTGTAATGTTTTGCGCCGCACAGTAAGAAGAGTGAGCTCCGTGGTTAGTTGGAGCTCCAACCTGTATACATTTGTTTCTTTCTCAGTGTGCATATATTGTCTCCAAACCAACGCCTCGGCCATTCAAAGTGTAAGAATTGACAGTCGTAACTATACTTTACAAATTGCTATGTACGATAAACTTGCAGGCAAGAGCAGTTTTTCTCCAGTTGATTGACTGTTGCGTATGCTGGAAAAGCAAGTGGCTAAGCCGGAGGTTTTCTTTGTGTGATGAACCGCAATAGGATTAAAACAATAAAGCATCCATACCATGTATCTTCTCTTTGGAAGCTGGAACATGTTAATCTCCTTTAATTGTGCTGCGACTTGCTGAGTTTTGGAGTGATGATTGGGGAAGGATGTTCGGAGGTCTTCCAGGAATATCGAACCATCGAACCCTTGCCTTGTTATCACCTGGAGTTTACAGATTAGTTACAGTTGTTGAGAAGAGTTAGAAACATTAATGTAGGAAGCCAAAGGAGTAAAAGGAGAGTCCAGAGACTATGTGTCGATGATCGTCAACACAATATTAGCAACATCGTTCTATAAAGAGCCAGAGAGGGCGCCGAGGAATATGCGAATGCGATGAATATCCACAAATACAAGCCAAGGGGAAAGTAGAGGGAAAATAAGAAAATTAATGGAGAAAATAGAACTTTGACAACTCAACGCGCTTTCGCAATGTTAAAGATTTAAGTCATCTCGCTGTGGTGGAACAATGACGCTGGTTTAAATCGGTGGGGTCGCTTCGCAGAAATAAACTGTTGTCTTGCCCCGTGTCCTAAACGCCAAAACTTGAGAAACAGTCTTTGGGCTGCATGATTGTCAAAACGATTCGCTAGAGAACTGTCATGCAAAAGAGCAAAAAGAAATGCCAGAGACATGTACGACATAGACAAGATTCGAACTGTGAAGCTGTTAGACGGAGTTGGGAGTGGAGCGAGCGAGAGAACTAACCTTGCGAGGCCGAAGCCATCAGATGACTAAATGCGTCTGCATTCAAGTCTGACCCATTAACCACTCTGGCACTATGCCGCAATTAGACCTAGAAATCAAATAAATAGTATATATAAAGCAGAAAATGATGGGGAGTGATGGGGGGGGGTGTTGACGAAAGGGGCGGCCGGGAATTCCCCGGGCTGGCAGTGGTACAGACTGCTGGAAGCGTGGCCAATAGACGCTGAGCTGTGCGCGGTAACCTGTAAAAAGAGATCGATGGCCCTGGGTGATGGTTCGGAGCTCCAGATGTGCTTAGTCATAGTGAGCATCCGCTGTCGAGGCGGGATCATTATTTCAGGAATAACGCCGGGCATTTCTAAGATAGGAGACAGATTGCAAACTGAAGTTCTCCTTATAAGCTAGTGCAAGAGATTTGAACTAACATTCGGCATTCGGGGTACGTGGTTTCCGCCATGGTAATAGATTGCTTATAATCGGCTTCTACACCATGCTGATACTGAATATTTCAACACACCCTCATGATAATTTGCCTGGCTCCTGATTATCTACGAGAATCTCGGTGTTTGCCTATGCAAGTCGGACACCTTGGAAAAAGTCTTGCACCAACACCGCTATATGCCTAACTGGAGAAACGAGCAAGCAGCGCCTTTCATAGTGCAGCTCAGCCAAAACTCTAAGAGTCTCAATGCTACGTTGCCATGTGTCTCTTCATGCTGTCGTGTCTTAAGCCTCGTGAACGCAACCTTTTTCATTCCCGCGCCGAAAGCAAGCAGACCATGCTGCGCCAGTCATCCAACGCCGTGTATAGACACAGTATAACAAAGAGTAATTCCCAATCACGGGCCTAGTCTTTGGGTGGAGCCGACGACGCCAGCAGGCAGCGTGGCCAGGGGAGTGGTCGAGGGCAAAACGCCGTAGCGGCCGAAGGTGGAGCGGTCGACGGAGACGTAGTGCGGCAGTCTCACCAACAGATTGAGCTTGTTCTCGATCCAGCGGAGGATCTTCTCGGGCGGCGCGAGGAACTTGATGTAGTTCAGGCCCCAGAGGTAGCCAATAAAGGCGCCGCAGAGGTGGCCGATCAGACTCGTGTTGGGCACGAGGAAGCTCGTGAGGAGGATGAAGATCAGAGGAGTGGTCCAGGTGGGAATCTTGTACGGTCCGAGGCTTCTGCGTGTCAGTGCCGGATATAGCCGGGATGGTGCACACCGTACCTGAAGAAGGGATTCGCTTTGTGCGTCTTCATGGCCTCGACTGCGAGGAGCAGGAAGACCCAGACGCTGCCAAACGTTAGCACTAGAAAACCTTGGGCATCGTTGCTGCGTACCTCGCGCCTTGAACAGCAGTGTTTCCCCTCAAAATGCCGCGTTCAAGAATTATGTAGATTACGCCGGGCAGAGTTGCAAAGGCTATCCGGGTAAGCAAGGGTCGGGAGGTCGACTAGCAGATTGGACGTACGGCCGGAGAACAGGGCAAGAGACACCAGAGTGCCATGTTCGGCCTCGAATCGTTCGAGCAGCGGCGTGATGGCGAGCAGGTTGAAGAGAGTGTGGATAATGCCAACGTGGGTCACCGGGTAGGTGTTGAGACGGAAGGCTAGACGGATTAATTGGATAAGATAGATCTACATCAGATCGACGGCGGACTTACCGGCGGTTATGCTGACTTGGTCAGGAACCAGAGCGCATTTCTGGCGCAGAGTTGGCCAGACGGTGCTGGCGACGGAGAGAGCGACGATAATGAGCAGAATCAAGCGCGTGCACAGCGGCAGGCGCAAGATATAGGAGCGCAAGCGCGCAGGATTGAGGTTGGGTACGACGAGAGGCATGGTGTTGCGGCAGGAACAGTTGTCCGGCGCGGCCGAGACGACGACGCGACTGCTGCACCGACACGCGCCACAACGCCGACTCGCCGGTCAAGCTCCACAAACCACCTCCCTCCGCCGCACGAGCACTGCGCGGATGACGCTGCCGTAGCCTGACGTCGCCGCTCGCTCCCGGAATGGCTCTGCTCAGTATGCGCTCCCCTGCCCATCGCCAACGCTCCCCCAGCTGACCCCCGAAGCTCCCGCCATTCTTGGCCTCCGCCGCGATGCCCGCATCTTGAAGATCCCGCCCTACCTGTCCGCTCTCTGCATCATTGTCGGCGTAATCTGGCTGCTGCTGCTGCCATTGAACGAGTACTCGCGCCAGACCTACATTTCCGAGAACGCCCTGCTGCCCGGCCAGGTCCACACTTACTTCGGCGGCAGCGAGCACAACGTCTTTCGCGCATTCAGGCACGAGGTCCATGCTCTGACAGACTATGATGTTTACGAGCGGAGCCAGAAGCTGGAAGAGCTCCTGAAGTCCACCGGCCTGAAGACGGCTCGTCAGAAGTATACCTACAAGACTCCGGGCAAGGATGCCGTGGGTGAGAACGTCTACGGCGTGCTCCAGGGTCCCCGCGCCGATGCCACCGAAGCCGTTGTGCTGGTTGCATCCTGGAAGACGGTCAATGGCGAAATCAACACCAGTGGCGTTGCTCTGGCCCTCACTCTAGCACGCTATTTCAAGAGTATGCGCTCCCAATTACTACATCACGGCGTCTGTCTAACCGAAATGCGCAGGGTGGTCGCTCTGGTCCAAGGACATAATAGTACTCATCACCAGCGACCCTACTGCAGGCTCTCAAGCCTGGGTTGATGCCTATCACAATGCCCACGACCCCAGAAAAGTCGAAGCTCTTCCTCTCAAGAGCGGAGCTCTTCAAGGAGCTGTTGCTGTTGAGTATCCCGCTGGCCCTTGGGGTCATCGCTTCGACAAGCTTCACGTGCTCTACGACGGTGTCAATGGCCAGCTACCCAATCTGGATCTTTTCAACACTGCCGTTTCCATTGCCAGCGGCCAGATGGGAATTGGCTGCACCCTGCAGCGCATGTGGGATCACAATGATAGCTATGAAGAGCGACTCCAGACAATGCTCCGCGGCATGATAAGCCAGGGTCTCGGCCATGCCTCCGGGCCTCACAGCGCCTTCATTCCTTACCATGTCGACGCTCTGACGCTCCAAACCGTGGGGAGCGGATGGCACGACGAAATGTCTCTGGGCAGAACAATGGAAAGCCTGTTCCGCAGCTTGAACAACCTTCTCGAGCACTTGCACCAGAGCTTCTTCTTCTACCTCCTGATGCAGGCCAACCGCTTTGTCAGCATTGGAACATACCTTCCTAGTGCCATGCTAATCGCCGTCAATTTCACCATTACCGCAATTGCCCTTTGGGTTCAGAGCGGCCGCCCTCCCATCCCTGATGAGAAGCCCGCCTCAACAGAGACCAAAGATGAGAAGAAGCCAGACATGACTGTTGTCAAGGAGGGAAGCGACATCGCTGTCGTCCCAACTGCTATCTTCAAGACCGTGGAACGCAACCTGCTCCTCCCCGTCGCCTTCGTCAGTGGTGTTCACTTCCTCGGTCTCATCCCTCTGAACATCTTTAACCACACCTCCGGCGACGTAAGTTCCATTATATACCCTCTCCTCAAACACAGCCCTAGACTAACTTCTTCAAAAGCACCTCGGCAAGGCCTTCATCCTCGTCTCCCTTTTCACCCTCGCCGCCCCGCCGCTGACCTCCTTCCTCTTCACCCGCCAACTGCACCGCGCCCTCACGACGCAGGAGACGTATCTCCTGCAATGCTTCTCACTGCTCCTCCTCGGCATGTTCTTCTCCGCCCTCGCCACCCTCAACTTCTCCCTCTCCTTCCTCGTCGGCCTCTGCGCCGCCCCGCTCACCTTCATCCGCGCCCCTTCCCACACCGCCTCTCGCAACCGTAAGCTCGTGCTCGCGGGCGTGCAGTTCGCACTGCTCGTCTTGCTCAGCCCCGTGACGGTGGTGGGCGTCGCGAGCCAGGAGCTCGAGGGAAAGGGGCTGCTGAAGGGCGATTGGGTCGGTCTGGAGGCTGTCAGGCAGGTCATGGTGCAGGCAGCGTTCGGGTGGCACGTGTGGGGCTTGTGGACGCAGGTTGTCGTTTGGCTGGTGTGGTGGCCGGCTTGGTTTGTCGGCGCTGTCGTGGTTAGCGGTGGGTTCTTTTCTTGATCTCTTTTCCAAGTCCAGCGGCATTGTTGAGGAGGTTCGAAGAGCTATGTGCTGTCGTGATGGATCTGGTGGATGAGTCCGGGCTGGTATTGTTGCTGCTCGTTGCGTTGGCGAGATGGAAAACAGCCTAGGCAGGCAGCCGTGCGATGCATAAGTAGATCGATAGAGTTATTTGCGTATGTAAGATATCAATGGGATGAAATATATCGAGTGAAGCTTTACCGCCGCTTCTTTTCTTCTCCGCCTTTCAGGGAAATGCAACAAGACGCATATTCCGACTGGACATATCTCGCCCGGATCGAAACATGGCTGATATATGTAACTGGTGACTGCATACTCAACGTAGAATGTCTAGGATAGAGGTCGGAAAATGTTGGGAGTTTTCTTGCAACGCTTTTGTAATGTGAGAACCATTGCATGTGTTCTACAAAAAGTCCGGACGATGTTTCAGACGCGGGCTCGTGATCTTCTCTTGCACAAACAATTCACAACGTTTGGCCCATCTCTACATTATGCCGTTGAAGTGATTAGAAATCAAACTTGTCTCCCTATGGATCGGTTCCACTGTATAGCACGAATTAAGTGGATGACGCTTTCATCTAAACACTCTATTTAGACTAGCTTAGTGACATATGCTTTTGCTAGACGATATGTTGTAGCCGCCCGCTTCATGAGGTTGTTCACGTCGGATTGCCATATATCAATTCGATCTCAGACTTTCATAACGCAGCTCCACACCACTAAGCCCCTTTTTATACTATTCCCGCACATAATGGACTGCATAAGTTTCTATATCTCGCGTTATGCTCACCTTTTGATACGCTAGCACATCACAATCATTTGGCTTGTTGCTTGGAAAATGTCTTGTCTCATTCAATGACCAAGTCCACCCATATGCCTGGTCTCTTTATCCCTACGGTAAATTGCATGAACAGGTATCTCCATAGCCGTCCCCTCTATTAGTATACTTTCTCGATCCCATGCCGTCCTTTCCCTTCCTTGTCATTACAAGAGCGGTACGATGCGTCCGCCAAAGACACAAGACTCACGGAATAGAAGAGCATAAACTCTCTCCCACATCCCCCTTCTAGCGTCTCGAAACACTAAGGGGAAGAAATCAAACCTGCCGCTCACAACCCCCCTTTCACCCCGAGGGTTGAGGTCGGCGGACACACAAGAGAGAAATCGTCTCCTCACTTCTTATAAAAGTTCAACTTTCCCGTCGGACCCAGATCACCAGTGCGATCGTATAGCGTCCTTGCCCTGAGGTACGGGTCCATCTTCCAGTAGTTGTCACGCAGCTTCTCCGTCAGCTCTTCCCTCTCCTTCCTGTTCTGTGCCTCGTCGCTCGCTGCATTCTTGACCCACGTCGCAGTCGCCTGCTCGTATTGGGCCACAATGTCGTCACGCTCGTTTTGTAGCTTTTCTCGAGCCTCTGTGTCTTTCATAACCGCGTTCTCGCCTTCCTTGGGCTCGACGTACGTGTAAGTCCACTTCTCATCACCGCCCATCTCCGTCGGGATGTTGCTGCGCGGTACGAACTCGGCAAGCTCATCGGCGGTCTTGACAAAGTGGACTTTGCTGGCAACGACTGGGTCGAGCCAACCACGGATAATGGACCAAATTCCTGTGCACCGTGTGAACACGAGTTTGTCTGAGAATGCAAGGGGTGCAGAGGGATTCTTACCTTGGAAGACCCAGGGAGACTTGTACACCAAAACGGAACCGAGGGATTCGGGATAATTTGCTTCAAAGCACTTGATCATGAACTTGACGGGAGTGTAGTCCATGTTTGCGAGAGAAAAGTCGGACATATCAAAGACGATGACCTAGAGCACGGGCAAGTTAGCATCGTCAACGTCGACAATCCCACAAGACTTCACTCACTGCCGTGTCTACCGGCGGGCTCAGCATCATGCGCGTCGTCTCGATCAGGTACACGGTGAATCGCTCCAAACTCTGCTCGCTCTGCTCGCCTGGCTTGTGCAACCTGACGCGGACGTAGCACATTGGCCGGCCTTCCTTGTCCACGCCGTGCACGAAGCTCTTGCCGATGCGCAGCTGCGTCATGAAGTCCTCACCCTCCTTCTTGACCGCGGCGTCCTCGCTCTTCGACTGCTCGAACGCATGGCCCTCGCCCTTGTGGACAATGTCGTCGTCGACGTGCATCTCAGTAGCGCGCCAGCGGAGGGCAGAGATCAGCATGATCAGCGCGGCCTGCACGTCCCACTTGCGCGCGCGCAAGAAGCGCAGCAGCAGCGCGTCCGGGTTGTCGTGCTTGACCATGGACCACAGCGAGGCGCGCAGCTCCTCGGGCGTCGTCTCGGCCAGCGCCGTCTGGAAGGCCTTGTTCAGGCCGTGCTTGTCATCCTCCAGTGACAGGTTCCCCACGTCCACCTCCGCCGGCGCCGATGTTTGATCCTTCGCCTTCTCGGCATCCTTGTCGCCCTTCTTGTGCTTGAATATGTGCAGCCGCTTGCTCTTCTTCTTCTCGCCCTTTCCGCTGCCCTCCGACTCGGCGATGGACGAGGCGGGCGTGCCCGATGCATCGGTCCCATTGACCACGCTGCCCTCCGCCTCGCCGCCGTTGCTCGCCAGCTCGTCGAACGGAATACCCGTGATCTTGGCGAGCGCGATCCAGAGCTCCTTTAGCTTGAGCTCCTGCTCGGGGGTGAGGTTTCCCGGCCGTCCAGGCGGTATCTGGGTGGTTTTGTCGTTGGACATTTCGGCAGCGGAGTCTTCGGAGTCTTCGGTGTTTTCGGATGCCGGGCGCGCGGTATTCTGAGCTTTTTGGTCCGCGGGTTCGGTGGTGACGACGAGGATGCTGCCGGCTGCGATTCCGAGGGCAATGACGCAAAGTGTGTATCCGAGACTGCTCTGGGCGACGGCTGGTCGACGAGGAATGCGCGCTCTCGTTGGGCACGCGACAGGTCTGGTTTGTGAGTAAACTTGGCGCGCCGGTACAGGATTCTTGCTAAAGTAGCTGCGCGAGTGCTGAGGTAGACAGCGACTGACGGCTGAAGCGTGGGGTGCGCGGGGAACAAGTGCTCGAGCGCTAACGGTGGTAGTAGATGAGCGAAAGCAGGTGTTGGTGGCTCCAGTAGAGAGCAGTCTTGAAAACATGAAAAGGTCAGAGGGGCAAGGGCGGAGAGAAATGATGATGTAGCCTCGGACAGGCAAGCTCCGGCAGGGTAGTGAAACGGGTCGCCGCGGCGTGGCTGAGGCGATGCGGTCTCGTGGCTGGTCCTGTGAGGTGGAGGACAATAGCCCGGGAGCGAGAGCGAGGCCTGGCGCTGCTGACGGACTGCAATGCGAACTGACAGCCAGGCGGCAGTGGACGGATCGTAATTAAACACCGACCCATTTCATCTAGCGGGGGCCGATGACGCGCGAATGCGCCGTGCCGCGAAGAAGCCAAGAATTCGATGGCGGCCCTGTGGTGCTCCCAACGGACCGCCGCATTTACGGCTAAGGCGTGAAAGTCGTTGCCACTCCCGTGCGCCATCGAGCTGTCGCCCACGCTGCACACCAAGCATCACAGTGCGCCTCCTGGAATTCATAAGCTGACCAAGTTTGCGAAGCCGCGCGGAAGCTCGTTGCAGTTGCGCCGCTTTCATGTCGTCACCTTTGCAAGGTTTCAATTATCTGCAGGCGAGATGGGCCGGCCAGCATTAAACGTGGCTGAGGTTCCGGATTCCGAGACGAGGGGACGCCCGGGCGTTAATGGACCCCGCGGCGCGGGAGTAAACACAAACTTGAACAAACAATCTTAGCTCCAAAGACCGACCAAACGCGAACACGAATAAGGCGCGCCCAAAATAAACCAACACCACCCTCGCGCCATGTCATCCTCGGCGACTCCCCAGGCGGACGAATCCTCCCACCGACGCTCCATTCCCTCGCGGCCCACCACACCACTGCGGCCAACATCGCGCTCATCCTTCCGCGGCAGCGCCTCCGCGAACCGTCACCACGATGCATCCCACCGATCCTCGACTGCCGGTGGCGAGCCCACCCCGCTCGAAGCGCTGGAACCCGCCTTCGCCGAGCTGAGCGACAGCATGGCCGACCTGGAGGCCAACTTCATGCACCTGCAGCTGATGCACGAGTCGCTGGCCCGCTTCTCTGAGAGCTTTGCCGCCTTTCTGTACGGACTGAACATGAACGCATTCTGCGTCGACTTCCCCGAGGCCCCGCTGCCCGAGAGCTTCCAGCGCCAGCGTCTGCAGGAGCAGGCACGCGAGGCTGTCGCTCGCATGAGCAACATTGGCGTAGGCGCCGCGGCAGCGTCGTCCTCTTCACGTGTGCGCGGTGGTGGAGGCGTGGACGGCAACGAGGCAGATACGGAGGCTACCTTCTTGTGAGTAATCAGACAATGGCTTCGTCCGCGATCCAGAAGATCAATTCGCTGACGCTGGTGCTTCCGCCAAATTTTAGGACGACCGACACATCTTTTGTGGATCACCCGCCATCCTCCAGGGCTCCAAGCAAGTTCCAGACTCCAGCTCGGTCGAGAGCATCGAGAGGCGGTATGCGCGGGGGTGCCTCCTCTAGTACCACAAGAGGCAGAGGCCGTGGCGGCATTCCGCGGGCTGGCGGCATTCCTCGTGGAGTCGGCAGGGCGCGTGGCGGTAGAGGTTGACCGGACAGCAGGCGCAGGGATGAAGCAGATGCGCTTCGTCTATACGATACTACGAATTGAATGCGCGGGAATGTGGGTTGAGGTATCTCCATGGATTAGCAGAAGTCAAATCTGCTTTAGCATCCGATAGGTGCTTCCATTCCGCCCGCGGGAGATCGGCACTGAAGGGGCCTGCGGCATACTAGGGGCTGAAGCAGACTTGCAAAAAATGTTTCAGTCTGGATAGTAGCGTCACTTCTCTACGCGATGCGCTGTTTGGCGCTGCAGCACTTTTCAAGACGAACGTGAACCGATGTTCCAGCGGTTTGAACGGAGTTCATACAGAACCCACGTCTATTTAAAGTTGCAAGAGTAGACATGCGTAATACGGAGATCATGAGTAAATCAAATCAAGATACCAATAAGACGAGAGTATATGTATTGTGGTTTTCTAGGTATTTATTCCAACAGCGCTTAACAATAGTCCACAGGTTCCAAACGCCCGCTTCTAAGCGGATCAAAGGGGTATTAAAGATAAGCGGCCAATGAGCAACTCCTATACCAAAGTGCTTAGGCCGCTAGAAGAACACCGGTACGTTCCTGCAGCGCCAAGACATCCCATCATAAAATGCAGAAATTCGCTGTAAGTGGTATCGTAGGAATTCATCAACAGCTCGTCGGCGAGCAAACACTGCCGGGACCAAAAGAGAGTAACGAAGGACCAAAATTATCAATGCGTTCGAGATGTTTTCCAAAAGCCGCAACTCGCCGCCAGGGTGTTCGGTGCCGAAGCGCGGGAGAGGCTAATCCGAGAGCTGCCCGAGAAAATCCGTCTCATGGTCCACCAAGGTCGATAGTGGGCTGGGCTTCAATTTTCTCGTTCTAAAACTGTCGTAACTGGGTATCATCCGAGGGGTATCAATCGCGAGGTTGATTAGGGGGAGAGCAGGGCTGTTCTTTCCGCTGCTTAAGCCAGAGAAGCGCCGGCGCTCTGCTTCGGGAAAGACGACACGTGCTCGCGGCGGAAGGCCCAGCCCTTGAGCGCCACATTGACCACGGTCCAAGCCATGATCAGCGCCGTCAGACCAACGGTGAGAACGAAGGTGAACATGGCGTCTAGTCCGAAAGACTCGAGGGCACCGACCGTGTCTTTGTTGCTGACCATGAATGTGATTCCGCCAGCAACAAGGCAGAAGGAGGAAACGATTTCCGTCGGCGGGCGCGCGGGGAGGAAGGAGGTCGGAGGAGACAGGTAGAGCAGCATGTAGGTGGCAGCGCGGGCCAGAGCGAAGCCCACGAACATGTTACCCCACTGCTTGTGGACCATGCTGGAGAGCATTGAGGCCTGGTGGTGCGATCCCATCATCATGCCGAGGAGCAGAATGACCATACCGGGCATCGGATTCAAGGAAACGCGGTAAGTCTTGGGCTGCTCCCACTTTTCATCGGCCGAATGCGAGATGGAATCGCGGTTGCTCAGCATAGCGGCGTTGAGAAGCTCGCGAACCTTCTTAGACTCGATGAGCATACCGAGAGCACCACCGCCAAAGAACATGACGGAAATGGAAACGTGCTCGAGGTCCTGCGCAGTCCAGGCGCCGCCCCAAGCTGCCAAATGCTCCAAGAAGACATTCGAAGCGCCGTATGCGAAGATGACGGCAGACTCGGTGAACTCAGCGGTAGGCATGCGCGCCCTCCAGCGGCCCACAAGATCCTCACCAGGCTTGACGTTCCATGCCCACCCAAAGTCGGCGAAGCATCCCATCCAGCGACCCAGAGTAAGCAGGCCGTACCAGAAGAAGATGGCGCCCTTGACGAAGTGGGCCAAAATGTTGAAAACAGCGTCGCCGCGCTGCAGGAGTGGGTCAGCTTTATCAACCAAGAATGCAACTCACGAGTACTTACAGCAATTCCGCCAATGGTAACAATGCCCATCATGAGGAGCACGAATCCAAGGAGGAGGATGGTTCTCTCAATCAAGACGTAGAAGAAGCGCACGAGCTTGAGTGAGCGGCCTGCAGAGACGCGCGTGACAAAGCGAGACATCCAGCGATCGACGCGGCTGTTCTGGAGGAATGCACGCTTTTCCTCAAAGTCGTCAATGTCCTCGAGGTCGGCATCGTGGTAGGGGCTGGGCATGTTGTCGGACTCGGCACTCGGCGAACGCGAGTGTCCGTAGAGGGAAGCCGAGTTCCTCTCAGTGCCCTGGCCAGAGTCGTGGGAGAATCGGGGGTGCTCCGAGGAAGCCTGCTGAAGGCGCGAGTACCGAGCCATGACTGCCACGGAGAGAGGCTGGCTGGCTTCTCCGGAGGCATTGGCGCGGTCCGTGTAGAGATTGATGAGGCCCAGGAAGACCCAAATGCCCGTGATGATAAACACAGGCCATCTGAGCTTGCTGTATGCGCTATTCTCGTACAGATCCGGTGTCTTCGCGTCGTAGGCGATACCGACGAGGAGGGTAAGGGCCTGCAGGGCGAGGAAGAGGAACTGAGCGAGGACAGTGAGGCGCGAGCGCGCAACGCTGAGCATCACAACTGTGTCAGGGTTAGTCGCGTTTGTGCGATCAATTGATGTATGAAGTGGTCTAGCTGCGCACCAGGTGGAGCAACCAGAAGCCAAGTGATGACCGTAAGGGCAACGTAAGTCCACAGCAAGCTAACGTGCTCCGAATAGCTGAAGTAGCTCATAGGCCAGCCTTCAGCAGGCCCATCGTCCATGCTGCCGTGTTCCGCCATGTCGCCCATATCCATGTCGTGGTCATCGCCATGCGCGAGAGCCAGCGGAAGCGCGGAGAGAAGCGCAACCGCGGCAGTTAGTGAGAGCGCGCGTGCCTGCATCCAGGAAACAGCCTCTGGGGGCGGGGAGGAGGATTAGAGGGAGACGACTAGGTGGGGGAAGAGAGCTGAGGATTGCGATGCGACAGCTTTGTTTGAGCGCGTCGGGGATTATAAATGCGGGCACATATGGAGCAGCAGCGGCTCACGAGTGACGTCTGGAACCTATAGCGGGGAGCAGCGCAGGGGCGCTTAAGAGGCAGACAGCGATCTCGACAGGCGGCAACATCGGCATCGGGCATGTGTCAGCACTGAAGATGGGCGCAATTCGTCGAACGGAAGTTTCTCGACAATGACGTGGGATGCGGTCGGCGTCCACTCGCGCCGCTAGCGTCCGAGGTATCCGATGCCAGCCCTGTCGGCACGCCGGCCAACCCTTCACCCAAACCCCGCCGAGCCCGCAGAAAATGGGCACAGCGCGCGCCTGACAGTCGTTCCACTGTGCTTCCAATCGCGTGACACAGCTCAGCAAAGCAGCTCCTCCGCCCATCAGCAGCCGCCAGCCTTCGGTCGCGCCCGGTCTCCCGAAGTAGTCCACCGCCCAGCGATCGACGCCGCCCATGCCCGCGCGGGAGAGCGTCGCTGACTTATGCAGTGCCCCATCACTCCAAAGCTTGGCATCGTCAGCCAACGGCAGCGGGAGCTCAGCCATCGCAGGCAGCTGTCAGCTCCGGAACGGCCACACGCGACAAAGTCTCCGACACGGACACGGACACGGACAGAGAGTCGGCAGAAAGTGCAAAGAGTTAGACGCACACAGCGTGCCTTTTGTGTGCGCCAATACGCCGGCGGCCGAGTCTCGCACGAAAGCGGAGATCGCAACGGGACCGATCGCAGCCGCCGTCGTCCTAACGCCGACGAGACCCTGGGGTAAGCATTTGTGAGTCATGTGGCGCCTTGTCGTGCTCGGTGCGTGCTGCACGCCGGCCGTTGTCGGCCATGTTGGAGTGATGGAGATCGAAGATAGCATCCATGCGCCATGGCCAGCTCGCGAATGGCTGCCCGCCCTCGTCAGCTGCAGCCCCGAAGCTTAATCCGTCGTCCCGCAGCCGGCAAGCTATCGCCCACCACACCCGCTCCCGATGAGTAAGACTCGCAGAGGCCTCAGTCAGAAGTCCGGTCCCAGCAGAGTCGTTGGTGATGCCGTCTGTGTTGGTGTGCCCGGAAGCCGCCCGCTGCCGTCCGATATCACACAAGCCGATCGCCAAGGCTGCGCGAGCGAGACCTGCAGCACGCGGGAACTGCTCGAAATGGCATTCGCTTGGCTGCCTACGCTTGGCCTCCACCTCTTCATATATGAACGCCCTCCCGCGGCTGGCCCGGATGCTCTCACCTACCGGGGACCCTGGTCACCCACCAAGCCGGCACCGTGAGCCTCCGAGGGTCCCGGAAGGAATGGGGCGTCCGGCTGCCGACGCCATGCATACCTATGATCCTTCAGAAGATTCCACCCCCAGACCGGCGGTCAATTCATCATCAACTCATGCTGTATTTGCGTGGAGCCTTCACCTCTGGTGCCCACTTTTTCTTGGCCTTGCCAAATCGGGAAGATCGATTTGACATCGCAGGTTTTTATTCAAAATTTTCACCGCAGCACCCGGACTTAAGCGGACAGCGAGCATTACCATCCTCTCGATCTACTCGGGATTTCCTGCAGCGCTCGGGATTTCCTGTGGCTTGCTTCCACCCTCACTCTTACTGACGTCCACCCGTTTTGCGACTCAGCTGATCTACTGCAGGCCTCTCCACATGACTCTCCGTTCCTTTAAGCAACGAAGGCCTTTCCTTTCCCGTCTAAAAAGTGGTCTTTCCCGCTCTTGGCACTCGATAATCGCGTCCGGCGCTCGGTTGTTTTCTTCGCCCACAGACCACCACCCGACCACCACCACCACGCCTCCACACAAACCCGAACACCAAAACAACAAAAAAGAAGAGGTACGACCCTGGATTCAAACCAGGACGACTGGATCCGCCGGGAATTGAACCCGGGACCACTTCTATTCAGGATTCAGACGCCACAATCCAATTGATGACCCAGAATGCTAAAGAAGTATCATACCACTAGACCACAGACCCTGCTATTGGTCGAGCTGATGTTCCTGCTCGTTGATGCCTGATCTGGGATGCTTGCAATCATGTAGAGCAGCCTTCAGATCGTCTTCTCATCAGGCCAACAACTCAAAGTGTTGTCTGAGCCAAAGATGCGGGGGGTGCAATACAGCCGCACCTACACGCACCTTACGGGGTTCGGCGAGCTTCAAAGTGATTTTTCTAACCAATTTGTAATTCCCGCGCGCTGGCGGATACGACCGGGCCGTCATCTTGAAAGGTGCACAACGTTCCAGGTGCCAAGAATTACCCTGACCAAAAATTTCTTAATTGGGAAGCAGAAACTTTTTTTTTTTGAGAGAGAGGGGTGCAAAAGCACGCTCCATATTCTACCCTCTATTAAGTGTGAATTGTAAGACAAGCTGCTGCTATCTGGTGATCTTGTAAGGCGTCTAGATCGGACCCTTACAGCCTTCGGATACCTTAGAATATTAGTGGCTGTGATTGGCCGAATAAAGGTCCTGCTTCAAGCGCCTGCTTAAGCCGAAATGTGTTCCGGACATGCGGATCGAAGCGGTAGATGTCGGATTTTCCAGTCTAGATCGTCGTCGGATGGGCGGTTCGGCCAAGATTCACATGGGAAAAATGCCAGGCACCGACATCATGGCGCCATCTGATCAACTCGTCGACCATGCTTCCCAGGGGAAACGACGGCATTATCCGATTCGATGGTCCACGCCAGTACTTTTAGGTTCCCGGTCACACGTGGCCAAGACCCTGGCTGTCCATTCTCCGTCTTACTGACGTAGCCATGCATTGTTTAGTTTGAGATCCAGACGCACACTTTGCATCTAGTGCTAATTTATGGGCGGGTACCCGGCACAATCTAAGCTTAAAGCGAATTGAGTTTTATTTCATATTCGATCTAGGGCAGAATATTCGATCTCGTCAATGACGTCGTGGAGGGCGGTCGGGAACGTGCAGGGTCCACCGCTTCTATACGTCAAGTCAACCCCATATTGTACCGAATGCGGTAAGTGATACGTTCCGCATTCATGCTGGAGATGCGGAGACGAAAATGCACTGCAAAACAGACGAAGCACTGATAACGCCTCAGGATGTAGACGTTCGAATAAATCGCCCTTACCTCACTAAACCTCGATATTCGTCCTATGATGTCGCACTTACGCATCCATTGCTTAGGAGAGGAGGTTCCACTCTATCAAAGCATCTTTCTCTAGCATAGGCAGCCTCTCTCGCGCCAGCTTCTCCAAACAGTACGGCGTCGTGCTTTTTTGGTTCGACATCTAACATTAGGCTATACTTTCGACGGGATCATGAGTTAATCAATCATACCCAGTGACGGAACTATGGATTTTCTTCGGTTGCCAGGATCAAGGTATATTTCAAGCGACTTAAGCTGGCTCCCTTATTGGTGTGGTCCAACAGCCCGCCAAATGTATGGTTAACCGACGTGGAGTCCACCTCGGCAGGCATGGGCCATACGCAGAACGGCCACGTCAATTTTTACCCCACACATGTTCTCCACAGTGGAAATCCGAGCTCGACAGCTTCTGGATCGTCAATGGTGAGAATCAGTGCAATTCCCAAGCCCAACCAAGCAGCTTATACACGTCTTCTATTGCATGTAAATTCCTGCTGGAAGGAAGGTCTTGCGTATGCTGCATTTCAAAGCCGCTCTCAAAGAACAAACCCCGTGTCACCGAAGACACATCACGTCGTGCTACTGCATGGTTTGGAAGTGCGTTTACAGTAGCACCGGAAGGAATAGCCAAAGAATTTCTTGATCGGAAAATGCTGCACAGTATCCCATCTATTTTCTCTTCCCATACGTGCGTGAGCATTACTGAGCTAATTCCGTCTAACTGCCACTGACTTGCCAGTCTTCAGATACCGAGTCGGCGCTGGTGAACATGCAATGTCAAAGACTAATGGTTTCGATAAACTCTCGTAGAAGGCCTTCACCTTTGGATGCGCAGTCACCTTCCTCGGGTTGAAGTTTAGCACTTGCAATCCGTCCATGCTCGTCGCACGCGACAATGCGACATAAGCTTGTCCCGTCTCGAACACGCGGCCCAGATCTACCTTCACAAGGTCTAGCGTCTGGCCCTGTGATTTGTGAATACTGAGCGCCCATGCGAGGATGAGAGGGACCTGAGTGCGGGTTGCCAGCTCCTCGACGATCCATTCGTTAACCTCCTCCGGGTCAGGCACCCACCGCTCAACGGCCCACAGCTCAGGCGTGCATAACAAGGTCCGCGTTCTCCCGCTCCTAAGCTGAAAGCGTACGACCGGGTAAAGCGGCGCGAGGTTCTCCGGGGCACCGTCCACGATCGTAGATGGTGTGGTACTGGGATCAAATTCTTGATATTCATCTCGGACTTCGCTGTGCCATGGACTGTGGAAGAAGGTTTCCCTACTTGCGAACCCGATGACGCGACCCAAGGTACCGTTCACGAGGGTTTTGTCTACATTCTTGATGAGCATGACTTGGGCAGTCTGCTTCAGCTGGAGGACCTCAGGTGCTGTACAGGTGGACAGGAGTTTCTTGCGGGTGTCTGGGTCTGTAATTATACCGCCATGTTTAGCGAGGTAGGTATGGACTGGACTCTTGATTCTATGCATTCGTTTTTGGTTCGCCGCGTCTGCTTCGCGGCGTAGAGGGAAGAGCTCGGTGGCTTCTGGGTCGTCAATGGCGACTCGTTTCAGAGGCCTGCGTAGTCGTCTGAAAGCATTAATAGTGCTTGGTGTGACGAGGCCCTCACGCATCTCATTTAGCATCCCAGCGAAAGCAGGATCTTTCTGTCTGTAGATCTGAGTTAGGCCGATTGTGTGTTCAATGGCCGTCTTCCACGATTCGGCCTCGAAGCAGAATCTCGGGCTGCCGTCATCCGGCCCTTCCAACACGGGTGGGAGCTGGAAGAAGTCCCCAGTAAGCACGAGCTGAATTCCTCCGAATGGTTTGTTGTTTCGCCGCACAATGCGCGCGATTATATCGAGCTTGTCGAAGAGAGTAGAGTCTATCATGGAGATTTCATCGACGATAAGGACTTCAGTATCCTCCCAGCGCTTCAGCTTGAACTTTCGATCCTTGAAGATCTCCCTGATGAGCTTTATAGTAGGTGCTTTACCAACACCAATCCCGGCAAAGCGATGAAGGGTTGTGCCGCCAATGCTGTACGCTGCAAGGCCGGTAGAGGCGGTTACAGCCACGCATCTGGGGTTTTCGAGGTATTTAACCTCCAAGCCTTCGATGATCTTGCGCAGAAGGAACGACTTGCCAGTGCCGGCGGGACCTGTGAAAAAGACGCTCTTTCCTTGATTTACCACCAGATCGAGCACTGACTCTTGCTCATAGCTTAGCGATTGTCGTTCAGGTGTCTCTGTAGCTTCGTTTGTTTCGATTTGTACTTGACTTGCGTTCCACTTGTGCTGGCGCACGTTCTTCTTCGCCGAGGTAGAGAGCTGCCGATGGAATGATGAGCTGGCATGTGAAAACCACAACGAGTGCCGGCCTCCAGCAGCGAGCTGCAGTAGTGCGTTCGTTGAACCATCAATAGGCCGATGACAATATGGCGGTGTGGATGCCCGGACGCGTGAGAACGGACGCGTTTGTAGGCATGACGTCGCGAGTTTCGTTGCACGTAAAGCATGAGTCGAGGCGTCGGCACGTCTGACACACGGTATGCCGATGAGACCAAAGGACTTCGGGTTCATCTGGGATGGTGTCGCTGGACACGCCGTGATGGAGCTGTGGAGATGAGCGAATGTTTTGGTTGTCGCCGTCCCTACTTAGGCGATCGCTGTGTGGCACAGCATTTGCTAGTCTCTCACCCCACGCCCGACTCTCCCAAGCATTTTGTCCCACCGCAACGCCGAGCAACCTAGGAAGAAGATTTTTTTTTTTCAATACACCCATTCTATCGTGACTTTACCGCACGGTTGGGAGAAAAGAAATGTTGTGTTTCTGTTTGCTTGGAGACAAATCCTTCTGTATGCATTCATACTGCTAGCCTTGCCACTGTTCAGGCTGAAACAATCACAAGGTCTATCCCTGTGCAACCGTTGAGGATGTCACGGCCCTTTGTCCTTTGGTTGAAGTTTCATCCGATTCATTCATCATATCCTCATGAATAATGGACAGCACTACCGCGCCGAGACAATCGAGCGCGCCCATGCCGGTGAAAAAGAACAATCTGACAATCAAACACCATCATCCAGCGCTATGTTCCAGATCAAGGCCCAGACGCCGAGAGTGAACTCCAAAGCTCCAAGCCATAACAACACCGGAGAGAAAGAAAAAAAATTAAAAGGAAGTACGAAAAAAAATCAAGCATCCATCGGCGAGAAAAACCTGCCATGGACCCTCAACTGCCTCTGGATCTGCACGATTTCCCGCCGCTGCTTGTCTTCCCACTCCTTCCGCTCCCTTCTCCGCTGCTCCTCGTCCTCGCCGTCGTCGGTCCCCGTCGTCGACGAGCTCCCCACGCTGACGACCTTCGCCGACGCCTTCTCGAGGCAGTCGACGGCGATCTGCTCCATCTTCCGACACATGCCGAAGATGTTCCTGGCGTCGCGGTTGTCCTCCTCGCAGACAACGGCCATGAAGCTCAGCACGACTCGCATGCGGGCGAGGTCGGCTTGCGACGTGGCGGCGGCGTCCGGTTCGTTGATGATCTGGCCGAAGAGATTGACCAGGGCGGCCGCACAGTAGTAGAGGAGGTACCACCGCGTCCCCTTCGCAGTAGGCGGGTGGCATTGCAGCAGCTTGACCATGTTCCTCGCCGAGTCTGTGACTTGCGATCCGGGCATCGTCGGCGAGATGCTCCTCGGCACGGCTGCCTCGGGCCAGTCGCCGATGATGCTGATGCTGATGGCGTAGCGGCGGTGGATGAGGCTGAAGCAATACCAGTAGCAGAAATGCGTGACCAAGACGTTGCTATCATAGGGAGCCGGTAGGCTCGGTATGATTGGATGATTGTCGTTTTCGCCCCTATAGCCAGGTCGTAACTCCATCGGCATGTTTTGGCGCCACGCTTCGAGCTCACGATCGAGGCTGGCCACCGACACGAGCACCTCGTCGCGCGGCTGGTTCCAAGCTTGGGCCGAGTAGAGCTTCTTGTACACTTTCCCTTGGATCTGCGCGAAGACGCACTTTGCGCGGAACATGTTGAAGCTGCCCACGTAGCCAGCTTTGTCTGGTGGATTGTTTTGGGGGAGGTCGATATTCATGTCGCCATCATCTTGCGCCGGCGCGCGACCCATGCGTAAGCTCAGCCTTCAACTGCATCAGCAACCATCTTGGCTCAAAGCCTGACTCCTCACTTACTCCTTATCGAAGATGCAAGCAATCCAGAACACTCGTCTTCGCTGCTCCTTCTCAGTCTCGCTCAACTTCGGATCATCCGGGTTGATGTGAAGACCGTTGCCCTGTGCTACTCTTATCGCCGTCGAAAGCATCATCGAAGCCATATGAGAATTGCACGACGTGATCAGGAAGAAGAGGGCCTGCAATTCAGAGGTTAGCACAGCTACTACTCGGAATCATGGACGTCAGGCTGAGCACCATTCCAATCAGCGCTTGAACACTGAGCAAATCGAAATCCAGAGTGGGGAAATCGCTCTGGATGGCCATGGCATTCTTCATGTACGCCCACGCCTGTCGTTCCTGTTCCTGGGGGAAGAAGGTGCTTCTCATGCGCGAGATGTGGCCCAAGGCGAGGACGGTGCTGATGCTCGCCCACCACCCGGCTGATTCACTTGCGCCCGCCATATTTTCGTACAGCTGTTTCATAAACGTTTCTTCGTGGTACAGCGGAAGTATGTTGTTGCAGCCAGCAAAAAAGTCGCCGACGAGAGACAACACATCCTCCATGGGCGGTAGGCGTGCGTACTGGCTGAAGCGACGAGCTCCCGTGTGCACTGCTGGCCCCAGCCCGCGAGCCACTACATCTTCAATGATGTCGTTGACCCATCCGGACCGTTTCGTTTGCCAAATACAATGCTTCCAGAAGTCTTTCGAGAGAATGCTTTCAGCATCGCATCATCACGCGTGACATTCGGGAGACTGACCTGAGTTTTTGGTGCTCTCCCTGCTTGGCAGACTCGACTCTCCCGACTGGCCCACTTCGGCAAGAAGGGCTTCGATGTCGACATCGTAGTCGACATGCCCGCCAGCATCGGGGGCGGCTTGCCGGCCATCCAAGATGCCTGACGCCCTAACAAGAGTCTCGATGCGGTCTAGGCGATTTTCCAATGCCCTGACATACTCCTCCCTATGCGAAAGTTAGCGAATTAGAAAAAAGTAAAAGATGAGCCGGCATCGGGTATGTCCAACATCCGATGCCCGACACAAAGCCACGTAGCGCCCAAACACCAACAGCTGAAAGACGACACTTGCCTCTTTTTCGGTTTCGGTGGCTTGTCCACGACGGCGAAGACGCAGTTCAGGGTCCGTTTGCGGCAAGTCCCGCACACAGGCGTCACGCCATCGCATTTAATCTTCATCCTGCGGCATCGCTCGCACGCCTATACATAGTCCGCTCACGCATCGTGCAAAAGTCAGCCAAAACTCGCCATCCAAAAACACAACAACAACCGATAGCAAAAAGAAACAGGATGGATTCATATGGATGCACGCATGGAAAATAATTCAAGTCGCTGACAGGGAGCCCAAACCTTCCCACGGGCCGTCCTCTTCGAGGAAGAAGTTGAAGCCGACGACGATCTGATCCCGACCGACGATCCGGCGGCGTCGTAGCCGGTCGCGGACGGCGGTGGACGCGGGGCGGTTATTTCGTTGCTGCTGCTGCCGCCATCTTCCGTAACCGAGGAGGAGAAAGATTCGTCGAGCGAGGAGCGGCTGCTGCCGCCATCGCCGCTACCACCACCGACAATCTCTGAGAGGTCCATGATAAGGAGACTGGCGATTTTGGCGGCACGGGCGGGTCGTGGCGCGGGTGTGGCTGGCAGGCGACGGACAGAGGCGCAGGGGCTGGCATCCGCCGGAGAAGGAATGCACACAAGCTGCTCTGGCAAAGGGGAGTCGCGAACCCCGGATTCTGATTCATTCCTTCGCCAAGGGGAGAGAAGACGCGCCCGGCGAGGGGGCGCTAGGGCCATGTGACGGAGACGCCTCCTCCCCTCTCAGGCATCCTGCATTTCATCATCTGCTTGGCCCAATCCGGTTTAGTCGTGCTGTCGTCGGATTATCTTATCTGCATGCTCTCTAACTTCACTGCTTCAATCTACCTACCATGTGTGTCAGGAATCTTCCGTGCTGTTCGTCTCTCTTTCTGTTTGCTGTTTGGTACTAGCGTGCTACGTCACTTGGCAGGATTCCCCACGCAATCGCCTCCGCATTTTCATCAGACTTTATTATTCTACAGACATGCTCTATCGCCATCCAACACGCTTCTCTACGTGCTCCCATATCCATAGCAGTTCAGCAAACACTCTTTTTCATCCATAACTTTTTCTCCTTCTCTCCCCACATTTTCCTATTGAATCTTTTCATTTCGGCCAAGAACATCTGGTCAAAACTCGAGTCGGACGGATAGACCTGACCTTCCTTGAACATGGTCACAGAATTAGGAGCCACATATTCTTATCGGAGTCTTTTTTTTTTCCTTCTCCCTCCCAGCCATATCGTCTCTCATAGCCAACATCTGTCTAAAGCGTGAAGTCGAAATCCGTGCTCGCCGATGATCCCTCCTGGAACGTCTCCTCAGTCTCCTCTTCGCAGTTCCTATTCTTCTCGGGAGGAGCCATGTGTGGAAACCAAGCCGAAAGGACGTCCTCTGGCAAGACGAAGTAACCCATGCATATGAAGCACTTCCACGCGTATGGGATGCCCATAGTAGCGTCGTTGTGCCAGCAGTGACCGCACCATGGACGGAACTCGTGGGTCGCAAGATAAGGGTCCGCAAGCTCGTCTTTTCCAATCGCACGACCCTCAATCATAGGATCCGTATCCTTAAGGTCCTCAAGCGGAAACATCGGCGCAGGCAGTATGTACCCGTCAGCCTGGGCCCGCGACATCAACTCCTCCAGATGCTTTCGGCGATGGTCGAGGCAGAGAGGAACTTCCCATTCGCAACTGCACGGCTTGAACTGGTTGCATTTCTCCTGGCAATCTTCACAAAGACGTGCCCATGCACTACCGCGGATGAGGCCGGCAAGCGTGGGGTTGTGTTCGGCGAGCGCCTTCTCATGCTGTCCGATGCATGCCAAGCACATCAAGTAGCGGCTACTGGGGTTTTTTTCTGAGTCGAATTTCTGTGGCGGACACTTGGCGCACGCGATAGAGGCAGTTCCGGCGGGGGAGTGGTCTTCCAGGCTATGCTGCTCATCGCAGCGCACAATCTGCCTCTGCTCAATCTTTATCGGCATCTCAGGCCGAGTCGCAATATCCTCCTCCATCATCGAATTCCACATAAGCTCTGAGACATTGAGCCTCTCTCGACCAAGAGCAATCAGTGGTGAGCCCACCTTGATGATCCTCTTGTCAGCGCGGAAGTGTCGGGGAAACTGCCTCCTCAAGAAAGAACGAATAATCCTGAAAGTCTGGAAGGCGCTCTTTGGCGGATGTGCGATGGTATATGCGACCTTACGGAGCTCGCGGAGTGTCTCAGTCGTATTATCCTCCCCTTGTCCGTTCTCAATGCTCTTGCTTGGAGAGGATACACTGCCTGGACCATCACTCAACTGTTGATAGCTGAAGTCGGTCTCTTGCGATTCAGACGGGGTGCTGTGTTCGAAAGCTCGGTTCTGAGGCTGAGGCGCGTTGTTGATGATACCCTCCATCGATTCAGACCTGTGATGGGTGGCCCTGTTTTGCACGCTGGGCGCGTCAGCTGCCCTAACTGGGTCTTGAGTTGCATCACTAGCCTGCGAGCTCAATGCCTCGTGCGCGTCAAAAGCTTGCATCTGGCGGTGTTGGCCATTCAGCTGGTGCGGCGGATTCTGGAATGCGCCAGACGAAGACGCAGACTCTTGACTACCAGCGTTGTCCTGACCTTCCTGCGCACTGCCGGTGGTGCTCGCATAGTTGTTGACTATATGCTGCTGGTATGGGTTCGGCGGAAAAGACTGCTCGCCGAAAGTGAAACTCTGCGGGTTATGGTTGTATGCGACGGGTCCCATGGTCTGCGGAGACGCAGAATCGACGCGACCGCTCTGTAGATGGGTGCCTTGGTCTGAGATACTTTGTTGCGGAAACGAGTGCTCGTCGGCATGGTTCTGCGGATGAGGCGCACCTCCAAAGGCTACTCCGTCCGCCGGCTGAGGCGCGTGTTCGATGACACCCTCCATGGGTTCGGTCGCGTGGTGCATGAGCTGCATGATGCCGTTCGTGGGCTGAGACGCGTTGGAAAAGGCTCCTTCTTGCGAAACTTGCATCTGCTTGTTGAGGTTATTTGGCGGGTGCTGGCCGGGAGCGGACATGACGGGTGGGTGTGGTTGGAGGGAGTTGATTGTCGAACCTCCGAGACGCGATAGAGGATACTAAGATGCACGGAACTGTCTGTGAATGTACGGAGCTACGTCATGGGTGCAGCGAACAGCGAAGTTGATGAGCCGCACTTGTTTTGAATCAGGCAGGAACGATGGCTTCCCGAAAAGGAAGTAACATACGCGCCGCACCTAAAAGTCGCCCCCGCCTGCTCGCCCCTTTCACTCGTAGTATTCATTACTTCTCCCACCCAAGTATTTTATCCCCATGGGTTCGAGTGTCTTCCTAATACTGTGGCAGTAAACCATGATTTCAGATGTCCCAGCTGCATGGCTTCCACGGTTTGATATCTTAGTTCTCTTGGTATTATCCTGGCGGGCAGGAACACTCAACTGAAGTAGAGATTGACGATGAGACTGAATCGGTGAAGTCAGGGAAGACTAGGTAAGCCACAGTCAGAAGATGAAGTTGCAGTGCTAAAAGTTCTTTGGGCGGTGGGCAGAAGACTTGCTAAGAAATGAAAAAGCGGCGCGTCTGAGCGGTATCTGAACGCGCTGTGCAGAGAATATGTCCAATTTGTTGCTTTTCATTACTGCACACCTACCACCAGATTCATTATGCCAATTTTGCGCCCCCAAAACTCCTCTCGCATGCTACTCATGTCACACATCCACGCCACCTCGCTTTTAGTTCGGGCCCTCAATGAGCCACTTGATGCCATTGCCCTGCTTGACGTTGCTGAACGCCTCCTCCGCACCCTCGAACGAGACCTTCTTGCTGATGAGCTCCTTGACGCTCAACCTTCCGGACGCGATCATATCGACAGCAAGCTGGTAGTCGCCGGACGAATAGCGGAAGCTTCCCGTGACGTGGAGCTCCTTGGCACACATGGCGCCGATGGGGAAAGTGATATCAGGCTGTTTCGCATTGTTAGCAAAGCGCTCGAATCCCGATGTTGGAACCGATTGCAGAAACAACTCACCTTGCCCATACCGCCCTGCGTGAACCTTCCACCCACCCTCGCGACGTGGATGGCGGTCTGGATGCACACCTCTGCACCGCTCGCATCGATGACGACGTCCGCACCGGGGCCGAGACCGCACTCCTCGATCATCTTCTTCGCATTCTCCTCAGGCGAGACCTTCGCGCTCCTGAAAATATGCGTCGCGGCGTATCCCTGCGCGAACTTCAACCTCTCCTCGTTTACGTCCACGACGACCACCGTCGTCGCGCCAAACACCTCCCTCGCCACCTTACAGCACAGCAAGCCAATCGGGCCCGCGCCGAACACGACCACACTCTCGCCCGGCACGACCTTGGCCATGCGGCAGATGTGCACGCCGACGCTCGCCGGCTCGACCAGCGCGCCCTCCTCGAGGCTGACGTTCTCGGGGAGCTTGTAGCAAAAGTCCTCGGGGACGGTGTAGTACTTGGCGAGGGTGCCGTCGAAGGGCGGGGTGGCGGCGAAGGCCATTTCGGGGCAGAGGTTGTAGTTGCCCTCCTTGCAGCGCACGCAGCGCCGGCACGGGATGCCGGGCTCCATGGCCACGCGGTCGCCCGGCTTCAGCGTCTTCACCTTCGAGCCTACGCTGTGCACCACGCCCGACGACTCATGGCCCAGCACCATTGGCGCCTCGACCACGAAGGAGCCAATGCGTCCATGCACCCAGTAGTGGACCTGTTTGTTGTTTTGCCGGCGGTCAGAGAAATGGGTGCGTGGCGTGAGAGATTACGAGATAAGGGCTTCTCATCCTCCACCTGGGCGGAAAAACTTGGGATGTGTGCAGTTGTGGCTATGTTGGGATGGATATGGGACGTACATCGCTACCGCAGATTCCGGTGTACTTGACGTTGACCTAGACGTGAGCTGTCAGCAGCTATGCTTCGGAAGAGGGGGAGAGGAGCGAACGCAGCATCTTCGTCCAAGAGCTTGCTTGCGCCCGAGAAGCATAGGCAACTCACAATCACATCATGGTCATTCTTGAGCTGCGGAACCGGCCTGTCTTCATACTTGACGCTTCCCGGCTTCTCAAGGACGAAGGAGAGATTCTGTGGTTGTGCACAATGTTAGCGGTGGGATGGAGAATGGCGGGGTCGCGGGGCCAGTTCGGTGTAACTCACTTGAGCCATTGTGATGCAGGGCGCAATTGGATGGTGATTGTTGATAAAATTTGCGAAGAAGAGCTCGGAGACTGCGAGAGGAAGGGTACAGAAGTTCTCAGGGAAAGGGGAAGAGGCTGAAAGAAGACAACGTGAGGCCTGTGAACATCATGCGAGACGCGTTCCCCGCGACGGTGGAGCTGTGACGTTTCCCGGTGGGCGCGGCGGGCGGCCGGCCAGCGGCGGGCAAATTTCCTGCATGTGCAATTCACCCGCCACTTTACCCGCTGCCCAGGCAGGTCTCGCGATACGCCGCAAAGGGTCCAGCTCGAGGATTCAGCTTCTATTGCTTCTAAGTCTATCATGCGATCTATGCGTCTTGTCTTGTGATCTATCAGAATAAAAAATCCGAAAAGTTCTAGAACCGCAATCGTTCCATCATCGTCCTCTGAAGAATCCCAAGCGCCTGGTCACCGGAAAAATGAGCCTCAATCCCAATCGCCCAACCCCTTGAACTCAGCCAGCAGCTGTTGGTGAGATTCTCCCATATCGTTAGCTTGTACCGTGATCTCGTCGTGTTCGACGGCGTGAGATTCGCCCAAATACGCCGTCTCCCAACTCCAGACCGTCCACCAACAGCGGACAGCTTTGCGTCCGCCTTGGCTGCCCCAGTCATCGTATCCCGTCTCGTATCCTTCATTACAAATCTTGAGACCTGCCGCCTGCATACGCTTGAGGAACTCTTCGACCTGCGGCTGGTAAGCGGTGCGGAGAGGGAGCTCGATGACCACTCTTGCAGCAGCTTCGCGTAAGAGCCGGGCTAAGATGGCTTGCACTAGCCACCCCGGGTGCTCCGGAGAGTAAAGCGGATCCGCAGCGAAGATAAAGCGAAAATGTTGGCTCTCCTGATAGTCAGCCTCCTTCACAGCCTTGAGCGATAACTCCATCGAAGATGGCTCCGTCCAGTCCAGAACCGCAGTGTAAGCGGATCCGTTGTGCCTGTCGAGAATTTCTTCATTCGAGAGCGCATTACGGTCTAGGTTCTCCACTATCTCAGGAAGATCTGTCAGGAGTACATCTGTGCCTAAGACCATTGCAGCGGCCAGCCCGACGAGTCCGGTACCAGAACCCAGCTCAAGCACCGAATGTGGAGGTAGATCCTTTGCACCGGGGAGGCTGCTTTCATCAGCGGCTAGCCGCCAAAGCCGCCGCGATAAAAGATATGACGATGCCCAAGTCTTCAAACCAAGGTTGTCTGCTGTCAGCGCTGGCTCATGAATTTCGATATCCTCGCTGGGGCCTTCCTTCGCCGCGGGAATCCGGAACTTGCGCGATATCGCGCCCATAGCAGTCCGACCGGATCGTTCACTGAGACGAATGCTCGCAGCCTCCCAAATATCTTCCTTGACATCGTCATCCTCTATCCAGCGCAGATCGCTCGCAATTATCCTTGTCAGGTAGGTGGTCAAGCCTTCGGGATTTATCTGTACAGGCTGAGCCTTTACGGCGCTGATGCTCTGTCGGCGTGCGGATTTGACGTCCATGGGAGTCTCGTCATCCTCGGTGTCGCTTCCTTCCCACGAAGGTGGCTCGGAGGTCAGCAGGGTGAGCGTGTTCAGAAGTTCTTGGGCCGAGGGCCTTGTGTAGAGCTGGGGGAGGTCCAGCACTGGAATTGTCAGTTTCTGATCTGGAACTTGTCGATAGGATTCTCATACCATGCAGGACCTGCCCATTCCTTTCTGCGTTCTCGTTATCCATGATTTACAGCGGAAGAGCAAAATGTAGGGAGGCGGCGATCTCGAGGCGGTATCGTGGGGGAAAACTAAGGGTATGGCCAAAGCGCCGATTCGCCGATAGCGCGCCGGAGAAGTCTCCAAGCCCCAAAGACGCCATGTTTTAGAACAAAGGGCTCACCGCTCCATCGCTTGCTTGAACCAATTCAGCGGCTTATTTCAGAACGTCTTTGAAGCCGTAGTATGCCTGATCCATGTCGAAATGGAACTCGCGCGCTTGGTCTTCTGACAGTGTGTCCGCCGCCTTCATCTGGTTCAAAGTGATCAACCACTGAATGATCTTGCCCTTATTCTCAAATTCCTTGTCCGTAACCCTGTTGACCGATTGGATAATGTCACCGAGGATTGGGTGGAGGACGTCCTTCGACAGTAGGCCCATCTTGATGGCATCCAGCAGTGTAATAAAGTTCTCGGTAGCAGTCACGACCAGTGTTGCATCCGCAGTATCGTTGCCAGGGGCAGCAGGTCTATGGGATGGTTGCTCGACTGTTGCTGGGATGCCGACCTTGAGACGTTCGGTTGCGCGGGGGCAGTCCAGCTACAGAACATTAGCCACGACGACGCAGCAAGAGCACAGGTTTTAAGTGGCATACATCCCACTGACGCTTGAACGTCTCCAGATCCACGAATGCCTTGGACACTGTCTCATTGGCAAGGTTGGACTTGTACTGCTTCAAGAGGCGGCTGCAGGTATCGGTGTATTCGTTTTCGTGAATCGAATCCTTCAGATACGCCTTCTCAAGTGCGTCAAGAGTAACAACTATGCTGTAGATCTCGGCCAATGACTCGTAAAGGTCGCGTTCTGCGCTGGTCGTAGACAACTTGACTTCCTGCAGCAGCCTGGATTAGGCTCGGCGCTCGTAGGCCGGGTTTCTGATACAACGCACCTCATCAAGATTGATCGTGGCGGAGAGAGCTGAAGTTGGAGTGTAGCTATAGGGTGTTGGAGCATACGGCAGCGGCCTTTGGGCGTACATGGTTGCAACAGTGGTGTTGATGGTTGTTGAGGGCGGGCGTTGCGGGCACGCAAGGGCGTGAGCTTCTCCGCTCCGCAGCACCGCCCGCTCGGGCCAAGTGACCGGGATGTTGCGACGCTAGCTACAAAATTTCCTAGGCCTTCAAGCACCGTCGCGACTTTTTCTCGACAATCCGCCGCCGGCACAGCACGACACCATGGCGCAATCCAAATCCACCAAGAAGTTCGAGAAGAACCACCTGAAGGACACGCTCAAGCGCCGGAAGGAAGGAAAGAAAATCAAGCAGCGCGTCCAGCTCAAGGAAAAGCGCAAGGCGCGACGTGCCGCCGACAATGAGGTCGCCAGCGATGTCGAGGAGGAGAACCAGGCCAAGCGCGCAAAGAAGGCGGAGGAGGCCAATCCTTTTGGCGACATGAGTGTCGACGACTTTTTCCAGGGTGGCTTCGAGGTTCCCGAGCATCCCAAGCCGAAGAAGCAGAAGACCAAGGACGTGCCCTCGAAAACCGGCAAGCGCAAGCGCACCGAGCCCGCCGGCAAAGCTGACGATGATGAAGCGGCCTCTTCTTCAGACGAGTCCGTGGATGCGAACCCTGTTGCAGACGACAGTGGTTCCGAGGCTGAGTCGGACGACGACGTCGACGCACACAAGAAGCAGCTGGAAGAGCTCAAGAAGAAGGACCCGGAATTCTACAAGTACATGCAGGAGAACGATCCTGAGTTGCTGGGCTTTGCTGAGGATGCGGATCTGGCCGAGATTGACGAGCTCAGTGGTAGTGAAGCAGAGGAGACGCCGAAGAAGAAAAAGCAGAAGAAGGGCAAGAAGCAGGAAGATTCTGATGACGAGGAAGCCGTCGCGAGCAACGAGGTCACAACGGCATTGGTCAAGAAATGGAGTACGGCCATGATTGAGAAGCATTCCCTGCGCGCTACCAAGGAAGTTGTTTTGGCCTTCCGCGCTGCAGCGCACTTGAACGAGGAGGATAGCAAGGAATACAAATACTCAATCTCGAATCCCGACGGTACGTTTCTTCTCAATATTTCTCAAGTCTCCCTACTGACGGGCTACAGTCTATCATGAGCTTCTCGTACTCGCTCTGAATCGCGTCCCCGAGGTCCTTCAACATCACCTTCCCATCAAGGAGTCGACCACCGGCAAGGTTCGCGTTCCCACCGAGGGCAAGAAGTTTAGCAACATGACCCCTATGCTCAAGTCGCATGCGACGTCCGTCATGCATCTCCTTGGCAACCTCTCCGACGCCGCTACCCTCCGAACGACCGTTACCTCCCTCCTCCCTCTTCTGCCGTACATTTTGTCGTTCAAGAAGCTCCTTCGCGAGTTGGCCAAGACCGTCGTTTCGATATGGGCCGACTCGTCCAATGCCGAGGCCACCAGAATTGCCGCTTTCCTTGTTCTGCGTAGACTGATTGTGATTGGAGATGCTGGTATTAAGGAAGCAACCCTCAAGGCCGTGTACCAGGGCTTCGTTCAGGGCAGCCGCAACACGAGTGTCCACACGATCGCAGGCGTGAACTTGATGAAGAACTCTGCAGCGGAGCTCTGGGGCCTGGATCCCAACATTGGCTACACTACCGGGTTTACCTTCATTCGCCAGCTCGCCATCCACCTCCGGTCCAGTATCACGAACAAGTCCAAGGAGTCGTACAAGACTGTATACAACTGGCAGTATGTGCACTCGCTGGATTTCTGGTCCCGTGTCGTATCAAGCCACTGCGATACCATGCGCGAGGCCGAATCTGGCAAGGAGTCGCCTCTCCGCCCTCTCATTTACCCTATTGTACAAGTCACCCTTGGCGCTATGCGCCTGATCCCGACCGCACAATACTTCCCGCTGCGATTCCAGATGATCCGCTCGCTCCTCCGCATCACTCTTTCCACGTCTACATACATCCCGATTGCGCCTGCGCTGTACGAGGTGCTCAACTCGGCCGAGATGCGCAAGCCGCCGAAGCCCGCCACCCTGAAGCCCCTCGACTTCAACACCAGCATCCGTGCTGCGAAGTCGTACTTGCGCACGCGTGTCTACCAGGATGGCGTGGGCGAGCAGGTGGCCGAGCTGCTCGCTGAGTTCTTTGTGCTGTGGTCAAAGAATATCGCTTTCCCCGAGCTTGCTCTGCCGGTCCTCGTCATGCTCAAGCGCTGGCTGAAGGATGCTAGCAACAAGGCTAAGGGCAACAAGAACAGCAAGGTCAACTCTGCCATTGGCATCGTCATCCAAAAGCTCGAGGCCAACTCGCGCTGGATTGAGGAGCGCCGGACCAAGGTCGACTTTGCGCCGAACGACCGTACAGGCGTGGAAGGCTTCCTGAAGGAAACCGAATGGGAGAAGACGCCTCTCGGTGCATATGTCGTTGGCCAGCGTAAGATGCGTGATGAGAAGGCAAAGTTAATAGAAGAAGGTCGTAAGGAGGAGGAGAAGAAGAAGCAGGAGGAGAGGGAGGAGAAGGAGAGGGAGAGGAAGGGTGAGTTTGAAGGTTTTGAGGAGGAGGAGAGCGGAAGCGATGAGGAAGAAGTTGATGAGATGGAAGTCGACGGCGAAGAGGACGACAGCGACGACGAATAGATTGATTCTCGGGAGCTATTACTTAGAAGCATGGATCAGGGAGTTTAGGGATAATTGGGGCACGCGCACAATGGATATCCCGCGCGCGAATAAAAAGCTAGTTGTTTTAGAACAGACTGTTGTGGTTGAATGCTCTGGTTTCTTGTCACGTGCAGATAAGTGCTGAAAATCCGGGGTTGGCCGGGGGGTTGTGGAGTGGGACCGAGCTTGCCGTCATCGCCATTCACATGCTGGCCAAGGCCGAGGCTTTCCACGACAGTCGTCCCGAGTCGTCGCACCCGTGGGCACCACCATGTTCACCGTGGCTCTCACACCTCCCTAGATTCCCCCCGGTCGATCGTCGAACGATGCGGCAGCATGGCCGCCCAGTCCACTCTTCGCCATAGCGAAGACCCCCTCTCCGCCCTCTGGCATCGCTACACGAACCTCTTCCGCACCCGTACGAAGTCTCTGTCCAAGACAGCCAAGCTCCTCTCGACGCTCGCGCTCCTGCTCTCGATAATCAGCGCCGGTTATGGCGGCAACAGGTGGTGGCGGCGACGCAAGGCGGAGAAAGAGCGCGGCCGACGGCTGCTGCGACGCAACTCTGGCATTCGCGGCAAGGACGGCTCACGCACCATCTTCGTGCCCACCAAGGGCAACTCAACCAGCAAGGTGACCATCTATCCGACGAAGCCGACGACATTCGATGCGCACAGGCGGTTGTTCCTGCAGCCGCCCCGCGCCGCCGGCCTGAGCGATGGCCACACGCCTCAGGTCCCACCGCCACAGACGAAGCCCGGCTTGAACCTTGCCTTCCTGCACCAGTTCTTGAGCCTGCTCAATATTATGATACCGAGATGGAATAGCAAGGAAACGGGTCTGTTGCTTAGCCACAGCGTCTTCTTGATGCTGCGGACATATCTTTCGCTGGTCGTCGCCCGGTTGGACGGAGAGATTGTGCGCGACCTTGTGGCCGGGAACGGGAAAGCCTTCCTGTGGGGCATTGTCAAGTGGTGTGGAATTGGTAGCTTTGCGTCGTACACCAACTCCATGATCAAATTCCTGCAATCCAAGGTCTCCATCGCCTTCCGCACAAGGCTAACAAGGTACATCCACGACTTATACCTGAACGACCATCTAAACTACTACAAACTCACCAACCTCGATGGCGGCATCGGCCAAGGTGCCGATCAGTTCATCACCCAAGATCTCACGCAATTCTGCGCCGAGGCCGCGGCGCTCTATTCTTCTCTGGGGAAACCATTTGTCGATATTTGTGTTTTCAATTACCAGCTTTTCCGTTCTCTTGGCCCTCTGGCATTAAGCGGTCTTCTTGCAAATTACTTCCTTACTGCTACTGTTCTCCGCAAGCTCTCGCCGCCGTTTGGTAAGCTTAAAGCTGTTGAAGCGCGCCGCGAAGGAGACTTCCGTGCCCTGCACTCCCGCCTCATCGCCAACGCTGAAGAAGTCGCTTTCTATGGCGGCGACCAGATGGAGAGGACCTTCCTCGACAGAGGCTTCAAGGAGCTCAAGCATTGGATGGAGGGCATTTACAGTTTGAAGATCCGGTATAACATGCTCGAGGACTTCGTCTTGAAGTACTCGTGGTCTGCGTTCGGCTACCTCATCACTTCCCTTCCCGTATTCCTTCCCGCTTGGGGTGGCCTGGGAGCTGCCGCTGAGCGCGCAGATACCTCCGAGCGCAGCAGCCGGGAGCGCAGCCGTATGAAGGATTTCATCACCAACAAGCGTCTCATGCTCTCGTTGGCCGACGCCGGCGGTCGCATGATGTACAGCATCAAGGATCTCCAAGAGCTTGCGGGCTACACTTCTCGTGTCTACACCCTCATCAGTACCCTCCACCGCACTCACGCCGATGCGTACTATCTCCCGCCTGGCCAGCGGCCTGAGCTGTTCTCCCTCGCCGACGCCCAGGGTACAGTGCACAAGGGCTTCGATGGCGTGCGCCTTGAGCATGTACCTGTCGTCGCGCCAGCGCTATACCCGATGGGTGGTGACGAGTTGATCGACTCGCTTTCGTTCATCGTGCACTCGGGCGAGCACCTGCTCATCACAGGGCCTAACGGCGTCGGCAAGAGCGCTGTCTCGCGCATCGTGGCAGGGCTGTGGCCTGCGTACCGCGGACTGGTGTCGCGACCGCGCTCGGCGGGCACCGACGGCATCATGTTCCTGCCGCAGCGCCCGTACCTCAGCACGGGAACGCTGCGCGACCAGGTCATCTACCCTCATACAGCCGTCGATATGAACCAGGCCGGCCGCCGCGACTTCGAGCTGTCCAAGGTGCTGGAGGAGGCAAGGCTAGGGTACTTACCGGACCGCGAGGGCGGATGGGACACCCGCAAGGTGTGGCAGGATGTACTTAGCGGTGGCGAGAAGCAGCGGATGGGCATTGCAAGACTGTTGTATCATGAGCCGAGGTATGCTTTTGTCGACGAGGGCACAAGCGCCGTGAGCAGCGATGTGGAGGGCTTGCTGTACGAGAATGCGAAGGCAAGAGGGATCAGTAAGCTTACCCTACATGTTTTCCACGTAAAGTAACTAACACAACGACTACCCAGCACTTATCACCATCTCCACCCGCGCCTCCCTCAAGCGCTACCATACCTACACGCTCACGCTCGGCCTTGGCGAGCATGGCGATGAGTGGGACTTCCAGCGCATTGGTACCGCGTCGGAGAAGTCTTCGGTTGAGAAGGAGTTGGCGGAACTGCGCGAGCGGTTGGAGAAGGTTGAGGAGTGGAAGCAGCGCAGGAGTGAGATCGAGAAGGAATTGGGACAGGTTTGGGTCGAGGGCGGAGAGGAACCGTTAGCGCCCCCGCCGTATTCGAAAGATTTTGAGGGAAGTGGGATTGTCGTTGAAGGCGGCGAAGAGAGGGTGGATGATAATGAGGTTGCGGTGGAGGATGATTAGAGTGAATGATGTACTGAGTTGGTGCTGTAGAGAGAATATATACTATGAATGTGTTTTCGACGCTCAGTGGGCGATGGCAGTAAGCATTCACGTTGCACGGCGCAGGCTGGTGCTAGTGGGTTGCTCCTGCCTTTTCCTTCGTACGCACGTAACCGAAACAATATCTTGCTCTTTCTCCGAAACATCCTTCTAAGACACCGCGCCATGATGTCAACCAACCACTCCTTAATGATGCCGCCCTGCCTGAGCATCTGTCCGGTGCTCGCGAAGCTCAACGATGCCGTTCCAAAATGGTCAGTATCCCACCTCACGATATTCAGTAGTTGCACTTACTATCCACCTCTTAGTGATACTTGGGGCGAAATTCTGCGCGTCATAGTTGGACAAGGCGAGCAACAGAGCCACTTCTACGTCCACCGCGGCGTCATCTGCGCAGTTTCGCCTTGCTTCGACGCCGCCTTCAACGGATACTTCAAGGAAGCCAAGGACAACGTTATCTATCTAGACGAGGACGACTCCAGCGTGTTCCGGGACTTCTACAAATGGCTCTACACCCGCTGCCTGCCCGACTTGACCGACCCCATCCGTCTCATCAAGCTCGCCATCTTCGCCGACGCTCGCATCGTCGACGCCTTGCGCATCGCGGCGATCGACGCGCTGGTCGAAAATATAAACCAGTACTGGCGCATTCCCGTGTGGACGATCCCCTACGTCTACGAGCACACGCGTCCGAACTCTGGTCTTCGGAAGCTGGTAGTAGACATGGTGCTTCGGACCCAGGTCTCTATCGCGGACGCGGGCCCGGGGGTCAACGTGCCAGAGTTTGTTGCAGATTACAATGCTGCTCTTCATGGCTTTTCGAGCGGTGAAAGGATCGTCTCGCAGGCTATTTGGCGCAATACCAACCGCTGCAAGTACCATGAGCATGTGCACGACCCGATCGGATGGGCGCCGCCGACCAGGAGAGTTGGTTTGTAGGAGGCGAAGGAGACGTCTACCTGAGTGTTACTTGGCCACATTCTTCCTTGCTTCTGCTCAACTATAATACGGCTACGGGTGCACGGATACTATACCGGATGTTAGCACAGTGCCTTTCTTTACTCAGTAGTGTACATTCATAGGGGCAATACTCAACTTCGTTTGCACACTTTTTATATATTTGGTGGACATCAAGTAGCTGACGAGCACAGGTATTAAAGCCGTCATCGCCATTATCGCAAGCACATGGTTTTACCTCGAAGGCTGGCCGATTTGTGCCAGTAGTATCCCCGTGTACCAACCCAGACGGAATTTTCATATATCACTAAACTTTAACTCATAACCATAACCCCAGTGGTATCTTCAACAAACAGAAAAACAGTAAGCCTCCTTCCCTTTAGCTTTCACGGCTCTGCAAGTCGTGAAGTCCCAAGCACTTTATAAATACCTCCCTCCAAATACCCTGCCTCCCTTCCGCCCCCCTTACCATTCTCTTCGCAGCCCTCCCCTCACTGCTTCTCCCCCTTCTCCCCACTCGTTGGCGTAACATCGCCACTACCACTCTCCTTGGCCGTCTCCCCCTCCACGACCGCCGGCTCCCCATGCGCAGCCTTGAGCGCAGCACTCTTGTTCCCCGTGAGATCCTTCCAGACCGCCACGGCGGTGCGCTTCATGGTGGTGCGACCCTCCCACAGCGGGTAGACGCCGACGCAGAAGGTGCTGCAGAACAGCCACAGGATGCCGACGACGACCCAGCCGGTGAAGAACTTCTTGCTGAAGACGTAGCCGCTGCCGTACATGGGCATGGGCCAGAGGACGAGGAACGAGACGGCGAGGAAGGCGCACAGGGCGCGGGCGATGCGCGAGGCGCGCTGCAGCTTGGCCTGCTCGGCGGCCTCGTCGTCCTGGGCAGCGGTGGCGCCGCCGGGGACGAGCTCGAGGTCGATGTGCGCGTTGGCGGCCAGCTCGTGGTCGTCGGCTTTGCGGATGGCTTTCATGGAGAGCCAGTCGTAGTTTTGCGGCTTGAAGACGAGCGTGAGGACGGGGATGAAGATGAGGGGAGAGAGGAGGGCGACGACGTTGCCGGCGAGCATGGGGTTGCTGGGAGAAAGAACGGTTTTTGTCAGTAAAGGGTTGTGGAGGGAGGTTGGACTGTGGTGGCTTACTTCGCGCCGGTGGTTTCTACGGTGAGGACTCCGGACTCTTTCTTCGCAGTCACGAGCCAGGCGATGAGAGAGCACGCCAGGCCCAGAGGCGGGGAAAAGGTTGCGGCTGCCCAGTTCTGCTTGCTCCACATGAGAGTGAGGGTGGCGGGGAGGACGGCGGCAGAAATTATGACGCCCATCAGGAGGTATAGGTAACCCATGGAAATGCTATTTCCAAAAAGTTAGCAACATGGCCTGCAAAGGAGACGGTGATGCCTACCCTGCGTAGTATAAGCCGGTACTGAATGAAGCCATGACAACGGCAAAACCCACAACCATGCAGTGAGACATGTTGATGAGTTGCTTGCCAGTCGCCTTCGGGTTGATGTACGTCTGATAGACATCGTACGTGAAGATAGATGACACGGCGATGAGTTCCGCAGACATAGCAGACGTCACCGCCATGAAAATTAGCAGAAGAGTCGCCGCTGCACCACCACTTCCAAGCAATGCAACAGAAGCCTCCGGGAGCACGAGCCCAGCGGATACGTCAGCCGGGTTCATCCGGTTCGGGTAGGTCGGGAAGACAGGATTGCTCTCCAGCGCGAGAGCCGCCATGCCCATGGTGGTTGCGGCGAGCCAGGGGATTGCGAACCAGCTGAGACCACCCATGATATATCCAGGCAAGGCATGGACGGGAGAAGCAGAAATTGCCTTGTTCCTTCACCCGCAGTTAGTAAGACAGTTCCTGCTGATTTCTTGTCCAGTTGTCGATAAACTTACCAATACCCATTGTCCAAGTACACCGTGCCAAAATTGCCCACAATATTGATGACAAAGAAGATGGCGCCTTCCTTGGAGCGCATCGTCAAGTAGCTGCCTTCAGCGTTTCCATCAACAGGGTGGCGGGCAGAAGCCTCGACAAGAAGGTCATATACGCGGCCAGGGCTGCCAGCAATATCATGAGTGGCATAAGTGGTGAAAGCGAAGACGAAAATGATGATGAGGATGACCACTGTGTGGGCGTAATCGGTCAAAAATGTGGCCTTGATGCCTCCAAACATGGTGTACAACACGACACCGATTGGGAGCAGGTAGCAAGCGGCCACGGTGTGGACACCAGTGAGAGAGGTGACTACTGCGGAGCCGCCGGTGAGAAGCATTGCGGTAACGAGGATGTTCGTCATCAGGGCGAAAACCATGAAGACGATGTGCGTGACTGCGCCGTAGCGGGCGCGAATAACCTCGAGGAAGGTATGGGCATTTGGTGCCCTTCGCTTCAGCTCAATGGCGAGAGTGGCGAAGAGGATAATCTGCACAGTTGCCCCAGACGCATACCAAAAGGGCCCAGAAATACCACTGAGAGAGTGTTAAGAGTTGGAAAACTGAGGACTGAACGAGCTCAGCTTACTAGTTGTAGGCCACACCAGACGATTGCAGCAAAGTTGCAGCCCAAGTCCAGGAAGAGACGACTGCGGAGGCAACAAGACCAGATTTCACCGTTCTTCCGGCAGTGCTGAACATTTCACTAGTCTGCAGCTCATAGTTGTATCTGTCGATATATAGTTAGAGTTTTTGTCCGTCCGAACGTAGTCTGGGGAAACAATGAATCGGAAAAAAGTTGAAGTTACCTTTTGAGGATGAAAGTGGTCAAAATCATGCCGAAACTGGCAGCTGGGTCAGCACAATCTAATCGACGAGAGGGAATACTCTCGTGCTTACGCGAAAGCGAAGCCCAAGCCAATGACAACGCCATAGCCGACAGCCTGGCTGAGCGGCGGTTCACCAGAGGTCATGGCCATGGTGATGGATTCTCAGGTGTCAAATTGCTGGAACCCAAGCAAAGCTGACCAGAGCCGGGAGGAGGGCGGGGTATAAATGGCATTTTGGGTTTGAGTTCTCCGCTGATATGAATCGAGCGCAATAAAAAAAAAAGGCCGTGGTACAATGTCAGCTCTGGGCCGGCCCCCGATGATCGCCGGCGGCGGGCGAGCGGTGGGACAAGATGCAGCGAAGACGGGTGAGCGGACATGGGTGGTTTACTGTGAGAAGCGACGCCTCGAGCAGGGATGATGGAGGCCGCCATGCGATTCTGGTGACTGGATCTCCTCGGGGACGGACACTGATTCGGTGTGCCGAAGGAAATCATGGTGCGGAGGGATGAAAGTGGAAGAGATAAGGAAGCTTGGCCGAGTCGCTGTGTGCAGCACAACGCGATAAGACCCGCCCTTAGTCAACGGTTGCCTGTGCCCCCGGTTATTTCACGTGGGAAGGCACTCGTTCCTCGTGGGGAGCCTTCTTTGCGGAGGCAAAAAGCTTAAAGCGAATTCGTCGACATGTTTCACGGGCATTGGGTGAGATAAGGCGCTGATAAGCCCACCAGAGGACGGCATGCTTCAATTGCTGGCTCAATTGCTAGACCGGCCAAGCAGACACAAGCCGGAGCCAGCTACATTGGCAAAAATCCATTGTCACAGGCAAAATTATTATGAGAAGACGAAGATACGCGCACCCGTTAGTGGCCGATGACGGCTGGGTGATTCGCACCGCGCCCTGTGATTGGCCAGCCGTTCCTTCCTTATCGCGACCTATCGTGGGCAACCATTTTCCCTCTCACAACGCCATCGAGTCATCGTCCAAGCCCCCTCGATATCTGCTCAACTGGAAGGCCATTTATCCGCAGCACTAAACCCTCGCTTGTCTGCAGGGGCATGGGGGAAATTCATCCTCCAGCTTGAGGTGGGCGATTACTAAGACCCCGCCGAGCATATACAAGCCCCGCCAATCCATTGCCTCCTTCGTCCAACGGGCTAAAAACTCTTGAGCTTGTACTTCGTACAGGGCCGGAGGACCGTGTCAGGCAAGCCACTGGGCGTTCCGTCCGCCTTCCGCTTCCCGTCCCGGAGTACCCGAGATCTTTTGTGGGGTAAAACGAGGCGTTCAGCCCGAGAAGCTTGAATCAACCTGCCTTGTTCCCTATGACGTAGCACAGTCCACCTCTAATCTCAGCCTCTGGATACAATGACCAGAGAAGACACTCTAAGAACTGTTTCCCGCGCGATTCATTGAGGAACATGTTCTGTCTGACCAACTACAAACAAGCAACAACCTCGTATAAAAGCTTTCGGTTTTAGCTTATGCTGTCTCTTCACCAACAATCTGACATAGTTGACCCCTCTCAAGGGTGAATTGCACCAATCAACTCACCGTGCAACACAGCTTCAAACTCTCAACAGTTTCACGAACACATGAAGATAGTCGATGGACGAGGAAAAAAAATTTCGAATTTTTTTCCTTGTTTGAAAAGGATGAGAACTAAACTCCTGAGTGACATCTCACATCAGGTGAATTTTTGTAGTCTTTTTCTTCCCCTCCCCTCCCGAAATTCTCGAACCACCTCTCTTTTCTTGTGTGGGTATCAAATGCACTGTTTTGTTTCTTTTAGTGTTTTTTCAGCCACTTATTCTCCCCCGAAAAAAATATATATATATAAACGAGCAAAGCTTGTAATACGCTCATTATCAGTCTTTTACAGAGACTGCTTCCCCCTGGTCTCGATTGGCAGCAAGCACATCGCCACGAAGGCTGCCAGGAACAGAGCTCCGGATGCGTACACCGGGCCGGATGGGTCGGCCTGGCCAGCGTTAATGGCAACCAGGGGCGCGCACAGACCCAGCAAACGGTTGAGGAAGGAACTGATGCCGGTGCCAGTGCCGCGGTTAGGCGCCGGGAACACCTCGGGTGTGTAGGCGTAGAGGACGCCGTACCTGCAGTAGCGTACCGTGTTAGCGAAGCCCGTTGAAGAATGAGGAACAAGAGCCTTACATGATGTTCTGGAAAAAGGCCTCGAGCGAAGAGAAGGTGAGCTGGTAGTTGGAGTCGCTGCTGATGGTGAAGAGATAGAGGAAGATGCCGCTGAGCATGGTGCTGATGGCCATGGTGCCCTTGCGTCCAATGTACTTGATGTCGACCGTGTAGCACGCGAAAAAGCTGCCGGGAACGCCGACCACCGACGTGATGGCATAGTTGCGGTACACCAAGTACGTCGACGACTCGCCACTGTTACCCAAGTACTGGGGCAGGAAAGCGTTGAACAGGGGGTAACCCATGCCAATGGCAGCCCAGATGAACCAGAGGAGCACCGTCGTGACCCCCAGCTTCTTGCCGTTGAAGAGTGGCCGGATGCGTGCCGCGCTGAACTTGCCCAGGTTGCGCTTGATGATCTCAACGGTGCTGAGCTTCTGGCCCTCTGTCAAGGCATCGGGGTCGCCGCCGATCTCGTTGAGAATCTCCTCAGTCAACCACGTCTTGGCCTTGTTGTGGTACGCGATGCCATGCACAACGGCAACAGCCTCGGCCTGTCTGCCGCGCGAGAGCAGGAATTTGGGCGACTCAAAGAGATGGAAGAGGAAGAAGCGCGCAACAAACATGGAGAAGGTGAGGGCGCCCAGCGTGAGGACAAGGTAGCGCCAGCCCCAGTTGTCCTCCTTTGCGCAGGGGCCCTCTGAAGCGCACGAGTAGTTGGAAATAAATCCCCATGCAACTGCTGATTGTCAGCGCGTCCATCCTTCAAGCGTGAGATACGCGGGGCTTACTCAGAGACGAGATCAATTGTCCGACAGGCCACCACACGCTCAGCAGAGTCAGCAGGTTCCCGCTAGCGAACGGCAGAAACTCAAGGAAGAGAGCTCCGTCGACGGGCAAGTTGCCGCCAACGCCCAAGCCGACACAGGAAAAGAGGGCGCAAGTGGAGACCCAGTCGTGGCCACCGCCAGCAGCCAGGCCAAAGGCGCCAGCAAGGAACAGCGTGCAGTTGAAAGCAAGACGGCGACCGATGACATCGGAGAGGATTCCCCAGAAGCTCGCACCAATGCACAAGCCAGTGAAGAGCGCTAGCGTGGTGTAGCGTACCGTGTTTTCGTCAATGTCGAACTCACGACTGAGTTGCGGGAGGGTGAGAGCGACGCCCTGTCGTCCGTCAGCATACGAGGGAGTGCGCGTCAGCAGGCGCCACGAACCTGGAGCCAGAGGTTATCAGCAGTCCAGCCAAAACCGCAGAGAGCGAAGAGCTCCCATTGGTAGCGGCCCATGCCAATGTCCTGGATGGCCTTGTTGATGACCTTAGACTTGCCTACAGCGGGTACGGTCAGATCTGCAATTCTCGTGTGGGGGCGAAGGAGCAAAGGGAAACGGCATCAAACCGACGACCCGCCGATGGCAGGGCGTTCAGAACGTACGGTCATATGCGGTGTTGACACCGCCAGCTGCCAGATCATTGTCAATCTCAGAACGGAGGGCGTCGATAGTCAAGCCACCGGACCACTCGCTGCTGCCGGTCGACTCTTTCTCTCTGTTGGCCTCATCGTGCGGCTTGGAGCTGACCGAGTTGCCACGATGCGGCGCTCCGGCGAGCGGTATCAGGACTCCCGGGAACTCGGAGACGTCGTGTTTGTGGAACGGGTTAATGAAGTACGGCATGTTGGTGCGTAGGATTCTCGTGAAGTGCTGCTTTGGGAGGTCGCGCGGGCGTAGTGGTCGCTGTGGGCAAGAGTCACAGTCGCTTCGGGCAGTCTTGTCGCGTGCGGAGTTCGAGCGGCTTGTTCACACGCAGCTGTCGAAGGGGCGGTAGGTACAGACTTGAGAGATGCGGCCGGTCGCGATGGTCGAGAGCATCACAGCTTCACCTTCACTCACTCGGGGCACGCTTTGGAGGCGCTGGAGAAGGATGATTTGGTTGGCGGTAGCTGAATGCCGGGGGTTGGGCGGAAGACAAGGTGTTGTAGAAGGCTGGGGAGAGCTGAATTTAAATGATGACTGTAGCTAGCTGGGATTATTTCTTGCGTGCCGTGGACCCGGCGGCGGGGTGGGCCTAACTTTGCTGCGTGACTTTGGACAGGTGCGACGTGGAATAAGATACCTAGCGCGGTCGAAAGTCGCGGCGCAGGGTGCGGTGCAGAGTGAGAGTGGAGCTGGGGCCGCCGCTGGGGTGCGGCAGGGCTGGTCTTGGCAATGACATCGGCGGCCACAGCCTCCCGCCGCCCAGGTACAAAACAACGGTACGCCCTCTCGCGCTGGGCAGGCGATGTTGGTGTTGACTGAGAGCCCTTTCGCCCACCGTCCAGCGTGCCACCGACATGTGACGCGGGGGCGAGCGCGCGCGAGGTTGCGGCTGATATCGTTCTCGCTCGCTCGATGCGGTGCCTGCAGTCCCTGGAACCCACTCCGGACAGGGTTCGTCATCCTCAAACATCCCCGGTTCGTCGTCGGTTGCAGAGCGCACGTGATGGTCACGTGGGATCGCTGCGCCATGGATCGAATCGAAGTCTTTGCCTGCTGCATCAACGCGATGCGTGCTGCCTGCTTATCTTGCATCCGCCGCCGCCGCTGCTGCACCCCGCCTGCTGCCTGGCGGCCTTGTCCGCCGCTGCACCATTCGTGGTCGACTCTTCACCACGACTACGACGCCTGACGCTGAGACCAATTATGCACTGCATCGCAGGCGGCGGCAAGTTTCCCGATCATCGCGGCGGGTCTCTCCACAGTCGCCAAGCGTGGCTGACGGTCGCCGGAAGCCGCCTTTGGGGCAGCTCCGCCGCCCTCGAAAATTAAACCTATCCCACTCTGTGCCAATCCCTTTACCTAATTTGCGCGGTCGAGTCGTGAGCATGTGCTCACCGCCCGCTTCTGGTCGCCCAATCGCATCTCATCAGCTGGCCTTCACATCGGCGAGAGTTTTGGTTTCGCGTTCTTCTCCGGCAGTAACCTTTTGCCAAATTGCGGCAAAACCAAGGCTCGCCGTACGTCATCCCAGCACGCTACTCCACACGCTCACCGAGAACGCCCACTCAGCTGATGCTCGCCATACCGGCGGTGGCGCCCGGCGAGCTGAACATCCTGTGCGCTGTGCGTCGGTCCGGTCGCGACCCGGTTTCCTGCAAGGGCAACGATGAGCAAGGTTGCTCTCCGGGACCTGTTCGTTCCCGTCTCACCTCCAGCCAATTGTCCTGGTCGTCGGGCTCAAGCGTCAGAGTTTTCAACACGTGCTGGCATGCCTGAAGCGGGATTGTGCGCCACGCCGGCGGTGAATGCCGAGTTCTTGGGTTCCATCAACACTCTCAGCGTTGCAATACCCTCGCTCCTCGGCCAAGCCCGCCTCGGCATAATGGCTTCGTTCTCAGCCCATCCTCTTTGCCGATTGTCTGAGAAAAACGAATAATGAAAAATTTCTTTCAATATCATCTTACGATGACCCTCGTACGCGCGTCAATGGCTGACGGAACCTCCGACCCATCACTTCGATAATCTTTCATAACTTCATCCTTACTTGACCCCCCTACACTTGCTCCCTCAGCCGGCAGCTCGCGTGGATTTCTCCTCCAAAGCAGGAGGGTCAAGACCTTGACAATTACCGAAGACAGCAAAAACCCATGCACTCTACCTACCGCATATGGCAACGTGTCTGACGAAGCTATGCATTTGACTGGGTCCTGCGCCAACCAACAGGCAAGACAACCCTGCTTGACAACCGAGGTATACCTATGATCGCCATTACAGGACATCGCCGGTTGACGCAAAACCAACTGAAAAAAGCATCGGTATCCCGTCTTCCTTCAGTGTTCCTTTCCGAAGAAAGCAGTGGTTGTACACCCCGGTTCAACAGTCGGTGGCAAGCACGAATCTGCTCTTCGTTACATCAGAGCCTAGTCAACTGCCGAACTCAAAGCAATGTCCTTCTGTTTAGCCTATTAGAGGAGGCGAGCAGGATGATCACATCCTTCGCGCCAGCTACCCACTGTTGGACGGTTTTTTTTGCCAATGAACAACGATCATGAAGTGATTCGTCTCTCGTTCGCAGTACAGAGCCTTGGTGTCTCCCCGCTATGAACAATCTCGATTAATCTGTCCACCTCTGTGCTACATACGTAACGTTGATGCTCACGCTGGACACCGAGGAGAATGCGCGAGCCATTCGTCCGGCGCCGCCTATCGATCTCCGAAAAGCCCCTGGAGCCGCCACAGTGGTTCTGCTTGATCTTGCAGACCGAAGATGGACCCGCCATAGTCGGTCAAGCAGCGATTGTCGGCGTTTCCGATCGACCTCGGCCTCGTGGTTTTCTGAACGAAAAACTCGCTCGCCGATGGCCAGGACTAGTTCATGCAGCTGTTCGAACCGGCAGCTAGCTCGAGGAATAGTAGGGCCCTAGAAAATAAGGTAACTATGCCCCCGCAATTTTCCTTACGAGGAACGCCATTCGACTCATGTAGGCAATGCAAGTTATCGTCTACATTTGTGTCCGGGCAGTTGCTTTAATCACTCAGGACACGGGCGTGAACAACCGTCTAATCACAAAAAAATAAGTAAATAAATTTACGCCAGTCTTCAGCTGCAACATCCCTCTGTACCACTGCGCGGCGAAGCCAAAGTGCTCCGAACACAATCGTTGCGATCACAGACTGCGGTGGCGATCGGCAGCAGCGCGCGCTCACTGCCGCTCATCAACGTCTTAATGAAAAGAATTTTAGCACGCCTAACCGGTGGGCATATAACGGCCAGTGTGTTGCTACGTTTCACCCGTAAAGATGATGGTGGAGTGGGGCGGAGTGTGTGATAGCAGTTGCCTTGCCTGGCCTGCGCATGCTGCGATCCATGCTTCACGAGTCAACGTTCGCTCCTGAGGCTCGGTTGGGGGTGAGGCTCGTGTTGATGGACGGGAGGAACGAGAACATGCGCCATTCAAAACTCCAGAATGTGGAGTGCTTATATCGCCTTTTATGCTTGTTGTCCGAAGGTTCGGATTAAAAGGGCAGACGCAACCTTGTCTTAGCAGTGATGGCCTCTATGGTGGCGATAGGCAAGTGATAACCAAGACTGTTGAGATTCAGGGTGCTCTGTATTCTAGACTGGCACGCCGAACAGTCAACATTACGGCATGGTAATTCTCGCTCAGTCATACCGTCATAGCAAGTGAGAGGCACTAATGTAAGTAAAGTAATGTGGGAGTGGCTGCGATGGTGCGAGAACGGAGAAATACTCGGTCCCCGATGAGTGAGTGCTATGCTGTCTGGATTCTATTGACTGTCGCCATGAAAGCCGCTTTTATATCGAGATATAGTATGGCAGGCGAGACCTTTCCGCCAAAAGGAAAGGTTCAGAGCAGTATGTGTGTAGAGAAATTAGCGCCCCAGTCTCTGTATGAACCAGTGGTAAGTAAGCTCAGATGGCAACAAACACATGCAGATGAAAAGAATAGGATGAATGGATGCTAGTAGTGTACAGGGGTATGTCTCCAGAGGACCATCGAATCGTCAAACACAACGCCATATAACCAAGCACAATGCATGCCAATCCGCGCCAACAGTACCAAGACCAAAACCCAAACCAGGACGTGTCTAGCCAAAGTGATGTTAAAAGTACCCTTAGCGCATCTTAGTCAATCATGCGGCTTTCAGGGACACCAGCGCCTGAGTTAGCGTCGCTGGCTTCTGCAGCGTCCAGGATTCTTCGATGCCTTTCATCCACGGATCTTTGGTGTTCCAGACGCTGGGCCTCTAGTCTGTCGAGACCCCGCTGAATGTTCTCGATGTGAAGGACGATTGGCACCTCGCCATCGACACCCACGACGTCAGGGGTAGCGGCGCGCTCTCGCATATCCTCCAGACTGACGGCGATGGCGCGGAGCTTGACCATAGTCGAGCTGACGTGACTAACCGCGGTGCGGCGGTACATGTTGACATTCTTGAGTAGCTGGATCTGTTGGTCCAGCTTCTTGACATTGGACCGGTTGCCACCCAGCTTCGTCCAGAGGTCGAGGAACAACTCCTCGCGCTTGCCCTGCAGGCTCACATCGTCGCGAACGGAGATCTCGTGTATAGCGCCGAGATGACTTTCGAGGCTGTCCAGGATCCCGAGCAAAGCATCCGCTTGGTCAATGAGGGTTGTGATCTCGTCCTCGACCTTTTGGGTGTGCGTTAAATATTGAGAAACGAGCCGTTCGCGCGGGTTTCGATGCGGCGAGATGACCCATAGTAACTGGTCCCAGATGAAGCGGTCAACGGAACCCCGCCCGTCCTCGGCATCTTTGATGTCGTCAATGACTCGCAAAGTCCACTTGTTCGTACTGAGCATCTTATCCACTGCCGAGCCGATCCGAGAGTTAAAGCGTGTAAGGTCCCAGGAAGCTTTACCCGCCTTCTCGATAAAGTTGTGGAATTCCATGTCCAGCTCACTTTTTGAGGGAAGCTTGGAATAGCGCACAACGGACCTCAAGTCCCGGATGGCGGTCTCGCCCCGCTTCATATCCGCCGGCAGCCCGTCATATCTAGACGCATCAGATATGATCTCTTCAAATGCTTGCTGAGCCTTGACAAGTTCATCGAATTCGACCGATCCGGCGGAGGTAGGACTAGCTCTCTGCGGGTAGTTGCAGAATGGAAGGTTAAGAAAAGACACGCCGGGGACGGTGCAGATCGGGGTTAGCGCAGTGGAAACGCTGGTAGTAATCCAATACCGGGCAAATGACAAGAATGCGGCGACGAAAGCGACAGCGAGGGCGATGGAGAATAGGGGTTTCAAGACGTTCAAGGTAAAACACAGGACGGATAGCAAATAGCTGCTTATGGGCCCCAGCACATTGGCCCAGAGCAACCCGAGAGGTGTAGAGGCATCAATTTTGTCCTCTGAAGACGACACCCGTTGCATCGTTCGAGACCTCCGCTTCCTCTGCCTCAGGTCCGCCGATTCGTCGTCCTCGGCAATAGACTGGGAGACGCGTCGCGGACGGCGCGAGCTGTGCATCGGAGAGCCCCCAAACGAGCCGTCGGGCGAAGAAGGCATGACGAACTCGAGTTCTGCAGAGGGCTGAGAGACACGGCGTTTCGGGGGGTTGCGGGGTACAGGTGTAGAGGGGGTGGCGGACCGTGCCTTTCCCGAGGACTGTGGCGGTGGACTGTTGCGCGCCGAGCTCTTCTTTGCACGCTGGACGTCTTTGTGGGAAGGGGCGTCGCTGTCCTGGCTTGAAGACTGTCCGAGATCTTGATCCTCAGCATACGACAAAGACGCCCATGACTCGCTGAGCTCCCTAGTTCGGGCGCGACCTTTCCCCCTGCTCATGACACGGCGGAATCTTGCTCAGTCTCGGGGCGGTGCGGGAGGCGGTGCTGGCGCGTGGGTGGCAAGCAGACAGTGTGTGACGCGGAGAACAACGCGAAACGGCGGGCAAAGTGGCAAAGCGCAGATGGAAGGCTGGCGGGCGGCGTAGAGTTGTCGATTAGGGCACGAGGATAAGTCGACGCGTGTGGCTAGATGCCAATAGCAAGATTAGCCTGTTGCGTACGGGAGATGTCATGGCGAGAGGGTCGAGGCGAGTTGGCAACACAACGTCTTGTCTACCTCGCGTCGTTGTCGTGGCAGGCCTCACGTCACGCGCCGAGCCGTCCGCGCGCTAAGCCCAAGCTCCCGTGCCGCGCGCCGCGTCCAACAGCAGCTTGTGCGCGCCCCAGAATTTCTCCAGCACCGCCGCCCCAATGCCCGCTCGCCGTCCGCCGCTCAACCTCTCGCACATTGCCCGCTACGCCAGGGCCCCGCGCCCTCAATCCGTCCTGCGCCCGCCAACATGGAGACGCCCGTGTTCTTCATGTTCCGCTTCCCAGCCTGCACAGAAACTAAACCCGACGACTGATGATCCGCCCAAACCACCAGCCGACCACCGCGAGCTGGGCGCCCAGCAGGACCTCTTCACCACTTCTCTCTACTCGCCCGGCTCGCCGCTATTCCTTCCCAATGGCGCTGATATGTTCAACAAGCTTGCCAATTTCCTGCGCACGCAGTATCCGCGATTCGGCTTCCGCGAGGTCATCACGCCTACTATATACAAGAAGTCGTTATGGCAGAAATCCGGCCATTGGGTGAACTACGCCGAGGACATGTTCTCCGTGCAGGGCCGCGGCGCAACCGGGAAGAAAGAAGCAGCCGAGGCGGGCGAGGACGAGGAATTTGGTCTGAAGCCCATGAACTGCCCCGGCCACTGTCTGCTGTTCGGCAGCGAGAAGCGCAGCTACCGCGACCTGCCCATCCGCTATGCAGACTTTAGCGCTTTGCACCGCAATGAGATTTCCGGCGCGTTGAGCGGGCTGACGCGAGTGCGTCGCTTCCACCAAGACGACGGACACATCTTCTGTCGCCCGTCTCAGATCCAAGAAGAGATCAAGCGCACCCTTGATTTCGTCCAGACAGTCTATTCGACCTTTAAGCTCGGCCCGTACAAGCTGGTGCTCTCGACGCGGCCGGAGGACCACTACATCGGCACGGTGGAGGAATGGGACCGTGCCGAGAGCCAACTGAAGGCGGCGCTCGACGACAGCGGGCGGGAGTGGGCGATTAACCCAGGTGATGGTGCCTTCTACGGGCCCAAGATCGACATCATCCTGCGCGACAGTGACGGCAAGGAGCACCAGACGGCCACTATCCAGCTGGATTTCCAGCTGGGCCAGCGCTTCAACCTGTCGTATAGTGCGCCCGCGCCGGAGCTCGAGCGAACGGGGTCGGTGAGGGAGGACACGGCGCCGGAGCTGCTCGCGCAGACAGGCCCCGTTACACCCGTCATCATCCATCGTGCCATCCTCGGCTCGCTCGAACGCTTCCTCGCCCTCTTGATCGAGCACTACGACGGCAAGTATCCGTTCTGGCTCGCGCCGCGCCCGGCCATCATCCTCGCCTTGTCGCAGGACTACGAGCTGCTGGCCCACGTACAAAAGCTGGCCATCCAGCTGTCGGGTGCCGACGAGCAGCGGGACGAGCACACAGGAGCGACGCTGCCTGCGCCGCTGGGCCGCCCGCCCGTCCAGGTCGACGTTGACACGAGTGCACGCGGTCTTGGTAAGAAGCTGCGCGAGGCGCGCGAGCGCGGCTATAACCACATCATGGTCGTGGGTCCGAAGGAAATGCGCAGTGGCAAGGTGCAGATGCAGCTGTGGAACCAGCCGAGCGTGGCAGAGGCCGACCTGGTGCTTTGGGACGCCGTGGCACAGGTCGATGGCAGATACTCTCTTCAGGCTCTTGGTTGGCGTCAGGAATCACTCTCCAAGGGGACGAATGTGGAGCTTTCGAATCAAGCCGTGAGGAAGTACTTTGAAGGTTTGATGGATAAGTACATGTAAAAGTTACGCGGTAAGATTGATTGAGTCAGCGGACTTGTGTCTGGCTCATGTAAAACGGCAGAGCTTGAACTTTTGCACGTTACTAAAAAGGAGAAGAGCTACGGCGGCAAGCTTGATGCCGATGGGAAATGTACTATATGAACACAATACTTGTCACATTATCGAGTCAACACTATCCGGTGCCGCATTTACATCCCGCAGGCTTCTCCAACTGTGGCGCTACCTTTTGTTTTCGTCTGGCCGTCATCAAATTCTGACACTTCCATTTTGTCCCCACATTCCGCTGGGGAGTTACCGAGCCGGCCATAGAAGGACCGTTTATCTCCATTCCAGCTCATCCACGGATACTCGTCCACATTCTTCGTTTAACTCCTTTAGCAGATGGGATTGGGGAAAGATAGCAATGGCCGACCGAATCCGGCACCTTCTCCCACCCTGAAACCGCGGGCCCCTGCACATCTACTACTGATATTTCAGGACAAGGCAATACGCAACATGGGTACGTATCTCGTACGATTTACCCTACTAGGCAATACCAAGATAAAATGCCGAACGCCCACGCCGACGTCGCCCCGCGCACCCTCGGCTCGGCCATCTCCGCCGGGCAAATTCACGATTCGCGCACCTCATGGCTTTCTTTCTTTTGCACATGTTTATTTTTAGCTCCCGTGCGCGCGAGCTCATGTCGGCTGATGGTGATTGGCGCGCCCCGCACATCGCCGCGGTGAGAAATGAGGCCGCTACGTTGGAAGTTGTGTGTTTTTGGAGATCTAGTAGGTGTACCTACGGTGGGGGTGGAGGTGGAGGTGGGTTTGGAGGGGGAGTTCGGAGAGATGGATCCGGGGTAGAAGTTGGAGTGACGGATCGCCGCCTTGACGACCACAACATCGATTTTGGTCGGTATCGATGGTAAAGAGTTTGTTTTCTCCATCTCTTGAATCCTATTAGTGTTGAACGTCGTGCGGATAGCAGACGTATGGTGGTCGTGGAATATTAATGTTGCAAGCAAGCCTGCGCAGCTGGTGTACGAAGACGTCATTGAGCGGATCGTAGAAGTACCAGCTCTACCATATGCATGCGGAAAACCGTATGAACTCTATCCTATTGGCCAGAATCCGTCCACTCGGATGGTGTCAGGTAGGAAGGCTTTACCGCATCGGGATGTTGCCGTCGACCGGTTACTTCCAGAAACAGTAAGTCGTTGTGGTGAGGTCTGGTTGAGAGGGGGCGCTAAGCCAAGTATCTTGGTACGATCTCACTGCATTAAAAGCTTCTAGCCCTTCTACGCACTGGACTCTACTTTGGCAGTCTACGTGGTAGGTGGGCTTCATGGCACCTGTCAAGCGTCCCAAGGCCAATATACTGCGCCACACGATAGTTCTCATGTCAGCAGCTCAGCTGGATGCTACCATCTCCTTGCTGGACTAGTGCATCCCTTACATCAACTTCAGCCTATCTTTCTCTTTTTTTTTTTTTTTCTTTTGGTTGAAGAGATCACTAACGCCGGGCGTCGCGAAGAGAGACCCACGGCAGCAAATGCACACTGCCACACTGCGTACATGCCGTCAAACAGTAAGCCGACCAAGAAATGCATATGGAACAGGTGATACAATAATGCGACAAGACAAAACAAAACATGGGGTGTCATAGCAGATTTCTGCAGTATGATCTATTTGGGTCATCCGTTCGACGAAAGTAGAGCACAGGACACGAATGCTCTCAGAAGGGTGAAGCGAGCTCGTTGAGTGGAATTCAATGATACACCCTGAGCGGTTACTTGGGGAAAACGGAGTATACTCCACGAAACGTGTTCAACCCGATCAATGCCAGGATTCGGCTCCTCCAACCCCCCCAGGGGTCGTCAACGCTGCGCAAAGATCCTTTCCCCAATTATGTATTGTCAGGCCATGGCCAGCATGCATGGGCGGCAGGCAGCTGATGTCACGATTCTGATAGGCTTTGACGGCAGCGGGACTCAACACCGTCTACGTTCGATGTTGCCCGGGAGGCTGGGTGCCTCAATAGGAAGCGTGCATCGAGATCTCAAAGGGATGATGGCACATGGGTCTGAAAGCAGAGAGACTTAGGGCTGAGCGCACCCCCGCTTGTTCACACGATCCGGATCACCGGGGTTGGTCACTTAGTCATCCTTGGCTTACAGTATGTGCTTAGGACCTGACATCTTATCCTCCACCCGAGGCTGTTATCGTGTGTGTGCGTGGCCGAAGACCTCTCGTGTTCGTGCGCGAAAGCACAAAGGTACCTTAATGCACATTTTCGCGGAGTCTAAGTCTCTTTTGGGCCTGAGGTGAGCAAAGAGGCATTCCAGGAGACCTGGTATTGTTCACTGAGGCTGCAGCCAACTGGTAAGAAGAGTGATTGACGGCGGGGTAAAGAAAGTCAGGGCTTTCTTGTGTCCATTATCCTTTGGTGCGACGGACTATACTCCTTGAGCCACTACGTAACTGGTGGTGGCTTCTGCTTTCATCTCAACGTCACTCACGCTTCCCAGCGTAATAGACAGCCAGCACTTACAAATGTCCAGCAGCCGAACGCTTTCGGACTTTTCATAGCTGTAGATAGTTAAGATTGCATGGTGGCGTCGTGGCTGTAGGGCTGTGTTTCGAGTTCTGATAGGAGAATTTCCTCCAACCCGATGGCGACGATGGCTGGCGGACGGGGAAAGAAGATCCATTGATCCGTGAGACGTGCACCCCGTAGAAGCTGTGAGATGCAGTTCAAAATGTAGCGACACACGAGTCTGTCTGTAAGTGAGCCCGTGCAGCTCGAATCAGGCGGCGGAAGGATACGTAGACAAATATCAGCATATAAGCGTTCGAGCCCCCTGATCGACTCTCAGCATCATTCTTACCAGTGCACGAGCTTCCATCTGCTCATTCTAAGAACAGGCAGCTCCCACATGGTGATGGTGGAGACTCAGAATACGAAATCCATTGTTGAAAAACTCCAATGGTTGAAAACCTACGAAGAAGTCATTCAACACACACTCTGCATCACGAAGTCCATGTCAAATCCCGTAAGAACCCAGGATAAGCTTGTTGAAGCCAAGATTTTAGAGCACCTTTGTAATCAGACCGGAATGTTTTTGCAGCAACTAGCGGGATTGACCAGGGAGATGCTAGCACCCATGCACCATAAGGCTTAGGATGATGGACTATGGGCCGCAAGTCTTTAAGAAACACTTCAACTTTCTTGGGCAATGGTTCTGCTTTCCCATATGGGACAGGCACGGTAAAACACATGATGAATGGAAATGTCGTGTTCCAGCGGTAAGAGAGCATTAACGGCCATTAAGTGGCGTCCCAATGGCAAGGCTTCAATGTCCAATTGCCAGTACTATCTACCGACCCAGCCTTGCTCCAGGGTCTAGGGTTCTCCGCACAGGTTTCGTCTGAGCGGCGGGACGCCACAGGCTCCGGAGCCAGAGGCCGCCTCCGCTCCGACGATTGATGGTGGACCTCGCAGGCTGGCTCGTTCGGGGGGCTTGCAACCAGCATCTCGGCACGGAAGCTTGTTGAGGCAAAGAGCATGACCATCGGGTGGTGCCGATGGGTCACGAGATTGTTGAGTGCAGCAGCCATTCATGTGGCCCGGACTCGGGCTGGCGCGCCGTGGGAGCTGGGGGCGGAGCGGAGACCCGCCTCCGCGCACAAAGATGGACGTGATTGGCCCCGGGTCATATTTCCGTCATTGATCGGGGGGCTATCAATCGTGTGCGCATTGAAAGAGTCAAGTGCGCTCATAATGGAGCAGGCTTTCCGAGCTTGCCTCGTCCGTTTGTTCGTCCGGACTTTAGTATTGACAAGGGCGGGTTATGTCCGACCAACCTTGTGCATCGATCTTGTGCAGGATTCTCGGGCCACTATTAGTAGCTTCGAACGTAACGGTGTATCCCTGCTGGTGGTTGACGCGGTTGGCGCTAGCGCCCTGCGAAAGGCGCACCGAAAATGTGGCCTAACTTCAACGTGAGGCGTTGCAACCACAACAGAATGATCTCTACATAAAGCTAGAACCCAGTACATGAGGAAGTCAAGCATAGAATTATTTCGAGTCGCGGGGCAAGTTAAGTGCAAGGGATAGGGAATGTTGGGGGCGCTAACGCGGACGAGTTAGAGAGTCGTGCTCCGGCCAACGCGTCCATGGAGGATATCCCATTCTTTACATTATAGATGCCACATACTGAGTCTATGATGGTATTTTATCCCAATGCGTCTGTCCACGTTCGAAATGGGCGTAATGTGTACAACTGTTGGTGAAAGTGTGAGCGCTCCATTACTGAAACCCTTACTGGAGTGCTCCACGACAAGTTAGAAATGCGAATGAATTGCTTCGATGAGTCTGCTGAGAAGGAATGTGGAAGCGGTGTCGCTTATGCAAAACAGGTGCAGGGAAGCCAATGCTCAGCATCTACTCGCGGAGCCGCGCGGAGCAGGCCGTTCCTCCGGTCAGACAGGCAGGTTCGGTCGCGAGACCCGCCATCCACTCTATGGCCAACAAGACCATCGCAGGATGTCCACGAAGATGACGAACAGCGCTCGGAATGGCATCGCAAAGGCATGGCCGGCCCACCAGCCACCGTCGGACCGAAGTTACCGACTCAAGACCGACGGTTAGCTACACGTACGACTGAAGGCTTTCGGTTGGACAATGCCTGCCCGTGCGCCTCTCTTCACACGATCAGCGCGTCGGGTTGGCCCGGAACTCCAGGCAGAGCTCTTCCTGAGCCTGCGAACTGTCGACCCGGTGATGCGCGCTGGGATGCAAAACCATGACCAGCCCTCACACCCACTCCTTCGAACTGGGGGGATGTGGTTGAGCAATTTCGGTCTTGCTCTGGGCCATTTATCATGGCATTGAATGGTCTCGCCGTCGAGGAAGAATCGTCCTTGCGGCTATCACGAAGGCTCGGCAGGATAATTCAGAATCAGGATCCCAAGATAGATAGGTCAGCAGCCTCTGTAGGACGTACCACCGTACAGTAAGGATTGAGAGTCGCCCGTGATGCTGAGGATCCATGGCGGAAACGACTCCGATCAGCTCATGGCAGAAAAAAGGTGGGGGCATCAGAATCATGGACGAGTCCACCCCTGGGCACAAGAGTACAGTGATTACCCAATCACCACGTCAGAGCAGTCCGATCTCTAGTTTAGGTGCCATGTTCAATTGGTCAGCGGAGTGGCCTCCTTGGTCTCGGAGAGGATGGTGCAGCAACTTCGAACGTCTGTAGGAGTCCGTTCCGCTCGGAAATGTCACAAAGCTATCCACAATCGCATCGAACTTGTACACCGCAATCTGCAATTGCACCTGGACGCTTCGAGCCGAGTCATGATCATGGCCGTTTTGGGTGGCGAAGGGGCGAAAAAGCCCGTGTACGAGCGCCGGCAGGGACGAAGGGCTGTGAAAAGAGTTATGCCATACTTCGCAAGATCGGCAGACAAAGCGAGCCAAGGAGTGCGGCGAGAGAGTCGTCAAGCAGCAATAGATGTGTGTGCTCACAGGGTCTTGTCCTACAACAAGCTGAAGGTGAAGAGTACGAAGGTCGTCATCTGATCGATTAGTGGTTGTTGTTTCAAGGTGTGGCTGTCAGGAATAGCGTCCCCCACTCGGACCGGGCCAGCTAGGCTTGGGCTGCAGCTTTGCTGCAAGCAAACAAGCATGCACGATGTGCAGCGTCGATCGGGCGGTGGATCGCGCCGCAGTCCATGTAGCGCCGCGAATAAGTTGATAGAGGCGATCAGGCAATGAGGTTATCGTGTGTTGTGGAAGGCGACGAGATTGCGCTCGGGCTGGGCCGGGGCTGATTCGCTGTCGCGAGATGAGAGGCTTGGCGGCCGAGCCGTTGCGCGCCCTCAGGTACCACGACGTCAAGCAAACTTCCTCCCTCAGCAACACCCCGACTCCTTCTCCTCCCGGCTGCTCGCACCCAACTCTCGCAGCCACGTCGTTGCCCGGCGACCCGTTTTGCGGCTCCCCCTCGTGGCCAGGCCCACCCTCCGTTCGCTCCGACCGTCGCTCGTTCCGTGCTCGAACCTCCTCATTTCCACCCAGCCCGTCGTCGCATCCTCGACACGGCCGCCGCTGAGCCACGAAAAGCTCACCACCTATCCTCCCTCCTCGCCCGACTGCCGACCGCCACCCTTTGCCCGCCGCCAACCCTCTCGCCGCGAGCATCCGCCTGGTCCTGGCGTCGCCGTGAATCTCCATCCGCCGTTGCCCATCCGCACAGCGCCATGACGACGCCTTCAAGTTCGCCGGCCCCCGAGGTCCACCGTGACCGCCTGCCCACCCTCTACGAGGTGCTGAGTCGCCGGACCTCCGCTCCCGTCGATCTCTTCTTCTTCTACATCTACATGCGCGACCAGCAGCGCTCGGTCGATTACCTGGATTTCTGGTGCGTCGCGCTGCTCGGAACCCTACGCGCTGCTACTAATTGACTTCCTAGGCTCGATGTTTCTCAACACATGGCCCTCTGCCGCCACTATGTGCGTGAACTGCGTCGGACCAACCTGTTCGGCACCCCGGAGCTCGAAAAGGCCGGCAGCAAAAGATCTTCGGCCGTCCTGGACAATGTTGCCGAAGCTGGACCATCCAACGAGAAGACCACGCCCGAGCAGCGCCTCTCGGCCTTTCTGCGTGAGAACGACACTGCCAGGCACCACTCGCCCCAGAACAGTGTCGGCACCACCGATTCCGCCCGCTCAAACAACGAGCCCCCGCGCCCCAGCTTCATGGCAGGTTCCACGGCTAGCGGCTCTCCCATGCAGGACTCTTCGGGCAATCAGCAATCCACCCCCGAGCAGCACACCGTCACCCGTAACGACATCCGCGCCTCCGCCGAGAAGATCTTGTACACCTACCTTCTCCCCGGTTCCGAGCGCGAGATCATCCTTCCGCAGAGCATTCTGGACAGGATTACCCACGACATCGAAGTCGAGAACCGTGATGATCCTGAAGTCTTTGACACGGCCAAGGACTACGTTTTCCAGGCCATGGAACGCGATGCTTTCCCTGGTTTCCTGCGTTGCAAGGCCTTCGGCAACCTGGTACCTCCGAGCATGATGGTCCGCATGATCATCGGTCTGTTGGCCATGTTTGGTGGATTCTGGGCCGCCTTCACTCTCATTTTCCTGGACCATTCGAGAGGCAACCGTTGCTGGGTAAGTCGTTTTCTTCCGCTTGTGGTCCAGCTAGCCACGATATTAACAGTGCTTCCAACACAGCTCATCCTCCCCTTCACCATTGGCGTCTACATGCTCGCATCACACCAGTACATGCTCGACCCCTTGCTCGTATTCGCCGGCCGCAGCGAGACGACGTTCGGCAACTTCGGCAAGATCCGCGAGCCTTTCGTAAAGAAGCTGCTCATCAAACGCGCCATCATGGTCCTCCTTGTCATCGCCTTCGCCGACGCCGCCCTGTGCCTGCTGTTCATCCTCGTCCCCGGCAGGCGCCTATGATGCCGCGACAGCACCAGGTCCCAGTCTCCTCCACTTTCGGGTCGTGTTCTATTGTTTTCTCCTTTGCCGAATCAAAAGCGCAGCATTGGCGATTGTGCTATCTTGCTTCTTCGCTTTGCCTTGCCCTTCCGTGCATGGGTCTACAGCGTGCCTGCGAGTTGATTTTTCTCTCGTAAATTATACCCTATCTTGAGTTATTGTTGTCGGTCTCAAAACACTCGAAAACCAGCCGGCCAACCCGAAGGCTTTTTTTCTTTTCCTTTTGTCGATTGTCTTCTCATCGGCGGCGAAATCAGGCGTGTATCGGGAATTCTTTTCATATATCCCTCGAAATCCTTGTCCTTCTGCGAAGTAGAAGACGTCACTCTCACACTCAGGCCTCTCTTGCCTTTCATTTTTTCCTAAACTCTCTCTTCTGATTCTTGTGATGCTTCGGACGTCGCCATGGTTCTGGATTTGCTCTTTTTTTTCTTTTTCATTGCGTAGTTTAATGATATTTTTCCTCCTATTGCTGAGAGAGCGGGAGAAGGGGTGGGTGGTGGTAATTCGCCAGCGTTTGGGGAGGGTGTTTGGTTAAGCTGAGAAAAGAGGGGAGTGTGCAGAGGAATGCATTGTGACGGAGGTACGGATGGTGCGGGAAGGATAATGGGGGGGTAATTTTTTTTTTTTTTGGTATGAGTCTCTAGGAATTGGTATCCAAATGATGACTATTGCCAAACTTTTTGTCCCGAAACCAACGTTTGCTTAGCATTCGCCCGCGCTCATATGTGTCTATGCACACTGATAGGACAAATTGAACGCGTAAAGAAAGCAGAGCGTGTTTTCAGCTTCTGCTTCTTACATTTTCCGAACTACTAATGGATAACAGACCAGAGGAGAAGTAAACCCCGTTTTCCCCGAGAACGCCGAGATTGATGTAGGAGTCCATTGCACCCTATTCCCTTCCCTTTCCATGCCATTGAAAAACTCCTTTTCTCCCCGCCGCGAATTCCTTCACTGTCAACATGTATCTATACAAAGGAGAATCTATACACTTTCAGAAACAAAGGATGTGAATAGGGACGACAGTCATTGTGGTGAATCAGTGCTCCGTGTGGCCGCTACTGCAGCAGCTCTTCTCGCGGTGAGCACATGGGCAGCGGCACGCCGCCATCGGCCGCCGGCGCTTTGTGCTTGCCTGAGGTGAGGATGCCGAAGCGGAGGAAGACCTCGGAGCAGGTGACGAGGATGGAGAGAATGATGAGGATGATGATGATCCAGGTGATGCCTGAAGGTGGTTGTTAGTAATCTTTGGCCTACGCTGCCTGTAGAGCTGATGGGGAAGCATTAGACTTACGAGTCATCTTCTTGTCGGCGATGGAGTCACTCAGTATTTCGGCAAGATCTAGGAAGACGCGGCAACGCTCGTTGAGGACTTGGATGCGGGGCTTGATCTCGAGGTATTCGCGGATGGCGGCGTAAAGCGGGTGCAGTGTTGGTTCCGATTCCCAGAAGAAGTTGGGGACGTCGAGCATATTCGAAGCTTGCAAATTGTTAGCAAAGCAGCGGAGATGACGGAGGACGTTCCGGGTGGTGAAAAGCAACGGCTGTACTTACAAAGATTAACATCTACTCTGCTTGCAAAAAGCTGCCCCAACATGCTCACGACTTCCTCGCGCTGCATGCCCAGCTTTCCGGTGAGGGCGAGACGTCGGGGTACGTATTGCGCCTTGATCATGATCTGTGCCATTCTTTCCTCGAAGAAACACAGCTTCGTGCTCTGGGCGATGGCATGGCTCATGGCCAACTTGATCATATGGTCACCACTCCGCAAGGTGATCATGTCATTGTAGACACGGGGCCTGTTGATTTCCGGGTTGTACTCGAAGTGGAACTCCTCGGTCTCAAAGTCCTCTTCCTGCTGCGGGCGCGTCACCAGAGCCACGTTGGTGATGGATTGCGAAAAAGTGAGGTCGGCCAATATGTCCTTCTCCTGGCGTTCGGTAAAGTTCCAGAAGACAACAACGCCATAGGAGTAGACGAACATCTCACCGAATGCAAGAGCATCAGGAGCAATCCTTGGTGGGGACATTGAGCGCTGGGAACTGTCCCGATGCGGCGAGCGTGGTGATTCGAGCATGTCATCTGATGTCCTTGACACGCTGCCGTTGCGAGGACTCTGGCTGGGAGACTCTCCGTCTTCGTGCGCCCGTATGCCGTAGCGCTCGTTGTCGCCGAAGTAGCCCTCGTGGTATTCCCTATTCTCGTTTCGCTCAATCTCTTCGTCCAGCACACTCTTTCCGCCAGGGCTCTTCAACACCGGACTGCTGCGAACCCTGTATCCATCATGGCCTCCCAGGAGCGGTAGGTGGTATACAGTGTACAAGCAATCGTCGTACAGCTTGGTCCGGGCGCCGTGCTGGTTCTTGACGAAATCCGCGGTTGGGCGCAACTTGTACGACTGGGCAGTACAGTATGCCGTCACGCGGGCCAGCTTCTCAGCACGCCTGGCCTTGGGCAGACGCTCGGCATATGACTTCTCCTTGACGCCAGCACGCTGGCTCCTAATACGTTCCAGCTCATTGTCGTCCGGGGGGCCGGCGTCCTCGTCGTCGCGGAAGCCCTCAAGCAGGTCGTCATCATCAGCCTTCTCCTCGTCGGCCTCGGGCAGCAGCACCAGCTTCTCGCTGACCTTGCTCGACCGCGACGGCATGTACTGCGGAGCCATGCGGCCGCTCAGCTTGGGCTCCAGCGGGTGCCTGCCCGACGGCGTGCGCGTGTGCCGCGGGCGCTCCGGGGCGGGCCCGCGGCGCTGGCCGGACGGAATCTCCGAGGCGTACTGCAGCACGTTGTCGACGCTGATCAGGCGCGTTGTGGCGGTGCGCGGCATCGGCGGCGGGCGCTGCTGCACCACCTCGCGGGCATCGGTGACCTAGTGCGCGTGGACGGCGTCAGTTGGGGAACTTTCGCTCTGCCTCGGTGAGGGACTGACCAGCACCGTGGGACCCCGTTTGGACTTCGCTGATGTCGTGGACGCCATTGCGGACGGTGTGTGGAGGTTTCGGAGGCAGAGGCCTCGTTTAGGGCGCGCGCGAGGGCGATGTGGTGGGCTGGGGGTGCGGTGTTGTCGGGAGCTTTGGTGTTGCACTGCCAGCGAACGTCATCGGCTGCCGAGCTTCTTCACCAACCCTTGACGACGCACACCCCGCCTTCGTTAGTCTTCATGCAGCCATTGGGTCACGAGTACATCGGAAGCACCACAAAGCAATCGTCAATTGGTTTAATCCAGCACTTCGGCTCGGATCTTTAGCCACAAACTCCCATTGCGACATCAGCCCCGTCTCAAACCATCGCAACGACGGCTAATGACCAGTGTTCTTTATTATCTCTTCCTGGGGGGATCGAACCGACCCTTTGGCATGTTGCCTCCTTTCCTTTCCGGATATTCTATTTCAAAACTCGGCCACTCTAGTAGCACACTTGATTCCCTTGAGGCCTCTCGTTGAGCCGGCTCTTTACGGGTACTTTCTCCTTCCTCTGACAACGACTAAGACCCCGGATGGTCATCGGAGGTCGAGCCTTCGGAGAATTTGAATATAGACCTCCATCCAGAAGTACCATACAGACCCTCAAGATCCTTTGTTGCCGAATTCGGTAAATTGTGGCTAGGTCCTGCTATGTTTCCATTCCCTGCTGTTTGGCTTTTGATTGGCGCGTCCGCCCCTGGAAAAGTTGCACACTTCCTTTTGGTATCTGTGCTATGCTCCTCTTGGTGAGCTCGCTCTTTGCCTTTCCATTTTCTCTGCTCCATTCTCACAGCTGTGTGGTGGACCAGTTTGGTTTTGCGAGATCAATGCAGCTTGAAGACCTTCCGGTAGAATTTGGATGCCTGCGTGGTTGCAGAGCGGCTAATTTCGATAAAAGTTATCAAACTTCTGACATAGGAATATTTCGCAAATAGGGTCCCGTTGTTATGCGCGCGTCCCGGATACTTAAGGTACACGGGTAGTATAGTAAGTTACACGCATATCGAACGGGTCTTGTTTGCTGGATCGGCTTGACCAAAACCAGAGTTTGCGTTGCAAGTACGAATAGATCGCAGATTCTCTTCTACCCAAGATCTTTCCAACCTTACGCATTGAAAGCTAGACAACGTATGGTGCGGATGATTCATTTTCCTACGTGTACTCTGTGCTGTCAAAGTGTCCGGCGGGCATGATTGCGCATGCTATCTCAATTGTGCCACTCCGAGACGCAGTTTGCCGTTCCAAACACCAAGACTTTGATCCGGGGGCCGACGGGCCGGCCGCGTTTATTTGAATCCTTCGGCTTAGGAACCAACGAATCAGCACATGGCGCGGCACATATGGTCAACGATTCTGCCGCGAACCAACAGGCGTCATCTCGCTTGAACTAACAGCCATGTGAGTTTTCAAAAGCAATGGGTACATGATCGACACCATCTCCAACAATGCTGCTGACGGGCGTTTCCACAAAACGTGCTCAAATCGCCTCTCTATGCCAACCCTGGTCTGGCGCAAGGCCACAAACGGCTAAGCATGCATTCCTACCAAGACCGGTCTCAGTCAGAATGCACGGAAAAAACAATCAATGTCACTTCCCCGCCATTCGTTTTGAAACGGTTGCTGCCAATGTTCCAGATTCTGGTGCTGGCTCCGCGTGAGACGGAGGAATAGGCAACGGACCGCTGCCGACAACTTTATTTTCTGGGCGGGCATGCAGATACGAGTCAGGAATTTGATCAGTGCCGACAGAAAGTGGAGCACCAAGCCTCCACTGTAGTTTCAAGACCTGATGTCGGTATCCTGTGGAGGATTTAACTGCTCGAGTACCCCATCTCTTTCTGTGTCAAGCAGTGAAACATTCTTTGGTTCATCTGAGACAGTAAGCTTATACATTTACATGTGAGGCTTACTCTTTGTACTCTTTCTCTTTATATCATCTGCTATAGTAAAAATTGTTCAGTCTTTCTTTTTGCTGCATAGCGTCCACATATTTGCATACAACAATGTCGAGAAAGATTTACCTCAAGGGGGCATGTGTTTTGAAATTAATTTTACTTTCCTTTGCGACCTGGCTGCCAGCAGTAGCAGCGAGCAAGCTTGAAGGTAGATACAGTAATTCAACACGTAAGTATACAATATCGTACTCCGCAAAGTATCTATGCTAAACTCTCAAGGTCCCGTCAATTTTGGCGTCCTGCTCTTTCCTACCTTCCAGGCTCTCGATGTTTTCGGTCCACTCGACGCCCTGAACATCTTATCCTTGAGTCACCCAATTAATCTCGCCCTCGTAAGCACCCCACGTTGAGCTTTTGCTTTGAAACACACAGCATCGGCCCTCTCTTTGTGAAATGGGGATATAGAATATCACCGAACACTAACCACTCCCCCAGATCGCCGAAACCCTCGACCCAGTCAACACTGCGCCAATCAGCCCGTCCATGAACATGTTCAACAGCAACTTCTCCGAATCCGTTCTCCCGACGCACACCCACGACACCGCGCCGCCTCTCGACGTCCTCATCGTTCCCGGAGGTAAGCCTTCTCCCCTCCTCCCTCCCTCCCCACTCATACTAAAATCACGAAACCACCAACCAGGCCTCGGCACCCGCGCCCCCGTCTCCCGCCTGCAACCCACCCTCTCCTACCTGGAATCCGTCTTCCCAGACCTCTGCTACCTGATCACCGTGTGCACGGGCGCCGGGCTCGCCGCGCGGACGGGAATCCTCGACGGGCTGTCGGCCACGACCAACAAGCGGGCGTGGCACGAGACGACGGCGCTGGGGCCGGCCGTGAAGTGGGTGCCGCGGGCGCGGTGGGTGCGGTCCGACGAGAGCGGCGGCAAGGTGTGGAGCAGCAGCGGCGTGAGCGCCGGCGTCGACGCGACGCTGGCCTGGATGGCTGAGGTGTTTGGCGAAGCCGTGGCCGACGAGGTGGCCGCCGTCATGGAGTGGACGAGGGTGAGGGCTTGGTGGGACGATCCGTGGGCCGGGCACTACAATTTGACGGGGCAGACCAAGGGATGAGTGAAAGAGAGAGAGAAGTGGGAGATGAAAAAAGTTTGATGGTTTGGGGGGAATTGAAGGTGGTGACGGAAGTGGATAAGTCGTCTGGATGAGAGGGATTCGTATCTTTGACTTCATTTTGGTATTGGGATGGTCTTGGATTTCCTCAGCCGTCGTTGTTTGCGATCTTCAATGCCATGATTGGCGGCAGAAAATTCATTGACCCCTTCGACATTGGTCCCTGACGAAGTCAAAAGGGATGAAAAGTATTTTTTTCAAAAAAAAAAAAAAAGAGACATCGCAAATTACTCCGGCAAAACAGTACGTTATGATCAAATGCACTCCACAGTTATTACGCTCTCTCTCGTGAATCTCATCCTTTCGCTAATAGCCTACCCGTAGCTACAATAACTGCCTTCTTTCAATAATTTGATCAACAATATACTCCACGCTCCTCATCTCCCTCCGCGTCCTCTTCCGCGTCCTCTTCCGCGTCCTCTTCCGCGTCCTCTCCCGCGTCCTCCTCTACCGCGCCCCCTTGCCCGTCCTCTTCCCCGTCCTCGCCAGTTCGCGCGCGAACGACCACCACGACCTCTCTCAGTCGGCGATTCCAAAGCGGCCAGGCCCTCCTCAATGTCACTAAGGTCCGTTCCGCGGCTCGTACGTTGTGAAGATTGAGTCTCGGGTGTCTCACGAGCAGGTTGGCTGGACCCATACGTAGGTGACGCACCCGGAGCAGTTCGCTGATGTGTATGCCATGATCCCGAATCGTCTGAGATCGAATCGTCTGAGCCCGAATCGTCTGAACTCGATTCATCTGATCCCGACTCATCGGTCTGTTGTGTTTCCGGTGCCGTCTCTGCTCCTGCATACGGGCTTGCTGGCGACAACCGCAGTGACGAGGACGAGTGCGACGGCGACAATGGTGGAGATAACGCCGGGAATGAGGGCGAGGGCGGCAGCGGCTGTACCGGGGGCAACGAGTCGTCCAATTCCTGCGTAGGTCCCACGTCCTGACTGCCGGACGACAGTGATGATGAGGATGTTTCCTCGCTGTCCTCAGAACCATCTCCCTGCTCGTCTGCGGTCGTCCTCGCTGGCCTCCTCTGCGGCTGTGGTCTCTCAATTCTTCCATCCTCCGATAGCTCCCTAATCTGCCGCAACAATTCATCTACTCTGCATTCTAACAGCTCCCCCAGCTCTTCTCGCTCTCTCTCCACCCCCATGACCTCGTCCATCCTCCCCTGTATTACTCTCTCGTAAATCGCAACCCTTATCCTCAGCCACAACCGCTCCAGGGGCGTCATATTACCGCCAGTGTCATCCGGTGGTGGTCTAAAACCATAGCCCGGAATCGGCAAATCCCTCACTCCCCACCTCTCCCTCAGAACATGTTCTAGTGCACCCTCCTGGGCCGGTGTCGGGTTTTGGGTCCTTCTGTAATTTTCCATGCTCTCCGCTATGTAATCCCGTATCATCCTATGCAGTGTATTGTCGAACTCTCTCCTCATGATTGCCTCTTCCTCGGGTGTCAGACCACGAAATGCTCTGGACAGGTCGGGGTATGGCGACCGACTAATCAGATCTACTCGATTGCTAAGACAGCTTTGTATCGGCATCTCCATCAGCCTGCGCATATCCTGGGCAATAGTTGCCAGATCAAAAGGATTACCGAGAGGACCTTGTACTAGCGGGCGTTCGCCGCCATTTGAGCTGCTCTGGGATGACGAGCGTTGGCGCTTGCTGTCATTGGGAGGAGAGGAGGATCCGGAATCAGAATCGCTGCGGCGACGCTTGCTGTGGCGAGAGGTGGAGGAGCTTGAAGATGACGACTCATCAAGTGCGTCATCGCTAAGTGGGTAGTTGAAATCGTTATCGCTCTCCTCATCATCATCCACTGCTGTGCCAGCTGATAGTTGGTAATTGGGCCCGCGGCCACTTCTGCCCTCGACTCTTTGCAATTGTGATGCAATCTCCAAATTATTCTCGACATAGTTTCCTCGCAGCTGGAGCCGTTCATACCCCCTGACGGCCTGATGGTTCGTATACCTGGCACCGTTGCGAGGTCTTAGGCAATTCCAATGTTGCAGCTCTGGGTAGTTTACCAAGTGGACCTGGTGGTCCCTGATCGGGCGGCCATCGCCTCTGATAATTAGGGACCAAGTGTTGTCCCTAGGACTGTTAAAGTCGATAGACGGCGAATGCATAAATATTTCGACGCCGTACACGTCAGCCAGTACCTGTACTATGGCATCGGTCCCAAACTCCTGACCTCTTGCTTGTTGTAGCAAGCTACCCCAGCCATTCCTGCGCGATTCATGGTCCATTCTGTTATAAAGGTGGTTTCTTGAGAGTTGAATCTCGGGGTCATGTTGAGCGTCAGGAACCAGTCCAGCAAGCCCAATGATACGCTCTGCATCACGAGAAACACGCCTCCAGGCAGTTTGAGTACCAAAATATGCTTGAGCAAACGCTCGGAGTAAACAGGCGCCGCCGGTACCCCTGGTGCGATATTGTCGGAATTTGATTTCTGGGTGAAATCGGAATCCTTGAAGCTGCGCGCTGTTGGACAAACTTAGTTCTCTTTCCCGGAGTATTCCGTCACGGATCCTATTCTGAATATCCCTCTCAAGGCCGCGACCGATATTTTGTATCCCGGAAATTTGACTACTTGAATGATCTCTAGAGATTGCTGCAGTGTTGTTTCTACGGTGCGTACTCTCTACTGCAGTGTTGGTTCTATGATGCGTATTCTCTGCTGCAGTGTTGGTACTACGGTGCGTATTCTCTAGCTCCTCGGCTTCATGCCTGACCCTCTGGATCAAGAGATAGTCTTCTGGTGTGGTCAGACGATCTGTGCCCCCCGTGAAATAGAGATCCTCGCTCGGATCGCGGCGCTGAGTCTGATCGCTAGCCTCGCTCGAATCACTGCGCTGAGTCTGATCACTAGGAGCCCCGTTGCGATTCGGCATTTCTAGGATATAGTTCGGGCGATGGTCATCCGCTGAAGAGTCATTCCTGGGAAGTGCACTCGGTAAAAAGGGGTCCTCCAGCACTGGACGACGGTGGAAATAGTTCGTACGGTCTATGCTCAAATGGGCGGTATACTTGAACGCTCTCGGTGTCCCCTCGGATGAGGTATTCCGAGCTACTGTCCATCGATTAATTGAGGAGTAGTTGACCAGGTTGATTTGGCCGCGGTTCGACGGAATTCCTCGACTTAAAACTTTCCATCCTATAGACGCCCCTTCAGGACCGGTCGGAGGTGGAAGGTGTGGAATGTGAACGAGTATTTCCACATCAAAAGCATCAGCCAGAAGCTGCACCATTTCCATGGTACCTTCGACCCTCCAGTCGAATAGCTGGTCCAGAAGCCGTCCGCGCTCGCCCTGGCGTCTTGTGGAAGCATCCAAGCGTTCGTATAGCAGCCTCCGACGGCGTGCCAACTCATTGATTTGTCCGGACCCAGGAACGAGGGCGTGTCTCACGTCCATTGCATGAGACCAAAGGGTCTGCACCGCTGTCTGGACTGTACGCCACTCGTTTTCGTGTCCGAAGAAGGCCATTGCGAATGATCGGAACAAGGTCTTCATTCCTCTCCATTGCACACGCCGAAGGCCGTCCAACGGGAGAAGCTGGTCCCACCATTCACCTAGGTGGCCTTCAAAATCGCACAAGACGAGCCTGTTCTCCAAGCCGACTTCCATCGCCTCTTGCGGTGTCGTAGGCCCAACAAAAGGAGGGTTGCCATCGCCGATGTAGTCCTCGGACCACAGTGCATACTGGCGGTGGGGATGCAGCATCCGGTAAGTAGCTGCGTTTGGTTAGCATGAAGTAGAGAACGAAGATTCAAAATTACCTTCCAAATCCGGTGGCAAAGGAGCAGGGAAATACGATGGGTCTTGATAGTGGATCAAGCGCCAGTCCAGCTCACATCGATTATTTTGCTGATGCCGATCCTGCGCAGCTTGGAGTTCGTATCTCAATAGCCGGTACAGGAGAGAAGCGTGGTCATGCACGCGGCTGAGCCCGCGGAATTTGCAGAGCTCGCGAAGGTCCTCTGGCCGCCAGAGCTGAGATACGGGAATATGTTGATCCTCATGGTGCCTTCTATCCAGGGCTCTTCTTAGCGCGTAGGCAGATCTGTCTTCAGCAAGCCCAAGGTCTCTACACCGACTGCGTAGGGCTGGTAAACATGGGTCGTACAACGGACCTAGGAGCTGTGCAACGGCATCTTTCTTGATGACAGCTGGAGTCCGCGGCACACCATGGCCATCCTGGACTCTATTAAGCTCCTGAATGATTGCATCTTTGCTAAAGTCGTCGAGGTTTGCTGCATCGTGCCGTGGTTCTAGGCCGCCTTCGTCGTCACGTTGTATAGGGTTCTGATTGACATTGGTGAGGGCGTCGTTTCTTTTGACCATGATGGAATTGTTCTCACGAGAGGGTCGCGGTGGAAGGAGAGACAGGGGGGAGACACATGGATGAAATCAACACGGGCGTCAAAGACATGAACAAACCGTTTGCAGTATCCATTGTGGGCATTGTCTCCAAGAAGACGGACTCCATGCGGTCATCTTCTTTGGCGCAGGACGGTGCCAAGAGAAGGTGAAAAGAAAGAAAGAGAGAGGGCGCCGAGCACCGCTTGCGGCGGGCCAAACAATGCGCTCGAGAGGAAGAGCATGGTGAGCATTTGGGACAACCCGGGGTCACACAGGTCTAAATGCAGATGGTTGGAGATGACGCAGGTCGCGGGAGTGACTGCCGCGAGACAGGATCGAGTCAAAGACACGGCGGATCCAGGTGTGGTGGTGACGGGCGGGAGATGGCCGAGCAGGAGGTGGCTTGGCGCGGCGAGCGGGAGGTGTTTTGGCGAGGCGGGCGGGAGGTGTTTTGGCGCGCGACGGTTGGCTCTGGTGCGGAGGGCGGCTCGCAAGGCGGGCTGATGGCTCGCCGGCTCTTGTAGGTTATGCACGGCACGGCCGGAAAAAGCATGGCGCGGGACGAGACGAGTGGTAGCTGCAGGCGGGCGCGGCTGACGACCTGGAGTGGCAAGGGCAGGTCTGGATCGCGACTCTGTGCAGATCCATCTGGAGTATCCAGCGTCGATCGCCCACCCAGCCGAGCTCCCAAAACCCACGGTCCTGCCCAGCGCCCGGTGCGCCAGCCTGCCAGAAAGCGCCTCCGCGGCGTCCGTCCTCTCAGTCGCCCAACCCGCCCTCACGAGCCCGTCTCGAGCCCGCCTGCCGCCCGCTCCACCATCTGTCCGCCACCGCATCATCTGGCCCGCCCGCGCACGCGGCACCCCTGCTGCGCTGTCTCCTCCAGACTAGCTGATGCTAACCGCGCTAGACGGCTCCACGCCCACTTCAGCCGCCTCTTCCTCTGCTCTGCCTCGAGACGCAGCAGCCTGCTTGGTGCCCGCGCGGAGGCATGCGACCCTGCCCTTGTCCTCCTCCACCGCGACTTCATGATTGATCCGCCGTCAATCTTCACAGGACTGCCCCGCGACGCCCGACTCTCCTCCAGCCCCGAGCCACAGCGCCATCCTGCGCCCGCCCACCGCCCGACCTTTGCCAAACCCGCTCCCGCATGGCTGCATGCCACTGATCCAGAGCCCCCCTCCGGACCCGTCAATCCGCCGTCGCGCCGCACGTCAGTCGCTGATTCGTTTGTCGCTCCTTCGAAACCTGCTGAGAAGCGCCTGTTTCCACAGCAGGGCCCCACTCACAAGCACTCCCATAGCGAGCCTCTGCACAAGCGCCGCAAGCTCCAGAAGCGCTCGCGCCACACCCTCGATTCCTTCGATCGCCTGCCCCTCCCGTCCCTCGACCGCCAGCAGCAGCCCACCTCGCCGCTCTTCTTCTCCCACACCAAGCGCGCGCGCCCGCCCTTGCCTGCTCGTTTCTCGAGCTCCGAGGCCGCCGCGAGGATGTTAAGCAATGCACGCGAGGAAAGCGGCATCAAGACAGTAACCCTTGCGCGCGGCACTTATGCTGGCTCGAGCCCTTCGACCCGCACCTCCGTCGATCGCTCCAGCCTGCCTCCCGGATCCCCCGAAATTCGCGACAAGGCCGATGTGCCTCGCGCCCTCAGCAACATAGGCATTGGAGAGCTGCTGGAGCAGGATGGACGCCCTACTTTCATCGTCGACCTGGGCGAGCCCGCAAACTACGGCGCCGGCTACCTGGCTGTGATTTTTGCCAATTCTGCTCTGCGCGCGAGCATCGGCCTCCTCGACCTCGTGAGCGGCAGGATTGTGCATGATTCCCAGGATTCAGCCACTTTCAAAGCTTATACCCAGTTCAAGACATGGGTCTTGAGTGCCGTTGTGCACGGCGAGTCCTTGGACGTCTGCATTCCCGGCATGCTCTACGGCGGCCTGTCGTGGACCATATACACCATCCGGAAGAAGTATCGCGTTGTGAGTGGAAATTATGCTGCCTCGCCCACGTCCACCTCGACTTCGTCTCTCCCGAGCTCTGTGGCGGTGCCGCAGCCCACGTCTGAAGAGCGCTTTTCAAGGGGGGAAAAGCTTGGTCCTGCTGATACCGAAGGCCTGGTACTGCCGAGCACCGAGTCGGATGCAACCGACTACTTCGGCCTCGCTCCGGGCCCTCCACCGGACGAGAGACCCGTTACGCCCCATACCGCAGAAACTATGACGACCGCAACCACCGTGACCACCACCGTGGAGCCCGCCGACATCCCGCAAACCCCAGCCGGCCTGACCGGACGCCTCTTTGGAACCACCTCAGATGCATCCTCCATTGTCTCCCACCCCTCGATATCAAACGAGTGCGTTCTCCGCGCTGCTGTTGCCGGCAACGTTGATTCATTTGAGTACAGTAATGACCCGAATTCCAGGAAAGAGATTGGCTTCTTCGACTGGACCCGCCTACCAATCGACTCCGACCTCCCCAAGCACATTCAGTTTGCTCGCAGTATCGACTGGGCATCAACCCCGTTAGGTCCAATTGAGTTCTGGTCTGCTGACTTGCGACAAATGTGTAATTTGATCATGGCTAGTCCACACCCTGCAGCTATGTACTGGGGAGACGACCTTGTAGCAATATACAACGAAGCATACATATTACTCGCCGGACAGAAGCACCCCACTTTAATGGGCCAAAGCTACAGAGATGCTTGGGCAGAAATTTGGGACGACGTTAAAGATGTTTTCGCCAGTGCCAAGACCACCGGCCAAGCCACAATGAAGGTGAGTTTTGTAGCGAATGGTCCATTTGAGCTGGTGAGTGTTAACTTGCCCCTCTCAGGACGATGATTGTCTCTTCATCAAGCGAAGCAATTATCTCGAGGAGACTTACTTTTCGTGGGCGATAATCCCAATGATTGGGGGTGACGGGACCGTCATGGGACTCTACAATCCGGCGTTTGAGAAGACTCGACGAAAAATCGCCGAGAGACGGATGCTGACCCTTCGCGAAGTGGGCGAGCGAACCGCCGTTGCCCGTGACGTTAAATCTTTCTGGAGCCAGGTTATGAAAGCGCTAGCAAGCAACGAATACGACACGCCATTCGTCCTCCTATACTCGGTCATGGACGATTCCGACAGCGATTCTTCATCCATGCACTCGAGCAGCGTTTTCGGCACCAAGCAATGTTTGTTGGAAGGATCAATGGGTGTACCGTCGGGGCACAAGTGCGCACCAGATCAACTGGAGTTAAAGACGAGCATGGATGGGTTTGCGCCTGTACTACGGGAGGTAATGAAGACGGATAAGCCTGTTTTACTGGAAATTGGAAGTGGTGATTTGCCCTCAGAGATGATGGAAGGGATTGGGGGCCGTGGCTTCGACGATCCCGTCCAGTCTGTTGTGGTCTGTCCCATACATCCGACTACTGGAGAGTCGATCCTAGGATTTTTGGTCCTTGGCGTGAATCCCCGACGGCCCTACGATGACGACTACAATTTATTTGTTCAGCTCCTGAGCAGACAGCTGGCCACGTCTCTGGCCTCTGTCGTTCTTTTTGAGGAGGAGATTCGCCGGGGTCAAAGAGCTGCGAAACTGGCCGCGCTGGATCGGATGGAGCTGTCGGAACAGCTGGCCGCTCGGACCCAGGAAGCAAGAGACAGCGAGACAAGGTTCACCCGTATGGCCGAGTTTTCTCCCGCCGGCCTCTTCATCGCCAATTCGGAGGGCCACATCATTTACTGCAACGACACTTGGTATGAGATATCCCGAGTGCACAAGGACACGGCTAGCACGGATCGATGGATAGACGCGGTCAAACCTGAGGATCAGCAGATGGTCACCTCCCTCTGGCATACTTTGGTTGACAAGACCGAAGCCGTTACGGCAGAATTCCGCTTCAAGGCGCCGTGGGAAGATAAAAACGGCAACTCGACCGACACTTGGGTCCTATTCAGCGCCTACCCGGAGAAGAACTTACAAGGCACTCTCAAGAGTGTTTTCGGCACGATTACAAACATTAGCCAGCAGAAATGGGCCGAGGGCTTCCAGAAGAGGAAAATGGAAGAGGCTGTCGAGCTTAAACGGCAACAGGAGAATTTCATCGATATTACGTCTCATGAAATGAGAAACCCTCTCAGCGCCATTTTGCAATGCGCCGACGAAATCTCAACCTCTCTCCTCGACTTCAAACAAAGCGGATCAAAGGTGATCGACGAGGAGCTCGTCACTAACAGCATCGATGCGGCTCAAACGATCGCCCTCTGCGCACAGCATCAGAAGCGTATCGTGGATGACGTACTCACTTTGAGCAAGCTCGATTCTGCCATGCTTCTCGTCACACCTGTCGATGTTCAGCCTTTGACTGTTGTTCAACGAGCGCTAAAAATGTTTGAGGGAGAATTGCAGACGGCCGACATTCAAATGGAGTTTATAGTGGATGAGTCTTTCAGTCGGCTGGGCGTTGATTGGGTCAGACTGGATCCCTCACGTGTGTTGCAGGTGCTAATCAACCTGACAACTAACGCCATCAAATTTACCACGACCGAGGCCAGGCGGACGATCAAAGTAACCATCGCAGCATCGACGACCAAGTTTTCTCTTTTGGATAACAGACTCGTCAACTACTTTCCGACGCGTTCAAAGAGAGTAGACATGACACAGGGCCCAGACTGGGGGACAGGCGACGATATCTACGTACATTTTGCCGTGCAGGACACGGGCCGCGGTCTCAACGAAGAAGAGAAGAAGCTCCTCTTCCTCCGTTTCTCCCAAGCCTCACCCCGCACGCACGTCCAATACGGCGGATCCGGTCTCGGTCTCTTCATTTCCCGTGAGCTTACCGAACTCCAGGGCGGCGAGATTGGTGTATCATCCGAAGCGGGTAAAGGCAGCACCTTTGCTTTCTACGTCAAAGCGCGGCGCAGCAGCCCGCCCGCCGATCCAGTCGAGCAACTACCGGTCAGCCTGTCGCGCGCGCCCAGCGACCCGCGCGGCAAGCGCACGCAGGACCCCATCATCAAGACCAGGGACTTTGCGGCCCCCGTGCCAAGCCGGCCCACGAGCGGCGCTGGCGGCGTAGCGAATAGCGGTGGTGGTAGTAGTAACCAAAGAAGTCATGGCCAGCAGATCCGTGACCGGAAGGACATCACGGTGCTCATCGTCGAGGACAACCTGGTCAACCAGAAGGTGCTGCAGAAGCAGCTCAAGAACCAGGGCTTCACGGTGCACGTGGCCAACCACGGCGGCGAGTGCCTGGACCAGCTCTGCAACTCGACGTACTACTACCGCGCCGCGTCCAGCAGCGAGACGTCTTCGTTGTTGGAGCTGTCGGTCGTGCTCATGGATCAGGAGATGCCGGTCATGGACGGCTTGGCGTGCACGCGGACGATCAGGGAGTGGGAGGAGGCCGGGAAGCTCATCCGGCACGTGCCCATCATCGCCGTGACGGCGAATGCGCGGGCGGAGCAGATTGCTCAGCTGATGGCGGCGGGGATGGATGATGTGGTGAGCAAGCCGTTTAGGATTCCGGAACTGGTGCCGAAGATTGAGGAGTTGGCGGGGAGGTTTAAGAAGGATGATGACGATGATGAAGAGGAGGGAGAGAATTAAAGATTGTTGTATGGTGGAGCCTTTTTGCAAGTTGTCATCAAAGAGGAGGAATTGTAGAATTATGGGTTTTACTTCGTTTCTGCCTTCTTTTTCGTTCCCGTCTTCCGTTTTGTGGCGGCTGTCGAATTTGTTGTCTTTGTTTTTTGTTGTTTTCGACTGGAGCGAAATGATCTTTGCGGCACGGCGCAAATCTAGATTGGGGGGACAGCTTACAGGCAGGCACGCACATACGGGAGGGATGAAAAGTGGGATATGGGTTATGTTTTTACGGTTTGAACGGTTGGCATTCTGCATTGACGGCTGTTGTTATTGCGACATTTAGCAAATTCTCTTCTACGTTTCGTTTTTGCTTCTTTTAGAAGAGAACCATGTTTAGTATTCCTGGTGTAGAGATAGGAAGTACTTTCTTCACTTTCGTTTTGTTTAGCTATACCACACCCCGGTGGCGGGAGCGGCGCGGTTGGGTTTGGCCCTTTTGATTCAGGACTTTTGGCGAATTCGGCTTTTCTTTCCTCAGAGAATGTTGGCGACATATCCTTCGGCTTCCATTACTCGTTGGGGAAAATTCAAGGGCGGCACGGCATGGCAATGGTATGTACGAAAGAGAGAGAGATTTTCAAGGTGGGCTGCTGGACTTGCTAAGAGCAATTCTCTAGTAACGCCACCCTTTCTTGGTCGAGGCTGAAACGGGTCCACATGAGTGGTCGGGTCTTGTATGCAGGAAGCCGGGACCTCTATCAAATGATCACATACTCGCTCAATCTGTAACATTGGCTATCGTTACCCCGTCCAGGCTGCTGCGGTGCAGACTCGCACAGCGTAAGATGCATCTGCGCAAGCCAGGATTGAAGCACACCATGTAAGTCAGCGTGCTGCTGTCTGTTGAAGAAGAAAAAAGCAAGGTGTAGGGCTGGGAGATGGTGGTACTCCGGTTGAGCTACTTGGTATTTTTAGCGCACGAACCCACATGTATAGCCCTGCCAGAAACGGACGGACGAAAGGGCTATTTGAAATACTTTGCTCAAGGAAGGTAAGTGGACGCCACATGCGAGAATATGGTACGTTTTGAGAGATAACGGGGCAGGATGCTCGAAGCGCTTACTCCTAGCGCCCGTGAAGTACATGGGATGTTAATGCCTCTCCGAGTCTACTGCACTCGGTCAAGAGTCATGAGTGCAGTTGAGGTGAGGTCGGAATCAAAGTGGCTTGCGCAGAGATTCCGATTCTAGTAACGGTAGCAGATGCAACCTCGTCAGTCGGCGATTGTTATCACCGACGACTTGCCGGCCTGAATGCTGTCAGAGAAGTATTGTTTTCGCGTGTAACTGAGGTGGACTGAGGGAGCTGACGGGGCTGCAGCTAGACGGTTTTAGAAGAGGCCGGAAGCTTTCACCACCAATGCTTGATTTCCGCACACCAAGGCCAAGGACCGGTTGAGGGAGGAGAGCTACGGATGTGCATTGCAAAAGTTTCTGCAGGCCAGTCCCGAGGTGCAGCAAGGCTGTGAACGAGAATTCCACACGACGGCGTCTCGGAGGTCGGGGAATGGGTGCATAACGTTGTTACAGCCGTAGGATTGTCCGAAGCTACGTGGTTGTATATGGTTATGCTGGTAAGCATGTCGCATGCAGGTACGTGCAGCCGCGGGGAGTTCCGTACCCTGCGGCTTACTGCATCTGACTGGTTGGCTGCTGCTTTCACCGGACAATGCAGAATACGAAGGGCCAGTCCACGGCCACCCGCAATGTGCGTCATGGCCTCTGGCATGTCCTGTGGCGACGGACGCCGCCCCCACACGCACACTTGGCCGTATCAGCACGCGCAGTGCCTGGAAATCAGGGGTCACAACAATCTTGGCTAGAGCGACACCCGGCGCGGTGGGAAGCGATGCAAACTGACGTCATGGATTCATTGCTAAGTGCGGAATACAAGGTATTAGAGAGCTATAAGGAGGGGCTTGTACATATGTGAAACAACAGCGAACGCCCCACCACCGCCCCCGGAAAACCCGAAAGAGGAAGACGAAAAGGAAAAAGTAAAAACTGATTCAAGCGGCCGTTGACACCATCTCAGCCCGCTTCTCGGGCTGCTCTGCCACAACGGCTCCACCAACGCCGTTCCCGGCGCTCTGCTGCGCCGCAGCCGCAGCCGCAGCAGCCTTGGCCGCCGCCGCCGCCGCCATGGCCTCCTTCTTCCTGGCCATGCCCTCGAGGAAGCGGCGCGACGACTCGGTGTAGCGGTTCACGCGGGCGCTGTTGCGCTCCTCGGGCCAGCCCTCGAGCATGTCGGCGCGGCACAGGCTGTCGAGGGTCATGTTCAGCCACAGCTCGTTGGTGAGGTGCGGCAGGCGCTGGTAGAACTGGTCAGTCATGGGGGTGGCGACCTTGAGCTGCGTCTCGCAGTGGAAGTGGGCGCCGTTGACGACGCTGGCGGCGCGGGCGTGGCGGCGCTGCTGGTAGGTGGCCAGCAGCTGCTCGACGTCGGACTGCGGGACGGCGGTGCTGCTGCTGGTTTCGGGGCAGCTGAAGAAGTCCGGGTGCGACGCGCGCAGGGCGAGCAGGAGGCTGGTGAAGCACGCGGCGGATTCCATGGCTTGCATGGCGCCCATGGCGGCGTGAGGGGTCATCTGTTGTTTCGGTTGTCGGCCTTGTCAGCGAACATCCTGTGCATCACTTTGCAGGTGGTGGTGTTGTTGTTGTTTTACCTTGTGCGCTGAGTCACCCAGCAGCAGCATGCGGTCCCAGCACCACACGTCGGCAACACCCTCCTCCAGTCCCGTCATGACGGCGACGCGCTTGGCGCCGAAGACGTCGGAGAACTTGACCCCCGGCGTGACGGTCGCGTCGGCCACGAGGGCGTAGGCCGCCTGGAGATCGTCGTCCGTGTACTTCCTCTTGGCCGCATCGAAGCCGATGGTCTCGTGCAGATCGACGAAGAGAAACCAGTACATGGTCCCGCCCGCGCCCGAGAAGATCAGGACCGACGCGCCGGATTGGTGGATGGTGAAGGCTCGCCCCGGGTTGATCTGCGGCAGCGCGTTGGAGATGCCGTACACGCAGCCGTATTTGGTAGCGAAGTCTGCAGCAGTGGTCAGCATGAGCAAGCTTATCATGCATATGGTTGGCCTGCAGCATGTTGGCAGGATTCTCGACGTACTGTCAGGTGTCTGGTGGAGCTGCGGCAGCGCACCCTCGATTTCCCGCCGCACAAGACTCCGAATGCCGTCGGCGCCCACTAGGAAGTCGCACTTGACCTGGTCGCCGTCGGTCGTGGTGATGGTGGCGTGACTGCTGCTGCTCTGCACCGAGCACACCGTCTTGCCCGTGAGGATGCGGGTTTTGTCCTTGACGCCCTCGTAGAGGATCTCGAGGACCCGCTGTCTCTCCATGAAGTATCCTCCGTAGCCAAGGCTTGCATTTGAATTAGCACAATTTGTAGACTTGTTTGGAGGGGGTTTGCACTCACATATCCGGGTAGGACCTCATTGCGTGCAAAGTGTTGTAGAGGGTGCCGTTGCCGTCACGCAGCTCCCAGTAATCGTGTGCGACTGCGTACTCTTCAACCTCGTCAATGAGTCCGATCTGATCAAGAATGCGCAGACCATTCGGCATCAAGCCGAGACTGGCTCCCTCTGGGGGAGCAATGTCATCGCGAGCTTCAAAGAGAGTGTACGAGATTCCAGATTGCTCGAGCATGTTGGCGAGCGTCAGGCCAGCCGGGCCGCCGCCAATGATGCCAACAGTAACACGCTGCTCGGATGCCATTTCGATGATTGTGGTAGTGCTTGAGTGCGAGTTGGTAGAGAAGATGTTGGTCAAGTTCAAGCAGTACCAGCCTTCATATCTCGACAGTCTTTATATACCTCACTCTGCCACATCCGTCGACCGGCATTGCTTTTTGACATGAGCTTGTTTCCCATCTAAAGCCAAGAGAAATGAATATAGTTCGGCCGAACTCTATTGCATATGTTGGGCGCCTTCGCACGAAGGGGTTCCCGGTGACCACCCCCACAGGACCCGAGTTGACCACCCCTGGACGTGCCTGAAGGCGGGCTGACAGAGCTATCACTCGGCCCGTGTCGGGCCCCCGGCGCCGTGCTACCGCTTTAGCTCCATTTTTCCCTTTTGGGAATCCCATGCGATGGTTACCGTCGTCGTCAACCTTCTAGCGCTTATGACATCAGTTCAAATCGGCAAGCTGAGTCGATGCCGCTTACCTCATTGGCACGTAGCATCGAGAGGTGGCTTCCCCGCAATGATACAAGCCTTGCGTGTTGACAGCGTGATCCCCACGTGGTTGACTCGATCGTGGTTAAGCATATAGTTAAGCGGTCTTGGGCCACCGGCTGTTGCACGAGTAGGGCTGTGAACATGTCTCGGTTTGTACTTCCGCTTCCTGCTCAGCTGATACCAACAGCTCCCGAAACCAAACATGTATCGTTCGGAATTAGGATCTCTGAATCCTTTTGGCTTTGCCACAAATCCCCTGAAATATCCTCCGTGGCTCGCCTAGCCTGACGGCTGCGCCCAGCAAAGATGCCGGGTGTCTCTCTCCAAAAGGTTCTCGGCATAGCCTCAACCGTGTCATCCTGAAGGCAGCCGTCCGCAGTGATTAAGGCCCCTTTTTCCGATTTCACTGCAGTCCAAAACAGCTGGTATGAGACACGCAACACAATTACAGTAAATGTAAATCTACCAAGTGTTTCGGGTCGCTGTTTTCATGATGCTCGCGGTGCTGAAAGGATCTTTAAAACTACTAAATTTAGCTTATATCTCTATATTTATACGAGGTGGTCGATTTAAACTTATTTTGAGTATCCGCGAAAGCTGATATTCCTTTATCACGGATAGCCAAGTTGATTTGCAGAGACTAATGCTTCTCAATTTCGCGCTGGCCCACTAGAATTCAAAGCTCGAGCTGTATTGTGATGATGTATCACGAAGAGAGGCGCCACTTTGTGTTGATAGTGAGGATGTAAGCACAGCGGATCTGCACCACCCCAGTCGTATGATTCGTGTCGGCTCCATTAGCAAAGATGGTAGCCAGGGAAAGACTAAGTCGTCAGCAAAAACCCAAAGGTATTCGTTTCTATTTACGCGGAAGCTCAACCATGCAGTTCGTCTTTAGTTTGGAGCTAGTGCGGCACTTACCTATGTGGCGTTGATCTGTGGTAATCGAGGTTGATGGTGCGCCACCCTGTGATTGGTCTGCTTTCACTTCAATCTACAAATTGCAGCCTTGCTATTGAAAAAACGAAACTGCTTTAGATAATATTTCCGATCCGCTAAGAAGCTTCCTCTCCCTTTATTTCTTAAAAGAAAATATGTGCCACTTTAGATGTAAGATGGATGTTCCGAACAGCATGCTTAGTCGGAGATATCCTTGCCATAAAACGAAAACACACGGCATCTTCGGCACCATTGGAATGCTACTGGGGAACATGTGAGATTCCGCGAAGTGAGTACGCTCATTCGAGTAACCACGTCCAGCCTTTCAGCCCTGTCATCTGCACCCTACCGCTTAACGTTCACTAAGACCTATAATAGAAAGAATAATGTCAGATTCAAGCAGCCCGATCCACCGTTTCAATCTGACTTCGTATTCTCCTTTGAGTGGCGTCTTTCTGCGTAGTACAGTCCCACACATCATGGGAGTACAAAGTCCCTCGAAACGGCACCGCACACCGTTTCCCCTCCCTCCCTACGAAGAAACTCAAACATCCTCCTTCAAGCCGACCATCTCTTTACTAATCTTCCAACACTTCTCCTCGCTCTCCTCGTCAAACGCCCAGGGGGCATACCCCTTCTCAGCCATATTCCCAGACATGGCAGCCTGCTTCTCCTGCAGCTGCACGTCCTCGAGATACTTGCCGCCGCGGCCCTCCCAGGCTTTTCCGATAGCAGCCCAGACCTGGGTGGCAGCGCCCTGGGCGGGGCTGAGGGTGGTGCGCAGGATCTCGGGGTTGCTCCACGACGCGACGAGGGCCGGGTCGAGGTGGACCTGCAGGCCGGTGGAGATGCCGCCCGGGTGCAGCGACAGGGCGTGCAGGCCGCGGGCGCCGTAGCGGCGCTCGAGGGCGTTGGCGGTCCAGATGTTGGCCGACTTGGCGTTGGAGTAGGCGAGCCACGGCTCGTAGGGCGTCGTGGCGAAGTTGACGTCGTCGAGGTTGGGCCGCGCGAAGCGGTGGCCGGTGCTGCTGACGTTGACGACGCGCGAGGCGAACGAGGGCGTGCTGGAGGCGAGGAGGGTGGGCAGGAGCAGGTTGGTCAGGAGGAAGTGCGAGAGGTGGCAGACGGCCCACTGCGTCTCGAAGCCGTCGATCGTCTTGCCTTCGGGCGTGGCCATGACGCCTGCCAGGAGGTGTGTTAGCGGGAAGGTTGCGATTGAAGTGACGGGGGGTGCGGATTACCAGCGTTGTTGACGAGCACGTTGAGCTTGTCGCTCTTCTTCAGGAACTCGGCGGCACCGGCGCGCACCGAGTCGAGCGAGTCCAGGTCGAAGCGGAGGAGCTCGATCTTGCCCTTGCCGGGACTGGTGGCGAGGATGTCTTTGACCACGGCCTCGCCTTTCTTGAGGTCACGCACGTGCATGAACAGTGTGGCGCCCGTGGCGTGCAGAGCCCTCGCGGTTTCGATGCCGATGCCAGAGGAGCAGCCGGTGACCAACATGACCTTGTCCGTCATGTTGTTCACACGGCCCTCGTCTTCGACGACCTTGAGAGCTGTAGGCCGCGCATCTCCAGGACCCTGGGGGTTCTCAAAGAGAGAGCTGTACGGGGCAAAGGTAGAAGTCATGATTTGGTTGATTCAGTAGTGATGAGTTGAAATGAACAATATACAGAAAGAAGGCTGCAAACTTATATACTTTTGGCATTGCTCGCGTTATTTCCTGTTCTGGCCAAGTCACAAGTGTGGTGCTATACAAATCCGGAAATTAACTAATCCGGAATTTTGAGGCTGGGAGTCTGGGATCATGTGTCATTGTCGTGGAGTTTTAGGTGGTGGACGAAAAGCTTCGCATGAATGGTCGGGGAACAGACCAGTCCGGAGGTAGGATACAGGCGGGGACGCCCTTAAGTCCGTGGCGGCGCTGTGGCTGACGACTACAACGATGCCTAATGGCAAGGATACTTTCTTAGCTCAGGTCATGTCTCCAAGCAGCGTGTTGCCCGTCTGGTTGCATGGTTTGAATTGTAGAGGAATTAAAGAAGCGACGTTTAGTACATAGTATGCAGTTGAGACGACCGGCAACCACTTTCTCCACGGTCCCCCTCTCGGTTCCGAAAAAAGATTCGCCGGCCTGGTCAGCTCCGCACCTCAACACTCACCATGGCGCAACCATTCAGTTTTGGCTTTTCAGGCGACGATATAGAGGTTGATGCCGATGTAGACCAGGGTGCCCCTGCCGTGGCTCCCACGGCCGCAGCCGCCTCTGCACAGCCTCATGTTCCAGCCCAGACCCATAGTGTGGCCGAGTTGGTATGTTTACTGCTTTCTGCAATATGCGCCATTTTCGTGCAAAACAGTCTTCGACCTATTTCATTTCTACCTTCCCTTTTCGCTCTAATTCGCCGCTTCAGCCCGTTTTAGCATGTCGACACTGACTCTGTTCCTCAGCTGCAAAGCCTACCGGACAAGATATCCTATGCAACCCAGGAAGTCGAGGCGCCGAGCGGCAAGAAGCTCAGCCTACCGCGCCGCGAGCTCTTCGACGTCCGCGTGCAGCTGATGGCGGAAGACGATGGTTCCGACCCAGAGCCCATGACCGGCTTGGACGAATCCGACATCCGGACCAACGTCTACGAAGGCGGCTTCAAGACGTGGGAATGCTCCATCGACCTCGCAAAACTTCTCCTCGATCGCGGTCCGCGCAAAGACCTCGACGACCTCTGCCGCGTCGACCATGTCATCGAGGTAAGCAAGAGCCAACCCGCTTCATCCGCAATCACGTGCCTGACCTAGTCCTTCGCCGCCTAGCTGGGCTGCGGCACCGCCATCCCCACCCTCGTCCTCTTCCACTACGCCCTCACCCAATCCCTCCCCCTCTACTTCACCCTCGCCGACTACAACGCCTCCGTCCTGCGCCTCGTCACCCTCCCCAACCTCATCCTGACCTGGGCCTCGACCCTCCCCGCCGACTCGCCGCTCTTCACTCCCGAAACCCCCAACCCGTTCCACAACGACGATGGCGAGGGCCACGGCGACCTCTACCTCACCCCGGCCCTCCTCGCCGCCTTCCAGGACGCCCTCGCCGCCAACCCCCTCACCCTGACCCTCGTCTCCGGCTCCTGGGTCCCCGCCCCCTCCTTCCTCTCCCTCGTGCCGTCCTCGGACCAGATGAACACGCTCATCCTCGCCTCCGAGACCATCTACAGCCCCGCCGCCCTGACCGCCTTCGCCGATGCCTGCGTTGGCTTGCTGCGCAGGGTGCGCCTGGGCAAGGCCATGGTGGCTGCCAAGCGCGTGTACTTTGGTGTCGGTGGCGGCGTCGATGCGTTCAAGGAGGAGGCGGCGGCGAGGGGCGCGGTGGTGGCCGAGGTGGAGAATAGTGGGGTGGAGATGGGCGAGGGGACTGGGGTGCGGAGGTGTTTGTTGGAGGTGCAGATGATGTGAGGTCGGGTGGAAGCTGGGAAGTTGAGCAGGTGATGAGGCAAGGGGACGTGTGTATAACGTAGACTTTAAAAGAGGCCTGACGGTTGTCGTTGGTTCTGCAAACTGATACTTTTCTACTCCTTTGCAGCAAATCGTCTAGACATCGGCAGCGACTTTCCGGCCCTTTGCAGTCTCAGATTAGTTGGCTTCTTCTCGTTCAGGTTTCCCAGGATTTCGGCGACAACCCCAATGGCGATCATCAACTACGGAAATCGGAGCCAAGCACCCACATCGTCTCATGATGCATCACATCGTCTCATGATGCTATCCTTCACATCTGGAGTTCATATTCAAATCCAGTGACTTTCGCGTGGCTTTATGGCAGAAGTTAAGGTAACACCAAGTGCAGATTCAAGCCCTGTCCATCCTCATCGGAAGCTTGGCCATGGAACTCAGTATGAGCGGAAAGGCGGCATTCGAGGTTTAGGGGCTGTGTCTTAAAACTAAATCACTTGCCTAAACACCGTCGCCTGACAGACCATCGTCATGTTCCATCCTGTGCTGCAAGTGAAGAGCCAAACTGCACGTGTGCCCCGTTCAATGAGAATTATCCTAACCTGAGCTCCGCGGGAAGTCTTGTGTTTTATGCTATAAAAGACTCAACACCCAGCTTGACTGTTACCGAGCCCCTCATTCAAATGAAATAGAGATAGTAATGCGTCTACTCCGCACGTACTCTGCTCCAGTTTGGCTCGCCAGAACATGCATTCCTGTCATGGCAGCCAGGTGCTTTCGCATCCTTCTACGAGCCAATCGCCCGGCCATTCGGTTTATGATGTGTGTATATTGCGGTGCAGCATCTGCGCGTAACCATGATTTTCCACTTCCCATGTACATCGTGAGGCGCACTCACCCGGTTTTCTAAGACGCCGAGAGCTTGTGACACGAACTATATAGAGCCAGTTCGGACGACAACGTGATGGCAAAATAATGCGGTATACTTATTTCAGCTTACAGTGACTGCTGCTCAACCCGCAGTGCCGAGCTTGAAAGTAATCTGCCGCTAGAAAACGATATATTATAGTTAATGGAATCCCAAGAAAATCCGGTTGGCAGATACGCTGTAGCATCCACGTGTTTTGAAGGACCTTCACAAGGCACATGGCTTCGTCATGCGGGTTTGACGGCACCTACGTACGTGGTACTCATTTCTTTTGAGCACGCGGCTGCACATCAACTTCGATGAAACTCTTCGGAGATTCCTTATGAGGGCTCCATGGCAGTACTTAAGGCTGAAGACCATGGCTCCTAGAAAGCCAAGGGTGGATCATTACGAACCATTGCGTGCTTGACTCATCATCTTCCTGTTTGTCACTTTTGGCTAGGTGGCCGAAGACTTGGCGTTCAACACACTTACCTGCAACGATTTTTTCAGCAAGAATCGTCTACGGTTGGGATACTGTATGTATACAATGAGAGCTCTCAGCAGTGAAGACGGACGATGAGTCTCATCAAGGTTTACCCGTGGGAAAGTTGGAAACAACCCCAGGCAACCTTTCCATAAAGAGAAGGAAGCTGGTGTAGTGCGTGCAAGTCAAGCGATGTTCTCTTTTTGAGGCCATATTGGCAGTGACTAATGCAGTATTATTTATTTACTAAGACACATTTCAAAACGGGCTGGTATGGACGAAGCATTACTGTTTTCGCCTCAACTTGCATTGATGTAATTTTTGGTATGGGAGACACCACTTCCCGTTTATCTCATTGTTGGTTGAGGAGAATTATGATAGTAACGATGGAATGCTAAGACCTTCCCAGGTAAGCATAAATGCCCCTTGAATATGTGAGCCACTTCGCCTTTGGAAGCGTAAAATCGGAAGTACCATTAGATACGAATGATGTAGGGCTCCATTTTCATTTTCTAAGATACTACCGCCTCCCGGTCTTATAAACTAAATATAGATTTATCTTCAGGCCCAGACGCCAAAAAGTACAGGTCCCTTGAGTTTTGTGTGTTAAACAGCTCGATCGCTGGTCTACACAGTTCTCATGTCAGCCGAGGATCAACAAAGCCTTTAAGTAGAAGCACAGGTGAACATTTGGGTTGAAATGCGCCACAACCAACCAGGCCGTGACCCGACTACGACGGCATCATGTGCTGCTTAGGACTCCGAAGATCCGCTTTGCATGGAGATCGATCGACCAGCAGATCTGTCTAGCGAAACTCGTTACTTAAAAGACGATCTCCGCTTCAACTTCTACCCATGCTTACAGTCGAGCACTTCACTGAGGTCAATTTGACTAACAAATATGATTGCGGCGCAGCTACCCACACTGGGCGCCTGCTGCCGCTAAAAGTACGACTCCCTGCCTCTATTTGAAGCAAATCTTGCCTCCTACCTCAACCGTGCTACATAAAGATACTCACTATCATTACGTTGAGATAAGTAAGACCAGCAAAACCGTACAATGCTGCCATTCACCACGACGAACTCAATTGCAAACGATGATCTTCACTCACTAGACACTTTGCTCCACAAATGGGGTTCGAAGGTTCGAAGGGGCACAGCGCCAGTGAACCATGACACTCCGTGGCCTAACGAAAGGTTCGCAAATCAATAGCCTCGTTTCGAAAAAGCAAAGAATAAGACATGAGAAACTTGACCGCTTTTGACCTTCCACGACCCCCCGCACCCGCCCCGACTCTCGCACCCGCGCACCTGCTTAGACCCTGCGGCTCAATCATTGCGATCAACCCTCGTGACGTTCCGCCGCTCACAATACCCCGTGATCATCTGTCCGCGACCTTGCACCCCTGCTTCCACTCTATAAAACTACAGCTGCATTCCATCCACCCAGATCCCCTTTCGCCTCCCAAAGACCTCAGAGAATATGCGATCAGATGTCTCAGGCACAACCGCATGGGTCGACTGTTTTTGTTTTTCGTCAACCCGCTCCCGACCCCGACTCGTCATGGACTCTGCTTTGCATTGACTGCGCCTCCGTCGTTGATTCCTGCGGATCACGCATCATCACGAATCAAAGTTGCTGCGTAGCATCAACACTGCATTATGCTGGGGCGTAGTAACTGCAATCGGCTTGTCGAGGGGAATAGGCTACGCCGCCATAGGACGAAGGTGGACGGAGCGAAAAGAAAAGAGAAGCCACAGAAGTGCCCGCATTCAAGTTCTATATTAGACCTCCAACTTCTGTGTTGAAGTTCTGATAACTCGAAGATTGGTATTCGAGAAGCGGTTGAGTAGTATTTATACACGGCGGCCTATGTTTCATGTCGCGTGCTTTCCTATAGATTGTTCGTTCACCTGCATGGAAGCGGAGAGAGTACCCCCGACCAACCTACCAACGCCAACGTCTCTTTCTACCCGTATCCAAACGCCACAATACGAAGCCAAGTCCCCTCTCTCCCTCCCCAACCATTACCACACACCACTCTTCCCCCCAAAAGCACAACAACTACGCAGCCCCGCACCCACCCACCTCCGCAAACGCCCCACCACTCGCCCCGCTCCCACTACCACCACTCTCGCTCGCCGCGTCCTCGATCATCCTCAAGATATCCTCGGCCGCGACCTCGTTCCACAGCCTCCTCACCTCCCTCTTCGCCCTGAAAAGCTCTCCCGCCACGCCCCTGACCTGCCCCGCCGCCGTCTTCGCCAACGGCCACTGCGCCGCCAGCTGCTTCAAAGCGCCCATGCTCAGCCTGATCAGCTCCTTCAACACCGCGTCGGCATCCGGCCCGCTCACGACCCCCGCCGCCACCGCGTCCGCCGACGACGAAAACGACGAGCAGTCCTGCAAGAGGGCGGCGCCACCGTTGTTATTGTTGTTGCTATTGCTGCCGCTGCCACTGCCGCAGATGCCACCGGCGGTGCCGCTGCTGCCGCCGTTGGGCGGGACGAGCGACCAGGCGGAGAGGTGCACGACCGAAGCCATGACGATGGCGCAGGTGAAGAAGGGCGTCAGCTTGGTGAGCGGCAGGATCGGGTGCATCACGCGCACCAGCTGCGACAGCCGTCGCGCCGCCTCGGTGCACTTGGCCGTGTGCGTCTCGCGCGACTGCGTCGACACCAGCGGCGCGCATTGTTTGACGCACGTGCGGATCTCGTCGGCCGAGCGGTACTCGTCCAGGGTGGAGCGAGGTTTGTGGAGGAGAATGGTGCTCCTGCAGGGTGGGAAACGAAAGGAAGCAAGTTAGAAAGAATATGCCCGGTCTACGAATGGAAGGATGGACGGATGGATAAATGGGGTAAAGATTTAGGGGGGCTCTTACGCATCTGTTATCATGTGCGCTTGGAAGATCATGTGGTCGAGCTGGCCGTCGTGGGAGATAGGCTCCCTTTTGCTGTTTGGAAGGTGTAACGACCAATTCACAAGATGTGAGTCGGCACACTCGATTGCGCGGAAATCAAGGACATCTTCGCTTGATACGGCCAATACCCTGCCTAAATTTCGAACGGAGTCAATCCGGTAGGCAAATGACGAGTACTCAACATCGTCTTCCGCAAAAGCAGAGTCATCGTACTCCTCGAGCGTCTTTGACAGAGGGATGTACTAGGGAACGCTTGTGAGCAAAAGCTGAAGGTTGAGCAAGACCGGAAACTCACCCCTGAACCGTACTCATCCTCCTCGCACGGTAGAGGAACGTCAGTCTGAACGTCCCTTAGCCGGAAATTTGTGCGCTGGCTGACACCAGCAAAAAAGCCATCAGCGATATACAGCTCCCACCACGTCCGCCTCCAACTCTCTTCTAGCACACGGTTGCCGCAGCCGTTGCGGATTGCAAAATCGCGATCATTCATGCCGATGGCGAGCGCGATTTCGATGGCCTTCGACAGCATCTCGTCTGCCATGATCGATCTGTCATTGGCCTTGAGCCCGATGGCATAGAGCAGTAGCGCCTGAACCATGAAGCTGTCTCTCGGCAGGCCCTGCTGGAACAGAGTATGGCGAAGCGCCTCCTCTAATAGCTGGGGTGACGCCTGGGGCACGTAGCATGATCCAATGAACTGGATCGCCATCTCAAGATGAGGTTGGCGCTTGGTGCCGCCATTGCACAGAAAGTCAAGCAAATAGCTGCGGGGCATCAAGAATGGGTGCGCTGGAGCGAAGAAGGTGAAGAAAGCGCCGCACACCATGTTCGAGAGGCTGCTGCAGTCGCCCAGCAGATGCCCCACCAGCTTCGGAGCCATGGTGACCTGGCTCTGCGCACCGACAGCCATCCCATCGGCAGATTGAAATGCGAAACTGTTGAACTGGTCTGATGATGGCGATTGATCGCTTCCTGTGAGCACCTCTAGGGCTGGGAAGGACGGCGATTGCTCATGCTGTTGCTCGGGAGGGCTGGCTGAGATACCCGCAGTCGCCGCAAGCCCAGCCGTACATGCTATGAATCGTGGTCAGAACCCGGATGAAACGAGCACGATATGCATGTTTCATGTGTAGAGGACATACCCGGTTGATCCGGACGCGGCTCCCTTGGCGAAGGCCTGCCCATCTGGTCACCAGCAGTCCTCTTCCTCGGGCCTTTGTACCCCTGCGGCGATCGTTAGCGCTATCCACGTAATCAAGCGCAACGCCCTTCATTATTCGAGTATGAACATTGTCAAAACAAGACTGAAGGAGAAAGCATCATCTCACCCTGCGAGACTTGATGTAGCTGCACTCGCTTCCATCGGTGGCGCATCTGGAGCACGGCTCGCCGCCACTGCACTTCAGATGCTTGGACCGGCAGGCGACGCAGGCCAACGGGATGGGCTGTTTTGCGGACGAAGAAGACGCCTGGAGCTGGGGCTGCTCCGGCAGGGCGGGCATTGATGCGGCTAAACCAGGTATGCCGCCGAAGTCGAAGTCAAGATGCGCTGCCATTGCTACCCGTGGTACCCGGGACGTGTGCGACGACGTGAAGGGGGCGGGGTCCAGTCGTCAGGTTGTCTGGCGTGTCAGCCGTTTGATCTGTGGATGCTGACCGAGGCGCCTGGTTGTATGTCCCCAGCGAACATCACTTCTGCACGCGCGGAACGAGGTCTAGGCACGTCGGTGGTGATGTAAGCGAGTGGAAAGGGAAGTTGAGTGGACAAGGCCGAGCGGGATTCCGTTGCAGTCAGCTGCCCGCTAAGCTCGGGCCGGCTCGCGAAAACGCCCGCATGAAGCCTACTGAGCACTTTTGCAACTGTAATTTTCCTGGTTGATAAATGAGTACTATAAGAAGCTCTGCGGAGACCGAGCCGAGCGGCAGACGTGAAGCACGTGAACGCGTCAGGGGACAAAGTTTCATTAGTAGCAGCGCAGTAGTAGCACTGAATAGTAAATGCAACGAGCAGACGGGCAAGCGGCGCGAAAGCTCGAAACATGATGCATTTCTTTGGGGTATCCATGATACCACCCTCCAGCCTCTCCTCCAGAGCAGGCCCCACGGGTGTTTAGCTAAAAGAGAGAAAACCACATAATTTCTTTTTTCTTCACGTCACATCATCCAGAGTAGGGTATTACAACGCTCGGAGTCACAGCTCCGTCATATGCGCAGACACTTCCATCAAAATACGCCGCCGAACCGAGCCCACAGCCAATCGCTTACGAGCTCGGGGTGAAGAAACTCTTCTGATCAATAATGACCATGCCCGCAATACTGGCAGAAGACAATGTCGCCAGAATACCGGTGAGCAGAGCCGAGACGGCAACGCGCGAGACATCGCCGGAACGGGTGGGAGACAACTGGGACAGCACACCAATCTGGTTACCCAGCGAGCCGATGTTGCCGAAACCGCAAAGAGCGTAGGTGGCAATGAGACGGGAGCGGTCGCTGAGCTCCGAGTAGTAGTCATCAGTGGTAAGGTCGCTGTAGGCAACGAACTCGTTGGCAACGATCTTGAGACCAATGAGACGGCCGACACGAAGGAGATCCGCGCCATCCCGGTCACGGCTGACACCGAGCAAGAAAGCGACGGGGTAGAAGACATAACCCAGGATGAGCTCAAGGGTCAGGTCGTAGTTTCCGTCAAGGTTGATGTCTACAAAGATCAGCATCTGCCCTATCAGTTTCACGACACGGAGATTTGGACTTACAGCGACCCCACCAAGTAAGAAGACCATCAATCAGGGCAATCAGGGCGATAATGCAGAGCAGGTTGGCCATGATCATGCCCGCAATCTTAAGACCGAGCCAGGCACCGTTGGCGAAAGCGTGGATGAAGTTGGCAGCGCGGTGCTCATCGTCATCCGGAACAACGACGCGGCCAGCGGTGAGCGTCTCCTCTTCCTCGGGGTAGCGGAGCTTGCTCATGGCGATCGAAGCGGGAATACTCATGACGCAAGACGAGACAAGCGCCTGTGCGTTGATACCCATGCTGATGTACGAAACGAGCACCGAACCAGCAATGGTGGCGAAACCAGAGCACATGACCTGGTGGATTTCGGCCATGGTGAGGTGAGCAACGAACGGCTTGATAAGCATGGCAGATTCACCCTGTCCGATGAAGGGAGAGGCAGCGGCGACGACGGCCTCGGCGCCCGAAATGCGCATGGCCCAGAAGAAGAAGGTCGCGAACTTGCCGATGAACCACTGGATAAGGCCGACGAAGTACAGGAGCTGCACGAGAGAGACGAAGAAGATGATGGCGGGCAGGACAGAGATCAGGAACCAGTGGATCGTTTCCGGAATGGTATCCGTGGTCAAGAAAGCAGTACCCTTGTCGGCAAAGCCAAGCAGCTCACGAGCGAGGGTGGAGATGAAGTTGAAGATGTCGCTGTGCACAGGTTAGATTTACACGCATCAGGAGGGGAGAATGGGGAGAGCTTACTATCCAGCCGTGGTGCGCAGGACGAAGAGGGCAATGATGAATTGCATCAGCATGCCGACAATGACCGTGTGCCAGACAATACGCTTCCTGTTCCTCGAAGTGGCCCACAGAGCGAAGATGAAGACAATCAGACCGAAGATGCTGACTGCACGGTTGGCCCTGGTGTTGTCGCTGCTCTCGGGACTGGCAAATGTGCCAATGAGGAAGACAGCGACGACCAGCAGGGCAGCAGCAGGGGTCCTCAGCTTCTCGGGGATGAGCGCAGTGAAGCGGACCCCCGTGTTGTTCCACACAAAGTGCATGGGCTTGGTGACAATGGTAATCGGGACATGGAAGAAGATGACCCGAAGCGTGACGCACAGATAGAGCAGGAACGGAATGATCCAGTTCTTGTCATGGCGGTGCAGGATCAAGCTTGCGATCCACCATCTGTCGTGCCAGTGTCAGCCCAAAGCTCCGTGCAAAGACGCGTCGTCTCCCGACTCGCGGCGAAATAGATTTTTCCCTAGACCCTGCCGACCGGCCGACACGCCACTCGACCACCACCCACACAAAAATTGCAAAAAAAAAAAAAGTAGTGGCCACGTACCCAGTGAAGAACAGCCAGACGAACAGGTGGAAAAAGATCCTGAATCTGGCGTAGAAGCGGCCAACGGGACCGCGCTTCTTCTCGTCCTCGCCGTGCGCGGCGGCGACCTGGCTGGTGCTGCCCTTTTCGGCATCGTCGATATCGATAACGCCCTCCTTCTCCATGCTCTTCTCGCTGGCACCGCGGTGGTGCAAGTTGGACTGGGCGGGAATGGTCGAGGCGTCTTGGGTAGTGCCGTTGGAGTAGGCAATCTCGTCGCGGTGGCCCTTTTCTGCCGACTCGTCGTGGTGCAGGTGCGGGTGGAAGTGCTCGCGCGACACATCCAGGGCAGGGTCCGGATTGGCCGCAACGTTGGGCTGTGGCGACGAATTGTGCTCGGCGGCCATTGTGCTGAGGGGATGCACGCAGAGGGGACGGCGGCGGCGTACTGCGGAGTGCTGCGTGAAAGAGAAAGCTCCTCCAGTCGACGTCGCGCAGGCCGGGGCTCGTGTAAATAGGAAGCGGCGCGCGACTCGAGCTGATCAAGGGCGCAACGAGCGCCCCAGCTATCGCGACTGCCGGTACCCTTGGCAACTGCCCCATCTAGCTAACGTCCGTTACATCGGCGCCGGGGCGGCTCAGCAGACGGTCTCCTCCGGCCCACTTCGCCCCGGCTCCTGGTGTGCACACTTTTCAGCCGTCGATAGACGCTACCCTTATCAACCCTATCGTCGCACCAGGCCAGCCTGGAGTCCCGGCGCCCGGGTCACACTCGCCACGACGCAAGTTGATTTGCCCGCCGCAACAGCCGCGATAAAGAAGCCCCGGCGCTGACTCCCCGATGCGGCGAAGACTCAGGACGCGGTGGCGTCGCTCCCTCCACGTCTGGCCCGCGGTTATCTTCCCACCCAGCGCCCCAGAGAAGCGCAGCCGCCTTCTGGAAGCTCACCCCCATCTCATGCATGCAATCTTACCAGAGCCCGCCCCCATGCACCCTCAGGCGAGGTCCGATCTGCGCTGTCTGCCCCCGCACCGCGTGCTGATTCGCCCACCGGCCAAACTCTGCCTTCTCCGAGCTTGCCGTTCCGCTCTGGGGCTCATCTCCCGCTCGCCCAAACGCTTTCCCCAGACTCCAATGGCCTCGGGTCCTGGGATCATGGCTGCGGGGAGAGGGTCCACAGCCTGCGCGCTGCTGCAGGTGCAGGCCGTCCTTAAAGGGATCATGCTCGCGTGTGAACTCGCTTGCCGCTGCTGATTCGAGGCAGGGTTCCAACTCCTGTGTCGGAAACGGGAAAAATCACCCGCTGTCTGCTATCGCTCGAGGCAAAGCGGATGGCGCCGATGAAGCATCTCGCTTTGTTGTCTGCTCGTGTCTCTTTCAGTGGCCGTGGCCCAGATAAGAGGAAGCCTCTTGGCCAGCCGTTTCGCGAGAGATTGGCGCTCCGAAAGCCCGGAAATATCCTATCTTTCCGCCGCAACAACTCAGCATATTGTAATGCGATTTCGAACGCATCTCACGGCTCGTCTCCGGCCTGAAGGGCCACTACGCCCGCTTTCAGGAAGTATCTACGTGCGTACGCCTAATTAACGAGGCTCGGCCAATTCCCTGCATGAAGCTTGAACAGATACCGAGGCCTTCTTGCCGCCCGCAAATCTCCACTGACTCGGCACTTAAACCCGTGATGCCCAGTTCCCCATGGATCTCCGTTTGCTTTGCTTCTTTCTCTGGTTCATTGCCGAGGCCCACAATTCAATTGCGCCGGTTCCCTTTCGTGTGTTTCAGACCTACTTTTCGCACATTCGTAAACATACGCGCCAGCTCAGCCTTGCAAGTTTTTCCTTCTTTCTGTTTGCATTCTCTTAGGTAACCACACCTGCTGCTTGCAGGACGCAATGGTTTCGGACCTATTGCTCGGATGATATCTGTACATGATCACGCTGAAGTTCGTAACCTCTCGTACCTAACCTCGACTGCTCTGTCAAGATCAGGTGACCGAAGTCAACATTTTAGTCCAACATGGACGCGTCTCACCCCATCGACTACGAACTAGATCATCTTCAAAATTTCTTTCTCCAACGCTAACTCAAGTCCTATTGTTTTATGACAGCGCGTTGCTTGTCTCTGCCCCTCCTCCCGTAGCGAATACATCTGGGAGCCACGTCGTCGAGACATTCGTCAGCGCTTACTGGTAGTCTCGATCCTTCCCGCTCGGAGACCCCGGACTTGCCGTCATCCACACATACATACATTCGCAAAAGCCAAGAAAAAGGTAACCGTGACATTCGGCGACAGCGGCAGCGTGCCCGCTAGTCCGCCTGAAAATCAAAACGGCTCCCCCTCACATCAGAATGCCGCCATCGCTCCCTTGCATCGGATGGCTATTATGCACCTCATTTCCAACATGCAATGGATCTGTCTATTGCCAGACAATGTCAGTGTTCTGCAGGAGCGGTCCATTCATGCTGGGCCAAAAAGCAGAGTAATCGCTTGCTCTCAGGACCCGCGTTCTCAGCACAAGCCACCGCAGCTGACCAAAAAAAAAAAGTCTTGTATTGTACGAGTACATCTCGCCACTGGTCAAGCAAGCCCTAGTGCCACGGCAGTGGCGTTCTGCAGGCTTTACATGAATGTTCTCTCGTGACGCTGATCTTCTAAGCCGCGTGTAGCCTCCGCAATGCCAAAGAAGAGCATAGGCCAACGACACGAACAACTGGAGTCGGACTGCGCAAGGGGTCTCACGCCATGCAATCGTGATATCTCTAAATAGGTAGACCTTGACGGAGCCGACGAGACCTATACTCGCGTAGATTTGTTTGCAAGTCCCAGGCGGCGCTTATGTCTCGTGACAATACAAGAAATATGGACGAGAATATGGAGGTTGCGGCTTTTACAGACATCAAAACCTCCCAGAGAATACGACCACCAAGTCGATAATTGATTTACAACAAATGTCAGAACGGAAGGTGAAGTCCAGGCAAAAGAATGACATAGCGACGCGCGTGCCTGAGGCTCTGGAATGCGCACGTGCCGAGCTTCCAGATTCACCCGAGCCCCGCGTTGACGTCATCGTGTGCACATCATCCGTTCCGCGTTGGGACAGCTGAAAGCGGGCTCACACGGACAGAGGGGCAGCTGCAGCCCACCCCGCCTTGGAGGGACACGTCAATTGAGTAGACCACAATGCAGCTTCTTCGTTTCATTGACATCATGCCATTCATATCGTCTCGTGAGACTCTAGTACTATGTAGATGCTATTGCGGGCAGTAGCCCCTGCCCTTGCGCGCAGCCGAAGCCATATCGACTGCAAAGCGGGGTAGCTACGCGCGCTTTGTAATGTTCCTTTTCAGGAATTTTGCCATGATGCCATGCCATTAAGAGAAACAGAAAGGTAAAAGAAAAGCCCGTTTCCCATTCGCCTAGTCTTCGTTGGGTATCCGAATGATGTCGTGTTGGAAGTGAGAAGCTTTACGCGACGTTGCCGCCGTAGCCGTGTGCCTGGAGGGAGCCCTTGGACAGGTTGGTGTCGCCGCTGCGGCCCTTCTCCTGTTGCGGGGGTTAGCAATCTGTCTTTCCGATGGTCCATAGGGGGAAGAACATACCTCGACAGACTGGATATCGCCCTTCTCGAGAATCTGCTTGACGACGTCCTCATCGGCGTGCGTACCGAACTCGTTGTCGAGAACAGCGTTGGATGCGGTGTCGAGAATGCCCTGGTTTCCGTGCCTAAATTGACGAGGGATTATCAGCCAGCTGCTCAGTGGAGATGCTTCAAAGGGTGCGAGCGTTGTCTGGTGATGGGGAGCGGGGTAAACTCACTTATGGGTGACGAAGACCTTCCAGCCGTTCACGACCTGTGCCAGAGGAACGGAGCTGTCCTGCTTCCAGTCCTGGACGGCCTTCTCGGAGTCGACGAAGATGACGAAGTCGTCCTCCTTGCCCTTGTAGTGGACCTTGGTCTGAATAGCCTCGCCGCGGGGAGCCATTGTGATGTTGTTGAGATTTGGAGTGTTTGAGAGAGTGTGTGTTCGTGTCGTGGGGTAGAGCAGTGTTTGTTCTTTGTTGCAGATGTGTGATGCAGGCAGCTTGGTGGGATGGGGAGGGGTTTTGTAGCACAACATTAGACATCGACGTCATAGGAGCCGCGCACGGAGCACCCGCCCAGCTGCCTTGCTCTGATCGCAATACCTGGCCTCCAGCCCTGCCCCGCCATCAGCGTTCCATGCCTTTCTGCTGCATCACGTCAACACCCAATCTAACAAACGTGCGCAATCATCCATTCCCCACACCTGCCCGTTCGGCACTTATCCGAGCTTGGCTGATGACACAGGGATATGATTGCACTACACCTTCTATCCAATACACCCAAAAGAAAGGAGCGAAGAGAATCTAGTGTCGCTGCAGAGCCTAGTCGCTGTCGAGATACCCCAAGCACCCGTGCGGGTACCTTGCATGCCTGTTGCGCAATCCGCCGCCGAGAAACGCCTGTTCCCAGAAAAAGAAAAAGATGCGCGATCTGCGCGGCAGGACCCCTCCATACCTCTCCACAGCCAACTGAGCGTCTCTCCAAGCTGCCCCTTGCGCCAAGCCCCTGCAGGTCCCAATGATATCATATCCCAAGATCCCTTAAGCATGCCCAAAAATAACCGTCGTTAGTGCAATATTCAAGGAGTCGAAGCTGAAGCAGATGCCCTGGAGGAGGCCAGGGCCGCCTTATTGTTTTCGTTTCTCGTCGTCCAAAATTTGAACAGCCTCGTGCGAGGTTTAATGAACCGTCTGAGAGGAGACGTCACTGGTGTCGAATCTCTTGGGGGCGGTTGAAGTATCGTGGGTTTCTCAGGTGTAGTTTTTATCTTGACCGACTTGACTTGTGCAGGTAAATCGACAGTAGATCTTTCCACCAGTGCCGGTAAGGAGAGCTTCTTCTTCAGCGTGAAGGATGGAGGCCGCGGTGACGGCGAAAGGCTCATTGCCCGAGGCAGAACACCAGGCGCGATAATTCGATCGCCCGCTCTGTCCGACAAGTACGCCCGGTTGCTGCGTCTTCTGCATTGGTTGCCATGAAGAGGCGTGACGAGCTCGAAGTCGGCAGGGAGGAAAGCATTTGGTGCGGTGTGAAAGTCGACCTTGATTCCCGGGGCGGAGACGGACTTCCGCATCGCAGATGGTGGTGACTTGCGGCGGGGCCTTGACCTTCCCGCCTCTTCTCTGCGGAGCTGGCTGAGACTAGCGTAGCTTCCTGAGCGTTTGGAGAAGTCCGAACGCCTCGAGAAATTGCTGGTAATGCTGGCCATGCTAAGCTTGCGCATGACAGAATTTGCCGAAGCTCGAATAGGGTTGTCGCCGCGCCTCGGACCCATTCCTGGGTAAGGGAGTGTGTCTTTCGTCCACACTTCGCTGATGATCGTCTCCAGCCGGATCCTTTCGCCCCGCCTTGGCGCCAAAGTGGGAATCAGTTTCGACGCTGACAATTGCGAGTGTGATCGTCCCACAGGAAGAGAGGCTGTGGATTGAGACGACTCTGTTCGTTTCTGCGCCTGGGTGTTCTTGATGATTACCTGTTGAGGATGAACCTTCGGCCCCAGGGTCGCGGCCCTACGGATCGACATTCTACGGGTGAAGTTGTTTGCTTGACCGAAGTTGGTTCCAATACTCTTCAAGTCGAGCAACAAAGAAGAGAAAACATCTTGAACACTGCTCCTACCTTCCAGGAGGTCGCTATTCTCGGCGGCAACTCGAGAGCGCAGGCTTGTCTTCCATACCTCTTCTTCTTCGGCAGAGCAAGCGCTGAGTATCACCTCGTAAAGTCTTTGGCCGGACTCGAAGACAAGTTTCCACGTAAACGGTGCGGTATGACATTGTAGTCCTCGTCCATTGTCCGCCGGCTCAATACTTCCATTGGCCAAGGTAATGGTGGCGATGACTTCGTAGTTTGACGAACTTTTATCCGCAAGGGCCAGCAAAAGGCAAGAGTTGAAAAGGATGCAGATCATGTATTTGCCTTCAATCCGCTCATTTGTCTGGTAAGTGACGTGTAAAATCCCACAAAGAGACACATGGCCCAACAATCTTGTTAGAAGTGCGCGAGGAAGAAGTTGGTCTTCCGGAAATATCAAGCGATCTTGCAAAAGCCATGTGGTCTCGATGAGCCTTCGTGTAATTGGATCATCCTTGGCATTGTTGATCTCCTGGTTGGCATCCTTCAGGCGGTAATAGGTCTTCTCTAGTTCTGCATGAGCGACTGGGTCATCCGCGACCGGGGTGTGCTTAAGCAGATCGGCGAAAAACAATGGATATTTGGAGGGCCGCTGAATTGGTTTGATAAGCAGATCGGCTAGCGTCAGACCCTTCCTGCCGCTTGAATCTTTCTTGTTGTCCGACACAAGTGTGGTCGATAGGGCTTCGATGCCTCTTTCATAATCGTTCCAAGCAGAAATTGTTCGGTGCGAAGACTCTAGCTCGCCGCTGACAGACTCGAATTGCGCACTGTACTCCTCATACGCGAAGAATCTTTTCATGTATCTCTCAAAGAGCCTCGCAATATCTGCAACAGTCTTCGTATCTGTGGTCAAAGCGATAGGGGTTGGCTCTTCCTGTTTTCCGAGATCAAGAGAATGGCGTTGCTGCCGGAGGTGAACCGCTAGCCCCACAACACGTCCTGGTACAATATCCACACTGTGCCATCTGGAGTGCTTCGCCTTTCGTGGACGTGTATTGCTCGAAGCGTCGTCATGCGTGTACTCAGAATTCGGAACGATCTTGTGAAGTTCACCCAGAAGATCCTCATGGAGTTGAAGTATCTGTGAGACGTTGCGATGAATCGCGGTCCGTGTCTGGCTTGAAACTGACGGGGCTGATGCAAGAACGGAGAAGTAGACCTGAAGAGAGTCAACGGTTGACCTGCGTGTAATGAAGTGGGCGTATCCTTACATTGACAAGAACCTTCATATCGCCGATATATCCCTCTTCCGAAGCTATAATCTCCTCCACAATTCGCCGTCGATGCTTTGCTCGTTCCAAGACTCGCTCGTCCATGACAGGAGTAATAGACGGATAGACGGAATCACCAGGAATCCTTGTATCCGACACGGTGCTGCTTCGGTGGGCATGGCTTGCACGACTGCGTTTCGTTCCGAACCTGGTGAGGGGAGCAATACTTGTACTGGCCAGAGTGATAGAAGCCGATTTGACGGCAGTGACAAAGGCGAGAGATGACGTCAAAGATGCGGACTTTTTGTGGCCGTCCCGTCTCGGTGTGTCCGTCCTTGGCCTTGGATGTTCCGTCTCCGATCCATCGACGGTCCAGCGTTCGAGGCGCGCGGCGGGGTTCTTCTCGCGGCGTTTGTTGCGACGCCTGAGGGTGCTCACCCATCTCCTGAAAGGAGCTGCCTTCTCATTGGAGTCGGTTGCAGAAGAGCCATCTTCCGTGCTTCCGTCAGCAGGCACTTCATTTTGTGATGGCTGCTCTGGACATGGCATGTCGAATGCTATTCCATACGCATTCAAGGCTTCCGGAACTTCGATAGGCCAGCTGATAGAATCGGTCTCAGAAATCGTGTCATCCCGGATAGTGGAGGCCGCTTCCTGAAAAGTTGAAGCTGGCGATGAGATGTCGTCATCAGACTCGGGATGATGAATCGAGTCTGTCGTTTCCTTGAAGATTTCGCGGACGTTCGGCGAGGGTGGAAGAGGGATGTTGGAAACCCACGATATCTTCTCCGGGAAGCAGTCGTCTGGGACCTCGCTTGTCGTGGTTGATGCCGAGAGCTCGTTGATCAGGTCTAACAATGACCGGGAAGAGAGTTTCGGCGGCGCATTCTCATTCGCCTTGAGCCAGGGACCAGCTTGGATGGAAGCCAATGAGATAAGTGAGGTAGCAGATACGTTGTTAGGTCTACAACGCCGGACGGTATTGGTAGACTCGCTGGACAGGGGCGTGGTTGGACGTAAGTAGGGCGTCTCGCTGAAGGACCGCTTGAGCGGGCTCTGCGCAGGCACCGAGAGGACGTATGTCATGGCTGGGTAGGCAGGTCTGGATGGGTCACAGACGGAGCATTGGCCTGTGGCGAGACATGAGAGATAAAAGCTGGCGTGACGGCGAAGAGAAAAGTTGCATTGCGGTGCGGCAAGCCCAGCTAGACGCAAGGGAAAATGAAAAGGAAAGAGCCAGGAGTACCGGTACTCAGTCGCTGCTAAGGAAAGAACAGGATGCGAGAACGCGTTAGAAATAAGATGCGGGCCCCAGTGCCAGCGACAGGGCAACCGCCACGCAGAGCGCAATTGCTCAGAGACATACGGGCCTACTTCAGCCGGGGTCCAACAATCCGAGGGGTCGCGCCAAGCTCATAATGGATCGACATGGGAGCACGCGGCAGCGGGTACAATTCAGATAGATCAGATTTCGCTGATTGTTGCCGTGAGAGTCGGTTGAGGACGCAACTGAGTCATGGCGTAATATATACCAGGGCAGCGCACGGGCACGACGGTCTGATAAGATTGACGCATGGCTATGTAGTAAGATGATAGCAATTTGCCCTCTATACGAGATGGGAGTGGTGGTGTTGGAGAAGACGAGAGGGCGAGTCACGGCTGGCGTCACAGGGCTGACGGGCGCATGAACTTCGGCAGCTTTCCCCGCCATCATGCGCTCGCCGCCTTGGAGCTCTGGCACAGCATTCTAGGCTCGCAGCACAGGCTCCTGCACACCATCCGCCGGTTCAACGACACGTCCGCCGCATTCCGCTCGAAACCCATGGGCCTCCACATGGACGACTTGCACACTCCGTCGGTGGTCTCTGGCCCCACCACCGGCGCCTCCAATGGCGTCGCCAAGCAGGACATGTCACTGCGGGAGCTCATGGCTGAGAAGGACCGCGTCCAGAGCGAGCTGTCGGCGCTGAGCTCCGTCTTGGACTCGGTACGTAGCCTTTGTCCGCAGGCAGGACTTTGCTGACCAAGCCTGCCTGCGTGAAGCATGGCGTGAACATGAGGACCAGCTTGACCACGTTCGACGGCTATCCTAGGGACGACATCGACATTGCACAGAGTATGTTCCGTACCCTGCTGCTTCCTCCGTGGCACGTCTAATCCAAGCTCGCCAGTCCGGACCACGCGCGCACGGATAATACACCTTCAGAACGACCTTAAAGGTCTCTACGATAAGATCGAGCAGGGATTGCACGCGCACCACGCGTCTCTGAGAGAGGCGGCGGAGGCGACAAACGCTACAGGCAGCGTAAGCACGGCAGGCTCCAGGAGCACGGACGATGCGGCTCTGCAGGCACCGTTCGCGAAGGTCAACGACGTAGTGCCCGGCAGCCCCGCCGACAGTGCAGGCCTCAAGACAGGGGACAAGATACTGAAATTCGGAGACGTCAACTGGATGAACCATGAGAAGCTCAGCAAGCTGGCCGAGACGGTCGCGCAGAACGTGGAGGTGAGTTGCTCATCGAGGAATTTTTTTTTCCTGCAAATTTTCCGGAGACTAACGGACGGGAGCAGAGGCCGATAGCCATTCGAGTGGCCAGAGAGGGCGAAGGCGCCGGGCAGCTAGACCTGCAGCTGACACCGAAGCGCAACTGGGGCGGCAGAGGCATGTTGGGCTGCCACTTGTTGCCGCTGTAGAAAACAGCATGCACAAGGCAGCGGCGTTGGGCGGGAGCGGCTTCGTGGCATAGAGGGAATGGGGCAGTGTATCATTATGAATTGAATTGATGGCGCAGCAATGCATGCAGGCTCGGCTCGAGAAAGCAGGCTTCAGCGATCGCCTGCTGCCTTGCCAACTCAATCGGCCGCCAGCAGTCTTGGCGGAATTTTCCTGATGTAAACAGCCCTGTCACGTGCACGCTAGCTGAGAAGCAAAGGCTGATCACCGTCCCTCACAACAAATCTTCCGACCACTTCACTCTCGCCCTGCTCGTTTGCCGCACGACCATCCCCGAGGCGTTGTGCTCATTCACCGTTCTCCCCATCCGCGTGAGCCTGTCCTGAGACCCTGCGGCCGCCCGTGCATTCTCTGCAGCTCGGCCTACAAAAGAAAATCCCACTAACCGGCCCCGCCCTCTCAGATCCAAACAACCGACCTCACCAACACAACCCCGCTGCATCTGCTCTCACAACATGGCCGACGCCCAGGCTCCCCCGACCTTCAAGCTGGTCCTCGTCGGTGATGGTGGTACCGGAAAGGTGCGTTCTGCGAATTCTCGCCAGCTGGCGCTCGCTGCCGCCGTGTTGCGTCATGTTCCCAGCGACTGCCCCTCAAAACCTTTGCGACCTGTCTCACTGACCCTCTATGCCTGCAGACCACCTTCGTCAAGCGCCACTTGACTGGCGAGTTCGAGAAGAAGTACATTGCCACTCTCGGTGTCGAGGTTCACCCTCTCGGCTTCACCACCGTACGCATCCCCTAGCGCCTGATAACGAGTTTGTTCGAGCCCACACTTACCCGCGATTAGAACCTGGGCGCCATCCAGTTCGACGTCTGGGACACCGCCGGCCAGGAGAAGTTCGGTGGTCTGCGCGATGGCTACTACATCAACGGCCAGTGCGGTATCATCATGTTTGATGTGACCTCTCGCATTACCTACAAGAACGTTCCTAACTGGCACCGTAAGTTTTTTTGCCGCCCCAAAGTCGACCTGAATTCGAAACTGAGACTGTTGCAGGTGACCTCGTCCGTGTCTGCGAGAACATCCCCATCGTCCTCTGCGGCAACAAGGTCGACGTTAAGGAGCGCAAGGTTAAGGCCAAGACCATTACCTTCCACCGCAAGAAGAACCTTCAGTACTACGACATCTCCGCCAAGTCCAACTACAACTTCGAGAAGCCCTTCCTCTGGCTCGCCAGGAAGCTCGTCGGTAACCAGACTCTGGTATGTCCCCTCGATAAGCCCCCCAAAAAAACGCAAAGACGCTGACTAAACCGCCACAGGAATTCGTTGCTGCCCCCGCCCTCGCTCCTCCGGAGGTCCAGGTCGACCAGGCCGTTCTGGAGCAGTACCAGAAGGAGATGGAGGCTGCCTCCAACATGCCTCTCCCCGACGAGGAGGATGCCGACTTGTAGATTGCTTGCGGATGAAGGGCTTGTCACACGGACAGGAGCCAAAACTAATGATTTTTCTGGGCATGCTATGATATCAGGATAGCATTCGGACGGCACGAACATCAGGAAGGCAGCAGTTCTATGTATGGGTTTGCTTGCTAGCGATTTCAATTAGACAGTCTTGCTTGAAATGGAGACGGGCGAGACAGGACCTCCGAAAAATTGACCTCACACGGCGCAGCCAAGCCACAAACATCCTTCCGATTCTCTATACCCTTGGAGATGAGCAGGATAATTGGCAGTAGGTAGCTCAAAACTCTAGACCTCAAGCTCGCAGCAGCAATTCAGTTCTTTTAGCTGCGAACCCAATCCCACTCGCATCAGATGTATGTCATGCGCGCGCATTAACGAACAGGGCTCTGCGTCTACCCCACATCTACCGCGCCTCAGTAATTAGCGTCCGGGGATGTTAATGACGCATGGCCCGTCTGAATGGTCCTGCACTTCAACGCCTCAAGCTCTTCACCAGCCATAGGAAACATCCTAGACCTTGATAGTTTGCTGTTCATGATAACTGCGGGAGTTGCTCTCCCCGTACTGCAGATTTTTCCTGGCGTGCCATCCTTGGCGTGGATTTCCGCTCACACTACCCTCCTCCCTTGAGGGCCCACCTCATGCAAGATCCCAGTCCCTTCCGCTTCCCTGATTTCGTGCCTCATCCTTGCAGGATTTACGCGGCTGTTCTGGGCCACCACCGGCCACCGTACGCTTGAGCAAACAAGGAAAAATAATCTTTAACCTACTGTGGCTTTCACCAAAGGATATATGTCGTGGCGACGGACGTCGGCTTACGAGCATTTCCTCAACGAACCGATTGCATGGAAACAAGGGCCAAAGAGCACTGGATATCTACACTCCTTGCCTTCGAGAGTTGTACATGTCGTAGTAGTAAGAGGCAGGAGAACTACGCGTAGTTACCAAGACACCCCTCTCACGATATTGGTCCGCACAGGAGCCAAATTGTAGCCTGTGGTACTCAATGTATTGTACAAAAGTTCCTGTATGAATTATTTAATTAAAGACATCCACCCCCTGTCGGCCTGCGAATTGTCCTCGAGCCTCGCGCCTAGCCATGTCACTCAAGATGTCAAATTCCGCCGTCCACACGCACATTATCAAACCCCCCCTCACGTCGACCCTTCCGTCGCCAGCTTCAGCACATCGACCCAAGCCGCCGGCCTCTGCCTGCCACCCTCGAGCCCACCGCCGTTCAGGTACGCCTCGACGTCGTACCCGAAGCCCAGCAGCGCGTCCTCGCTGCCCCACTCGCCCATGCCCATCAGCGCGACGGGCACCTTGCCGTCGCCCTCTTTCGGGTCGACGTACGCGACGGGCGCGCTGATGGCGGGGCAGCCGGCGAAGTTGGCGAGCCAGACGTACTCCATGCTGCGGATGCTCATGTTGCCGTCGCTGACGCCGTACTTGAGGTCGGCGGCGCCGCCGGCGATGTGCCAGCCGGCGTTAGGCGTGGTGGGCGTGACGATGATGAGGCCCGGGTGGGTCGTGTACAGGTGGGCGAGGTGCTGCATCAGCAGGGCGCGCACCTTTTGCGCCTGCAGCAGGTCGACGGCGCCGGCGCGCGAGCCGACGCTGATGAGCACCTTGTTGGCGGGCGTGAGCGACGGGAGCGCGTGCGAGAAGCCCGACGCGATCTCGGATAGGATGGTTAGGGCGTGGGCCGACTGGCCCTCGGCGAGGAGCGGGAGGTCGATGGGCACGGTGCGGTAGCCCTGGGTCGAGACGAGGTGGTCGATGGCGGCTTGGATGGCGCTGCGGACGGGCGGGTCGGCGCGGTCCAGCCAGGGCTGGCAGATGCCGAGGAGCTTGGGGCGGGAGGGGGAGAGCGTGGTGGCGCGCGCGGAGGGCGTGTTGGGCGAGGTGAAGAGTGCGGAGGAGGCGTGCTGCGCGTCCGGCGTCGCCATGACGCGGTATGCGATCTCCAGGTCGGCGACGTTGGCCGCAATGGGGCCCAGCACGCCAGTGGAGGCGGCGAGCGATGGCGTGGGCCGTCCGGATACGCGGCCGTGCGACGTCTTGAGCCCGTATGCGCCGCAGTAGTTGGCTGGGATGCGGATGGAACCACCGCCGTCGGCGCCCAGCGCAAAAGGCAGTAGGCCGGCGCCGACAGCATAACCGCTACCGCCGGATGATCCGCCGGTGTAGTAGTGCGGATTATAGGGGTTCAGCGGGGTGCCGTGGTTGGGGTTGGGATTGTTGTTGGTCGTGTCCAGCCCCAGCTCGTGCATCGTCGTCTTGCCCACCACCACCGCGCCCGCCTCTTCCCACCGCGCAACGCAGAAGGACGTCTCGCACTCCCCGCTGCCCAGCCAATCGGTCTTCGTGCCAATCCGCTTGCCATACCCTGCCAAATCCACCTCGTCCTTGACCGAGACTGGCACTCCGTCAAGCACCCCGAGCGGCTTCCCGTTCTTGTAGCGTTCGGTCGAGGAGGCGGCAGCTGCCCGGATCAGGTCCTCACGCAGCTCGATCCAAGCAGTGGCGTGCGGCGAGGATTTCGAGGCATCGCGACGGATGAGCGGAAGAAGAGCCTCGATCACGGCCGTGGGCGTGGTGCGGCCGCTCTTGTAGGCCTCGTGGTAGTCGTACACGGAATAGAAGCGGCCATTGGCGGTCGAAGGAGGGAGACGAGCCTCCTCTGATGGAGCAGCGGCGTCTTCGGACGAGGAAGAGCCAAGGCCAAGAGGAATGACGGTAGGATCGTAGCGCGGCGCAACGTCTTCGAGCTCCTTGAGGCCGCGCAGCCGGTTGAAGCCGGTATTGTTCCAGAGATGATTTTGGATGAAACCGACAGAGGAAATCCTAGCCAAGTGTCAATGCTACGCTTTTTGCTCGCTTAGTGGTAGTGAGAAAGGCATCATCGCAGGGCCGAGCGTACAGCGAAGCTCCGTAGTAAAGAGGCAAGCCCCGTACGACCGGATTCTTAGGCGCATCGGGCGTTTTGTAGGGAATGTCGACGTTCTTGACATCGGGATAGTTGTAGAACTTGGCAGTTACTGGCTGCGTCCCATTGCTCGCCATCTTGAGCGACGATGTTGAGGCAGACGTGGAAGCTTAGGTGTTGTCGGAGCTATCTTGTGAAGGAGCTGGAGCTGGGGCCCGGACCAAAGACAAGCTCGAGAGCTCCGCTTGACGCCGGTTCACTCTCTGAGCCGAGCGCATCCACCCATGCATGTGAATACACCCGGAATTCCTCTTCTTTGGGCAGGAGGCAATGTGCCGGAGAAATAGTGTGTGGCTTCGGAAGATTCAAGGCTTCAACAACCATCTACCAATGTCGTTCAAGGAGCAGCATCCATATTGGTGGGCTCGCCGTCCAATACGCAAAGGAAATCAACGGTGGCCTGGTCATCACACGGTAATTGGAATCTTCCAACTTTGTCATACAAGTCTGCAGATGCGTATAAATGTCACAGACTAGATTCTCCCTCCTCTATTGGTATGGGGCTGTAGAGCATAAACACAGGGTACTTCATCAAGTCTGTCGGCACCGACAAGTAGAAATGAATTGGTGCAATGCTTATGATGCCTGAAGCCTATTCACTCCATGTACTTACTCAACTCCGTGACGTGGGTATTTCGTCCACTTGCACCGGGAGCGCTATCTAATCCAAACGTGCAGCAAACTCAGTCCATTACAGCCTCAATGCCCGATCCCGCCAGCAACCCAGGCGTTGAAATTCGGGTCATCTGGCGGCGGGAAGAATCCACCATCAGCTTGAGCACCGTCCTGCCGTCTCTCCTCTCCAGCCTGGCCCTGCCCGCCGTTAACTCCCGGATGACCGCCTCCGGCCTGTTGCTGTAGTCGCTCTTGTTGCTCCCTTAATCGCCTTGCGCGCTCCGCCGCCTGGTTGCGATAGTAGACCAGGAAAGCAAGGACGCCGGCGAGACCGAGAATAACGAGTGTGTCAATGATACTCTCGTCGATGTCATCGTAGTAGTCGTCCGCGAAGCCCGTTCCGTCCTCCCAGTCATCGACTTCCATGTTCTCAAAGTAAGCGGCATCACCGTTTTCGAGGAATGTGGTGAGCCATTCAGTGAGGGACCGGGGTTTACTGGGTTCTACGGGTCCGTGGGTTAGCTATATTGGATCGTCCAACATGGTCTTGTAAAGTGTGTAGGTAAACATACCGGGATCATCTTGGATGGAGTTGATGCGGCCGTGAGTAACGGTGTTCCACCAGCTCCTTGCCCTGAGCTTGAGTAGTGCGAGCGTGACGGGCAAGTAGGCCTCTCTATTGGTCTCAAGGGCTTGGTCGTAGAATCGCTTAGCCAGGTGGAAGTCCTGGTCCAAGCCGATGCCGTTCTCATGCATCCAGCCAAGATTCCAGAAAGCTTGCGCACTTTGCATTGTCTCCGCAGCTGCTTGATAACAGGCTGCCGCCTTCTCTTGATCGGAACCGTCTGGCGTGCCTAGTCCGTCCAGGTAATAGTCACCCATCTTGACCAAGGAATCGATGTTCGATTGCCTGGCCGAGCGTGTCCAGTAAATGAGTGCAAGGGCGGCATCCCCAACAAGCTTCACCTTACGCTGGGCGAAAGGCAAGAATTTGTCAAGCGATAGACGCGGCCGGGACTGATCCAAGAGATAGGCAACGTTGGCCTGCCCAGCCTCGAAACCCTGCTCAGCGGCCATCATGTAGCCAATAAGAGCGTTCTCCAAGTCTCCAGTTTCATATGCCTCATTAGCCTCACGAATCGGCGAAACGACCGCCTCGGCCTTTTCGGAGACAATCTTGTAGTATGTTACGGCCATTCCGCAAGACTTATCGCGGCCGACTCCTTGGTTGGCGAGCTCTGCGAGGTAGTAGAATGCTTCGAAATGGCCGTTGCGAGCCGCAAGATCAAAGTACTTGGTGGCAACGGGGACATCGCCTTGGTCCAAGAAGAGGGCGCCGAGGCGGACTTGTGCAGCTGGAAGATCCTGATCAGCAGCAGCAGCAAAGTAGTCGGCAGCCTTCACGGGGTCAGCTTCCACGCCGAGCCCTTCCAGGTACATGATGCCCAAGGAGAACTGGGAAAGTGAGTCGCCGTATTTGACACCGCGCTTGAACCACGTCTCGGCAATTTGGTAGCTCTGATCAATGCCTTCGCCACGAAGAAACATACGGCCAAGATAGCCGGCTGCTTTAGCAGCCAATCGCTCAACGCCAGGAGGGGCATCCTTGTTCTCTTTGCCATCCTTGGCCCAGTATACTCTGGCCACTTCCAGAAAATAGGACTTTGCCGCCTTGAGATCGCGCTTCAGCTCCCTGGAACCGTCGTAGTGGAGCTTTCCAAGGCTAAAGGTTGCTTTGTGGTCACCCTTTCTGGACATCAGATCCAGGTACTCCAGTACATCATCAAATGATGCGTGGGTGTCTGAAGCTGCGCCCCCGATTTTCGCGTTCGGTCCGGAGCTGCTCACGCTGGCACCCTCTCCGTAGACTCCACCAACATCGTCGGCAATACGGTAGGCTTCCTTGATCATGATATGCCCCCCAGGCGGACCCGACCGCATGTATTCCACAGCCCTGTCGGCGACCTTCTTGTACCAGTACACAGCCTCCTCGCAGTCCCGTGGGGTGGCGATTCCGGTATGATGGCGATAAGCAATTGTCATTTGCGACCTGATATTTCCACCTTCAGCCGCAAACGTGTGGTACAGCATGGCCTTCGCCTGATCCTTCTCTACAGCCCCGCCGACACCTGTAGAGTACATCAGGCCGAGCATGTGTTGAGCAGTTGCATTTCCATTGAGGTTGGCCAGCTCCTGGTATCTTCGAAAGGCCTCGGAATAATCGCGCGGGTGTGTGTAATTTCCATAGAAGTTCATCTCAGCGAGGAGGAATATGGCGTCGGGGTTCTTCTCGGCGGCAGCGGCTTCCAACAACGCGGTGGCATCGGCCAAGGGCTGGCTCAGCTTCTTGGGCTGGTCATCGGTGGACAGAATCTCGCGCTGGGGCGGGCCGTTCATGAACAGGAGGAAGAAGAGCTCTTTCGCGTAGTAGACGGTTGAGCCCAGCAGGCTGGTGGGCTTCGTCAAGGTGGTCAGACGGCTGCTCGAGGGGCGGATCTTGCGAAGGAGAGCGGCGGCTTGCTGGAACTCGGATGCGCCTGGCCTACCAGGTCAGTGTTGGGCGGTATTTCGCGCCGCCCTGACTGTACGCACCTCTCTCGGGATGGCCCTGAGCTTCCTTGTGCCAGCTTTGGTCTGCGAGCACCTGCTGGTGTTGGTGGCCATCGTGAGCGTGAGCGGCATTTTCTTCCTGGGCCGAAACGAGAGCGACGATCAAAAGAACGAGGACTGGGTTGCGAGCAGTCAGCCACGACGAGCGCTAGCAGAGGGTGCGCGGGAACGTACAAAGCAGCGGCCAAAGCCGCGGCGAGCGTATGTTCATTGCGCTGGGGGCAATTCTTGGTGGTGGAGAGTCCCTGGCGGGAATAGCATGCTACCGCAGGATCAGGCGCAGCATCACTCTCCTGCGACACTTGCTTGGCGGGAGTTTGGTGGTTTGATGGCGCGGTTGTCAAGATGCCAGATTGAGCTCCGGCGGCGTAACACACGCCAAGCCGGCAGTCGTCACTCTGCCGCCCGCGCACCCACCACGCACCCATGCCGCGCTAGGCCCCCGGAACTTGCTGGATACGTACCCGGGCGGCTTTGTAATCGCATTCCTTCTATCAAGCCACAATGACGGCCTCATCTTCCCGTCTCTCCTTTCTGTCTTTTCCGTGCTCAATTCTCGTTGTGCATATTTTGTTCAATCCACGCGTTTTGGCAGCACGCTGAGCTTCAACCATGTCTCCCGAAATACATGAATCCGCCCCGTCAGAGACCTCCCCACTCCTGCGGCAGCCCTCAACATCCTCTCTCTCCAGCAAATCCTCCCAGACAACCATCTCAGATGCTCCCAATGTCGTCGAAAACACCAAAATTTCCATATCGCGCGGCGTAGTCATCACCGCCTCGCTTGGCTTGATCATCTTTTTGCAGGGTATGCTCGACCTCTACCTTGGCCGCCTCAGTGTAGTTGGGCGCGCCAGCATCGCTCTGAGGTGGCATCTCTCCGCTGTCGCCTTCCATGTCGAGCGGCAGACAGCTGGCTCTCGAGCCGCTGCTCAATTCCCGCCTTTGCATTAATCCCTGTTCCATCGCTCGTCTCTCATTGGCCCAAACCCCATTCACAGACAGCAGCTAATCGCGACATAGCATGCAATTTTTCGTTATTAACAACCACTCAATCTGCCATAGCAGCAGATCTTGATGCGTTTGAAGATGTTACTTGGTTTACCTCGGCCTATTTGGTGAGTCTATGCTAAGTGGTAGTCCGAGAGGTGCATAAGACTTGTGTTCCACTCCTGTACGACTTGCCGTAATAGGCACCTGTACTAAAGACATCTGGCCGCTTCCTCGGACGATAAACTTACTCTGAATAGGTTCCTATGTCAAGCATCACACCGCTTGCGGGACGCCTCAGTCAAATCTTCTCGCCGCGTGCCTGCATATTTGTCGCGAGTATATTCTTTTCTCTTGGCGGACTTGTCACAGCATTTGCACCAACTGTAAAATGGTTCCTCTTCGGGCGTGCTCTGACAGGTCTGGGCGGTGCGGGGATTCTTTCGCTTACCATCATCATCGTACTGCAAGTCGGCGGAGAGAAGAAGCGTGGCCTGTTCCTCGGTTGCGTCAACTCAATTATCACGACCGGCGTCTCACTTGGTGCCGTATTGGGCGGGGCGATCGAGCCAAATCTTGGTTGGGTGAGTAGTAGCAAGTACTAATATGCTTTAATTGTCTGGTTGTTGACTTTGTTTTGCAGAGGGCCGTCTTCTGGATGCAAACTCCCCCGAGCATTCTGGCAGGCATAGTCGTGTTCCTCAGCATCCCATCCCACCTGGGGGCCAGCAAGGGAGATACCCGGACGCTTAAGGAAAAGGTCTCCCAAATCGACTATGCCGGAGCTGCTCTGCTGGTAACGTTTCCCCCACCTCTAAAACCAGAGGCTCTTCTATACTTACACCTCCGCAGACTGCCGCCATCACCACTCTGCTCATCTCGCTGTCCGGACCTAAGGTTCTCATCCTTCCGCTCGTTCTTGCGTTCCTCCTGTTCCCCTCCTTCATCATCACTGAGCTCTACTTTGCCCGGGACCCCATCGTCCCCATAACCCTCCTCAAATCCCGCGGCACTGCCTTCACCTGCCTCGCAACCCTCGGCTTCATGATGTCACGCTGGTCCGTCCTCTTCTACACGCCCGTCTACGCCCTGGGCGTGCGCCTCTGGGCCCCCGCCGCCGCCGGCTCCATCCTGATCCCCACCAACCTCGGCTTCGGCACGGGCGGCGTGCTCGCGGGACTTCTGCACATCCGGCGTGCGGGCTCCTTCTACCTGCCGACGCTGGTGACCATGTCGCTCTTCCCGCTGACACTGCTCCTGCTCGGCCTGGCCAGCCGCGCGACCACGCCGGCGCCGCTGTACGTGCTGCTCACCTTCCTCAACGGCCTCACCACCGGCGCCGCCATCAACTACGCCCTCGTCCACGCCCTGCACCTCACCCCAAAACCAACCCACTTCGTCCTCACCTCGCTCGTCGCCACCTTCCGCGGCTTCGCCGGCTCCTTCGGCTCCGCCATCGGCGGCGGCGTCTTCGCCCGCCTGCTCGCCGACGCCCTCGCCCGCGGCTTCGCGCGCCGCGGCGTGATTGAGAACAAGACCGAGCTCATCCGCCGCCTGCTCGGCAGCCCCGCCCTGGTCGCCCGCCTGAGCGGCGTCGACCAGGCCGTCGCCATCGAGGGCTACGAGTACGCCCTGAGGGGCTTGTTCTTGGCCGCCGTCGGCTTGTCCATCGTGACGGTTGTCGTGCAGGCAGGGACGGGCTGGCGTGGTTACGGTGAAAGGCATGATGAAGAGACTGAGGAGGAGAGGAGGCGGGAGAGGGAAGAGGAAGAGGTCGGGGAGACGACTGCGGCGTAGAGATCAGGATTGCCGACGTTCGTGGGACAAGAAATTGGCCTATTGCAGAATGATGTACGTGTGTACACCTCCGACAACGGCAACTTTGACTTTTAGGTCGGTACCATGTATAGGTTGTGGATATGAACAAGTGTGCGTTGGGAGAGCATTGAGATATGGACTTGGAAGCAGTTGTTTGATATGTTGTAGATACAGATTGCAACGGCGTGAATATTGCGATTTTCTATGCTAGGTGTTGGGGCAGATAGAAAAAGCTTAGATGCTCGTAAAGTGGGTATTATCAAGCATCGGTATAGAAACCGGTCCCTAGCAGTGTATAGTGAAGAACATTTAGTTCATTATCAATACCGTCCCTCCTTAACGCTATATACCATTGTACTACCACATTCTCCTAACTCCCTCATTTCGGCATCTCACTACCCAGCAACAGTCATAAACTTCATAATGACACGACCCCGCGCGTATGTTCATCCCATCCAACGATCAAACAATAGAAATTGAATCCTGTCCATCCCATTCGTGTGTGCCAGACTCCCATGATTTTCCTTCCAATGCCAACCCGCCAATATTATGAAGCAGACAGTAGCCAGCAAACACTATGCAGTAACAAAGACCAGCATGCAGAAAATGCAAACCATGACAGCACAATCTTAACATAGAACACAAATGACCCCCAAACGCCATGCTGAAGGAACATTATGGAACAAGTGGTGAGACGTTCCAAATGTTCTAAAAATATCGCATGCTGCGATAATGTTAACAGAAAATTAACTCATCGCTCGGGGCCCCGTGAAGCGAAGGATGGCACTGTTAAACGTGCACCGTCATCCTCCAATAAAACAAGATGGAGAGAGGAAAGGGAGCCAGAGAAAGAAAGAGGGTATCTTCAAAAAACGATGAGAAAGAAAGCAAAATGCCATCATTGCCCTTTTTGCCTTCTTCCATGCAAGATATGACTTAGATTTAAGCCTTTAATGTGCAAGGAAGTAGGGGCTCCGACCAAACAGGGAAACAAAAAGTCCTGAGATATCTTTATCTCAAGACTCCAAAAGAAGAACGTTACACTTGCATGCCAGTGCCAAGTGATGAAAGATGCCTGGCAGATCATTTCAAATCCAAAGTTACCCGAGAGTCGGCCAAACGCGACCAAGAGCCTTACGCCAGCGCGTGCGCCCAGGAGCATCATTATCGTCAGCAACCGTCGAGGTATCTGGGCGATGTTCACGACCTAAAAGGGTCAAAGCCCGCTGTCGTGCCCATTCCCGACGAGACGAAGTTCCTGCGGCAGGGCGATCAGACGGACTCGGCACACTTGGTGTCTCAGCTACTGGATTGCCTGGAGGAGCTGCGGAACGCGAATGTGCTGTTGGAGCCGGAACAACAATTGCACCGTGAACCTCGTTATCGGGGCACTCGACTGATTGAGATGCTGCTGCTGACGCGTTCGCCTGTTGCATCTCGAGATCGGCGGCTGTTGCGGGTCGTTGTCTCGTTGTGTGCCCTCCCATGACTAAAGCGGCAAGAGAAGTCAGGAATCCACCCCGGGTGCGTTCTTCCATTCTGACACGCTCTTCCTCTTGTCGCATCTGATCCTCAGATAAGCCGCGTGCAGCCGCGCGTTGTCTCACCCGGCGAACCCAGCGTTCCCTGCGCACCATTGCATTCGTGATAACAGCAGGACAATAGCCTCGGGGTAGGACCGTCTTTTTACACAAAGGGCAGAGCGAAGAGTTGTCGCGCAGGAAGTTGTCGATGCATTCTGGGTGATAGATGTGTTTGCAGGGGAGCTCGCGCACAGTCGTCTCTTTGTCGATGAAATCATCCAGACAGATGGCGCAGGTCGGTTGTGAGAATGCAGATGTATGATCGGCTGCGGTCGCTCCTGGTGTATCGCCATCAGGCTTCGGTCCTTCTTCGTCCTGCGGCCTAGCTTCATTGGCGTGGTAAACGTAGAGAGACATTCGATCCAGAACTTCCTGGGGGACGGTGAGGCGTCTGATTCCTAGAGCTTCAAGATCGACTTCTCCCCTGATGACACGGTCGCGCAGTTGGTTGCGCATTCTTTTCTGATGCCAGTGAACACCAACCGACGAGCCGCAAATCGCGAGAACCATGAGGCCCAGTACAATGAGCAAGAAGACCCACAAGCTCGGAAGTGAACTTCCGCCGTCTAGAAATGATCAGCACATGTGGACATTAAGCTTAATGGGGTCTTACTCGTGGGTATTTGAGCAATTTCGCGGACATAATCGCTGGGGTGGTACCGGCCCGAGAGATCGTGACCGTGTGGCACAGAAGTAAGGTTGCCGGAGTAAGCCGCAAGGGCATCCATGACAAGTCGTCCTGTAGAGCTTGGCACAGCGTATATTGCGAAGTTATGATCTGTCTTCCAGTGGCCTCCATCGTTCAAGTCCCACAATGCATCGTTTGCCGGGGGTGGTATACTCTGGCTGCCGTCCGTGGGGAAGAATATAATGGCGCGAAGCAAAGGATCGGTATCGGCACTGTTGAGGAACTCGTAGATACATTGAGCAGTGGTCCAAGGAGCCATTGCGATCTGATGATAGTTCTTGGACGGGGGCAGGTCGTTGAAGCGCGTTACGTTGGCGGGCACGAAGGAGGCAGTGGAATTTCTACATTGATCCGTCGCGAGCTCGGGGACGTATAGCGGACCCACGATATTTTCGCCTGTGCTGATGCCGTTCGTAGAGAGAGTGCGCACATCTGGCTCCGGCCAGAAGAAGGCATACGCGTCCTACAGCGAGCAGAGTTAGGACTCATGCGAATCGGCAACGAGTGATGAAGCGGCACTCACATCGACGAGAGTGACATTATCGGCATCTCCAGCGTCTCCGCCAGGGAAAACGGCAGTCCGAAATTGCACCTGTTGCGCGCCTAGATGGCGGGCAAAAAGCCGTGTAAGCATCAGGGCGCAGTCGCAATCGCAGGTCGAGGTGGCCCGAGGCCAGCAGCGGACAGGCGGGTGACGTACTCATAGTTACGAGGCCTGCGACGTCCGGGAACGGGGACGGTTGCGGAGGCAAGTGCAACGCATGTGCGTCTTGACGGCAGCGGAAGACAAAAGACGGCGGTGTTGTTCGGAGCACGAGGTGAGAGCGTAGGAATGTGGGTGGCGCGCACGGAGCGTCCGGGTGAGTGGGTTGCGGTGGATGGGCCAGACGAGCAGCGCAGCGATGTGGAGGCCCGCTCGCGCGCATCCCCAGCCTGCCAGCCCCTTCTCGATGAGGCGCGTGGTCCGTGCGGCCGCGGCTTCCGAAAGCTTGTTTGGATGAGCGCTTATCGATTGTTGTGCCTGCCTTGGCGTCCACAATGCGACATCAGCCTGGCACGCGTTCCACTAAGCCTACCCCGGCCTGCAGCACCACTGCACGACCTACACCATGCCTTCGGCACAGGGCAAAGGCAAAGGCAAGACCGGCAGCTCCAGTCGCGACGCCCGACGTTCGCGCAGTCGCAACACCACCCCGATCTCCTCGGTCTCTGGCATCCACCAGTCTGTTGAGCCCATCACCACCTCACCCTCCGGCATGCAATCGACCCTGAACCACCTGGGCAGCCCGTCGAGCGTTTTTATTGAGGAGATATTCAACAATGGCGGCCACAACGCCGGCATTCCCTCCCCCGAGGCCCTCCACAGCATGCTCGAAGAGGTCAAGAATCGCTTCCTTCCCGCCCAGACCACGCGCAGCGAGGCCAACGAGAAGTTCATGCGCCATTTGATGCAGCGCCGGAAAGCCCGACTCGAACATCAGCACGCTGAGGAGCGCGCCGACCGCGAGGCGGAGGAGCGAAAACATAAGCTGAAGAAGGCGAAGAAGCGCGAGCCCGACGAGGAGCGTCCGTTAGCAGTAGGTGCACACGGTGTAGCTAGGCAGGATGGTACAGAGGGAAAAGGTAGGAGCATTCCACACCTTGCGCGCATGTTGCCAGCTCCCATGTGGCAATGCGACAATCACAGCTTTTCCTCTACACATATCTTGTTGCAGTTCTGCTACACGCGTCGCCTGGGATATCTGTTCCGAGAGCCAATTTTCCGCCCATATCTCCTATTCTCCTTGACTACGCGATGCCCCAAATATAGCCACACGCAAGAATCCCCTGCCCGAAAGCGCTGAAGAACGATACAATACGCATTCACCGCACGATAGCGCCTCGGAACCTATGCCTCGATCGATGAGAAGCCTGTCTCGTCCAAGTGGAAAAAAAGGTGGTCGTTTATCAGTACAGGCTGATGGTGGCATGTTCCTAGCGCTTTCTATCTGCTCTGCCTCGACTCAGAATATCTCATTTTCGCGTCACATGTGTTCTCTAGCGTACAGTGATTAACGCGGCTCCAGATGCTTCCTCGACCATATCTTCTCCAATCTCGCAGCCTCCTCCTTCTGCTACCGGAACTGGCCACGTCGAAAATGCAGCCTCTCCAAGCGGCTCTGAGGATTCACATCAGCCCGAGAAGGCACCCGCAGTACCAGCGTACCAAACATTTGGCCCCGATCCGACTAAATTCGACGATCCCACCATATACCATATTCGCGACATCACTGAAGACACGCCCGAGGACCTGAAGAAAGAAATCCTGGGCGTGGCCCGTTACCCAAAAAGCGAGCTGAAAGACCTTACACCAGGCACCCCTCCTGATAAGGATTTCAGTAATCCGAAGCCGCAGACCCAAGTCAATGCAAGCGTCTTTGCCAACTATGTGGAGCCTTATGTGAGACCATTGACAGAGGAAGATCTATCCTTCCTCAAAGAACGGGTGAGTTCCGCTTTAGACCATGGCTGTAGTTCTCGACTAACCTATGGAAGGGGGACCGTGTCACGCCGTTTCAAATGCCCAGGCGTGGCCCACGACACTACAAAGAGATATGGGCCGATGAAGATGGGGCCATGGTCGTGGATCCACCAATGGAGAAACTTCCACCAAACGAACCTAGGGGCAGCATGGACATGATGAACGATGACATTGCAGAAACTGATGCTGTGGCGCCTGGGCCCTTGGTTTCTCGATTGCTCTCCACCCTGCGGTCTGAGGGTCGCACGTCCTCCGGCGAACCGAATGGCACCGTCAATGGTGATATGGAAGTAGATGGCGAAGGTGGAGATTCGTCCTCTGCGCCCCAGCAACCCGCGACGCACATGTCGGAATCGAGTCAGTCGGCATGGAAGAACGCACCTGCTACAAAAATGGACTATGCATCAATGGATGAGCGTGCCATGCAAGAATTGATACACATCGGCTTCCTGTCAGCGGATGATAAGCCGGACTATGATGGACATTTCGACGACGAGGTTGCAGCACGTCTGCGCTATCTGCAAGATGAACTGCGGAAACAGTCGATCATCAATGGCGCACGTAAAACGAGATTACTCGAACTCGCGCAACACCGCATGGCGCAACAAGAATACTGTGCCATTGAAGATGATCTCAACAACCAGCTCAACGCCGCCTACCTCAAACGCAACCGCAACCTTGGCAAGGGCAAGAAGAATAGTAAGCGGCCTGGCGGTGCTGGTGGTGGTAGCCATGCAGTTGTTCAGGTTGGTGCCGGGAATACTCGTGGACTCGGCGAGGAGATTCGTGCACTTATGGAAAAGAAGGAACGCTGGACAAGTGTCATTGGTCCTGTTGTCGACTACGGCAAGGCAGGCATTCCCAAGGAGAGCATCTTTGATGATGAAACGATGAAGAAATACACGGAGAAGGAGCAAGAAGGTTGGACGGAGGTGGAAGAATAAGATCCACATGGAGGACGAGCTCTACTACTTGCACCGAGAGTCGGTTTGTTCGAGGGTGGCTATTTGTCAACCTGGTATGCCTGTGGCCGGAAAGGACGAAGCATGGACATCAACAAATTCCCTGTGCATGGAACTGGAGTTTAGGAACAAAGCATGTGTTGACCAGAATGAGTCCACGTGATTGTTGGAGGGGTCGTCTATGAATTTTACTTTCTGTCCAAATGAATAGGCTTTAATTGAGTGCAATGAAGTTGTGCTTGTGCACACTACAAAGGGTATTGCAGCCAAAGGCTAGCGTGAAGAGCAGAATCTGGAACAGGGGGTGACTCTACCTCAGCAATTTTCTTTACCAGAAACAACATATGTGGACAGCGGAAGCACGAAACTTATAATTGTTAATAAGAAGCCCGAGCCCCGGGATGCTACACTTCCGGCGAAGTGCGTCGAATTCCTAGAGTAGCTGTCGGTCAGACGGAGTTCGAAACAATGACTAAGCCACGCGATGGTGTGAAGGAAGGACATCAGAAAGGTGAGAAGGTTATGTAGTTAGCTGGTTTTGAAATCAGTCCCACCATCACAAATCAGCCGCGCGTGGGAATTGGCCCAGCGGGAGCTAAATTGGAGCGGGTGAGTCTTATGGCCCCAGCGTGCTCATCATAGATCCGAGAGTATGACATGCAGGCGATCGCGGGAACACGTACCGGATAGTGACGCAAGGAGAAGAAGATGACGACGGTGTGGCAGTGATGGCGCAGGCTTGCGAGGTTGAAGAGCTGGGGCGGGCCAGGCTCCCTCGTCGTCCGGGCCGGAACGCACGGGCCGCTGATGTGACGTATTCCTGGCTTGTTTGCGCAGCTTCGTTTCCCACCTTCCCGCCCGCTGCCACATATACTCCATCGACACCGCAGGCAACCACTCCACTTCAACACTCTTAAGCCCGCTCAAGAGACCCGTCTTGAGCTCACCCATACCTCGAAAGCCACAAGTGCTTCCCTTCACCCCCAAACGAACACCTCAGCGTCCCAGCTGTTGCAGCCTAGCAAACAACCACCATGACGCTCTACTACAGCTTGGTACGTTCATTACTCGGTTTCCACGACGCTGTACCCACATCTGCGAGTGCTTGCAGCAGGTGTCTCGAAGATGTCTCGAGTCTTCAGCTCTCGGTGCACCGCAATGGCCTCCTCCTTCGAGCAGCTACCCCTCATTCTGTACATCTCAGGTCACCGCAATGCTAACACGCTCGTTTGCAGGTTTTTATGCTCTTGGTGACGGAGATGGTGGTTTTCATGTCACTCATCATCCCGCTGCCGTTCACCTGGCGTCGCAAGCTCTTCACCTTCATCTCCGAGAGTCCCATTATAGCGAAGCTACAATATGGCATGAAGGTGTGTGGTCGTGTGCGCCCTGAAGATGTGGCTCATACTAAACGGAGGGCAATCAGATAACGTTCATCTTCATCCTGATACTGTTCATTGACAGTGTCAACCGCGTTTCCCGCGTCCAGCTCGAGCTGTCTGCGGCTTCGAACGCTGAGAAGCAGGGCCGGTGAGTAGAAATCTGCCTGCACAATACGGGTCCTGACTAACAACAACAATAGCGCCGCTGTCATCGGTGGCCCCGAGCGCATGGAAGTCCAGGCCCGCAAGTTCTACTCGCAGCGCAACATGTACCTCTGCGGCTTCACCCTCTTCCTGTCGCTGATCCTCAACCGCACCTACGTCATGATTCTCGACGTTCTGCGCCTCGAGGAGGAGGTCAAGACTCTCCGCGGCGACTCCAAGGGCAAGAGCAAGGATTCGTCGGCCCTTGGCAAGGCTGGTGATGCTGGCGAGATTGGCCGCCTGAAGAAGGAACTGGAGGCCAAGGACCGCGACATTGAGCACCTGAAGAAGCAGGCTGAGGGTCTCTCTCGCGAGTACAACCGCCTGGGTGACGAAGTCTCTGGCTCTGACAGCGTTCCCAAGAAGGACCGGTAAATGCGCAGTATCGCGAGCTTCTTTGTGATGGCGTCGCTTCCATATCATTCTCAGAATGACAACTTTCGGGACTAGCAAGAAGACCGCTCCCTTGAGGGGCGTAGCGAATAGGAGCAAAAATGCATGCGGAATGTGGATATTGAGGTGGTCTTGTAACAGATATTAGCAGAAAATGAATTATGAGCTCAGCTTTACAGTCATGGACCACTATATCCCTGCACGTGATGTCACCGGAAATTGCGGAGCTATGGTTGTAGCTCGACGCGAGCTCCCTTGACGCGACTCGTTCAACCCCACCACAATCATGGAGCCCGACAGTCGCGCATAGGTCTTGCCACGCCCGAACCATGATCAAAGGCATCTTCTATACTCGGTTTCATCCCGAGAAAGGTGAGATCCAAGTAGACTCGATACAAGTATCCCGCTGACGCGCTCAGGCTCCCGCGTCCTCCATCAAGTGCCCGACGGCTCAATCACGCCTTCCACGGCGCCATGCGCGCAGACTTCGCCTTTCTTCAGCTTCAGCGACGTCTCCGAATACGTAATCCCGCGCCAGGAGTTCTGTGACCGCCTGGTCACCGTATGCGCCAACCACTACCGCATCATCGGCTACCCAGTCTGCGTCAATAACTACCATGGCAAATACGACCGCAATCAATTCATTTTCAACTTTGCATTTGTCGTCGAGGAGGACCTGCTGGACTGGAACAGCTACGCGAGCGTTGTGCGGAAGCTAGGGAAGTTGCTGCGGAACTTGGAGGAGCAGGGCAGCTTCCTAAGCAAGGAAGAGAAGGACATACCGTGGGATGTGCTTGGGGATCCAGCAAGAACTTCAAGCGTTGGCCTAGGCATCAGGAGAGTAGAAAGGGCTGCGTCGATTGCCGAGAGCATGAGCGAAAGCCAGTCTGTGAAGTCGCTGGGCTTGGACGGACTCAGTCTGGACGAGTCCGCCGAAATGGGCACCAGCAGTAAAGTATATGCCCTCTGTGAGATGATCTTGGAGGATCTGAATAATTACTGCGAGTGCATGATTCCGATTGGTAAGCTACACATCTATAATCCCCACGCCACCACCCTCGTTAACCAGAGCTCCCAGACGACTCCAATACCATCAATCTCAAACTTTTCCCAACTCGGCTACCGCCAGCTCCCGTCCACGCATGGCATGTCCCACTACTCACCATTGATATCGAGATGTACACAGCGCCGTCTGCTATGAATCCACACTCGTTCAGCAACCGCTGTGCTACACTTTCTTCGGATCTGACGCTCACCCGTATTCTTCCATACATCGACGGTATCAACTCGGTGTACTTTATTTCTCAGCTTGCCGATACCGACATTGGACTCACTCGAAAGGCAATTCAGCACCTGGTCTATTACGACTGCGTTGTTCTACTGGACATCTTCCAGTTCGGCGCCATGTATGCGCCTACCCCCCTTATTGCCCATTTCTTCACCGACGAAGCCGCTCTCGCCGAATGCGCACGCTATGTTCGCATCCCACGCTTCCTGGATGCCTCAATCAGCAACGAGGCTGCCACCCTCCCCGAGGAGCTCCGCCGGGACTCTCACAAGCCGTCACACGGCCACTCCCGTAAAACCAGCGTCAGCAGCACCCTCGGCGGCTCCACGGCAACGACGACTGCCACCGGTAGCCCCACTCAAACAACCTTCGTCCACAACCGCACCCATCGCTCCTCGACCATCGGCACGCACTCGTCGGCCGCTCTGACCTCGTTCACCGCCAACCTCGTCCTCGCCCCGAACCAGCCCATCGTCAGCGCCGACGTTCTGATCCAGCTCTACTCGTCGATGCGTCAGGGCGTGACGCTGCGGACCTGGGTGCTGGAGAACTCGAACCTGCTCACGCACATCGACGTCCGCCGCATGGTCACCTTCGGCGTCATCAAGGGCTTTCTGTACCGCGTGCACAAGTACGCCATCACGACGAGCGCGGGCGCGCTGGCCGGCACGACGGCGAGCTACGATGGCTATGACCACCTGCACGGGGCGCGGTGGAGGGGCCACAACGGGTACGCGAGCCCGTGGCGGGTCGATTCCGATGCGGAGGATGGCGGAGGGGCGGGAGGGGATGGAGATGGCGGAGACAAGGCGAGCGGGCATGGTAGTGGTGGTGCGTACTGTAGAGAACTGCCGCTGGCGAGGTATCTGGATGGCCTGCATTGCTTCGATGAGATTTGTACGGAGCTGGGTATGAGCGAGCGGGAGGTGCTGGCGAAGATGAGAAAGGGGTTCGGAGATGTGTTGGTGGTGAACCGGTGATGTTTGGTTTGAGCAGGCAGGAGGTCACTTCATCATGGGCAAAGGCGTTCATGGAACATACATAAGGGGTTTTTGTATTCAGATGATACCCAAAGAAACGTGAATTGAATTTGATCAGGGCAGAACCTTTTGTTCTCTCAACTCTCATGCCACGCCTTCCTATCATCTCCCTTTTCCTTCACTTCCCTCTCCTGTAAGAGCTATATTCTGTTTCCGACGCACGTCGAGCACAAGTTCACGGAGGTCGGACGTGTTATTCAACACAGTGACCAAGCACCATATTCTTGGCGAAGCGCAGCGTAAACTGACCTCCTCATATCAACGTCCTTCATGCGTTCAATGTAGTACTTACCGATAAAGTTTACTTCCAAGGGTGGACTTGAGAAGGAGGTGATCGACGTGTGAATGAAAGTAAGTTTTAAAGTACAGCCAGCCATAAGAGAATTTTAAACGTTTTTAGCTTGCTCTAAAAAAAACCAACAAGATCTCTATACGAAAATCCATAATTTGCTTGATCGCTGTATAGAAGCCTTCTCTTGATTTGTCCCAGACACCAAAACCCAGTACCATGATTTCAAAAAAAAAAAAAAAAAAGAAGCAAAAGTTCAGCGAAGAAACACATGATGAAATACAATCTTCCCTGATATCCACAAATTATCTCCACTGCGTCCACTCATTTGCCCTTGGGGGATTGTCCAGGGGAACGCATTCGCTATCATCCTGCGGCGGAAGATCCTTCAATTTCCGAATCATCCTCATCAACCTCCCAGGATGCATCACGGCCAAAACGACCGGAACCAAAAACATCAAACCCGCGTCGAACACGTACATCGGGGCCTCGTGCTTCTCAATCGTTTTGCTCTTATCCGCGAACTCGGCGATCCGATACCCGTTCCTGACCAGCACGAGGGCGCTGACGACATACAGGGCCCACATGCACTTCCTCCACAAGCCCTCGATCCCGGGGCGACGCGAGATGCGGGTAGGTTCCCTGTTGGCGCGCAGGTGGAAGACGGCGGCCATGGCGATGAAGAAGACGAAGACGACGAGCTGGAAGATGAGGCCGCTTAGCACGATGGTCATGCCCTGGGCGGCGGCCGCCGCGTCGCCCGACCCCTGGATGGCCGAGCCGTACATCTGCATGCCGAAGCATGCGATGTCGACGAGCACGTAGATCTTGCTGACCCACTTGGTGCGCATGATCGAGTGGTGCTCGCCGTCGAGCGCGCGGATCACTCGCCCCAGCGTCATGTAGATGGTCGCGGCGAGGAAGGGCGGAGACGCCAGGATCAGCATCAGTTGCAGCAGGAACGGCCCGACCTTGCGCTGGTGGTCGTGTGCGAGGACACGCCCGTAGTAGCCGAATGCTTCGCCTGTGTGGACGCGGTTGTGAGCTTTTGGGGGTTTTTGGATCGCGAGGGGTTGGGGGGAAGGGAGGGAGGGGGGAAAGAAGGTTCCGGTTGGGATTTGACGTACCGACGCAGCCTAGAACTAAGGGAATGAAGAACCATGCTCGGAGGAAGCAGAGGTAGAAAAAGTGTACGGTTCCTCCGATGGCGAAAAGAACGACGAATGCCCAAGCCGCCGTGGCGGAAGGGTTGTACGGGATGAGGTCGAAGGGAGCATCGCGGGCGACGAGAGTGTGATTATGCATGGTGGCAAGGAATGAGTGGATGTGTAAAGACGCCGAGGAAGTAGCAAGGGCTAAGAGGTGCAGTTATACTTGTTGTCTCTTGGCCGCCTTATTGCTGAACCACGATTTCGTATCAAGCCATTTTTCGTATACCGTACGCCGCGTGTGCAATTCAGGACACAGCCTCACCCCAATCATTTAAAGCATGCGTCTCTAACGCACTTCGGGGGAATATTGTACGGGCTTTTTCTGCACTATCCGTTTCGGAGGTCCCACTGATGGCGCAAAAGGGAGGTCAGTGGCTAGGAATACGCAAAATGGGAATACGTAAATTCATCGAATACGGGGAATATACGTATCGCCACCAAATTTCACTTAAGGATGCCATAAGAAGCAGTGTGCAGCACCTTACTCTGGACTTTTATTAGGACATCGAGCGTCTGAATGTTGGACTTTTCGACATGGTCACTGATGCCTCTTCAATATGTTCGGCTCGTTCTTTTCCTCCCTCACACTCATGGTGACCTATTACCTATTTTCTCACATTTTTGAGGTCTAAACGTGGATAAGATCCAGTAGGAATCTCATTCAACGACTTCTTTGATAAAGGAAACGATGGCGGCTCGGCCGTCAGATTTGCTTGGTACCTCATTATGGAGAGCACCGAGAACATCTCTGCGACGAACGTCAAGCCCCAGGTCTTTACACAGGTTGTAAAGATATTGAGCCTGGCTTTCGGGGACGATCTCATCTTCCCCAGCGGTGATGATTTGTATTGGTAGGTTCCGATGACCTTTCAATGCGGCAATATCACGAAGTGCTTTTTCGTTGTCCCACCAGCTCCGCAAGAAAGGCCAAAGGTAGCGGTAAGGAAGCCATTTCTGAGGATAAAGCGCAAGGAGCATCTCCTTGATACCAATAAAAGGCGTCTCGAGAATGACCCCGGAGATTGGCAGTTGTTGGTCAGGATTTGTCGAACCGGACAGTGACTTGAGTTGCCGGGCTACTAAGTCTGCTGCCACACCTGCCCCAAGACTCTGGCCCCAGAGGATGACGGGGGCATCTGGATAATTGTCCTGGACCCATGCGAGTGTGGCTTCAGCGTCCCTTTCAATGCCTTTCTGGGAGGCTTTCCCTCTGGATGTCCAGAATCCGCGGTAAGACAAGGCAACAATACTGTACTCGGGATGTCTTGTAGGTGAAGGTTCGTTTAAGGATTTGAGAACTCTGGTCAAGCTTGGTAAGCGAGGTGGGAGAGAGGCTCCGTTGCTGTTGAATGTTAGTATGGATTACACTTCTGTCACACGTGAAAGCGGTTGCACGCACCCTTGGAAGTAGATTATCACAACTCGTCGCCGGGTAGTTTCCAGTGCTTCACGCGACTGCGTATCTTGTGGTGGTGGACTACCTAGGCACAAAGATATCCTGGTTCCGTCAAGAGACCTAATTCTTTTCTCTTCCCATTGGACGGGTCTACAGGCGGCAGCGTAGTCGTCTATTTTCTCGGAGCGAGCAAAAGGGGGCATGTAAGGCATGTAGATGAATTTGTTTTGGAAAACAATTGTCATGATAATCTTGTAAGACCAGAGTCCAACAAAGCAGCTGAGAAAGATTGCGGGCGGTATCAAGACCGTTGGCAGTGTCTCGGTAAATAAAGTGCGTTTAGCATGCTGGTGGCCTGCGAGCAATGAGGGCTTGAAAAGCTTGCGTGATTGGCGGAACAGTAGTCGCGGCATTGGCGATGCATGGCCATGTACTCGTCTGACCGACGATGATTGCGCAGGCCTCAGCGCTCTGTAAGAAGCGGAGACTGGGATTGAGCCGGTGCGCATTGTGGGCTCATTGGCGGCAGAACATGAGCAGAGGGCACGAAAAGGCTGCTCGGGAGAGATTTGGCGGTCAGAATCGAGAGTAATCAGACGCACGGCCACATGGTGTTGAGCAGCGGCGTTGTGGTTCTGGAAGTGCGGAAGGAAGTGCGGAAGGCGGGAGGGATCCCCAGAGTGGAAAAGCCGGGGCCGACCCCTTGGACAGTGCGCGACGCCGTCCCAGCTGACTCGCAGCCATCCGAGATCACAGAGCTCGACGAAAGCTTACAATATCCAGCCCAACGCCTTGCCCCCTTTGCCTCTCTCCTTTTCACATACTTTCTCTGCTCGACGACTTGCTTCTGCACCACCGCTCCTCATCCGACGCACCTTCCCCACGTATCCTCACCGAATTCTCCGCCAAGATGCTCCGCTGGTTCGTCGCTTGACCCTGGTCGCAGGGACTTGAAGCTCATAGCTATGCGCACAGGTACCAATTGAAGCTCGCTCAGCGCCCGCTGCTGACGCAGAGCATCACCACCGCCGTATGCCTCCCTTCCTTTGTGCGACCGTACCGCCAATTGCCCCTTCCCCGCGACCGCATCAAAATTTCCGGCGTCACCCTGCATAAATGGCCGAGAGAAGACACGCAGGCCAGAACACCATGAGCTGACGCGCGCGGGATAGATTCTGTTCGCGACCGGCGACACCATGGCCCAGCAGCTCGTCGAGCGCAAGGGCATGAAGAACCACGAGTGGGATCGCACTGCTCGCATGGCCGGCTACGGTGGTAGTAAGTGAAGCCCCCGGCGTGCAAACTTCTCAGTTCGCCACTGCCGATCCGCAATGCCAAAACTTGGAAGCGCCAGGCTGACATGCGCAGTCATCTTCGGCCCGGCTGCGACGACGTGGTTCAAGACGCTGCAGCGCATCCAGCTGAAGTCGACCAATGGCACCATCCTGGCCCGCGTGGCTGCAGACCAGCTGCTCTTCGCCCCCACCAACATGTGCTTGTTCCTGTCGACCATGGCCGTCCTTGAGGGCGGCAGCCCCAAGGACAAGCTCAACTCGACCTACTGGCCTGCTCTGACCAAGAACTGGATGGTTTGGCCCTTCGTGCAGGTCGCCAACTTCAAGTTTGTCCCGCTCGAGCACCGCGTGCTGGTGGTCAACGTCATTTCTCTCGGTGAGTGAAGCCCTCTTGGAGCTTTATCGGTGTGTTGGTGGTGTGGGGCGATAAGGCGGGATGGAAAGGCGGTGCGGATTTAGCAAGGGCTAACGCCGAACAACAGGCTGGAACTGCTACCTCAGCTTCCTCAACAGCCAAGGCGGCGCTGCAGCTGCCGGCGCCGAAGCCGGCTCCTTGGCTGCCGAGAAGAAGGAATGAGCAAAGCCTCATTTCGTGACGACCGACAATGACCTGCGCCACGGAGCTGTCACTGCCCCGCCTTCCGTCTCCGTCGGAGCATTCCGAGACGATGCGCATGGCGGAGGCGTACGTCACGTCCAGACAAAGACCAAGCTTTCACGGGGCAGCTGTGACGTTTCAGAAAAGAAGGAAAAGACCAATTGAAACTTGTCCATGCGGAGGAAAGGCGGCGATCGGCGGTGGCTAGGGGGAGACGGGGAAAATAAAAAGGGAAACGAGTCAGGTCCCATGGGTATCGCGTCCTGCTGGCCGCGAGATCGTGGTCCGTGCCAGACATGCGGCGCGGCGGCGCGCAGCCGCAGGCCTTATTCTTAAACTTTCTTCCCCTGGTAGTGCTTCATTCTTGCGCAGGTGTATCAGATTTTTCTCAGATTTCCCTCTTCACGTTCTGATCGTTCGGGTTTATCAGCTTTTTGTCTTTATGCCTCGTCTTTGCGCACCGTTTCGGCAGGAGCGGCACGGGTCACTCGGTAGCTGCGACAGCTGAGACAAACCCACACAGCCAAAGCCGCAAAAGCGATCTCCGTTCGGCATCGCCGAAGCCGCTTTCCCGTAACCATGGCTGCGGTGTCCTGTCTCGTTGTGGAGCCCACTCTTTTTTTCCTTGGCATCGCCCCTCTTCACGTATCGTCCTCCCCCTTCGTAACAGTCAGCACCTCAAAAAAGAGAAAAAAGGAAAAAAAACACGTTGCATTGGACGGCGCTATTATGCTACGACAGACAATGCTTGTAGAGAGACAAGATATAGATTTAGACAGAAGAGAAAGCGTGGTTCCCTACTGCACATGGAGGTCCTTAATCGTTTCGGTGTGTGACCCATGTCTACTATACATCTTACCATTGGCTGATGATACCAACGGTCAGAAGCAGCCTTTTGAGTGAAAAGGCCAACAAACCGTTCGCCGGGTCGGACCGATCTCATGGCCCTACAGGGCTGATGATTCAGTGCTGTGTTCCCTCCGGACCGCCTATAGCTCTCCTGCGACGACAGCGACGACAGGGACGAGCCTACTACTATTCTTCTACTTAAGCTTAAGTTCTCTTCTTTTCAAGTATTTAACTTAATTACCTACATGCGCTACTCCCCGTGCCTGCGCAGTGGAAGCGCCATTTGTAATCTGTGCGCTCCCAAATCCCAGCACCAGCAATCAAAATCTACGCTTCTCCGTTCCCCACAGGAAACCACAGGAAACAACGCTACCAGCGTGAATCAATTAACAGGAGGATCGAAAAACAATGGGTCAAGGACACCTTTCCTCCAAACAAAAGAACTTTTCCGCACACGTGCGCAGCCTTGCGGCGCGTGTGCCAAGTATGAAAGGTTAATGAAGGACCTACGGTTAACCGGGGCAACACCCGAGCAGAAAAAAAGAAACGAGGAACCAAAACATGCGCTCGATAAGCCGCCCCGCCCACCTGCCCGTCCGTTCGCCAACGACCGGACCCTCCTCCTCCTCATTTTCCTTTGGGGTATGTACGTACATTGCAAAAGTGCACAGGGCTCCATCGGATACCGCCGAATGCCCTTTTCGTCTGCCGTCGTAAGAGGCGGCCAAAGAGAGTAGTGTGCACCGAAAAATAGAAACACGGCATCTTCCTTACCCTCTCTTCCCGTTCCTGTGCATTCCCCGGGCCGGCGATCGACTGGCAGTGGAAGACCCTCGCCCGGCTCCGGGCTCTGACGACGAACCACGTAGTCGTCTTTCATGCGCGACAAGGAAGGGCGATGACATGTGTGCGATCTGCGCAGGTCTTTCCCCTCCCCGCTAAACAAGGCACACAACGTGCGCGTACGTTCCTAACTAAGTATGTACCGGGTCGCTCCCGCCGCTCGGCCGAACCTTTTTTTTATTTTTACATTTTCCTTTTTTCCTCACTGGTTGCACCATTCTTTGGGTTGAGCCAAAAAGAAGGAAGAGCGGCGCGGTGCATCACTAGTGACCCGAAAAAGCGGGTTTGCCCGGCCCCGCCGTCGCAAGACCGACCAGGGTCCTCGAGTCTAATGCGCCAAGCTTTCTACCATTTGGCCCTGGCGAGGCAACGGTGAATAGCTAGAGAAGAAGGTTGTTGTACGTGATGTTTGTCTCTTCCGAAATTTCTTTAGCTATGTAGCAGCGCCCCTCAGGTATGACAAAATGGCGTACTGAGCTGGCACCATTTATATCTCTTGAATCTTTCTCTGACAAAAAACGACGGGAACGTCGGAATAACAAGAATCCTTGATTGGAGCGGAAGAGCGGGCTTGCGTGGTAATGAAAGGCACGTGGGCCTTGAAATGCAATTTGCCAGGATGACGAAACCCCCCGTCTCACAGAAGCATGGACTTCGTGACATGGCTGACCCTAAAAAAAGAAACATGCACACACTGCAGCCAGCGGGCAGTAGGAGAGTGGGTATGAGTACTATGCAAGGAAAAGGGAAGAAAATAGCACCAGGAAGGAAATAGGTCAAGGGAAGAGATCGGCCGTAGTCCAGAACTCTTGCGGTCGGCAATAAGCCATTCACTCCGCTTGTAGAAAATTCAAGTAACACAGAGCCGGGAAGAGCAAAAGGCCGACAAAATCAAACAGAACCCTCTGGTATCCAAAAATAAAAGAAAAAAAGAATCCGGCCCACGGAATTTTCCTCTCCCCAAGCCCAAGGCTCGGTCGGATTGAATTGGGTGGTGCAATTAGTTTGCCTTGATTATGGCAAACAAAAGTGGCCGGTTTTCCTGATCCTCGCCTTTGTGCACCACATAACGCCGTCGCCGTGAGTTCCCCGTGCCCGGTTCAAACCCTAAATGAAAGACTGAAAATCCATTGTACATGCTTTGATTGGACGTATCGAGTGACCGTGCCACCATCTGCAGGGCGGGACGGAAAACACGATTGAAACATCAGTCAATCGTCATCCTCGCCGGCATGGGGCCGGCAATTGCGGGCATCTCGGTCGTGTACTTGTGCTCCTCGAGATCCGGCACCTTGCGTTTCGCGATATGTGGCTTGAGGCCCTTGTTGAAGTTGTGTGTGCACATGCAGGCAATGATGATGGTCACCAGCAACAAGAGGATGGTAATGACGGCGAAAGTGGTGAGCGAACGGCGCGCGGGCAGGTAATCGTTAACGCGACCGGTGTCGGACCCGTACATGCGGACGAGCTTGAAGAGGAAGTAGGCAAGCGCACCGAAGTAGACGGTCTGTGTGTATCAAGTCAGCAAATGTGGGGCGTGCAGTCATCCGTAAGACATACAATAATTGCGGCCATGCCCAGCACATTCTCCTTCTGGGTCCAGTAAGCGGCGAGCAAGAGCAGGATGATGGTGATCGGAATGGCGGCGATAGTGAGGTAGAACTCGGCATCCGTCGTGTTGCCAACGACGACAAGGAACTGCACGGTGAAGCCCAGGAAAAAGAAGAAATCGAACTTCAGAAGGGCGATGTAGATCTGCAGGCCAACGTCAGCAGGTGTACATGTGCCAAATTTGGCGCAGATGTCCCTTGCTTACCTGATACGTCAGATACCTACGCTTCAGCCTCAGGTCGGCGCTAATGTGCTTGTAGATGGTCCAGGCAAATTCGTCATAGAGCTTCCAGGCAACAAAGGACATGAGGATGGTGCCAAAGGCCATCAAGCAAGGCTCGACAACGAGGAACGGCCTGATATCGTCCCAGAACTCCAGGTTGATCATGTTGTACTTCTTCAGCTCCATGACGGCATCGTTGATCTGGTCCATTTGGATCGAGGCATAGACCAGGATACCGATGTTGTAGATGCAGAGACCAATGACCTGGATGGTGTTCTTGAGGCGGAGGGCATCGTAGACCAGAACCATCTGGTAGATGTAGCCGAACATGAAGACGGAAAGATAGGTGGGGATGGTCTGCGCCTGGGGGAATTTATCCGCATTCTTGTGCAGAGACAGCTGGAATTTGGCGAAGATGTACCTGTGGCAGACAGTCAGTTGCGAGTCGCGAGATGCGGGCTTCCGGCTTGACGTACGCTTCCAGCGCGAGGGCGACTATGGCCTGTAGTAACGCAGTGAGGAAGAAGGCCCACGTCCAGGTGGTCGTCGGTCGGTACATTTTGCTTGGTGGTGGGCGCACGCCCGGCGTTGCGGTGAGGCCTTCTCGGTCGCGGTAGCCTCCTGGCAATGTCTCGAGAGTGGGAGGCTGATATAGCCGGTCGATGCTCTGGCCTCCGAGGAGGGATGCGCGTGACTCGTGATGGTAAATTTTGACGGTGTTGTGCCGCCTCGCGCGGCTGGTGGGCGGAGGTTGTAGGAGAGGAGGCGCGGCGGGCGGTGTTGGGGAGGAGCAAGGCTGGCGCAGATTCGAGCCCTAACAACTGCGACGCAGGCTGGGCGCGTTCTTGGGAGCTGTGAGTCGCGGCACACTCGGGCCAAGCGGACAGGCGACACAGCTGCGGGTTTGAGCGTGGCGCAGAAGCTCCAACGAGTGTTTCGCGTGGGCGCAGGCAATGCAAGGGATCGCAGGCGTGCAACGCTTTCCACGGCGACAACGGCACGGGCTGAGTGGACGGGTGGGCGCGGGTAAGCACGAGCGAAGGGCAGCGCTGCCTGGGGGCGACAACGCGGGCGTCACGGGGGTGGTGGTAGCGATCGTCGAAAAGGCGGGCGTTGGCGCCTTTGGGATGGGGGAGATGGACGGAGATGGAAGCGGCTGCAGTGGGAAGATGCGGGAGGCCCTAGGGTCGGCGACGCGAGTAGCTTAAGGGTAGCCGGAGCGTGGGTTGGCTCGTTAGGGCCGCAGGGCGGAGTAGTCGCTTCAGGTGGAGAACGCAGCTCTGGGCCCTCCGGAGCACGAGAGGGCCGCCCGTCCGCCCTGGAGCCATCAGCCGCGAGGCGCAGCCCGGATGACCTCACCGCTCGATGCTGCGCATGCGCTCACGCGCCACGACCAGACTGCGTGAAGCTGCCTCGTTGCTACCTCTGCTACTACCGTATGTACAGCCCCCCCGCAGGCCGCCAGGCTCCCACTGCCCCCGGCCGCGCCAAGATCCCCAAGTCCGCCTGCCCAGCCTCTCCTGTCGCTCCCGCCCGTCTCATTGCACGCGCGTGTCAACCTCGTATTTCACATGGATCCCGTCGCTCTCCAGCATCTGCACCTGGCTCTCGTTGTCGCCCTTCATGCTGCCGCTTCCGTCATCGCTGTCCGGCCGCGGCGCCGCGCTGCAGTGCGTGATGACGGCGCTCTTGGTCGCCAGCCGCGAGTCGACGCTGGGCATCTTCATGCCGTTGTAGCTACGCGACCGCAGCGTCCTGCTCTTGAGTTCGAACGTGTCCTTGTGATCCGAACTGCTGCCCAGCTTGAAGACCGACGAGAACAGCGGCCGCAGGCACGCCGTGCACCCGCAAATTACTGCAATTCCAGCCTCGGCGTACGCCCAGATCACCAGGTTCACGACGCCAACTGCATGTCAGGGGTCAGCGCTATCTGTGGGCGATCGGCCAATTGTGCGGGGAAACCTACACAGGTAGTCCTCGGTAGGATTCATGTAGCTAACGGTGTATTTCAGCCGGATCATTGCCGAGACGCTGGCACTATTTCAACGGTCAGCCGCGCGTCTGCAACGGGCTCTTGAGTTACTTACAAGATACCAAGGCCAAGCAGGCCCACGACCGACATCTTAGTGTTCGAGTTCATCTTCACGTCCCAAAGGAGAGGTATCGGCCTGGTTTCTGCACTTAGTGTTGCTCTATCCTGCACAGTTGAGAGTGCTTACAGGACGGCGCAGAGCCAGTCGGTGATGATGTTTATTCCAGACTGGACGAAGCTGACTACGGTGACGGCGAGGGTCGGCAGGCATTTTGCGCCAGGTGTTGTGGACAGCCAGTTGGCTCTAAGCTAATCTTAGCACATGGCCCGGTCTTCTTTCTCCGGAAAACTTACTGAATAGGAGTGCACTGCGACAACAAGAAGATGGTTGTGAAAGAAAGAGACAGGACGATGATGCCAACGATGACCCAAAGTCCGATCAGGTATGGTCGCTTCTGAGAAGCAACGCGCACGAGCTGCAAGGCAATGCTGACTTTTGCAAACAAGATGGAGATGCAAAAGAAAACCTGCGCAAGGTAGAACCACTGTAACAACGGTCAGTAAGATTGACTTGGTCGCAGAGCTCAGTGTATGAGCACAGCATATCACCCCTATTTCTCAAACCTGGGCAACCTACTTTCAATGCAGTCACCCTCTCTGCTGCTGTTAACTTCTCGTCGTATGCTCCGAGCCCGGAGTTGGCGGATGTCAATGCGCTAATCGTGAGCATTAAAAAGAATGGCTGGGTCGGTCAGCGGTTATGGCAGCAAACGTAAAGCGAGTTGGGGAAGAAGTACCATGGACGCCGTCATCATCCAATCATCCCAACCCCATTTTGCGGACGTGAGTCGAACGTAGCATCGAAGAGCGAAGGTGAGGATGGCCGGGATACAGAGAATGACCACAGCTGCCACCAGCTTGGGCGCAGAGTCGTAAAACATTTGGACAGTGGGGACACGACGGCGCAAGAGCGAATGAGAGGAGTATTAATGAGCGGCAACTGGTCAGGGTCCAGCAAGGAAAGTCAGGCAGCACTGCCTTTTTCAACACCTGAACAAGGAGCAGCATCCCCATTTGACATCTCCTCCGCGTACGCCACGATTCTAGTGCAGAATCGATCTACAATCCTACGCCTTGATCAAAAAACAAGATCTTCTAAATTGCCTGTTCCTAAGAACTCGAGAGATAGGCTTTCGATGGGGGCTCGTTCGGCGAATGGTCCAATAGCGAAAGCCGGATGGTCAGGTACCACCCCACAGCGGGACGGGGAAGGCGGAGTGTCATCAGCCTAGCGAGCGAGGTGGTTTCTCAGGAACCGCTACCACTGGTCCATCCAAGCAGTGATTCGTGGGGCGGGCGATTTAGCATTAGGTGGTTAATCCCAAAGCAGCTAACGCGCCCCGGGTGTCAGAAGTGTCTGACAACAGCCTTCTAGAATGTCTTCTCGATCATCCAGAAGTCGCATTGATCGACCGGAAGCTGCGATGAAGGTGGATTGTCGGCCGCTCTGTGGCTGGCAGCTTGAGACAGCTCCCCATAGTGAGCCAGGAGTGCCAGCGGTTTGGGAGAGACTGGTCTGACAGCGCTCAAAGCCTAGCGCTAACGACGGCGGTCCCACGGCAGTTGCAGCTTGACAGGTGCGACCATTCGGGCGGAATCCACATCCGACGGCTGTGGAGTTGCACATGCCCTGCCTGTCACAGGCGGGATCAGCACAGCTCGCCCGACCCTTTTCTTGGCCTGCTGCCAATTCCCCTGACCTGCACGTCCCTCCTGCAGCTTGCATCTGCTTGCAGCGTTGCGGCGACTGAGCCACACAAGCCACCGCCATGGGGCTTGGCCGTCAGGCATGCAACCAACAATTTCGAACGTGCAGCGAACGCGCAAGCCCGAATCCACATCCCAACAGAGGCGATGAACTATTGTCACCATATTCCTATACCACGCGCTGATCACACGTCACCCGGGATTGCTTTATTGCCGTGGAGTGAACGGTCCCAAAAGCAGAGCAATCCTACGCTTCTTTATCGGCAGCAAACCTCTCTAGATCGGCCAGGTCCAGTTTTTCGAGCGCCTTTTCGTTAGTCGCATTCAGAAAGACCCTAATTAAGCGAAACTTGTTAGCAGTGGCCCGGAGAATTTATGATGGATCGGAGAGATCCCCAGATGTCGAAGCCGACCAGGGGAAAGAATAAGGAGTTTCACCTCGGCACCACGGGATCTTGATCGTTCTTGCGTGCGTCCAGAGCTTCCTTCCAGCGACTTGCGCAGAGGCACCACCTACAGCCTCCTATCAGACCAACCGTCCTCAGATCATTTCCACGTGACGCCGAAAACTCCAGGAACTCGTTAGTCACCTCAGCTGCGGTGCAACCCTGTCAGCGTCCATCTCTTCGCTCAGCCGCGGCTGACTCACCTGCAACGCTATGGTTTCCAAAGTCTCCGGCCGGCACCTCGCAGTAGCCGTTACGCAAGAAGCCCGTCATGGGCTTGGTCGAGTGCAGCGCCAGAGGCTTCTTGAAAACTGTCGCGCACCGCCTGTCAGCCTTGTTCCTGTCGGACTTGCATCCGGACAGGCCGATGGAATGTACGCGCGGACATGGCGTTCGTGCGCACAGGCTCTCGTTACTCACCGTTGAGGCTGGCCATTGCTGGTCTAGACATGGAGACGTATACTGCGATCGTCACGGTTTCTGTGGGGGATACGCGGCCTTGCGACAGACGAGTGGAGCGGCTGTGGAGTGTTGCGAGGTGAGGTGCGCGTCTTGTGCCCTTTCACGATCGTTGGCCGCGTCAACTCTAATTATGACGTGTAGAGTGGACCCTGATTCTCAGGAACGATCTGACGTTCATCGTTGCGGGGCTGTGCCGATCGGCAAACACACCGACAGGACCCTGGTCGACGCACCTTTGGTTGCGCTGCGCGAACCAGTCTTGGTGTCTTACTCAGACAGCCTCACGACAATTCATATGATCGAGGTGGAGGCGACAAAGTGCCTCACCAGAGCCAGATATCATGGCTGCCTCTTTACCCGATCTGAGGTATCGCAACCAGCTCGTGAGTTGAAGCCTGTTGTCTGTGGGAATTCACGTTGGCACTTTGCCCGTCATTCAAGTCTTAGAATGATTCCCCGGCTTTCTCAATTTAGTTCCCCTCTGAGTGGTCCACCCGAAGATGCTTCGAATGATTGTTCTCCTTGTATGAATGTTCTGATAGACTTGAAAACTAAGCTGTTTTGCTTTCGCGTCACTCTAACCTTGTTGCTGTTAAGGTTGTGCGGCTTATCCATTCATTGGCATACGCTGCTCAACGGCACAAATGCAGAGGGGTACTGCAGCTGATGGCTAGCGCGAAGAATAGCAGGGCCCTAGAACATGGCGTAAGCATACTTCGGGTCTTTTTTTTTAAAAAACAAAAAAGAAAAAAAAAGAACATACATGGATAGTTGAGGCTATCATCCGGATACAAATGTGGAATTGATTTATACATTCACATCCGGACGATAGCTTCAACTACCCATGGCATGAGGGAATTCACGCCAGCCGTCGGCTGCAATACCCCTCTGTACAGACTGTGTTGGCCTCACCCCACGGGGATGCATGGAATAAGTACTCCAGGCCAAATCGGGGATAACCCCATTCCAGATTCAACGCTCGTACGGATGTCCTTTCCGACAGGTGTTCACCTTACGTCTGCTGATATTCGACCGCACGGTGGTGTTCTGTACCCCACAGATCACCCGTCGCGCCACGGCAAACGGGCAATGGAAGCGAGAAGGGCTAGAACGTGGTCCGGTGCCAGCTTTTGGCCCTAAGAGTATAGTATCAACAGGCAGGCCGTACGATGGCATCGGCTTCCGAACCGCCGACGCCGTGCGCCTCGCCTGTGGTTCCTGAATATCGCGTGTGGAAGGCATAATATTGGACATCTGACTGGCGGGGCCCAATGGTGCGCAGATGAAACACGACAGTTAATCTGGAAAGCTTCCCCTGTTTCCGACCGCCGCACGGATTTAGGCTATTTCCACCAACCCGCGATACACTTTCGCTCCACTGGTCAAGTGGTGGAGGGCGTTTTAGGCTATGGAAAGCGAACATTTGGAACATTCGACAACCCCTCTTGATGTGCGTTCAGGATGGCGTTTGAGTGGCCACTTAAAACTTAAGCTTGTTCCCTTAAATTCCGCTTCCGGAGCCCCTGCACACGGCGCATAAGCGAGGACTGGACGCCACCAGGACATTTGGTGGGGCTGCAAGCACGATTGCAGCTAGCACTGCTATATGTGCTCACAAGATACTCGTGCTCGCTTGCTTGGCCATACAGGAAAGGTCTAGACAGTGGAGCTTTCAGCCGGAAAGCCGCTGTGGAAGGCGGCAGTGCCCGCTAGTCCCGCTCCTCACAGCAGCCGAGCTTGGTAGTGTGGAGATGGCGTGGGTTTTGTTATGGTTTCCTTTTGGCTTCTTTTCATGCTATCGCTCGTATACCGTCCAATTATAAAGAGCATCCCCCCTGCGGACCAGATGATGCTTGGACACTTACTTCCGCACATCCCTTCCCTTTCCTCACAGCTGCTGGATTGACTTTCTTTGATATTCCAAACATATTTCACCATGCATCAGAATTCCGCCTTGTTGCTGCTGGCAGCCATCCCAGCGACGTATGCCGCCGTCCCTGCCTGGGGTCAGTGCGGCGGTTCGGGCTATAGTGGCGAAACCACTTGTGTATCTGGTTATACCTGCGTGACTGTAAACCAATGGTACTCCCAAGTAAGTTACTTCAACGATAATCTCGGGCTTAGGATAGGCGCTCATCTTTACGCAGTGCCAGCAAGGATCCGCAGGTCCCACCACCACGCTCGCCACAGTCACAAGCACGGGCAGCGGCACCACGCCGAGCTCGACCTCTGGCAGCATCGATGCCAAGTTCAAGGCCAAGGGAAAGAAGTACTTTGGCGTGGCGACGGACCAGGGCCGACTCACGAGCGGGCAGAACGCGGCCATCATCAAAGCCGACTTTGGCCAGGTCACGCCGGAGAACAGCATGAAGTGGGACGCCACCGAGCCTTCACGCAACACGTTCACCTTCACGACGGCCGACTACCTGGTTGATTGGGCGACGACCAACGACAAGCTGATCCGTGGCCACACGACCGTCTGGCACTCGCAGCTGCCCAGCTGGGTCTCAAGCATCACCGATAAGGCCACTTTGACGACCGTCATGCAGAACCACATCGCCACCGAAATGGGTCGCTGGAAGGGCAAGATCTACGCTTGGGTGAGTACCTGCTCCGCAAGGCCGGGACGCGGGCAGATCACAAGGACTTGGACAGTTCGCGCTAACATTTCTCCTCAGGATGTCGTCAACGAGATCTTCAACGAGGACGGCTCATTCAGGTCCTCGGTCTTCTACAACGTCCTCGGCGAGGACTTTGTCCGCCTCGCCTTCGAGGCTGCGCGCGCCGCCGACCCCAACGCCAAGCTGTACATCAACGACTACAAGTACGTTCACCCTTCTTCCCTCGCATCTCACTCCTACCCCACCTTAAATACCGAATTGAAGGAACGCCGCGACTGACCAACTCCACCTAACAGCCTCGACTCCGCCACCTACGCCAAAACCACCGGCCTGATCTCCAAGGTCAAGGCCTGGCGCGCCGCCGGCGTCCCCATCGACGGCGTCGGCTCGCAGTCGCACCTGCAAGCCGGGCAGGCCTCCGGCACCGGCGCCGCCATGAAGGCCCTGTGCGCCGCCGCCGACGAGTGCGCCATCACCGAGCTCGACATCGTCGGCGCCGCCGCCGCCGACTACGTCGCCGCCACCAAGGCTTGCCTGGACGTCACCAACTGCGTCGGCATCACCGTTTGGGGCCTGCGCGACCCGGATAGCTGGAGGGCGAGCAGCACGCCGTTGCTGTTTGATGCCGACTTCCAGCCGAAGGCCGCGTATACCGCCATTTTGAACAGTTTGTAGGTGGTTTTGGGAAGGGGCGGAGGTGAGGGGAAGAGTTCTTTGGGATGGCCCAATGAGGGAGTGGGTTTGGTTTCTTGTAAAAATTTCCGTGGGTTATAGTTACCTCATACCAAAACTATCCAAAATTTTCTCACTTTCTTTCCTACTGCCGTAAGTGACTGTCGAATGCCGCTCTTGAAAGTTCTTCTTCAGAATCAATGCCTGGGTTGATCATCGACAGACCTCCAGGCTCCGATCACTTGCCAGCCAATAGCTCGTGATCCTCCATAACGTCCCGGTGCTTGGACTGTACCACTCGTGTCCTTGCATGTGACTTATTGAATCCAACTATAAGAACACTTCTACGGTGCTCCACAGGTTTGTTCTGTTTAATCATGATGATCTTGTCTTTCTAGACTGGACAACTGCCCAAACACGTTCAGAGACTCCCGCCGGTGGCCGGTGGTCGAGTAGTCTATAATATCCAGCCAGCAGCTCTAAGCATAAATCAGCATGAAGAAACTTTGGAGTTCAACCTCGTCCTATTCAGTTAATGCTGCTTAGAAGTATACGTTGGGAAAACTATTTCGATGGTAACACCGGATAATATCGCACCTTCCTGAGAAGAAGCCAGGACTATGCTCGCGACATGCCTGTGGATTAGTTAGGGAATTTGCATCGACTCTAGCTTCAGGATATTTCTTGACGGATAAGATGTCCTAAGTTGACAAGGAAGATTGATAATTCCGTCTATGAAATTCGGCTCCCCATCGAAACTTCGAGGTGAGAACACAGGTAATTCCCTTTGTGACGACAAGTACCAAGGTCCAAAGCATGGGTTTTAGCATCGATTGGACCCCAAGTTTCGCCGTTATTCTAATGGGCATTGAAAAGCTGCATTGCGGAAGCTGTCTTTCAGTTGACAATGAACAAATGTCTCAGTCATACACCAGACCTGTGCTCAATAATTCCCAACAATGGTTCACTTCACCCGAGACAGTCTCATCATCACTTCTTTGTGGTGCCTCGCATTATCCGATTTGCGCTGGCGTATATCTCTCGACACTTCTCTGTTACTTTCATAGTTCCTCCAAGAGCGTCCGCACCAGATATCAATTATCTTTTTATTTAAGAAAATATCTTAAATCTCTCGCAAAAAGGCTTCGCACGCCCACATCCCGCAACAACAACTCAAGCCAGGATTTTCCAATGGACACTTTCCGCAGGCCTCCCTCATTCCAGAATAATATCCTCTTCACAGTTTCCGCCGACGGCGAGATTAGATCTTTGAAGTCACCTCAGCCAAGCTCGTTGAAGAAGCAAATTCCGCAGCAAAATCTTCGGCAAGTCAGGTTTGAGTCCAGGCTACAGGTGCACCGAAATGCGCCATCAACAGCATCTGTATTGTCCTCATCCGAAGTTCATGGCGACACCGGACTGACTTCACTTCTTACCACACAAACTACGTCAGTAAAGCCTGGCGTCTCAGACAGCTCCAGCGCGAGCAGAAAAAAGTCCAGAGCACCGCCGCGGAAACTTGATAGGTACAGCATCAATACTGCCATTGAGATAGCACGGTCGGAATACATCCAGATTGGCCTCCAACGGCGCTACTGGGACCCGCCGCTTCTTCCACAACACCATGAACCGGCTTCCGATCATCTAGCCGTCGATTCAGACAACATTTCAAGAGCCGTGGCTCTGACAGATATCAAGATCTCAGGCGATCCGATTCGGCTGTGCACACCCGACTTTCGGGTGGAACCGCGTGGCTTGAAAGTCGGCGCGTGTCTTTTTCTGAATCTTCCTTACGGCGCCAATGATGCTTGCGGCCTGCAGGTGAAGATGAAGGACGGCAGCGCAAGTGATCAACCAAAATTCATCCTCGAAGTCTGCGCGGCTGTCCTCGACGCCAGGGCCGGAAAGAAAATGTGGCGTCTCTGCACCCAGCACGACGTTACGGACATGATCAACGAGATCGCCTTGAAGCGAACTGCTTCGAAGCCTACGTCATCTATGCTTGGGGAGACCTCACCCAACTCAGACACTCGGCCTCACCCCGAAACCTTTGACTGGACAGCTTTCACCGAGGATGAGCTCGAAAGTCAACAGCACATCCGCAGCAACGCCGCGTCCACCACACCGCGCCACTCCCGAACAACCCGCCTCTCAGGCTCCACCCTCGTTCCCAGCGCAGGATCCTCCGCCCGCTCCACCCTCATCGCCACAACACCAACACAGTACCACCACCCGCAGCAGGGGCCGCTCCCAGCCGCACCGCCGCAACCCTATCCAGCAGCAACAGCACTAAATAAACCCCTGCCGCCCGCGCCCCCTCCCACACCTTCCCTCTTCGCCACCATCCCTGCCGACGTCCACTCCTTCCTCAATCTCGCCCAGGCCATCAAACACGCGCACGCCTCCCGCTTCTTCATCCTCGTCCCGCGGCAGCACCATTGCTATCGTAACCGACGTCGCTTCGAACAAAGGGATGACGATGACAAACCGGTACTGAGCTTTCTCGGCAGCTACGCCATTTCCTTCGTCTCGGCCGAGTTACACGAGAACGGAGGGGAGCTGAATAAGGTGGTGGGGGCGGTAGAGCGTGCTGGTACAGAGGAAGGGTGCAATGATGGCAGTGGCAGGAGAGCGAATTCTAGGGCATTGGCGACTGGGTTGAGGGGTAGAGAGACGTTTTTGTGGGATGTGAGTGACATCTTTGATGGGAAAAGTAGACCGGAAAAGCTCAAAGCTGGTGGAAGGCATCGAGCTGGAGGGAACAAGGGAGAGGATGCCGAAGGTCGTCGTCGACAAACTTGGAAGAGCGTAGAATGCGTGCCGGTGGGAGATGGGCGTGGAGAAGAAGGAGAGAGGTGGTGGGTTTGCTTTGTGCGCTCTTGAAGGTCGGTAAGCCGTAGGTTTGCCTCCTTTGTACATACTTATGGGCCCAAGTTATTTCAGTGAGTTTGGCGTATATGCTTCAATTCAGCATTTGACTTCTTTCTTTTAATCAAAAAGTATGGTTTGGAAATAAGGTATGATAACCGGTAGAGTACAAAACAGTACTTCCTTCCTTGTTTTCTATGCCCACAACCTAACAGTATCCACCACCTCCGACCACGGGACGCCGGGGTGTAGGTGAGCGATCGGCTTTTCGTGCGGGTATGGGGACCCGTTTTCGTCGTCGTCATCGTCGTCGTCGTGGTGGTTTCGGCCCAACCTGCATCTTGGATGGCTGCCATCGACATGGAAGGCTGGTCGGGGCGCCGCGGCGCCGGTGCGGGCGTTGGTGAATGCGAGACCGGGGGATGTGAGGGCTGTCAGCAGTTGGAGGAGGGGGGAGGATGCTTTGAAGAGTGCGAGGGGCCGTGGTGAGTTGTGTAGGGTGAAGGTGATTGTGAGGGAGAATTCGGTGAGGGTGCCTAGGTTGAGCGTAGGGGATGATGCGGAGATGGAGATGTTGATTTGGGGAGTGTTGCGTCGGTTGGATGAGTCGAAGCCATGACTTTCGTGTATATCGATGGATAGTGAGTTGAAGTGGAGGAATTTGAGATGACTGTCTGAGATATGAGTCGCCTGAGATGAACAAGTGGTGAAATATCTTGGATCATCGACTATCGTGTTTCGCTAGGCAGCAGTTTTGTGGTCCCAGGTATCCTCACATATATTTGAACCCTCATCTGAAGATTTTCCTCCCAATATAGCCCCATTTTACCATGGGCTGTCTGAGGTCTTCGTATTTGACGTATCGTTGGTCATCAGCGAGTGAGCGAACTGATTCATGTAGCCGAAGGAGCTGTCCTTGAGGAACTCCTTGATCGCTTTTCATTGGCTTTTCGTGGTTCATAGAGCACTGCAATGGACATCACGCAGCGAACTAACGCTTAACTACATGCCAATCAGTCTGTTTGCAATGGACAGCCAGGCGACTGTCTGTTGACTAGAGTTCATAAACATAATTTTCAACTCCATCCTTCACGTACGACCATAGGTCGCAGAATGCAGGGCTTCCCGTCCGCTCAGCCGTACTTAAGCTGCGAACCGGCCGATTAGTACTCAAGTGGGTGACCATTGGGGAATCCCGGCTGTTGTACGTTTTGTAGTTTTTGTTCGTTGGTGCATCGATCGCTTTTTGGTCCAAGCAGCTCCGCTCGCTCGACAGGGGTATTATAGCCGAAGGCTAGCGCGAAGAATGGCAGGTCCCTGAAGCAAGCTGTAAATCTGCCTCAACAAATTGATTTTTTTCCCCCCACGAGAAACAACATCTGTGAGTACATTGTGGAAGCTGTCGTCTAGATGTGGATGTATGATTATTATGCTATCTGCCCTCACCTCGCATAATGTTCTTGATCTAAGTTCTGGCAACTCAATCTAGCTCATGCCATCCGCCCGCTTCATACCCCAAATATATGCAATTTAGCGATACATCAACTTATCCTCATTCCATTGGAATAGCATATCCAATTCTCATACTCCTTAGCGCCGAGCAAGGAAAGGAATGTGTATGAAAAAAATATACACGAGAGACCAGAAAGCCGGCCCAGACTCTCCGCGAAACGCCAGATTCAGTGAATACAACCCCGTAGAAAGAGCGTGTGATTACAAGCCTCCCAGAAGATCCTGTGACCGAACCGTAACAGCAGGTAAAGAGTGAAAGCGATGGCCAGTAATAGCGAGTCATGTGTGGTTGACATGACAATGTTCTCGGGAAGTCCTTCTCTGAAAATGGAACAGTGGGAAACTGTAATCCGCAAGTATCCTTTCGATGAAGCTTTCGTCCCTGACGTGCCCATCCTTGCGTGTTCTGTATGATAAGCAATGAGCGGTTGGCGTAGAGTTCCGAACCTCGGAACTCTCCGAACGAGTAGGTAAATAAACGCATCAGCGACCGCGCGTAGTGTCGCAAAAAACAAGGGCCCCTCATATCTCGGACCAATGCATGTCCTCCATCTCCTCATACTCCACCTTCCTACTGGACGTTCTCCCGGCCCCACTCTCCCTCTTCGACGAAGAAGGGCGCGCCTCGGCACCAGCCGGACCAACGCTCAGCTTCTGCCTAATCTTCTTCCCAAACTTGACCGCAAACGACGACGGCGCGGCTGCCGAAGCCGCCGCCGACGCCGCCGAAGATGACTGCGGCCGCGCGGCGCTCTTGCCGGCCGAAACACTGCCGTACCCCCTCTGCACCGCTGGATCGATGATGTCGTCGTCGTCATCGTACTGATGCTCATCGTCGCCGTGCGCAGCTACGTTTTTCTTCATGGTGCTGCCGCCGACGCTCCGCGTCGACATCATTCGGCGGATGGGACTGGGTATCTCGTCCATAGAGCGGGCGCGCTGGACGCCGGCGGAGAGCTGCTGTTGCTGCGTCTGAAGCCTTGCAGCAGCGGCGGTGACGGCGGCAGACTTGGTCGACAGCGGCGGCAGAATCGGATGGTGATGATTCTGCTGCTGTAAGCTGCAGTGAGGACAGCATTGAACGGGCTGCTGCTCCCTCCTCCTCACCACGTCCGCCTCGGTGCCCGGGAAAGCGCCGGGTGAGAAGGGCGTCATGGGCGGAGATGGCGGGGCGTCGACGTCCGTCTTCGTCGAGGCGACGGAGAGACGGAAGAAGTGGCCGGGGGTGCGCGGCGGCGACAACGAAGAAGGCGAGGGCGGCGAGGAGGTGGCGTAAGAACGGCGGTGGCGGTTGTAGTCATCATCATAGACGAGGTCATCATCGTCGTACTCGTCCTCGTCGTCGTATTCGTCACTGGACGAGTAGTGGCGGTCCTTGGCGCTGGAGAGACGAGTGATGCTGGCGCTGTTGCGTACGCTGCTCCCTTGACGGTGGTGATGGTGCAAGCGAAGCGAGGAGGAAGAGGTGGCGGCGGTAGTGGCGTTCTTGGAAAGCGGCTCATAGCGCTGCGAACGGCTGCTGTAACTGCTCTCAGGCGAGGTGGGGGCGCGCGGGAGGCCGTGGTGGGAGAGCGGGAGGCGGAGTTGGGGATGGTGGCCGCTGGCGGATGAGGCCGGGCGGGAGGATGAGGAGGATGGCACAGCGGCGCTTTGGTGATACGCGGCCATGGTGATGGCCGTTGGTTGTTCTTGATGGACGGGGAACGAAACAATTGTTTGAGAGAAGCGCTGGAAAAGTGGAGGGATTGGCAGTGCGTGTGCTCAAGAGGAGGAAGAGGGGCGAGGACCAGAGAAACGGGAGCCAACAGAGTTTCAAGAAGGTAAAGAAGTATGGTAGGGACAGGCTGAGTGCTGGCTAATGCGGCCACAGCCACAGCTAAGGCAGAAACGCAGCAAGGCTAATTCGCAACCCGAATGACGGCCAGGCAGCAGACGTCAGAGGCTGCAGCTACACAAGCACAGCAGAAAGTAAGAAAATAGCAAAAAAGTAAGTGAGAGGAAAGCAGCGTCTCCCATGGGACGCCGGCGGGTTATACGGCGGCCTCGGGCTGCTAGTCGAAGCTACCGGGTACCCACCACCGGCTGCCGTCTCTCTTGCAAACGAGCTCATACTGCCGGCGTGTGTGGGCGTGTGGGTGTAGTCGCGTCGGCCGCCCAAGAGAGGAAGTGCGGTAGTTACGCGCCCGGAGGCCTAAGCTAGGGCAGCCATCCCTGCTGCCCCGCCGCCCAATGAGCGCCCGCACCGCGCTGGCCACCGAACCACCAGCCCGTTTGACAGAGCGCCTAGCAACCAAGCACGCTTCGCGCCCCATCAGATGATGTGCGTGATCGTACGTTCCTCTCAGCTCCCCCGGAGAAGCCTGCGGAAAGCGGGTCGTCAGCGGCGCAGCCAGCCTCTGGCCAATTGCGCCGCTGCGGCACTCCCGCGCAGCGTCTTTAGCGAGATGGACCCTCTGCAAAATCACGCGCCATTGGCTGTGCGCTCACGAGGCCAGAGTAATTGACCTCAGGCCGTGTGCCTGGCCCGATGCCGCGGTCGTGGCCAGCGCTCCGCAAGCGCCAGAGTCGATGCGCCGCGGATCTACGACGATCAGGCGCGCGTTCCAGCAACAGTGGGGTAGAATAATAGTAGACCACAGCGACAGCGCATCGTCGGTGGGACGCCCGACGTTGATGATGGCGTCAGCCGCCGCCGATGCCTCATTCATCGTAAGAGCTGCGGATAGGCAGGGGCAGGGGTAGCAAAGAAGGCGGAAAAGCTTGGGGCGCGAGCTAAGCATGCAGCGCCATTTAGGCGCCTCAGTGGGGCCCTTGCTCTCTCTTGCTATATACGGATACCCTTGCCCGCCGGCCAGACCTTCCGCCGCATCACCCATTCGTTTCAAACCCGCTGCAAACGCGCACGCCCGTTTTTCTCACCCTCGCCGCGCTCTGAATACCGCTCATCATGTGGCCTAGAGCACCTATTTTCCATTTCCTGGTCCATCATTTTGTGGGCCCAGTGGTATCAAAGTCGATGATGCTATTCGCTAGCTACGCTATTGCGGAACAAAACGGAAAATATGTATAGTGCGAAGCTTCATTGAAATGACTCGGTCTAGCCGGAAAACAAAGGGAAAATCGCCCTGCTGACTGCTGTTTCGGATGTCTCTGGTCACGAGTGTTCCTACATGATCCCGTTGAAACCTCTGAAAGGTAACCCGCTGATGTGGAGTCTTGCGGAAACAGCCGACGTCTGGTGCATCGTGCTATGACCTTCTTCACGACCCTACGCCGCGATCCATACCTTTACTGGCCCGGCCGTTTCGTGTGCATGCAAGCGTCCAGCGGAGGGAGAGACACCGGTCCAAAACCTTCTCGTGGATTCGTGACGATCCACCCAGTCGCATGCACATGTCGAATGCGGATGATGAGGGTCAGCTGAGTCGAGGCGAGGTCGGTTAGGTCGACTAGAAGCGAAGAGCTTGGTTGCTGAAAAGGGTATCGTAGAATCCCACCTCGTTACGTCTTTCTTTCTTTCTTCGGCAACTGCCGAAACACCCCGTCAAAAAATAAAAACAAAAAGCGAAAGCGAAGAAAAGAGCCAGCGAGCGAGAGATAGACGAAGGACAGAAAGGACAATGATCAATATTCAAGTCTCTTGGCCATGCCCGCCGCAATACAGCAGCCCATGTAGATCAGGAAGATGAGTACAAAGCTCCATAGCTGGAGTGCAACCCGGCTTTGGGAGAGCTTCGGGTGGAGGAACCATTGGATTGTGAGTCCGAGGAGAGCTCCGATGGCCGATCCAACGAAGTTCATGGCCTTGCTCTCGAAGTAGCCTCTTGCAAAGGCATTTGCCCCGTTAGACCGTTTGGAAAGCAACAATGCCCATACCGCGCCCATGACGCATTCCTCGAGGAAGAGAATGATGGCGATAATGGCAAGTAAAATTGTCGTCAGTTTCGCTTTCCGTGCCCGTTGTATCAGTGTGAGGTCCTCCACGCTCTTCTCAAACCCAGAGCTGCCTTTCATGAGAGACGTGTTGCTGTCCGCAGAGCGGGTCGAAGATATGGCAGACATGTGTTCGGGAATATCCTTGGAGTCGTTCACCAAAGGACTTTTGTTCATGTGCCAGCTGAGTCCTTGGTATCTCTCAGGCTGTTTCGGAGATGGGAGGAAGTTGTTGAAGTAGCCGCGGTCTAAGCTAACCTCGTAGCTGTATTGCCCGATCACAGTGGTGTTTGATTGCTGAGAAGCTTGTGGCTGTGGAAAGCCGTTCTGATTCAAGAAGGACACGACTGAGGGCGAGGTGTTGTGGTCGTTGAGTCCAAGGCCGTCATTTCCCAAGTCCAGAGGCGGAATTACGGCTTGAGCAGGTGGTCTTATATGTGCAGGGGAGGAGGTCTGAGTTGGCGGGTTCGTGGATCCCGGCTCATCGAGCGGTACGTAGGATGCTCTGAAACTATCGTGTGCGTCCGGTCGAATGGTTCGAGTGGCAGGTTGCCTGCTTCGTACACTTCCAACTCGCCCGGGCATGGCCACGAGCGGTCGAGACCGGCCATTGGGGTCGTATACGGTTTGGGGGAGAAGAGGGCCGTCGTCCATTTGTTTGGTCGTCATCGTGTCTCTCGGTTAGTTCTGCAAATGGAAACGAAGGACATGTGCGAGTCAAAATATGAAGGTCTGGAAATAACATTGCGGACGGATCGAGTAAAATATGCTAAGCACTGGCAAGCAGCCCTAACTCCGCATAACCGATCATGTTCAGGGACAAGGACAAGGTTTTCCGGGACGAGGCCGAGCGGCATGCTGTGACAACGAACACGTAACTTGGACCTAATCATTCCTGGGCATCGAGGCGGGCGGCCCAGCCCATGGGCCCGTGTGGCGCTTGCTCCTGCTACCTTAATTTTTTTTTTTTTGGGTCACTTAACCGTTCGAGAGAGCAAGCAGGCGTCGACGAGACTAACACAGGGCTAAAGGATGGGATTCCCCTTTGATCGCCGAAGGACCCGGCTGAGCACTGCATCCTAACCCGGGCACAAAGCTTTATTACACGCATGAACGAGCATGCAGCGATTGACGTAGGTGTATTAACTTCTAAGGATATGTCAGCCTCTGTGGTTCGCGAGACACAGGCGTGAGCATTATCGCTGTTTTCACATCACTCTCATGCTGTGAATGAGGCAGAGTGTGGCTGGAACAGTAGTCGCCGAGACGGTGCATTGACAATGACGCACTGCGAAGAGACAGCAAAGGTTTCGAGTATCATTTCCAGGAAAGATGCAGCTCGGGCACGCAGGCGGAGCTGCGCCATTGGCTGGGCTGTCCTGCCGGACTGATGACAATTTCCGTCAGGGCACGCTTCCACTGGGCTGGTCGTAGATAGAGTTTGTGGTATGTGTGGAGGATCAGTCCATGGGGCTTGAGGCGCAGAGGGTGTCAGAGTGACAGCTGGCGGCCGGTGGTTAGTGACACCCCTGCCTATTTCGCTTATCCAACCAAACTCGGCTAGCGCCATCACTGTCAACCGTACCAGGCACCCTTTCGTCTCGCCAATCGTCTTCACCTTTCCCAACCCAGCCTCGTCGCATCGATATGGACGTTTCTGAGCCTCTTGGCCGACCGTTTGGGATACCCATAGCCACGCTTGCCAAGTGGGGCGAAGGATGCTACCTCCCTACCCTGAACTTCAATTCACGTTTCACTTCTCACTCTACAAACGTGGCCATCTTCTCTCAATCCATCCGGGGATGATATTGCGGAAACTAGGGCATCATCTCTGGAAACCCCCGCTAAGATGACAACACCTCTCTGGATGGTCTCCACCGTGATACGAGGGTCGTTGGCCTAGCTCTCGTCCCGTGACATCAGCCTTACTCAAGAGCGGCACCGCTTGCGGAAATTACTTGTCAAGAACTCTCTACGAGTATCAACAGACGTCGCACGTCTTGTAGGATACCTCTCCTGCACTAAGTCCTTCCTCTGAGCCATAAAGTGCGCAGAATATTCGAAGCGGGAAAAGGCATTTCGCAAAGTGCATAACTGAAACCATTGAGTTGTCAATGGAAATCCAAACGTTGAAGGGGGACAAAGAGCTGTGGTTTGGTGACGGCGGAGACAATGCTTGCGCCTTTTCTCTGATGGGGAATCACGAAGAAACGAGGCAGTATCTTGCGAGAAGCCAGTCGGGATCCATATTCGCCACCATTGGGCGGGTCATCCAGCATGATGTTGCAACAGAAGCGAAAAATGTTGGTTTTCCTATTGGTAGAGGTCTCGAATACGCAATCATCGGACGCCTTGGATTGACAAGGCAGAATTCATCGCTATGACCACTGCACTTCTATACTTTGGAGAAGTCTCGGCCAGCAGAAGAGGTTGGGATAAGCGTGGTAGCGCGTTTACATGATTGAACGTTGTCATATCACAGGACCTGGTCAGCGCAAACACTAAACAAGGGTAGTAGGGCTTTCTCTTACGCGAATCCAGGCAGTCAATCGGCGCAAAATGTCCCCCACGAAAACCGTAAGCACAAATCCAGCGGGAACAGGAACTAACAAGGCTCAAGATATTTTTCGTATGGGCAAGATGGCGGTCCAGTCTTCTGTCTGCAAGATGTTGTTCAAGGACGAGATAGCTTTCCAACTTCATCGCTACCGGCAACCAGGTCTAATTTTGATGGCTCCATGGACTTTGTGCTTCTGCGAAAGCTCCCAAGCTGGGTGTCTATACAATCTGATATGAATGGTCGACGGATCGTCAAATCAGACAGAGGCTCGGCTATGTTGTAAGTGATAAAAGTGTTCTCTGCATCTCGTAGCTTACTGGATACAGTCAGCTTCACGCGCCATGGGACATTTCTGTACTTTAATTTTCGAAGAAAGGCATAGCTTCAATTGGACGCCAGCACGATAGTGAGCTCCTGGATGCGCGGAAGTAACTTTCGGAGTCAGCACGAACCACGGGCCGATATGGTTATGGAACCAGGCGGTTACCTCGCTCGCGCAAATGTTTTTGTCGACGGCTAGCAACGGTCTGCACTAGAGGCAGCAGCAGGCGTCAATATGGTGAGTGGCAATGGAATGCGTCGAACCCTGGTTACACGCGCGATTGACATGGCGGCTGACGCGATTGGCGACATCCAAAGCAGAGCGGGTAGGTAGCCGACTAGTGCAAACATGCGCTTGGTAATCACGCGCCCTACGCGAAACGCGGGCATGGGCACACGCATGAATGACGACGCCCATAAGCTAAACACACCGGTCAATGAGGGCCCTCACGAGAGGGAAGTGGCGGGCTCCTGAACAAAGAGCCCCTCAGCACAGCGCACAAGGTGTTCTCGTTGCCTGACCTCGACGTGATGGTCGGCACCCTGAGCGGCAGCGAGCTAACGGAAAGTGGTAGCGGGGGAGTTGCGAACGGTCGCTCCGCAGTCGGCACCGGCGCCGGTCAGGCTGGCCCCGACAGTGCGCTCCCCGTCGGCATCGATGACTCCAGGCGGCTGCTTTCGACCACTGCACGAGCGGCCCACCCGGTCTAGAGCCGAGGCGTTGCACGGCCTACGACCGTGACGCCGTCGCCAGCACACCATCGAGGTAAGGAGTGATGCACCTCTCTCGACGGCCTCCAGACAACCTCATCAGCCGCAGAATGGCACAATATAAGGCTGAGGTTTGTCAGGATGGAATATGTCAGCATCAGCTGCGGTTGACGCGCCCGGGCGTGGCTTGCAGAAAAGGCGTGGATTCGACAAGTTCCCGAGTCAGACGAGCCGTTGGCGCCTTTTGGATGCGCGGCAGCCCCTCCGCGGCGCGCTTGTCACCCATCCACGCCCTGCGCACGGCCCACAACTGGTCAAGCTCACATCTTTTTGGGACACCTTTTTTTCCCCTCGGTGACTCAGATCGACGCCGCACATGTCAAGCCTCGCGCCCTTGCACTGGCTGCCATGCCTGTCTTTGCAATTGTTGTATAAGACAGACCTGTCGCCTCCCGGTCGGGGCCCCTCACTTCTCCCCAGACTCAACCGAAACAGGCAGCCAGTAGCAGCATTGCAACTCTTTATCCGCACCCCGGACTTGCTATCGCGTCAACCCCTGTGCATCACGCACCGCTCCCGCGGCTGCCTATCCCGTCCTTTGTTCGATACCTTGTTAATAACTTTTCTCTTCGTCAACTCTCTACTACCATGTCTCGTCGCTCATCCTCCACCATGTCGTCCTACACGCCCTCTATCACCAACAGCGCTATTTCAATCAAGATGCGGAACTTCGCCATGCAGGGCAAGCCCGTCGTTAACATATCACTGAATGGCGAGAGCGGCCCGCACGGCAGCTACGTCACCTCGTTTTCCACCATGGACAAGTTGGAGGGCGAGGTGTCTGTCACTGCCCCGCACGACACCAGGTTTGACGACATAGAGATCGCCTTTGTTGGTACGTATCTCCTGAGCCCTGCCGAGCCCCAGCCGACTAATCCTTATCACAGGCCAATCGAGCACATTTGTCGACAAGTTCGCAACTGCTCCCACCATGTCTTCGCGATCAGACGCAACCCACCAGTTTCTCAAGCTCCGCCAGCCCATCGACGAGTCCATGCTTCCAACCCCCCGCATCGCTGAGGCTGGTCGCACCTACAAGTTCCCCTTCACTTTCGTCATTCCCGCCCACCTTCTCCCAAAGGCTTGTCAACGTTTCGCAAATGACCAGGTTCGCGCCGCACACCTGCAGGTGCCTCCCAGCATGGGCGACACTTCCATTTCCGGCCATGGTGGCAAGCTGCTCGATGATCTCACCCCAGACATGGCAAGGATCTCTTATGCTATCAAGGTCACCGTCACCCGAGAGCGCGAGACCGATGGCAAGGTTGTCACGCTTGTCGAAAAGAGCAAGAAAGTGCGCGTGAAGCCAGCCTTTGACGAGCAGCCACCTCTTGTCGTAGGATCTAACGATGCCGAGTACCGGCTTAGGCGCGAGAAGAACATCCGCAAGGGCATCTTCAAGGGAAAGCTGGGCAGGCTAGTGATGGAGACGCAGCAGCCACGCAGCCTTCGCATCCCTGGCGCACGCACGCCCGACGGTGGTCCCATTACCACCTCTGCAAAAGTCATCTTGCGCTTCGACCCCGCCGATGAGAACACCCTCCCGCCAAGGCTGGGCAGCCTTAGCAGCAAGCTGAAGGTCACAACCTTCTACGCCACCACGCCACGCCGTCAGTTTCCCTCCCGCGAGCAGGTCTTGCTCGACATCTCCCAAGGAACCTTCTCGGAAACCCTCCCGCTCTCCTCGCGCTGCATGGCCGGCGCCCAGTGGACCAAGCACACGCCCACCGCCGACGACATTGCCGCTGCATCCGACCCGTCCATCTCCCGCCGTGACTCCGGCCTCAGCGACTGCTCCGCAGTCTCCAACGCCAAGAACATCCCCGAGCCTTCGGAAGCCTACGTCGCCGGCAGGCCCTACTACACCGCCAACCTCCTCATTCCGATCGAGCTACCCTCCAACAAGAGCTTCATCCCAACCTTCCACTCCTGCCTCATCTCGCGTGTCTACCGCCTCGACCTCTGCCTGTCCATCTCCGCGACCACCTCCGTCACTCTCAAGGTGCCCATCCAAGTCACCGCCGAGGCGAGCGCAGAGGGCGCTTCCGAACACGCCCAGCGAGCCGCCAGCCAGGCGCTGCAGAGAGAGACGGACGCCGCAGTGGACGAAGTCTTCGCTCCGAGGAGCATGGCCCCGCCCAGCCTTGACTTCTTGGAGGCCAGCCAGAGAATGCAAGCGGCTGGTGGTGCACCGCCTGGATATGAGGCCACGGCTTTCGCGGGAATGCAGTCGAGGGGTGTGGAGACGATTATCAGGGTCATGGGCTGAACAGCATACTGCCTTCACGATTTTCTTTTTTTTTTTACGTCTGGCTTTCTTTAATCGTCTTTGTAATTGCTTTTTTGCTCTGTTTTTTCTGGAGTTCGGATTCGGCCCATGTTTTGGGAAAAAGACGCGCATATACCCCGGCATGAAACGTCCTGGAGAAAGAGAGTTGTAAAAGATTGTTTTGGTCTGGGACTTGTGGATACGGGAGGATCGGAGAGCGGATTTGAAAAAAATTGGGTCATGGAATGTGGAAAGGAGTTGCATATTTTGCTCTTTTTTTTTCGGCTTCAGCTTGCATTGTCTTTGGTTCGTTCTTCGCTTTTTTTCTCTCTCTGCTATGGTGCGGTGCAGCAATCAAGGATACCCCTAAGTACCTGCAGTTTAATTCTTTTAAGGCTTTAATCCAAAATTAAATATCTGATCACTTGGGCTCTCCTTTATATGTGCGATGCGGGCTTCGAGAGGATGGAGTTTGAACGGCAAATATCAAAAACACCTCTTTAGAGTATCCTCGTGGAGTCGTTGCGGACAGTGGATAACTGACAGACGAAGGCCTCAACTTTGAAATTTGTGACTAGCTACGATCGGTAAATAGCCCGAGTCCTCTACTCCTCGGTTTCTCAATCTTAGAACCTCTACCATTCTCGACTACACACTGAAACCCTACCGTGCATGCAATTGCTACTCTACGTAATCGGTAGGTTACGAAACCTTCTATGTAATTAAAGATATTAGTGTAGACTATATTAAAATACTTAACTAGGTAGAAAATAAGGACTAAGTAGATGGTTAACTAGATAGCGGCTATAGACCCTACTTAGCTAACTAAGCTGACTACGAATTTGATATAATAAGCAGTGTGCTAGTCTGTAACTACGCCTCTTCTACGTACTTGAATTGCAGCTAGGTGGCTAATACGTAGTCGACACGAAATTCTACCGCTGTAGATTGTCTGAATTGTCGACCTTTAGACTGGTTAGTCTATAAGTACCTCTCTTCTACGCAATTAGATTACGAAGTCCTCGGGTAGTGTAGCAGTGGAAGGCGTGTAGATAGATGGCTTTTTCTTTACATTTTATGCAGATCCAGTGTCTGGCTCTGAAGTCCCACCGACGATGCTGTTTGGCCGCACACTTCGTTCCACAAGTAGCGCACCGGCCCCCGAAGTTATCCGGCCTGTGCGACCTGTGTTTGCGAAGATGCTCGAGGGGCTTGCAGAATCGAAACAGGTCGAGAAAAGTGCCTGTAATGATATTGGTCCGGAGATCATAGTCGTGGACGGTCCTCAGCAGCATCATCATCACCCCCTCGCAGATGCTAAACAGATACGTGCCGGACTCGGAATCTTGGAAGATCATAAACGGTCTATAGGGGGTATTGCAGCCGATAGCTAGCACAAATTCGCTCATGCCATGGGTAGTTGAAGCTATCGTCCGGACGTGAATGTATAATTATTAATTCGACATTTACATCCGGATGATAGCTTCAACTACCCATGTATGTTCTTTTCTTTTCTTTTGTTTTAAAATAAACAAGAACTGAGGTATACTTACTCCGTGTTCTAGGGCCTTGCCATTCCTCGCGCCAGGCATCGGCTGCAGTAACACTCTGTAAATTTCCGAGCCTCTGATATTCTCGACCATACACCAAAACCCTACAATGGATGGAAATGAGTATCAACAAGGCTGGGCGCTCATCACCAGCGTACAAACAAAATGCTGAAGGACAACACTGTTTACGCTTCGCATCTCGTATCAGCATTACACACGAGTGAATTCTGGCTATCAACGGTGTATGACACAGGTGTTAAGGCAACATAGATGAACCTCTCCGGGGCGGGAGTAGAGCAATCTCAGCAAGCGACAACACCATCTGTCGTTTTCTTTCCAGCTCGTACATTGATAGATTGGTTCTTTGGGGTAAACATGCAATTCACGGTGCGGTTTTTCAAGGCTAAGTTTGGACGTGGGGCGAGATGTGTGGAGCCATGTCGCGTGGAGCTCCTGCAGGGTCCCTCTACCCATTTGAAGGATGGCGGTCTGGGCACGTGGCGCTGGGGGTAAGGAAGTTGGCTTTGAGGGTGTTTGGCGACTTGGTCAGCGGGTTGGAGATAGGGGCGCGGAACGGGGTTGAGTTGGAGATGTACTTGAAGCGGTCATAGCACGCTGCTTGTTGTGTGGTTGAGCAAGTGTGCCGTTTTGTCGTAATACCCCATTACTGATCAAATTACTGCTTGGCTTCGAAAAGACCACAAACATATCATCACTCCTGCAAGAACAAAGATTGACTAACAAAATTAGACATGGAGTATCAACACAGAGTAGTATCTGTAATATATGAAGAAAATCCATACTCCTTCACCTCACCAGCATCTTGAAATAATGCCATCCAAAACCATGACGTCTTGTTGGAGAAGAAGTAGGAATATAGAACATTCTGATATACAAGATTGTCGACAGTAATACACGTAGAAATACTTGAAGCAGAAACCCAAAGACAAACAACGCCAGAGCCAGTACATATCGGTGTATCCCTCCAAAACAAGAAATCCTCCCACCCCCGAGGCGAAAAGAATCGTAGCCGCCGTTCAATGATACCAGTGAGCCTTAATGGAATCCCCTCCGCCGGTGTCCAATGCCAAACCCAGAAAGGAAAGCAGCCCAATAGCGGCCAGCGAGCAACACGTGAGGTCAGTCTCGCGGCAAATCAATGATCTGAAACCGAGGAATCCACCCTAAACGATCGACCTTTCCTTAGGCCGACCACGAGAAAGATCGCTTGAACGTCCCGTGACGCTTTCAGCAAAAAGTGCTTACACAAAACTGCAACAAACCGACGTTAGCACATTGATCCACCAAATAGCTTGGGAGGGAAAATGTCATCAAGATGAACTCACCTCATGACTCCACCGCCCACCACGACGCCCCTCCACAAGTCATCCGCCTCCTCCCAGCCCTCAACGTCCAGCAGATCCTCATCTCCGCTGTACTTGCACCGCAGCACCTTCGCCGTCGCCGCGTCCACGTTGCCGTTGCCGGGGAGGAACGAAAACAGCTCCACCAGCGCGGTCCAGTATCTGGTGATCGCGGACGGGGTCGACGAGGCCGACTTCTTCATGGCCGAGGTATCGTGAGACATTTTTTCCGTGTCTTCCTAAAAAATTTCCCGTTCTCTCACGTGGACTGAAACTTTCTCTCTCCAACAAACGCGTGGGGTAATGCTACCCGATGTGGAGCAAGAGGGAAAAAAAAAACGTGGAGTGGAGTTCGGCAGAGGCGGTTTGTCCCGGCGGTCGCTCCCGAGTGCGCGGTTGGGGGGGTTCGTTGGTAATGTGGGACCGGGGTTGCGTTCGTCACAGCGGAGCCTCTCAGTACGAATTTTTTGCTTGCACTTTTTTCTACTGCTCCTCTTTTCTGCTTGACTAGTTGCCCGGTTGTCGCGGTAACTAGCGATGACCCCTCAAGCTGTTGCTGTAGTCGAAACACTTGTGTGGAGTTTTGGTGGCGCGGTGACCGGTGAGGGCGGCTAAAACAGCTTGTTGTAGGAAGGAGGACCGGCGATGGTGGAGATCGACTGACTCTGCAGCAGCAGGAACAACACTGAAAGCTGGAGGCGAAATAGGAGGGTAGAGGAAAGTACGACGGTGAATGTTTGACAGGAGTATCAAGCACGTTCTCTCTACGAAGAACGGACCATTATTATAACACAGACATAAAGACGTCGAAGAGCTAGGCGGACACAGACGCCTCTCAGCGCAACGGCCGCCATCCGCACAGCCCGCCCTCGCGTCGTCCGACACGCAACGCAACACGCCCTCACCGCAGAAATGAAGAGAAAACCTTGTCGTCAGCCTCGTCTGCCTTGCTTTTCGTCGCCTCAGACTGCGAATGAGATTGCAGACAATGAGTTGTTAGCAATACGTTGGCAATCTGCACGCACGCACGGCCCGCCGGGGACTGAGGAAAGGAAGAAAACTGAGCTGTTCAAAAGATCAAAAGGTGGTTTGTGGGTTGAACGAGAAAATCATTTCCCGATTCCTCCTCGCCTTTCCCATTGTGAGATCTACCAACATTTTCCAGAAGCATTCCCAATGCGACGGCTCCAAGAGAGGCCAATGCGACCCTTGCCAACACGGACTTTTGACCTGTCCGCGTCGTGATCCCGAAACCAAAGTGCGTGTATGTACAGAAACGACAGTACAGCTCAGCGACAGAGGGCAAACAGCGTGGGAACAAGAGACGAACACTTCAACTAGGCCCGTGCAGCCAGACCCACAAACACACAAAGGACAGCAGCGAGAACTCTATCGAATCATTAAGGAAAGGGTAACGAAACGCGCAGATGACTAGGCGAACCACCCGTGGGGTATCGTAAAACGACGTCTTTCTATCACTTGAGCTCCCGCGGTCTTATGGGAAGAATAGGGTATCTCCTCCACGTGCGCTTTCCAGATGAGTTTAAACAGCAATAACAATAACAATGACACATGCGACCGTCCAAACACCGTATGCCCGTGATCTCGAGTACAAACGCCAAACAAACATATTTCAAGTGTGATTTTCCAATAGTGGGTGACAAAGAGGATGTGAACGAGTGACAAGTAAGCAAAGCGTCAGGTAATCGTACAGACTTCTTACAGCGCCCCACAGTCATCACGCACCGGCTGCCGTAGTTTCCGACGGCGGCTCGATCCTGATCTGCGGCTCCGTGCGAACGGGGCTGCCGCCGGCCTCAGCGAGGCTTTCCCTCAGAGCGTCGACGTCGACCTCGTCCTTCTGGACGACGACCTTGAACGGCGCCTTCGTCGATGGGCCGAGGCCGTGGATGGGCCCGGCCTGGTTGATGCCGGGCGAACGGTGCTTGAGCGACTTGGACCGGCGGGGCATCGTGGCAGAAGTCGACGGCACTTCGGTAGTGGCCGTTGACGAGGAATTGGTCGACGACGCCGTGCTGGAGCTGCTCGCACGGCCGTCTTTCGTCGCTGGAGCCTGCGCGTTGGGCGACAGCGAAGTCGTGGTTGATGTGCTGGCAGCGGCTTCTGCAGCCGTGGCTTCAGCTGCGCGAGTCGGTGTGGGCGCGAAGCCCCACTTGCCAAAAACCCATCCGCCCACTTTGCGGCCAATGCCTCCGCCCGAGTTGTTTTGTTTGGGCCGAGCACTCTGACCACCAGTGCGCTGATCCGTAGTGAAGCCTGCGAGTAGACTGCGGTGCGCCGCGCTAGCGTCTTGGTCGTGGCGATAGGAGATGCTCGGACGCGCGACCATGTTGCTAAGGCTGGCCATGGCCTGAGAAGAGGGGCTGCTAGGCGCAAAGTAAATCTGCGATGGCCGCGCGTGTACCGAAATGTCCATGCCACGCACCGAGAGGAGAGACTCGTGCGATGTGGCACGGCGCAGACCGTGGCCAATCTGGCCATTGGTGTACACCTCGTCGGAATCCTGCGCTTCAGGCGTTGTCAGGTCGACGGCCGAGATGTCGGCATCCGAAGACGTCTCCTGCTCCTCTGTGATGATATCTTGATAGATTGGCGAGAGGCTGTCAAGCTCCTCTTCCGAGATGCGCGACGATGCGGTTGCGCTGACTTCGATAGGCGGGGCGGCCTTAGCGTGGAGCTTGAACGCCGCAGGCGTCGTGAGGGTCCTGGCGGGACCCTTGCCTCTGGTTGTAATCGGAGCAAAGTCAGGCGATCCGGGGTCATTGTTGCTTTCGGGACTCGTGGGTCGTGAAGAATCCTGGCCGGCGTCGCTGAACATGCGATCGAAAATGGACGACGTGCGTCGTGAGTAGGGAGAGCTGGGCACCGACGACGGGGCCATGGAGACGCCCGTTTGGTGGCTTGCGACCGACCAGCGATGGGCATGGCCTTTGGCGGTACTAGGAATGGTAACGGCTGTTTGAGAAAGAATGGTAGCGGCAGAAGAAGGAGTCGTAGGGCGGGGGTTAGAGATGGAAGAGCGGGGAGTGTGCATTCCCGAAGGCGGTGCGAAGTGGCTGGGGGTAACAACGCTCCGTCTCTTCTTTGAAGACCTGCGCTGCAGGTGGCCCTTCCTGGGTTCCTTGGCTGCAGTAGGCGCGGCGTGGTAATGGTGGTGAACGTGGAGTTGGCGCGGCTCCTTGGGGGTTTCCTGCGGCGGCTCCGGCTCCTCCAAACCCAGCTCTTTCTGCAAACTTGGTCCGCTAGGCTCTTCCGAAGCCTCGCTCATCGGCTGGTGGAGCAGAAGCTGCTCTCTCAGCCGCTCGACCTCGTCGTTGGAGTTCATGAGCATCTCACGAAGCTCCACGATGCCGAGTTGCAGGTTCGCGTTGTCTTGGAGGATGTCCTTGACAAAGTGCGAAACCACATTCGTGCCTGTCTTATCGTGATTGCCGGCCTTCGCAGCAGCAGCGCCCTTCAGCCTGCCGGCAGCCGTCTCCAGCTCGCGCTCCACAGCCCGACGCCGCTCCATGCGGCTCACCACCTCGACATGGCGCTCGCGCTCCTCCTTGGCCTCCTTTTCGATTCGCTCGATCTGCTCCGACAGGGCAGCGATGGTCTGCTCTGCCTTCCTCCAGCGCTTGACAGCCGACTTCTCGTCCTTGGAAGTGGTGCTCAGCTTGTTCTGCAGCTCCTGCTGCTCTCTCTCCAGCTCGGCCAGTTGTCTTTCCAGGCTCTCGGTGCGGGATGCGAGGTTGGTCATGCGCTGCAGTTCCTCCTGCGTCTCCATCAGCGCGGCCGTCAGCTCGTGACAATGCGCATCGGTCTCGGAGGCGGCATTGTTGATGGCCTCGAGTTGGTCGAGCAGGGCGCGGTTCTCTTGCACCGTCTTCGCGTTGCGGGCCTCGAGTTCGGCCTTGTCGTGCTCGAGGGACTCAATCTTGGCGGCCATGCGACGGCGTTCCGCTTCGCTGTCGGCGATGTATGCTTCATGACGCTGGAGCAGAGCCTGCAGGCTAAAGGTCAGCGGCGAGAGCATAATAAAACGGCGGCGAACTAGACTGCAAATAACGGCGCACGGGTCGGCCCAGCACGGATGCACGCCTTAACTAGGCCTGGTGTTGACGTGCTGGGATCTTGGCTTAATCTCATGAGGGAGATCGTGGAGGATGCCAGGGATGAACGGGGCCGTTCGAGATGAACAGGCGAGCAACGTGTTTGCTGCTGGGTGGAACAGGGCGGTTGCACTCACCTGGCCAAGCTGGGCGGCGGTTTGGACGTCGCGCTCCAGGCTCTCGAGCAGCTCGCCGTTGTGGCTCAGGAATGCGCAGTCGGTGCGGCCACAACAACACTGCGGAATGCCGGGCGAGGCGCTAGTGCGCGGGCTGAGGGGCTCGTCCATGGTGGTGTGAGGCGAGGGATGCTTTCAAGGCGGCCTTTTAGCCTCCATCAGCACCTGGGGAAGGGAGGGTGCCTCTGGGGCCGCTGGGGTTGTTGTTTAGGAGCGCGTAGGAGATGAGTGTTGAGTGGGGACCGCGCACCGGCGCTTTCAGCGTTCCTGACCGGCGCTCGGCCGGCAGCGATTATCGCTGCGCTAAATGGCGGCGCAGCCTGGTGCCGAGCAGATCTCTTTACCGCCGCACGCCTCAGCCACTTGCCCAGCACCGCGGCGCACAGCGTGCCCTGATGTGTCACGAGGCCCCACTTCCCCATGACGTTTGACCGCCGCCCGCGGCCAGGCCCAGTACACCTCGCACGCGATGTTGGGCGCAGCTCAGCCCGCGCCCGAGTCCAAGCCTCGTACTGGTCATAATTCGCTATCTGCACGCCCCTCATCGCGACGCAGCCCGACACGCCGGGCAGACGCAGGGCTCGCCGTGGAAACGTGGGCATGCAGCCCGTCAGCAGCCCCCCGATCGCGTTAGTGCCTGCTAGTCTACCAATACCGTTCCTGAACCACCGCCCGACGCCTGTCCCGCGGTCCCGTACGTCTGCCCTACCGTACACATCTTTTTTTCCGACTTTTGGCTGTGGCAAACAACGGTTGCGTCCCGTTCCGACGCCGAACCGGCCAAAAGACCTAAGCCCTAAACCGAGCTGCGCCCCTGCAGGTGCCATCCGCCGCCTACCCGTTGCGAAACCCTAATCGCCTCTGCTTCTTAGACTGCGCCGGCGCCTCATCTAGCATAATGACGTCGTCACTCTCGCTCTCGGCCGGCTCCTCGTCGCTCTGAGCGAGACCAACGTTTCCGGCAAGCTCGTCGATGAGCTGATCGGCCGCCGCCTCATCGTCGTCATCTTCCATCATGCTAGTATGGGGTCTTTTGAGGGTTTCCTGTGTCCCTTCCATTCTTTCATCGCGCTCTTCCGGGACATTGATCGCCCGCCATGAGTTGAACATCGAGCTCCCGCTGCTGCTTGTCCGTAACGGGCGCTCCGCTAGCGCTGTCTTCTTCAGCGCGAGCTTATCCTCACTCCCGGCGCTACCCTCCTTGACCTTGAGCAGTTTGCGCCATGTTTTGGGGTCGCGAGATTTGTCGTGTTTGCCGACTTCGTGACCATTTACTGTCGCAAGGTCCAGTGCTTCAACACGACTGTCGCCCCAAAACCATGACTTGCCCTTCTCGATCTTGGAGTATTCCTGCGACGAATACTGCCGCGCCCGCAATAGGCCCTCAAGACCTCTTGATAGCTCCGGACCTTGCTCATTATTGTAGCTGGAAGACTTCGAGGGAAACCACAGCTGCATTGCCTCAGCTTCGAAGCAGCGGCCGAGAATACGGTTAAAGGGAATGCGTAAGCTTTTCTCTGGATCATGCAACCAGTACCATTCATCTTCGTACCCTTCAATCGGTGTTCCACTCCTCTCTGTTTCTGTAAGAGGAATTCGGCTTGCGGCGCGCATTGGCTCCGTTGTAAACGCTTTGCCGGTTATGTGGACAAATGAGTTGTAGGGATGACCCTGGTCATAGTCATCGTCACTTGCCGTGTCCAAGTTCACGAAATTCAACTTGATAGACGTGATTTTCAAAATGTCCGTGACGTCCGCCCCTTGCTGTCTTGGCATCAAGCGTACAGTGTCGCCACACAGGACTAACTCCGAGCCAATGTAGATCCCTCGGCAGGCGACCGATGCAGTCGGCCACGTACCCACGAACCGCTGTTTTTCTACGAGCGAGAACGAGGACATGGCTGTGAAGGCATGTTTGATTGTGGGATGCCAGTCGTCTTCGGAAATTCCGCAGAGAAATTCAGACCAGAAAGCGAAAGGGCGTATTGCAGTTAAAGGAAGGTACTTGTGCTGCTTGGACAACTGCTTTAGAGGGCTATTTGGGTCAGGTATCAGCTCAACCCTGAAGCCGGAATAGTTGCGTTGGTATTGCTTCTCAGTCTCAGTGGTCAAGTCCTCCACGCGCGGCGTCTCAGCTGCGGCTTGCGTGATGACACCGGCCTCCCACCGCGGATGAGAGCCGAATCGGCGTTGAACGGTGCTCCAGACTTTGTACTGTCCAGTAGCGTCGTCGAAGCAAATCTCAGTGGCGTCGGGTGACAAGTTGCGTACAAACAGTACAAGCTCTCCCGGCCGGGGAATCCAATGGCCCTGTTTTGATAGCTTATCGAGAAGCTTTGGAAGGCAGTTACGTTCAGCCCTCCAATCTAAGCTTAAGGTCTCTTTAATGGGCTCATTGACATGGCCTTCGCGCTTCAGCTTGTCAATGAGGTTTCGATAAATGTCGGGTGTGCCCTCATCATCTGTGCGTAATTCCGATGTATCGACTTGGCGCGGTCTGCCCTTGAACTTTGGAAGAATCTTCTGTACAGCCTGAACTGAGGCATGCTTCGTGCTTGAAGACGGTGCCGTTGAAGCCTTTCCTCTGGCCCCGCTGTTGCAGATGGTACATGGGCATCCGATATTACTTCCCTTGTTGTTCATGAGATGGAGGAAATGGGGAAAGAATCTATTGGGGGAATCAAAAGTCATCCCCTCCGGATGGCCATACGCCCATTTGTCGATGTGTTGAGGCTGGTTCTTCCTAGGCCTGCCCCAGACAGTGTAACCATGTGGCAATCTGTCCAAAGTGTATGCAACTCCTGTACATGATCAGCCATGATCATGAGTTCATCGTCAGGCTGCCGCGCGGTCTGTGCAAATTAGGAACGGCATGATGGTATCGCCTCACCTTTATGAAATTCGCCGCGCTCCTTCATCCAGGATTCTGCGAGCTTCTCCAGATAGATCGCCGGTGGGTCCTGCAGCCTGTACTCTGCGCGAGTTGGACAATGTGTAGGGTCGCCATCGGAGTAGGGCTCGATGGGAACCACGACGGTGCCGGCGTACGGAGGGGCCATGGTGAGCCGGAGCCTTTAGGTCAAATTAGACTGACGCCCGCGCGCAATGGCTTGGGCGCCGTTGGCGGGCGTTGGACGAAGCTGGAAGCGTGCCCGAAGTGCGACGGGCAGCGTTAGGTATGGCTTGTCCAGGAACGAGCGTAAAGCCCGAAGTTGAGCCTGCAAAAAGACGTCGCAGCTTAAGCGGTGGGTGTGCGGCGGGTATGCGGCGAGGTGCAGTGTGCTGGTAATAGTGTTGCTTGATGGAATGTCACTGGCAGAGCAAGCGAAACGGAGGATCGAAAGCGGCAGTCGGAGCTCGGAGCGACCCCGCTGATGCAGTCGCATGTGGGAGCGTCGTGGGTGTTTGTGATGCGTTCATGCAGGGGCCGCGCCGTGCCTGGCGGGTGCCGGCGCCGACCCACCCGAGCCAGGAAGGCAGTGGAGGAACCTATCACTGCTTGTACTACACGCCTCAACGCCCAGCAAACACCACAACTCTCTGAGAGCTTCCCAACTCTTGCCGCCAGAGACACGGCGTGTTTCAGGTCGCGCCGCAGCCGGCTCCCGAATCTCCTGCAGCTCGCATGGCTCCACCTGCGCTTTCGGCCTGATCGACTCGTTTACATTCCGCGTCTGAAGCGAGCGGCGGCGCGCTATCCCAGTCTCGCGCATACGATCTCCGGCGGCCGGCCTCTGATTGGCACACCCCAGCCCGTGCCAGTTATGGTCTGCTCATTTCAATATCGTGGCGCCTCCGGCTCGCAATCGCTGACTCCTGTCTCGTGGTCCAACTCAAAGCCGCATGAGACGAGAGTCGTGAATCAGGTCTCCACCGACCTACACGGCCGGGATCGACCGCATACATATACCAATTGCCCGCTCGCCGTCTCCGTATCCCGGTCTCGTCCCGTCTCTCCCTTCACCATGCGCCGTCGCGCCTGAACCCAATTGGAGAGCCTATCTCCAGATTATGCCGCCGCAGCCAACCAGGGAATCCTGCCGTCCACCCCTTTCGGTTTTCTACCTTACCGGTCCATCTTAACGGCCCGCCCTTAGCCTACCGTCTCCTCGCTGCGTGGAACGCAGCCATAAAGCCCAGCCATGAAGATATTTAACCAGAAGGGCTCCTTGCGGGAAGTCCTGACTCCGGCTGAGAAGAAAATATCACTACCGTCGGGTCAGCGTCTTTCCGCCATCATGTCAACTCAATCGCCGACAGTCCCGCATCGCTCATCCCTCCATAATAAGAATCTCGAAAATATCGAAGAGTCTTCCACAAGCAGCGTGCTCAGAGGGAAGGGGGGGATCCAGAGCACCGTTTGGTCCGATGGAGGAATTCTCGGAAACAATCGCCGGAGTGCAAGGCGTGGAGTATTGTGGAGATTAGTCCTCATCGCTGCGATTATTATTGCGGCCATCATCGCCCTCTCTCTTGGCCTGGTCTTCGGCTTGCGGAAGACGAACAACCATGACAGGTATGAATGGCTATTCGTTGGCGAAAAAGCCAATTGCCAGCGGATCAATGCTAAGTTTGGCCAAGTAGCAAGTCGAGTAGCAGTACTTCCGCTGAATCCGATTCCTCAAGCTCATCCACGAGCCAATCTTCTGGATCGACCTCGTCTTCGACGGTCAGCGCCGACTTCCCGGTCGGAACGTATTCCTTCACTACTTTCCTGGACACCGTGACGACGGATTGTACGTCAAACAGCGACACGTGGACTTGCTATCCGTATACAATCTACAATAGCAACAAAAACAAAGCTATGACCACGCTCAACTGGATTATCACCGGCTCGGAGGGGAATTACAAGATCACGTCGACAGACAACCCGCTATCAGCTGATTTCGAGGACGTAGACCTCGAGTTGTACAGCGAGGGACAGGACAGTGAGCGCTATCATTTTCAGTTTACCATGGACAAGGAGGTGGTCCCTTCAGTGTCGATCACGGACGACGACTCTGACACGGTCTGCTACTTCAACTCGACCATATTCACAGGCTATCTTTACACCAAGATGGAAAAGGACTACCCGACCAATGACGAGTCGGACAATCCATGGCCTTATGCGGTTCGAGCAGAACAGTCTGTCGGCGGTGGAGAAAATGTGCCCAATTGCTACAAGACAGTGAACGGGCGGATCACGGAGCAAATCACGGAGGGACTCGACGCAATGGGCGCAAGTACGCTCTGCAGTTGCTTGTACAGAAATTATCTCACCAAATAGTGGTGCGGTTGCAGCGTGAGTATGTTTGGTTCTTTGTACTCATTGGGGGTCGGATGACGCCCACTTTTCTACTGTATTTCTTACGGCATATCACATACTTGGGATGCCGACCGGTTTAGGCATGGAAGCGCGGCGTTGAGGGGTTTCGGGTCATAATTCTATCGTAGGCAAATGTTCCCACGGCCCTGGGACAGGCGGGTCATACTTGTATTCGCTAGGAAAAGCTATATACCAGACAGTGCATAACAAAGGCAGGCGGCGTAAATAAGCAGCGTTCCACAGTAACGGTTGCAGATGAAACAGTGTCATTGGCTGAAAGGCTATCGGCCAACGAGAGTGGCGTTGATCTCATCGAGGGTCCGCTCTCGGCCGCGCGACGCCTGAGCCCCACCTGCCCTCTCATGACATCGGTGCTAACAAAAAGTTGACTCAGATTCGCCAATAGTACATCTACCACCCACACCCCACCAAAGAAGGGCACCGCTCACCTCCAGGACGTCGCGACACCATGGCGTTCCCCTTCCTGCCTTCAATTGACTTCAAGTCGTACGCCAGTCCCGCCCAGGGTCTGGATGCGCAGGCTCTTTCGTACATTGGCGCCGTCTTCACCACCGTGACGCCCGCCGACATCGACGACGCCTTTGTCTACCTGCGCGAGACCTTTGGCACCTTCGCCACCCACTTTGACGCCTCCGCCCTCGAAGAGGTGTCCGATGTCGTGTCGCTGCTCGACGCTGGCGCCGCCAAGGTCTTCGTGAGCCTGCAGCAGCTGCAGCAGCTGCGCACCGTCCCGAACATCGACCTCGACCGCCTCGTCGCCATCGTCCTCGGCCAGTCCAAGCAGGAGCTCATCGACACCATCGGTGGCACCACCGTCGGCATATATGCGCAGAATGTGAAGGATGTCGAGCTGGAGCTGGCCTACCTGAAGGAGTACGGCACCGACAGGCCCGCAGTCTTCACGTCGTTCGCCCAGCCCACGCTAGAGAATGCGCTCGAGGTCGCGAAGCTGTCCGGCACCCCCATTATCCCCGCCGCGCTTCTCACCGTTGACATCAACGCCGAGACTTCGTTGATTCCGGCTGGCAAGCTTCTGTTGGCCAATGCGACGAGCGACCGGGCTGATGGTCTATTCACGACCCTCGTCACGGACGAGAGGGGCATTGCGCTGGGTCTTGTATACAGCAGCGAGGAGAGCGTTCAGGAGAGTCTGCGCACCGGTCGCGGTGTCTACCAGAGCCGCAAGCGGGGTCTCTGGTACAAGGGCGAGAGCAGCGGTGATGTTCAGGAGCTTGTCAGAGTGTCGCTGGACTGCGATTCGGACTGCCTGAATTATATCGTCAGGCAAAAGGGGAGGGGTAAGTTCTGCAACTACCATTGCTCCTCTTGTCGACATTACTAACCTTACCGCAGGCTTCTGCCACCTCGCCACTGCGACATGCTTCGGCCACTACCACGGCCTTTCTAAACTGCAGCAGACTCTCCAAAGCCGCAAGGCCTCTGCTCCCGAGGGCTCATACACTGCAAGACTGTTCAATGATCCCCAGATGCTGAAGGCAAAGATCATGGAAGAGGCGCAAGAACTGGTTGAGGCTAAGACCAAGGAAGAGGTTGCCTTTGAGGCGGCGGACTTGTTCTACTTCGCATTGACGAAGTGCATTGCCTCCGGTGTCTCTTTGACCGATGTTGAGAAGAACCTGGATGCGAAGAGCGTAAAGATCAAGCGGAGAAAGGGTGATGCAAAGGGCCCGTTCGCCGAGAAGTTCGGTGTCACTAATGGCGCAGCCAAGGAGAACACTGAGGCCAAAGAGGCTGTCAAAGAAGCTGCGTCCGTGCCGAAGAGCAAGGACGACCCCGCTGGAACCAAGGATGGCAAGATTCTGATGCAGCGTATCATTACTGCAGATCGCACCCCGGAAGAGGTTGAGAAGGTTTTGCAGAGGCCGTCGCAGCGCTCGGCAGACAGGATTCTGGGTATTGTCAACCCCATCATCCAGAACGTCCGCGAGCGTGGAGATGCCGCGCTTCTGGAGTACACTCACAAGTTTGAGAAGGCCACTTCTCTCACTACCCCGGTTCTCAGGGCACCTTTCCCCCGCAGCATGATGCAGCTGCCTCCCGAGACCATTGCCGCCATTGATACGTCCTTCGAGAACATCCGCAAGTTCCACGCTGCTCAGGCAGATGACAAGCCGCTTGAGGTCGAGACCATGCCCGGTGTCAAGTGCAGGCGTTTCGTTCGCCCCATCGAGCGTGTTGGTCTGTACGTCCCCGGTGGTACCGCCGTCCTGCCGTCTACCGCTCTGATGCTTGGTGTCCCTGCCATGGTCGCTGGCTGCAAGAAGATCGTCATCGCTTCCCCGCCGCGCGCCGATGGCTCTGTCACCCCTGAGGTTGTCTACTGCGCTGCCAAGGTCGGTGCGGAGAGCATCGTCCTTGCTGGTGGTGCGCAGGCCGTCGCCGCTATGGCCTACGGTACCGAGAGTGTCACTAAGGTCGACAAAATCCTGGGTCCTGGTAACCAGTTCGTCACTGCCGCGAAAATGGTCGTCTCGAACGACACTAGCGCTGGCGTCAGCATCGACATGCCGGCCGGTCCCAGTGAGGTCCTCGTTATTGCCGACAAGTCGGCCAATCCCGCCTTCGTCGCCTCCGACCTGCTCTCGCAGGCTGAGCACGGTGTCGACTCGCAGGTCGTCCTCATCGCCGTTGACCTCAGCGAACAAGAACTCCAGGCCATTGAGGACGAGCTTCACAAGCAGGCCATGGCCCTGCCTCGCGTTGATATCGTCAGGGGCTCCATCGCCCACTCGGTCACCCTCGTCGTCAAGGACATCGAGGAGGCCATGGTCTTGAGCAACATGTACGCGCCTGAACACTTGATCCTCCAGGTCCAGGACGTGGAGAAGGTTACCCAGATGGTCGAGAACGCTGGCAGTGTGTTCATGGGCCAGTGGACCCCGGAGAGTGTCGGTGACTACTCTGCTGGTGTCAACCACTCGCTGCGTAAGCTTACCCCTTCCGTCACTAACTATTCTGTTTTAGGAGATAGGCTAACATGTCTTTACAGCTACCTACGGCTACGCTAAGCAGTACTCTGGTGTCAACCTTGGTTCCTATGTCAAGCACATCACCGCTTCGAACTTGACTGCCGAGGGTCTGAGGAATGTTGGCACTGCTGTTATGCAGTTGGCTAAGGTCGAGGAGCTCGAGGCTCACAGGAGAGCTGTGAGCATAAGGTTGGCTCACATGAACGGTGAGGCGACAGCTTAGAGGAGTTGAGATATGAATTGGAGTATGTGTGTATGTGCAATGTTTTTCATTTGAATGTTGAGCATGTTGGTGGGTGGGCTGTAGATGGGGAGTGCAAAGAAAAGAGGCGCTTGTATATAATGACTTCGTGTTTTGGCGCGGACACGGTATAGAATTGCTATGAAATTTGTTTTGGTATGGAGCCAAGTGTGCCGTATGGGACTTTTGAAGCCCACTTCGTGCCCGATCAAGGCCAACATAACCTTTGCCTTGGACCTTTCAACCTTACTTCCATAGACGCAGTATCTTGTGGGCTTTCGCGGAAATGTGTAGAGAGAGATCAGATTCGAGGGAGGATGAAAATGACGAACGGGCTGAAAAAGGCGCGGGCTATTCGGCTGAGAGAGATCAGTAAGGCTCATCCACAAGAAAACATCTATACACTTTACGGATGCATCAGAGGCTTGAGACATGACGAAAATCAAGATCTCTTAGTTCCCGTTCGCATCTCGTGGCCAGTCTGTCGTGCTTGGGGTGCCTTTGGTAGTAGCAAAGGTGTTGTGGGAGTCTGGCATGATCGAATGGTATTGCACCTTGGCGAAATATTCTCAGATTTTGGGATTGAGGGCGGGTTATAATAGTGGCTAGGTGGGGTTTGAAAGGTCATTTATAGTATTGGCGAACAATGCTATTACGCTGGCAGAGAGCCTGCTTTAAAGGCCTCGAGGCTGGGTTATACGTATGCGCTGCAACGCATATGGAACATGTATGTTTTCTACGGAAAGCTGACCGGTCAGGATATATCCAATTGATTGATCTTATAAGAGTATCTTCATATCGAGTTTTCCACAGATACTGATTCGGCCTTCGATGCAGGTGAACACCTGATGTCAGCGCTGGATTGTCAACCAGTCATTTTACTGCGCCTCACTTTTCCGCTAGCGCAATATCGACTTACGAGGTACAGTATTCCGTAAGATCCGGGATGCATTGCTTCGACACAATAGATGGAAGTGTTTTAGGGTGTACTTTTACAATCCCCTCTCGCAGTCGATGGCTAGCGTGGATTTGTTTTTTGCTCATGTCATGGGTAGCTGAAGCTATCGTCCGGACGAGAATGTCGAATTAAAAATTCTACAAAAACGTCCGGACGATAGCTTCAACTACCCATATATGTTAATTTTTCTAAGGCAGAGCTGGGGCATGGTTACGCTATGTTCTAGAGCCCTGCTATTCTTCACCTAGCCATCGGCTGCAGCACCCCTCTGTACTGCGAACCCGCATGAAGGGCTACGACAGATTTTCTTTTAGAAGTAGGTGTATACGCTCTTCGAGTGCTCTATAAGCGCCCCGTAATTACACCTCGAGGTCCAAGGAAAATTAAATGTGGAATTGGTGCCGAAAGTGGAAACCAAAGAAATAATTCTTTTCTGCTTTAGCATTGTTCTACAGCCCTCTAGTACCTTCGCATCGTGGCCAAATTCTTTCAGTTGTCTCTATACGCAAGAAAACCTCAAATATCCCAATACTTCATCAACCTATCATTCAATTCTCCTCACACTGTCCTCCCACTCGCTTCCCTCTCCCTTTTCCACGCCTCCAACACATCCTCAGGGCACTTCACATGCATCCACACCTCACTCCACGCCCCGTCATCCCCCTCGGCACCACCACCACCACCCCCCTCGCCCTCCCTCATCCTCCCCTTCTGCCTCTTCACCTTCCGCACCAACTTCGGCAACACCCTACTCCTAAACTCATGCGGCACCTTCAGCCTGCCACCAATCCACTTCTCCTCGGGCCTCCGCACATCCGGCACCTCGTCCTCGACGGGGGCGTCCAGCACCCTCACGCCGCCGCCCTCGGTGGTCCCGTGCGCGCCGAGCATCCGCCTGACCAGGCCGTTGGTGTGTGCGGCGGGCAGCACGCGCAGCAGGAACTCGAGGCTGGCGTCGACGTTGAGGTCCATGGCGCGGCGCGGGTTGGCCGTCTGCTTGAGGAGCAGGGCGCAGGTGCCCGGGTAGAGCAGCGAGAAGTCGGACTGCGAGAGGTGCACGGTGCCGCGGACGGTGAGGAGCCAGGCCGGGCAGGGGTTCGGGTCGGACAGGGCCGAGGTGGTGAGGGAGGCCGCGGTGCGGAAGTTGCTGGGCCAGTACATGAAGGCTTCCGAGTTGATGCCGAGGAGGGGGCGGGAGATGGCGTTGCCGGTGGGGTCTGGAGATGAGGGATTGGCGGGGTCGTCGAGGGTTGGTGATGAGGATTGGGAAGTGATGGATGTGCTGCTGCTGCTGCTGCTCGCGGGGGCGGAGGTAGAAGGCGAAGTGGTGTTGGCTGACACTCTGTTGTTTGGTGCCGAGCGCTGCTTCTCCTCCGTCTCTCCCTCGACGTCGTCGTCACTGCCGCTGCCACTGCCACCACCGCATCGGCCTACACCATCGTCACCTGGCGCCGGTAGCACGGCTGCGCCCCAGATATCATACATGATACCCTGGCCAACCCAGTGGAACCTCTCCCTCTGCTTCTCCCTCAGCATCTCCACCGTCGTCGCCGCGCCGAACGAATGCCCCACCACCGTCACATCTCTCAAGTGAAATCTTTCTCTCCAGCTTGCCCAATCCACGCCCTCTAGCCCGCGGGAGCTCGCGCCTCTATACCCCTTCGTGCGCAGATTAGCCGCTGCCACGCGGTCACCGGCACCGTGGTTGATCTCGCGCAGCACGGCGTACGCCTCCTCGATCTCGGCGAGGCGGAAAGCGATCTGGGCCGCCCGCAGCTCGCGGTCGACGCCCTTCTCAGCGTGCGGCGACGTGTCGATCGGGTTGCCTTTGGGGAAGATGTAGTCGATCCGATCGTAGCCCTCAACGCACTGTTTGCGCGTGTGGTCTATCTCACACTTGCAATCCTCCTGGTGAAAAGCCATGGGATCTTCCTCTTCGTCGCCGCTGTCAAGGTCCTCGGGAGATGTTGAATCACCATCGTTCTTTTTCTGCTCCACCCCGCACGAGCGTCGCCGCCGCTTTTCAAAGAGGGCATTCGCCGTGGCGGGCGCGGTGGCTTTGATGCACGGCTTCTTATGGCGGTGGTTGACGTATGTCCGCGGCCCGCTGCCGTCCCTGTGCTCGAGCGCGCACACGACGAAGCCGTAGCTGGCGAACTCGCCGCACACGCTCGAGTAGGCGGTGCGATTGCCGCCCAGGCCGTGGCTGAAGACCATCAGCGGGAACCTGGGCATCTTGCGCCGCTCCCACGCCTCCTCGTCCCACTCCTCCTCCCAGCAGCCCTCGCCATCATCGCCATCGCCACCATCCTCGGCTCCGTGGCCCACCATCGAAGCAGCCCGCGCGTCCTCGACCACGAAGGGCGGCGGCAGCGGCCCTTCTTCCTGGCCCTGCTGCCGCGACGGGCCGTCGCGGCCGGCGAAGGGCGGCCAGTGCGTGGCCAGCGGGGCGTTGCGCCAGGCGGGCAGCTTGGTGAACATGGTCGTGGCGGCGAACCAGGGGACGGCCGGGCCCTCGCCCATGCCGGCGAAGCGGCCGTAGCCGCGGGCGACCTGGCGTCGGGGCCGCGGCAACCATGTGGGTCGCGACCACTTCTTGCGGCCGTCCGGAGGCTTCCCCCGGGTCGATGGTGGGGTGGTCGGGTAGTAGAGGGTGAACAGCACCGTTTCGAGGCGGAGGAGGTGCCGGTGGTTGCGCTTGATGTGGGAGAAGTTGGAGGGACGTTTGGCTGGGAGCTCCATGTCCATGGTGCCGACCTAAAGGAAAAAGTTGGTAAGTGATATATTGATAAGTGTGGATTACTCTTGTTCTTACGCTGTACGGCCCGGTGTATTTGGGTAGAGAGCTGTGGAGGAAGCCGATCTTCTCGCGCAGCGTGTTTGGCGGCCGGGCCTTGGGCTTCTTTGCGTTTGGCACCTTGCCGCTGGAGGGAAGTGCTGCGGTGCCGCTATCACGGTGCTTGTGACCCTCGCCATGATGCGGACGACCCGAGATGCGGTCGGGGACGGAGAGGGTTGAGCTTCTTCTTATTTGCTTCATCTTCACGTTGGTGCAAGGCAGAATGAAGAGCAGGAAAGGTGAAGGGAAATGCGAAGTCAACGACTTCGAAGATCACAAAGCAATTGCCCAACCGGGCTATGCATGAATGGCGAGAGCGGCAGACGGAGGCGTATGTGCTGGCACGGGACAGGAAGAACCGTTGCACGCGGGCGGAAGACGGCGGCTTCGCAGCGATCGGCCGACATGCGCCATGACGGAGATAGCATGCGGGAGGCTAGCGGTGGTTGTGGCCCTGTGTAATTCTGGAGGCGGATCGCTATTTGTTGTTGGCGTGCGTCACTTACGTCACTCCTGCGCCAGCCCCGAAAATTCCTGATCGACGGCGCTGCTCAGCCTCAACCTTATGCTTGTGCTCAGGCACCCACTGCGGGCCGCCCACCTGGACTCCCGAAAACATCCATGTACTTGAGCTGCCGTCCTGTCGAGACCCATGTTTTCCCGTCTTTGTGTAACGCGGGGTTTCTCCACCAGCATCTCCCCAGCTTAGGCTCACGGACCATCACGGTATACTTCCTGCCTTGTTTCCTCTTTGAAAATTAAATCTGAACATCAATGGGTATTGGCTATTAAAAGCTATACTCGCAAATTCGTTCCCTTAAGTCCGCTAGTCCTCACTTTCAGTATCTCGTCAACTCCGGGCTTCCGGCACACGGCGGTGCCGAGAACTTGGTCTGAACAAACACCTTCTGCATGCCATCCTCTCTCGCATCGAACTTCTTGTAAACCGTCTCCAGGTCCGCAACATCGACGCGGTGCGACACCATGGCCAGCGGGTGGATCTCGTCCTCCTGGATCAGCTTAAGCAGCTTCTCCCAGTAAAGGTGAACGGGTGCTTGGCCGTTTCCGATCAAGCGGATGCCGCGCTCCATCAGGGAGCCAATGTTGAAGTGGTTGGTCTATTGATAGCAGTCAGTATCGACCACTGAAAATCAGCAGGCTTAGAATAACTTACGAAGCCAACGTAGACGCCGGTGATGCCGCAGCGGCCAAAATTCCTGACGCTGGTGATCATTTCGTTGACGATCTCGCTCGTGTCCGTCTCCATTCCCAGCATCATCTCGAAATAGTGCGCCCATCCCTTCGCATACTCGCCGGCGACGCACTCAAGCGCAACATCGGGACCACGGCCATCGACCATCTCCTTTAGTTTGCTGGTCACGCTCTCGCCCTTGGCCAACTTCGAGTAGTCCAGCGTCTCCACCTTGGGGAACTTCTGCTTGATGTAGTCGAGGCGCCAGTTGGCGTCGACGACGATGACGCGTTTTGCTCCTTGGAGGAAGGAGAATTCGACGCACATCTGACCGATTGGACCGGCACCCCAGATGGCGACCACATCGCCTTCGTAGACTGCTGTATCAACAACACAGTTCCAAGAAGTGGCAAGGACATCCGACAGGTACAAGCCCTTCTCATCCGGGACATCGTCAGGGAGCTTCAAGAGGTTGACATCACCGTACGGCACACGAACGTATTCAGCCTGGCCGCCTGCGAAGCCACCGGTGAAGTGGCTGTAGCCGAACATGCCCGCCGTCCGGCCACCGTACATGGCATTTTCGATGGTGTTGGAGTTTGTCTTCTCGCACTGCGAAGAGAGCTTGTTCTTGCAGAAGTAGCACTGGAGCGCGGCCGTCAGCATTCCGGAAGCAATAAACAGGATCCGGTAAAAAGACTCACGTCACCACAGGCAATCTGGAACGAGGCAACCACCCTCTGGCCTTTAGTCAAACCCTTGACTTCAGCACCCATCTCATCCACGATACCGCAGAACTCGTGACCCAGGATATCGCCCTTCTTAAGCTCAACAACAGTGCCATGGAGAAGATGCAAGTCGCTGCCGCAGACTGTGCTACCGGTGACCTTGAGAATGACGTCGCGAGGCTCAAGAATCTTGGGCTTCGGGGCCTCGATGACCTCGACCTTGTTCTTGCCCATCCATGCGAGCGCCTTCATCTTGTCGCTCGAATCAGCCCAGTTGCTGTTGTCGGCGGGATTAGTAACATCCTGAGCGGTGGTGGCATTGTTGTCGTGGCCGAGTGCCTGCTCGGCCTTCCATGCTGCTTGGGACATGGCCATGATTGCTGATTCTGAGTTTGACGAACTATCGAAATCGCTGTTCTTTCGAAGGTAGTATCAGCCGAAGCGCGGAAAGCGCAGGATCCAATGCTTCGATTATGAGGAGAGGCAACTTCGTATGCAGCCATCATCAGAATGACATAACTACAGCAGCAGACGTCATGAATCGCGCGAATGGGAAACCGGTGGGATACAACGGAAAAATCGCATTCAGCCAATTCGACAACAGACGAATCTCACCCGGCCACAATCTTGGTATTCGACTCCACTGCTCAAACAATGACAGCAAGAGTGTTGCAGTTGCTGCGAGGGGCTCACTGACGTCATGTCCATCACATTCTCGGTTAGCGCATCGTCTTTTACCTTTGCAGCCGCATCCACCCGTGCTCCTAGCTCAGCCCGTCTCCTGAACATCTTAACGAGTACGAGGTCGATCCACTTAGCATTGCAAAAAAGTCGGGGTAGTCGAAGCTCCTGTCTGAATATTCGACTGACCGTCGTCTGTTACAATACCAAGGGAACCGACCTGTGTTTGGAGTTAAAATTAGCCTGTTCCGATTAGTTCCAGCAAATCACGCTATTTGCAGATCGCCAATGTTTACTATTCCAGCCGTTGAGATCCGCTCTGATGACAAAACATCATTTCACAATTGCCATTGCAGTAGTCTTTTGCAGACCATTTTGCCTCCGCCTGGATCCTGCCCTTCAATTTCACGTTGTGTTCACTCCACTTCAAACCCGCCTGGGCTGGATCATGGATACACTTTGCCTTTTTGGGTGACATTTTTGCTGATCCATTAGGTGTCTTTGCTACAGCATCACTTTTCGCTAGAATCAAATCTCGGAAACCTCTGGCGAGCACCAGTCAATAATCATTGCCTGTTGCACTTTCTCTTTTACTTTATTGCGAAAAGTTGCGGCCAGCGAGTGCCAACACATGGGACTATTGAAACTAACCTCCAGCCCGGCCATGACGTTCAGCACTTCACTCATTGGCCCGAGCTCTGCCAATTTGCTGGTGAGCACTTACTTCTCGAAGGATTAAACAGCTGACATCTTTCACAGCGTGTGTCACGCGGCACTCTTGGGCTAGCTTAATGGGAATACCGCCTTATCTAAAATTAATTCCACATTTCAGCACTTCGCAGGATTCTGGCTACCAGAGTGCAACGACCAATGACAAGTCTGGAGAACGACTACCTTGGGTCTCTCTTCCTCTCCCCATGCAGACACGTCGCGACCACTTTCATCAGCTCATACTCCAGCCATCCCTGACAATCTTCGCTTTAAATCAGCTCCATCATTCCACCATGCTCCCTTGCATCGTTCATAGACATTGATGTAGCTCACCCATATACGAAACTCAGCATCCAACGAGGACACCTTCAAAATGGGAAGGAAGTATGGCATGCGACAGCACAACCCGCCCGCCACCGTACATCTTGAGAGTCGTGGTGCGCAGTCTGTTTGCCACTCCGGATACATCCGAAAGGAAGGAGCGCTCATCTACCAGAACAAGGTCCACCCTGCCTCGCCTTTTTATCTCAGCCCTGGCATGGGCGCTCGTGCGTAGAGGGTCTCGTGGAAGGGGTCGGAGCAGCTGGGCTTGTGCGCGGGGCGCTGATCATGCGTACGCGGTGCTGACGTACATATGCGATGTGGGTTTCGCATAGCCGCGTGGCGGTGTTGAGACGCAGACGTGCGCATAGGGTTGTGATGTAGAATCTTCTTGTTAAAAAGAATAGATCATGGTAGAGTTATGGAAGGTGTCGAGGTTTCATCTATTGGCGTTGAGCTACAGAGGTTACAATCGAACTTGTTGTGTGCTGTTCCTTTGGGTGTGGATGAAATGCGTCTCTCGCAGAAGAGATGTGACAATAGCCAACACGAAGCGGCCACGAAGATGGTCAGCATATGGAAACGATGCTGTCAAGCAGCAAGGGAGATGATGATAGTCCCATTCTTCACGGGAAGCCTGGCAATCGAAGGCCGCGCATAGCATACACTTCTTTCAGAAGAGAGCTGGAGGGAAAGCAGGATTGTCGATATGGTGGCGGTGGATGGGCCGATTGCTTTGCATGAACTTGTACGCATTTTGGTGAGCCTCGGTCAAGTGATGGCGGTAGTTCTGTGCGGGAGTTTCAGCCTCACAGTAGGGCAGAAGCGTGAAGAAAACAAAGGAGTGCGTCTGGCCGGCAATAGATCCCGAGAAGAATTCCAGTTTCCAAGGAAGTCGGGCCTCGTATAGTTAAAGGTTCGAGCGACTCCTGACTTCACCCAAAGCGGGATACTGGCAGCGTTCGTTTTCCACATTGGGGGCTAGCCCAAATGCCGCAGAAAAAGCCCAGCTGAGCCGTGGTACGGCTAGACACTAGAGCCATGGTGCGGCCTGGCTCCCTGATGATACCCAGCTCTCTGGGCTCAGCGGCGAATGTGTGGGGTAGCAACTGGGCGGACACATGTGCGACAGCAGTGTAAGATCATGATCAGAGCTGATAGATGATTGATAGGCATGGCTTTGCCTTGGCAGACATAGTGTCCCGATCCCGGTGCCCCTGCGCAAGCATCATGACTCGAGAGCGGAAAGATTTGGAAAGCTTCTTGCAACCAACATGTTGGAGATCGGGAAAAGCTGCCAAGGCAGATAAGTTAAAGACCCACGGGGGGACAATGAGATTTGCCGATCTGGTGGCTGTCAATACGCGAAGGATGCTGGACAGCAAAAGCAACTTGACGACCCACCCAGCGATCTACCCCACGGTCCTGCGTTTTTCCCAAGGGTCTGGACGGTGTTGCGACTCAGCGCGACGGGAGCGAAAGCTTGTAACGGGAGCCTCGACACGGGCGCAGCTCCGCAGCAATCAGAAGGAGCGGGTCCGCCACGTGAGCGCACGGGCGGCGCCTGCTGTACGCGACATGAGCCCTGAACCCAGATGTTCCGCGCTACGCCGCAAACAGGCATCCTCGTCCGACCGCCCCCCACCACCCACTGGCCGTTTCATCCGTCCACCTACGTCTCTAGTCTCCGCGGATGCCCTCAAATCCGCTCCCGCGCCCTTGCGCTAGTCCGGCCTGCTGTCATTCCCAGAGGCGAACGTTTCTTTTCAAGCGAGCTCCCCTGGTGCCGCGCTCCAGGCAGCGATCGCCGCTGCATTCGACGCCTCGACGCCTCGCCTAAGCGACCGCCACTCCGGCAGCTGAGCCTGCGCTGTTTATCCCCCGATTGGCAGCGACTGAGTCTTGCAGAACCGACGAGCGGGTTAAGCTTATCGAGCAGCGCGCGCAGCTGTCATGTTCCTGGCCGTGTCCTCTGCCCGCCCAGGGTCTGCCAGCGACTCACGACCAGCTTTACCGTTCAACCGGCTAGCGGCCGAATTGGGCAGCTGGGCGGACGCCGCTGCCCTGGCGGGCCTGCCTCCGAGGCTCGGAGTTCGAGGTGGTCGGCAGTGCTGGAGCGATCGTCGTTGAAATGCGACTAGCGAGCACGCCTCTGCAGTGCGGCTGATCGGCCATGCTGCTTTGGGCGGCTGTCACCACGGCGATCCTGTCTTGCCGACTGACTGCTCTCTCCACAATCGACCCCTCTGCCCTTTGCGAATACGCGGCCCCTGGCATGGCCACCGCGGAATCCAGCCTAACGCCCGCACACCCCCTCGCACGCCACCAAACCGGCAAAAGATCAGTACAGGGCTGCTCGCCCGGCGCCCTGGATGCCTCGGCCATAGTTCCCCACATGGCTAGCCCAGAAAACTCGTTGGGCCTCTGCGTCCTGATATTACCGTCTTCGGCACTTGCTCGTGGCCCCGTCTTGCTGCTCTGGGTGCGCTGCGCATCCAGAAGAACAAGCTCAGACTGAACAATCTGCGCACCTCCCCCGGCCCGCCCACGCGTCTCCCGTCCGCCGGCCGACTCCTGCGGATCTCTCAAGCCACTCGGAGCCTCGAATCTGTACTTTATCGGCGCCCGTCCCTGGAAAACCTGCTTCCCGATCCTCCCGCCCTTGCTCTTTCACGACCGCCTCTTGATCTGAGGGACTCCTCCCATGGTCCACACTGTCGGGTTGTGAAACGACTGGCTCTCCGTCTCTCTCACTCTCTTTCAATTCCATCAGTCATGGCTGGCGAGAACCGCGGGCCCGAGCTGCTCGTCGTGACGGCCGTCATGGTCAGCATGGCCTTCGTCTCCACGGTACTACGATGCTTCGTACGTCTGGTCATGGTCAAGGCCTGGGGCATTGACGACTGGTTCATGGTGGCAGCAACTGTACGTCTAAACAGCAGCGAAACGCCACGGAAACGTCACTGACACAGGAGCCAGCTCACCCACATCATGTTCGCAACATGTGTGATAGGCGGCATTCACTACGGAACTGGCCGCCACATGAACGAACTGGACCCTCATGATTCCGAGAAAGCGATGCGGGTAACAACTCTGTGCTCCCCCAGCGCTTCGAACTTTACTGACTCAGTCGCCCAGTATTGGTGGCTCTGCTACGTTGCATACTGCCTAACCATGATCTCTGCCAAGATTAGCATCGGCTACTTCCTGCTCCGCCTGACCGTTCACCGCATTCACGTCTTGATCATCTGGGGCGTTATGTCCCTGACCGTCTTGACCGGCGCCGTCTTCTTCTTCGTCACCCTCTTCCAGTGCAATCCAGTCTCCTACTTCTGGACCCAGACCGTTGGCGCTCCCGGCACCTGCATCCCCGTCGAGGTCATCATAGCCTTGACCTATCTCTACGGTAGCATTTCGGCCATCTGCGACTTCACCTTCGGTATCCTGCCCATCTTCCTGATCTGGAACCTCAACATGAGGAAGAGTATTAAGGTTGCTCTGGTTCCCATCTTGAGTATGGCTTGCATGTACGTCTTTATTCTGCAGTCCTCAATGGAACATACAGACGACTAACGCTTTCCTCAGTGCCTCTTCCGCCGTTCTTGTCCGCATGGCCTACGTTCAGGACTTTAAGGACCCCGACTTCCTCTGTAAGCTCCGTGCCTTCATCTCCCACCAAAACCGTACAACTAACCATTGTTCTACCCCCCGCAGATGCTACTGTCGATATCGCCATCTGGTCCGACACCGAACAAGGCCTCGCCATCACCGCCGGCTCGCTCGCGACCCTGCGCCCGCTTTTCCGCGCGGTGACCTCCAAATTCGGATCATACGGCACCACCGGCGGCACACCCAACCCCTCGGGGCATCTCAAGACGCCCGGCGGCAGCCAAGCCCATAAGCTTCAACAGACCGTCTGGCCCAGCGATCACTCGCGCGCCCGAAACAATTCGCAGGGCGGACCTTGGAGCATGCTGCGCACAGAGCACGGCGATGAGTTCGAGCTCGTCACCAAGATCACGAAGACGAGTGGAGGTGAGGGAAGCCCGAGTCCGCCGGGGTCGGCTGAAGGGATCAAGGGCGGAATCGTCAGAGAGACCGAGGTGACGACAGTCGTGGAGGAAAGGAGGTTAGGTCATGGGGCTGGTGACGATGGAGCAGGCGGCAAGAGAAAGAGTTGGTGGCGGGGAGGTGGAAGGGAGAGGAGTAGTAGTGACAAGGAGGACAGTGAGAGCCAGAAGGAGCTGAACGCGGTAGCGCGAGAGAGGAGAGAACCCGGCGATTACGTGTAGCATTTCCCGGATTTGGGGGTATGGGGTATGGGCGAATGGGGTTTCATTTGGTGTTCCTTGTGGGAAGGGGCGGTGGGCGGGGCGGCGGAGTGCATACGGCTTGCCTCCTTTGTGCTTGTTTCTTTCTAACCAGCAATGGCGTTGTCCGGAGAAGGCCGGTTACTTTTCACATTTGAAGTGCTGGAAAAGTTTGCACTGTCGGTATACCTCACATTTTTCTTTGTCTCAATAGCCTTCCTCTTAACTTCACTGTACGCTATTTTCCAGCTGGGCACGATGTCACAGTAGCCTTGTAATGTATACATGAGACCAACCACCACACGTTCATCCTATTCACATCCTTGAAGCCAGCTCAATTGACCTGCCTATTTTCTTGAGCATTCCGTCCGACAGCGATAGCCTTATCTTATCTAAACAATCACCTTCCCTCCCCACCCTCTCGGACAACACATCCTGAATGGGTATACTATATGATGCTCTTAATGGATCCAATGGAGATATCCTTGAAATATCATTATCTTAGTCACTTTAAGCGCTAATGCTACCGGATGTGCCAAAAGTCTTACGGTATCTACTTTCTTTTTTTACTCTAGTGTCATGGTATCAGTACCGTCTTGTACATTCTCACTTTCACCGAGACTTTCACACGTTCGAAGGCCCTCTCCGATGATCATCTAAGCAAAGAGTATCCTATTACTCGAGCTTGTCCCGCTTAGGCGAGGGCCTGAACATATAGTTTTCAGACGTCGTACATGCCAGCCGCAATGAGGCCCTCGCGATGTCACAGTCACGTCGCCTCGTGGACTCTCCATATCGGTCGGTCGAAGCATGGGAGTCGGTGAGGGCTCAATATCTACACATTATAGGCATTGCGGGGATCGGCAGTCGTTGGTACCGGTAGAGCCGGACTTGGCCGTCAGCCCTATCTAGAACGGGAAGGTGAGAAGCGCTTTGGCTGCCCAGCGTCCTGAACTGGAAGCTATTGACAACCTGCATATGTACCTTGCAGGCTGAATGCACCTTAGCTACTACCAGAGCTCTGACTAGTCGAGGCAGAAGGACCAGGCAGGCATGCATGCTCGGAGTCGAGTGAAAGACGAAGATGCTGGTCGAATTTTTCCGAAAGCGGAATTGGTCGCAGCGAAGAGTGACACCGAAGTGTGATTACTGATAGTCATATAGAACCGCGGCCGGGCATCAATGCGAAGCATATTGGCTTTAAATGATAGTGCCAGACAACAAACTTTCTTCAGCCCCTGAATGACCGGCTTTCCCAAATCAAGCTGACCGGCGGATGCGAAACTAATCAGTTCTACGAGCAAGCCCCATGACGTACAAACAGACTAGGTACGGGGCTTGCCGGCCAAAATTAGCTGTGCATGTACAGTAAAGGGCGCTATCCGTGATGCAAAATGCGTTACTGCACACAACTTCCCCGCATCCTACAGGGACCAGGGTTGACCTGACTTCTCGGTGAACCATGAAAACGTCTTTCCTGATGAAGCGATAAGATTAACTCTGAAACACTCGTGCATATAACATGGCATTTTGGGGATGAGAAATGCATGGTTTGGACCTGACCTTCCATTTCAATGGTTGACAGTCCGAGCAAGTGACCTCTGCTTGCCACTCAGAGGAAGTTCGCGATTGGGTGCTGCATTGAACTCGAGCTTGTCGAGAGAAAAATGAGATGACGGTATTCCAGAAATGCCATGAAGCTTAATCCACCAAAACGAAGTCTCAATCATGAACGTCATGAAGAGTCATCTTCACTTGACCACTCTTGCCGAAGCTCTTTCTTCCTACCATCTGCTCCTTCTACAGCAGAATCTTCCATGTTTCTACCAATTCAGCGTCCATGCCCGGTCCCCGGCGCTCACCTCGCCCCCAGCCCCGTCAAACTGAACACCTCATTCATCCTATTCCAGCTTCTCCTCGTTCCATACACACTGTAGATTGCCTGGTTTCCAGAGCACTGGCTGGTGGGGACGAAAGATCCAGGCATTCTCGAGTTCCAGTAACATCCATTGACGGATAGTGTAGACGAGGAAGTGAACACTCCCAGGAAAGTCTGGCGTAAGAATGCTTAGGAGCATTTGGAAGACGAGTCTCCGGGGAGTTACAGCCGAGGAGTCCTTTTCCTTTTAGGTGCAGCCTTGCAGAACAGATTTCTTAGGTTTCCTGCCAGTTGGAACCGGTGGGTGCGGGTCACAATGATCTTCAAGCTGGACCACTGCTCCCCTGCTGTTGTTTTTTTATACTGGTAAAAGGATATCGTGCCAACCCAAGACTCCGCCAGTGTCCTTTTACCATTCCAAAACTCCGGTGCTATGTCAAAAACAACATTTTTCCCAAGGCAAGACTCAGATGGCGGTACCACGCTCGAAGCTCTCGCGGATGTCGGCAGTGTACTTGTTGTAGAAGCGGGCCAGCTTCTCGTTGAACTGCTTGTTCTTGTGGTTGATGTAGGTGACGTCGCCGCTCTCGTCGTCGATGCCGCGGGCGCGACGGGCCTTGAGGCGGGCCTCCTCGGCCTTGCGGATGTCGTCGACCAACTTGTCGACGGCCTCCTTCTCCGGGCGGTGGTTGACGAAATCGGTGCTGTCGGCGGTGGTGTAGAAGGAACCGTCGCGGTCGACGGCAATCAGCTCGCCGTCCTCCATCTCGACGATTTCCAGGCCGCCGTTCTGGGCGGCGCGCTGCACGGCCTCCATCTTCTGGCGCTCGTAGCCGTCCAGGTCGGGCTTGAGGTCGCGCAGCTGGCGCTTGTACGACTTGCGCGCGTCCTGGCGGTAGTCCTGGAAGGCCACGTCCTTGCGGTGCTTGCCCTTCTTCTCCATGCGGCGGTCCCAGCGCTCGCTCTCCTCGACGGTCCAGTCCCAGGCGCGCTTGCGCTCGAAGTCCTCACCCTGCTCCTGCGTCTCGGCCTTGAGCAGCTTGTGCGAGGCGATGGCGTGCTTGCGGTGTAGGGCGTTGAGGGCGTTGGGGTCGACCTGGGCGCGCTGCGCTTCGGCCGTCGACTCCTTCAGGTTCGATTTGCGGGCGGCGGCCTGGCGGGCCTGCAGAGCCTTGAAGCGGGCCATGCGATCGCTGCTGCCCGACGCGACAGGTTCTGCGGGCTCAGCTGGTTCTGCAGATTCGGCTGGCTCTTCGGACGGCTCGGTGCCGTTCTCGACGAAGCGGCGCTTCGAGGGCTCCTCGTCGAGCCCCTCGGCGCTAGGTGAGGTCTTGCGCTTCTCGGCGGGCATGGTGCAGGTGGAGCGATGGGCAGCGGCGGTTATGTGTAGCGGGGTGGTAGAGCGGCAGTGGTGGCTGAGGTGACGTTTAGCTGGTGGTGCTGCAGGTTGGGTTGGCTAGAACTCGGCAGGCGGAGAAGCCACCGCCAGCCAATCAGCACGCAGCACTTCGCATGGCCTGCTCTTTCCGCAAACAGCACCACAACGCGTTACACCCACGTGCCCAGTACGCTCAAGATGGCTCAGCTAGTATATGAGGACATATGTCTCACCCAGACTATCGGGCCAAACTATAGTCACATTAGGCAAACTTTTTTTCCCCTGAATGGCTAGTAGTAGTAATGGTGGCGCAGTCACGAACTTGAGAGAGTTCTATTAGAAATGTATGTGATGCCTCTAAAACAGTTCTTAAGAAAGAGTGTGTTATGCGTATGTCAAGCACATGTCCCCAATTACATTACGAAACCGAAGAAATGCAACCTCTTCCCCAGTTTCTGGTCTTCTCTGAGCTTCCTTCTACCCCTAATCACCAAGCCTTCCCTTTAACAATCTTGTACAGCAAGAAAGGAGATCTCTGCTGACCATAACTTTCTAGGAGTTGTCTACCAACTCAATATCCAATCGCCACCCCATGCACTTCCCTCGAGCACCTCTTCCAATCCTGTCAGCCGCAACACTTCACTCGTCTCATTCCAGCTCCTCTTCTTTCCATCAACCTTGACCCCGTTGATCCTCACATCCTCCGGCTCACTCCCTACGCCCAGCACCGTCACGTTCGCTAGCGGGTTCTCATCCTTATACGTGCCGCGCCCACTGGCAACTAGCTTATTCTCTCCCTCCGGCACGACAAACTCCACGTTGAGCGTCGCATTTGGCTGTATGCTCTCGCCATCGTCGAGGTACAACGAACCGCTAGCCGTGCCGGTAGAACCGAGCGCGACGAGCAGCGCCCACGGCGTCTTCCTCGCCTCTCTCGTCGTCAGCCTCACCTCCTGCATTGGCAGCACGCTGCCGCCGCGGACGAAGACGTTGATATGCCCGAGCGGCGCGTCCAGCGTCTTGTTCTCGCCCGGCCGGGCGTCGACCGCACGCTGCTCGTACCAGTCGTACCACTTCTCTCCCTGCCCCACGCCGGGAAACACGCCGCGGACCGTCGACACGTTTGGTTCGAGGACAGGCGTGACGAGGATCGACGGGCCGAGTAGGAACTGCGTCTCGACGTTGGCTAGGTGCGGGTCGTTGGGGAACTCCCACGCGAGAGCGCGCATCACGGTCGAGCCAGAGGTGTGTGCGGCGTGGAAGAGGGTGTACATGTACGGCAGCAGGGCGTAGCGGATCGCCATGGCCTTTTTGGAGGCGTCAATGACGGAGGACCACACTGTTGTGCATTAAGAAGAGTTGTTAGCGGAGTTTGTGCTAAGATGAGGAAGTGGAAGGAGAAAAATTGCTGCCTTACCGTAGGGCTCTTGCGGAGCAGCGCTCAACGTATTGTGCGAACGGAAAAAGGGAAAAAACGAGGACAGCTGGACCCAACGGCTACATAAATCCCAGGAGGTATTTCCATTAAATCCGCAGGTGTCTCTGTATAAATTAGTCTAGGAATGTATTAAAACAAGACTTACTTACACGCCGAACATAGGGATACCGAAAAGACTGAATGACAGAGCTTGCGGGATACTAAAGTACATGTACGCCCATTTCGACATACTATATCATGCGATTAGTAAAGACTGCATAAGAGAAATGTTTGCTTTGCTTACTTGTCACCACCCCAGTGTCCGGCCCACTTTCCGGACCCAGCAAAGGTTGAACGGCCAATAATGAAGGGTCTCTTTCCCGGGAAAACATTGAGAAGGCCATGGTATGTTGCATTCAGAATACCGTGGCCAAACAGGTTGTGCACGTCGTATTCTTGGACACCATTAAAGTGCGTAGCGTTGGGCGAGACGGCGTGAACAGCCAAGTCGCCTTGCACATTGTTAATCACATATGGAGGATAGTTGATGTTCCTCGCGCCAGGTGTAGGCGTGGTCCGTAGGTAGCTGGTGGAAGTGGAGCTGGAAGCAGTTGAAGACGTGGCGGCTGCCTGGCTGGAAGAAGCAGCAGAAGCAGAAGCAGCCTCGGTCGCATTGGTGATGTTGAAGCCCTCTGGGTAGTCGTAGATGACGTTTCCAGGCTCACCGGGAAGTGAGAATGGGGGGTGGGCAGGGTTGAGCGAGAGATTTCCTGAACCGCACGAGCCGACGCAAAAGGATGAAACTTCAGACATATCGATCCAAATTCCATCGAAGGCGACCTCCTTGTGCCACCTGACGAGCTCATCAGACCACCAGGAACCACTGGTGTCGACCAGCCAATCCGGGAAGACGGTGTAGCCAGGCCAGACAGCACCAATGTACTCGCTACCGTCGGGGTTCTTGAGGAACACACCAGACTCGTTACCGCGAGTGTAGGTAGCGTAGGCGTCAGTCTCGTTGTCGGGGTTCGGGATGTACAGGGCGCTATCCACAATGGGAACGAAGTGTCGTCCTCCTTCATGCAAGCGGTTCAAAACTTTGGCGCCTTCATCAAGTGGAAACGTGTTCGGATCAGTAGTGAAATCCCTGTATTCCAACATGTAATCGATGTCCAGCCACATGGTCTCAAGCGGGATGTCGAACTTGATGAAGTTGTCGACAACCTCTTCAAACTGAGACCAGTTGGCGTAGCCCCAACGGCACTGGTGGAATCCGAAGGTGAAATATTGCTGCATCGCCGGAAGGCCGATGGCTCCATACTCGTACTGCTTGGTGACCTCCGGCTGTGTCGGCCCATCAAAAAAGAAAAGGTCGATGCTTCCACCAAGAGTACGCCAGGTCACGTTCTCCGGCCTCATTAGAATTTCCTGCCCGTGGGCATTCCGCAGGAATACACCGTGGGAATAGGAGACGTATGAAGAGTTTGATTTTGCCGTGCTGCTGTCGGCCACATAGGTCAGATTTCCAGTGACAGGATCAACCTCAAAGTAGCGCGTATCCAGATAGAAGGGATGGCTGCCGTAGATGTTCTCGTCAATTGGATCGCCTACGTCAGCAGCGTAGAGTGTTGCCGTGTAGTTGGTGCCGAGACGGAGACCGTGGATGTGCTCTCCGAGACCGTAGATGTTGTAGTCCTCGGGCATGGTGGTGACAAACTCGATGAACTGATCTTCGTACACAAGGACACTGCCTTCGGTGCTGAAGACGACATCACCAGTCGAGCGCCGGATGACCGTGAAGGAGAAAGTGGGATCGTTGCTCCAAGCGACCTGGAAGTCATTGTCCAGTGCCGTCGAACTCGCATCAGCTTCTACAGCCGGGCGCGGGACTAGCTCCTCAGGAAGTATGTACCATGAGGAATTGGAGGCATCGATGTTGGCGGGACTGATGTTGATGGAAAGCCGATGGGCATTTTGGTACTGGACGGTGAGTTCCAGTGTGTCGACATCGTTACCATACACATTGCAAGCTTTCCCCGCCAGATTGAGAGTTGCTGAGAAACCATTGGCGTTACGCTTGACGTCTGACGCCTTGTACCCAGGGCATACACTCTGAGCATCCACGGCCTGAGGATCCACAATATTGGGGATGAGGTTTTGGCCCACATCAGCGCTCGCGGGGACGGTGAACTTCGGACTGTACGTGACGGGAGTTCCGGCAATGGTCGCCGTACCGTCTCCTTCCAAAAAAGAAGAGCTAAGACTTGATTGTGCCTGTGCATAGCTCGCAATGGTTAGCACCGAGTATAGCCATGCCCGGCAGAGAGGCGGCGGCAAGGGTGCCATGGTGAAAGAGAAGATTGGAATATAAGGAGGAAGCCTCCTCTTGAATGGCGGTGTGGTGCTGTGTGGTGCTGGAGGGAAATGAAAGAAAGCAAAGTCGAGGCAGAGGCGAGGAGGTTAATATATGCAGTGGCGGCGGCGGCGGCGATTGATCTCAATGCCAAGTGGTAAAGTGATGTAGCATAGTGGTGTGTGCTCCCCGCACAGCAAAAAACCCCGCGATGATGACAATGGCGGACCAAGGCACGGGATCGAGCTGCATAAGCGAGGAAGGGACCAGGAAGGCAGACGGACGGCAGGTAAGCGCTATCCGAATGGAGGGATGTCCTGGGTGAGGCTCCATTGTGCTGCTGCAGCAACTGACAGAAATGACACGACACTCACCAGCCGCAGTGGAGAAAAGAGTTCGTCCCAGCACCACAGGGCCCACAGCGCCAAATTGCAGATCGCCATGGCGGCTTGGACGGAGAACAAGGATTGCAGCAAGCTCGTGGTCGTACGGATGGTCGGGTTGAGCTTAGGTCGGATGCCTAATTAATTGATGGCAGAGTCGACGGCCGACTTTGGTCGAATGACAACGAGAGAGGGCGCAGCAGCCACGCACAGCAGAGATCCTACGTGGTCGAGTCCCCAGTCTGGTGATGTAGAGGGGGCGGAGCTTGAGATGCGGGGTCGGGTTGCACAACGCCAGCCTGCTTAAGCTCCGCGCCACCAAACATGGAAGCTGCTAACCCTCGCTCCCGTGGAAAATTCCCCCTTGCTTCTAGCGCGCCCGCCTCTGTTTGCTGGACATCACGACTTGACAGGGCAACGACAGGGATGTGCTAGTATAACTTGGGCTCTGCTTCAACCAACTCTCTTTCTGCCTCGACGCGACGACATGTTTCAATCTGCTGTACAGCAGCGTGGTCTCCGCAGCCGTGCCATCGGTTGACGCGAACAGAAGCCGGCGGAGAGCTGGAGAAATGCAACCATCGCCAACTCTGTCCTGCGGGGACCTGCGCTGATGCTTCCTATTGGCCCATTGTCGGCCCGCTGCCTTGACCGACTGTCCATCGCACGAGCTAACATCAGACACCACGACATAGATTGCACAAAAGAGAGTCCACTCGTAATTACCTAGCTACTCCGCCCGTCCCTCCCACTAGCTACCTCTCGGCCTGCCTCTCCCCGTCTGCAAGATGTGAAAGGTGGAGAAAACGAAAGGAAAAGAGATGGAAGGGGCAGACGGGAACCACCGCTACATCAGCAACGGCCACTCCTCGTTTTTTTGATTTTTCTTTCCCACGCCCCAAACTCCCTCGGCTCCATTGCCCACCAGTCCGCCCGCCAATATTAAAACGAAGAAATTTGGAAGATCCTGTTGTTTGATTCGACCCTAACGCGCGCTCCCGCTGCGCCAGGCGCCTGTGTCTTTATCCGAACAAGAAAGGAAATGGTTTTGAACTTACGGCAAAAGCTACCGAATGGGATATTATTGAACACGAAACTCAGCGCCTCGGTGTGTTGTCCGTGTTGAACTGAAAGGGGTACTAAGAACATTTGACAACCGCAGATGCCAGGCCCGCAAACCCTTGAACGCCACCGGATGCAAGCAAGCAACCAGGGAATACAACTCTGAGAGAAAGCCATGACAGTGCTGAAAATAGGAAAAATGAAAACGAAAAAGTCGTGTTGTGACATGAAATCAAGAGAAAAAAAAGCAATGAGAAACTGTTTAGTCCCGCCATGTGCACGATTCCACCCTCCCTCAAACGCAGAACAGCCCGTGGAAAATGAAAAGCCAGCCACCACTTGCACTTTTCTCTCGAGTAACGCAGCTCTGCGAGGCGCCAGCGAAACGCTTTCGCCCGCCTTACCGTCCAAAACTGTGCCCTCAGGCATGCAGAGGAGAAGGCCTCGATGTCTATGCTTCCTCAACGGTAACGTGCTCCAACACTTTTGTTTTTGCTCGCTGCTCACCCACCTCTAGCCTTTCCACGGCGGCGGAAGAGATCCATGACCCTGCGCGCCGCACCCGAGCTGCCAGCGTGGCGCTGGTTGTCCTCATACGCATCCGCGAACCGACGGTTCTTCTGGAGCACCCGGGCCCGACCTTCCCGTGGCTCCGAAACTGCCTCCGCACTGTCGTACGGCGCGTTGCGCGAACGGTACGGCAGCGACTGCGGCCCTTGAGATGAAAGGTCCGATTCATTGCCGTGGTAGTAAGAGTTGCCCTGCTCCGAATTCGAGGGATACTGCTGTATGGCATTGTCTTCGTACTGATACGCCGGCTGGGCCTGGAATTGGGTTTGGTCTGCCGGTGCTGACGTCGGGCCACGTCCCGACATTTGACTCCTGCGCTTCTGGCGTACGTCCGTCGTCTCGCCCGTGCGACGGCGGTCAAGATCATCGTAGGTGATAGGTATCGTGTTGCCGGTGCTCTGACTGGGCGACGGGCTTTCGCCGCGTCCGAAAGCCATTTGCGGCCGGGATGGCGCCCGTTGCCGCCCGCCGGCTCCGATCGAACGGCGGTCGGCTGCCCCGGGTGAATCCTTGTTCCCGCCCGTGAAGCTCTTCATAGAGAACGAAGCGGGCAGCAAGGAGAACCTGCGCGAGGACCTGTCTCCTGCACGACCGCCCTCACTGGTCTTGCGACTGAAGCTCAACGAAGGACGGCGGGAGGACTCGGTCGACTTCCTGGTGCTGTCTCCGCTGTTCATCGAGTTGTTCATGCTAACAGGAGGATAGGATTTCTGTGGCTTCGAGCTTCCACCAAACAAGGACGTTCTGAAGATCTTCTCCCCAATGCCTCCCACGGTATTAGACCGCTTGTGACTGCTGCGCTGCGTGTACTGTGCTTCTTGTTGCGGCTGGTAGCCAGCAGACGGCATCCTCTGGGTGGATGGCTGGCCCATGGTCGGATCCTCGTCCTGCGGCATCGGCGCAGAAATGACGTATTGCTTGCCCTTGGGCTGTGAGAAACGGCCCTGGACATTAGTAGTGGCGACAGTAGCCGCGGCAGGCTGGCCGTACGAGTTTCCGCGTGAAGGAAGCCTTGACGATCCACCCAATGTGCCACCAGTAGAGGGTCTTGCGGAGGAAGAAGGTGGGGCATTTCCGAACGGTGAGTCGGAGACGGCGCGGGGGCCTTCGCGAGTCTGGCGCGAGGCTGGAACTTGTTGTGCAGATCCCGCCGAGGGACGACGTTGTCTGGTCGTTGAAGAAGCGTATCCATCGGAAGATGGCACTTCCACTGGGCCTTGGTCCCTGGAGCGAGAGCGCTGAGCGCCACCTTGGGCCAGGGGCACCGTAGGGCCCGCAGTGACCGTCGAAGACTCTCCGCCTCTTTGGGTCTGTGTGTGAGGTGCAACGTATTCGACTTGCACAGTTCTGCGTTTTGCATCCCGCCTGCCTTGCTTGTCCGGCGACTCGGCTTGGTCGATGTGGCCGTGCTTTTGCGTCAAACCACCAACAGCAGCGACAGACGTATGTTGCTTGCTGGCTTCCCGGACCGATGCACTGCGAGCAAGCTGCGGGACTTCGTACGGGTCCTCTGTTGCGCACGTTAGCATGTTTTTGACGATGTCTCGTGTACCGTGACATCGAGAGCTTGGGCGAAGCCCCAAGCATGCGCGCAAAGGATGCCTTACCTGGCGGGACCGTCGTATTGGCAATGTCACTCGACGTCGTGGTGCTACTGGTAATGAATCCAACAACGTGCGCATACTCGCTCAGCCAGCTGTGCCGGGCAACCTCGAAAAGGTCGGCGCGTTTACGTGGATCGGGAACGAGAATACGCTTCAAGAGGTCGCGAGCGTGCGGAGTGACGTATTCGGGGAAGGTAAGAGGGGTGGAGACGATATACTTGTAGAGGAGGTTGATGTTGTCGCCTTCGGGGTTGGCTGGATCATCGTCGAACGGAAGGTATCCAGCAAGCATAGCGTACTGTGATTCGGCATGTGTTAGTACCCAGACATGAATTGCTGCCTAAATCCTCTTTGTCACTTACCAGAATGACGCCGCAACTCCAGACGTCGACCTTCCTGCCGGTATATAACGAGTCGCTCACGACCAACTCCGGTGCGGCATAACACGGACTTCCGCAGCTCGTCTGCATCAAATCACCCCGGCGGTGTCCGCTGTCGCCGACGATCTCCAGCCCCGCCTTTTTCACGAACTCCTTATTTCCGAGGTTATACTCGATCTCGTCCCCAAGCTCGTCGTTCGGGTCGAAAGTGTTGGCGAAGCCGAAATCGGTGATGATGATGTTCTTGTTCCGGTCGAGCAGAAGGTTCTCGAGCTTCAAATCGCGGTGCACAATACCCTTCTTGTGCAGGTAGCCTACGCCAGAAACCAGCTGGGCAAACAGGCGGCGCGCCGAATTGTCTTTGAGATAGCGGTGGTTCAGGATGTAATCAAACAGCTCACCGCCGGACGCATACTCCAGGATTATGCCGATGTGTCGTTCTGTCTCGACCATCTCATGCAGGCGGACGATGTTAGGGTGCTGCAGCCCGCGCAAGATGGAGATCTCGCGGTAGATCTTGGGAAGACGGCTGGGGTTGGAGCCCAGGACTTCTCTCCGGATGAGCTTGATGGCAACCTGGACTCCGCCGTCCTTCTTCCAGCCCATCTTGACCTTACCGAACTCTCCCTCACCCAGGGTCTGGCCCAGGATGTAGTCGCCAAACTTGGTTTCCCGCCGCTTTTCCCTGGAGTGGTCCTGCCGGCTCTTTCCACCGCCGCGGCCGCCATCGTCAACACCTTCGTTCCCCACAAGACCCAGGCCGGTGATTGGCGTGATGTCGGCGCCAGTCGGGGTGGGCCGCGTCTCGGCCATGCGGGCCTGCTCGCGGGCAATGTCCTCTTGGGGATCCGCGATGACCAGGCGGTTGATGACCGTGCTCTCTTCCCGGGGCAGGTTGGAACCCATCGGCGGAGTGCCGACGGCGGTGGCAGAACGGCTGTGGGTCGGCGTCTGCTTTGTCCGAGACGACGACGAAGGGCTGGTCTGGTAGTTTTGCTGCTCGCGGGACGGCTGGCGTCGGCGCTGGGCAGCGTTGGCAGCGGCGCTGGCAGGATCCTCCCTCATATTCTGTGAGGCGGTGCGGGACGACGGCGGGCGTTCATCTGTAGATCGTTGACTGTGGTACGGGTCTTGTACGGGCTGGGCGGAGGTGCGATGGTTCGACGAAGTGCGAGGCGGCGGCACAGGGCCCTGGTGGGCATTGTACGGGGACGAGGCGATGACGGGCGACGGCTGGGTGGACGACGACGCGGGCTGCGCGCGCGGGGTTGTCATGTCGGAGTTGTTGGAGGTGGACGGCGAGTAATGTTGCGATTGTTGCGGTGTGGAAGGCTCGCCATTCCCACTCGGGCGCGCCGACTTGGACGGCTGCTGGTAGTACTGGTCGCGGCCGTGAGGCGGCTGCTGGTACTGCCCGCGGCTGGAAATGGTGGGACCGGTCTGCTGCACCGCGGCCGAAGACATCGTGCTGCTCGGCGATCAGGGTTCAGCGATGCGCTGGCTCTCACACGCTGCACGGGGTGCGGAGGCTCGGCGGGCTCGGTCGGGCTGCGGGCGCTGCTTGCAGGCTCGGCTGGGGTGGCTCAGAAGAGCGGTCGGTGGTGGTGCAAGGTCAAGGAGGGACTGCGGCTACCGGGCGGGCCTTCACATGGGGCGGTCGACGCGATGCAGCTTTGGGACGAGCTGTCTGTCTGCTGCCCTTGGGGTGCCTTAGCGAGTGGAGCTTGGCTGCGCGCGGTGATTGGCGAGTGAAGCTGCGGGCAGGCTGGCGGGCGAGAGCGCGCGCGCTGGCAGCTGCAACTGGCAGCGTGAGCGAGAGTGGTGGTGGAGAGTCGCTGGTGGAGCGGCGCCTGGCAGGTAGGCTCGTCTCTGCGTGCGGGCTGGCTGCGCGACGCACGCTTAATCTCCCTGTTTCCAGCGTCGCGCGCGAGGAAAGGGCCTCGGGCTGCTAGCATATCGCTTCAGGGGGGCGCTGCCGGCGCACAGGACGCTGCCAGCCAGACGCCCGCTCGACTCGGCTTGACATCAGCAATCTGCGACGCCTGTGGCTGCGCCGGGGATGTCCTGGCCGCGACGAGATTGCCTTGCCGGCGATCGCGATACCCGCGCCTGCCCTCGACGCAGCGGAGCACGCGTCCGCCAGCGCTGCTCGCGAGCCAGCGCGCGTCTGAAAAGCAGCACCCGACGGCCTGGGATGACCGTTGTTTCACTGCCGCGCGCGCCTGCTGCCGTGCCAGGCGAGCAGGCCCCCGGCCCGCGCTCGCTCTTCTCTCTCTCTCGTTCTGCGCCTCATGAGACGCTTTCCACATCTCGGCGGCAACGCACTACCGACGACCAGGCTATTCCCTTAGCGTTAATCTCCTTCCCGCCGCCTGCCCGAGTCTCTGTCTCCACGTGCGATCTCCCGCTGCCACTCCGCGTGCGAGCTGCTGCGCGCGTCCGGCTGCGCGCGCGCTTCGGACGTGACCCAGCCGGCGGCGCATTATTACTCGCAGATCGCGCACCTGTTGGAGCCGCCTCGCGGATCCCTGTCCCTGCAGCGGCCTGCCGTTTCAGACGCACCACTCCCGGCCTGCCGTGGCTTGATCTATATTTTCTCAACGTTGCTCCAGCACCCCGTCGTCCGCTCAAACGTCAACTGGCCGCGGCGCACGTCACCACCACCAGCCTGCGCACCAACAGCCCAATGCCGCCATTGTGTTTCTTCGAGAACGTTTGCTGCCTCTTGGCCCCGCCGGCTGCTGCCCAGTGCGCGCCGACTTGTTCGGGAATCAGCTCCGAGAGAGTAACTCTAACGTGCCACTGGCGTTTACCCTTCTCGGAGCTGTCTCATAAGAAATATCGCACCCCACTTACGCGAGTCTGCGATGTCGATAATCTTGAAACTGACCTCGGCGCGCAGATGTTTGCTCCAGCGGTTCACGTAGGATGAGTGCAATGTCTCGCGGAATGCGACTGAGCTGGGTAAAGTCGTCTGTGGCGCGCCGCGCGAGGCGCATCGCTCTCAATGCGTGCACGTTAATCTCCCACCGCCGGCGCCAGGCCCAGCCTACCCCAGCCGCCCATCGTTGCCGCCCCATGACGTCGCATAACAAGCACGTCCGAAGACCGCTCATGCGTGAAACACCCGCCGGAACTGTGCCGCTGGAGCGACGACGTTGAATCGCGGCCCAATCCACGTGATTGACACGAACTGGACGCGTCGCTGCCGCCCTCAGCGGGTCGTCCCGAGCATGGCGCTCGAAAAGCAATTTCAATGCCGATCCGTCGGAGGCATCGAATCGAATTCCGTGCGCTCTCTGTTCACTTCCAGCTTGATGCTTGATGCTCCAATCAACCTCTGCCGCCGGCGTCTTTCCAGAGTCATTCTAGAGCTCCCGTTCCGCAGTCATGTGTACGGTGTACGCCCTCACGGGTGATCTCCATGCGTCGTCACTTTTCGCCGTTAGCATGAGCGGAGATACCCATCTCCATACGGCCGGGACATAAGCTTGCACCTCACCTCTCGAGACGCTGCGCCAGAGCGAACCGCCGCTGTCCAAGAAAGCGGGCGAGTATAGCTTGTTATAGCTGCACTTCGCCTATTCCGCCAGCTTGTATATATGCGTCCTAGACCCTACGGCTTCGCCGATCTCGGTAACAGTCCCCATTCTCACTGAAACACAGCCCCCCCTCATGCTGTTTCCACCTCTCTCTATTTTTACTCTTATCGTCGATACTATGCTTTTCGTCATCCTTCGCAAGTAATGTTTGAAGGCCCAGCTCGCACTCGCATTCATAGCGATATTCCCCTGAATCCTCCTTTTGGAAGGCATGGACCATCTTCTTTTCACTTCCGCACCGCTTCCCGCTGCTGCGCATGTATGTATAGCCTCGCCGGCATTCGTGTTCACAGCACATCTCAGCCATTCATCCGCACCGACCGAGACATTTCGGAAGACCCCGCCCGCCCACGCCATTCCCGAGTTCGCGCCTTTGGGCCTCTTTTCCGGTACGGAATGACTGAGCGCGCGTCATTTCGCTTTTGGAAGTGAGGCATAGTCGGCTGCGGCTCTGTGCTCACGCGCACAACCTCTTCCCCTTCCCACGTGAGAGGCAGAAGAAAGACCATCGGACCTCGCCAGGCCAAGGCCAGCGTCGGCTCATTCTCCGACTAGGCGAGTAGCGCGGCGCAAGCGGTACGTGCAGAGTCTCGGCAACGTTCGCGCGGCAGTAGCAGCGGGCCAAGAGTTGCCGGCATCAGGGACAGGAGCCCTCTTGGAGCGCACGGGAGGAACCCGATATGAGATCAAGACAGCCTGGAACACACGAAGACCGAATCAATCCATGGTGGTTCGTGAAGAGAAAAGCTCACGGACTGGTCTAGCCCTAGGGCTCCTGAAAGGAGAGTTAGTAGGGATCATCAGGCACAACCGTGCGTGCAGTGGCCAACACGGATCTTCCGAGTCAAGGACAAGCAGGAAAAAAATCGCCCGTTCGTGGGCGTGTGGGCCGCCGCCCCTCTTGGTTTTCCTTCCTGCACGTCATCTCGGTCCGACGCAGTGCGGTTCAGCCCTGTGGAGCTTCTGTTTGTGGCCTGATTCGGGCTGCCGCAGGTGCCATCATCTCATTAGGCTTTCCTCCTGTATGTAACCTTCCGCCCAAGCAACGTCCGAGACTTGTCTCCGATCGCAGCGTCGGCTTCCCGGAGATCGGATCGCCCCGGCGGAATCGCCCTGCAGAAATGAGGTTGTATTGTCAATTTCATTCATTCAGTTGCGAACTCTCATTATTATGTACAGGCCATTAAACTCGAGGTGCGTCCGGGGTCGTCATTAAGTTCATCAAATCTTGATCTCTGCCGGGATGGTGACGTTGAGGATGTCGACACCCTTCAGCAGCTCACTCTTGGTGGGCATCTTGCCCCTGCGCATGAGCTCGGCGGTCTGGCTCATGTACGGGTCCTTCATCATGCTGGCCATTGCGACAACCGTCTCTCCCTTGGTATAATATGCAATAAAGCTCGGCTTCTCTGGCTCACCCTGGATGACGACGTCGTCGTACCCACCCACCGTATTGCCGCAGTACCTCAGTTGACTTCCCAGCGCCGACCAGAAGATAGGGATGAAGGGCTTGGGCTTCGCTCCCGGGCTATTGATCGAGCCCGCCACTGTTTTCCCAGCGTTCTGGGCGACGTTCCAGTGTTCGATGCGCACAGGTGATCCATTGCCTCCCGGTCCGTTGTACGGCCAGCTGGCTATGTCTCCCACCGCAAACACATCATTGAGGCCCTTGACCGCGAAAGTCTCGTCTGTGCTGATGGAACCGTCCTTCAGGAGTTCTACGGCCTTATTTCCCTTTAGGTACTCGGTCGCAGGGGCGACCCCGACACCTTCGATCACGAGATCGGCCTCGAGAACGGTCCCATCCTTCAGGTGAACAGCGCCAACTTTGGACGAATCGCTTTTCGATGGTGTGGCCTTGTCGACGGATGCCTCCATGTGGAACTTGACGCCGTTCTTCTCCAGCAGGCCCCGGAAGATCTTGCCGACCTTCTCGCCCATGACGCGCTCCATGGGTGCCTTCTCCATGCCGACGACGGTAACGTCATTCTTCTTTCCAGCCAGGCAGTTGGCAACTTCCATGCCGATGAAGGAGCTACCGATAACGACGATCTTCTTGCCATTATCGCCAACAGCATCGACAATGCTTTGCGCATCAGGGATGGACCTCAGGACGAAGACGTTGCCGAGATCACCCTTCAGTCCGCTGAGTGGAAGCCACCTCGGAGTGCCACCGGTCGCCAGGATGAGCTTGGTATAGTCGTACGTCTTGCCAGACTTGGTGGAAACCTTTTTGGCGTCGAAGTCGACAGCGGAAGCCTCATCAGAGACGATATCTATCGAGGCATCCTTGTACCACTGCTCTGATCTCCAGGCAACCTTTGAGACATCGGCCAACAGCGCCTTGGATAGCTTTGTTCGGTCAATGGGCCTGTAGCCTTCCTTGGAAATGACTGTAATGTGACCGGTAAAACCACCCCCACGAAGACCCTCAATGGCACCGAGAGTACCGCTGCCGCTGTAGATGGACAAGGTCTGTAAGCTTGCTGGGTCGAGATACGGTATGGATGGGCTTTCACTTACCCGCCAATGACCAGCACCTTCTCCGAGCCTTGGGCGGAACACTTGAAGTTAAGAGACCTTCTGTTAGCCTTGATGGTTGCCTCGTCGCCCTTGATGTAGACGGCCCCGTCCTTCTGGATGATCTCAAAAGTAGCGAGCGGATCGAGAGCAGGTGCGTCCTCGACGTCGCCGGTTGAGACCTTGAAGCAAGCTGGGTGTGTTGTCAGCTAAGGCTCGCATGACGAGGGAGGTTTTCAGGTCATACCTCCGTGCCACGGGCAAGTGAGCCTCCCCTCGGTTGTGAGGACGCCCTTCACCAGCGGAGCACCATAATGAGTGCAGTTGGGGCTGGTTGCGTGCACCTTGTCCTGGACCTTGGAGAGCAGGACCTTGGCGTTCTCAATGCCTTCGACCTCGACTTCTTTCTTCTCGCCGTTTTGGAGGTCCAGGGACGTAATGCCCTTCAGCTTGTACTCCTGCGCCATCCTGGATGCAGAGGTGGAAATGGGGAATCGCGATTGGAATGGGTGGCAGAAGTGAGAGCGGGGTCGCTGTCTTAGAAGTAGATGGCTGGAAGCAGCAGAGAAGGGAAGGCGCTTGGCGAGCATGAACACGTAGGCGGGCGAGGCTTATGGAGGGGTAAGATACGAGACCAACGAACAGCTCCGGACGGTAGGTGGGGGAGGCGGGTTAATGAGCTACGAGTCGCTTCCGCATGCTGATGATGCATTGATGGCGAGTCTGGGCCCTTCTGGCGAATCAGAGGCAGCTTGATGACCTGACTTGCTTTGATTCCGGTGCGTCCGAAGACGTCACCCCGCGGTAATACCCACTCACGTTATCGATAAAGCTGTTCCACCCTGCGTGCCTCGTCGGCGACCGGGGGTTGTTGGCCAACCAACGCCGTTCATTTGGTCAGCCATATGCATGGAATTTACCGACCATGCCCCCTCGCAGCCTAGACAAATCGTATTGGCTAACTGTCTATGGAATTGCACCAAGCAACTAAGGGCAATTAATAACCAACTTTATCACCTCCACCATTTTAGTATAAAATCAGACTTTCGCATTCCAGCCACTCGAAAATTCCCTTGCACTGTTCATCATTCACTACATTTCCTAAAGCCATGGGGATCTTTCCAGAGGAGTGTGAAGAGAATGGTACGAAAGATCGTGTAAAAAGTACCTTGGCAGAGAAAGTGGACAAATGCTTGCCTAGAAGGCTGGCTAACACTTTGTATTTCTTCGGCTGCCAAGGGGTGGTTGGTAAGTAGCACGCAATTGACCGGCTAAATACGTGGTGTCGGGCGGCCGAATGCGGGTGGTCGCTTACCGAGTGGAACACCTGTCTCATCCACTCACACGTCGCGCCATCACTCTGGCCGTTTGTCAACAGTCAACACGATGTCTGACCGCTCTCTTTGATCTCCAACACCATGGGGTGACTATCTCGACGCGTGCGGCGGCCATTGATAGCATGTGTAGTGCTGTGGGAGCCGGTGCAGCGCTTTAAGATGGGTGGGTGCCTGTTGGATGGCTGACTTGGCAGGCCTCATTACTTCCAGCATTCCCAAGCAGACCATGGACCCGCAACAGCAGCAGCAGAGCTTTGATCGTAGGCCTCTAAACTCCTAATCTAATCAATGCACACTGACATATGTAGGCTCAAGCGAAGATGTCCTTCCACCAAATCTTCCCCGGCCGGTGGACGACCACAAATGCGACCACCTATGGAGCATGGACTTGCCGTCGCTGCCGCTTCCCTCGACCAACGACGAGACTGTCGATTTATCGAAGCTGAAGGGCTTGACTGTCGTTTTCTGCTATCCGCGCACCGGCAAACCCAAGGAATCCGTGCCCGAGGACTGGGATGCCATCCCCGGCGCTCGTGGCTGCACGCCGCAAGCTTGTTCGTTCAAGGCCGCCACCTCAGAACTCAAAGGCTTGGGTATCTCTAGGATCTTTGGTCTAAGCACGCAGGAAACCGAACACCAGAAGCTCACTCGCGAACATCTGCGTCTCGGCTATCACCTTCTCAGCGACGAGCACTTCAAGTTCTGTGAAGCCTTGTCTCTGCCTATGTTTGAATACGGGTCCTGGAAGTTGGTTAGGCGGGTTTCTCTGGTGATTCAAGATGGCAAGATTGTCTGGGTTGACTATCCCGTCTTCCCGCCCGACAAGAGCGCCGAGAAGGTGGTGAAATACCTGAAGTCGCAGCCCATTAACAATCCCGGCCAGGCGCGTTGTGGGAATGGGGACAAGGCGTCCTCTTCACTTCCTTCGAATTCCGCCCCTATCGATTTCCAGACTGTCACCGATCGGCCTGCTGGTGCTGGAGGCGTAACGAGCCCTGCACCTGTGGCGGAAAGCCCGAAGAGGCAGGGTCCTGCGTCAAACCTCCACATCTGCCCGGAGTGGGTTGAGCAGAAGGCACGGGAGGCTGCACAGGCCAACGTTGCTCAGAAGGACAAAAGCTCGAACAGTCTCACTGGAGAAATTGCTGGACCTAACAAGAAGTACTCATTCCACCTTAGTGGGGGATGCACCACCAATTAGAGCATTGGAAGAAGCGGTCAGGACGCAACTTTGTATCTGCTTCTCTTGATTCCGCCCTTTCTACATGTATTATGCGCATATGTATACATAGATACAGCAACAAATGTTTGGCCTTGATTCTACCCATTATCTGGCCGGCATCACTGTGACTCAACATTACGGCATTGTGCAGCTAGCCTCTTTTTGCCCCGCTTATTGTTGCAGGCGTTATGCGGACGTTTTTGTTGACACTTTCACTACACGCGTCCGGATCAGCACCACGCCTGCCTGTTCAAATCTGTACGAACCGGGCCCGTACATTCTTTTTTTTAAGGGTGGTGTGTCTGTGGCACTCCGGGTTTGTCTTACGAGTGGCCGGCTGCACTCACGATACCGTGGCGGCGGTGACAGGAACAGGAAGCATGCATATCAGGGTCGTGCAGATCGGATCAAGGTTTTCGCTGGGGATCCAACGATTGGCGCCGTCTCACAACAAAAATAATGTCCGAGCAGCGCCCAGAAAGGAAAATGCGGTTTTCCGTTGGGAGGAGTGGGATCTGAGGGATTGGGCCGCCTTCGATCTGCCGCCTCGTGTCGTTTCCGCAGCGTCGGGAGGGGCTGAGGTGTCTGGTTCCCGGGTCATTGGGTACAGTGAGGCCACTTGTGCCGAGGCTAGGAATTCTCCGATTGATGCGATGAATCCCTTGCTGGGCTGCTGTGGGACAGATGATCCCCCCCTTCCAGAACGTGTCTGTTTCTCAAGTCCTCCCCCTCCCTCGTCGCGCTGCGAGGAGACGAGCGCTACAGCCGGTCTGCAGATGCTAGCGTGAGCATCTTTCGATCATCAAATTCTGCGAGAAGTTGAGTCATCCTGGTGCAGAGTACGATCGGGTGTTCCTCCCTGGTCGCGCACTTCGATTTTACAACAACACCACGCTCTTGGGAGCAGTCCGTATCTCGGTCCCGGGCTGTTTTTGCTTTTCACAGTCCTTTTCTGGCCATGTTTTCGTCGTGAAAGGAAGCCGTTGCAGCCATTGGTCCAATACGGATTTAACTCCCGTAGCGGCTGATCAATCGGGGCGGTAAGATTCCAGCCCTCAGCACGTATATAATACGAGAAAACTGTTCATGGCAGCTTACGAAGGCAATTGGACTTCTCGGGATGCCGTCGAGTGTGCTCTGTCAGTTCCAGATCTCTCGATCAGCACTCTTTCGACGACATCAACAGCCAGCCACTTCCCATTACCACGCGTCCTTTTTGTCCACCGTTACTCGGTTTCGGGCACTAGCTTAGAGACTCGGTTCGCATTGACTCGACGGCCGATTTGACTTCGGTCGACCCCGCCAGCGTGCAACCGCCACTGGCAGCAACAGCACATTTTTCTCCACCACGGCTTCCGACATCCAGAGTGATGGCGATGATTCGCAGGTCTGACGTCATAGCCAAGCTAGCAGTGTCGAGGCATGTATATTTGGGCACTTCTCGCAAATTCAGTGGAGGGGCGCTGCGTGTGCCCGGTGTCCACGGCATTACACGGGTAGGCGCATAAGCGTCGTGAACGCGGGATATCCGCTGCATCAAGGCATCATGAGAGATCATGATGCGGTGGGTTCGCAAGAACGTGGCCAAAGCGACACAAAGGGTTCACCGCACCCCTCCCCGTGTGCTCTTGGCATCAATCGACTGTCTGGCAACCGGTCAAGCGTCCTGCAAAGGGGAGAGATCAGCGCACTGCTATCTAATACTATTTGTCGGGTGGGTGCTTAAGTCTCCTTTTTCTTGTGTAAGCGAGGCAGGAGAGAAAAAAAAGGGCTCACTTCATTGCGATAAGTCTTCACGATGCTAAAAATAAAGCCGTGCCCGAGAACTGGGTTGAGGTCAAGGCGAGGGGGGAGACCCTGCCGAGGTTCAAGGTGCAAACCAGCTGGGCGAAGTACGAGGCGAGAGGGGAGATCTCTCTTCAGGGTGGCGAGACACTGCACATTATCTCACTCTCGGTAAATGCGCCCGACTAAATTGTTCTTCGGAGCGGTGTGCCACGGCCGGCGGTCGAAGCGGGAAGCCCAACACGAGCACGCGTAGCCGGTTGCACAGCAGCGCCGGCCGCATCTCCGGCCGCAGCGTCTTTCTCTCTGTATCGCACAAGGGCTGGAAGGGGGAGAAGGGGGGCAGAGAACCGCCTGTCCGGGACTATTCTTGGGTTTTTCTTGGGCACATTTCAGCAGTGCAGCTGAATTACACCAAGTATTGCTTCTTGCGCAACCAGACTCCCCCACCCTATCCAAGCTTTTGTCCATGCTCAACACCTGCCGTTCGCCTTGGCTTTCTTCGGCAGGTTAGTCAGTGCTGCTAGCACATTCCAGAGCTGCGTGAGAACCGAGTGGCCAGCTGAGAAACAGCCATCCCGATGGGGAGAGTGTGAAGTTCGGCGAGTGCGATGCTACCTCAGAAGAAAAGGATATAAAGACTTGCTGGCTCCGGCAAGAGGAGCACACTCAACAACAACAACAACTCCTCTTCGATCAAAGTCACTCGCTTCGAAACGTTCCTCGACAACTCAACCCACTCCTCACCACCTACCTTTCCATCCACAACCATTAACATGACCCCCGACAGCTCTGGCAACGGTAAGTACACCTGTAGTCTGCCCGTGTAGTCTCCATTGCTAATACTTGACTGCAATATCAGGCTCCGACGGCAACTGGCCTCGTGATGGTGGTCGTCGCTAGATGAAAATGACCTCTCAGCTTCAACTGTCACAATCAGTACGTTCCGTTTCCCATGCTGCAAGTACAATTTATTAACAGTGACGTGTAGGGCTTGCTTTTTACTTGGCAATTAGCCGGGCGCTATGGTGCCAAAAAGGCGTTCGCAGATGGGATTTCCTATGGGCGGTAATTGTCGAGCATTTCATAGAAGGACATCATATTTTGCTTGACATGGAGAGAGGCCTTGGGTAATCCTTTTTTTTATGCCACATAATGTCTTTGGGCCGAGTCCAGTGGAAGGCTTCCTAATTCAGTACCGGTTACCAGAATGGGCAGTATTTTGGACGACAACACCTTTCAACATTCCTTCAATAGATAGAGAGCTATTTCCACCCAACAGCTACTAGTTTCTAATATGATGTCTGCATGCATCGACACGCATCCCGTCCGGTCCACGTCCCAGGACAGACCAATCCCGATCAACTCGCGCGCGCTAACTACGAAAGGCAATCCGTACATGAGTGCCCCGGCCCCTCCACCGCACGCTCTCTCTCTCTCTCTCTCTCTCCCCCAATCGCCCCGTTACACCAATTCGATCGATCAACACTCAGCCCTGGTCTAGCCCGTGCGTGCGCAACGAAAAAAAACACACGACGCCAGCAGCGGCCCGCCGCCCACCCGTAGCGCCTGCCGATCGGTTTCGCTGCGTCTGCCGCCCAAGACACCCAGCGTCATCATCATCATCAATAATAAATCATCATCATCAGCCTTCGGCGGCCGCGCCCGCTCCCGCCCCCCCTTTGCCACATGGCAGTGCGTGGCGCAGTGCGTGGCGTACGGCTTTTGGCGACGTGTACGACGAGGACGCGGCTTGATCAAATAGAAGGAGGGGGGGAGGGGAAGGGCTCGCGTCAGCCCACGCGCGCGCAACTCGTTCGCGTTGTACTGACAACCACGGGCGCACGGGGAAAGCAGCAGGTCAGGCAGGGCAAAAACCAGCAGCAGCAGCCCGGTTGACGTGGTCCGGTGAGTCAAACGAGAAAAATAAAAATATGACCGCCCGATCTAAGCGCTCCCTGATGCCTGGCGCGCGCGCTGCCGACAGCCTTGCGCCGGTTGGGTATTGCGAAGGGGGCAGTGCTCGCAGGTATGGTAGTGCGCAAATGCGCGTATCTCGTCGGGATGGGAAAGAGAGGCAAAGAAGAAGAAAAAAAGGCAACCCATGCTTTTGGATCTGTATCGCAGGGCGGAACACGAGAAAGACGGGGCTTCCTCCGTGAGGCGCGAAATAGCAGCTTTTCTCGTTACTCCACCTTTATTTTTCCTTTTGTCCAACCTGTGCCTCTTTGCTGCCTGGAGATAGTGGGAACTTGCGGCTCTGTGGATGAAAGCGGCAAAGAAGTCGTCTGGTTGTGATACAACGAGGCGGGTGTCATGGCTGCTGCTTCCGTCTTGGGTGCAGCTTGTGACCAAAGGCTCTGTAAATACATGTCGCTTTTGCCGGGTCAGTCATTGGCTCTCCTGATCTTAGGCTCTGATGCCTGCATCTGCTGCTCGCACTGGCGTCCGTGGTATATTCGCCGCCACGAAACACCCTGCCTCGCTGTCAAATCTTGTTAGCAGAACCACTCTTTCTCACATTCTGCTTGATTCAATACTGACACGTGTTTTTCATCTGAAAAGCCGAGGTCTTGTCCTGGGGGTCTGAAGAGCGGTGTGATGAGCCATCTCCAGCAGGGCATCCACAAGGCAGTATACTCGAGCGTGGATGGGACGTTGAAGCGTGTGGAACGTTCCACATGGGTGGCTTGCATTAAAACCAGCATAACATGATCTATGGATCACGGCCCATGATTTGTTACGCCAGAGAGTCGGGTTGCTGGCGTGTCTCTGAAGCATGCAAGCCCGACGCCTCCTACAATATCATTGGTGAATCCCATGCAGAGAGCCCATGAGCTTGGGTCTACTCCTGCGCTAGTTATTTGCTGCTCTGTATGTCATCCAACGGCGTACGTGATCATAATGCAAGGCGAGATCATCTCGCAATCTGGCTCCCTCTTGTGCGGCTCTGTCCGTCCTTCCTTTGCGTCCTTCAGCTTTTCTCTGCCCGAGTTGCCCTGCACTGCCATCTAGAGACACGTGTATTGCTACTGAATGGCGGCCCATTATACGCATGTTAAGAGCCGGCTGGGCACCATGCAAGCTCAGCCCATCACCATCTCATCGAGTGCTATATGCCTTGTGGCGGTGTCCTCTCCATTGGCTAGGCCGGTTCGTTTCAAGGCGTGCCCAAACCATGGCTGCCATGTTCCGGCGCATCCTACTGGGGCAACAACCTCTACCATCAGACACCCGCCACACATTGTCCTTCGTGTGCGACTGATCAACGGGGCAACCGAACGATCGGCGCGTAAGGCGCAAAGTAGGAGGCGGTCGTCTCAATCCGCTACCTCGGCTTCTCTGTCAACGCTTCAGTACTTAAGCTGCTCCCAGGTCCCTCGAGAAGTGAATCTTACCTTAGCTATATCTCTTTACCACAAGCAGCTTATTCGAAAAGCCTCAAAGCAATGCACTCAATACCCAGTAGACCCGGCTTGCCACCCACGAAACCACCACCCGACGAGCTGCCCGGTAAGCTCTAACCATCTTTGCCGGCCAATCTTTCAGATAATGTGCTCATTCTTACTAGAAGGTTGGCCCAGATGCTCATCTGGAAAACAAACCACAAAATGAGAGGGGTTCCGGACTGCAGAATAAGGTAGCCCTTCGCGGCGGTATGTGACCGAACCCGATCCGATCCGTGCAACAACTAGTCTAATTAGCACAGCCAGGTCACCTTCGCTCGACTTACTAGAACTACTGGTATTCAGTTGAAGAGTATTCAACTTGACCGACTAGCCCTGCGTTCATGTTACCGAATGCAGCATACATACTCCGGCTGCCTTTCCATCTGTCACAACACCTATTGTACGACTACTAGCATTTGAAAGACATTCAGAGATCTGGACCAAGATTCCACGGACGGAGGAAGCATTTGATTTCAGTCACACTGATGTTCGACTACTGCATCGGGGGTAATTTGTTCGAGGCGTTTGGGTAGATGGCACAATAACCACCATTATAGCGAATCCTATACCACTATTTCCATCAGCCAGGTTTCTAGAGCCAGTTATCTTGATTTGACTGGGGTTCCGGCTCACTTTGCAGATATGTCCGACCGGCGTCTTGCCAGCCTTCAACAAGAAAACACTTCACTGTAAACCAACACTGTGTCGCCATCTCGCCTTGAAAAGGAGCTCAAAGCAAAGAGAAGTGGGAAAACTATGCCTGAGGCATCAACAATGAGGCTGTAAAGCGCAGATATTGCGCAGCGCTGGGTAGGACGGAGCGGTGAAGGCGCAGGCTTCACCGCGTTTTGCGTCCTCAGGCGTTGAAAAGGGGGCGAAGCGGTGTTATAGCCTCATCAGGCGGGGATCATTCACTCACGTGCGCCTGCTGTTGGCGGCATTCTGCATGGGGAGCGAGAAACGAGTGGTCGACGCATGTAAGCACAGGGTTTTTCAGCTGCCTCGGCGACACACCCGAGTGTGCGCTGCGACTGTACATTCCGTACAGCTAACGTCGAACAGGGACGTGAGTCTAGACCAGCGCACAGTTCCTCCCCCTTTCCTTTTATTTTTTTCTCTCTTGAACGTCATCCACCCCAACCTTTTCGTGTCGTGACGTAGCCGCCGGCGGCGGTGCGGCCTCCGTGCTCTCGCACGGGAGCGGCACCACCAATACAGTAGCCGTCGACCGTCCCCAGCCTTGCCTCTTCCCAGTGCACACAAGCCTCTCGGATGTCGCCCCTCTCAGCACCCTGGTCATTTTCCTTGCTCCGCCACCCTGCTCACCGACGTCGGGTCTGTCGGCGTCCGGCCGAGCTGAGTTTGAGTATGGCGGCAAATCTAGATGGTTGCTTCCAGTTCGGCCAGATGAGCCATACCTACTCACCCAAAAGAAAAAAATACACAACGGTCTATGGAGTTCAGTAAGCGCTGCTGGATTCTCATCACCTATCAATCATGCTATCCAGACTAGCGCTCACAACGGCGCTTCCTCACAATGAGACAAGTTTCGTGCAACGCACACCTAGAGACCCTACTCACATTTGCCCCCGGACTAGCCGACCACGCGTCCTCAGCCTCCGCTGATGTTACCGCTGCTCCTGCCGCTGCGATGAGATGGCGGCAATAGCTTGGCATACGTGTGGCTGCGCCCGCCCCTGCGCCACTCACTTCCCCTGAACGTCTGCCCTGTATAAAGGCTCCCTTGCTTCGATGCTTCCCTTTTGGAATCTTTCACAGAAGTATTCAAATATCTTCTCTGGTCACCTTTCGATTATTCAAAACGACAGCACACGTTCACATCATCTGCCGACTTTGAAATATTATTCAGCGAACCATTCTCGAAAAAAAAAAAAACATCCAACCAGAGCCATGTCTGCCTTCACCATCACGACACTGTTCCGCCTGGCTCGTTCGAACCTCCTCGACCCATGGCCCAGAGATGCTAGTGGATCTTGAGCAATAGGGACCTTTTCTCTTTTTCTAAAGAGAAAAAGATCCAACATCAGCTTCACCCAGCTCAAAAGGAGGGCATAACAATCGACATCGACCTCACCAATGCCCTCCGCCCAAACCAAAAACCCACGCCATCGAATCCCAAGCATGAGCCAGTGACTCGTGTTCTCCCCACGCCTCGCATGAAAAATGTCCGGACGCGGCACGTACGAGCGGCAACAGTTCTCCCAACCCTGCGCAAATGGCGAGGGGGGAAAAACGATGCACGGGATCGGCACCATCTCCGTGAACGAGCGGCTGCGAGAACAATGAGAAGCTCCCCCTCAACTGTTCCAGAGAGGCCCCGACTTCATTTTGGAAAAAGGGACGGGGGACACGTTTCTCTGAATCAACCCACGCTACGCCCATCCTCATCCCCCTTCAGGCGGGGCCTTCAGCAATGTGGTGCCGATTCTACGGTCTAGAAGAGACGAAGAATGAAGTGGAAGGAAAGTACGTGTTAGAATTAGATGGCATTGGAGGCGTATCAGCCTTTTTTTTTTTTTTGGAGTGGAGACATATCATATCCAATTTCGTGTCGGTTGCCGGTCCAGTTATCCAGGATTCCAAAGATAGAAACGTTGGAAATAGAGAAATGTGAATGAAATCAAAATCCACCCTTATTTCCTGCAATGCCTTCCGACACCATATTTGTAGAAGAAGTCTACATATTCTGCTTCACCGGCTGCGTTGCTGTCTCGTTCAATTCCTCGATTTAGAGGTGGTGCGTCATGTCGACCAAGAAGCAAGTATGCTTGCTATGGATAGAAAAGACCGCCTTCACAGCAGCCGAGAGTCATAGATCATGAATGAACCACTGTTTCCTCCTCTTGATCCTGTTCATTGTTCTCCATGCCAACTTCCTAGATGTTGCCGATCCGGGACGTCCTGCCTTCCCGACATGGGCAGAAGTTGGCGTGGTAGCTCTGGCGTAGCTTGTATGGAGGCCTTGTTCGGTCATTGGCTTTGAGCCGAGGGTATGGATGGTTGGGTTCGAAAGACCATTGTAGCGTGACAATGGTGAGGCCGCAATCTTAGGTGGTCATTAGAAAGCTTCGATGATAGCAGCCCGCAGGGCATAGTGAATGTCTGAGCGGCGGAAACCTGGTCCTCGGCCTATGCAGACACCGCGTTTGATCAATCCTACGACAAGTTAGCCGCTTCTTCTTTCACAATTCTTTCACAACATAGATTTTAGAAACTTACCATTGATGAATCTCTGGACGTCGATTGTCACCGTCCTGTTCTGCCGCCTGTCTTCCACCAAGTCCACCGTCGCCACACCACCCATGCCGTACTCGCTTAAGTCCATTTGGTTGTTGTCCGCCCAAGCGAAGTTCAAATCGTAGAAGCGATCCCATTCGTCCCAGTTCTTGGGATCAACTGTTGGAAATTCGCCCCAACCCATTGTACTGGCCTGATCTACCCTTTGCGCCGCTTGTTGAAGAAGGTTCACGCTGTCAGGCGTACTGGGGCCATTAGACGTGGAGTTTTCACCTTGAGTGCCGCTAGGAACACTGGAACTGCTGGGCAAGCTTGCCTGCCCCGGGCTGCCGGCCATCAATACGGTCTGAGAAGGTGGAGATAAGCTATAGCTGCAACCGACATGGTTGGGCGCGAATTGGTCGAGCGTCTCGCCAAGGACGCTCATCTCCGAGTCCGGATGCGCGACGTCGCCCTGGGATGACTGAATGCGAGCAAGAGCGTCAAGGGTCCTGACAGCAGTCTCCGCGAAAGAAGCTTGCGCGTCAATATGTACGCCCAGCTCTTCCAGGTATCCCTCGACGTCCTGGCTGTCGAGCCACTCGCCACCATATTCTTCTAGGTCGTATTCCAGCTGGGGAGTAACAATGACATCAGGGTGTGCACTTGTTCGCAGTTCGTTATGTTGAACTCTCGTCACGTACGGACCAATGCGGCGAATGTTGAAGTTTATCTGGCCTGGGAGGACTCTCCCGTTTTCATCCCGCACAGGGTAGTGAGTTCCTGCTCCGCCTAAGTGGAGGAAGGGTGAATTCAAGAAGTCAAGTGGCTGAAGCACCGAGTGCTGGAGAAGATCTCTGAAGTCTTTGAGCAGTCTGTCCCGGGATGAGTAATGACGACAGAGGCGGAAAACACGATTAAAGTCGCTGGGACGGAGGTGTGCCGTTGAGAGAAGGTGAAATGCTCGCTCGAGACAGGCTCGTTGCAAGCGGCGTGCAAATGTTGTTTCTTGGAAAGAATAGGTGAAGGCGGGCCGGGGGGTGCTGTTCATGGGAGATGGGATCCAGGGCGAAACACGTGTGAAGGGTTCGTAGGTGCGTGCTCGAATCGGAGCAACCGCGGTTGTCTCGTTCCGGTACTGTTCATCCGTGGGCTGGGCAAAGGTTTCCGGCTGGAGGGCATTTACTGTAGCCGTCTGGTTGGCGCTCCGAAAGCGGGATGAGGGGGCGAAGGGAGTGTCCTGAGGCTGACGCAGTTCAGTAACTATTGGCTCCCCTGAAGCTCCAAAGTTTGGAGCTGATAGATTAGGGATATCCGACCCTGAATAGAAATCCACGTTCTGGCCAAAGACCGGAACGTCAGACTCGTCGGCAAGTTTGTAATACCCCAAGCCTATATGCGTTGATTGGGAATTCATTTGGGCGGTGGCATTTGGTGCATTTGGGACTGGTGCTGACACATCTTGCTGGGTTTGACCCATGTCCTGATAGTTTCGTGTTGAGATGTTTGGCGCAGCTGCCGTGTTCTGCGGTGTGGTGGAAGGATCGGAGGCTTCTTGACTCTCCTCACGCTCGTCCTCACCCTCTACAGTCTTTGCAGTCTTGGCGAGGTTGACAAAGGCCTCGGTGGTCGACCTCAACTCGGAGGCCAGATGGGGGCGCAAAGCGAAGATGTCCGACGCCATGGCCTGGTCGTTGAAGCGCAAGAACGAGCTGTTCATGCCATCAATGACGGACTGCAGCTGTTCGACCTGCTTTTGCAGAGACGAGATGGTCATCTCTTTCCGCTGACGGTACGCTCTCTGAGCAAGGCGGATTTGTGTGCGGCGCCGCTGTGCCGGAGTTAGTCGGCGAACCATGTAGGGCGTCGGCATGATGGATGTTTTGGGAATGCAGGCGCGAATGCATGAAAAGGGAAGCAGCTGGATGAAAGGAAGAGCGGGTGGAATTGCGAAAAGGTGTAGTGGGGAATTCTGGGGATTGGGGGCAGCAGTCACCGCTAGTGCAGGGAGAGGATTTTGTGATGAGTGATCGAGGGAAAGAGCGCATTTCTTGATTACTCACATCTGCAGCAGTCTCGTCTTGGGTGTCTACTTTTGGTCTGCCTCTCTGCTTTTTTCCCTTGCTGCTGGGCTCAGCGGACGGCGTGGACTGCCTAGCCCGCTTTTTGGTAGGGCGTTCCTCGTTTTCCGAGCCCATGGTTACACTGGGGTGGATCGCCGCGGGGGCGGGGGAATAATTGGTTCTTTGGTGGAAGAGAGACACGCGGCGGGCCTCCTTTCTCTTTGGGAAAGCAGACGGCGCACGTCGGCGTCGGGAGCTGGCTTATAAACAGAACGAAGGGCTGGTGCAGATGTCTCCGGTACGGGTCCTTGGTAATCCGCTTAGTGGCCACGGCGTTAAGTCAAGACGAGGCGAGGTCAGGACAGCGGCCGGTGGAGTTCGCCCGCGACCGGATGGATGTGCGGACGGGGCGGGGGATTGGCCGGAAGGGATGGCGTCGGTGGGTTAGAAGATGGCGCGTGCAGAGTCAGATTCAGGGCGGTTAGATTCAGGCGCGAGAAAGAGCTGTGTTGCGGCAGGCAGGATGCGTTTACCCCCCGTGAGGAGTAACGGAGCGGTGCGAGAGATGTGCTCAGGGCGCTGTTCACTAATCACTCGCCTCCGGCTTTTTGCGGCTAGGGCTGCGCGGCCCCACTGCTTGCGCCCACCACTAGCCCGCAATCGGCAATGAGCATACCACTTGCATTCACTACAAAACGCTTGTAACGACTCGCATTTCCTTGGCTATCTCTGACTATCGCCGTCGCTGTCTTCATCTCCCTCCTCGGCTTCCTCTTCAATCAGCGGCACGAACCTGAAGTCGATGAAGCTCACTTGGCCGCTGTCCACTTCGACCATGAACTGCAAGCTCAGCACTCCCTGACTATCGCCCCGGATGCTGACCTTGGTCGCTGCTGCCATTGCACGGGCCGCCGCTTTGATCAACGCAAAGCGGTATGTGTAGACTACGCGGTGCGCTACCTGGAATGTCTCGAGCAGCGTTGTATCCTGCTGCTTTGGCCCGCTGTTCTCCGGCCTATCGAATTCCACCACAGTGCTGCCCAGCGTCCCACTAGCGCTCAGAGAAAAGAAGGGCGCCGTGGGACTGGCTCGTAGCGCCAGATTCTCTGGGTTGGTGCTGCCCAGCTCAGCAACGGCGTCGTGGAGAAACGAACTCCGCATGATGATCTTCATGGCCAATTCGTCCCTTGCAAAAGGAATGTCTTCATCTTCGGCCTCGTCCAGTTCGTAAGTTGTCAACTCGCAGGTTGTCGTCACTCCAGCCTCCTCCAAAACAATCTTCAATGGCGCCCCGGGTGCTTCGTAAGAGAGGCGGCACAGCGAAGTCATCCCAAGCACCCTGTTGTCGAATGCATTTGTGCCTTCTCTCGAGCCAAACGCCGCATACGGGTTCCGCTGGTTTGGGTCTGTGAGACCAAAAATCTGCAGCGTCTCGAGGAGCGATGGGAGGGAAATGGCGAATGCTGGAACATCGTCGCCATCTCCGTCGGTGTCAAGTTGCGAACTGGATCGGGGTGGATTGTACAGAAAGGTGGTGAACAGAGTCTTGTCCAGGAAGGCGAAACCTGCACGAAATCAGACGCTGAAGACACCACGCTCACTCTGCGCATACCTTGCATGACGCGGTTGTCCTCAGCACTGAACCGAAGCCCGTCCTCAGTTATTTGCACGCGCACCTTTTGCGCAAACCCAATGCACCGCAGTAGTATGAATAGTTGGCGTGCTGACCCAGACACGGCGCTGAGGACCGGCGGACCGTCCGCCAGATCGGACATGGCGGGCAGCTTTGTCGCGGTGCAGCTGCTTGGAGAGAGATTTGGGACAGGAATCTTGCGGTGTATTGTATTCCCGAAGTTATTGCATGACCCAGCTTAACGTACACAAGACTTCCGACGGCGCCCTGCTGAATGGAAAAAGAAAGAGGTGTTTTATACGTAAACACCGACCGCGCAGATCATGTACACGGATCCGAAGCTGCAGCCAGCCATCAGTACACGGTTGCGAAAGTGCAGTGGGGATAAGGTACCCAAAAGCCAGCGACGCGGGGACGCCAAGGGCGGGCAGCGTGACGATGGACCGAGCTGTCACCTTGTTAGCATGCGCATGGCCGTCAATTGCGCGCGGGCTCCTACTGAGGCCGAAGATGCCAGTGAGGATGAATGCTGTGCGGAAGAGTCAGCGACAATCACGGCAGAAGGGTCGCAACGCGCGTACCAGCCAGGAGCAGCGCGAAGCCGACGGTGAATTGGGCGTCCTTGGAGACGGCGGGATAGAAGGGCTGGGCGGAAGACGCCTCCCAGATCTCGAGCAGGGGCAGCTGAGCAGACATGGAGGTGGCAAATGAGCGTGGTTGCGGGCGTTGAGGCTCAGGACAGACGCACCGGGAGAGCTCGCAGCTGCATTCGGTTACGTATACGTGGTGTTGCTGGGGCGCGGAGAAGGCCGGCGGCGCCAAGCCAGGCCCGGGCGCAGATTCCTCGCTGCGTGGCGGCGGATTGACCTTGGACGGAGCGCTTTGAGATCGCTGCCAGCCTCACCTCCGAGCGCAGCAGTTCATTGTACGCCTCACCCGCCCGCGTCGCTGCTTTTTCTATGACTGTCTCATAAACCAACGCCGCCGCGGTCAATGGCCCACGCCGTCAATTCGGCCCTGCACGCTCTTACCAGCCCTCCCCATTCCTCGTCGTCGTCGACGACCATTCCTGTTTCCTCGACTCCATCCAACACCACCTTCGTCATGTCGGCCTCTTCGGCCAGCCCTGTGCTGCGCAGGCGCAGCGGGAAGAATGAAGGCTATCGCCCCAAGATTGTCACCACCGTCGGCGCCAAACCCGCCTGTCTGGTCAACGCGTCCGTGACGTACGTCGGCAACGACCAGATCTATGCGTTCGGCGGCTTTGACCAGTACACCGACGAGGGTCAGCCTCCTTGCCACCCCACGGCTCTCACCAGCTGATGTGTCGCAGTCTACAACCATGTGCTCCGTTTGAACTTGCAGACGCGCCAGTGGAACCTGGTCGATAATTATGGGGACATTCCGGGTGTTCGTATGGGTACGTGCCGCGCCGAAACCGTCGCATATCTGACCTTCTGCTCACCTCTTCGCCAGGCCACACTGCCAGCTTGTGGCAGGGAAACAAGTTGCTCGTTTTCGGCGGTGAAAATGAACATCGCACCTACCTTCACGATGTTATTATCTTTGACTTGCAGACGGCTCACTGGACCCAACCCGACATCAACGGAACCCCTCCAAAGGGCCGCGCCCGTCACTCGGCCGTCATCCATGACGACAAGCTTTTTATTTTGGGTGGCATGAGCGGTTCTGATAACTACGTCCTTGACGACATTTGCTACCTGGACCTCAAGACCTGGACCTGGTCTCGCACTTGGCGCTTTGTGCCGCGCTACGACCACACCAGCTGGGTTTGGGACGGCAAGATTTGGGTCTTCGGCGGCCTTGGGGAGGATATGGAAAAGACCAGTGAAATCTGGTGGCTGGATATTCGGGGCAGCCCCGCATTCGAAGCTGCCATGGCATATGGCACTTCTGGCAGGGGTGCGCTGGGTAGAACTCGGGATTCAAACTCGTCGAGTTGGCGCAACACACTCACGACAGGCAACACTGGATATGCTGCGAATTCAAGCAGCGTCCAAACTAACCCAGCCCACATGTCTGGTAACAGGCCCGTGTTCGCTCCGGGGGCCATCTCCTCGCTGAAGTTCGTTGCGAGCCAGAACCTCCCGACGCAGGCACTTGGCACGCACTTCCATGTTTTCACCTCTGGCCAGCTCGTCGATTTCGTTACTCCGGCTTCAGTTATGGCCTCGTGCGACATTAGCCTCTCCACGCTCGACCTCGATACTCTGCGCTGGCACAAGCTGGCTGATGGCAAGGACATGTTCCCTCCAAACTACCGGTGGCACTATTGCACTCTCAATGAAGATGGAACTCACGCGTGGTTGCTCGGTTGCCCTACTGATCCCACCAACACCGGCGATGCCACCGGCGAGTACCTCAGCGACGTTCTGCCTATCGACCTCACCAAGTTTGGCTTGCTGGGCAACTCGCTCACACACGAAACGCGAGCCGAGGTCCACAAATTGCCGTCGTCAGATGCAAACGAAAACTCGCCCCTCTCAGGAATTGGAGCGGATTTGGTGAAGGTCTTCGATCAACCTCCGGAGACCGGCAGCGGAGCGGACTTCCAGATCACGGCCGAGCGCGAGTTTGAAGATGAGTACGATGACGACGCCTCGGTCGTCGCTGAGTCATCGTCTGCGCAGGAATCTGCGCCGATTCACGTCCACAAGATGATATTGCAAGCACGCTGGCCCCACTTCGCTCGCATGTACGCTTCGCAAATGCTCGAATTCCACACCAAGAAGATGCACATTCCAGAGCCATACAACACGGTTCGGGCCTTTTTGCATTATCTTTATACCGATAGCATCGCGCCCCGCAGCAACAATGGGCCGTCACTCCGCGATGTTGCCGGCATGCTGGTCATGTCGAACATCTACGTTATGCCGCGCTTGCGCATCCTCTGCGTCAACAGGCTGCACAAAGAATTGGATGTTGAGCATGCAGCCATCATCTGGGAGCGTGCCAACGTGGCTGGGGAAAACTGGCTGAAGGAGCGGGCCGCCGACTTCTGCATGACTTACTGGGGCAAGATTGTGCGTACCAAGGGCTTCCGCTCTCTGCCGAAGCGCAGCCTGCTGGAGCTGTGCGATGAAGTGGACGACCACGGCCGCGTTCTTAGCGGCGAGGAGTTGGAGGCACTTGGCGCGCTGGCAGGCATCAAATACCCTGGACGCGAAGGCCGAAAGCGTGGGGCTGGAGTGCTGGCAAGCGACGACATTGAGGAAGGTGAGAACGATGAGGATGAAGGCATGGAACTTTCGTAAGATGATGCTGCTGATTTCTATTTCCACATAGCGTGCCTCGTCCAGGGCTTTACAGTCTGTTCTTTTCTTCAGTTTTTTTAATGACTTTCTCAACTTCACGAAGGACGACATATGATTTAATCGGCGGGGTTGGGGCAGCATGACTCTGGCGCTTACGAAAAGCAAATTGCAAAGGCGTTTCCTTCAATTCGACACGGTCTCCTCGGGATGGGGTATGTGGAAGGGTACACTGGAGTTTTATTTTCTGTTTCTGGCTACAACGAAATGAACATGTCTTCACGATCAGCACAGGGTATAGATTAAGCGGCTTGCCACGGAACGGTCCAGAAGTAGCGAAGAAGGTAGCTTTCAGCACGAATAGGGGAATGGAGAGGCTCACGTGGAGGTCGTTTCCGGGTAAATCGATTAGAGCAGCGGCCTGTGCACAAGCCCCTCTTTCTGCGACGTCACCTGCTACCCCGCGGTGGTCCCTCGACCTGACTGGACCCACGCTCCAGCGCTCCACAGGCGGAAAAATTCGCGCCAGTGCGGCAACGCGAAGCGCCGAGGCGGAGGAGCCAATGGGGATCCTGTCCGCGGAGCTCCTACACACGATGTATCGTGTGTTTGGCCTCATGAGCCGTGGGGCGCCGGTCTCCCACTCTGTGCCACTTCGTCCCTCCGGTGGGCGGAGGCCCCATAGAAGCTATGGCCCATGGTCCAGACAGCTGTCCAGCTTCTTCGTTTTCGAGCCCACGCCCGCCGCCGTAGGTCCACGCGTAACCAATTTATCTCTCCCACCGCGAGATCTGACCCTGCAGAAGTTCAAAAGCTTATTCTCTTGCCCTCTTGAAGTTGTGATCTGCACTGCTGTCGTTCAACTTTTTTCCCCTTCCCTGCCGCAAGCTCCTTCCATTCCCCCTCCCCTCCTCCTCCTCCTCCTCCTCCTCCCAACTCCAATCACAGCTACAACATTGGGAAAATGTCGACCACCATGACCAGCACCGCGCTCGTTGAGCCGTCGAAGCCAAACATTGGCGTCTACACCAACCCCAAGCATGACCTGTGGGTGGCAGAGGCGGAGCCCACGCTGGAGCAGGTCAAGAGCGGCGAGGCGCTCAAGGAGGGCGAGGTTACAATTGCAGTCAAGAGCACCGGCATCTGCGGGTTCGTCTGTCCCTTTCCTTGAACCATCTTCCCCGCAGACGCCCCCTTCTTCCCCCACACAGTCGAGCTATCGGCGATGCTAACACGACGAACGGCAGATCCGACGTCCACTTCTGGCACGCGGGCTGCATCGGCCCCATGATCGTGCGCGGCGACCACATCCTCGGACACGAGTCGTCCGGCATCATCGTCGCGACGCACCCGTCGGTCAAGCACCTGAAGGCGGGCGACCGGGTGGCCGTCGAGCCCAACATCCCGTGCCACCAGTGCGGGCCCTGCCTGATCGGGCGGTACAACGGGTGCGAGAACGACAAGTTCCTGTCGACGCCGCCGGTCAACGGCCTGCTGAGGCGGTACGTCAACCACCCGGCCATCTGGTGCCACAAGCTGCCGGACAACCTGACGTACGAGGACGGCGCCATGCTCGAGCCGCTGGCCGTGGCGCTGGCCGGCATGTCGCGCGCCAACGTCCAGCTCGGCGACCCGGTGCTGGTGTGCGGCGCGGGGCCGATCGGCCTGGTGACGCTGCTGTGCTGCCGCGCCGCCGGCGCCGAGCCGCTCGTCGTCACCGACATCGACGAGGGCCGCCTGGCCTTCGCCAAGGAGCTGGTGCCCGGCGTGCGCACCCACAAGGTCGAGTTCAGCCACACGCCCGAGCAGTTCGCCCAGTTCGTGCACGAGAAGATGGACGGCAACGAGCCTGCCCTCGCCATGGAGTGCACCGGCGTCGAGAGCAGCATCGCGGGCGCCATCCAGGCCGCCAAGTTTGGCGGCAAGGTCTTCGTCATCGGCGTTGGCAAGAGCGAAATCAAGATCCCCTTCATGCGCCTGTCCACTCGCGAGGTCGACTTGCAGTTCCAGTACCGCTACTGCAACCAGTGGCCCCGTGCCATCCGCCTCCTTGCCGGCGGCGTCATCGACCTGAAGAAGCTCGTGACCCACCGCTTCGCCCTCGAGGACGCTGTCAAGGCGTTTGAGACGGCGAGCGATCCTAAGACTGGCGCTATCAAGGTGCAGATTCAGAGCTACGATTAAGGGGTATTATTTTTCGAAAATGAACTCTCAATGGTGTTGGGGCGTGGTGTTTGGTTTTTTTTTTTTTTCGAGATCGTCGTTAGTGTCGATGATGTGATGAACATAGATTTCTCACGAGAGGAGCATTTCGGAATAGATCTTGCCTGGCCTGTCCGTCAAAGCTGCCGTCTCTTTTTGTGCATGTTCAGTTATACACTCGATGCCGTTGTTCTATTCTGTTGAAATGGTCGCCACAGATCGTATTATGATGTCCGAAAAAGCAGATGTGGCTGGAGATGGACCGGAAACCTCCCCTCCCTTTTTTCAATTGAGAGAATTGGTATGTACCTGAAGGTCTCTATGATGTTTGTTCGTTTGCTGAGGTTTGATCATTCGCCTCGATAACTTCCGTAAAACATGAAATCAGTACCACCGCCTATCTGCGCTTGTCATAGTCCCGGTCCCGATCGTCACGCCTGTAACGATCTCGACTTCTATCACGTCTGCGGTCATCACGGTACCTGTCACGGCTGCGGTCTCTTCTGCGATCATCACGGTCATCTCTACCGCGATACTCTGGTCTCCGCTGGTCTCGGTCCCGGTCCCTTCGTGGACTTCTGCTCCTATCACGCCGACGGCGTCCGTCGTCCCTGTCGAAGACCATCCCATATTTCTTGGAGCCCCTGTCGCGCTCATCCGGGTCCTCGGCACGGTATTGTCTCTTCTTTTCCAAACTTGCAACACCGCCAAATCCACCTCCATGTGCGTGCTTACGCTTAGCATTCGTGGCGTCGCGCCACACGTTTGAGAGCTTTGAGACACTCTGGGAAAAGTCCACGTGGATGCGGTGGTCGTCGATCAGCACATCCTGCATCTTGAAATATGCCTGCTCGCAGGATTTCTTGTCCTCGAATTCGATGAAGGCATACTGCAAGCTATCGCCGGTTTGCCTGTCACGGATGATCTCACATGACAGAATCTTGCCGAAGCGGGAAAAGATAAGCTCTAGATCGTCGTCTTGTGTGACTGGATTGAGCTTGCAAACGAAGAGAACGTTTTCAGGCGGCTTGACTTCAGCAAACGGCAGGTCTCCCATCATTTCAAGCGTCAATGCTTGGGCGCGGGCTTCTCTCTCGCGTCGCATCTTTTCGACTTGTTCTTGATCCATGTTTTCATCCAGCTCCTCGTCATCCCTGATGCGCACGGTTGCCAACTGCGCTTGAGTGGGAACCGGGCTCTCTGGCGGCTCAACCAAGCCGGAGGGATCGGGAAACGGGTCATCGAGGACTATGGTGTGCCGTATTCTTATGTCCTTCAGTGGCCTTCCGTTGCTGTCAATGAAAGCGGTGTTGATCTTCTCCAGCGCGTCGAAACCCTCCACCACGGAGCCGAAAATGGCAGATTTGCCGTCTAGGTACTCCAGGTTGTTGCCGAGTGTGACAATGAACTGGCTACCGGCCAGGCGCGCATCCGGGTCGGTCGACGATGGCACAGTGGCCATGCTAACGGTGCCTCTTTCGATATGCTTTAGCTTCGGGTGGAACTCGGGTACAAACGTCTTGTTGGAGGGGTTGCTGGGGTCGAGCACGCCCCAAATCGACGAGCCTCCGTCGCTGTCTTTCGAATCGGGGCCAATAGGATCGCCCGTCTGGAAAGAGAAATCGCGCTGGACGGAATGGACGGGGGCATAGTTGAAGTATTTGATCTTGCAGAGCTTCAGGAAGCTGGAGTCGAGAAATCAGGGCTTAGTCGGGGGTTCAGCTTCGCGTGGCCAGGCGCAGAAGGGCGCGAACTTACTTCTCGCAGCACTTTGGAGCTTCCTTGACCAGCAGGTCGATGACAATGTCGCCGACGCTGGTCTCAAGCAACACGGACATGCTGGCGGCGCGACGTCAGGCGGGAGAAGCGGCAGGTCATGCGCGAGTGAGGTGATGTACGATGGGCGGTGTAACCCGGGGAAATGCGATGGAGTAGTGGTGGAGGCGGCTCGCGATGGAACTTTGACGGCGGGCGGAGCTCGACGCGCGACATCACGGCGCGGCGATCATCGACCGCGCTAGGCCTATTGGGGAAGGGGCGCCTGCTTCTTTTCTACCTCGTCTGCACCTCCATCAGACCCTCGCTCGCACGCGCCCTCATTTCTGCGTTTGCATCCTCGCATCCTCGTGTCACCTCAGGCGGCCCTCCCCTAATTTGCTCCCAAGCTCGCACATCAACGTCCGATTGCTCGCCCAGACTGGTCTCTCAGACAGAATCACGGCAGCATCGAGTAACAGGCCACGGTCGAGGCGGCCCGCTGGCAAACGTGCCGATTCGACTGAGCCTTCCTGACTGACCGGTAGAGCTGCAGGAAGGTGCGCCACAAAGACGGGTGCTCGCTGAATGCAGGCAACACCCTGGATGGTGCAGTGATGGGGCGGCCAGCCGCTGTCTTGCACGCCGATCGCGAGTCCTTGGCTGCCTGCGAGCCTTGCTGCCACGACGGAACGGCTCGCAGCCTTATCTCGGCTTCGAACGTCGGCTCAAGTCGCGTGAGCATTCGCTTGCATTGCAGCCGTCGGAAACCATGCATGCCTGCATTCTTCATCCTCTCTCTTCGCTCGGCTCATGATTTGTCGCCTGGCCGTGCGGCTGCCGCATGTACCTGCTTCCCCGCAGCCCGTGTAGGATTTGTTTGTCTCGCCCGCCTGAGTCGCGCTGATTTGGGCAAGGGGCGGTTGCACCGGCACATGGTCTGGAGAGCACATATTTGTCTGGTACCTGTTGCTGCCCTGGACCTCTGGAAGATGACGCCAGAGCTGCATGCACGCCTTCACGTCTGACACTCTTCTGCGCTGCAAAATCGTATCCGTGCAGACGCGTTCTACGGCTTGCAGGCCAAGGTATGCAGAGAGCTTCTCGAGGCCGGTTCCCCGTCATCAGGTTGCACCTTGGGCAACAGGCTCCGACGCTGCTTTTGCCACGGAATACCAATGCAGCGCTACCGCAAGGAACCTCCCTGGGCATGCGGTGACCAGGGAGTTCGTTACCGATCTGTGATTTCTTCAGAAGAGAGCCTCACCCCAATGTAAAGTTCCGGTGGGTCATCCTGGCCCAGGTCCATCGCCCTGCATCTGCGGGGCCGTCGGAGCATGTCAAGAGCGGGGGAGGCAGCAAAAGCAATCCGCACAGTTGCACCATCTGCCCCAGCCCTCCCCTGCCACTGTCAGCGCTGACTTGACTGCAATGCGGCACGGCAGGATAACGCTTAAAGATTTCCCGGAAACTGGTGGCGCGACCACATGAAACCTTTGGGCCAATGGTTTCAAAGCCCTCATCTCCCTCTACCGACCCCACGACTGCTGTACAAGCCCCTGATTGGGCTGTTCACCGTGTAGGTTGCCGCCGACTCGGGTAGCTGCAGAGCTCAGCTCTTATTGGGCTGGCACTGCGGCCCCTGTGGATCTGCATCCACGTACGAAAAGCAGTCGCTGCCAGGCCCCTCTGCAGCCATCCTGTTGCCGCCGCCAGAAAGTCTTAGGTTTGAGGAGCGCGCTCTTACGAGACAGGGCTGTGGGTGCTGTCTCAGTGAGGGTTCGATTCGGGCATCGCAGATGATCTTCAGGATCGGGAGGCGGATACTTGCCTGGCTGCGCCCCTTATCTCAAATGTTCATAGTGTTTGCTTTACTTAATCGGCGGGTGACGAAACACGGATTTGCCGCCAGCCTGTACAGACGTGGTCTGTTATGCAGAGTCATGTTTGTCTTCCCTGCCCGCCGCGCCGGTCCCAGAGCTCTACACCGTGCACGAAGCGTTGCGCAAGAGCCATACCTCAGCACCCGTCCGGATGAGTAATCGGCATGTTACTATTTTCTGCGTGTTGTAGCGGATGGGCTTTTTTTTGCTCATGCTCAAAGTGCTCTCGGGCTTTCTACGCGAACGAGCAGGCCCCCGAGCCCCTTTCAGCCAACGACCAGCCGGTCTATTATAGCTCTCGACACGTGTTACAGTTTGCTTCGGCCCTTGTCCAAGCACTGCCCACTTTGTGTCACGCTGGGAAGCCTGGTAAACTGATCCGGACATCAAATACGGAGATTTCGAATGCTGAATGCAAAGGTTTCTGTAAGTATTGTTTGTTTCATCCTCGCTGTTCAGCTGCCTCGTGTTGCCGGGGGTTCTGACATGTGCGTTAGGCTGCGCTCGCCGGGGTTTTCTCAGCTCCTCTGATGGCCACGCCGGCGCTGTCATTCGAGGCCCCTGACCAGGTAGAATTCAACACAACAGCGGTAATACGTTCCACTGGAGTGCGGATGTACTGAACAGACCGTTGTGGCTTGTCCAGGATTAACCCGTGCTCCCTTGGCGCCAGATGTGGATCATGCAATCTGGCCGGGCGTATCTATCCGTGTATTACCTTGCGCGAGAGGGGCAGTAGGCTTGACACCTCCCCGGCTAGGATGCATCTGGCATGGGCAATCCCCGGTACTGAGCCTGACGTACAGGCCTTTGTCGGCCCAGAATAAACCAAGCAACGCCCGCATCTTTGATTATCTGCATCGAGCAATCGCAAATAGGCAGCTCGAGATCAGCCACCACAGATCCCTCATCTATAATACCCTTGCACCCCCAGAGCCCCAGGATCTAGCTCTTGACCCTGAATGGGGTTTGGCCAAGCTCTGTCGACCTTCACTCAGCCACAGCTGGCCATCGGGATCATCCCAGACCAAAGCGTCATCGTCAAGAGCAATCGGAGCGCAAACGCAGCCCGTCCGGCGGCACCTGCCAAGGCAAGTTCCGTTCGTTGTCCCTGCCCCACAGCTGCTGATCCTCTTGGTTCTGATAAATCTTCAGATCATGAACGATTTCGAGCGCCTCCGTCGGTGTTCTGCTCTCGACTCTCTGCCATCCTACCCTTGGGGCGACCGATCCATGTCCATGGCCGTCTCTCACGCCATGCGTTCCGACCCGCGTTCCTGTCCAACTCGCCAAACGCGCAATGTTCCCGCTGCCGACTCCGATCCTGAGTCCAGCAACGGACAGCCGAGACGTCGCATAGCCGTAGCTGTAAGTGGGCTCCGCCTGGCCGTTCCAATCCGGAAACTAACAGCATTCATAGTGTGCTCGCTGTCGCAAAAGGAAGATTCGCTGCAGTGGCGACCCGGGAAACGGCTCCGGGTGCCAGAATTGCCGCGCCGCTGGCGCAGACATTAGCGCATGCCAGTTCCACAGAGTGTGTGCACTCTTTCTGTTCTGTGTAAAACGTCCTTAATCTAACATACCCAGGTCGGCTCTTACGTGCCAACAAGCAACATTTACAATTGCCCGAACCCACTTTCAGCAAGCACTGCGCTTTCCATGAGCAACCTGTACCATGGCCAGGCTGGCGATTACTACGCTCCGCACCCGAAGAGCCTGCTCCCTCCAAGGGCGTATCCCAGCTACAGTACAGTGGGCTACGAAAACGAGCCTCCCGCTGAATCCTATGCCTATCAGCCTCTGCAAGTGCCGGGGAATGATATGCTCACTGCAGGATTCATCAGCAGTGTACAGGAGCCTATGCGAAGCTGGAGTACCATGGGCCAGAAGCAGCAAACATCAAATGCAATCTATCTTGACGAGCCGTCCACGGCCTCCTACAGCAATTTGCAGCTACCATATCTAAGTGCAACTCCGGTCACGCGTCAACAGACCCTAGCCGCAGACAACATGTCGGCCTTCAGTATGAACTCCCTACAGTCATCTTTGGCTTCGCCTCCTCCCCCTCCTCACCCACCGCTGCCTTCCTCTCTGGAAGACCGTCACCTACCAGTACCTACAGCAACACGGGTACAGATGACTCCTTCCTCTGCGCTTCATTTGAGGGCCCAGCAGGCATCGATTGCTTCAGCTTCCAATGCGCTGTCCTACACTAAGCCATCAGCCACTACGTGGAATCCAGATTCTACGGTGCAGGAGAACCGTCGTTCCACTCCCAATATCCTTCCAAGCGGTCTTCCTAGCAGCCTTTCTCACGGCCAGTTGATGAGTGCATCCAGCGGCAAACAACCGGTCACAGTTTCTCTCCAAGAAAGCGCTGTTATTGGGTACATTCCCGTCGCGAACAGCAGCCCAGACAACTCATCCAACCCAAGCACCTCCACGGTATACACCCCGAGTTCTCTATCCGGCGCGACTCCTTCTTCCCTGTCCCTCAATGAGAAGTATGCAACTACCGGTCTCAACGTGGTCCAACCGACATCTTCGACCAGGGACGATGCTATCCCAAGGAGTGACTCAACTACAAGCTTCTCGTATTATGCTACGGAAAGTTCTTCTGGCAAGCGTAATTCTTCAACCGAGCATTCGTCACAAGAGAATACATTGATAAACGGACAGCGGTATACACCTCTTCAGCCACATCCACCACATACGTCTGCAGGACTGGAGCAATTGCGCAGAGACTCCTTTGACGATCATCGCAATGGACCGACCCATAGGGCTTCGGTCTCAAGCCTCAGTGACCACCGGTATTGAGGCGTCACCTCTCAGTACAGCAGTTTCGGGATTGTCTCATAACGCCGCTGTTTCTCATTTAAAGCATTTTGCAGATGATCTTGTGCAGACTTTTGTTCAACTCAATATTTACCCCGCTGCATTACCCTTCATATCATGTCTGAATTATTACTATTGCTTTGTCTCAGTTATTTCATCCGGTCTCTTCCTGATATAATCACGGCCACCGATCCCAGGAACATTTATTCAACACTTTCCATGTCCACTTTCTTTGCGCGCCGGAGCATGTGGTGTGATTTTCACTAATTATCATGTCTTAGTCTCTCTTTTTATCTTTAGCTGCATGTTTCACGGCCATTTCGAAGAGTGTGAACGGATTTACTGGGCTATAAGAAAAGAGTCTTAATCTTCAAATATCCTTCTCATTCATCTAGGTCCACCGAGATAGCTTCTTTTTCTTTTTCTTTTTTTTTTCAAGCGTCCATTTCAACCACTTAAGAGAAGGCGAACGCGGGTCTGGCCGATCATGGCGGCGCGCACGAGACCATAGCTACCCGGGAGGGGAATGCAAGAAGAAGTGTTTGGATTTAGCATAGTCAAATCATCAAACGGGCATGGAATCAGGCGCGTGATGGGTCCCCCCCCCTTTTTTTTTTTAACACTCTTCATTGTCTACAGATCGCGACATCCTTTTTGCATCATCATTTCGGGATACCAAAAAAGAAGGAAGGGAAAAAGTACGGCTGTCCCAATAACGGACTTGCATTTGGAGTTAATGCGATATTCTTTTGCATTCTTTTCCTCCCGACAGAATTCTCATCCTTCGTTGTCCGATGTTTGACATGACGTTCGTTCCTGGCGGTAATCTGTACTTTTACCCACGCCTTTTTTGCTTTTTGCCCCTTTCACTACTCGACGCCAGGGCCGCTCTTTTATTAGCTATAATCACACTCCCCATTGTCATCAGACCTCGGACTTGCTCCCAGACTGCAAATGGAGGTGATTAATTAATACAGATTCTCACAAATGCGCATCAAGCTCTCGAACGCTGATACCTCTGACAGCACTTTCCCCTCTCTCTGTTTCACTTCGGCTTTAAACAAGAGTCCTGTCAAGCCATCTTCCTCGCACCTTCTTTGACCAACACCGCCTCTGCCATCACCATCATGCCCACCCACTGGTACCCAACCCCTGAATCACTGCCTAGTTCCACGCCCGGCCATTCACTTGAGCCATGCTGACACTTTCAACCGAGACTCGCCAATGTAGCCTTGATAGCGCTGACTGATTCACTAGTCGGGGTTCGCCGTGGAGACTACCGGAGGTGTCAGCAAGTGGCAGTCATTGGCCAACACATTTAAGACACTATCGACTCACAGGTGACAGTAACGGTAGGGCTTTTGAATTGGGTCTTCTGTTTTAGTGAAAGAAAACAGAGTAGAGGCTGCTGCTGACATATGTATAGAAGGGGGAAGGTGAGTAGGAATGTGTTAAGGATGGCTGGCACTCACTGGTGTGGGCGACTTCTGGCACGTTACCACGACATGCACAAGGGAACAATTTAGCAAACCCCTTTCAGCCACACCTATCAATACTACTTGGACCAGACTTTTAATCCACGTTGATTTTTAATCTGTCAAGTAATACGTGAATACTCTGTCTTGAAAACGTCATTAATCTGCCTACCCGTCACGTAGTCACCGCCATCCAGGACTGCTCATAACTGGCTGTTGCTTGCGCAACTCCGGACTACTTGCTCGTACGCGCTACCGCTTTTGCTTTCCCTTTCCCCACTCTCTTGCGCTCTTCAATCGCTTGCGTTTTGAAAAATTAATTACACCTCCCCTTTCTAACGCCCTGTAAATGCTCAAACCCGTTGTCTTGTATTGAATGTTGATTGATAAAGAGCCTTCCAAAGGTATGGGGGAGAGGGAAGCCCGCCTTGCCTTGGTTTTTGAGAAAAGCCAAAGTGAAAACGATCAAATGATGAACGAAATCTCTAGCCACGTCCCGCACCCTGAAGCCAATGCCTAGCATCAAGTATCCACGTCTGCTCTCAGACCAAAGGCCAGATGATGCCAAATTGGTACGGATAGTGGGTGCTCGAAGCGAGCAAGGAGGAAGTGTTGTGATGAGGAGATAGCTCTTTCACCTTGTCGGCTTACAGCCTTGGCTCATCTACTGCCGGACACTGTATCCACTGCGCTTGGTGTACATCCTCGACGCGATGTTCATACTTGCCAACTCCTGGAAGAGCAGCTTCGCAGCGTACGGGATGTAGATCTGCGCGATCTTGGTCTTGTTCTTACAAGGACGGCACTCGAACTGGTTGCGCTTGAGGTTTCTAAAATTTGCAAAGTTAATATCACGACTTGTTTGAATGCAGACGAAAGGTGGGTAGAAACTTACGCAATCGGGGTCATCAGACCGCAAATCTCGCAAATGTGAACGCGGTAAGCGTCCGAGACTTCGAACAGACGCTCCTTCAAGAAGGCACTGGCACCGTGAGAAATCATACAATCACGTTCCATCTCTCCGAAACGCAGACCACCGTCACGGGCACGACCTTCGACAGGCTGACGAGTAAGGATCTGAACCGGTCCACGAGCACGCGCGTGAATCTTGTCGTCGACCATGTGGCGGAGACGTTGGTAGTACGTCGGACCCAAGAAGACTTGTGCAGTGAGCTTCTTGCCAGTGTGACCGTTGTACATGATTTCAAAACCGCGGCTCTGGTAACCATGCTCACGCAAAAGCGATGACACTTGCGTGACGGTGACATCGGTGAAAGGAGTGGCATCGCCTTCCTGGCCACGGAGAGAACCGACCTTGGAGAGCAGACACTCGATCAAGTGAGCAATGGTCATACGGGAGGGGATGGCGTGAGGGTTGATGATGAGATCGGGAGTGAGACCCTCGCGCGTGAAAGGCATGTCTTCATGGCGGTAAGTAATACCAATGGTACCCTTCTGACCGTGACGCGAGGCGAACTTGTCTCCGATCTGGGGAATCTTGGTTGTTCTTGTCCGGACCTTGACGAACTTCAAGCCGTCGCTGTTCGTTGTGAGAAGCACCGAGTCGACGATACCGTTCTCGGTGCTACGCAGCGGTGTGGACACATCACGCTTGATGTGCATCTTGGTCCTCTGACCGAGTTCCTCTGCGTCCGGAGCGATGGGGGCCGTCTTTCCGATAATGATATCTTCGCCGGAAACGCGCACACCAGGAGCAACGACACCATCGTCGTCCAGCTTGTCATATGTGCCGTGTTTGAGGCGCATCGTGTCGCTCCGCATAGGCTTCTCAAACTGCTCGACGACAGCCATACCAACCTTCTTCTCCTGGTCGGTGTAGGAGCGGTAGAAAAGACTGCGGAAAAGACCACGATCGATACTGCTCTGGTTCATAATGACGGAATCTTCTTGGTTGTAACCAGAGTAACAGGCAATGGCGACGATAGCGTTCTGACCTGCTGGCAACTCACGGAACCTCAGGTACTCCATGGAGCGAGTCGTGGCGAGAGGCTTTTGAGGGTAGTAAAGGACGTTGACCATCGTATCCATACGCAGCTCGTAATTCGTGAGACATACACCCATTGCCTGCTTACCCATAGCAGATTGGTAGGTGTTACGAGGCGACTGGTTGTGATCTGGGAACGGAATGATGGAAGCGCAGATACCCAGAATCATGCTCGGATGGATCTCGCAGTGAGTGTACTGCTTGACGCTGGGGTTTGGAGGCGGAACGACACGCTCGTGAGGATCCCTGTTGCGCTTGGTCTCTTCATCATCCTCATCAATGATACCCTGGCGGGCCCTGTGATGTGCTCTCAGATCGTCAGGGGTCATGACAATCATAGCAACCTCCTCTTCTTCCGCGTCCATATATTCAACCACACCGCTGTGCAATAATCCCTGCCAGCCATATCTCTTTTCTTGCCTCTCCTCATCAGACAAACCGGAGACGTCGATTTCTTGATCCGCCTCAAGCTTGTCGATATGCTCCCGGGTCAAGGCCAGATTACCCTTGTTCGGGCTGAATGGATCGTCGTCGATGATGAAGAGAGGTCTGCACACTCTGCCCGCATCCGTGAAGATCTTGAATTCTCTATCACGGACATCACGAATAAGACTCATCTCCGGAGAGAGAGTGCCATCGCGACGCAGCTTCTTAACCACGGAGACGAGTTGAGTAGGATCACGGTGAACACCGACCCAAACACCGTTGATGAAGATCTTGGTAGCGTGCGGTGACACGTTCGGCTCGTACTCTTCCAGAAGTTCCATGTTCCTCTGGGTCATAAAGTCCTGGATAGGAGTGACGTCGCTACCGACAGTGACGTTGCACATCAGGGACAGGTTCTTCACCAGACCGCAAGCCTGTCCTTCTGGCGTTTCTGCCGGGCAGACAAGACCCCAATGAGTATTGTGAAGCTGACGTGGCTTTGCAAGTTTTCCATCACGACCGATGGGCGTGTTGGTGCGACGCAAATGCGACAAGGTAGAGGAGTAGGTGTATCTGTTCAAGACCTGCGAAACACCAGCCTTGGCCGAGGCTGCCTTCTTCTGGTCTCCCCAGTTACCGGTCGCGAGCGAATACTTCAGGCCGTTCGTGATGGTTCCTTGTTTAACGGCGGACTGGAGAGAGAAAGGGCGACCAGCCTCAACGCACTTCTTGAGGTAGCTGAACACGTCCCTGGTCAGCTTCAAAAAGAGTGAGCGGAACAGGTTAGCAAGAAGCGGTCCAGCAAGATCGAGACGCTTCTTTCCAAAATGATCTCTGTCATCCTCATCGCGGCGGCCAAGGTGACACTGGAGCAGGCGATAGATCATGTATCCGAGGAAGAATGCCTTCTTAGTCTCGCTTCCCTCAGCTTGAGAGATGTGTGGCAAAAATTCCTTCTGGATGATGTCGCGAGCAAGCTTCACACGCTCGCGCTTGGTACCACCGGTGCTGGGGTTGCTACCTCTCCTACCAATAAAATCCAAGGCGCTCACTCTGTCCTGGATCAGGACGGACTCTTCAATAGACGGCCGAATCGCTTCCATCAGCTGAGTGTCGTTCTTGTCGAAGCAAATATGGCTGATGATATCCTCATCGGAGACTATACCAAGAGCGCGGAAGACGATGGGAATTGGGACATCGGCCTTGACGTAGGGGAGCGTTGCGTACAAGCAAGCACCCTGTCCTTCCTTCCACAACTGAGGTTTTTCGTAGAGCTTCAAGGTCATGGATGAAAGCAGGCGCGATCCCTTCTCAACAGCACTCCTGATCTCAGCAATCCACGGTGTCGGACTCTGCCTCTTCCTAAAGACCTGGACAATGTTCGCCGCACTTCTCTCCTGAGCGATCAGCACCTTTTCACTGCCGTTGATGACGAAGTATCCTCCCTGGTCGTACGGGCACTCGCTGTGAGCGTAGAGCTGCTCGTCGGTCAAGTTGCGGAGGCCGCAGACAAAGGACTTCAGCATGACAGGCAGCTTTCCGAAAAAGACGTTCTCCTTCTCGGTCTCGCGGTCAATCTCCCACACCAACTCAGTAGCACCAGTTGCTTCCTCCTCCTCGTCCAAATCAGCGGATGGGGCGATGGGGCGCTCGCGGGCAACCGAGGTCTTTGTGGTCATTTCGCTGATCATAGCGGACGAGTAGGTGAGGTTTCGCAGACGAGCCTCGTGCGGGTAAAGGTCTCTCGTCACACCACCGTCGGTCAAAGAAGGACGGGCCATCTTGACTGCGCCAAAGTTCACCTCATACCGCCTCTTAATGATCGGATCCGGGTCGTTCTCGTCGAGTGGCGGCGTGTGGTCCAGGGTGATGGCACCCATGTTCTCGACGACATTGGGCAGAGTGTTCTTGACAAACTCATCGTAGGAATCGATCTGCTGGGCGACCAGACCTTTTTCCTCGAAGAAAGCAGAAATGACCGTCCAGCAGTCCTCCGCCGTGATGGAGTCCTCGAAGTCTTCCTCATAGCCCATCTCATTGTCATCGTAACCGTCTGCGTAACTCATTTTGCCGGCGGTGTGCTAGCGACGGGCGCTAGCGGCGGGGGACAAAAAGTGGTCTTGGTGTCGGAGGTGAGGCAGAGGTGCGCGCCAGAGCGCGTCGGAACGGACTGTATCCCTCTGAAGCTCGCGCGCGCAGGGGCAACGGGCGAGCAACGGCGGATGTGTCGGGCGGAAAGGTGCAGACGCGCAGCGGAGGATGTGGCGGACGCGCGAGCACGGGCGGGAGGACGTGGAGGAGGGTGGGCGGGGTGGAAGGCGAGAGTGTCCTCAAAGAGAGGTGAAGTGCTGCACAACGAGACGATCGCCGCCGCCCAGCCGCGATGCGCACGGGCCACAAGGTTGTTACTCAGCTGCAGCCTGTAAACGCCGGAGTATAGCCGCTCAGATGGCGGGCAGGCATACCTACACGGCTCGCCGTCCTTCACTTAAGTTTGCTTGAGCCGCAGCATATTATATTCAAAGAAAACATGTCAACCTGAGACAAAGAAACGGAAAACCATGAACATTTCAGACTTGTCTGATCTATAGTTGGCTCATAGCTTGCTTTGACCCTCCTGTGGCACTTTTACCACGACCTTGCCCCACGTGTTTCTTCCACCCAGAGCGCTCAGTGCATCAGGCACGCTCTCTAGGCCAACGAACTCCTTATCCGTGAAGCACGTTCCTCTGAACTTGCCAGCTTCCATAAGTTCAAATATACCCTGCCATACCTTGGCCGCGACAGCTGGATCGCGAGCCGCCTGCGCTCCCCAAAACAGCCCAACGACGCTACAGTTCTTCAACAGAATGCGGTTCGTTGCGACCTTCTCGATTGGGCCTCCAGCGAATCCAATGACCAAAAGGCGTCCATCCCAGGCAATGCACTTCATTGACTGGGCAATGAGGCCTACAGAGTCGTAGACGATGTCCACGCCCCTGCCCTTTGGCGTCAGTTTCTTAACCAGATCCGGCCAGTTCTCTTGCCGGTAGTCGATGACATGGTCGGCGCCGAAGGAATTGGCCACTTCCAGCTTCCGAGCAGTGCCTGCTGTGGCGATGACCGTAGCGCCGAATGCCTTTGCAATCTGCACTGCAGCAAGTCCGACACCGCCAGCTGCAGCGTGAATCAGAACGTAGTCGCCCGCTTTGATATTTGCGCGGTTCACCAGGCCAGCGTAACTGGTGGGAGCGGTCACAAAAAGGCCAGCTGCATCGAAGAAGCTCCAACCCTTGGGCATGGGCAGAATCTTGTCCTCGTCCACGGCAATCTTTGTGGCATAGCCTCCCTGGGAGCCGCCAAAGACCCTGTCGCCGACCTTGTATTTCGGAGTGCGGCCATCGGAGAGGGAGGCGGGTGCTTGAACAATGACACCGGCGAACTCAGAGCCAGAAATCCACGGAAATGGCGGCTGGGTCTGGTATTTGCCCTGGATTTGCAGGATATCAAAAAAGTTGCAGGCGGTTGCGTGGATGGCGACTACGTATTGGTTCGGCTTCGGGACTGGGTCGGGGAGCTCGCTGACCCTGAGCTCGGACGGGGCCTGCGCGTGTTAGCAGCTGCTGCACCGGGCATGCTTCCAGAGACGACACACCTTGACGTACTTGGTAACCTGGATGCCGCGCATTGTCGAGATTCGCTTGCTAGTGCGGACGTCGGGCGCAGCGGCCGGGCTTGGTTTTATTGCTGGCGCAGGACGGGACTGCCGCGGGCTGGGGAAGCTCCCCGCAGACAGCACTGGCAGCTGCCGAGGTTGGGGGTACGAGGCTCAAGCGCCAGGCCGCCAATGACGACAGCTGGAACATCAGCGCTGGTATCTTAGGCTCTCGGCAGGGCCGATGCAGACCAGCGCAGCGCGGCGGGCGGGCGGGCTCAGCGCTTGGGGCCGTGCTCGCGCGCTCTGCATGGAAGCACGGAAGCCTCAATGGAAGCCTCCAGATCTCAGCCCCACGACCTCACGCTTCCCACTTCCTCTGTCCGTCCTCGCGCACGCCAATCGCCAGTCCTGCCGCTTCGCTCCTGGGCCGTCTCCGCGCCTTCCCTCTGAAGCTGCGCGCAAACCCTTCGGCCAAGCTTCTGTCATCATTACTTGCGTCACCTCGTTTGCCGCCACCCCTCCGCCCACTCAACCCCAACCCCAACACCACACCACCCGCAACAATGGCCGACGACGCCGGCCAGTCCGAGGAATACGTGACCTTCAACGTCAAGTCCTCCAACGACGCCAAGTACACCTTGACCCTTCCGCGCACCACCACCGTCGGCGACCTAAAGGCGAAGCTCGCGACCTCCGAATACGCCGACACGCCCGCCGACCGCCAGCGGCTGATCTACTCCGGCCGCGTCCTCAAGGATCACGACACCCTCGATGCCACTAAGATCAAGGATGGCAACACGATACATCTGGTGAAGAGCGCAGCTAGTAATGCGCGCCAGAACCCCACCAACCAAGGCACCAGTGCCGCAGCCACCGGAACCGGCACCCCCAGGAGCAATGTCCCAACCAGCTTTGCCACCGGCACCGGTAACGATCCTCTGGCCGGCCTCACCGGCGCGCGTTATGCTGGTATGATGGGCCTTCCTGGCGCCGGCGCCTTTGGTCCAGACGGTGGTGTGAGTCTCGTCCTCATTCCCGGCTTCATGTCGCGCCCTGTAGTTAACCCCAGAGCAGATGGGCGCGCCGCCCGACCCCGACCAGCTCCTGCGCCAGCTCGATGACCCCAACACCCTGCAGCTCATGACGGAAGCCATGAACAACCCCATCGTCATCCAACAGATTCGCAACAGCCCCATGTTCCGCAACAACCCCATGATGCAGCAGATGTTCGACAACCCTGCCTTCCGCCGCATGCTCACAGATCCCGAGGTTATACGGCAGCAGATGCAAATGGCGCGCTCTTTTGGTGGTCTCGGCGGCCCAGGCGGAAACAGCTCATTCCCGGCTCCTGGTGTCACCAACACCACTCCCCAAGGCCAGAACGCAGACAACAACACTGCCAGCACGACGACTGGCGGAGGAGCTACGGAGACACCGGCCCAGCCTAACACAACCGGCCCAACAAGTCCTCCGCCCAACCCTTTCGCCATGTTTGGGAACCCGGCCGGCGCAGGTGCAGGCGGCGCAGCGGGTAACCCTTTCGCTGCTCTGTTCGGCCCTCCTCCCACCGGCACGCAAGCCCCCGGACAGAACCAGGAGGGTCAGGGCGCGCCTCCGGTGAATCCCTTCGGCAACCTCTTCGGCGGCGCCGGCGCCGGCGCCGGCGGCCAAGCGGACCCCCTCCAGGCCGCTGCTCAGAACCTAATGCAGAATCCCGAGGCAATGCGCGCGGCGATGCAGATGATGGGTCTTGCTCCGCCTGGCGGTGAGGGCAATACCGGCGCAGCTGGTGGCGATGCGAACGCCGCCAACCCCTTCGCCGGCTTGTTTGGCGGCCTCCCCCAGGCACCCCCGGACAACAGGCCACCAGAGGAGCGTTATGCGGAGCAGTTGAGGCAGCTGAATGATATGGGGTTCTATGAATTCGAGAGGAACATTCAGGCGTTGAGGAGGAGCGGTGGTAGCGTGCAAGGCGCAGTGGAATACCTGCTCAACGGTTCATAAGGCGGATGCGCGCTCGCGAGCGGGATGGAAAGATAGGCTGCAGGATAGAACTGTGGAGCGCTCGGGGAGAATGGTATTGATTGCTTGAACGTGGAGGTGATATACCTTTTTTTGCTTTTTCTTTCCATTTCCTTTCTTCCCGTTTCGGCATCCGATATCAGCTAGCATGGATCTCTGCGCCCTCGCTATTACGTGTATACTTTTCCTTGCTTGGATTTTGTCTCATGGGGACTCTCGACACGGGATAGCGTTGATGACGAGTTATCGCTTTTTCATGGATAGCAATGATGGGTAGGAGACGGCTCATCGGGTCCACAACGTGCTTATACATGTGATGGGGTGCTTTACTATTTGTAACGGCAGCTTTTATACGAGGGATAAACATGCTTGGCTCTTAGTAATTCTCTATTGCTCCTCTAAGCAGCTCTCGATTTCGGAGCCTTTCCCTTGATACTGCAGTTGCGGCTCTTCATATTGCTGGCGTACATGCGACTTTCCATGTTAGGCGATCCGTATCAACGGTACGCACATACTGCTTGTATCTGCGCATGGTTTAAAGACATTTGGAAATATGACGTGTGAAGTCAGTAATCTAGTAGTGTTGAAAGTCACAATAAGTTCAACAAGATAGACGCCATCAGAAGGCATTGATAAATGAAGGCTCTGGTTTGCTCCTGTTAATTGCGTAGCATTTGCTCTTTTACTAAACATCGTTAAACGTTACAAGTAAACATACATGCTGGTCATCGGATGTGAAAATGTGGTGATCTGTGGGCACGGACTGTTTGTTTTCTTGCCCTTTAATCAAAGTGAATTTGCAGGTTGAAAGTGAACCTGATATTTGGCATTATTACCCTACGTTCATCTGACTTCCGCATATAGACCGTGCTCACTGCGGTTATGCAGATGCAGTATCCTCTTTCATGCTCCTGTACCATCGGCACACCATCTATCCCCCGGCATCTTTGACAGTTCTTGCTCATGCAATTAACGCGTGCACAAGACAAACACTATACAAAGATGAAAAAGAAAGGAGATCCGCATTTTCAATCCAGGAACTGCACCTTGGTGGTGCTTTTTGCACAGCTGCGACAGTCCGCTGCTGTAGATGAGCATATGGACCGCCAGTATGTAGAGTATATAACCATCTCCAGAGGACTCCTAGGCCCAAACCATCACAACACTACAAAAAAAGATATTCGACATACAGACAACTATCTTACGAACTTGGTCTCAAGATTCTCACTACTGTTCTACATCCAACCTTCACAACACCACACAATGAGCACCGGTAACCAGTGGCATCACAACGGCCAAAGTGGCCGTTCATATGTAGGTGCAAGACACAGCGACGACGACGAAATGAAATGACTAACTCACTAATATTAGGACCCACGACAGGGCCAGAGGGCCACATATCCGCCGGGAGGCATTCCATTCCGCCAATTTTTGCCAGGTAGTGGCGGAAATAATGGCAATAACAACCAAGGCCAGAACAATAACGGAGCTAGCCAGCAAGGTGGAAATGCTGGTGGGAATACGGGCAGGTAAACCATCAACTGTAAGGGCTGGGCTTCTGGTTTGTACGGTGTTGGAGATCACGCCGCACAATCAGTCCGCTCAATAACAGGCACCATTAGATGACCTAAATTCTACTATTATGATATCATTCTATTTGTGTGGTCATTGGTACTGAGGATATGTTGTCAAAGTTGTCGCACCAATCCCAGGGTAAAATGGGTGATCACGGCTCTTCTGAAATGTTCATTTAACTGGTGGAAACTTGAATCATTGATGATTAGAAGGCTGAGTAGGAACCATACACAACCTCATTACAGATATATCCGGCAAAATCGAGGATCCTGCAAGCCGTGCTTCGCCGCTCACTTCAACGCCTCACCCACCCTCTCAACAAACCTCTCCACAATGACCTCATGTGCCTTTCTCATTGTCCCCTCCACGAACCACCTCAACCCCCACGGACAAGCCGCCGTCACGCTCTCTTCCGCTCTCCATCCGCCATTAGTGCTATCCTCCTTCACGATTTTCCACTCAAAGCAACTCCTAAACCCCAACGGCGCCGTCACCACCGCCCTCGTGCCATCCAGCGTATCTTCGAACTCGGCTTTGATCTCCAGCTCCGCATCCCATAGATGGGTACCCGGCAAGTACGAGATCGTTTCCCAAATGAGGTATGTTTCTTTGTTGCTGTTGCTTGACACTGCGCCACCTGCACTGGAGCTCGCATTTGCACCGTCATCATCCACGACGCGCTCGTACCGAGTAACCAACGGACTGAGCGTGAGAACGGACGGGTGGTCATGCAGAATGGCGACAGCGGCATCTCTGATGTTAGTCGCGCCGTTATCGTTATCTTCGCCGCCGTTGGGCAAAGACCGGGCGAAGGTGACGGTGAAAGTTGTATTGATGTAGGCTGTGTTCCGATTGGGATGGTCAGAAATGCAATAGTTTTGAATATATTCCTCGCTTTCGTGTACTCTTGATTTTTTTTTCTCTATAGAAGAATAAAAAGAGGGCGGAGTACTAAGTAAGGTGGGGGCTGTTTCGTTGATGGGCTTACAGCTCACTGACATCATACTGCGCGCGGTCGGAAGCGACGTGAGAAGTTGGTAATAGCGACAGACGCTTTTCAGATAGATGTCACTACGAAGCACTGTCGCTCGAGAGCACGTAAAGATTGGGAATCAACGTGATGCGGGAAAGAGAGCGCGTGGAGCGGAGAAGAGAGGAGGGGCGGAGAGAGGGGTGGAGCGGAAGTGAACGGCGGAAGCCATGACTCGACGGGGCCCAGTCTACCTCCGTCGCACCGCCGTCGCACAACTCGCCTTCTACGCCCACAATTGACTTCGGGCTGCCCATGCCCTTGAATACTTTGAAGAGGCTAATTCTTGGCTCCGGCCAATCCGAACAAGCAGTCGCAGTTTCCGCTGCCCGTCAGCGGAGAGGGGCCAGGGTCGAGTAAGATCATCCAGCCGGATTTAAAAGGGCGTCGGAAATGCGCCCTGGGGAGCGGGACTGGCGTGGGGAGAGCAATAAAGGGTCCACTCCACGTGGGTGCCGAGGTGGCGGAATCTTTTGGGCCCAGATTGAGGCCCGAGTCGTCAAGGTCCGTCGAGGCAGGGCCATACGCTTCGGATTTGTCTGAGTCGCGAAGAACCGACGTGCATGACAAGTGCCTCGCCCGCGAGCTCGGGCGCCTCTGCTGAGATGGCGACTCAGGAAACTGCTCGCCTTGATGTCGACATCTTATGGCCTGTTGGGATCGCCCCCAGGGGTGCACGATTGCCGCAAGGATGGTGCAACGGTTATAAGTGTAGAGTAATACAGCTTTGTGCACGACTCGAACGGCTGTTTGGCGCTGACTCCTGCTCGCCTGTTATTGGATAACAGCACTATAGCAAGACATCGCCTCTAATACAGCCCCATCATTGCCTATACAACACCCCCATCACCTCTCCCCTTCTTCGTCCACATATGTACCTACGACATGGCGACATCTACAATAACCAACCGGCGATAAAGTTCCTTCAAACAATGTCGCGTCTGCTAGTAGTCCTCTCCATGCGGAGCTGCGCGTCTTCCTCTTCCGCTTGGTACTGCGCCTCGCTCGGCAGCAGCACCGCCTTGTCAATCGCAACCGGAAGACCTCTGTGCCTGCCTCTGAGCATCACTGCGCACAGCACGAGCTTGCTAAGCGTGTGCCAGCTGCCGGAGAAGCTGAACGAGTCGTACGTCACGCCCGTCGAGACGCCCACGCAACCATATCCACTAACCGTCTCAAAGATGACGTTGAACACCGAGAAGTTGGCCGGGTCGCGCTCAAACTGGCCACCCTCGATGATCATGATGACGAAGACCGCCAGGACGAGCCACCACAGGTCGTGCGCCAGCTGCGCTTGCAACTGCTGACGCAGGAAGTAGGCCTTGGTTCCTTCATCCCCGTGGGAGCCGAGGATTCGCTGCTTGGCAAATCCAAAGAATGATTGCTTCTCATTGCTGCTCTCGTTCAGCGCATCGAGATGCGGGTCGTCGGCATAAATACCCAAACTCCGCTCCTCGTAGACATTCGAGTTGCGCATCGTAATGACAACCGGATAGACCGAGATGTACATCATGATAACATACAACACTTGCAGACTGATGCGAACCGAGGTGATGGGCACCACGTAGAAGCCACCGGACCGTACGGCTAGAGCTTGAAACAAGCCATCAATAATCTCTGCTGCTGTTGGTAGGTCGTTGATTGCTTTGTTCCCAATGTTGAGTACCTCGAACGCGGCCCAGTCAATCACGTTGAGCGTAATGACAGACAGCAAAAGCCACCAAGTGTGCTGGGACGGGAAAAGGTTAGTGTAGCATCGCCTCGGGTGATCAAGCAGAAATTTGAGCGTATGCCGAAGGTCATCCCAGCGCTCGGTTGCGGGTAAAAGCTTCCGAATCGACCAGACAATAAGCCGAAGGAAGATTGGATAACAAGTATTACCAGCAAGGATAAGCACCCCCATGGTGAGGAGCATGTAGTAAGCAGTTTGAAATGCCGTCATATTGGCGTCCAGCAGACTCATTCCCGAATTGTTAAATGCAGAAACGGCGTTGAAAGCACCGACCCACCTGTGCCGTGTCAGCGCAGTACATATCCAAGAAACGCTCAACTTTACTTACCAGGGATTAAGTCCATTTTGCAGGGCTGTATCAGGCCTGTTCATAGCAACATATGCGCCGATGCCAATGCAAGACAGCAGTTGCCAAAGAACGTAGTACAGCGGCACAATCACTGACAGGACTTTGATGGCTTTGTATTCAGCACCACCAAGAGCCTCGCGTTCTTCCTCGGTCAAATGATGGAACTGGGAATTGCGTCCGACGAGTCCTGAAAAGCCCGCAGGAGGAAACGTTTCTGAAGGGTGCTCCTTCAAGGTCTTCTCATAATCTTCATCGTCGTCGACAGCCTGGGATCGCGATGCACAGATTGAATCTGGACCAATGAAACTGTGGCGCCGATGCAAGCTGACATTGGAGCGCGCTCCAACCCCTTGCATGTTCAGCAGCCTTTGGCTATGGCGCCGCGGCCGCGGCTCACGACTTGTGTCCCGAAGCGCTGCATCGCTGAAAGTTATATGATCGTCCCTACTTGGGCCACCATTCGTCTCTTTTTCAGTCGCACATTCCGAATCCGGCTGCTCTCCTTCCTGTTCGACGGCATTCTCTGTCGCCCTGCTAACCGTCGCATTCAGCTGCTTTTGATCAACTGCCGCAGAACGCGAACGGCCTTGCGAGGAACGCCCCGAAAGAGGCCTGCTCAGAGAGAACCTGCTTCTCGGTCGCTTTTGTTCCGCAGCGACTTTATGGATCTTGGCTTCAAATGCCTTCTTTCGAACGTGCACCACAAATGCAGAGACGAAAATGGCGGAGCCGGCCATGATAAGCAAGAAGAGCATGACCTGCTGAAAGGTGTTCAAATCAGAGAGGTTGACGGTGTTGAGGCCTGCCAGCGTCATGGCGCTCACGCAGAGGAACAGGGAGTCGGTGAAACTGACGCTCCTGGCAGGCGTGGAAGCGCCCCAGAAGATGACGGCAGACACGAGACATGTGATGAAGAAATACGCATAGTGCAGGGTGATGAAGTTCAGCGGGGGCAGGTTGCGGCGTATGATGCGCGCAACCCTCCGGACAGGGCCGCCGAGGGAGGGTCGGACTCGAGCGTGTGGCTCCACCATCCCGAGTGCGGGTGCGGCTCCTGTCCGGAAACTAGTTCTTGCGGCGGGGACGTGTTGAACTGCAGGGTCTGCTCTGGCTCCAGATCGGCAGCCAGGCAGAGCTGAGCGCGGGAAGCTAGCGGGCTCGTTGAGAGCTGAATTGTGGCAGATGGCTGGCCCTTAGCCAGAGTCGGTAACTGCATCCTGCATGAGCGGGGCGCGCGATGGTAGGCGGTGTTCATCGGTGGGCGATACCTCGGAGGGTTGGCGCGCGATGGCGAACGTTACACAAACGCTGTTTGGCGGGCTAGGCAGTCTTGGAAGCGTCGGAAAGCTGGACTGGATGAGTGCGACAGTTGTCCGGGGAGAGGAACGCAATAGAAAGACCCACTCGACAGTCACGTCCAGCAAATTCTCAGCGGTGAGAGAAGCGGCGAAACCTACCTAAGCGCGTTGGTGCGCCACAGTGCACCGCCACAGTGTGGCGACAACGGAAGCTTTACTTCTCTGGGCCAGGTGCGGCAGCGCGCCCAGTCCGCGACAATAAGCGCGACGGCAACAGCGTGACGTATTGGAGGCTGTGCCTCTAAGTCTTGGAGGCAACGTACGCGCTTTCCAAGATATCCCTTTTCGCCCAGCGACCTCCCGCCCGCGATATATACCCGCCGCCTACCTCGCGTCAACATTCGCTCTTGACCGCGCTCTCTGCCCTCCGAACGCCGTCGCCATGGCCAGCCACAACGACCCGCGCTTGCTCTACTCCATTCCGGGGATCAAAGCCCACCACATTCAGAATGGCGAGGAGGATTCTCTTACGCCATCGGGCCCGCAGACGCTGTCGCTGCTGATGGTGCCCACTACCAGCCCCTTCGCCGATCCTGCTGCGCGCAACCCCAACGAGTCGCCCGAGGAAGACTTCTATCTTCATCTGAATCTGCCGCCCGAGCTGGACCTCCCCCTCCCCGCGACGACCCAGATCTACCACCAGCCGCCCAGCAGCTACCTGATTCCGCGCTGGGACCTGGGCCCCGACAGCGGCGCATTCACGCGCATTGAGTTCCCGCCCCTTGGCCAGGGTGTAACTCAGGAGGACGTCGATACCTTTGAGACAATTCTGGCACAATGCACTGCCTTCCTTGAGCGCGCGCAGGCACCGCGCACCGAGAAGGGCGACTTTGCCGCATACAACCCCGCCGCCTACAAACCCGGCGAAGGCTATGTCGAGGGCACGGGTAAGGGGCAGCACGGCCAGATCGTCCTCATTGACGAGGAGAACGGAAGCGTCGTGGGTGAGCTTGCAGACGGGGCTTCGATTGAAGAAGACCCGAGGCTGAAGCCCGGCTCAAAGAGTGAGATTCTCACCGGGGAGTATTCATCGCCTTTTGCTGACCATCGCCAAGATCCCGTCGAGGTGGAAATCAGTCCAGACGGCAAGCATGTCGACGTGCGGCCCATCTCTGAGGAATACTTGCGCATGGCCCGGCACCCCGCCTACAAGGACTCGTCTTTGGTGCAGAATGCAGCTGCCGCATCGCGCTTGATCGTGACGGGTTCCAGTTACCTGAGCAGCGTCATGACCTCTGGAGCGAACACGTTCACCCAGAAGACCAAGCCGAATCAGAAGCCCGTCACTTTCAAGCCGGCCACACACGACCGTGTGAGGAAGATCCACGACTTCACGCATAGCGCTGCCACCATATCGGCAAAAACGGTGGGGCAAGCCACCAAGTATGCGCAGAACTTTGGCGCGTCACTCACTGGACGCAAAGGCAAAGAGAAGGGAGAGGGCTACAAACCGGGTTTCTTGAACAAGTCCATGATTGCCTTCTCCACCGTCGCTGACGGCCTCGAGTACGGCGGCAAGAAGCTGCTTGCGTCTAGCGGTGCGGCAGCTTCGCAAATGGTCGGGCACAAGTATGGCCAAGATGCAGGGAACCTCACTGCGGAACTGGCAGGCGGCGTCAAGAACGTGGGCCTTGTCTACATCGATGTGACTGGAGTCTCGCGTCGCGCGGTGCTGAAGTCCGTCGCCAAAGGCATGGTCGTAGGCAAGGTCAAAGGAGGCGGTGAGGTTGTCGTGGGCGGTGGTGATGGCGGTGACATTCCCCCAGAGGACGCAAAGAAGGCCTATGGCGCTATTCAAACTGGCGCTGTCAATGACAACCTCGGCCAAGGCCAGCCGGGCGGCGGTTCTGCTGCGCCTGGTGGCGTTGTTGGATTCGGTAATGCTGTGCCGCAGAGTGGAAGTTCTGGGGTTGGTGAACCTCTGGGCGGCCAGGCACTATCGGGCCAGTACGTGAACGAGAAGCGATGATGGAAAGCGCATAGCTGTACAGGCAAGACGGCTGGAATACGCGATGGCATCTTCTGGCATTTCCTTCTTCTTTCGTCGGTTTAATATTTGGACGTGGCAGGACCTCACGATGATACGAGTTTATAGCACTTTCGAGAAGAATCACATGGATACCTTGGGGCGGTTTGCGCTTCCGCTTTCTTTCAGCTCACTACTGGCTGCCGGCACAGCAACTATTTGCGTGACAGCAGTTTGCTTTCCCGTTCGGGCAGCGCCGCTTCCATCCTCACCTACGGCACGGATAATCCTTCAAGTCTGGGTCTTTGAACCCTGAGCCTGAGAATCTTCTAGCCAGCAGTGCACTCCTACAAAAGAACATTTCCGAAGCCCGCCCCATCCACCACCGATCCCGTGTCCAGTCTTGTCGATAAATCGTAGCGACCATGTCCTGGCTCAAGAACGCCTTCCTCCGCCTGCGCGCCACCATCAGCGTAGCCGGCTCACCCACCACCACTACTGCAGGCCGTCGCGCCATCGATAGCACGATCCAGACCACCGCGCGCAAGTCGCTCGCTCACCAGACGCTCAACAAGGCCAGTAAGTAGCTGCCTCAGCCTGGGTCTCTGCAAAGATTGACACTGGCCTCACCGCAGAAGCAGGCACCACCATGACAGCCGAAGATCTAGCGTGGCAGATGGCTTGGGAGAAGTTCGTGGAGCAGCCAAGCCCGCACCAGCGCCTCGCACCGTACGCGTGAGCGCTAGTGAAGCGGCCTATCCCGAACGGCGTCTGTGCGGCATGCTGGTGGGCTGCAGCAACTGCGGCTGCACCGCTCGACTTCTGCTGCCCGGGCAGACGCACAGAAACAAGTTTGTGTACAATGCAAAAGACAGCACGGTCCAGTGGGTTTCGAACGACAACGGGGAAAAACACACGGACTGCAACGGCGTTTTTCTGCGGAACGGAGATTTTCCTTTCCTTGCTCGGCGTTTATGGCACCACCTTTGGGGAAACAACAAGCGGGAACACGACAGGGCCATCAGGGAAGCATCAGCACTGACAGGTTTTTCTTCGTATGGAATGGGCGTTCTTGCATCAGGGCGGCGCACAGTGTAGCATCAAGCGAAGGGCTCAGGGATCGGGGCGCAAGCAAAAGTTCTTTGCTAAAGGGCGGACGATATGCTAGGCCCCTTGCAGGCTTGGGCGTTGGCCGATAGTTAGGCCCTGGCTAAGCGCACAATAGAGGCTTCGACGACTACAGACACACGTGCGCTGTACTACCGAATTTTTCACGAGACAACGAACGGACCGTGTGGGTTTTAATATTCAGCTAGGCTTAAGCACGTGCATCGCTACGGCGGATTCTAACTGCCCTAGAAGATTAGGCATGTATAGTAGTGCGGCGGCGTAGATACCTCCGTAGAAGCTAATCTTGACAAATAAATCTTGGCCGTGCCCCGCAACACACGATCATCCGGTCCCGCTGCGCGACGCGCGTACCAGAGGACCGACCGCCTCTGGATCGCGAGGGTTCGGGACAACAGTCGAGGCGGTCAGCCCTAGAAACAACTCACCAGGCACTAGGCTGCGAGCGGCGCGGGCATGAGAAGCCAGCGGCGTTCGGCGGGCGAGGGCGATGGGCGAGGTGTGAACGGAGCCGAGGTCACCTGGTCGTGCCCGAACCCCAGTCCCATGGTGTCGGTGAGAGATGCAGCGACACCGACCGTCCATAGCGCGCAGACGCCGATGACCCTTGCTTAGCGGGCCACGACTTTCCGCAAGCAGCTCCCCAGCTCGTCATGCGCGTGGGCAGGCACAATCAACGGGCGTGCATGCGCCGGCTCACAACGGCGCGGCCGCCACACACCCACGCACCCACGCAGGCCCCCGCCTCACCTGCCACTCGCCATCACGTGCCGTGATCCCTCCCGCATGTGCTTGCAGCCGGCTTACTACCTTCTGTCCAGCGTTGCCCGCCTCACGAGGCTGTTATGGTGGCTTTCCCAGCTGGCGCGGGAATGCTGCAGCTCACTGAGAAACAGGCTGCTGGGCACGCGACGTACCTGCCTGCACCAGGCATTCAAAAAGCCTGCGTCTTCTCTTCGAGAGCACCTCTGCCCGTCTAGCTGCCAAGAATTATTTGCTCATCACGACCGTCTTTCCAGGCCACCAGCGACTCTCTGACAAAGCAAGAAAAGCCGAGTCATGCTGCTCATCCCGCTCATCTCTTCCCTCTGCGTACTTTTCGTCAAGTCTGTTGCGCTCGGCGCCTTCGTCTACTACATGCGCAACGACTAGCTAGCCGCGACATCCCCGGGCTCGAGGCGACCTTCCCTCCTCCGCTCCGCCCTCCCCTCCATGCTGGCTCCCAAACAGGGAAGACACGGGTTGTGGAGCTATTGGCTGCAGGGGTCGTGAGCAAGGGGAGGGGTTCTATCCACCCAGCGCTTGGATCGGGCGAGGGGGTGGAAAGAGGGGAGGGGTGCGGCGCGGGAGAGGCGCGTGCCCGAGATGCAATCAGCTTTACCGTTTACATCAGCGGAGAGCGCCATCGCATGCGACTGCCTCGTTCGAGACGACCAGCAATGATCAGCCGGCGATTTGCTACGAAGTAACGACCATTCACCCCTACATTTCCCGAACGACCGGGAATCAAGTTTCTTTTCTTCGCCGGGCTTCTCCGTCAAGCTCTGCTCTTGGGTTTCAACCTCTTCTTCAATCTCGTTTCGGTGCGGTCATACCATCTGCAATGCTTGGTTTCCAAATTTAGTCCCCGTACGTCAGATTATCACTAGGGAAAGCGGACGGGCACGGTGACACTGAAGTTTGCGCACGCACCTGCGCGCCATCGCGCGTCTCAGATATTTGGAAACGCAAAAGAAGATAGCCTGGCGCTACTGGCACAAGCCGTTGAACAATAACCGACGGCGCTAAAAGAAGGGCAAAAAAAGAAGCTCTGGCCAGGCCTCTAATTTCATCATTGAGCTTTGCGACATCCAATTTCCATAAGGCATCTCGCGTTTAGGCAGGCAACAGTGCTTTTCTTCTTAATGATCAGGCGAACGGTGCTACAGCACACCCTCCACATTCGGCTCCTTCCTGCGTCGCTTGCGTTATTCCGCTCTCCACATCCCGGATAGTTTTAGAAAGTAGCCATAGTTTTACCAAGAGCACCACTATCGTCTTGGCGTGACAGCGGCTAGCGCCGCCGATTCGCCCTACGCAGCACACCACTAACTCCCGGGCCTAGATCGGGCAAGTAGCACGCAAGGACAGCTTCCAAGCCACCACCACCTCCGCCTCCGCATCAAAGTTCCCTGCCCAAATCTCACCACAACCACACCAACCGCCCAACGCGCGCCAAGGAAAAAGACATGACCATCACACCCGAAACACAGACCTTCACGGCAATCCCGACGCTCGCGCTACGGGACGCCCGTACCACGGCAAGCAAGCCGCGCTTCCTCGCGGCGTTGCGCGCGGCACTGCTGGACATCGGCTTCCTGTACCTCGACGTATCCGGTGAGCCGGCCCTGCCGGAAGAGCTGCTGTCCGAGGTGGTCCGCGAGGGCACCGCCTTCTTTGCCGACTTGCCCGAAGCCGAGAAGGAGCGCATCGAGATGAAGAACGAGAAGAGCTTCCTCGGGTGGAGCAGAGTGAGTTTGCTCTCCCTTTGTTTTTCTCCTTTCTCCTATCGCTATGTTGATTGTTGTGATGCTCGCTTTGCCCATGATTGCGTGCTTTTCTTTCGCCATGACGAGCTGTCCAGAGCGCACATCTTACAAACCACGTAACTGTATTGTTGATCATAATCCGTTCATTTTGGTGCCACCTTCACTTCATTCGCCTTTTTTTTTTTTTGTTTTTGCTTTACAGTGGTTGGTCAGACTATGTTCCCATCGAGCAAATTCAAATTCACTGTATCGTGTTCCAGCAGATGTTTCAAGATTTACTGAAGTCAACGTCGTCGTCGTCAACGACTATTCTCTTACATTTATGCTTGCCTCAACTCTAATATTGTTACAAGAGGTTTTCGATCTGCTGTTGTGGTATCTTTGCATTCAAAAGAAGAAGAAAAAAAAAGTCAACGCAAAACCCAACCCTGTCTATTGCAATACTGTCTATAAATTTGCGAAAAGGAAAAAAACACAAAACGATGTAGTCTGTAAATTAAAACAAGGTAGAAATCATTGACAAGAGAAAATGTAGAGGAGGATAGACTCCACAGAGGTTTGAAGAGGAGGAGGGTGCTATCGCATCGCAAACTCCACTGAAAGATTTACAGAGGGGCTGCGAAGGGTGGGAGCAAGATCTCAGTGTTTTCCGGCGGATTTCCCTTTTCCTTTTCTTGGCTGAATTTGTTTTCCGATTCGTCGTGTCTTTTCCCCGCGGTTGACCTGGAATTGACTCTGACCATTTCTTCATGCAGTTGGACAATGAGACGACGGCGATGCATACCGACCATCGCGAGCAACTCGATCTCTCCACGCCGCATGATGTTCCAGGACCGGACGCCCCCCTTTACTACAACATGAGGGCACCGAATCAGTGGCCGTCGTCTCAGCATCTGCCACGCTTTCGACCGGTGTTTGAGGAGTATATGCAGGCCATGTCGGGCATTAGCACGTTTTTCACATCGCTAATAGCCGAGGCAATCGGCCTTCCAGCCGACGCGTTTGACCGGTTTTTCGACGCCGACCAGCAGCACAAGCTGAAGGTCATCAAGTACCCGGAGGTGTCACCGGACGTAGACGACGACGACGAAATTGCGCGACAGGGTGTGGGCCCGCATAAGGACAGCATGCTCACGTCCTACCTCCTGCAGGCTTCGCCGCATCGTGGGCTGCAGGCTCTGAACGCGATGGGCGAGTGGATAGACTGCCCACCAAAGCCCAACACGTTGGTCGTTGCCATAGGCCAAGGTCTTGAGGCTATCACTCAGGGCGTATGCGCGTCGACGACACACAGGGTCCTGAGCCCACGATGCGGGGAAGGGCCCCGCTTCAGCATCCCGTTCTTTCAGGGCGTCAGCTATGACGCGCGATTTGAAGAAATGGACGTGCCTGAGGCAGTGCGGGCTTTGAAGCGCGAAAGGCGCGACGATAAGGTCGATTTTGCCTTTGTGAAGGGACGGTGGGGCCACCTGGGCGAGGCGACATTGGTGAACCGGGTCCGGAGCCATCCGGATGTCGGTGAGAAGTGGGTGAGTGATCTTCCCTTCAGCCCTTACAGTAGGCCTCATCGGCGAATGTCGCTTCCCTTTCTTTCACTTCCCAGGCCCCCTGCGGGCAGTCGCACACGCACATTCGGCCCGTCCTCGTGTCCCGGGGGTAGATCAGCCGAAGTTGGCGGAGTGGTGCACTGGTGGTGAGAGCGCAAGTAAAGGGCAAAGCGCAATCTTAACCCATCACTTGGTCGACGTATCCTCGCAACTCGCAAAGGAAAGCGATTGGCTGACTTGTTTCCCTCTCGGCAGTATCCGCGGATCCTGGCCAAGATCCGCGAACAACAGGCAAAAACCGACATGGCTGCCCGAGACGTGCATAAATCGTCCTGATACACGCGGCCGAGTCAGTGTCGGGATCCGGGGTCCGGAGCTACGGTCCACGGTCAGCTGGGGCCGCGCCGGGCCATCCCATCCAAAGCCGCGGAGCATGGACCGGCGGGACGTTCATCAGGGTACCGGGGTCTGGAAGAGTCGACATCCTGAGTCAGTTGCCGAGGGGCCTGAGAGTTTTGGTCGCGGAAAATTCCTTGAAAGTGCCTGTTGATCCTGAGGTTGCGTTCTTTATCCTAGCTGTTAAGAAAATGGTACTGGCATGGTGATGACGTAGGACGACGGATAAAGGCGGCAAGAAATAATGGTGTTGATATTGCGGTCCTTCGTATTACTGTTAGATGATACAAACAGCTCCTATCTTTGACGCGTTTCTGACGCGCTCTTGACGCCAGTTGCGTAGTTCATGCGGCGCCGTGGGAGGCTACTCCGCCGATTGAAACCCCGGCTAGAGTGCCAAATCCGTTCGCGCCTGCGTGCGGCGCTCAGCCGAGACCGGTGCCTGAAGCGGTGCCTGGACAGAGCGCAGCACCGCAAATTTTCCAGCGTTGAGAATCGCGTCACAAAGCAGGTGGCCCTGGTGGCACGGCGGGGTGCAACGGCTGGGTACGCGTGTGCGTTGATGTTCCTTTCCTTTCCTCACAATTCCAACCCTGGCAACCTCATTGCTCCGGCTTCACGTTCGACGGGATGCTGTACATCATGTGCTGGCCCTCCATCGGCGATCGTTGGATCAGCGGCTCTCCGTGGTGCGACGAGGGAATGTAGCTCTGCGGCGGGGGATACTGCGAATAGGACGAGGGAGGGTTCGGTATCTGGACTGGGAGATGACGCTGGTCGTGGTAAGAAGGCGGGTGCGGCGGGGCGTTGGAGACGGGTATATGGCTGTAGCCCATTTGCTGGCTCTGGGCCTCGTATTGGGACTGCACGGGACGGCCACTCGCGTCCAGGACGTAGCCGCCGTAGCCCATGGAATGCGGCACAGCGCTGTCTACAGGGTGCATGCTGCTCTCGGCGACCGAAACGGGGGCGTTGACGTGCTGGCCGTGGGGGCTCCAGCGCATGGCGTCTGGCGGTGCAGCAACGTCGACAGGCGGCGCGGAGTCTGCTCCGGTGGTGGAGGTGGTGGCTGCCGGGCTGTATCCAGGGTGGGCGTGCGGATTCGCGTGCGGGTGATGCCACTGGTCGGCCTGCGAAGGCACATTCGGCACACTTGCGCCCGTGACAGAGGGCACGCTGCGGGCAGTTGGGGTCGACGATGGCCTGGGCTGGTTCATTATGTGTATTCTGTCGCTAGGCGACGGGGCGCCGCTCGTTGCAAGGATGCCGCTTTCGCTTGGCAGGCCTGCAAAACGCGGAACTGTCAGCCAAACCGCCATTTTTGCTTTTTCTCCCCCGCCGATGCTCAACGCGCGTCGTGCCGTCCGGCGAGGAAGTATACGGGGCCGTGGTGCAGCAACATACCATTGCTCTCCGCGTAGCCAGCCTGGCCAAGCGCGGCCATGGCGTGGTTGAGGCGCTGCCGCAGGATGGCGTTCTCTTGCTCGAGCTCGTCGTTGCGCTGCATGATCTCATGGACGCGTCCGTTGGCTTGCTCGCGGGCGGTGAGCTCGGCCACCCGCCTCTCCAGGCTCTCAATGTGGTCCTTGGTGCGCTGGCGGATGGCCCGCTGGGCCTCACGGTCGTTGGCTCTCTTGCGCTCCAGCTGGGCGGCGGTCAGCGTGCTGACGCTGCGCGTGCCTGCTCTCGACGGGCGGCGTTTGGCGCCGGGCTGGGCGGCATTGTTGTGTTGCTGGGCGTTGGCGGAGCCCGGCTGGGGGGTGGGCGTCGAATTTTTCTTCGAGTCGGCGTCCGACGACTGACCCTCGTAAGAGGGCGTCGTCTTGACGGACGAAATGCTGGGGTTCGACTGGGCACTCATTGAATAGCGGCTCCGGCACTCGAGGGGACTGTGTAGCGGTCTTATGGTGGTGGTCATGGACATTCCGCACACGGGACGGCGGTGAGGGTGGGTGCGAATGTATGTGGGGGGCGCCCAGCGGTGCGTATATGGGTACTTGTAGGCGGGCGAAAGTTGGCAGCAGCCGGGCCACCACGGTTGCAGATAAGTTTCTGCAATGGCAGATCAGGAGAAATGGCAGTGAGGATCCATCGACACCGCCCGCACCAGGTATGTGGCCAGGGCCTGGGAAGACTAGGACTATCAGGTGAGGGCGCAGCTACGCCTATGGTCAGATCGCAGCGGCGCTCCGGCGCCGGCTCTTCTGCGATGCGAGTGAGGCTTGCGCGCGCTCGCTCCCTTCGGATTCCAAGACGATGGTAGGCACACGTGCGCCTCTTTGCGGGGAAGGGGTTTCACTTTTGGAATTTTCGAGACGCTTGACATGGCTTGGCATGGCGCCGGGAGGAAGCCGTTTCGATGCCAGCAACGGAGTGCGGCCGCCGGCGTGTGCTCGCATCGCCAGCTTCAGCGCAGCAACGGCGGCCCAATCGCCGGCGCACCCCAGAACTGCGCGTCCAGATCTCCGGTGCCTGTGCGGAGGGCATGACGGCACATGCCATGCCCGCCAGACGCCGACACAGATCCTTCGTCGCCGACCGCGTCAAATTGGACGAGCTGATCGCGATAAAGCCCCGCGCCCAATGCCTGCCGCTGGCGCATCCACTGCCGTGGAAGACCCCTGCGCCGGCCACATGGCAGCACAGCTGGACGCCCCGAATGGCGCCCGCTCCCACGCCACCAGGCTCGCTTCCCACGCAGGGCACCGCGTCACAAGCCGGTCCCTAGCCTGCAGCCCAGCGGCCGGCCGGCCCAACCGGCAAAGCGCGAATGTGCCGGCGCCGCACGTGGCTGTCCATGAGCCTCGACATCGGCCGGCAAATTCTGAGCCTGGTGTCGGTGGAGATCGCCAGGCACTGTCGCCAACGGCCGTCTTGGCGCTGAAGAGGCCTGCTGCCGGCTGTGGTCGACCTCCCGGCTCCTCCGCCGCCCACCGGTCAGGCCGGTGATCGGGCTGTGCGACGGCTGCAAAGGCGGTGACGGCGCGGCGGGCGCGAGCATGGATGGGGGCGCCGCTGTCGTTTCGTTGGCTCGGACTGCGTGCGGGCGCAGCGGCCGCGCCCGCGGCGGAACTTGCTCTCGATTTCCCGGCCGGGGAGGGAGCCGGGAGAGCGAGCGGACAGGCGTGGGCGGTATGTGTTTGCATCTCGCACACGTCTTTCCCGTTTCGTGGAGCGGGACGCCGCCCAGCACCACCATCACCACCACCACCACCATCATCACCGCCACCACGCCCGCACAGCGGAGCCGCACACGCTGGCCGCAGGGGGCCAGGGCATGGCATGGCATGGCATGGCAGGGCAATGGCGGCTGGTCATCAGACGCGCGCAACTCCGCCCGCGCATCCCGTCCAAACGCTCTCCGCCGCGCGCGTTTCAGCGCACTGGGCGAAGCATGGCTTTGATTGCAGCGCGCTCGCTATCGTGGACTCGATGCAGCATGGGCAGCGGGAGCACTGGCGTGGGCAGGACGACAGCGCAGGGAAGGCGGCGGAAAATGCCTCAGTGGGAGAGGTTTCGTGCAGAGCGGGGGTGAGGTCCAGGGAAGGCCAAGATCGAGCTTTCGCTGCCCAGATGCCCGTCGTCATCGCGCTGCCGTGGAGGGGTGGCATGGACGCTTGCGGCCTTGACACCGCCGATCGCTGGGCTTTCTTCACGAAGAGCTTTTGTCCTGTGCGCCTTCTTTTCGGTGATTTCAGCGGCGCAGGGCCATCGGCTGGGCTCGGCGCTTCGCACAACCGCGTCTGGCACACCAGCACACGGATCCCATTTCAGCCGCTGCAGGCTGCCCAGTGCGTCCCAGGATTGCGCAACCCGCTCTATGCAAGTAGCTAAACACCACTTCCGCCCGCCTAACGCGGTTGCCGCCGCGCCATGGACGAAGAGCTGCGATGGTGAGGCAGGCGAAGCAAAAGCCGAGCCATGTGGCCTGTTTTATGCGCGAACCACGCCACGAGGCGCGTTGCGGCGGGCGGGAAGCCGTGCGTGCATGTGGTCGTCGTCGTCTGCAGCAGCGTGAGGTGTGTGCAGAAGGACCCTGAAACGGCGGTGTTCGTGTTGCGATATTGTTGCAGCGCTGCAGACGTTGGGCTGCAACTGGCGCAGATCTGCTGCTGGCGGCGAGTTCGGAAGGGGAGCATCTGGGCAAGCGTGGAAAAAGCATGCACCTCCAAGGCACAGCCGCACACCACCATCGCCAGCGCTGGGGTTTTAGGGCTTAGGCGAGCTAGGGGCTGGCAGTGCGGGCGTACCTGAGCGTCGAATCGTGCGCGGCGCAATCCATCCCGCGCTCAAGCTCCTCCCAGCAACGGTCCCAGTCCACCACCAGCTTGCTGCGGAGCACCTCCTTCCGCTGCCACCAGCCCGCCCAGCGGCCCAAGGGCTGCACCGTCTCGAACAGGCCGCACAGGTGACATGTCTCTCGCGTCGCGCCGCACACCGGCTCCTGCATGGCGCAGGGTTGGTGGTCCATACCGCCGTCTCAGCAGCGGAGGCGGGCGGAGATTCCTCCGCGTCCGCTGAGTGCCTGGGGCGGAGACTCCTCGGCGGCTCCCCGCTGGCTGCGCACGGGCGTTTCAGCCTTGCTCGTTCTGCAATCGACCAGGGACCACCACGCCCTCGCCCGACAAGCCAACAAGCCTCGCCCACGCTTGCAACCACGCCGCCTGCCCTGCGGTAGCCAGCTGCGCGTCTTCAGAAGGCCCGACGGTAGCGCCGGGTGGCCACGCAGCGCGATCCTGCCGCCCCCCTTCCGGCCGTACGTCTTCCAGAGCCAGCAGTCCAGCCAGCTGCGCGCTGCAGCACAGCAGTACAATAGGACCGATGGCAGCCAGCACTACTCCTATTCCGGGCGGGCAGTCGCTCTGTATCGGCACTGCGCTGGTGCTAAAACAGCTGAGCGCGGGGCGTGGGCCAGCAAATTGATCTCATTTTCGCTAACGAATAAGCAAGGGTTGATGCGCCTGCCCACCGTTGCTTCCGCTGTCATGCCACGCCGTTGACGACCCCATCCATGCCGCCGCCTCACGGCGAAACCCAGCGTCTCAGCCTCCCTTGACGTTGCTCAATTCCCCGGCACGGCAGTCAACTCGCGCTACGCCCATCTGCCGTGCCAGCATAGCCCCTTTTCGCCGCCCTGCCGGTGGAACCTCCGCCCAAAACTGGCTCGCAATCTCGTCTGACACCTCGCCCTGCCAGCCGAGCTAGTCCTTCTTCATCAATGTATCGAAGATCTCACCAATGGCCCTTGCGCTCTTCTTGGGGTACCTCTTCTGCCCCCCTGCGTAGTCGACGTAGCACACGCCAAAGCGCGTCTCGTATCCCTCTGCCCACTCGAAGTTACTGCGGGGAAATTTGGTCAGCATTGCGCGGAATCCCGCCGGATGGCCCTGTGCGCCTCTGGGCAATGTTGCTTACTCCATCAATGACCATGCCATGTAGCCTCGAACATCGACGTCGTCCTTGCTGTACGCGTCTGCGAGCGCATGGATGTAATCGTCGAAGTACTGGACCCGGAAATCATCTTCCAGCAGTTTCTCCAGCGGCAGCTCGCTCTCTCCCTTCAGGCTCGTCCCGTTCTCCGTCACGTAGATGGCCGGCCGGCCGTAGCGATCGCTGATGTCACACACGCATTAGCCTCCACACGCGGTTAACCCTCCCGTCGCGGGGCCAGGGCCAATAGAGTTTCCGGAGAAACGAACCTAATCCACTTCAGCAGCTTCCTGAACCCCAACCCGTTCGGCCTGAGCCACGGGCTCTGCGTCTCGGGCCCGATGCATTCGCCCTTCTTGCTATAGAAAGTACACTCAAGGTTTCCGAGAAAGTCGTTCAGCTCCGGCTCCGTGTCGACATGCTTGACGTAGTTTGCGGTATAATGGTTCATGCCGTAGAAGTCGTTGCTTCCCTTGACCAGCGCCGCCTCGTCGGGTGTGAACTCCGGCAGACGGTCGCCAAGCTGCTTCCGCATGCTGTCAGGGTACTTGCCGAAGTACACAGGATCCGCAAACCAGGAGATGGAAAACTCATGCTTGCGATTGGCGGCCTCGACATCACGCGGGTCTTCAGGGTCCCATGGGTACATGTAATCGCCTGTGATTGATTAGAAGTGCCGATCTGCACATACATCACACTCCGCGAGACGAGACGAGTTGCATGATGCAAGCGAAGACAGCCCATGTCAAGCCTAAAACTCAGACTGGCGTGTTGTCCAGACTAGGTTTGTATAGGCCCGAAGCTCCCGCCTATACCGACGACAGGCACTACCGCTCCGCGGGCAACTGAAGGTCCAGGCGACGATCGACAAGACAAGGTTCGTCTCATCTGCCGGTGCAATTCTCTTCTGGTGGTACGTGGTGTTTGGAGTATTTTTGGAAACTTTGGCTTACCGTTCAGGGTGATGCCAATTTGGCCGCCGTCCTTCGCTTTGAATTCCTCTCTGTACACCTTCACTGCTGAAGCGTGAGCGAGCAACAGATTGTGACCGACGATCCATGGCTCGCGCGAGCTGTCCCCTTCTGGATTTTTGTTTCGATCGCTCGTCCTGCCCGGGGCGAACAGCCCGGTGCTGTACCCGAGGATGGAGCTGCACCAAGGCTCGTTGAAGGTGATCCAGTACTTGACTTTGCTCCCGAAGGCTTTGAAGACAACCCTCGCATAGTTGGTATAGTCGGCCACGAATTCCTCCTTGTTCAGAAGTCCGCCGTACCGCTTGTCCAGCTCGTCCGGAAGGTCCCAGTGATAGAGTGTCACCAGCGGCTCGATGCCCGCGGCAATCAGGTCGTCGGCAAGCTTCACGTAGTACTGAAGGCCCTTTTCGTTGATTGGATCATTACGGCCGCCGAGGGGGATGATACGGGACCAAGAGAGGGAGAAGCGGTAGGCTTTGGCACGGCATTGCTTCAGGAGAGCAATGTCTTCAGCGGTCCGGTGGTACGAGTCGCACGCAACGTCGCCGCTGCTGCCGTCGGCGATCTTCCCGGGCTTGCGGCAGAAGGTGTCCCAAATGCTAGGGCCACGGCCATCTTCTTCAGGAGCACCCTCGATTTGGTAGCTGGACGGTGTAAGTTTCCGAAAGCAAGCTTATCCTTCTTCCTCAAGCACGGGACGAGACCGTCACAAAAGAGGAAAGTTCAGGAGAGAGGGAGCAGACCTTGCGGTTGCGAAGCCCCAGAGAAAATCTTTTGGGAGGACTGCCTCTGTCATGACTGCTTCTATCCCCCTCGGTTGATTTTGTTGACGAAAAAGATTGGTTCCTATTCGAAAGATCTCAGAAGACTGTTGTCCACTGAGAGACAAGCGAACACGATGCAGAGACTCAGCAGGGCGTTGTGCTCTTCTTATGTGCCGCAGTGCGCCTTCTCCACTTCTTTTCTTCCAATATAGCCACGGAGGACGTGCCGCCGACGCCGTCTCGTGATGGCAAATTTGCCTGTTCAGTACACGGAGGATGCAAGAAGAGGCTGAAGGCGGTTCCTACGGCACGGTCGCCTCGAGCAGTAGGCCGCCTCCATCAATTCTGCCGGGTACGGAGAAGGCACACGGCAGGCGGTCGAAGGGGAGACGGGCCGGCTGTGCGGTTGTTGAGAGCGTCACGGCTGCCCCGCGCCGCTGCCCCTCCATCGACGTCAGCGAATGAGATCGGCTGCCTTCCAGCCACAGCCCGATGTTTAGCCACTTCTCCCGAAGTTGCCCCAAACCGCATCCCGCCCGCCTCGAGAGCTTCCCGCCCCGCGCTCTCTCCGCATTCCGCATCTCCACATCTTCGAGAATCTCTGCGGAGCTCGTTCCACCATGGCACGACATAAAGCAGCCCGCCAACCAGCGCAAGTGTCAGCAAGCATGCTTCCTGCATCAATCACACCTTCATATTCCATCGCAGCGTAGCATTCCGCCCTTACAGCCTCCCTGTCGTTATCACATTTCGCTCGGAATCGCATCCCTCGTAGCTCCATCCAAAGATGCTATCCACACTCCGACACACCTCGCGCGTGCGCGCGCGCGCCTCTTTGCCGTCGACTCTTCATATCGCGCGCGCCGTCGCGACCGCACCTGCATCGACACAGAAACGCGCAGGCGACATCTCAGACGCATTCGCTTCTCTTAGTGGGAAGGAATTCACGCCCCTCGAGCCGCGCTATGCCACGTTGAAGAAGAACCTCATTGCCGGTCGTGAGGATGCAATTCGAGCATCATGGGAGCGGCTGTTGAAGGACCTGCGCACAGAGATCCCACATATTGTTGAGATGGGAAGCAAAGTCGTTCCGGAGGTACAATACAAGGATATTGTGAAGGGCACTGTTAGCCAGGAATTCGTTGCGGAGCATCGCAAACGAGGTGTCGCCATTGTGAGGGGTGTCGTTGACGAAAAAGAGGCGCGTGGCTTTAAAGACGAGGTTGAGGACTATGTTAGGAAAAATCCGCATACGAAGGGTGAGTATTCCTACTCTTGGTTATGCGGTTCAATCGCGTGTCTCTTTAGATATAGACTCCGACGCTGACACGGCAGCTATTAGCTTTTCCATCCGACAACCCGCAAGTCTTCGAACTCTACTGGTCGCGACCACAGATGCGGGCCCGCTTGCATCCAAACATGCTGAACACCCAGCGCTACCTGATGTCATTCTGGCAGGCCAAGGACCCACATGCGCAGATCTCGACGCAGCACCCCACAGCGTACGCGGACCGGCTGCGCATCCGTCAGCCGGGTGACGCCAAGTTCGCTTTAGGCCCACACGTAGACGGCGGGTCGGTTGAGCGATGGGAACCAGAGGGGTACGGACGCGGTGGCGTGTACGACAAGATCTTCGAGGGGCGGTGGGAAGAGTACGATCCATGGGAGGCCGGCTCACGGCTGCCGGTCGTGTCGGACATGTACCAGGGCGTAGGCGCGTGCAGCATGTTCCGCATGTTCCAAGGCTGGCTGAGCATGAGCGAGACGGGTCCAAATGAGGGTACGCTGTTGGTCAACCCACTTCTCTCTCGCGCCACGGCCTACATCCTACTGCGACCGTTCTTCACGCCCAAGCGAGGCCCGACAGACCCCAAGTCCGACGTCTTTGACCCGGCCTTCCTCGAGGCCGGTAACTGGCAGCTCGAGCAGCCGGAACCCAGTTCGTGGCTGCAAGGCGCGACGCCCGGCCAGGGCCAGGAGCTGCGCGCGGCACTGCACCCGCACCTGGACCTCGCGCGCAGCATGGTACACATTCCCCGCGTCCGTCCAGGCGACTACGTGTCCTGGCACTGCGACGGCATCCACGCCGTCGACAGCACGCACGCCGGCAAGGGCGACTCGTCGGTCATGTACATCCCGGCCTGCCCGCTCACCGAGGCCAACGCCGCCTACCTCACCCGCCAGCGCGACTGCTGGCTGCGCGGCGTGCCCAGCCCGGACTTTGGCGGCGGCGAGGGCGAGTCTCGCCACGTCGGTCGCCCGTCGCCCGAGTACGTGGCTGAGCTGGCCGGACAGGAGGGCAGGAGGGCTTGGGGTCTGGAGCAGTGGGATAGCACGGCTGAGGGATTGGCTCCGGGCCAGCGCGCGGTGTTGGACCGCGCGAACAAGGTGTTGGGGTTCCATGTGTAGGTAGTAGAGGTGGGGTCTTGTCGGCTTTGGAGTTTCTGCGGGGGAATGTTGCTGCTGGGAAGAAAGATTGGAAGGTGTGATGGGGTGATTTTGGCGTATCGCGGAAAAGCAGGGTGTCGGATGTTTTATACTCCTGAGATGTGTGAGGGTTTTAGTGTTGTTTGTAAGCGTGTTGAGGTCCGGTTTTGGGGATTCGGGCAGCAGTATGGGATAAAACGGAAGCAGAGCTTGTCGGGGTTAAATCGAGAAGAGCGGAGAGCAATTTCATCATGGAAGTATTCAGTAAGCACAATTTGAGAGTGTCCCAGATTGCGAAGATACTCTAAAGCCCTGGAAATTCTCACGCTTTAGCTAATTCTATGAAGTTTGGTCTAAAGTGAATGTCGAACTAAAAGAGGCAAAAAAAAGGCACGACGCTGTACTAATTTCAGTATGTGCTAACAAACATGATAGTGAATGATTGCTTAATCTTTTTATGATGTAGAGTGATCGACCTTGCATCAAGCATTATTCCTGATACACAGAATATATACTCTCATTAATCGATTTAGTCGTCAAAGTTAATTTCAAAGTTAGCCATTGTTATCATCCACAACTGAATTCTCTGCATCGATCACGCACTTTCACAAGCCTGTGCCAACGTATCCCCTTTCCACCTTCTTCCTTACGGGTAGGTCCCATCATCCTTCAATTTCGTCCATCCCGGAAATTGCGCCAGGCTGCCCTCATCCCAAGCCTCCCCGCCCAACTGTGGACACCCGAGCCCGCTTATAGCGCTCGTCAGAGCATCTCCCAGCTGGCCGAGTGCGCCGGCAAGATCCTTGACAAGGCCCTTGAGCAGATCGGGGGCAAACTGGACGGCGGCTTGGAAGCCGAAGCATGCGAGGTTGTTGCCGTCGAGGAGGGTTTGGGCGTTGTAGAGGCCGCCGGTGAGGTTCTGAAGGTCGATGGGAGTGAAGGAGTTGGGTGTGCCGGTCTGATAGATAGAGAGGGGAGGTCAGAGTTGTTTGTTTTGGAGGGAGTGAAAGGGGGATGGGGATGAAGGAGAGCCTTACGTTCCCGCCAATGTCCAAGAACTGCGGATGTTGCAATGCTGCAGCATTGAGATCTAACGCATAAAATGGAATAGTGTATTCGTCGCCCAACGCCCTCTTGTACCAATTTTCGGGGATCCGCTCCCAGCCCGGGTTGTGCACCATGTCGTCGTCGGGCCCGGTGAAGCCGAAGAAGCTCTTGAGGACCTCTTTGGTCAACACACCTTCGGGGTTCTCGGCACTCTTGTTGGCCATGAACCGGTAGATGAAGGTGTACGCGGCCGGCTGCACGACTACACCGGAGAAGGGGGCGTTGAAAAAGTACGGGTTCGAGGAAATGCTTTGCTGGAAGCGTTCCTCGCGGAAATCGGTCAGAAGACCGAGGCCGTAGTTGGATTGCGCGTTGGGGACGCCTGATTGTTTGGCGAAGAGGGCGTCCCATTGGGAACGGACGACGGCGAAGTTGTTTCCGCTGGAAGGAGGCGAATAATGCGTTAGTGCAGTACGGGGTGATTACCAATAGCAAAGAAAGAAAGGAGAGTGATGAAGGGATTAATAGGTGAAATAGCGAAAATAATTTAAGCATACTATTGATATAAATCTCCGCGAGTCGGACTGGCGTCCGTTTCATATTTGTTGTGAGAGCCGGAAATTCCCTGGGGCTGGGTGAGAAGGTTAAGTAGGTCCGTTGTTTCCGGTGCACCTCCGATAGACCAGCTGATGCCATTACCGTCCATGACGGCGCCGTAGATGGAAAGAAAGGTGGCCAGATCAACACCCATGCCATAGACTACACAGCTAGTCAATTTTATGTTGCAGCATACAGAAGAGCTGTGTTAGTTGACTAACCTTGATTTGTGGCTTCGACGAACTGTGTGATGGTTGCTACGCCATCGTGAGGCAAATAATTACTAGCAATGGTAAGCAATACGTGTAGGAAATAGGAAGAGTAGGGGACTTACTGGTTGGCTAGAGCATTGAGGCCTGGACAAGGACCTCTTTTGTCGCCGGGTCCCGGGGGCACGAAGGCGTGCTCACCAGAGACATCAATTCTCTGCGCTTCAGCATCGAAACCCGGGCTGATTCCATTCACTCTCTTCTCCTTCTGGGATGATTGTGCAGCGTACTGGTCAGCCAGGGCCGGGAAGGCGGCGGCTTGGCCCGCAAGAGCAGCGGCGCCCAACGAAAGCCAGGAGGAAGGCATGTTTGAAAAGCCACGGGCAATTAACAAGATTGGAACGGGATGAGAAGCAGGGCAGGCAGGCGCTCGGTTGCTCATTGTAAGGCAGTTCTGGAGTCTAGTATATATATACAGCTACTCAGGTACACTAGCAAAGCCACAAACATCACTGACTTTGAGTTACCTCATAGAGCAGTGTTGGAGGGCAGGCGAAGGGCCTCGGTATCTTTCCTACTTGCAAGGGACCGGGGTGGACTGGAGAGGAGAAGGGACGGCTCGATTACCCCACAAAGTCGAAGGTACGCCATAGCTGAGGGGTGTTTACCTAGACAGGGCAATTGGTGCACAAGTTCCTTGACAAAAGACGCACAAAGTCAAGCTTATCATCTAAGTGGCAGCGCTAAGAAATCTAGCCGCCGATGAGGCGTAGCAAAAGCAGCCCAAAGGAGCACGCGGACACCGGAAATGGAGATCAGAAGAACCAAGTTGCTAAAGTTGGCCGAGAAATGGTGCAGATCTCTGAGTAAAGGGAGATGCTGATTGGTTGGGTGCGAGTGCGACTGTGTTTAGCTTCGGAAAGGACTGGTGCCGGCTTCCTGGGGTAACAGTGGCTTATGACGTGTTCGGAAAACAAAGTGTTGCATCATGCCTGTACAGATAGGAAGGACGCAGAATGTGGGGTAGTTATGCTTCCACGACATTTTTTCCACGAGGAACAATATGTAGGCAGTGAAGGCTATCGTCCGGACAAGAGTGTACATCCAGGTGATAACCTCAACTACCTATGACAAGAGTGAAAAAGAAATTGACGCTAGGCTTTGGCTGCGACAGCCCTCTGTATTGCTTTTGCGTTTCCACCATGAAGCAATAGTAGTCTGTTCCGTGGAAGAGAACGAATGCGCCAGACTAGGTAAAAATGACGCAGTGCATGCATCGAAAGGGCGTGCCGGCATCTTATAACCATCACCCAGAATTCACCGAGGCTCAGCTGAGGGAAGTCAGGTGGAAAGCGAGCAACGCCATGACGCCGAAAAGAAATTCCAAGGGTGACAGGAGAAAACGGGATCCATGGTCGTAGAATACGAAGTGTGGATTGTCGTCCACGTGGGTCCGGGTACCAATGTTAAGCAAGATGGCTGGAACGCTCGGCGGGCATTTGAGTGGCTCGCTCGCATGGACAAGCTAACTTAATGATGAGGGAGCAGCGTGTGTGATGGGTGATGTCGCACAGCGCAAGTAGCACTGATGCGGGGGCTGACGAGATGAACAAGGAGTGCATGTGAAGGCGGTGGGAAGGGAATGGCGAACCATCAGTGGGGAGGCTCGAGACCCCCAGAAGTTGGGGCGCATGGGCCCAGGTACCGGGTAGGGCTATGTCGCACGGACGGCATGGCGCAACGCATTTGCCGGTTGAACAGATGGACGCCGCGGGGTGCGGCTCATCTCGCTTCCTCGGTCAGCCAGCACGGAGATTTGCGGTCAAGCAGGACAGCCGCTGACGGGATGTCCTCCACAGCGGCATTTTGGCCGTCCAACGTTTCAGGGTCTTCGCGAAGGAAGGCGTCAGCCAGCTTGCGTCCTCCTTCTTCCTCACCCCAGTGCACAGACCACCAAGCGCACCGCCCAAAAAGCTTAGCCATGCCTTAACCCGTTCTCGTCGCCCCAGCCATTCACCACCACACTTCGCTTTAAAACAATCAAAACGCTCGATTTCGCCGCTAGTTTTTTTGGTTTTGATTGCCTGTTGCGGGTGCGTTGCCGCTCGCGTCCATGCTGCCAGTGCTGATATTCGCGCATGCCGAGAGTTTGTCATGTAACATTTCAGCTAGCCTGCCTTTGTCAAGCTCACTGCGAAAATGCCTCAGCTAGCTGTTTCTCCATCCAGACACACCGCCGCCGCCAGGCTCTCCGCTGCATCGCCAGAGGATACACAGCCACTTGCTTGGCCAACCGCTGGAAAATCCCGCATCACGGGTTATCACTGCAGTATATGAGCTCTCAGCGTTGAGCCCGTTTCCCAGTTTTCCAAGCATTTCCAACTCTTGTGCTGAGCGCATTGCTGTGCCCTTTTTTGTCTCGAGAAATTGCCGCACCAGCAGTCGCATCAGCACCATCACCATGGCCGACGCCACCCCCCAGGAAAATGACCCTGACCAAATCTCGGCTGCTCCCAATCGCATCCGCTATGCCGACGATGTCGAGGCTCAGCGTCGCAGGAGCCTGCGTCGTCGTGCTTCCAATGCATCCGATCTTTCTGCTCGCACTTCGCGCTCCTTTGCCCGTCACGAGGTCGAGCCCGGCGTTGCACTGCCCATTCACTTCCGCACTCTTTCGTTCAACGTCGAGCAGACCCAAGCCAAAGAGGCCGAGGAGGCAGACCTCAAGGAAAAGGAGAAGGAGAAGGCAAAGTCGAAGAAGAAGAAGTTCGATGCTGAGTTTGGTAAGCCATGTCTTCTGCGTTGGCCCCTTTTGCCTCGGTGCGCTGACTGTGCAGACTATGCCACCGTCGACTGGCACAAGATCACGACCCAGGAGCTGTGCACTCGCCTCTCGACTTCCCTCCAGCAGGGTCTGTCGGCCGATGGAGCCGCCCGCAAGCTCAAGGAATACGGACCCAACGCCCCCTCGCCGCCTCCCTCGACATGGTTTCGCAGATTCGTCGGATACTTTTTCGGTGGCTTCGGCACCATCCTCTTGATTGCCTCGATCCTTGTCTTCGTCGCATGGAAGCCTCTTGGAGACCCTCCTGCTCCCGCGAACTTGGCCTTGGCCATTGTGTTGCTTGTCGTCTTCTTCATCAATGCGGCCTTCAACTTCTACCAGGGTACTTGCACCCCAAATACACTGCCATGGTGAAGTCATACTCACGCACAACAGACTGGTCCAGCTCTCGCGTCATGTCGTCCATCAAGACGATGCTTCCGGAAGAGTGTCTCTTACTGCGCGACGGCACCAAGCAGCACCACCCCGGCGCCGACATCGTCCCCGGCGACGTCCTCTATCTCAAGATGGGCGACAAGCTCTCTGCAGATGTTCGCTTCGTCGAAGTGTCGCCAGATGCGAAGTTCGATCGGTCCATCCTCACTGGCGAGACGGTGCCTCTTCGCGGTACCGTCGACTCGGTAAGTGCCACGCCCCCCACAGTACAGAAACCTTCACCAACAAAGATAGACGGATGAAAACTTCCTCGAAACTGCTTGCATCGGTATGGCTGGTACCCACATTGTGTCGGGCTCGGCTGTTGGTGTCGTCATTGGCACTGGTGACCGATCAGTCTTCGGTCGGCTTGCGAAGCTCACGAGTGCGCCTAAGACGGGCTTGACGAGTCTTGAGAAGGAGATTTACTACTTCGTTGGCATCATCGTCACCATCATGATCACCATGGTCGTTATCGTCATTGCCGTCTGGGCTGGCTGGCTGCGCCGCGATCACCCCGACTGGATCAATGTCTCTCTTCTCATCGTTGACTGTGTCAGCGTAGCCGTCGCCTTTATCCCTGAAGTGAGTAACGGCTGCGACGTGACGCCAGGCTTTGCTAACTCGCCTCAGGGTCTCCCCATCGCTGTCACGGCCAGCTTGACAATCGTCGCCAACATCATGAGGCAGAACGCAATCCTCTGCAAGTCTCTCAAGACGGTCGAGACACTTGGCTCTGTCAGCGTCATCTGTTCCGATAAGACTGGCACCCTCACAAAGAATCAGATGCGTGTGACTGACTGCCTTGTTGGTTGCGACGCTCTGACTGCTACCGAAGCAGCTGGCAAGGTGCAGCTATCTCGCGTCGCAGTTGACATCGCCGAGCCATCGCTGGGTTGCAGACAGCTTGCCGTTGTTGGCGGCGTCTGTAATGCCGGCGAGTTCGATGCATCGACCATGAACAAGCCCCTTTCCGAGCGCAAGATCAACGGTGACGCTACCGACACGGCTGTCCTGCGCTTCTCCGAAGGCCTTCTGTCGGTCCAGGAAACGCGCCAGAAGTGGCGCAACGTCTACCGTGTCGCCTTCAACAGCAAGAACAAGTTCATGATCCAGGTTGCGCAGCGTGACGTTTACGAGCCTGTCGACGACGCCTTGTTTGAGAACGACAATGCTAAGCCTGAGGACCAAGTGTTGATGATCAAGGGTGCCCCAGACATCCTCATGCCCAGGTGTACGCGCTACATGGACTTCGATGGCCACGCCCAGCCTCTCACCGAGTCGGATCAGCGCTTCCTTGAGGACGCCAAGAACATATATTCGAAGCAAGGAAAGCGTGTCATCCTACTGGCCCAGAAGATCTTGCCCAGGCACGTCTCTGGGCTTGCCGTCGAGTCTGCGCAGTACGAGAATGCCATCATGGACGAGGCCAGCAGAGGCCTCCTTCTCATCGGTCTCGTTGCCATCGTCGATCCTCCCAGAGACGAGATCCCCGAGGTTGTGAAGACTCTTCGCGGTGCGGGTATCAAGATCTTCATGGTCACCGGAGACTTCCAGCTGACGGCCGCCGCCATCGCCGCCGAGTGCGGCATCATCACGAACCCGCCCGAGGACATCCACGATATTAACTCACTGTCAATGAAGTACCCCTCTCCGTCGGGCGAGAAGTCGATGGAAGTCATGCCCCGGACGCCCACGACGCCGGGTGCTCCGCGCTCGCTCGTCATCAGCGGCGGCGACATGAACAGCCTGACGGACGAGCAGTGGGACGTGCTGTGCAAGTACGACGAGATCGTCTTCGCGCGCACGACGCCGGAGCAGAAGCTCAAGATCGTGACGGAGCTGCAGGCGCGGCACGAGACGGTGGGCATGACGGGCGACGGCGTCAACGACGCGCCGTCGCTCAAGCAGGCCGACATTGGCATCGCCATGGGCGGCGGCAGCGACATCGCCATCGAGGCGGCCGACATGGTGCTGCTCGAGTCGTTCGCGGCCGTCGTCGAGGCCGTCAAGTACGGGCGCGTCGTCTTCGACAACCTCAAGAAGACCATCTGCTACCTGCTGCCGGCCGGCTCCTTCTCCGAGTTCTGGCCCGTCATGACCAACGTGCTGTTCGGCCTGCCGCAAGTGCTGTCGTCGTTCCTGATGATCATCATCTGCTGCTTCACCGACTGCGCCGCCGCCACGGCCATCGCCTACGAGAAGCCCGAGGCCGACGTGCTGCTGCAACGGCCCCGCAACCCGCGCAAGGACCGCCTCGTCGACTGGAAGCTCATCCTGCACGCCTACGGCGTCATAGGCGTCATTCAGTCCGTCTCGTCCTTTGCCATGTCCTACTGGTTCTGCCAGCGCCAGGGCCTGCCCTTTTCGGCGTTGTGGTTCGGCTTCGGAGCCGTGCCCGAGGGCATGACGGCCGACCGCTACCAGCACATCCTGAACCAGGCCAGCTCCGTCTACTTCGTCAACCTGGTCGTCATGCAGTGGTTCAACCTCATGGCCGTGCGCACCCGCCGCCTCTCGCTGCTGCAGCACCCCCCACTCTGGATCAAGGAGACGCGCAACCTGTGGCTCTTCCCGGCCATCCTCTTCAGCTTGGGCATCGCCTTCTTGTTCTTGTATCCCCAGAAGCTGCAGGACGTGCTCGGGACCACGAGCGTGCCCGTCGAGCACTGGTTTTTGCCCATGGCGTTCGGCATGGGCATCTTGCTGCTGGATGAGACGAGGAAGTGGGCCGCGAGGAAGTGGCCCGGTGGTGTCGTGGCGAAGATGGCGTGGTAGATGATGTTCTTGTTATGTTTTATTGCATGAGTGTGCGAATATACCCTCGCTTGCTTTGGTTTGACATAGATCGGATGACTGTTTGAGCGTTTTTGTAGATAATAGACAGCGAAATGAATATTTGCTCCAGAGTGGAAGAGCCGCATGTTTCTTGTAATCAGGTGGATAGGCCGTATCAAACCGGCGGAGAGCGCGTGGGTTGTAGGCAAACAGCGCCGGCAAGCGGTTCTGAATATATAACAGGAGGACCATGGTGGCTACCCATTGAGCAAGAAGTTACTCTCCGGACACTGGCCACATTCGCTGTATTATTGCGCCGCCTGGAGCTATAGGCCTCTGGCTCTATCAGACGCGTTTATCAAGAGTCACGGATGGTGGTTTTGTTCTGTGTTGTGAAAGTGTTAACACGACCATTGTCTTGCGCACGTACTTGAGTGAAGGTCCGTGCCTCCCGCTCATCAACATCCGCACCTGATGAAGCCCTGCAGGGCAACTGAAACTCGTAATCCTATTGGCTGTGGACATTTATCAACTTTCCGATCATCACTTGATCTAACAGTCGCGGCAAATCAACTGACGGCTATATATAGTCGAGAAACTTCGAGCACTACATCAGCTTCACCCCTCCACAACTTCCTTTTGCCTGGCAGCCTACCTACAGTACGAGTGTTCCATCCTGAAAGGTAAGACAGTCAGTTCATCCGTCAAACAAGCTAACGCTACTCTCAGCTGCCTGCTACCGGCAAGGGACCATACCCAACCCACAGACACGAACGCGTCCAATCTAGTAGCCATGCGAAGCACCAGCCTCCCCTCAATGGCGTCTGAAGCACCGTTGCTTCGCAGAACGACCAACGAGCCCTCCCGGACACCAACCACCAAGAGCCAGACAAGTGTCTGCGCTCAGAGCAGCCCAGAACAGCAACCGCAGTGTCGTACCCCGAAGTACAACGTGTGGTACCGCATCAAGCGGGCCCTCACACGCACAGCGCCGACACCCACGGGCACTTCGGAGGCAGCATCCGACCGCGAGCCTCACTGGACCAGCGAGAAGGAGGGCCGCTCCTTCAACTCTTGGTCGAGCGGCGCCACCAAGCTGTTCCGCCGCGACCGCTCCGATTCCGCCTCTACTGGCGCGAACACTGACAACAACGGATACGTTGTAACGCCAGCAAGCACACTATCTAGCCACCGCCACCTCCTCCGCCACCCAGAGCCGCAACACGACAACACACCAAGCTTCAACAACCTTCACTCACCCAGCCGCGTTCTCAACAAACAGGCTGCGGAGCGTGAGACGCATGTCCAGGACACCGAGAGTAGCCGCCTTTTCCTGCGAGCTCCACCCTTTCGCCACAGGCAGAGGGAGAAGCGGACGCCCGTCTGGGAGGTGTTCGTGGTGGAAGAGCCTACCGATGAAGAGCAGGCAAGGCGTGCGTTTGCCCTTCTCGAGACGTGCGGTGCCGAGACTGCTCGTTCCGGAAATCCCCTGGCGGCGGACAGGCGACGTTTTGACGAGGGAGGTGAGGATGAGGATGGTGGGGAGGCACCAGTGAGGCGTCCTGTCTTGGGAGCTCGCTTCTAGTTATTCGCACAGGAATGGAAGTTCGGGATGGCTCAGCATGTAGAAAACTGCGCAGTTAAATGGCAAATTAGCTCTATGAAGAGAGTTTATTGGTCCTCATCTGGAAAGGTGACATTGATCTCGATTTTAGCACTGTTAGCACTGCGTATTCAAATCACTAAACCAGCTCTCATCTCACTATTGATCAGTAAAGCAAAGAGATTGCATATTGGATGCAGGACCGTTGCATGAATGTCAAGTCTTGAACTATCACGTTCGAGACATGGTACCCCGATTTTCCTTGGCACACTGGACAGGTCTACTATTGCAGCCACGTTAATAGTTATATGTCAATAAGTTTCGAGAGAAAATCGCATGAGTGCTTAACGCGGCTCCGAATCTCAAATTTGGATATCTCTTGGGCAAACCCCGTATCAATGCGAACAAACTGAGAGGATACTACGAGCTACAGGACATGGTGAAAATCGAGCCAGAAGGCGCGAGCGAGAAGACTCGGTAGCAGAAAGCTCAGACAAGTCCAAATCGATAGGAAATGCGCGAAAAAAAAAATTGCAAACGTCAAAAACATTGCTTACGGATCTCCCATAGTCCGTTATATCCCAGTCCATCTTATCTCTTCCCAGTCCATAGCCTCCCAAAGCTGCTAGAACAGCTGTACCTGATCAACGCCTTTGATAATGGAAATGATAATGGGGGCAACGAAGAAAAAGAAGGCCTAGAAGTGCTCCTTCCAGAACCTAAACCGCACGTCCGGGCACGTTGCGGCCTTGCAGGCCTTGTTGATGTCGCGAGCAGCGACGCTGGGGCCGCAGAAGTACACTCCCACATCGGTCCGCAGACTGCTCTCCAGACCACTCATGTAGCTACGTGTCATGATGCCATCGCGCATACCCACAAGGAGTTTCGTAAAGTCGGGCCGGCCGAAGTTGGTTCGAGATTTGAGCTCAGTGAGGGGGTCCTTGTCTGTGCCGACCGAATTGAGGACAATGTTGTTGGCAGTGTCGACGTCGACCTTTTGGGTGAGGTAAGTGTGGATGCGCAGGAAATCCTCCTGTCCATTAGGGTCGGACGACCCCAATGACTGCGCCTCGAGAGAGGACAGCAGCGCCTGGAACCATTCGAACGAGCTGGTGTCTTTGCAGACCCAGATGAATTCAACACGGCGGAGACGCTTGGGTGGGTTGGGTGACAGGCGCATGTGCCAGATATTCTTCAAAATCGAGGCCCACGGAGTTACACCAATACCCGTTCCGATCAGAACCGCGATTTCGTTATCGAAGACATCTTCAGCCGGTGCTCCATAGGGCCCATCGATACGGATTGCGGGCATCTCTTGGCCGTGCTGGAGGGCAATCTCGTACATCCCGTTGGGGTCCATGTCATCGTAAAGCTTCGCCTGGGCAGGACCCGCACCGAGAGCATCGGCGAGAGCGCGGGTGAAATCACCGACTTGGCGAACGTGGATCGAAATGTAAGGGTCATACGGGCAGGACGTGATGGTGAATGGATGCCACTGATAGCCGCTGACTGAGGGGCAGTTGATAAACAACCATTGGCCAGGCTTGTACCTCATCGAGGGCTTGGTAAACTGGATTTCGACGGCGTCTGAAGTTGTATTAGCCAATTTGCATTCAGCATCTAGATGCCATTCACTTACCGTATGGATGCTTCACAACCTTGACGATCCGCGTGTCACGCCTTGCCCGTACCTCGCGGTAGAGGCGCTCGAACAAGTAGATACCACCGCCCCAGAGCTCCCAGCGCCAGCCCTGATATCCAATACAGTGGTTCCAGAAGTTGGCGCCGGCAAAGGGAGAAAATGGCTCCACGCTATCTCTGACGAAGCAGCCCGTAGCGTGCGTGTACATTCCAAGGAGGAACGGAATAAACAGGTGGTGAGTGTACCAGAACGTCTCGAAAGATTGCTGGCGGACTCTGTGGTGTGCAGTAGTGTAGATTAGTAGCATGCAAAGAAGCATGACGTGACCAGTAATTCCTCCAGCTTGCGTGTAGTGAATTTGTAGAGCTAGCTCAGGGCGGACTTGAGTTTTTTCGACATTGAAGAAACTGCTTGAGTCAGCAAGGCACGGATCTGCACAAGCATGGATGACTTACTTCACATAGTGCGCAAGAACGTGCCAGCAGGTCCAGAAAAGCATGGCGTAGGCGACTTGTCTGTGAAACCACTGGGACTCATCGAGAGGCAGCCATCGGATCTTGGGGCGGATCACACGAAGGAGGGTCCTGCACATGGGCAGGAGAATGAAAAGAACGTCGAAAGACAAGACCAGACCAGCACCGCGAGATATCCAGACGGAAAATTTGAGGCCGTTCAAGGCGGCTAATCTATCGTCGGCCGCCTGCTTGTACCTGTTACACCATTAGCTTGGGGTTGAGGCCCAGCGGCTCTGGAAGACATACCAGCCAAAGGCAAAGAGAAAGACGTGCAATCCATGGAAGATGAAATAGAAAAGCAACTTCCGAGGTATGAAGTGCGATTTCCACGACCGCTGAGCAGCCATTTTGGGTGATGGGGTGGGGTTGACCGGGGGTATCTACTGCGGTATACCAGTCGTGTCTAGCGATTAAAAGCGCGTAGGGTTGAAGGGGTATCCAGAAAAGAACGGATGGTGTTTGCCGACCAGCGAGTGCAAGGAAGAGAGAGATCCCAGAAGGAAAGCAGAGATTCGTTAAAGTCGTTATGTCTCGTGAGGTATCGAGGTCAAGCTTTTAGAGCGGGCCTGAGGCGGGGTGGCGGATGCACAGATTGTCTCGTGGGTGCAATCTGGAGGCGATCAGGCAGCGCTCAGGCAACGGCGTGCTCAGGTGCAATTTGGCGGATCGGAAACGGACAGGTGAGACCGGCAAGAGGCTCTTCAGTGGTTCCGGGCGGGAGCTTGGCGGTTGCTTGAATGCCTAGTTCAGGAAGCAGACGTTCCGAGAGTGGATTTTCAAGGCAGTGGCCAGAAAGGATCTGTCAATCATGCAGATAGTCGATAGCGGGGCCGTTTGAGGGGCCGGGCTGTCGCGATGCTGTCGGACAGATGTGTCAAGTCTGCGACGCTCCGTGCACGCGCATATTCGACCTTTGAATCTTTTGTCCCTAGCTCTTGAATCTGCACGAAAAAAGTACGTTGGTGCTGTGCCTCTTGCGATTCGTGCAAATAGGCAACGAGGCTCCGACGGGCGGCTGCTGGAGCAAAGGCGGCGTGGCGGTGGAAAGGGCGATTGGATGGCAGCGGCTATGTTCCTCGCAGTCGCGCTTGCACCGGTGCAACGAGAGAGGATTTCTTGGGGTTTTCGCGGGGCTCGGTCGCTTGATACGCGGGTTGTGGTCGCGAAACGTGCAGCGCCGTAGCAGCGTGTGAGGCTTTCCAAAACGAAAAGGCGGCGGCGCGGAGGAAGTGTAGCCGTATTTCTCTTCACGGCGAGGAGCAGGAGGACGGCCACGGGGCGGGATGCAGTGGATAGACAAGTTGCGCAGAGGGAAGCAATCCCTGCCGCCATAACGGAACCTCCCCCAAGATGGTCGAGCGTTTTGGGAGGAGGGCGCAAGGCGGTGACAGGGGCTGCAGCGGTCCCTGGCCAGTCGACGCGTTAGCGAGCGGGATGCGCTGTATCCCTGCTCCACAGGCAGCCAACGAACGCCCGCCTCGAAGCGCTCTCTGCTCGCTCGGGCAGACACTTACGCACCCCGGCGCCCAAATTGGCGGATCAGCGGGCGGAGTCACTGTCAACACCAGAGATCCGGCCATGTGACTGCTGACGCCTCTATCTCGCGTGCCTGTGCCTGGGCGTGCAGCAGCCAGGCCAATGGCGGCTCTCTCGCGTGTGCATTGTCTCTGATGAGCTTGGCGGGCTCGGGGATGACATATTCCTCGATAAGCTTTCTGGATTGCATGATCAGTCTCCAACGCGCGCTGCTTCATCGACCCGCCGCACGGCTGGGAAAATTCAGGATTCCGGGACTGCTGAGACCGGGTTGCCGTCGCGCCGCTGCCACCGCCACGAGCATGATCGCCGTGGAGACGATGCCAGACCGCCTCTGCGGCGGCGTGGACTCGATGGAAATCTTTTTCGCCCGGGACACGGCTGGAGCGGCAATGTTCTGGTGATATTGAACGCCTCGTTCTGCAGCGGTCAGTGAGTGTGCCAATCGGCGCCGGCCGCGGGTGTGACATTTTGCGCGCAGGCGAAGGTACTAATTGCGGAGACGGGAGGCTGCACGCTGCCATTTGCTGGGCTAGGCGGCGCTGTGGCGTGCGCTGGTTCGGCCGCGGGCGCTTAATCGGTGCGCGGGCCAGGGCCAAGCCCCGCCCAGGCACGCCAGCCGCTTTCCTGCAGCCACCCATGCGTTGCATCTTCCTCCCCGCCGCACATCGTCAATGCCAACTAAAGCCCGTCATGCCCGCCCACGTTACAGCACCCACGTTGAGACCGTTCGCGCTTCCACTACGCTCAGAACCGGCCCCTCATCTCTCGAGTGCCAACTATACCTACCAGCCTGCGCCGTCCTGAGCCGCTTTCTGAGCCAGCTGCCCCACGACTGCTCAATCTGCGCCTCACGTTCGCTTCTACCGCTGGTCCGGTCTCTCTCTACCTACCTTACATTCGCTCAATTTGTAATCCTGCCACAATGGGCAAGCTAATCAAAAACCACTGGGCTCGCCTCATCGTCCTCACGGCTGCCGCCTGTGCGTCTCGCCCCACCACCACAACACTTTGCTCCCGCTAACTGTCCGCAGACCAGCTGGCTGCCGCCATCGAGGGCTTCTTCTGGCCCAAGATCTTCTGGGACTTCCTCACCAAGAACTTGGACGGCGCTGTCAAGCCCGTGCCTGCACTCCAAATAATCAACCTCATCCTGAGCCTTATAGGCCTCGCCTATGAGTGGCCGCTCAGCTTCATTGCCGGCTCTTCGTTCCACCGCTCCATTGAGATGCGCTTGATCATCTATCCTTTAAGCGCCTTGACTTCTCTCCTGCTGTACCAGGGCACAAATGCCGGCTTGTACTACATTATTGGAATGATTGTATACTTTTGGGCTTACAGCGAGGGCGAGGTATGTTCTTAACCCACAGCCTTTTATTTCAGAGCAGTGCTAACTCTCATCAGATCGTCTGCGAAAAGCCCTGGACTCTGCCGAAGAGGGGCAAGCCTCTTGGTCCTTCCAAGGTTTAAACATCATCTCGCGCCGCCTTCTATTTTTCCCCCTTGTCTTCTTTCTTTCCTTAACGTGACATTTGCCAAAGATCTATGGAATGATCCAAAGGGGCGGGACACCTCTATTACAAGCACCGGCGTTGGGGTATACCAAATTTACCAGATTAAGTGAGATTGCGGTCACACTACGCTCAGTATCGAAATGCATTGGAGAATAGTGAGATATGAATGGCATGACGCCTTTGTGGGCTATCTATTGAACTCCATGTAATGTGTATCATATGTACGTTCTGCCTCCTGTTTACAGATGAAAAGCTTTTTCTAGCACTACGGTCCGCTCCCAGTCTCTCAAATCCGGAGATGGAATGCCTATGGTACGTCTGATGTAAGAGAGTGCCAAGGAAATGGTGGTTGATCGATGAGTCCGTGCGCGCCAGACCGCATTGGGTAACCATACTATTGTGGCTTCTGGCGTCTCGAGCATATCTTAACACCTTTCGACCACCATGACTCTCAAATCAGACCATAGGTATGGTCGCAAACTCACAGAGGTGGAAGAGCCATTTCCAATCTGCGGTCGCTTGCCAGGATTTGGGGTTGTCGATATGCAGGTAACCGCTTGGAATTTCCTGGGAGAGTGCTTCAAACGCCCACTCCATCAACAGTCAAAACAAACACAACCGTCTCTTTGGACCAAGCCGGGTGGCAGCCACCGCTCCGGCCGCCTACATTCATTTTTCTTAGACACAGCCCGTCGCGTGCACCGCCATTGTCGACGTCGCCTAGGCACCAGACCAATTCTGCTACGCTGTCCGACGCCTTCTTACAGTCCACTCTCTTCCTTGGTCCTTCTCTCTACCAACTACGCCGGCAGCTTTGCGCTTCTTTCCTCTTCGCCGGGCCAGCAACGGCACCCATTGCTATGCACTCTGACCAGTACCACATGCGCCGCCCGCGCCGAGGTAACTAGACGGCATCACTTCACAACCACCTCTCAAGGGCACACTTATGCACCTCTAGGGCGCCACTCGCACATGGGCCAGCGACACACTCGACGCTTCTCGCTCTCTCCGATGGCACAGGAGTTCGTTCCTGGCGCCCAGGACTACGGAGGTCCGCTCCCGCACGTTCCACCACACTACACCCCTTCGCCTCTGTCGCAAATACATAATTCTTCATCGTCCAGGTTCCCGCGACTGCCATCACCCGAGTTTCCCTTCTACAACACCGACCGCCCATACTATCGCGATGAATGGACAAAGGAAGATCGTGCATCCTACCAGCTTGAGCAGGACCAGCCTGATCAAGCTCAGAGTTCAGCTGAAAGCAAGGAAGAGTCTATCACCGACGATAGCACATCCACAGAGCAGGGCAAATCAGGGCCTCAGCTTGGGATGACCAACCAAGACCGACGCTCCGATGACCGTGCCGCGTCGACCTCCCACATGGACCGTACTATCGATTGCTCCTCACCAAACAAGACTTTCGATGACCACAATACGTACCAGTCATCCCCAGCTAGCACCTACGCCATCATCGAGACATCAACTCCCAACCCCTACAGCAATGACAACGGCGATACGAACACAACCATTGCAGACTACCACCCCCTCTCTTCCATCCTCGCCACCATCGATATTGAACTACCCTCGATCGCCACCACCGACGCCGAGATCGACCGCTGGCACTCCGACGCACTACTTCCACCATCTTCGCGGCGGTGGCCGCAAATGCTGCGTACGCCGAATCATGAACCTGGTGCTATCGGTGACGAGCGCAAGAATGCGGTCGAGTACGCTATGAAGCGGGAGAGATTCAAGAGGGAACACATTGCGGCGGCAAGAGCATTTGCTGACCCATTCGGCACCAGGAAGGGCATCAGATTCTCGAATCGAATGGGAGTTAAAGAAGAAAATAACGAAACTGTTGGAGGGCCCTGGCCGGCGAGGCTGGGTGGAAGCAGCAGCGGTGGAGTCCACGCCGGTTTTGGAAACGGCGGCCCAACGTACACCATTGGTCGACAAATGCACCATGGAGCTGTGTTAAGGACGCAGCAAGCCAGCCATGACAGTGAGAAGCAGAAGAACACATGGGGCAGGATGCAGGGTGCGGATGGAAAGATGGTTGCAAGGCGCCTTTCTCCTGAAGAGGGCGAGGGCAATTCCAGGGATAGTAGAAACGGCAGGTACATAGACAATAAGGTGTATCTCACCTAAAGTAGTGAGTGCATCAAAATCTTGTTCTTGGGACTACCGATCTATTTTCCAGTCCGATGTGCCATCGCCAGTCGGTAAAGTTGATTAAACAATAGCTACGAAATAGAATTGGTGCTTTTATTGCGAGAGATTTGAGCTGCTACTTCCCTAGTACTCGCTGTTATGGGCAGGCGCGCTCTGTCACCATGGATGAACGAAAGGAAGCCGGTCCTGATTGCCACTGGCCTGTCACTTTCAACTACAACACTTCTGGCGCCGACGATACATACCGTAGAACTAATATTCTTTTCCCAGCTATCAGAAAGCATTCGAGCCGCCTCTTACCCCGGCTCCGTCGCATCATGCCCCTAAACGAAGAATCCTCTACATCCGACTCGGACACTTCAGCCTCAATGTCTCCCACAACGCGACATTTCCAACTTCAGCTTGAAACCGATAGTCCGCGTCCCAGTGAGAACTTCAAAGAGAGCAGACTTCGTCCACTACCTCGTTTGCAATCAGTTGGCGGTCCCAATCGGCGCATATATGATTACACAGATGACATCGCCCGGTTACAAGAAGTCCACGAGGCTGCGAAGGCACAGCGGCAGCAGCAGCAGCGGCAGCGGCAGCAGCAGCAGCAGCAGGAGAAATCCTCGTCTTCATCGACGGAGAAGCAAGCGCCGACGGAAAATAGCTACCTGGGACACCGGCGCCTCACGAACGCAGAATGGAATAGAAGCGGCCAACATGGCCCTTTTTTCACCGCCGACGATCCAGATTCCGCAGAAGACCAACCGGGAAAGAATCTGCCACCAAATAGATCGAGACTTTCCGCACAATTACAATGGGGGTCGAGAGATGTGGAGGATTTAAGCGATGGGCAGGTTTCGGTCGACCAGGAAACGAGCAAGAACCAAGAACAGTCGCAGGAAGAAGAAGGCAAATGAGCTTAGCATTCTTTGGTTTTTGAGCTTTCTCTCTTATTTTTGTCGTATTACACAACTTGTCACTTCCAACCAAGAATGCATTATCACGTTTGTCTACAAATCTTCCGCATCCAAAGCCACGAAGCGAATCACGCCCGTATTTGGTGTACAATTGACGTACTCGAACCGCGCCTCGCCGGCCTTCAAGACGGAAACCTCATGCCAAGTCCTCATCTTCCTCTCCGGCCCAAACGTTTTCGCGTGCTTGATGGCTCCCAAGTATATCGCCTTGTGCGAGGGATGCCTCTCCGCCCAATTCTCGAGGTCCTCCAAACTCCGAAAGAAGCCTGCCGCACACGTCTCCTTCCTCTCCGTCTGGGCGCCGTCCGCGTTCCGCACGAACCGCAGCCCGACGGTCCCCGTCTCGGCCTGGTTCGCCCACAGGTACCGCAGCCCCGTCATCAGCGCCGGCTCGAGCACCGACTCGTACGCCTCGGCCTCGTCGTCGCCGCAGCCCTCCCAGAACTGCCCGGAGCGGATGTGCACCATGTTCTCGTAGTTGGTCCCCACGAGCCGCTTTCCGCGGCCATCGGGAATGATTGACGGCGGCACCGTCGTCGTGCGCAGCTCGTCGTCAGGACATCTGACGAACAGGTCGTGCGCCGAGTCCGGGATGCGGTCCCTCGCGGCGCCCCAGTAAGCCGAGTAGGTGTGCTCGACGGGCGTCGCGCCGCCGCCCACGCGGGCCAGTCCCGGCAGGTAGTCGAGGCCGGAGTAGTTGGTTTCGAGGCGGGATGCCGCGGTGGCGAAGCGCTCGCACCACAGGCCGACGTTGTTGCTGCTTGATGATCCCGGGCCGATGGATGCGTGGTAGAGGGCGGGCAGGGCGAGGGCGCGCGCGCTCCGCTCGTAGGCTGTGGCGTCGGTGAAGTAGCAGACCCAGACGTCGGCGCGGCCCGCGGGCTCGTCGTTGCCTTCGACGACGGTGAAGGCTTCGTGGGCTTCCGGGCGGGTGGCGTCGATCCAGTTCAGGATTAGTTCTTTTGCTCTCGTTGCTGCCGCTTGGGTTGGTGCGTCGGCTGCGTGTTGCTGGACGCCGACGTAGATGGTGTAGACGCGGTCGACGCCCGGTGGGAGCTGCAGTTGCCAGCGAGGGACTGGAGGCCTGTAGTTTTTCGGTTGCCGTAGCGGGTATTTGCGATGGGCTGGGCAGCTCATTGTAGGGTTTCACCGGTTGTGCTAACAGTGTCCGAAACCGTATGAAATATTTTCGGGGATGGATATATCCTATACATCGTTAGGAACTGGTTCTCATACGGGTCTCCCTTGGCTATCAATGGCCTTACTAAATTCCGAACAAGAGTCATTCGTATTGGGCCATTTATATTATGTCCCCTGAAATTGACAATTTTAAGTGCTTGACTTAGGACGTACCTTTTAGCTTTGACATCAAGGTGGGGGTCAGACGAAATGTGAGTCAAATGCGAAGTACTTACCCGAGGTCCGGGGCAATGATGAATATCCCCGCACAAGCGCTAGCATGATGATATCACGGAATAGTGATACAAAGAATCCATTATGATCTGCTGGACTGTTTTATGTACCCATTTGCATCCTTATGTCTTTAAGAAACCCAGATGGCGATACTGCTGCTGGGCTTAAATATGTTATGGCATTTGCCTTGCCACCGACCACCTTTCCTACAGTATTTACATATACTCGATCAGCTTCATTGATACCACAATAAACTAGACTTCCTTCTCCTCTCCAAAACAAAAATTAAACAGCAACAAAGATAAGAGAGGAGCGGTTGTGTCTGCAGTAACACAATCCACCAACTCTACCCAATCTCACCCAACTCAAAACGCCTCAATCATCGACGGGCTCGGCCAATAGCTCAGCCTCATCTTTGCAATACGGTCATCCCTCAATTCATACACGCCAAAGAACCTAAAGCTCACCGCCTCCCCCTTCTTGAAGTCATAGAAGCCCGATTCGTGCGTGTCTTCATTGGCGACGAAGCACGCGTCCACCTCGGCCATGATGACGTCGTCGCCCTGCTGCACGACGAGCCGCGGACGCAGCTCCTCTTTGACCTTGGCGTGCGCGGCGGCGAACATGGCCATGATGGCCGTGCGACCGTGTAGGATACCCGTTGGGAGGTAGGGCGCTTCGAGGGTGGTCTGGATGAACGGAGCGGATTGCAGTAAGTATGGGTTGAGTCGAGGGGAATAGTAGATAGGATGTTTGATCTTGACGTTGAGAAGAAGAAAAGTGGTGTAGACAGTCGTACGTCTTCAGTGAAAAACTGCGCTTTAGCATCCTGGTCGGCATTGTGGTTGAAGGCGTCAATGTAGTCTTGGTAGCGCATGATGAACGGGGTAGGGTTCTTTGTGAGGACATCGTCAGTGATGTTGAGTTGTGAGGAATGGTGAGGGGGTGCATGGATATTCATACTTGTGCTTTTGAGATGAAAGAAGATCGGTATGGCTGGATTCGATCGATCTTGTGTGGATTTTTACGGAAGATCACCGCGGGCTTTGGATCTCAATGTATGATGTGTGACATCGTGGAAGTGGAGATGATCATGTAGTGGAGCAAGAACCAATCATACGTTTTTGCGCCCACAAGCTCGAGATACGGCCGCCTTCAACGGCAACGGACTCGGTACATGCGCTAACTATGTAATTCGAAAAAAAGAGTCTTACTATCTTCGAATGCTATTAGTTCAAAGCTGTTAGCAAGCCTAGATTGGACACGAATAATGTGCAACCGCCGGAACAAGTGTGGAAATTAAATAGGTATTTTTTGCACCACCTCCCAGAAGAAACAATGCGCCACCCTATGCACTTTCTATGTACGTGACTATCATGAAGAGGGCTTGTCTTCCCTATTCTCTCAAATTACTTTCTCGAGGCATTACCGCCATACTTCTGCTATTCCAAAAATCCAATCAGGGTGCCCAGCATATCTTTGAGCATCAGTTCCCCTTCACCCAAATCGTCACCAGTGATGCCTTCCATCTGCTCCACTAATGTCGCCTTGACTTCCTTCAAGCCCTCATCCCTGTCGGCCAGAAGCTCGACTATCCGTTTCTTAGCGCCGCCATCTTCAGCCACCAACCAGGCCAGGATCACATCGATGGTTTGCAAGCAGAACAGTCCTCCGTCAACACGGCGCAGAAACCATTCATCCGCAAGTTCTTCGCGTGCCTCGGGTCGTAGCTCAGCCTGCTCACGCTTAATCTGCTGTTCTACGGCGGCCACACGAGACGAGTAGTCGCGGCGGAGCTGAACGAGGCGTGCGATTTTCTCATAGTCCTTCTCGACAAACTTGGCCAACGTTCGTATCCGTCCGGCGCTTTCGCCAGGAAGGCTACGAAGCAAGGAGGCCAGAAGGCCTATCAGGTGCTCTGTGTTTGCGCTGTCTTGCTTCTTCATGAACATGCCGAAGAGGGTCTTGAGGCCGACCGCTTCGACGAAACGCTCGCAGACAGCTGCAGCGCCGGTGGGTGGTCCGCCCAAGGCGTGATCCAGCAGACGTAATGCTCGCGGTTTGGAAAACTTGCTATCCCGAAGCATAATCAAGCAAAGCTCGATACCCTCGGCCTCAACAAACTTGGCCTTGCCGTCAGCCTCGTCGACGAGACACGTTAAGCAGTCAAACAAGTTCTCGGCAAACTCTTCTTCGTCGGAGTCTTTCGGAGGGTCACGCTTGCGGTAAAATGCAAGTAATTGGAGAAGGGTATCGACAGCATCAAGAGCAATGAGGGAAAGGCGGTTCGCAACGGAGGTCTGGACAAGGATGGCGAGATCTTCAGCAGCATACTGCTTGTTCTGGGAAACAGGAGACTCTCTTTTCTGGGCACGAGAGATCAGCCACTTGACCAGGGCCTCGTCCTTTCCCATGGCCTCGGCAGTGGTGGTGTTGGACGCCAGGTTCTCCACAATGCTTAGCGAGTGGTAGACGCCGCTCCTGTCCGCCTCATTGGCCTCATCCAGACGCTCAAGGTTCGACGTCATCAAGCTCAGCAAGTCAGCTTCCAGCATGGCGTTCACAAGCGCGTCCCACTGCTCTTGTTCTGCTTCGACATCCTCGTCTGTCAGTTCAGAGATGATCTCAATGGCGTCGATGGCGATATCCGTGTTCTCATGGGCCAGCAAGCTCACGAGGCTGCCTGCGCAGCCCAACTTGGCAAACTCGCCGTAAAGTTCAGGGTGTTCGGAGAGCACGCTCAGCGACTTGATGTCGGCGTCGAGGTCGGCTTCGGAAGCCATGAACTTCTGCGGGTCGTCTTCGAATTTGGCTCGCAACTCAGCATTCTTGGATATCCTCTTCTCGAAGTTGAGGGCCAGCTTCCGGAGCCAGGACTTGTCAATGCTTTCGGGCACGAAGGGTTGCTCGTCGGCGCGGTCGACGTAGTTCATGGCGGATGTCGTCGTCTCGTCCATGCCACCGCCGAAGAAGCGGCCCTCCTCGTCCTCGTCGCCGAAATCCTGCTCTTCCTCGTCATCATCCGGAGGCGGCGCGGGGCCAGCCTCTATATCGTCCTCATCCTCGGCATCCTCGACGGTAGCGCGGCCCTTGCCCTTCGCGTCTCCATTGGACTGCAGCTTTGCCGACTTGTAGACCTGGTCGGGGTCGGTGATGGGCTCGAGCTTGCGCTTGTTGCTGGGGAGGTGCGGTTTCTTGAAGAGCTCGTCGATGCTGCTCATGGTGGCGGGCGGCGGACGGGAGGGCTGGAGTGGAGAATGGAGCTGGAGGGTCGCAAAGCTCTGGTCGGGATTTGTCTCGCCGACGGCTCAGCCCTACGCCCCACACTTGACCGCGCGATCACCCCCGACGCGTCTTCCCATCCTCACCGCGTCACTCGCGTCCCGCTCTCGCTTGGACCACCTCAACTCACCCCAAATGCCGCACCCACAGTCGGCCGCTGAGCTTCTAGAGCTCGGCAAGGCTTTCTATGCCCAGCGGAACTATGAACGTGCCCTCAAGGCATTTAGCGACGTCAGTATTGCACCTGCTCTATCATGTCTTCGCTAATTCAATTCGACAGGCCTTCGCCGCGTCTGCTTCCAGTGATATCAAATTCCTCGACATGGCGGTCGCCTGCCACATTAAGCTGGATGATCTCAACTCCGCTCTGTCCCTGAGCCGAAAAATCACCAAGCACGCTCCCAAGGATTGCCGCGGTTATCTTCGCATGGGCCAGGTTCTACAGCTACAAGAAAAGCCCGAAATGGCCCTTGAAGTTTACAAGCTGGGCCTGCGCCGCTGCCCATCCGAAGACCCTGAAAAGCTTCATGTTTGTGCTGCGCACCCCGTCCTTTCGCCTTCGAGCTGCTGATGCATCTAGTTAATGCAAGCGAAACGCGATGAATTGACCCGGCGACTGGCCAAGCCCAAATCCCAAGATCCCATCGTCGTGCTTCCTGCTGAAATCATGGATCTGGTGATGGGGCATTTGAACTTTAAGCAGAGAGTGTACGCTCCTGTGTCCAACCATCCCTGACTCTGTTGTACTTATGCACTCCTCTAGAACCTGCCTACGCGTGTCCAAACACTGGAGAGACTTCCTGTCGCATCAGCCGGTACTGTGGGCGGAGCTCGATCTGTCCCTCGCCCGGAGACCAGTGCCGCAGTCTTTTGTTCGCAACTGCATATATCGCTCCAAAGATAAGAAGACTAACACATTTCTCTTACACACCGCCAAATTTAATCGCATGAGAGACGCAGACATGGTAATGAAACTCGTCAGGGCATGCCGTAAGCTTGAAGCGCTTGAGTTTCTGGGTTCGGAGTTGTCTGGTTCATCAATCAAAGACCCCGTCGCTTCCTGCAATGGTCTTCGATCTCTTAAGCTTGGCAAGTCTGCTGTCATCACATTGGACGCCGTCACCCAAATACTTAAAGGGAGGCTGACGCTAGTCACCGCTGAATTTGAGAATGTTGAGGCTCGAAGGGATGCCACTTGGGATACAGACCTCCCCAATCTTCAAACGCTCTCCCTGGGGGCTGGTAGTGTCCAAGAGATTGGTGTCCACGTCCTCTCCATGGTGAGTGCGCCACCTCTACAAGATTAAAGCATGCCGCTCATTTACTCCACAGCATCAACTCGTCGACCGCATACCAAACATCAGATCCTTAGTTCTGACAGGCTGGAAGTACCACATGGGCCTCGCCGTTGACGCGAACTTCAGTGGCCTCCAGCACCTCGAAACCCTCCATCTGAACAACACCTTCTTCGCATGGCAGCCTCGCCTACCAAAATCCGTCAAGCATCTTACCTTAACAGCCAGTTGGGGATGGAGCAGTACGCTCTCCATCCAACGAATGGTAGAAATCAATCTACCAGCCATCGAAGAGCTTAACTACATCAACGAAGGTTCTGAACGCGACACTTCTCAGCGCTTCATTCACACTCTTCTACATAAAATGGACAGCGAAGTTACCCGAGACACCCCCTACAAGATCGTCGATGGCGAAGCCCTGTGCCATCTTGACAATCGCTCTCTCCGCAAGTTTTTGCTCGAACGCTGCCCCTCGGGATCGTCAGGAGAACTGATTAAAATCCTGACTGATATCCCTCGTCTCCATGGCACCGAAGACTTGACTCTCGTGCAAGCCGAATTCAATGATGAAGTCGCGTTTGCACAAGCAATCATCGGTACTTTCCCACTCTCTTTCGAGAGCACCCCCTGGTTTCCCTGTAAAACTGACTGTGGAAACAGATAATTACCGCAATCTCAAACGCCTCAGCATTCCCAGTTGCAAGATAACTGGCGTCGGCATCAAGATGCTCATCAAAGAGCTTCGAGACCGAGCACCCTCGGACGGTGGGGAGGACGGAAAGCGAGCTCGCCAGGGCTTGGAATACTTAAACGTCGACTGGTGCACCAGCATCTCTCCGGATGCCGTCGAATGGGCTCGTGGTCAAGGCGTTGAGGTGTCTTGGAAAACGACAGTACCGAAGCCGTCTGGGAAGAAGATTAGGTATGCTTGAAGTGGATAAGTAAGAGTCTACAAAAATGGGCTGTTAGATCTGCTACAACTACGAGGCTGTTATGCCATGCATTGCGGCCTGCGTTCACAGGGCCCGATGCTTGATGCAGATTGGCTACAATCCTCACGATTTATGTACAGACGAATCAACATTCTGGCCTCTCACAAATGCATTTGGTATAACAATGCCCTACCAAAGGCAATAGCATGGAATTGGCATGATTATATCGGGCGCCGCTGGGTATGGTGTGTATTAGTTCCATAGGGTTGGATCATTCTACATTCAAACACTCAAATAGTGAATCACCAACATGCTTTGTATGAGAGAGTTGCAAATCTTTGTTTAATTTTGGAAGGTGGCCAATAGTGCAGAGCGACGAAGACTAAACTAGTATACAAGCCCCGACCTGCGCAAGCATTTTGTAATATAGAGGACCAAAACGATCTTCTTTAGAACATCCAGCTATGTTCCTTCCTTGGACTTGACAAAAGAAGTCCCGCACCGCTTTTTACAGCCTGTTAATTTCCCTTCTTTAAATGAAAGGTAGTAAATTAAGGAAGAAAACACCGCTCGTTGCCAGTTACCCGTCTCCATCCTCACGACTGTCCCACCCTCCCCTTTCCCAGCGCCACGACGTTCCTCAGGGAGCCAAACGGCTGCACATCCGCGATCCTGCTCGTCCCCGAAAACAGCATGACGATCCGATCGATCCCGCAGCCCCAGCCGCCCGTCGGCGGCAAGCCCCACTCCAGCGCCTCGACGTAGCCCTCGTCGACGCCGCGCTCGTTGAGGGCGGCCTCGTCCGGGTCGCGGCGGCGCAGCTGGGCCTCGAACTTGCGGCGCTGCTCGAACGGCGAGTTCTCCTCCTCGTACGCGTTGACGTACTCGCGGCCCTGGATGAACAGCTCGACGCGCCGCGACAGCCGCTGGTCCGTCGCCGGGTCGGCGAAGCTCTTGGCCAGCGGCGACATGACTTCCGGGTGGTGCGTGATGAAGGTGGGCGAGGTGCAGAGCGGCTCGATGTAGAGGGCGGCGAGCTCGTCGAGGAGGCGGGGCAGGGTCGCGTCCGCGGCGATGGGTATGTCCAGTTCTTTGCAGAGGGCGGAGAGATCGTCGAACGCCGTTTGGCTGCTCAGGTCGGGCAGGCGGCGGTTGATGGCCTTCTCGATAGTGGGGATGAACTCAAGGCGCTTGAATGGCGCTTGAAGGTCGACTGTGAGGGGAGCAATGTTTTCACGCACGACGTTCTCTTGCATGAGTTTGTCGACTGTGGCCTTCAAAGTGGAAAAAAGAGTCTCAGTGCGTTGGATGAGATCCTCAAGATTAGCATATGGTTCGTAAAATTCGCAAATGGTAAATTCTGGATTGTGTGTTGCGTCGATGCCTACGAGTGTCAGCACGTCTTCTTCTGTATTCTGTGAAGGCTTTCACACACCTTCATTCCTGAACACGGTACCGATCTCATAGACTCTTTCCCCAGAGCCGATAACCAGACGCTTGAGAAAAAGTTCTGGTGCTATCCTGAGGGTGAGTGGGTCGTTAGGGAACTCGTTGGCACTGGTCTCAAAAGGTCTGGCAGACGCTCCGCCAGCACCTGCTGTCAGGATGGGCGTGCTGACCTCGAGGAATCCATCCTCGTCAAAGAACTTTCGCATTGAGCTAATGATACCAGAACGGATGCGTTGGGTGGCAACACGGCGCTTGTGTACTAGGAAGTCGACATGCGGCTGGCGGGCAAGCGTCTCTGGGTTCTCAATCTCCTCAGGGATTTGGTGCAAGGCAGGGGCAAGGCATTGCGGCACCTCAGTAGCCAGGATGGAAAGTTCGCCGCTCGTTGTGCGGGTTGGATGGCCGGTTATGGCGAAGATGTCTCCTTTGCGAGCCAATTTGGAGAAGCGCTTAAAGTCCTCCTTGGGTACTCCATTCTTTTCAAGGACACCGAAGTTGCAGAGACCTTGGATGGTGTACGCTCCATCGGAGATGTCGATGAAGACGAGCTTAGAGCCAGACGAGCGGCGGGAAGTTACCCTTCCTGCACTCGTCAGCGCAAGCTCGCACAAAAGAATCACAAAACATTGGAACAAAAACTCGATCTCGTGGACAACACCCATTCGGCAGTATATTATAAAAACTATTGACACACATACCAAAAACCGTCACCGTCACATCCGTCCTAACCTCGTCATTCTTCAACCGGGCGAACACCTCGTGAACGCGCCCTGCGGTTGTCCGATCTGCTTTGTGCGGGTTCAGCGGGTAGTATGTCGCTAGATCGCCAGCTTGTTCCAATTGTTTAACACGCTTCTCATAGTCGTGAGTGACATTGTCTGCCTCTGTAGGCTTGGCCGTTGTCTGAGCGAAGCGACGCTGGAACGAGAGGTAAGCCCTCGCGTGCTCCGGCTTTACGGAGCGCTGGAGCGTGCGGTGAAGGTACGGACGCAAGAAGCGGCACGAGCTGTTCATTCTAATGTCCACAGTCAGTACCAGGAAGTCCCCAGAGCATGTAAGAAACACAAGGGATGTTCAAGTGTCAGTTTGGGTTAGGTAAGTTGTGAAATCAACCGCCGTAGCGTCATTCGCAACGGTTCTTTTTTATCCATTCATCACGGAAAGCTTGCCGATGAGGGTGGAGGATGGATCAGAAAACAAAGGAAACGTACCTGTACAACATGCGCCTCCGCGACAATGGAGGCGTGAGGAGGAGGAAGAAGACACGAGCGAGAGACGACGCTTGGAAAAATCATGCGCGATCTTGGTGGTCCAAGCTCCCGAATCTTGTCGGATAGACGTGGCCGCCAGCCGTCCTTCTCAAATCGACGGCGATTGTATAGCGTCGTCCAAGCTGTGGGCGGAAAGCCTTGCATGCAATATTACATATATGAGATAGTACTGGCTTCACTAAATAGTAGATTCACTTGACTGTACAGACCATATCCTCATCAATCTTCCTAAGCGTTCGGCGGCAACGACTAAAGTTCGGCGTCGCGCCCAGCCGAACGACGACATCACATCGCAGGCCCGCTGGGTGCCGTCGCCCGCCGTCCAACCTGCTCTCGCTCCAGTGACCAAACACCACGCAACGCGCGCCGCTCCCGTCTCCGCAAACCCCTCCGCAAATCATCCAAAATGTCCTTCTCCCTGTTTGGCGGCCGCCCGCAGCCCTCGTCGGAGCAGAAAATCGCTGCCGCCGAGACTGAGATCGAGATGGTTTCCGACATGTTCAACCGGTATGGAAAGAGCAAGCCGCGAGTGCGCGCGCGCATGCATCCACCCCCTCTCCTTCATGTCCATCCTGCATAGCCAATTGACCGTTCCTACCGTATCTCTGTCTGCTCATCCGAATTATCAGACCTGCTAATTCTTGCGCCTTGCAGTCTCGTGTCCAGCTGCACTAAAAAGTGCATTCCGACGACGTACCGCGAAGCCGAGCTCGACAAGGGCGAGTCCGTCTGCCTTGACCGCTGCGTCAGCAAGTTCTTCGACGTCCACACCAAGGTCAGCGAGAAAATGCAGGGCGAGGCCGCCGCTAGGCAAGGTGGTGCCGGCGGCATGTTCGGCATGTAAAGAAGGAAAGGAAGCGCTTCTATCATTAGGGGCGGAGATGTACATTCGGGCATGAAATGGACCGTTGGTTGCAAAGTTGTCGTGTCAGCCAGACAGTATACCAATGCGTGGTGCTGGCCTATCTGGGTAAACGAACGGGTGATGCCGAAGGCATGTGGAAAAAGCGCGTTATGCGATATTGGGTGTTACGGGAGCTCTTATCAGCGTGTGCGCATCGGCGTGAAGTATGGATATACGCGACTCTTTCTTCACTTGCTGTATGAATAGACATTGGCTGTTCCGTTTTTTTGCCGTTCCCCCAAGAAAAAAAAGAAAATATCTTGTCTATGAACGGACTGTAATCAAGTCTCAGTACACAGGACCTCTCCTCTACCTAAAAACGCCGTTCCTTCATTTTCCAAGCAGTGGCAAAGCTATGGTATATGCTTTGGCAGTAAAAAAGCGCAGAATGTCATCGAACTATGCATGCAACCATGTTTTTCAAAGTTTGGCAGATAGTCACGCCTCCTTCTTCCTCAAACCTTCGGGAAGAGTGGCGACCTTCTCATTGAAGAGCTTCTCGGCGTCGGCCCAGACCCTCGCGGTCTTCCTGTCCTTCAGCTGCAGCAAGCTCTCGAGCAGGCCAGCGCTGAAAGACTCGGAAGCCTCACGAGGAAGCAGGGAAGGAAGGTGGTCAATGCTAAGGAGAATTAGTTTCAAGTCGTGGTTATTCGCGGAATGTACTTACGAGATGACAGAGAGAGGGACGTCGTTCTTGTCGTCCTTGACCTCGACAGGCACAGTGGGCTTGTCGAAAGTAGTGTTGATAGTGTAGACGGGGATGGGATTGTGGGGGTTGGTGGTGTCGCAGGACACATCGCAGACGACGCTCAGCTTGCGGCCGGGAGCAGAAAGAAGGTCGTTGTTGATGAACGGAGGAATGGGCTTGGAGAGGTAGATCTGATCTCGATTAGCAAACTTCGAAGGCAACGGGCGCGGCGGGGACGTACGGCATTGACAAAGATGTCCTGGTCGACGATCTCCTGGTACGGGCCCAGCCTGTCCTTCGTCTCGTTGATGTCCCACTTGACGAGGCTGCTCTCAGGCAGGCCAGCCTTGACGAACAGGTCGACGGCACCGCGGCCACAGCGGCCAAGAGCACCCATGATGAAAGCAGAGGGCTTGCGACCAAGGATCTTCTCGCCAGCAGCGACGTCGTCGGCAATCTGCTTGACCAGCTCCTCCTCGTTCAGGTAGTATCCGCGGCCGTCGGTGAACTGCTCAACGCTGGGCAGCTGCTGGCCAGGGTGCTGGAGCTGCCAGGCCCACATCTTGACGGCGAGGGCGGCGCCAGCGAAACCAGCGTGGTAGCCGAAGGCGCTGACTCTGCGGCCCTGTTCGTCGACCAAGAATTCGAGGTCGTACAGCACGCTGCCGCCGCGCGGGAAGCGCGACAGAACCTTCTCCCAGCCGCCCTGGTTCTTGTAGCAGTGGCTGAAAGCAATGTGGTCGTTGGTCAAGGGGAAGTCCTCCTCCTCAATCTCCTTGAGGCCCAGAATCAGCCTGGAGCCCGGGGCGACAGTCTTCCAGCTGCCCTCGGGCACGAGAGTAGCGCCGGCGGCCTCATACTCGGCGTCGTTGAAAATGCGGCGGAACTCGGGCTTGGTCGACGAGCGCTCGACCTCAACAGGGTAGCCAGCCTTGACCAGAGCCTCAATGGTCGAAGGCGCGAACGAGCGGTGCTCGAGCGGCTTGGTCTCAGCGCGGAGGAGGATGGTGGGGTATGCCGACATTTTGGGCGAGTATGTGTATGTGTGTGTGTTCGAAGCTGAGCGCAGCAATTGAGTAGAAAAATTGGCAAGGAGGGTTGGCGGAGGTGTAAGATTAAAGAGAAGGTAGCGGCGGTGCAGGTAGAAAAAGTGTCGACTGAGCTTGGAGGGGTGACTCAATTCCGCGGCGCGCCCTCTCCACCGCTCCGACTCCGGCGGGGCAGAGACTTGTCAAACCACTCTCTCCCATTCGCTCGTCAGCCACTCAACATCAGACCATGACTGCAATCATCATCTTTCCAGTTTTCGCGTCCCATCGATCTTTGTTTATCACGGAGCACTACATGGTACTACTACGACGAAAAGAAAAAAAAAACAAAAGTTGCTCTAGCGCCTATCTGCTGATGCAGCCGTTCTCGTACATTTTAATTGCTGTCAAACTTGCAGCCTGGTCGGTAGAAATTCGAACCTATGACATGACGGTGGTCTTCAATAGTAAAATGGCATAGTAAAGAGCCGTGCGGTGCAGGAGGCGACGTCACTAACTGCTAAGACATCCTATGACCGACGAAAACCACCTCAATCTTGGAAGCGTTGGGCACGAGAGCATCACGATTCGATTTCAAATTAACGATACGATCGACCCTCGGCAAGTTGGTCGTTGTCAAGTCTTCCCGCTCTGGCAGTCGTGCCTCGGCATATAGGTCGTACTATGCACTCCTTATACATTAGGATCCAAACCCTTGCCTGTTCAGGATATCATATGTTTCACTATCGAACGCTCTGCAGCAAAGTGTCACGGTTTCCGGGCCGCATCCAGTTTAAATCCGCGCAAGCCTGGATATTAGACTTTGTTCAACGTCATATGAATGAATGATACCTCTTTCCTCTGATCAATGGCTTATATTCATGTGTTACCTGCGTCTACTCTACACTTTCGTACATGCAGACCACCACTTGCTCAGGTCTTACACATACGGTGGCTTTATCCGTCTTCTTGACGCCCAATTTCCAAAATGCTTTTCCGCTCGCTGCGGGTACCTTTGCACTCTAGCTCCAATCACCTCATCACTTATTGACTTGTACTATCAGGTATTCATCCTCGCCGTCTGCTCATGCCTGAGCGTCGGAAGTCCAATCGCCAAACGCAAGACTCCAGGACCAAGCGGTTGGTGAGCTTGTTTCTACCCGATAGTGCTTCTAGTTGACAACTCCTTCTAGTGTCTAATGAACTGTTTGCCAAATTTGTACGTTATGCAGACTTCTCCTCTGCAGCATACGCATCCGATTGTCCGAATCCCCCGTTCGGAGCAACTGTCACCCACCGAATCAACAACCCGGATACGGACACTCAAGGCTTTGTAGCGCGAGACGACACTGCCAAAGAGATTGTCATCGCCTTCCGCGGCACCTCCAATCTCGCAGATTTTGGGACGGACTTCTCGCAAAAGCTCATCCCGTACACATCCCCTGGCGTGACGGCCGCCTGTGACGACTGTACAGTAAGCGCTATCCCCTGAATCAACTTATCACAGGCTAACCACGACCGCTAGGCACACGAAGGCTTCCTCACCGCTTGGAACAGCGTCGCCAACGAGTCCATCCTGGCCGTCCGTGATCAGCTCTCATCCAACCCTTCCTACGCCGTCACAGTCACTGGACACTCGCTTGGCGCCTCGCTGGCCGCGCTCGCCACCCTATCCTTCATCGGCTCCGATATCCCCGTGACTACGTATACTTTTGGCCAGCCACGTACCGGCAACGCGGCGTGGGCCGACTTCGTCGACCAGCAGGCGCCGTCGAGCAAGTTGTTCCGCGTCACGCATGCCAACGACGGCGTGCCGCAGACGATCCCCACGAGCGACGGGTACAAGCATCACTCGACCGAGTACTGGCAGCGAGACGCGGCAACGCCATTAGGCGTATTCCAATGTTCCGGGCAGGAGCCTTCGGTCAGTTCAGCGATGATGATCTGAAGAAGTTGAGAGCTGACGTAGGCTTTGTAGGACTGTAATAACTCGGTCAGAGGCACCGGCCTAGGTGCACACGGTATCGGCATCAATGCTGCTCATCTTAAGTATCTCAGCGTCTCGACGGGCAACCCTCTCGATGGTGGAGCGACTGCCTGCAAGGGCAAACCGCCTGGTATTTTGGGTGGCCTTGAAGGTTTCTTGGGGCTTGAGGATTAATGAACGAAGAACTGTGCTGATATATTACCAACCGGCGAGTTTCAGTTTCAGTAGAAGTTCCAGGAATGGACTTGATTGGTTATGATCTGATGTGTGAGCGCATTAGCAATAAGGGGCTTGCTTACATCCCATATATCTACGATTTGAGACTGCTGGATCAATAATGACATCTCGCTAAGTTTGAACAAACCTCTCTACCAACAAGCAGTGGTGTCCCAATTGCTTGGCAACCCTCAGCATGCTGAAACCCACTCGACACATTGGTTTTCGCTCCCAGCATCTCCATATGCAGTCACTTCATGCTCAAAGAAAAAATCAGCCCTGACCTAGACGAAAGCTGTTTCTGCATTTCCCTCATGAATGGCAATTTGAAGTTGTGAAGGTTGTCAATTGCGCTGTGCAGGGTAAATGTTCACCCGACCATCGAGCCGGCAGATTCGGGTGAACTCGGACGAAATCGGTTATGCTGTCCACCCTGGAATCTTCGCAAGCGAGAACGGCTTTGGCAATGGAGAGCGGCCGGATTTTAATATTGTTTAAAAAGTAATAGGATCAAGTTGGACTGGTGCTATGCTGCGTATGTGAAGCGTTAGTGACCATGATCCACATGACAACTTCTGATTGGTATACTCTCCCATCTTCGAGATGGCCCTCATGGTGATTGGAAAACCTGCATAGAAGGTGAATTGACGCGATCACCTTGGTCATATGGCGCTGTACGAAAGGCATCCATTTATCGCGGCAAAAGCATCCTACGCAATTCTATTTTAAATACGCATGTTTATTGCTTCGCGGTCCAGACCCTCTTAACAGCCTCAGTGATACCGACGTCGTTCGTCTCGAACTCGTAGATGCCGTAGGCAACGAGCAGGGTGGCTCCGTTCAGAAGCCAGCTGAAAAGCTTGAACACACCAGGTACTCTGTACTTGGGCAAATAGTCAATGATGACAGACCTAGCAACAATTAGTTCTTGTGTCAACTTCTGAGGGGCGCACAATTGCGTACTGGAAGCCGATGTGCGTGTGGAGGACGAGAAGGGCGCCGAACACGGCATCAGAAACCGGGTTCAGGGTGCCGGCGGCGAAGGGAGCGACGGTAAGGGGAATGAGAGCAGCGGCGATGACCCTGCAAGGATACATTAACTAGGTCCCCGGACTATGCATGGGGCTATCGGACCTCTCGAAGGACCAGTGGTAGCTGCCATGGGTGGCCGAAACCGGGGGGACTGGGGCGGGGTCGTTGGCAGTGCCCTGGACGCGCTGGGGCAGCGGGGGCAGAATTGCCCTGCTGGCAGAAGCGTGGAAGGGCGCGATGCGGGCGGCGGGCAGAGCATCGCGGACGAAGGAGGGCTTCACGGGCGTCCGGGTGAGCGGGGCGTGGAGGCGGAAGACGGACGCGGCGGGGGCCCGCGTGGTGAGCAGGCGCGAGGCGGGCGCAGCCTGGCAGGCGCGCAGAGTTGGGCGCACGATGGATGCCATTGTGTATCGCGATGGAGGATGTAAAGGACCGCGAGGGCAGGCGCTTGAGAGCGTCGACATCACCGTGCGAATGCCGAGGTCACCCGCTGATCGCGCCAAGAAGTAGTAAGCAAGTGGTGATTGGCTGGTGCCCTGGGAGCAAAAAGGCGTCGACTGGAACACCGCCCGAAGGGCCAACATCACCTGCAACCCGGTAGCTCTCTCGACCTCCCAACCTCCCATCTCGACCGTTCCCAATATGGCATCCCGACGGCTCGCGTTCAACTTGCAGCAGGCCATGCGCAGCCGCGCGGCCCTGAGCTCCGTCCGGTCGCCGTTGACAAGAGGCCTGGCTACTCCGATCAGCTACGGCGCGAAGACGGAGACCACCACCCTCAGCAACGGTTTCACGGTATGCGCCATCGCGCACAGTCCGCCGTGCCCTTGCTGACTCAATTGGTACCAGATTGCTACCGAGCACTCGCCCTGGGCTCAGACCTCGACCGTTGGCGTGTGGATCGACGCCGGCAGCCGCGCCGAGACGGACAAGACCAATGGCACCGCGCACTTCCTGGAGCACCTTGCCTTCAAGGTACGACGCCTGCTGGCCTTTCTGCGGCGTTGACTATGGATGGAGCTGAGACGATTCTCTACAGGGCACCCAGAAGCGCACCCAGCAGCAGCTCGAGCTCGAGATCGAGAACATGGGTGGTCACCTCAACGCCTACACTTCGGTGCGTTCGCCCGCTGCCCAGCAGCGACAACAGTTCTGATTTGAAATAGCGCGAGAACACCGTCTACTACGCCAAGTCCTTCAACTCCGACGTCCCGAACACCGTCGACATTCTGGCCGACATTCTCCAGAACTCCAAGCTCGAGAGCTCCGCCATTGAGCGCGAGCGTGATGTCATCCTCCGTGAGCAGGAGGAGGTCGACAAGCAGCTCGAGGAGGTTGTTTTCGACCACCTCCACGCCACCGCGTACCAGGGCCAGCCGCTCGGCCGCACCATTCTCGGACCCAAGGAGAACATCCAGTCCATCCAGCGTGACGACCTCGAGAGCTACATCAAGACCAACTACACTGCTGACCGCATGGTCCTCGTTGGTGCTGGTGGCATCCCCCACGCCCAGCTCGTCGAGCTTGCCGAGAAGCACTTCGCCGGCCTCCCCACCGCTCCTCCGGCTGGTCTTTCCTCGATCGCCGCCGCTCAGAAGGCCAAGCCCGACTTCATCGGCTCCGAAGTCAGGATCCGTGACGATACCATGCCCACTGCCAACATCGCCATCGCCGTCGAGGGTGTTAGCTGGAAGGACGACGACTACTTCACCGCGCTCGTCGCTCAGGCCATTGTTGGCAACTGGGACCGCGCCATGGGCAGCTCCCCCTACCTTGGCAGCAAGCTCAGCACCTTCGTTCACAACAACAACCTTGCCAACAGCTTCATGAGCTTCTCGACCAGCTACAGCGACACTGGGTAAGATTCAACGGGCTATATGTACTGAGTTGTCATCTAACATTTCATAGTCTCTGGGGTATCTACCTCGTCACTGACGCCGTCACCCGCATCGACGACCTTGTCCACTTCACTCTCCGCGAGTGGTCTCGCCTGTCCTTCAACGTCTCCGAGGCCGAGACCGAGCGTGCTAAGGCTCAGCTGAAGGCTTCCATCCTTCTTTCGCTGGACGGTACTACCGCAACTGCCGAGGACATTGGCCGCCAGATTATCACCACCGGCCGCCGTCTTGCTCCCGAGGAGGTTGAGCGCGTTGTTGGCGCCATCACCGAGAAGGACGTTATGGAGTTCGCGCAAAGAAAGCTCTGGGACCGCGATATTGCCATCAGCGCTGTCGGCCAGATCGAGGGTCTGCTGGACTACTCCAGGATCAGGAACGATATGAGCAGGATGGCGAGCTAGATGGCCAGATCATGCTGTACCCTATGCTAGCGGATATAGAAGAGAGGTTGTGTGTTGTAAATTTAGCCCCTTAGTTTCCTTGCTGTACAAATCTCCTTGGTCATTCATAAGAAAGAGACGCACGCGGGACACAAGGGAGAATTTGAGACGTGAGCGAGAAGTCACGACGCACTGTAACTCGATGGCATCCTTAGGATGACATGCCTTTTGTGAGATGTTTACGCACAGACATGCTGAGTCATTCTAGGCCGATGCCGGTCTCTCCGCAAGCATTCATTTTGCAGTTGAGGATTCCTAAGCCGACAGCCACGACGACGCGAGGCTTCAGGACGCGTAGCTGATTTGTGGGGCTCCTTGTCTAGGGAAAGGGAGACTGCTAAGCGAAATGTAGGCGTTTGGCTATCTATCGGAAAGGTTTGGAATGCATTGGATGAGGCTCGGAGCTTTTCGGATGAGTGTCCGTTTATCCGAACCTGAATCTTTGACGAACAGTCGCATGGCGGGCGTGCGGGGAAAACATCACAGATCGTCGAGAAATTCAAATGAAAGCGATCTTCGCTTTGAAGATGATTCAATGCTGCTAATAGCGCTTTACAGGCAAAAGAAGTACAATTGGCCCCAACGGCCCGTTCCTTCGTGCCCTGACTTGCAGTGTTCCTAAACTCAACGGCCTGATGGCGAATGGTGTCAATCTGTCTGTTTTATGATGTGCTTTGGAGGGCGTTTTTAGTTTTGCTCACCACCCTGCTCCCTCGTAAGGTCGTCGCTGTTCAGACGCGCGGCAATCAGCTTTTCTGCAAGTAAAAATTGAGGTGGGGCGGGTTGCAAGGAATACGAACATGTGCCTGTCAAGCTCGTCGAGGTGCTCCCTCTGCTTCTTGAGCTTCTCCTTCAGCGCCAGCAGCCTGTTACGTGAGAAGAACTTCAGTCAGCCTCGGCTGTATTTGCGAAAGTGCTCATTGGCCAAGGCGCGGCTTACTTCCTCCTCTCCTCCTGGCGGATGTAGAACTCCTCCTGCGCGGCCTCGCGCTTGGTGAAAGCATCACTGCAATGGGCGCGTCATCAGTCTTCACATCGTCCCTGCGATTGAATGGAATTGAAGAGCTCACCCGGCCTTCTCGCCACCGCTACGGGTAGCGCCGGTGTCGCCAGCAGCCATGGCCCGGATGGAGGTGCTGAACGGGCGGGCAGTCGCAGGGGCGCGGAGAGCGCGGGTAATGGTGGTGCGGAGCATCGTGATGGCTGTGCTTTTGTGAGTCTGCGAGAGTGTGATTGATGGGGATTGCGGGGGCTCACGACCTTGCGGTTGAAGGTGGTGCGATGGATGTTGGTTTGGCGGGCGAAGCAGAGTCGAGCTTGGTCGAGCTGCGGCGGCTGCCAGTCTGCCGTGCGCCCGGACCACCTTCTAATGACGTTAGCCGGGGCACATGATCACGTGCAGCTCCTTCTCCATACGGAGACGTGAGGAGATGTCTGGGGAAGAGCGATGACAAGGTGGTCTGGTGGCATGACGCAGAATGGAAGCTCCGAATCCGATCTGTTCACAAGGCGGTATGCCAAGCCGACGCTGTCTTCTCCGCATGAACTGAGAAGATGGAAGTCATGATACAAATGAGGTCGCGACATTCGACGCGCTGCATACGGTGACAGATCACATAATAGTGAAACATAGCGAGGCGGTGGAGGCTTTATTTATTTATTATAAATGTGATGCAGCAAAATTTTGGCAAAGCTCGGTCAAGAGCTGTGCTGCTCGCGGCGCAAGGTGTTGGATGGAGCAGCTGGTGCCAACGCCCTGCACTTGTTCTTGCAGGGCCCTGGGCGGATCGGCTGCGCGATGATGGACCCGTGGCTCCCAGCTAGATCCTCGAAAAGGTGTGCGTTTGCTTCAGGACTGGTCATTTATCGACCGCCGGGAGGACCCAATCAGGCGCGCGCCACCGCGCCGGCTAAGGTTGTGCTGGCACAGCCCCGCGAGGGCGAAATCGCAAAATTGCTGCCCAGAGGACAGGGGCGCTGTCGCAAGGAGCAGCGACAAATACCAGACCTGCCACTGCTCGCGACCAGCCAGCCGTCCGGCTCTCCTTATCGGCGAGACACGCCCCTATGGCAGACTATATTATAGACTTGCACGTGACAGCGCTATTCTGCCCCTGAAGCACAAGCGTGGAAAGGGTCCTGGTGCTGAGGTTTTCGCAACGATCGAAGCCACAGGTAGACGCGACGGTTGGGGCGGGATTGTTCGAGGTTGACAGAAGCATCTGGACAAAAGAGCCCCAACTCCCCCCAATTGTGTTGCAATACTGACTTGGTAAGCCGTTTGATGCACGCAGGGAGGCAAAAGATACGGACGAGCCTGGGCGCTCCCGCCTTGTCTTTCAGCCTTGACGCGCAATGGGACGCCGCCCCGCGCAGCAGCCTTGAGGCGGCTTCTGGAAATTGCGACGGCTGCGCGGGCGCCCAACGGCTTTCAGGCGGGCGCACGCTGGCAATGAGTCACGGGCGCGGCGTGGTGCGAGTGCGCTGGCGTGTTTTGTTCTGTATCATTCGCTCCTGCCGGCCCAGGCGGTGGCCGTAATTGCCCCGTTGCTCTCGCTAAATACGGCTAAGGCCGCCTTCTCTTGGCTTCCTACTGACTGATCGCACGTCAACAACAAACACCACATCCTCTCCCGAGTTCATCCCCTCACGTCCACGTCGCCGCAGGCTCGATATCTTCAGCGTCCCATTTCGCAAACCCCGCCTCTACCCACTGCTTCGTCCATCACGGCCACAGGCTTCCAAGGTGAGAAACAGCCCCGTTCTTTCATCACTCGTTCAGTCTCCTGGGCCCTGCCCGTCGAGCGCTCCGCATGCAACTCGCTGCACGCGGCGCCGTCCAGCGCCCGCAAACCGGGCGCGGGTGCGATATCCAACGCTGCGCCGCAAACCGTCGCAGAATGAGCCAAAGCATTGCGCGCCGACGCTGCCCCACCCTGACGTCCTGACTCCTTACGACTGCACCCCTTCACCGCGGCGTTCTGCGCTCATCCCAACGGCGCCATTCGCTCCTGCCATCTCCTCGGTGCCTTGCCGAGCCGCAGCCGCAGCCGCAGGGAGCGCACGCCAATTCACTCGGCCGGGTCGTGTTGGGCGCGACGCGCCGGCCACTCTGCCCCGCTATCCGCGTCGTTCATACCTTCCTCCGAGCTCCGGCGCCAACGACGGCTGCGCATCCCAGCTGCCATCATGATGCACATTCGCACCTCGTGTTCGAACCTGACGCTGACATTTGCGACACGCAGACCACACATTTCCACGTCACCATGAGTAGCTACGAGAACTCCGTCTACCTGGCCAAGCTCGCCGAGCAGGCCGAGCGCTATGAGGGTATGTACCGAAGCGCCTTGGTTACTGAACGCTGGCCCGTCTGACGCTGCTGCAGAGATGGTTGAGAACATGAAGACCGTCGCCTCCGCAGACCAGGAGCTTTCCGTCGAGGAGCGGAATCTCCTCTCCGTCGCCTACAAGAACGTCATCGGTGCCCGCCGTGCTTCCTGGAGAATCGTGACCTCGATCGAGCAGAAGGAGGAGTCGAAGGGCAACGAGTCCCAGGTTGGCCTGATCAAGGAGTACCGCCAGAAGATTGAGGCCGAGCTCGCCAAGATCTGCGAGGACATCCTGGAGGTTCTGGACCAGCACCTGATCCCCTCTGCGCAGAGCGGCGAGTCCAAGGTTTTCTACCACAAGATGTAAGGTTGCCCGGCGCATCAATTGGGTGCAGCAGACTGACGAAGCCCGCCAAACAGGAAGGGTGACTACCACCGTTACCTCGCTGAGTTCGCCATTGGCGATAAGCGCAAGACCTCTGCCGACAAGTCTCTCGAGGCTTACAAGGCTGCCACCGAGGTTGCCCAGACCGACCTGGCTCCCACTCACCCCATCCGCCTTGGTCTCGCCCTGAACTTCTCCGTCTTCTACTACGAGATTCTCAACTCGCCCGACCAGGCTTGCCACCTCGCCAAGCAGGCGTTCGATGACGCCATTGCTGGTAAGTGATACTGAGTCTTGTTCTAGACACCAAGGCGCTGACGATCGCAACAGAGCTCGACACTCTCAGCGAGGAGAGCTACAAGGACTCCACCCTCATCATGCAGCTGCTCCGTGACAACCTGGTAAGCACCACTCCAATATTCCTCCCTCCATGATCGTCCACTAACAGAAGTGTAGACCCTGTGGACCTCTTCTGAGGCCGAGCCCGCTGCTGAGGCCGCGGAGGCGCCCAAGGAGGCCGCCGCCGAGGCTGCCCCCGCCGAGGAGGCCAAGGCATCCGAGTAAACGTCCTTGATGTCACGTTCCGGTGGCTGGTGTGATGGGGTTTCTTAGTTGGCATTCCATTGGACGAGGATCAAAAAAATTCAGCCACACAAGGGTTTCCTTGGGTCGGCAAAGTGGGGCTGTATCGGTCTTTCTTTGCTTCTAAAGATTCCGTTCAATTTTGCTTAAACCCTAGAAGTTTGCGATAACCCCGGTCTCCTTTTCCCCTTTCTTACCCTACGGCCCTCAATCCCCCTTTGTCGTCCACATTACGATAGCACGCCCCTGCTCTCTGTACGGTCTTAGACCCTTTTCATGAAATCAAATGCCAAAGAACTAAGGATTATAATCAAAAAAATCCGTATCAGAAGGACGTTTTGTTTTGAACTGCGATTTGCGTTCACGCTTTCTGGCACATTCACCTACCTCTCATTCCAGTTCATGGCTGCGCGCTTACGGTAGAGGGCGGCGGAAGGCGTTCGCTTGAAAGTTCAAGCTAGATATCACGGAAGAATGGAAGCTTCTATCGGTAGTACCTTATTGGACAAATCGTCCCCATGTGACAGATGCATATCGCCAAAGGCATGGATTTTGACGACTCGTCCGCAGCAGCAAGGGTCCAGACCAGTTTGTCCTCGCCTTACGGAACCAGGGACAGGCGCGGGATGCGAGATCTTGATCCCCAGATCTACACTACGCATCCGTGGAGGACAATATATTGATGATAGACAAAGCGGATAAGTACGACTCCATATGGCCAAAGTATAGGACAATCCTGGGTGAGGGGTGGTCAAGCCGGGGAACCTTGGTCTGGAAGAGATCTTGTTCCTTGCACTATTGCTTCCCGCTTTCGTGGCTATACAGTGGGGAAGTGTCATAACCTGCTGGTTTCTTTGAAATAGGGCCCGGGACCTAGACAGAGTTGGTGTTGCCGTGGTTTTCGCGTGACAGCAGGAAGTCCGGTACTGGTGGCTGGTGCTTAGAAATGTCGGAGCAATTCCAGAAGGAAGAAGAAGAAACACGAAGGAGGGAGGTAACAGGCACGTTGTCTCGAGAGGAGGCTAAACATGAAACAGATCTGAAGCTGCAGATCAGGGGAGGAGAGCGGAAGCTGGTGTGACTTGGTTGCGTCGGCCAAGGAGGCCAGGAGGGGGGAAAGGGTTAGCAGGTGTGTCCGTGTGTTGGTAGGCCATAGCGCAAGTGGGAGTTTGGCCATGGACCGTGAGCGTAGAAAGGCAGGGCGAACGTAATTGAACTTTCTTCCTTCGCGAAGGGTTTCTTTGGTGGAGGATGACGTGCCCTTTCCTTCTAGAAGATCGGTTAGTCATATGAATGATCCTCACTGTGCTCCAAGCTTCTTTCGTTCTCCGATTGTTCCTTCGCCTCCTCTTACCCTCCCTCGTTTCCCGAGCTGAGCTCGGGTAGAGAGCGGAAAGGAATCAGAGACATACGAAGACGAACGCACTGATCTCCATCAAATTTCTCGAAGGACGCGCCTGGGTAGATCTAAGTCAATATAAATTTTTTTTCCTTACCCTCTTCTTGATTGATCTTCTCGATCCTTGTTCGCATGGACGAACCAACCTGCGCTACTACCAACCTCACTCCTTCACCCCTGCCCGCCTTCCGCTTCCCCGGGCTTGAAGAAAAGAGGGCCTTCCCGCAATGGGTCTGCTCTCCCCTACTCGTGATGGTGGTCATGGCGCAAGGCCAGGCATGTTGTGGGTGTATACTCCGTACCGGCATCGGCTTCGCATCGTACCGTTCCGTAGAACCTGCCCGCGCTAGCCTTTACCCATGTCATCATGATCTCTGCTCGTCATGTGAAGAGGATAGTGCAGCATCGTTCCCTCTTGCGACTCCAAGCGAACTTGACAGAGGGGTGGAAGATGTTAGATGAAACGAGCGTTTACGCGGATTTACGCGCGATGGCTTGCTTGACCGCTTCTTGATGCTTGCACACATACAAAGGGTCCGGATGGGTATTCTTTCCCGCTTCTTCGGGCGTTCTGTGTGTGGGCCGTCTGGGTCGATCTTGAAGATTGTCCATGAAGCCAATATCGAAGATTGGTGATTTCGAACATGCGGGAGGCGTGTGTGCGCACGTAAGTGGATTAGAGTCGTTGTTCATCGTGCCAAGGACCCGGATGGTGGGATCTGTGCTGCGTGGAAGGATATGGGGATGTTCTTTTTCGGCCTCGAACCAGGCTTATCAGCCTTACTATTAGCCATCAGGCTAAAGAAGGAGCCAAGTGGGAAGACTTCATTGCCCTTCCAAGATTTCCGAAGGAGTGGATGATGGAATCAATGAGACATGGGATCGTATCGTCGGCCAAAGATGGGGGAATTAATCCTCTGATGCTCTGCCAAGGGCATACTGACAACGGGAATTCCGGATGATGCAAGTTTAGGCGGTAAGGCATGTGGCGGCAAGTTCCTCTGGCTGATGGCAAGACTGGAAGAAGGGCGTGCGGTTGCGAAGCAGCCTGGGCTGCATCAATTGCTCGCACTCGGGTTGGGCTGAGCTGGGCTGGGCTGAGCGCCTAGAACAGGGCCCATCCCCTTTGGCTCCACTACCTGTGTCTCGTCTTTCCCACGATGTGCCCACCTAGTCGCTCCACTTACCGCGGTGAGTCTGAAGGATAGTAGCTTCAGAGGGGGGCTGTTGCGGGAGCAGTCCGTCTTCCCGGCGAGCCGGAGGATCCATCCGGACCTGACTTTCACCCTTCTCCAAGCGAGCCTCTTGGAACTCGCTTTGGCACCATTGTACGGCCACCTTTCGCTGCAACGCGCTGAGAGCGAACGGTGGAGTCAAACCATAGTCCGTCCTGTTATACCAGGGTCCCGCAATTATTATCGCGGCGTGGGCAGATGTCGACGCACAAGGGGGGTTTGGAAAATTCACGTGGCCCCGTCCTCGCTGCCATGGCGTGCAAAGAGATACGCGGGCGGAGGAGAGCCGGGCGGCATCCAATCGGGCAGGTCGCTTGGCCCTCTACTCGTTTCTTCCGTCTCGCGGCACGCCTTCTACATTGGCCAGGCCCCGCAGAATCGAAGTCTTCGAGCGCGGTTGGCGGCGGTTGCGGCGCTGATTGCCCGTGCCGCCCATCTCGCTTGTGCCAGTCGAGTCTGGCGCGTGTGATTCTCTGTTTTCCACGTGGTAAGCAAGGTGGGCTATGGGGTTGTGAGGATCCCCGTTCTGTGGCATTCGCTACGTTGGCTTGAGGGCAGGGGCATGGTGCGAGAGGGCACTGGGGCAGTCCGAGGTCGGGAGAAGGTTTAATTTGTTGCTTCTGGAAGGACTTTTTCTTCTGTGTCTGGCTGTCAGTGGGGGGTTTTGATTGTGAGAGAAAGGGATTTGCCGGATCGGTTCAGATCTACTTGTTTTGCCCTACGGGGCTGCGGCAGCCCAGCAGAAGACGCGGTGGTTTCCGCCCACCAGGCTCGATGGAGGATAGGAGGGCGGCACACTGACATAGCGGTGAGCAATGTGACAATGGGCATCAGCAAAGCTGTGACAAGGCTGTTTCTGCTGCTCATCAAGAGAAAAATTCACGCGCATGAGGACTGAGTCGCTGGGCGGCGGGGACGCGGTGGATCGAGCACTGCACCCGACAGCCTGCGGCTCTGCCAAAACACTAACATAGGTAGTACGTCGTTGGGCGAATCGAAACCTTGGTTCTGACAGCCTCTGGAAGTGGGCGTTCCTGTCCTTCCGCCTCTCTCACCCGTGCATTCAACACGCGTGCATGCCTGCGGCGCTCTGCCCATCCATTTCCTTTTTCACGACGGACCAAGACGGTGTGTGACGATGAAGCAGGCGCGGTCCCTGACTAGGCCAGCCCGAGGCACGAACTGCAGATCTGCAACAACAGCGCTGACCAGCGGGCACCGGGCAATTTGCTATGGGCGATTCACGGACGCAGCGCAGCATGTTGGCAAAATCTTGCTTGGTCTCGTGAGCCTTCCGCACCCGTCGTCATCAGTACATGTTCTGCGTCGTCGACGGTATCGCTGGCCATGGCGTTGGGCCAGCGCTGCGCACTTTGCTACACTTGCGGTCCTAGCTAGCGCCCGGCCTTGCAAGAGACATGGACATGGGCTGCTTGTCCCATGGCTTCTGACGTCTTCCCGTCCTGCTTCTCCTGGGCCTCAACGCAAAAGCAAACGTCGATGACGCTGGCGTGGTACGTATGTACTCTCGTATCCCGACGGCTGCGCCCGCTGCCGAACGCCCTTAGCCGAACGCCGCGCGCCGTTACAACGTGCGTAGCACCGGAACACAGCCTCGCAGGCAACGGCGCATAATGCTACAGCGGAGTGGCGATGTAAGGCTTCCCAATGCTAAGTCTGGGGATATGACGACGGGCGCGGGACCACTCCTCCGGCCCCATCGCGTGACGGCCGACCTGTCTGCAGAGGGAAGACCCTTGCTCGCGAGCTTTTGCTTTCTTGCCGGCCGGCGAAAAAAAAGACGAGGTGGAGTGTGCGCAGGACGGCCGGCGGTGATGCGCCCGCGCTGGCGGCGGGCCTGATTATGCCCAGAGAGCTGGGCCGGGGCGGGGAGGCGGGCCAGCGCAAGCTCGCTGGCAGCGAGGCGCGGGAGGGGAGGAAGCTCGGAGGGGCTTTTGCGCGGACAGCGCAGAGAGAATAATCGGGTGGGATGCGAATGGCGGTGTTGAAAGTGAGGCCGGCGGGCGTCAAGCGAGCACGATCACGGGTCCTTGGCTGGCCCATGGGACAGATGGCTGCAGCGGCCGGCGCGGGCGGGGGCAGCATGGCACGGCGCGCTGTGTCATGGCACCACCCTGTCTCTGGCTGCGCTGTTCGCCAGAGTGCCCGGCACTTGACGGCAATCAAACCGGGCCGAAGCTGCGGATGGTGATGGGCGTGACACTGGACATGCGGCGGCTCCGGGCGCTGAGTCGGCGTGCGGGTTGCGGCCAGCTCATCCTTGCGGCTGCGTGCGCGCAGAGGAAGCCCCGCGCCCGAGATTGCGCAGGAGGGAAATTTGGCGGATGAGTCAGCGGCGGGGAGAGAGCACGTTGGTGGTCGTGGTTGTGGGTGGGCGGGCGGCTGCATGGAAGGTGCAGTTATACAATTACTGATTGCAGTAAGTCAGGCCTCCTCCACGCCACGTGTGGGCATGCCTTTTCAGGGCACGGCGTAGCCGCAATCGCGCAGCCGCCCCTCACATCCCGGGCGCCGCCCTCGCATAATCTCCTTTCGTGAAGCCCTTAATATAAGCTTCTGTCGCTCTGCTAAGTATCGATAAGGAGATGGCTCCGACGTCGACGAGTCGGGCAGCTCGGCACCATCCGAGCCCTGGGAAGGCGTTGACGAGCGCAGAGGGGCGAGGGCGCAAGGGCGGCGGCCGCGTATCCTTGTGACCTGTGTGCGACCCAGACGCTCGGGAGACCGAGGAAACGGAGCGCCCTGACATTTCAAATTGGGCGGAACGCACGGCAAGCAAGCGGGCGGCGGAGAGGCAAAAGAAAGACTGCGCGGAGGCAGGCGTAGGTATTGTATGTAACTCGCGTGCAGTGGAGATTGGGAGTGGCGCCGCTGGCTGGCAGCGACAGGCCGGAGATCGCTATCTTTTGCCGAGCGGAAATTGAACGCAGGCTGATGAGGTCACTGCAAAGGGCGGTCACTGTGAGGCAAGATGCTCGGGCGAATGCCCTCATACGGGCGTGCGCGCCAGATCGCCGGCCGGCACGATGGCGGCGACAATGCGCGTGCGCCTGCCTGCCCACTGGCCACCGACATTATTGCGGCACTGGAGGAGGATGCGGATCGCCGCCGCAAGCCCTTGGTTCGCCAAGGGCGCCCGCGACTCATCGCTCCGACGTGTCGTCATTGCACAGTGCCCCCTGCCCGGCCGCGCTGCTAACTACGCTACCCGCCGCCCGCCAGCCGACTCTTGTCCCGGCGCCTCAGCATCGCTCCTTGTCCCCTGCGCCCTGCAGCAGGCACTACACTCCACCTCTCCAACACCACGCCTGGCGTTCATCTTCCACGCTTCGCCAGCCATTCCACGCGCCCGCCCCGACCATCAGCCTCCACCCAGCACGCACATGCTGCCGCTGCCCGAAACAGGGTCAGGGTCCACTGCTCCTCTCGCAGCCTAGCGCTAGCCTCCGAAGCACCAAAATCTGCGTGCTCCACGTTACCGCGCCGGCGCTTGGTAGCCTGCACGCCCTTCCCGCCGCACTGCTGCGCTAGCTGCTACTTCATATCGACTTCTCACCTTTCCCACCCAGCGCCGCTGCTGCTCCCACCTTGGCAGAGCTACCATCGCCCGCCACGCCCACTCCTCACCTCCCACCACTCCCACCACCGCCGCCGCATCATGTCTGCGCCCCAGCAGCCCGACGCCGCTCCCACTGCGGCCGTTCCCCCAGCCGCCAATGACCCCCACAGCACCTCGGCCATCGTCGACGACGAGTACGTGAGCCCTGCCTCGTCGTCGTCGTCGATCAACGAGCCCGGCCAGCCCGCACACCTGCCCCGCCCAAAGCTGGGCAGCCGCAAGTCGTCTGGCACCATCATCATCCCGCGCGACAGCCCCCAGGTCGAGCTGGGCGAGGAGGAGGAGGAGTACGACGAGAACGACGCTCGCACCATGAGCCCGCGGAGGACGAGCGAGGAGATCGAGAAAATCAGCCAGGAAGCCCGCGAGGCCCTGATACAGTGAGTCGCAGCACCACCCCGTTGGCTGTTTACCCCTTACTAACCCCGACGCTCTTCCAGGCAAGCCAAAGCCCTCCAGGCCAGCCTTCTCAGCATCGTCGACCGCGTCGAGTCGGTGCGCTGCGAACACGAGAAGCTCGAAGGGGGCAACCGCTTCCTGCAGTCGTACGTCGTCCCCTCGGACACACGTTGCCCACGATGCTAACCGACGCGCTACAGTTACATTGGCGAGCTCATGCAGACGAGCAAGCTGACTGCCGCCGGCGCTGCAAAGGCAAAGGTCACCAAAGGCCGCCCCATCAAATAAATTTCGACTTTTACCACCCGCGGCGGGTTGCAAGATGGCCCGACTCCCCCACCTTGACAACACCCTTCACGCCTTACCACAACATCGTCACTTGCATCGCATCGTTAGCGGGATCATCTCGAGGCACCGTTCCATCGACGGCCTTGCCGAGTATCTGAGCACCACCCACTCATCACCATCATCATCACTGAAACGACGCTTAATCGCTGATCGAACACCCCGGCCACTCCTCGACAGGATGCGATCACCATCGAGATACATCTACTTCCTACCATTTGCCACGGCGGCATATCTTTCCCAGCCAGTCGCGTTTACGAAGCGTGCATAGCGAAAGGCTTATTGGCGTTCAAATCGGTGCACGCACATTTAGTTGGTTGGACTCATTTTCGGCTTCAAAATCTCAACCAGACCGCACATCTGCAATATTCGTTCCGCTCGCTGTACAGACATCAATTGCACCACTACCCTTTACGACATCATCTTCGTCGCACTCCGTCATCGGCCTCCATCGTCCACTACCGACACGATGACGGAACACACTTCATAGGGATACCCTAGGGCACGAGGAGTACATCATCATCGGCGTTTGTTGTCTCTTCTTCATTTCGGGTTTCTTTTCACTGTATTTTTCCACTGCTTTTGGTGTTGCATCATAGCGATCGCTATGTCGGTTTTGTTCCTGAGCGGCTTTCTTGGGGTTCTGGATCTGCTTTGGTTTCTCTCGCGTTCTTGGGGTCTCATCATCACTAAAGGGGGGTCTTGGAAGGAGGAGCAGTCATTATTGTTTACGCTCTAACACATCAGGTTGAAGAAGATGGCTGAATGCACGAGAATGGGGGAATAGTCGAAGACAGCTGTTGTTACACGATACGGCCACAAACCTGCCCCGCGTGGCGGGAGCAACATACGGGAACGCTCATTGCTGGAGAGACGGAAAAGAGCATGAGCCGCGCAAGAGCAGCATGCAGTCTAACGGAACACGGCTGCCTCTGAGCGATATATTTGGCCTTGTGCATTGCCTTGGCATCAGCCCTCGGACGAGCGGCGTACGGCTATTAGAGTAACTTAGGATTATACCCGTTTCCTTTTGTTAGGCGGTTGTCGAATGAAAAGAAAATTTTGGACTCGAACAATGTATTTCTAGCACGGGCTCTGCCTGGTCATCACTTGAATCTTCAAGTCTTCTCTCCACGGCCTTTCTTGGAGGGAGGGAGTCTCCGGGTATCCTGTGATTCTCCACCAGGAAACGTAAAGCGTCTCCACAACGTTGGTTCCTTCCCCTCCCAGCTCATGTGCACGGAACCTTTTTTTTTCCCTTCGGTGGTGTACAAGCAACAGTGCGTTGCAGGCTGCCGTGAGACAACGACATCGGGTCTTCTCTTACCCACGCAAGACACACCGTGGCACTTCTTCGCTCACCCCTGCATGTACTAGTCCGCCTTCTTTTTTCCTTCCATTCGCCATCGGCGTCTTTTTTTTTCGCTGATCATTCCAATGAAATCAATCCCAAAGCAGGCTGCGTGTCCACACTGCCGTCCGACCACCCTCCCTCTTTCGCCCGATCGTCCAATGTCGGGCACGCCATCGGATCTCCACTTTCTTGTGTCGTCCTGAGACAGACGATCGTCATCATCATCATTGACTAATCGTTTCTTCTTTGCGGGGAATGCGCAAGATGGAGGACGGAGACCCCGGCTGGCGTGCTGCCGTGCCACAGTAATCATGCTACCTACAGGACATACGCATTGTCGTTGTTGTCACAATCGCATCCTCCCATTTCAGCTTTCCCGTTCGTTGCTTGACGTCTCTGCGCTTTCCCGCCTGACTCCCTGCATGTGATGCCGCACATATCAGCAGGGACACTACATAACCATTCGCTATCGCCTGTCGACCGGCGGGAAGTTGTTGAGACGCCTTTTTGTCTTCTTTCCTTGCACGTTTGACGTCCGGATCATGGTGTTCCTTGGTTGCGGAGCAGACTAGTGTCAACCAACCAATGGGCCAGCCAACCACATCCACAGCCAGAGCGCACATGTACAATGCCTGTCAAACGCCTGCACTCTCTCTCAACATCGCACATGCTCGCTCTGATTGTTTGTCTCCACGCTTCCATCCCGAAAGACGCCGACTGATCACATACACACCGAGAGCATTACACAAACAAAACCTCTAAGGAGCCTGGGGCGGAAGGGAAAGGAATGAGGCATGATCAGCGCACGAGACCAAAAATTTGGCCGAAAGCTTTTGTGTCGACAAATGCCCGTCAGGCCTCCCGGCATTAGGGTCCTCTTTTCTTTCTTCGTCGTTTAAGGAATCGATATGCCCATTCTACTAGGTTCCCCTTTCGAACGTTTCGGAGAATTCGGCAAGGATGAATAGGCAAAGGCAGCGAGAGTGGGGTACGCGTGACTGCTTGTTGAATGGGAAATGTTGATGACGCTAGAATGATTCCAAGACACTCGCAGCCTGCTTGCCGCCCCGGTTATAATCTTCACTTCGCACTGACTCGCTCGGGATGTCGGACAGGAAGTACTATGGCACGGGGCATGGAAGCGACGTAGAAGCATGGATCGGGGATGACTGAGACGACTCTTCTTTCTGGTCGGGTGCCCGGATACGTTTGATGATGCACAAAGCTAAATGGTTAGTGGGCGACGGCGTTGCGACATAGGATTCGTTAGGCGGGATTGGACAGGACGTGGGAAAGGACTGGGCGGATGCAGTAGAAGCCATGATGATCATGATGTGTATGTGTTTCATCGCTCAGGGATGCCTGTTTCAGTCCTAGCTTGCTGTTGGCCGGGGAAGAAAGGTTGCGACCACACCCCTCATCTTCGGCAGCGCCACGGCCGGCGAACCACGAATGCAGACGCATAACGTATAAATCCACGCACTTAAAACCCTTGACTCGACTCCTGTCTCCGCGGCGCGACAGGGAGATGTGCGAAGGAGGATGGCAGGTGGCTGGTTGATTTGCCTACTAGCCAGGACAAGGTCTCTCATGATACAGGTCCGGAGGAGCGTCTTGTTCGCTTTGTCCAGCACTACTGGGACAGGCGCTGACGATCAGCGCAGGTCGTCGGGGATCACCATCGGCGGTTTTCCTGGTCAAAAGCATTGCGGCGGGTGGCAACCAATCAGGCCGAGCGCAGGGTGCAACGACAAGGCAGAACAGACAGGCAGTCGGCCGGCAGCAACGGCTCTGCCTGCTTGGCTGTCTCTGCTGTCGTCAGCTGGGGTTGGCCCATCTGCTGCCTTGCGGTGCCTGCCTCGGACGTGCTGCTCTTTGCGCCGATCATGGGATTGCCGATCCCAACCGGTCAAACGACGGGGGTATGTATGTCGCGGCGACTGCGGCGGGACGGACACGAGTGGCTACCTACGTCGGCGGTTCGCTTAGCATGTTATTGCAACACGGCCCGGGAGCCCATTTTCTTTTCCTCTTTCGTGCGGTTCTAAGCGAACCAAAGGAAGACGGCGGGCATTGAGGGCACACGCAAGGCGGCGCCACGCAAGAATCCCAACGCATGATACCGCGGCGCTAGCGGCACGAAGTCAGGGCGAAGGCGAAATGGAGGCAAGGGCATGTGGGCACGGTTGGTGAGAGTGGGCACGCGGGCGGCGCCGCTGATGGTTGAGGTGAGAAAGTGATGGACGAGCAGCTGACGAGCGGGACTCCGCTTCGTGTTGGCGTGGAACGCTGCGTGTCGCCCGGCGGGAGGGAAAAAAGCGGAGCCAGCTAGCGCCCGCTGCCAGCTGGATGCCAGAGAGGGAGCACAAGTCATGCGTAGATCACTGACGGTCAGCAAGCACCAGGCGTCGATCTTGCGGTGCTGAGGTTGTGTTTTTGTGCGATGTGAGCAGCTGCGCAGTTACGTAGGGCCGTCGCGCGCGCGGCCGTGGCTGGCTGAGCTGGGCAACCGGCTTCGCAAGAGGCGCCTGCAGAAGGACCGAAACGCGCCTGTGTAACCCGGTCGCTGGGCGCTGAAGAAGATTCGCCGGGGGTTTCGAAAGCGGCGTGACGCGCGCGGGCGATTGGCGGGCGGCCGCCTATAGAAGCGCCTCCCAGGATTCCTTTTGCCTTCTGCCGCAGGATTCGCGGGGCGGCGTCGCTGAGCTGTCAGACTGCAGCAAACGGCGGGCGTGCCGATCGCGGCTGTGGTGGTGGGCGAGAGTGAGATGACGCAGGGTCTCTTGCGGCTGCTGCGCGCAGAGAGCCTCTGCGGTCGAACCCGAGTGTCGCGCATGCACGCACATCTTTCCTCCCTCACCACCATCTTGCAGTTCATGCATTCCGGCCCAATATGTACACAGCAGCCCGTGTAGCACTTGCGCTGGAGAGTCGAAGCTTTTCTTGGCAGATCTCTGCTGGCCCCATTTGCATCTTGATCATCAGCCGTTGAAGTACCAGCAGCTTCGCAGACCCGCCGCCGCCAAGGCTTGCCATATGTATGTACGCTCAGCCGATGCTTGCAGGCATTGCTTGCTGGTCAATGGCCCCTCCTCTCTCAGCCCTGTGGACCGATGCAGCTAGTTCGAGGTTTGAATTCACACGTGCCTGTCTGTCATGCTATATCTTCCTTACCACCACCCGTCTAACGCGCCTCCCAGAAAAACCCACCCTCTTGCTTGACCGGTGGCATCCACCGCCTGGATGAGATGAGGTCTAGGTCTGAAACCGCCGTTCTCCACTCTGCATCGCGCGACGGAGAACGTGGCTTCCATAGTCTCCATCGCGCTGCGGCCCGCGTCCGCAGCCGGCGCAAGCCATCGAGCCGGGATGGACCATGGAGTGAGCTGCCCACATCGCCGCATCTGCTGTGCATGAGGGAAGTCGAGAAGACGGGATGGAGATCAGGGGACGGTATTTGATCCAGCGGATGCCGCGCCCCATCAGAAAAAAAAGTGCCGGGTCGCTTCTGCATTCATGATGGCCACCCTGGTCTCCAGCATCCACCCGCCAAGGGAACAGAACAGCAAATGTCTCTTTCGCTGCCCCATCGCCGGGCATTGAACAAGCCCCCTCTTTTCTTCTTCACTTCTCTCCACTATTGTCACTTCGATAACCCAGGCTCCTTGCTTGCTCTCCCCCAGACTTCGAGCCTGCACTCCACGTAGGTACGTGTACAAAAGAAAAATCATCCACGGAGATGATTCCTGTTCAATCCACGCTCAGCCTCTCCGCTCAATAAAGCATCCTCCCCGAGGCCTGTAATAAGCAGCAGGCAACAGTACAACCTCATCGCCAACACACCACACAGCGCCAGCGAAGCCGCAAATTTTTTCTCTCTCTTTCCAACAACGCGGACAGCACACCAGAGATGTCGTGATACCTGTAAATAGAATAATGGACTCTCGGTAAATCATCAGCTCATCGTCCCGTATTCCCCGTTCCATCGTTGCGCATAACCATCCTTCTCTTTTCTTGCCTCCCCTCATGGAAATCTCCGCCCCGCCCGAGGCCCGGCCGCCCAGCGCGTTTTGGGAAGCGCCCGGGGAAGCCCGGTTGGTGGAGCACAGCACCAGACTACGTGTGTGTGCGTGCTAAATGGCTGGGCTGCTTTTCTCCTTCGTCTGTCTTTGCTTTTTCCGAGCCGCTCGCGCTTGGCCGTATGCCCCTCCTCTTCATGCCTGATGACTTTAACGACAACAGGAATTTCGACCGGGGGGGCCGGGAAAAAGGCCAAGGCAGCCGGAGTCAGGAAATGCAAGCCGACGACTCGTTCACGATCGCCGCCCAGGGCACAGGACGTGCATGACAAAGCCCGCCAGAAGCGCACTTGCGTGGGTGAAGGAGCAAGTTGGTGGGGCCGGCCCGCCGGGGGGAAGACGGGCTGCCGTGCCGACTGCGAGGGCGATGGGAGTGCGATACTCTCGCTGCTGGGCGGAACGGATAGCCCGGATGGCCATAGTGGGATACGCGATATACGCGTGCAAAAAACTAGCTGAGGCTATCGGCAGGAGCCTTGACAAATGCATCCGGCCTCTCATGCGTGGTGCTCCATCCTTCGCCGACCACGTGCGTGATAGAAGCCGTCGTCTTGCATCCGTGATGCCCGCCGTCTGCGTCCCATCACCCATGTCATGATGATAGCGGCCGAATGGCGAATGTGGCTAGCATGGGCGAGCCAGAAATAGCGCACAAAGCCTTCGATAGAGGGTAGTCAAGCAGGCGGGCAATGCCAGCAGCCTGTGACGCGTGACGCGTTGGTGCGTATGCATGCACGTGGCTGACTCGGCGCCGGACCATTTTCCAGCGAGGCCTGCTTCAGCTGTGTTTGAGTCTGTTTTGCTCCGAATCACGATGCTTCTCTGGCTTCCTGTTGGTGCTCGGAACAAACCGAAAACCCCGGACAACAAAGCTTGTTCTTTATTCCGTCAAGGGTCACCTTAGCAGAAGTTGCATCGCTCCTCTTTTTTTTTCTTCTCCGGGGGGACTGCTTGTTCATTCCCTGATTTCCTTTTTTATCCTACAGTCCTACTTCCATTTTGCTGACTGGTGCCAAGTGTGAACCGAAGTTGCATGCCGTTAGAACCTGTGTCCCTTGAACGCCAGCAAGCCTTGTCCGTAGACGAAGGCTTCAATAATGAGTCAAAAGTTCCTCCCCTTCACCACGATTACCAACCGCTTTCCTTCCAACAACAATGAGACGCCGGATCGCTCCTCGTCTTTCAACGGCGGCCCATGAAAGACCGATAGAAGTCGTCAGCAGCGTCATTGCCAAGGAGAGCTTGACCATTGACTCGGTAACTCTGGGCCTCCTTCTGTGCCTTGGTAACCTTTTCATGGAGCTCGGCAGCGCCAGAGTCGATGGCCTGGAGCTGCGAGAGATGGTTGTTGAGGACGCGGACAACCTGAGAAAGCTATTCCAAATTGCGTCAGTAGACCTTCATTTTGGGTTCAAGAGATTTTCCGCATACCGGGTCGTCAGGCTTGTCTGTCTTGCTGAGCGTTGCAGAGACGCTGTTGATCTCCTCAATCATATCGGACAAGTCCTTGTTCAGGTCATTCAGACGATCAGAGAGCTTCTCCGCAAGCTTGTACCTATGATAATGTAAGCAAAAAGGTTCAAAGATCGCCAGGTGCCAACTTTGGAAGGATGCACGAATGCCTAGTTGGGCTAGCCATCATCGGGCCTATTTGCGCCCGCCTGATAGGAAAGAGTAGGGTTAAAGGAGGGCAAACTTACGTTCTCTCCCTCTCTTGATCCGGTCCCTGAAGACCGTCCTGACCACCAACCATCTTGTCCATCAAATCATCGACCTCCTTCTCGTAATTGTCCAACCACCTGGACAGCTCAGCCTGATCATTCTCAACAGCCGTTAGCTGCCGCTCCACCTCTTCAGTGTCCTTGCGGGCTTGGAAAGTCTTGCTGTAGAGTTTGGAAATCTTATCACTGTTTTCCACAAGCATGCGGTCCCATTCCGCAACTTGCTTCGCCTGGCCCTGGAAGCTCTTCTGATACTTTGAGAGGTCAGTTGCCCAGCGCGTGATGATCTCATCCATAGACTTGTTCTTGAGACGAGACTGAGCACTTGGCGGCTGGCCAATGGTAGATGCCCCCAGATTGGCATTTCCTGCCGCAGCAGGGGCTGGGGTAGAGGCTGCCGCAGAGGTAGTCGTGGTCGCGGCCTGTGTAGTAGAGGTGCTTGAGGGTTGGCCCGTGGTGGAACCCAGGCTGAAAGTGGGAGCGGCAGTCGCCGTGGTCGAAGATTGTGAGGTGCCAGAGCTCTGAGCTGGTACAGTGCCGCCTAACTTGAAGGCGCTCGAGGCTGCAGGAGTCGGTGCAGCTGGTGTCGCCTGACTAGCGCCTGTAGAAGCAGGTGTCTCGGTAGGCTTGTTGAACATGCTAAATCCACCGGAGGTAGCAGGAGTCTGAGGTGCGGCTGCGCCAGCGGAAGATGTTTCTTTGTTGCTGTCCTTGGCGCCGCCGCCAAAGAGGCCACCGGTAGCGGGCGCAGTAGCACCAGGGCTGAAAATACTCGGCTTGTCGGAAGCGGTCGAAGTGGTCGCTGCCGCAGATGCTGAGCTTGCAGGCTGAGAGCCACCACCACCTAAGGTGAATGGAGAAGAGGCTGCCGGCGTCCCAGACGTAGGTTGACCCGAAGAAGCTCCACCGAGAGTAAAGGGCGAGGAGGGCTTGTTGCCAGTCGAGGAACCCAGGCTGAACAAAGCAGAACCTGCCGGCTTGGCTGCATCTTGAGACTGTGCCGGCTGGGAAGAGGACGGAGCGCCACCAATGTTGAACGCAGGTTTATTGCCCGTAGACCCTCCCATGTTGAACAGACCTCCGCCGGTTTGGTTCTGTGCCGGCGTCGAAGCACTGGGTGCGGCTGTGGCTGGAGTGGATTGGGTACCGCTGCTCGCCGAACCTCCAAGGCCACCAAACAAGCCACCTGAAGGCTTGCTGGCGGCGCTGCTGCCTCCACCGAGTGAGAAAGGGCTGGACGTCGAAGTAGTACCGGAAGCAGACGGTGCAGAGGTTTGGTTGTTGAAGGAAAAGCCCCCAGTGGAGCTTGCAGGAGGTGGGCCAGCCGGAGTTGTCGAACCGGCAAAGGAGAACGAGGGCTTTGCGGGGGTAGTAGAAGGACCAGGGCCAGGTGTGGTGGTGCCAGTCTTGAATGGAGAGCTGCTCCCACCGCCAAATAGGCCGGTGCCACTGCTGGTACCGCTGCCACTGCCACCACCAGCAGCAGCTCCACCAAAGAGTGATGGCTGGGATGCGCCGGAGGCGGCCGGTGCGCCGCCAAACAAGCTGGTTCCTGAGCTGCCCGTCGTGCCGGATGAGCCTTGGCCGGCGCTCGCGCCAAAGAGGCCACCGCTGGCACCAGGTTTGTTACCCGTGCTGTTTCCGAACACGCTGCCGCTGGAGGTGTTGGTGTTTGCTCCTCCGAAGATGGATCCCGAACTGGCGCCGCCGAAGCTGAACTTCGGCGCGTCCTTGGAGGCGTCGTTGGACATGTTAGGCTGGATGGCTAATCAAGCGAGATGGTGGAGGGAATTGCGCGCTCGCGGTTTCGGCGTGACGAAACCACGCGGGGCGGGACGTGAAGAGGCGAATGCTCCGGCGACGAGCGGCGACGCGGCAGGTGCGCGAGACAAAAACGCGCAGTGGGCGGGTGTGGTGGAATTGGGGCAGGCGCTGGCGCTTGAGGTGCTGCTCGACGCAGCTTCCGTGCTGGAGCGTGTTTTGGTCGGGCCAGAGCTGACAACAGCCCCTGCACGGATCGAGACTTAATCCATACCGGCGGGCGGGCGATCACTGCCCCAAACTACCGCGGCCAGGCTGATCAGTACACATACGTCGGCCATCCAACTCCTCAAGCCTCAGCTCTATTCCCTCTTCAAATCCAACGAGCCTCGTTGGTCCAAACCGCTACCTACGACACGTCTAACGCCCCTTCATCATGTCGGAGCTGGAACCTCCACGGAAGAGCGTGGAGCTGCAGGATGCTGGTGCACATGAGCTAGGTCAGTCCCCGCCCTTTCCATGAGCTCCTCGCAGCATGCATCGGCACATCGCACTCGCTGCTCGCGCATTCGATTCAAGTAGTCACTGCGGATATGGTGTCGGAACAAATTTCCCTGTCTCGCTATCCCACCCACAGCTTCTTTTGCACACCTCAGTCCATTCAACCCCCTCAAATCATGCACCTCCCTCGTTCCTGCGCTTCCTTCCTTTCACGCCTTTCACCGGCTGACGCAATTCCCAGAGTCTTCAGAAGGAGAGGACCATTTCTCTGATGCCTCGGAGGGCCACAAGTCGACCGCAGACCGGTCCTCAGCAGCCTCACCTGTGCCCTTGACCCGCGTGGAAAAGATTGATGATCAGCCCAGCTATGGAGAGGTCCCGGGCACGCCGGCATATAAGATGAGGATGCAGGATGCAGTGCCGGATGAGGTGGAGATTGTTCCAGAGGGTGGTCGCAGCAGAAGCACGTCTAGGCTGAGCGCATCAGACCGGCCTACCACTCCGCTGTCCCCCGGCGGCACACCCATTCCTAAGACGGTCGTCGAAAAGGTGGATGATGAGCCGAGCTACGGCGAGGTTCCCGGTACTGTCGCATACGAAAGCCACCAGGCCGACGCCGTCCCTGATCTCATCCTCAAGGCTCCAGAACCGCCCAAAGGTAAGTTGCCAGATTTTTGTTTTCTGGTTTCGTCAACGAACCATTGACGGGATAAGGATCGCCAACTGCCTCTGATAGATCGGACCACGTAGACGACGTTCCCGCCGCTACCACCACCGCCGACGATGACAAACCGGAGGAGGATATCGGAATGCCGCAAGTTTCGGATCCAGCTCAAGAAACAACACCTGCGGATGACAATCATGAATTCGGCGATGACTTTGACGACTTTGAGGAGGGCGGGGAGGAGGACTTCGGAGACGATTTTGGTGATTTCGATGATGGCTTCCAGAACGCGGAAGATGAAACCGCCAATACTTTTGAAGAGTCTGCCCCTCTGCCTCCTGTACCCGACCCCCTACCTTCACTTGTAAGTAACGAGAATTTATTCATAAACGAGGTTTTAAGTCGAGAAATCTGCGAGTCGATGAGAACATGCAAAGAATCGCTGACGCCTATGTCGCACCAGCCAATTCCCAGCTTCGATGACCTCGGCAGCCTGGCCGACATTGTGAGTGCCAGCCAGCCTTTGGTGGACAAGGTGTTCGAGCCTTCGTTCGTCGACCGCCCAACCATAGAGCAAGAGGTCAACCCTTCCCTACTATCGGAGAGGAGCTTGTCTTTATGGGCTCAATTAGTAGCCCCGCCGCCGCTTCAACCTCCGAACTGGGTTCGCTCCCGCATTAGGCGGCTGTTCCTCGTTTCTCTAGGAGTGCCAGTCGATCTCGATGAAATCCTCCCTGCCAGCAAACAGAAGAAGTTGGTGTTGCCCTCCGTCAACATTCCGGGGGAGCGTTCTCCACGAGTGTCGTCTGATGAGCGCGCAAATGGCACTGTGTCCCGGCTAAAGAAAGAGGGCAACGATTCGTCGACGTCGGTCAACTCGTCTTCGTCGAAGACGGAGCGGAAAAGGCGCGGACCGCCTCCTCCACCGGAGTTCGACATCACAGCCGTCACCATGCTCTGCTCCACTACGGATGCGGCACTCCAAAATTTCACAGCCGAGGAGCTCGAGGCGCACGTCAAGAGGCTTCAAGAACTGCAGAGACGAGCGAACGAGGTCTTGGACTACTGGGTCAAGCGCAAAGAAAGCGCTGTCGGAGACAAGGAGGCATTCGAGGGTGTCATTGAGAATCTCGTGAAGCACGCCAAGAAAGTGAGGAAATGAAAAGATGAGGCTCTTGTGGCGATGAAGCTCGGTCGCCGTCGCTAGCGAAAGCACATCGGAGAAGGAAGAAGCATCTATACCCCCCGCGTACTATAGCTAATATACGCTCCAATGGGAGCTACGGTCGTGGACCGACCGGAAACACTAAGTAAAGAACCGCCCGCGGTTTTGCAATCGGACTTCCGAGACCTGTCGTGGCAAGACCACGGGCTGCCCGTTGATCAAGCATCCATTCGGCTTGGCGGTGGCCTGGTGCTGGAGTGCTGGAGTGATCATTCCTCCATCCGCCAATCCGCATGGCCGGCATAAGACCCTTTGCCCCCACTTGACTCCCTTGCAACGGGCGGTGGGCAGCTAGCAGGGACATGGAGCGGGCGACTTCTCGCAGCAGATTGGTGGCTGTCGTGCTCACCGGCCATCGACGGCGTCCTCACCGTTTTCACATGGCGCGCGATGGAGGCGTGGCGACAGGCCGCCGCGGCGCTACGCAGCGGCTGCTGCAAGAGGGCCCGTTCCGGAGGTCACCTGCCGGATCTACGTGGTCATGGTCCTAGCTCCCCGGATCGATCTTTTTCAGTAATGACTGAGAGGGCGACACCGAGAATTATCCTGGCAGCCCAGGGCGACGGCGAGAGATTGTTTATTTCCGAGCACAGCGTAGCGCGTCGTACGGGCGGGCTCCGGCAGCGCGTCCACGGCGACGTTGCAGCGCCGCATTCGCGACCCACGGCAGGCGGCTATCTGGCGGGTGGTGCCGGCTTTCGAATTTTCCCTGGATTTGGGAACCCACCCGCGCCACCCCACAGACGTGTGCAGGCGCAGTCGGCTCAGCTTTGGGACGCAGGGTCAGACGCCGATTCGGGCCGAGATTGTGGTGGGATTTGATCTTCGCTCGCGGTTGAGACTGGGTGCGGTGAGATTGGCAGGCAGATCTCCTCACCGTCGTGTGGGCATGTCGCGCTGAGGTAGAAATTGAGCCCGCCCGCGCACGTGTGGCTTCCGGCGCCCAACCTGCGAGGCGACGCCAGGCAGCATTAGCGGGCGGGCGCAAGACCCTGAAACCGTGTCGCATAGGCAGCAATGCTGAGAGCTAACCCGTCGGGGTGCTGCGATCGGCGAGCTTAAGCTGCGCGCCAGCGCCTGAAACGAGCAGTGCAGACTCGTGTCTACCGAGCGCGAGGTGGAGCAGCACAGCACGTCGTCGCAAACACCGCACCTTGGCTGCGTCTCGTGCGTCCTCCGCTGCGGCGGCGACGCGAGCGGGCGTCGAGCGCGCGCACGCGCAACGCTCGGGGCCCGCCAGCGAATCAGTGCCGGGCTCGCCGCGTGCTCGTATTCCCATGCCCGCCTGCCAGCACCCGCGCCGAGTCATTGGCGGCCCTTGGGTGCCCGCCTCGACTGGTGTGTCTGTGAGCTGCTCGGAAGGTGTGGGCGGCGCGGCGTTCAAGCCGGTCGTTGTTACACAGGCGGCTGCGGCATCGACGATAGGTGCTGCGCGACTGCGACTCCAGAAAGGGGCTCACCGCGGCGGGCATCATCGGCGGCGCGGAGCGTTGTTTCCACTTAACTGCCAGCCCTGTACGTACGGCTCGCAGCGCCGGCGCGCCACTGCAGCGCAGCACCATTTCGCCCGCGCCCGCGCGAGCGAGCCCCCCCTCCCCTCAGATCGCGGGCCCTGGACTGACGGCCACGAGGCGCGCATGTCGAGGCCTTCCTGGCACGCGTCCGCCGCCTCGCCACGCTTCCCTTTGTCGCTGTCCGCCAGCACGCCCGCCCGCGCCTGCGCACGTCCCCCGTGTCGCCGGGCGGCGTGCTCACTACGTCAGAAATTGGCCCAAGCCAGCGCGGCGGCGTTGAACCTTTGTCGCTAGCCCCCTGTCGGCCGGGGCTCTCGATTCGCTAAGATAGGCTCTGGGCTGGCGCCCATCGAGGCAGACGGAGCGTTCTGCATTGCGACTGCCTCTCCACCACGCTCCTTTTTTCGTGCGCTGCGCCGTTGCGAAGTTCCCTCACCCTTGGGCCAGGGCTGTTTTGCTTCTTCCGCATCCTCTTCCGCCTCCATCCAGCGGTGTCCTCCTGCACCGCCTTGCCACCCGTCCCATCTGTCCCCAAGCCCGCGCTCCCCGCCGTCGTACGAGCAGCCTCACACGCCCCCAGTCCGCGGACCAGCACCACACTTCACAGCGACTTTTTGGCCCAATGCACGGTGCGAGAACCACGCTGTAGACGTGCGTCACAACGATGTCTCACGACGAGACCGCCTCAGCGCTCGTCGCTATCCTGTCGAACCTCGCGAAGCAGCATGATCCCCAGGTCGACAGGTCCTTCCCTGGCCAGGTTGCGGCCAACGGTGGGAAGGCCGCTTCGTTGACGCTCCCGGGCCCCGACAGTGAGACGAAGCGGGCGCTCGAGCGCGAGCTCGCCGCCCTGTCGTCGCGCGTCCAGTACCTCGAGGCGAAAGCCCGGACGGTCGACAACAACACCTTCCCCATCACTCCCGGCGAGCCCAACCTGCACTCCCCCTTCCCCGGCGAAAACCACCAGCTGCAGACGCCCCAGAACCGCGCGATTGCCGGTCGAGACAGGCAGGCCTCATGGGTTACAAACTGGCTGAAGGAGAAAGAGACGCCTGGCGAGCGGGCGGTGCCCGCGGCGCAGCTGACCGAGGACCAACTCGCTTACCTGCGCGACCACCTGAACAAGCAGGCCGAGCAGATCCAGAGCCAGCGAGAGCACATAGACAGCCTCAGCGCCGAGGTTACCCGGCAGCTCCGGGACCAGGACAAGGCCTTCGGCCATGGCATCGAGGACATTGGAGCTCTCAAGCGAGAGCTGCAGAAACATCAGCAGGCAAATCTGGCCTTCCAGAAGGCCCTTCGAGAAATTGGTAGCATTGTCACGGCCGTCGCACATGGTGATCTCAGCAAAAAGGTTTTGATTCACGCCAAGGAGATGGACCCCGAAATTACGACTTTCAAGCGCACCATCAACACTATGGTGGACCAGCTTCAGGACTTCGCCAGTCAGGTCACAAATCTGGCCAAGGAGGTCGGCACCGAGGGCCGCCTCGGTGGCCAGGCTGTCCTGACCGGCGTCGATGGCATTTGGGCGGAGTTGACCAACAGCGGTAGGCATCAATCTTCTCGGGCAAATGGAATCGCTGCTAACCCTTCTCAGTCAACGACATGGCACGGAATCTCACGGAACAGGTGCGAGAAATCGCGGTCGTTACAACAGCTGTCGCCCACGGTGATCTCAGTCGCAAGATCGAACGTCCTGCGAGAGGAGAGATCTTACAACTCCAGGAAACGATCAACACCATGGTGGACCAACTCCGTTCTTTCGCGTCAGAAGTCACAAGAGTCGCTCGCGATGTCGGTGTAGAAGGTATTCTCGGCGGGCAGGCAAGGATAGAAGGCGTCCAGGGCATGTGGAACGACCTCACGATCAACGTGAACGCCATGGCCTTGAATCTCACAACGCAAGTGCGCGACATAGCCCAAGTTACAACGGCTGTCGCTCAGGGTAACCTCACGCGTAAGGTTTCGGCAGAGTGCAAGGGCGAGATTGCAGAACTGAAAAACACGATCAACTCCATGGTCGACCAACTGCAGCAATTTGCGCATGAAGTCACGAAGATTGCCAGAGAAGTCGGTACGGAAGGTCGACTCGGCGGACAGGCCAGAGTACATGGTGTTGAAGGCACCTGGAAAGACCTGACGGAAAACGTCAACGGTATGGCCGACAATCTTACAACACAGGTCAGAGAGATCGCAGAAGTCACAACTGCGGTTGCTCGTGGTGATCTGAGTAAGAAGATCAAGGCCGAAGTCAGAGGAGAAATCTTGGCGCTGAAGATTACCATCAACACCATGGTGGACCGTTTGAACGATTTCGCATACCAAGTCAGCAAGGTCGCCAGGGAGGTCGGAACCGAAGGAAAACTTGGAGGCCAAGCCGAAGTGGAGAATGTCGAGGGCAAATGGAAGGATTTGACCGACAATGTCAACACCATGGCGCAGAACTTGACACTCCAAGTGCGCAGTATCTCGGATGTCACAAGCGCCCTTTCTCGCGGAGACTTGACACGCCGTGTGCATGTCGATGCAGAAGGAGAAATCCGGTTGCTCAAGGACACCATCAACGACATGGTTGCTCGACTGGACGAGTGGTCTCTTGCAGTCAAGCGTGTCGCAAGGGATGTCGGAGTCGACGGCAAGATGGGCGGTCAAGCTGAGGTTGAAGGAATTACTGGGCGCTGGAAGGAAATCACGGCAGACGTCAACACCATGGCCCAGAACTTGACTTCCCAAGTGAGGGCCTTCGGGGACATTACACAGGCCGCCACGGATGGAAAATTCACCCAAATCACCGTTGAAGCCGCCGGTGAAATGGACGAGCTCAAGCGAAAGATCAACAAAATGGTTTCCAGCTTGAGAGAGAGTATCCAAAGGAACACGGCGGCAAGGGAGGCCGCAGAACTGGCCAATAAGACCAAGTCCGAATTCCTAGCGAACATGTCCCACGAGATCCGGACGCCAATGAACGGTATCATCGGCATGACGCAGTTGACGCTCGATACGGATCTCACGCACTCACAACGTGAGATGCTCACGATCGTTCACAACCTTGCCGGTCAGCTTCTGACTATTATCGATGATATCCTGGATATTTCCAAGATTGAAGCGAACCGCATGGTTATGGAAGAAATTCCGTTTTCTCTGCGCGGTACCATCTTCAACGCTCTCAAGTCGCTTTCGTCCAGGGCCAATGAAAGAAGACTCAATCTCGCGTATCAGGTCGACAGCTCTGTTCCTGACTACGTTATTGGCGATTCTTTCAGGCTCAGACAGATTATTCTCAACCTTGTCGGCAACGCAATCAAGTTCACTGAGCATGGCGAGGTCAAGGTCGCCATCTCGATGGCCCCCCAGATCGACTGCAAACCCGACCAATACATCTTCAAGTTCGCTGTTTCCGACACTGGAATTGGTATTCACGGCGACAAGCTCAACCTAATTTTCGACACTTTCCAGCAAGCCGATGGCTCCACAACGAGAAAGTTCGGTGGTACGGGTCTTGGTCTATCCATTTCCAAGCGACTCGTCACTCTCATGGGTGGAAAGATGTGGGTTGAGTCCGAGTTTGGCTGCGGCAGTACTTTCTACTTCACCTGCAAGGTGAGGCTCGGCAATCCAGACATCAGCGCCATCCAGCCTCAACTTTCGCCGTACAGCAAGCACACTGTACTTTTCATCGACCAAGGAAAGACTGGATACGGCGAGGAGATTGTCAACCATCTCAAAGCCTTGGATCTTCGTCCACACGTCATTCACACCGACGAGAACACCCCTCTGTCGGAAATTCCAAGCCCTGGCAAGCATGCATATGACTGTGTCATCGTTGACTGCAACTTGACCGCGCGGAAGCTTCGTGGCGAGGAAAGATTCAAGTACATTCCACTGGTCATGGTCACGCCCCGTGTCGCGATCAGCTTAAAATCTGCTTTGGAAGACGGCATTTCGAGCTTCATCACCACGCCTTGCCTTCCCATTGACTTGGGCAATGCATTAATTCCAGCGCTCGACGGCCGCGCCGCACCCCTCATTTCGAACCAGTCCAAGTCTTTCAACATTCTTCTTGCGGAAGATAACGCCGTCAACCAACGTTTGGCTGTCAAGATCTTGCAGAAGTACCATCACAACGTCACCGTTGCCAACAACGGTTTGGAGGCGTTTGAACAGATCAAGAAAACCAAGTACGACGTTGTATTGATGGACGTGCAAATGCCGGTGATGGGAGGCTTTGAGGCCACGGCTAAGATCAGAGAGTATGAGCGCGAGCACCATCTAACCCCGACTCCTGTTATTGCGCTTACGGCGCATGCAATGGTTGGTGACAGGGAGAAGTGCCTGCAAGCCCAGATGGACGTAAGTTACTGTTCTTTGCGAAGACCGATCCGCTCATAGAGCTAATGACTTGTAGGACTACCTTTCGAAACCGCTCAAGCAGAATCAGCTCATCCAAACGATCCTCCGCTGTGCAACCCTTGGGGGAGCACTGCTTGAACAGGACAGGCAGCGAATGGCTCTTTCGCAGAATGAGAAGGATGAGTACGGCGGCAATAACAACAACGAGAAAGAGCAACAGCAAGACGGAGCGCAGCAGGGCACACCCAGAGGTACGCCACGCCGACCGCAACTGGATAATCGCGGTTACACGGAAACGGGTGCGGCGGGCAAAGAGAGTCCGAAGCTACTGTCTGCTGATCAGTCCGATCACGTGGATAGAGTGAGTACCCCGTCAACGCAATACTGTGAGGTTGGCACTAACAGAACGGCAGCTTCTCCTCAGATCACACAGTAGCTGATGACCTCTCCGTCTCACTCGTGAGAATACGAAAGTCAAATCAGTTACGCTGACTTGACTTCTTAGGCGACAATCGATAGTAATCGTTTGCCACCGTGCCTGGCGCGAAACGCTCGTTTCGTCGCGCCGCTGCGGCTGTCGCCCAGCAATCAAGTCGCCACCGGCAAGAAAGAAAGGAAGAAACGCACACCACTCGGCCTGACATGTCCTTTTGTTCGACGAGCGTATACCATCTATTTCTCGTGTACCTACGTTGCTCGACACTTGCCTTTTCTTGCTCTTGCGCGTCATGGGATAACAATGTTACCAGGATTTCCTTTTTGTCTTCTGCTCGGCGTTCAGCAACAAATGCAATTGGAGCGGATGGTCTCTTGAATTTTCTTCTTGGCTGGGGTTGGAGAGCGAAGCCGCTCTCCTGGCACCCCGGTATCCGATGTTCTGCTCTGCGTTTTGTTGGCTTCAAGTTTGGATTTTGTGTTTGTTATCTTGCGCCAGTCCGGCCGGGGACGGTGGTGGAAGTGACGCAGGGTGGGGGGAAAACGGGGCCCGGAAGGGCGCGCATTGCGAAGGGCATTAGTTGCGGCGGCGAAGGGAAAAAGATGGGAAGGCAGGCTTTGGGAGGGGGTGGGCCGATTCCGGCGGAGTCTTTGGGGAGGCGAAAGGCACATTTGATTTCTGTTTTGGCATGAGTTACCTGCGATCGTCGTGTTTGGTTGCTTCACAGTCTTGATTGTCCCTTTTCATCTCGATGGCTTGCGCCTTGCGTCAGACATGTTGGTGCGACGAGCGTGCAGCGTGTCTGGGCACCAAGCGAGAGAACGATACTCGATATAGCCCGGCAGTATACCAGTCCCGTTCGGATTTCTGTTTCGCTCTGTTCCTGGTCAGGCTGATGTTGGCGGGCAGCTGGATGATTTGGAATTCCGAGTAGCTGATGATCTTCATTTCGCAGACGCATGAACGACTGCTTTCCGGCACGCATTGCGGGACGAGTGATACAACGGGCATGGCACTGTGGTGGATTGTTTGCTGCGGGCGGGCTGCCTCCCACCAGCTGCGCACCCGTCGGCGCAGGGAGGCCTGAGCAGCGAGTAGATGAGCATGTGACCGCACGACAGCACGACAGGGCAGCTGAGCGGCGCTCGCTGAAGTGATTCGCCGCGCGCGGGTGCGAGCATCCGGAGCTGAGACCCCGCGGCAGCCTGGAGAAGCTGGGGCGGCCACAGGGCTAGCGCTGGCGGCAAGGCTGCCGTTGAGAGGACCCCATCTTTAGACGCGAGGCTCAGGGCGCCAGCTTTGTGCTCAACGAGCAGCTCCCCAGATTGTCTCACCGGGCGCGCTACGTTAAAAAGCGCCATGCTGTGCGCCCGCCCGGCAGGCCAGCCTTATGCTGACCCATCGAGGCTATTTAATACGTGTGCTGGCCGTTTCTTTGCCGCTCGCCCTTTGCCACGGCGGTGATTGAGTCGCGTCCAGCTTGCGGCAGCAGCGCGTGTGCGTCATTGGTCGCCGTCCCCGTCAGCTGCACCGCTGCTCGCTTTGTGGCCTTTGAGCCGCATCGCCAACAGCCCGGACATCCGCAGCCTCGCCGCCGCTCTGCTGCACCCTCACGCTCTTTGCGCCTTCTCCGGCCACGGCCCACGCGCTGCTGAAGTCGCTCGTTCGCGCCGCCGTCCTCGCGAACGCGTGCGAGCCCCGGAGCGCGTCAGCCTGAAAGCGCGTCACCCTAGGCCTGCGCGCACCGCCAACCGCCGGCTTCCTTCCTTCCCGTTCGGTGGGCGAGGAACCCTTCGTGGAAGCCGCGCCCTCGTCGACGCACTTCAACACGATCCTTTCCTTTGCACCGTGTCTTTTGCAACCCACCTCAGCGGCTCCACCCGCATGCTTCCACCATGAGTTTGAGCAACCTGGCTCCCAACGCTTCGGCGCAAGAAATTCAGGACGAAATTACCTTCTTCCAGATTCTCATTGACACCCTCGACCCCGACTCGGAAACATTTTGGCAAGACAAAACCGACCGAGAAGAAGCCATCGCCAGCCTGCAGTCACGCCTCGACGCCCTTCAAGCATGCACGGCAGGCCCTTCATATGCGAACACCAGCTACCAGCCTGCCCTGCCTGCCCTGCCTGCACCCTTCCCACCACATGGCGTCTACCAGCAACCTAATGACCCTTCCAACTTTTTCACCTCGAACGCCCGCAAACGCCCAAGGACTTTCGACGATAGCCTTACTGCCGATCATGCGAACAAGTCGAGCCGGACCACTCCCAGTCCTGCTGCTACTACCCCGGGTACCTCCAGCTCGAACGACTCGTTTCCAGAGCTGTACGAAACTTATCCTCCGCAGACCCAGGCTCAAGCTGGTGGGGTGAGGTATGCGCACAGCTCACTCAACCAGGTGCTGGAACCAGCCAGACCAAGTGAGGTTCACCAGCACCCGGGGTCACAGCAAGATAGACAGGACGTCGGGAACTCTTATGCGTGGGGCTGGCCCGCTCAAGAGACGCCGAGCCATCAGCCGCACTATCAGATGCAATCCCAGCGACCTCCGCAGCCGGCTCCGACCAACTTTCACCAATCACCGCGTCCCTTTCAAGGTGGCACGCCTGCCGGGCCCTCAAACGGGCCATTCCAAGTGCCTTTGCGCGTTTCACACCACAACCCCCCGCCATTTCAACGTTCTTTCTCCTCTCAGTCCATGAACGCCCAGGTCTCTAGGCAAACACCACAACGCTTCCCTTCTGCGAATGGGGTATTGTCACGTTCCGTACCGTCTCAGCCCATCAAATCCGAATATCCTAATAGCAGTCCTCTGCGTGCGCCCATTCCAAGGCCGAGAGATCACTTCCAGTCGTCGAACTCAAGCAGGGCTGGACCCGGCCGTTCTCAGACCACCAGTAATGGAGTTGAGATCATTGATCTCTGCGACTCTGATTCCGACTCGGACATCCAGGAGGTGGCTGCGTACGCAAATCGAAACCGCCCTGTCAACCCAATTTTCACACCAAGGCACGCCCAGCAGACCGGTTTCACACCTCCGCGACAAGCATTTAACACAAGAGTCCCCCGAACTATTGGTTCACAGCCCATCTACAATACCTTGCAGGGAACCTTTGATAACCCGGTATCCATCGATGAATATGAGGACTTCTTGCAAATTGTCGACAATCCTTGGCCGCGTAGGGATCCTACTCGAGGCGGTCCTTCGATCCCGACTACAGTGCAGGGCGGCATCGAGCGTCCCGACCCGTTCACTAACTCAACAAACACCTACTTAATGGGCCACATGGCAGGCTATTACCCAAGCCATGCAAACCTTAACAACATGCCCGAGCGTCAGCGGGAATGGCTCGACCGCTACGGTGGATATGGACAATCTGCCCAGGGGTCGAGTGGCGAGGCTGTGAAGAACATGCTTAAAAACATTCGCCCTGATGAAGAAATACCCCCTGAGCGCCGCCTTGCGACTCCCGAGGCTATGGCTGTTCAACTGATGGAGCACCAAAAATTGGGAGTCGCTTGGATGAAGCATATGGAAGAGGGGTCGAACAAGGGCAGCATTCTTGCTGATGAGATGGGCCTCGGTAAGACCGTCCAGGCTTTGTCCTTGATCGTTTCGAGACCTCCTGAAGATCCTTTGAGGAAGACAACTCTGGTCATTGCACCTGTCGCATTGATGCGGCAGTGGGAGCGGGAGGTCAAGACGAAGATCAAGGGCGGCAATCATGCCTTGAAAGTTATGACATACCACGGTTCGAAGAAGAAGTCCTTCAGAGATCTTCGGCAGTTTGATATTGTCCTTACGTCTTACGGAACGGTGGCCTCGGAGTTTACCAGGAAAGAAAAGATCAGAGAATTCGAGGCCCGCAATGCTGACGAGCCTGAGGGAGCCGCACCAAGGCCAAAGAACGAAGACTACCCGCTGCTAGGGAAAGATTCTTTGTGGTACAGAATCATTCTCGATGAAGCTCACAACATTAGGAACAAAGAAACGAAGACATCGAAAGCTTGCTGCGACTTGAAAGCCGTTTACCGACTATGCATGACTGGCACGCCCATGATGAACAGAACCGACGAGCTTTACGGGCTAGTCAGGTTCCTTCGGATCCAACCCTACTGCGAATGGGGCAACTTCCGGGCTGACATCAAAACCTCGCTTGAAAAGGGAAGCAAGCCAATTAGAGAGGATGGCATGCGCAAGCTCCAGGCTTTGCTAAAGGCCATTCTTCTTCGCCGCACCCAACAGTCCAAGATAGATGGCAAAGTCATCTTCGAGCTTCCACCAAAGACCATTGAGGTGGAGCATGTTGTCTTTGACCAAGATCAAGACGATTTTTACAGGGCACTCGAAAGCAAGACACAACTCAAATTCAACAAGTACCTCAAGGCAGGTACTGTCGGCAAGTCATACTCGCACATTCTGGTCTTGCTGCTTCGTCTCCGCCAAGCGTGCTGTCATCCGCATCTTCTCAAGGACTTCGCGGAGCCCGCTGCAGGTCTCTCTGAGGATGAACTGCTCGAATTCGCCGAGCAGCTGAGTGAGGATGTTGTTTTACGCATCAAGGCAGAGGAGGGAGCATTCAGCTGCCCGATCTGCCTCGACGGCGTTGAGAACCCAGCCATTTTCCTACCTTGTGGTCACAACGCTTGCAGTGAGTGCTTCGCACGGATCACTTCCGATCCTGCGCGAGGCGAAGAAGGTTATAAATGCCCTAACTGCCGCGGAAAGCTGGATCCCAAGAGGATTACCGACTACAACTCTTTCAAAAAGGTCCATATGCCGGACGCCCAAGAAAATGAGGAGGGACCATTCGCCAGGGAAGAAGCCTACGCAAGCAGCGATTCAGAGAGCGATGAAGAGGATGATCTCGATGGATTCATTGTGCCAGATGACGAAGTCGAAGGATCAGGCTCGGATCGCTCGAAGCCAAAGCCCAAGAAGTCGAAGGGGAAGGAAAGAAAGGCCGATGCGCCCCCCAAGCAAAAAATGACACTTGCGCAGCTTCGCAGGGAGGCTCACAGGAACATCGCTGCCAAACAACGCTACTTCAGGCGGTTGTGCAAGGATTGGGTCACCAGCGCTAAGGTGGACCGCACAATGGAACTGCTCCACAAGATCAGGAACGAGGACCCCACCGAGAAGACACTCGTCTTCTCTCAGTTCACCAGTCTGCTCGATATTGTCGAAGTACCCTTGGCTCGGGAGGATATCGAGTACACCCGTCTTGATGGTTCCATGTCTGTTGACCTGCGCAATGAGGCCGTGAACCGTTTTATCGATTCGCCTTCCTGCAACATCATGCTCGTCTCGCTGAAGGCCGGTAACGCTGGTCTGAATCTCAATGCAGCGTCTCAGGTCATCATCTTGGATCCTTTCTGGAATCCCTACGTTGAGTATCAGGCAATTGGTCGCGCTCACCGTCTCGGACAGAATCGACCTGTCGTAGTGAACCGGATCTTGGTGAAAAAGATGGGAGACGAAGGTCAGAACCACACGGTTGAGGACCGCATAATGGCGCTCCAGAAGAAGAAGGAGCAGCTGATCACAATGGCATTGGATGAAGAGGCAGGGAAGAGCCTCTCGAGGCTGACTATTCAGGATTTGGCCTTCCTCTTCGTAAGTCACAATGATTTCGCAAAACCCCCATTTCTAATCCGTATTCTCAGGGAGTGCGCGCCAACCATGGCTAGCCATGAAGAGTACATGACATTCTTCCCAGTCCACCCTGATGCTCTCGATCGGACTTTTTTTTTTTCTCGTTTATCATTTGCACGCACCTTAGAAGTCTTGCAATATTTGTGCAGGCTCACAGGCAAGCGAACAAAAATGGCTTCAACGCATTGATACCCTCGGCATGGTTTCACGGTTTTGCTGGAGTAACGACATCCATGAAAATTCAGGGTAATTGCAATATTCAGTCCGCACGAGATGCATCTATCCACCGCCAGAGAGGTAGTTTCTGTTTTCTTTTCTTTTTTTTCTCTTCTGGAATCAGAGCAGTTAAGATGGTGACTTCAATTCCCTTTGATGCGGTGCAAAAGAATGAAAAGCCGATGAGAAAGGAGAAGACGGGACAGAGGCACATATACGGGGTTTCAGAGCTGGCTTACTCTTTTCTACATTTCTTATTTGCTTTTTTTCTGGTTCGGGGCTAGACAAAAATATCTTCCTTTTCTGTTTATCCTTACCTGTGTGGCTGATCAATAAAGCATGTAATTTCCAGAGGGACTTTCGGCGAAAGGGGGCAAATTCTATGCAACGATGAATATGACGCTAAGTTTATCATGAGAATGTTGTCCACATGCATGAGAACTAGGAGTCACGATAGTAGAAGTCAATGACTAATGCGTGGAGGCCAGCCAAGTTGAAGTCAAAGGTGAATAAGTCAAAGGCGACTCCTCAGGCCCTAACCTAGTAGATATTACCATGTTTCGCCATGTGAGTAGTGCTAGAGGCACGCTTTCCCATCATCGTTGAAAGTATGGACATAATTCATTAAATGGGGATCCTTGGTCCACAGAAACCCACAAACAAGCCCTCGCTCAAAATTCAATTCCCAATCAAAGTGGAGAAAAGGGAAAACGCCCTACCATGCGATAGTACTTTGCACTTTACCATAACTCCTCCGCTCGCCTAGTCACTTGGCTAATCAGCCAGCCCCATCAACGCCTCAAGCTCCTCAGGGCTCAGGGTACTCTTCCTCCGCTTCGCTCTGCCTTTGACGTTACTCCTACGCGGCGTCCGCCTGGGACGCGTATTGACGTTTTCGTTCTCCTCAACGATGGGGTCGTTTTCGATGGTGGTGATGGCAGCGGCGGCGGTGACTTTTCGGTTGTCTGCTGCTTCTTTCTTCTCCGCTGCCGCAGTCCTAGCCGCAAGAGCAGCAGCTTCTTCGGCTTCTTGCGCTGCAATGGAGAGCTTTTCTTGCACTGTCAGTTTCGGAGATGGCTCGTCTTCGTGCGGGAGTGGAGAAGAGCGGCGTTTGCGGGTCTATTTGAAAAAGCAAAGTTAGTTTTCATACACTCTAGGAGTGAAAATGCATGATGCTAAAGTGTCGGGGATTCTGCGAAGCGTGCCATCTCTATCCAAGTGGTCGTCTTTTGTTGGTGAGGAGATGATGCTACGTGAGGGATTGTGCTTTATTATGGGTGTTGGGGTGAGGAATCGTACACTACGTGGGATGCCACTTGGACGAGGCGTGGGTCTGCCGCGCACTTCAGACACTGGGGGCTGCGGCAATTGCCTGGGTGCGGACAGCGGGTTGCTTGTGGATGAAGGCTTGGAGCCTGATCTTGAGTTCGATTTGGAACTAGCTCTAGATCCGGACTTGACCAGGTCGACTTCTGAGGCGTTCTCGTCGGTGAAGGCATGGTTGGGGGTGTTGTTATTTGAGGGTGCGAAGATCACCTTCCGAGGGGATCTCATGTTGCCGTCAGATTCCCGAAGGGCGTTATGCGGTGTCGGATCGAGCTTGATGTCGAAAAGGTCCGTCTTTCTGCTCTCAGGCACAGGCTTCTCCGGGGAAGGAAGTGCCGGCTCTTCGTCAATATCATATTCCTCCTCATCTTCCGTATCCACTTCGCTTTCCACTTCTCCTTCGTCTTCTTCTTCGTCTTCCTCCTCGACGGGAGCAAGCATGCCTCCAGGACAGAGCCCCATTCTCAGTTCGTCGAGCGTGATTGTGTCGCCGCCGTCCATCATGCGCTGTCTCCAGCCCTGCATCATGGTGACCACATCGCGCCACCTGGACTCCATCTTTTCCCAGCCATCTCGTAGCTTCATGATCTCATCCTCTCGCGATTCCACTTCTGAGATGGGTACGAAATTGGGGTTCGTCAACAGGCTCCGCAGGTGTTCAAGTACATGGTCCATGTCGGTAGCCAGAGCTTCATACGAAGTAGGGAGGGCATGGGCCATGGTGGTGTCCGGATAGTCGCCATCTACATGTGCAGATTCTTCGTTATGGCCGAGCTCTGGCATCCCCTGCAATTCTCTCAAAGTTGCAAGCGTACTTCTGACCAGGCCGATGAGATTGTCATTTTCGTCGCTCAGGCTCTGGCTTAGTTGGGTGAGGAACTCTGTGGTTTCTTGTCTGAGGCTGTACTCAGCATCCTCAAGGCTGGGCATATCGTCATCTCTGCCCATGCTGGCGGGGACGGTGGACATAGAGCCTGGAGTGATGGTGATGCTAGCGCCGACCAGACCCGTCTTGTTTCCTCTCTGCTGCGCGGTAAGGTGTGACTTTAAGCGCTGGATCTGCACGTCGCGCTTGCGGACGTCGTTGGCGCAAGCGGTGCGGACCTGTTGCACGGTGGCCTTGAGGCGGACCATCTCTTCGCGCAACGAACGGGCGGAGCTTTCGGCGGAGCGAAGGGCGGTTTTGGCAGAGCGTTCAGACGATTGAGCGAGCGATAACTGGCGCTGTAAATCTTCGCTGCGCTGTGTCAAACGATCGAGGGTGGAGGCAGCTTGCTGGTTCTCGGCGCGGACGGCGCGCAGCGTCTGGCTGAGGGAGTCGCGCTGTTCCTGCTCGCGCTATGGACCGGAAATGCAATCAGGAGGAGGCAGCATGTCAGCGTGGAAGGAAGCGTACATCTCTGCGCAAGATCAGATCGTGGACGAGGTTGATGATCTGGGCCATTGTTTCCTGTTTGCCGCCTTCGCCCTTGGACGGATGCGCGAATTCGATGGGCTTGCCATTGCGCAGAAGGCCACGAGCCAGCAGTAGGTTGTTGAGATAGCTGGACGCGCTTTTCAGGCTCTGCGGATCCATTTGGGGCCTGGCGTTGGGTGCGGGGCGGCGTGCGAGATTGGTGTTCTTGAGGGGAACGCGGCGTAAACAATGGCGTTGCTAGGTGGGCGCCGCGCTCGGTCCAGGCCTCGATGCTGCATCGCCCTGCACTCTTTGACGCACACGAGCAAATCTTTTGCCACCAGAGAGCCAGGTAGGTGCATTACGTGCATCAATTGCTTGCACCGCGGTTCCCCAGCCGTGCCTGTCTCAGCGCTTGGACGGCCCCAGACCGCGACAGGATCATTGGGCCGCAGCTACCTGCGATAGCGCTGCACGTGACGTCGAATCTACGAAGATTTTCACCTCGACTTCCATCAACCTCATCCAAAGACCACCTCTCTGCTCAGCGAGACTTGCGAGCTGCCGCTTTTCGCCCAGGCCGGAAAACCCTCGGTCACGTTGCGGCTTCTGTCACGCCGTCTCGGCGGGCCTCTTTCCTCGTTCGGCCAACACCATTTCCGCCCGGGCTGTCGAGACCGCAACTCAAGTCACGCTTCCCTTTACTTTTCGCGAAATGTCTGGCGAGGACGAAATCCTGCGCACCGAGCCTTTGCCGGCAAATTCGGCTGCAATCCCGCCGAATCCCGTCGACGAGTCGGCGCCATTAGGGCCGCCGCCGTCTGGAACCGTCACCACTGACCCAGCCCACCCGCCTCAGCCGCCGTTGCCTGGCGATTCAGCCATGACCAAAGCAGAGAAGGTCGAGCGTCACGGTTTACCTGAACCAGCATCTCCGCGCCACGGAGGTGAGTTTGAGAGCTCCCCGGCGAAGCGCATCAAATTGGAGAAAGGTATCCACGATCGAAATCGCAATGCCCATCGAAAACACGATCTGACGTCGTCGACGCAGGCCAAGTCGACTCCAATAGACAGAAGGGGGTTGCGCCGATCAAGCCTGAGTAAGTCCACGGGCTATGACGCTGGTATTGGACGCCTCTCCGGCTAATGACTCGCCAGGTATCTCATCGACCCGGCCTCTCTGAGACATGGCCGAGTCGTGGCCCAGAAAGACCCGGACGATGACGCTGCTGAGGCCTCGAGGCATGCCGCCCAAGACGGTGAGCAAAAGACAGGGAAGAAGGGGAAGAAAGACAAAGAGAGGGGCCAGAATAAAGCCCGCGAGCATCTCAGGCAACGCGACGCCCTTCAGCTTTGTTCCACCGTGGCCTTCAGCAACGAATTCTCCCCGAAGGAATGCCAGTTCGCCGACAAGTGCAGGTACGAGCATGACATCCGCAAGTACCTGAAGGAAGGTAAACGCGAAGATCTCTCAACCTTCAAGATATGCCCCATTTGGGATGTCAGAGGCTGGTGCCCTGCTGGCTGGAAGTGTCGGCTGGTGGGCACCCATTCGGAAGAGGTGGCGCATCCCGATGGCCGCAAGGAACTTGTCCTCATCGAAGATCCCGAGCGGAAGGCTAGGGCTGATAAGGCAAAGGCTGAGCTGGGTGACGAGCTGGGTCACGTCAACGTCGTTTCCCCGCAAGCGAAGATCGAGCTGAGCAAGAAGAAGAGGAAGACACCACGGGCCGACGCCTACCTGGAGTATCTGAACCAGTTCAACGAGGAACTGAAGAAGAAGGACCCTGGTGACGCAGATGCCAGAGAGGACAACAGAGCACAGTACAAAGAGCCTCCGTTCTTGCCGTCAGAGAAGCGCCGGATTTACTATGGCCCGGAAACTCCCGTTCTAGCTCCCCTGACAACACAGGGAAATCTCCCGTTTAGGCGTCTATGTGTGGACCTCGGCGCTCAGATTACCTGGTCCGAGATGGCGATGGGCATGCCGTTGGTTCAGGGAGCTAAGAGCGAGTGGGCTTTGATCAAAGCGCATGAATCGGAAGCTACGCCACCAAGGTTCCTGGGCAAAAATGACGTCGTCGCTGGATATGACAATAGCAAAGACCTCAAGTTTGGCGCCCAGATTGCGGGGAACAAGCCGTGGATCGCGCTCAAGACGGTCGAGGTCCTCACCGCCCTGGCACCCCACCTTCGCGCCATCGACCTCAACTGTGGCTGTCCGATAGACCTCGTGTACCGGCAGGGCGCCGGATCTGCCCTGCTTGACGCACAGGGAAAGCTTGATAAGATGCTACGCGGCATGAACGCCGTCTCCGAGAACATCCCCATCACCGTCAAGATCCGCATGGGAGTCAAGGACAACGAGCCTACTGCGGAGAAGTTGGTCCAGAGGCTGGTTCTCGGCACCCCAGAGGCTCGCAAATCCGGAGAAGGTCCTTGCGGCGTGGCTGCCATCACGCTGCACGGCAGGAGCCGCCAGCAGCGCTACACCAGATCGGCCGATTGGGGATACATCTCAGAGGTGGCAGCGCTGATTAATCGGCTCAACGCTGAAAGAGCTGCAGCGGTCGACACGGCTTCGGATGCCGATCCGCGGCACTTGCCCAATGGCGGCAAAGTGTACTTTGTTGGCAATGGCGACTGTTACTCGCATGCAGACTACTACAGGGCCATAACCGAGCACAAGGTGGATTCGGTCATGGTAGCGCGCGGCGCGCTTATCAAGCCGTGGATCTTCGAGGAAATCGAGAAGGAGCAGTATCTCGATAAGCGGTCATCTGAGCGCCTGACGTACATTGAGAAGTTCGTCAAGTACGGGCTGGAGACGTGGGGGTCTGACGAGATGGGCGTTGGCACGACTCGTCGGTTTCTGCTGGAATGGCTCAGCTTCACTTGCCGATACACGCCGATCGGGCTGTTGGAGCAGCTGCCGCCAAACATCCAGGACCGCGCGCCAGCGTTCAAGGGCCGCGACGAGATGGAGACGCTAATGGCGTCGGACAATTACAAGGACTGGATCAAGATCAGTGAGATGTTCCTTGGCAAGGCGCCTGAAACGTTCAAGTTCACGCCGAAACACAAGTCGAATGCCTACGAAGCGGAAGGCTGATGGATACGAGACGGGTATTATTTGCGGAGCTGGCAGAGCGGAAGGCTGGCGTGCTGGATGGTCGAGATGCTGGGATCACCATGAGGCTCTGTGGTTGTTGGGCGGCTAGGCTGGATCTCTTTTTTCAGGGACCATTTTAGTGGGCTGCCGCATCGCGTTATAGCCGGCCGGCAGCTTAAAGCGGCTATTTGGGAGGGTTGCGCCCCACGAGGCGGTCACGCCCGGCCGTTTTGTGCGAGGCATTGGTGAGGCTCGACATGACAATACAGAATCAGTAATCATGGTGTGGGATGATGGCGCACGTGCGCACCAGGGTAGGCGGCGATGCGCAAGCTGTAGACGATGGTGGACGCGCATGGCGCGCTCTCAGTGCAATTTTGGACGGCGACGAGCCTCCGCATGCAGGCGGCGGTCGGTGACGGGCGGCGGCCCTGCGGCGTGACACAGCACAGCATCAGGCACGGCCGAGGGCGATCACCACAGTGGACCGCCGAAGCACTCGCAGAGACGACGCTGGGCTTGGCCGATCGCAGCGCTTCGCCGTAGGGCCGGGCAGGAACAAAAAGGTTCCAGCAGCAGTCATTGCGCCATGGGCCTGGCGGGAAACGGCCCCTCGGCCCTCTGGGGAAGGGTTCCCGCCCGCTGTCGTCGTCTGCTTGGGCGCGGCGGCCTCTTCGCCAGCCAGTGGAGAGAAGTCCGGCAGCGCCCCACTGGGCGAAACGGTCGTGCGCGGCGTCACTGCTCTGCCCGAGGAAGCTCCCTCAGGGTCTTGTTGCTCGCTTGCGGTGGTGACGACGTGGAGGAGGCGGGCGGCGGAGGCTGGTGGATCGTCTTGCGCATGCTCGACTCATTCGCACGCAGGCCATGAGGTCACGGAAGCGAGGGGTGCGTCTTGCCCACCACGCGTGCGACGCCGCGAGCAGGACAGATCCGTCTCCACGTGTGGCCCGGCCCCATCTAGTCGGCGAGCTTCGAGAAGGCTGCCGCGAGCAACGGCAGCCCTGCTGCACTTGTGGCGCGCGCGACTGCCAGGAAGGGCCGAAGGGATGGCAGGGCAGTGATTAATGCTGCTCGCCGCCGCCGCTGGCCATCGTGCCTCAGCTACCTCTGCACACCCGCCCAGCACCTACGTATTGCTCAGCTCGCGTGCCGTCACATGCGCGAGCCTTCCGCCCCCAACCTCAGCACTGCTCGCCGCGACACGCACCCGTGCCCTTTCGTACCCAGCCCGCGGCCCTGCTAGTTCCGGCCGCCATTGGCCGACTGCATCATAGCGCCAGGCGAGTCAACCGTTCCGCTGCTCAGCGCCGTCGCCTTAGTTACCTAACCGCGCCCGCCCTCGCCATCCGCATCCACTCCGTTAATTTGGCCTGGCTCGCGCGTCCTGCCACTGCCCAGCGCCGCGTTCCACCTGCTTGGTTCGATCCAGCGGCTCCACCGACTGAGCCGATCCCACTCGCCGAGTCTGGCACGCCGATTGACATAACCGCCGTCCGCCGCTCCACCGAGAAGCTGGCTTCCCTACAGACGCCTCCTCCTCTCTCCAACTCCCCCAACTCCTCCGCCCTCGACCGCGAGAGCACCGTCGACCCCACTCCAGTCACCACTCCCGTCTTCGCCCACCCCGAGCCCGCTCGCTCCAAGGAGAAGGGCCTCCACTTCTCCTGGCAGTCCACGCCTTCCGGCCACGCCCACCCGCTCGACCCGCTCGAGCTTGACGGCGACATTTTGTTTGACGACGCCGCCGACTGCACCCGCCCGCTGCTTCCCGCTTCGCCCCCGCCTCTCGGGATCGGGCAGCAACCGCTTTCGCTCCACCAGGCTTCCAACCGTGCGGCACAGATGGCGGCCATCGACGGTCCTGTGGATATCGCCACTTCCCGGCAGAACTCAACCTCGCCGCGGAACCAAACATCAACACTCAGCGCTGCTCTCCAGGGAGCCGCAGCCCAGCCCATAGCCACGCCGACCTCGGCTCCGAGGAGTGGCAACGATGGCCGCCTGAGCATAGGCGCCCGTCAGGACTCCATCAGCCACATTGGCTCCTACTATGGCACTGGAGCTCGCCCCATATCCGTGAAGGATCGCCCGCGGCGAGAGAGCACCACTGCCGGCAGCCTTCTCAACGGCATGAGCTGGGGCGGTGTCTCTGTCGGCAGCTGGATCAGAGATGAGTATGTTCCCAAAAAACTCCCCCACCCCCACCCCCCCCACCATTCCAGCGTCCTTCCAAGTATCTGGAGCCGCTCGACTCGGTGCTCTGTCGCCTGTGCCGCCCCCGGGTTGGCTACGTCATATGCGTCTCGGCCGCTTCCCCGGCATTCCCTTCCCCACCCGTTTGCAACAATTGGCCCGGCTAACCCGCACTCAATAGTATTGTGATGGCTGGCACATCGCCGTATGCTTTCGGCCGCTCCCCTTCGTTTCATTCTTCGTCGTATCTACCAAAGATGGAGGCGAACTTCATGAAGGACTTCAACTGCTGCGGTCTTACGCTGGATTCGCTGCACGAGCTGCTGCAACATTTCGAAGAGTGCCACGCTGCGCCGTCTGCGACCATGCAGAGGTCATCGATATCCGGCCAGGGCGGCTTCAACAATGGCGGAAGAAATTCCATTACCTCTGGCGGCATCAATCCTCAGCAGGCTGAGAACCAGCAAATGCCGCACCAGCAGAATGGCTTCAGGCCGCAACAATTTCAAAACCAGCAGTTCACCAGCAACGGCTTCAACAAGAGCCAGCTCTCGACTGTGCAGGACATGGACACGCTCGAAGACATGGAGATGGATGATCCGCAAACGCCAATGGGCGTCCCGCAGCAGCAATTCAGCGCGCAACCGCCGCAGTTCGGGCAGAACAACGACCGGCAGCCGCAGCTGAATATCAACCTTGCAAATAACGTCCAGAACCAAGCTTTCAGGACGTCGACCCCGACAACACCCAACACCAACCACCCTGGATTCCCTCTGCAGAACAACCCTACCGTCTCGTCAGTAAACACGCCGACGCTAGGCGCGGCGGGCCAGCAGAGAACGCCGGATTCGTCGGTGCCGGGCACTCCCGGCGAGTTTGACCAGGACCTCGGCAACTACTTTGGCGGGCTGCCAATGGGCATGAACGCGCAGATGATGCAGGGCAACAACATGGACTTTGGGAACATGGGCTTCAACCAAAACGGCTACGACTGCGTCGATGGCACAATAGACCAACCGGCTAAGCGGCTGTACAGCAAGCAAGGCGGTGGTCTAACGCCACAGCAGTTGCAGTTTGCGCTTCGGCAAGGAAAGCTTGGCACGGACAGCGAGCTGGCCAAGCAGCTCCGCGCATCGCAGCTGATCATGGCCAACGGTGGCATTTTCCCTGGCGAGGAGATTAAGCCGTTCAAATGCCCGGTGATTGGGTGCGAAAAGGCATACAAGAACCAGAACGGTCTGAAGTACCACAAGCAGGTGAGTGAAGGGCTCCTGATGACAAAAAAATTGGATGATCTCCATCACTAACGCTCGGATTCCTGCACAGCACGGACACCAAAACCAACAGCTTAAGGAAAACGCCGACGGCACCTTTTCTATTGTCGATCCGGAGACTTCCGTGCCATATCCTGGCACTGTCGGCATGGAGAAGGAAAAGCCGTACCGTTGCGAGACGTGCGGCAAGCGATACAAGAACCTGAACGGCCTCAAGTACCACCGCGCACACTCTCCGCCCTGCAATCCAGAGCTCAAGCTCAATGCGATGAACCTTCTCAGCGCTGCGAACCTGCAAGGCATGAATGTCAACGTTGCTGGCGCAGGGATGGCAGGGATGGGCAACGATGGCATGTTCTGACTCGACCGATACGACAAACTTCATTCCGCTCGAACGACAGGCTAATGCGAATTGAAATATGGACAGTGCGCATCAACGGCTTCCCTTGAAATCGCCCCTCTGGAAAACTCGTTGCCATGGATTGTCAATGTATCAATTCGCATTAGCCTGACGAGACGTCGTTCCAGACATTTGCCTCGCAAGACGAGTTGTGTCACGACCTATATTTCTCCACGCCTTATGGATGCTTCCAACCGGACTGCTTATGCGAGGCGTTTCTTCGTCCTTTATAGAAGGCTCGATTTCCCTGTTTTTGTTTGAGATGAAGTTCTGCACATAGAATGGCTGGTTGGATTCGCCTTTCGATTCGTAAAAAGAGAGGACTAAAAATTGAGGCTTCGTGCAAGCGTTGTCCCTTTTTTCTTTGGGCCTTCACTCTTCACAGATTCCCCCCTCTGGTCTGCTCCTCTCCGCGGAAGCATTTTGGCTTTTGCCATCACTAATTGCATTGCGTGGAGTGGGATTCTGCCATCTGTATTTGCCTTCTTATACCTCTCGTCACGTTCCCCCTGGTACACTCGTCTGATCACACGCCATCCGTGCGATGCGGGAGACGTTGGCCGACTTTTTTTTGTCCTTTCTGACATTATTTTTTTATGCGAAACCAAACCATGGCGTGGGATGCTGGGATGAAATTCTGCTCTTGCTATTCCCACTCGAAGTTTGAAGTTCGGTCAGGCGTTTAATACTTCTGCTTTCAAGCCGGGTATCGAAAAACAAAAAAGTTTACTCTTTCCTTTATTTTTGTTTCACCTCGCTCTTCACTTAACAGAGTACAAAATCAATTCGGCGGGTTATCCTTCCCACCTTTCTTGTTGTCTTTCCTTATGTCTCGGAGATTCCTAACGACAGGTCGCGATCCCAAGTCCGTTCCGGGGCACGGATGATTCAAGAGCATGGACTCGTCAAGCAAACGTCACTCTCCCGAACCGCGGCCGAAGTCGAATCTGCCGAGCGGCTAGCAATTCCGATCCGACTCCTTTTCTTAGGCTACCTACCAAGAACGCAGGAGGTTCATGCTAGCTACCACTGTACGGCCGAACGACTTGGTGACGCATTCACTTTTGAAATAGCGCCCTTGCTTGGACATGGCAGAGGCCGGAGGACACGCTCTTCGGCGACAACCGAGGCGACACTCCGGAAGCGGGCGGGTTGCACCACGAAGTTGGCAGCAGTCACGCGTTGCGCTGCCCGAACAATGCGTCGCAGGGTCGCTCCCATGCCTTGGTTGTATGGAGGCGATCTTCGATGTTGAGCGGTTGTCCTTCCGAGGGCTAGTACCTGGGAGTGGATATCATGCACTCCGGATCCGGCCTGCTTGGCTCGTCGTATTCCTGCCTTGTTCGCCTCATTACTAACTACCCAGTTGCTGCGAACATTGACTTCTTGTTGCTCTAGACTATCGGTCCTATTTCGCGCCAAATCAATCGGGTGGGGCTGCCATTCCTTGTTTGCTACGCCTGTAGTATTTACGTTCGCAGCGTCAGACGCATTTATATGCGACCTTGCATCCAGCCATCTGCCGGGCCTGGTCACTGCGTTTACCCGAATGGCGGTAGTCTTATAGGCAGGCATATAGATGGGTGTACAACTCCATCTTGCATCTAGCATGCACCATTATGGTGCAGCATGGCATGGGTCGGCGTTTAAACAACACGGCGCCAGCTGAACCGGCGCCACCGCGCTCCTGGTTGCAGTCTGGATTCATCTTGGCGCCTGTCATTGTCTGGCGGTTTCTCTTCCGTTCCTGCCCCTCTTTCCAGCTCTCGACAGAATGGTCCAATAGCACGGGGTGGCGCACCCCCCGCGAGCCCACAACACTGCAGGCGCAATTACTTTCTACTACAGGGTGGCGTTTTCTTGCGCCACCAACGGTTCTCGCCGTTTCTTAGTCTACCCTTGGTAGCGCCGCCGACCCGAGTGCCCGCGTCTGCGTCCGCGCATTCACATGCATGCTTATTATGTACTCTGGAAGCTAGCTGTTGCACCCTCCCTTCGTCCGTCCCGCTTCTGTTGCAGATCGGCACTACTGCTGCAGTGCGCGACCATTGGAGATGCAGTATGCAGGAGATAGATTGTCTTTGGGATCAGACCCATACCGCTATAGATCGCTTTCTCTCTCTTCCTCTTCCTCTCTGCCAGCTGCATTGACTCCACAGAAAAAAGAAGAAGAAAAATCTGCCCAGGAAGAATTCCACATGGCTACGATCGTGCGGTGTTTCAAGCTGGTACATGGTTGTTTTTCTTAGTATTACATCCCTGAAAATGAATAATTGAAGCCTTCGTCAGTGTATGATTGTACATACGACACATCCGGGGAAAAATCCATCCGGATGAGAAATTCAATAACTTCGACTGTATTGCAACGCTAAGAAAAAGGACCTCGTCGCTGGAGAGTCATGCAACATAGAAGCTAAAAGGCCTTGGCCGACAATACTTAGAACTAGGATTCGGCAAGCCTCAATGCTTCTAGACAACCTCACACATGCACGTGCTTGGTGCAATATTCATTGAATTGTTCAAAAGACGAGCCCAAGGAGGGAGACCTGGGTAGAACCATGTGCACGTATGCTCTCACTTCTTATAGGAAGTTGTCTTCTCGTACTCCACTATCAAGCGTGAACTACCTACAAGCTTTCGCTTAGATTTAGACTTAAGTATCTACCTCTGGTTCTACTATCAACGTGCGCTTCCCACGGGCCTTCCCCACTAAGTGACGTATGGGACGTTTGACTTTAACGCGAGGAGCCGATGAAAGGTAACGGTGAATTCTCATGGCACAGAACGGAAAACGATAATAAGCCCTGGCACCCTGAAACAAGAGTCGCGTTCGAACTTGCAACGCAGATCCACGCTTCTGCTTCCGGCTCCCCGGATAGAGGGAAACTCTGTACGTCACCCACTTTCACATCAGATCTCCCACATCCCCCTCCCACGTCGCCAATTACTCAGCTACTCCATTTCGCATGCATCCCGCCCATCTTAGCTTGATGACCCGCATCTCGCGCTCCGGATCAGCGATTGCTGCATAATTTCCCCCATACTAGACCCGAAATATCCACGGAATCGTCACCAACAGCAAGCAACCTTCCCCGCGATCCGGCACAATAGTAAGTAAGACCTTGCGCAAGAGGCTCTCCCCGCTACGAGACCGATTGGAGGGTCGGATGAAAGGGAGGATTGGCGGGGAAGAAAAAAAAAGAGAAGGGGGAGACGGACTCCTGTCGGAAAAGGAAAAGCGAACGGCGGGGGGGATTGACAGCCCGTCTCCCCGTCGTCCGCGGAAATGGCCAATTTTGACGATGATGGGTGGATGAACTTCGGGGCCCGGTGTGCGATCTTACCTAGGGTGTTTGGATTGGAAGTGAAACATGATCGACTAGTAGCAGCGTGGATGAGCGGTAACTACTTCCCGCCTGATCCATGTACCTGCATGAAAGAGGAGCATAGCATAATAATGACTGCAACAAATCTTGGTGTTGCGGACCCCGCGCGGAGTACGAGACCCGGGGGGAAAGCGCCCGCCACCTATATCATTGCTGTCAGTAGAGTGTGCCGTCCGGTTCGCTGGGAAATTGCAGATCTCAATGGTCCAGTTTCTTGAAGACTCTGTCCTGTCCCCTGTTTACGCGAAAAGTGTAGATCGTATACCGTTGAGGTGGTGACGCATGTGGCTGGGCCGGCTGGGCTCGGTGGTGATTCAAGCACGATAGGGTGGGGAAAATGCTCGCGTGCCGTGTCGATTACAATAGCGGGTCGGAAGTAATGATGGTGGCTGGGCAAGAAGGGCCCGAAACTTGTTTATGCGTGGGCTACGAGATCGGTGAGACCAGGATGAGTTCGATAAGAGACATTTCTGACAGAGGTTTTCTATTAATGAAAAAAAATGTCGTACTCATTAAGGCATATGCATCTAAGGTATAGTGAGCCACACTTTCATCCCCACGACCCCGCATCCCCTTCGCCTGAAGAAATCATCACCAATTGCTCGCACTCCCCAATCCCAACCCCCTCACGAACCGCACATCTGCCGCCTGTCTCTCCAATGCCCTTCGCATTGTCCGCCCATACTCTTGCTCTCTCGTCCGCTTTGCCAACTCCTCGGCGCTCTCCATTCTCTCCTCGAAGTCTCCTTGCTCAAACAGCGGACGCGTACCAAAGCCCAACAGGCCGATACGCCCGTCGCCGGTCCAGACGACAAGGTGGTCTTTGTTGAGGGCGGTGTTATGCGCACTGTCGACGCTGCTGCGGCAGAGCGTAGGAACGAGCTTCTGGACAATGTCACCCTCGCCGTGCTGCTGGGTTGGTGCTGAGAAGAGAGTGCCGACGTCGAAGGGGCCATCGTCTCGCGGGGCGTGTGCTTGATGGGATGGGTCCGAACGGTCAGGGTTGATGTTAAAGGATCGGATAGGCGTAAAGCCATCGCGCTCCATCCATTTCACATTGCCATCTCCGTCGCTGTACACGAGGCGTGCGCCATGCGTGGTTACGCTGAGAAGCTTGGAGGACGAGGCTGTCTGCCTGTTTTGGATGCAAGCACCACGGTTTCGGACGGCGGAGCCGGTGTCGCTGGAGAGAATGGTGTGGCGCGGGTCGGCGGAGAGGCCGAAGAGCTCAAGGGCGCCTTTGCCCTTGTACTCGCCGGCTGCGATGATGGTATGGCCGGTCACCGAGGGGTCCCTATGGACTGCGTTGTCCAAGGACATGCTGTGGAAGCCAAGGTTACGCGGGATGAAAGGATGGTGGATGAGGGCCATGGAGGACAGGCGGGCACCGGAGTGAACAGTGCCTCGGAGGCGGGGGAAGAAGCGTCTGTCGTAGTTCAGAAGGCTGGTGAAACGACCAGCTACCCAGATGTCACCATTGCCGTCCCATTCACGGTCAGGCAGGTGAAGAATAGACAGCGGGCCGGGCTGGGAGAGGGCAGCGTGTTTTCGGGGCACGTTTCCGAGCAGGACATCACTGAAGCTGTCTTTCGGCGGGGTGCCTGCGATCAGCTCACACCGAAGCGGGAGGTTTGAATCATCCATGGACTGTTGCTGGCGCGGATCATGCAGATGGATCGTCATGTTGGTGCCCACAGTGACGGGGGTTGGGTGGCGTGCTTCTGAAAGGGTCGTGATTGGAAATGGGTACTTTGATTCAGAGACGACTTGCAGTGTCTCGAGGTCGACCTCTTTGAGGACATTGAGGACGGCAAAGTAGCCTTTGTTCTGCCTATTGTCGATGCTCACGCACTCCACCGCGCCCGTTTCCGTCATGACAGCCTTGCTCTCTGCGAGGGGGGCATTGCCCGCCAAGAAGCCCGGCTCAGTCCTCCCAACCATGGCGCCTTGCTTGGTATCACTTTGACTGATGTCCCAGACGCCAATGCTGCCGTCGTTCAACGGCGCGAAAATGCGGTCGGCCATGCGGGTGGCCTCGTCGTAGTAGACGCCGAGGCCAGTCGCCTCGGCAGGCTCCCTGTCGTCGCCGTATGCCTGCTGCAACCAGCTCATCTGCACGGGAGCGTGCCTTGCAATGAACTCCTCGTAGAAGCTGATCCTCTCACCCGGGTACGAGGGATCCCAGTTGGCGAAGGCGCGCTGGCGCTGGGCGACGGCCAGCCTGTGGGCGGCCATTTCGGGGTTGGGAGATGCAGGGCTTCTCTCTTGCACAGCACTAGCAAGCTCGGCCATGTGAGGGGTCATGTGCGCGAGAAGCTGCTGGCGGCGGCGGATGGCCTCGGCGCGCGAGTGCTGGTAGCATATCGCTTTCCAGAGGCGGTCGTCTCGGAAGACTCGGAGGAAGCGGCGGGACACGGCCTGGAGGCTGATGATATCAAGGGGCTCGAGGACTGGGCTGCTTCGTCAGCGGAGCTGCTCATGCGGGGCGGCCGGAGGGTGGGATTGTACTTGCAGCTTGCGACGTAAAGAATGAGCTCGTCCGGAAGCGAGTCCATGATCGCAGCTATGGATCGAGGCCGTCAGACTAGGAATGGGCAAGACCCGGGGGAAAGAGGGGGGAGAATGGAGGGGCGAGGCATTGTTATACACCCCGGATGCCGCATCAGAGCTCGGCCCTTATCGCCAGCTATCACCCCAATCCGGAATAGCGTCTTGCCCTCCGTCTCTCCCCCCAGACAACATCCATTGCTCCTCTCACCCACCCACCTGGTCAGCGAGCTGCCGACATGCCTAAACTCGCAATTGCACCTGTTTGCTGCCTCAGTGGCAGTTTTTTGCTCACAGAGAGCCAGCGCTACTTCCACTTTCCCAATTTGGTTAGGTTTCTGGAACATTCCTTATTGCCATCTGCTGCTGCCTATTGCGCCCTTCCAAGTGCTGCTCGACATTCGACATTTCCATGTTACTCGCATTGATTCGAAGCAGAACGCACCATGTGTGAATAGAAAGTCCCTCCTCGTATACCGTATGCTCCCCGCTAGCGTAATCCCTCCCTCTTTGTCCTTCTGGACGTTTCCTCAGTAGAATCTCCCCGGACTATCTTCCCAGCTTCTTGCCGCTCTGTCTCGAGAACGTCCTCATTTTCCGTTGAATCCACCAGCAGGGGCGAATTTCAACGGATCGTAGCGCGTGACATTCCTCGGGTGCTTATTCCGCTCTTTCATCGACATTAGCTCTCCCTTGGTCTGCTGTGCGTGAGGGTCCACGTTCTGGTTGAAACCGTCTCTATAATGGTGTCGGTCGCAACCCTCGCGAATGTTGAACCAGAACTTGCAGCCTGCGGCGCTGCACTTGGCGATGTGGCCGAGATTAATGCAGCGCTGCCGCGATGTGCTCTTGCATATGGTGCTGCAACAACGACTCAGCGCTGACCCTGCCCTTTTATTGGAATCTCACCATTGGTGCGTTCTTTTGGCTTTCCTTTGGATTTGGTCCATGTTTGCATTCGAAGTGCTTGCTACCGGCCGTCATTTCCTTGATGTCTTCGAGTAGAGAGCAACGAGGCCAGACTCACAGTATGTACGCAGATACTATAGCCAGACCAGACTGATGACCACGTGCTTTCTTGTATCAGCATCTATAAGAGGATTTTGATGGCTTCTTGAGGCCTACACTTGGCGTTTGTTCTTCCGACGGTCCGTCTTCTGAAACTGATGTTGCTCGCCAGCCTTCAGTACGAGGTAGAAGCCGACGTCGTGGCAAGACCTGCTGCACAAGATCAAGAATACCGGCCTTCTGGGCTCTTCGCGATGGCCGTGGGCAACTCTCTGTTAGACTTGATACATCTTGGCCCTATGAGGTCTGTGATGGGCCTGCACGCAACCGACGACGGCTACCTGCAGGACACGAGACTTGTCAACATCCAGAACATGTTTCAAAGCTAGAAACGCTGCTTCCTAACTCTTGCGAACCAACATCCACAAAGGTGCTATTATAATGCTTTGTGCGTACTTGATTCCTAACGAGTGCTACAAAGGACGCAACCATACCTGTTGGTGTTGAGAATTATCATTTATCGCGTTCATTCTGGCCTTCGTGGCAATTCAGAAGTTTTCCATGTGCCTTTTGAGAAGAGTAATTAGTGGATCGATGGGGAAACAGGGTACCAGACTATGGTAGAACTGCTCATGTTTGGAAGCGAAACGCCAAGTATCCAGGAAACACACCTTAAATTGAATCCTCAAATTTGTTTAAAGGCGTCGCTGGTCTTGTTCTAGTTTGAAGGCGCAAGACATATAACCTCCCCTGGTTTTCGATTGTGAACCCGCCTAAAACACCGAATGAAGTAGACATAAATATTCATAATGTTGTCAAAGGCAGGTCTTTGTTGGAGCCCGACCGCGACATCCCTTTCTCTTAAAAGTGAAACGAGAACAGGTCGAAAGGGAGGGGGAAAACCTCCACTGGTCCGACTTATTGACGAATAAGATGTCTTGCTACATGTCAGAGGGAAGAGGAGACACGCTGCTTACCGCAACGTGATATCTGTAGGTTAGTCTACTTATCAACATTCCAGTCGGATCTAGCATCTCTTTGAAGTTTTGCACGGATGAAGACATGATGGAAATGCAAGCATGGCAAGGTTGATCTAAGCATTCGCTTGTAACAGGGTCTGCGAAACTGGAAGTGCGTGCGTGTGGAGAACGAAGACAGGCATATCAATGAGGTCGGCAAGTATAAACGCTCGAGACGCACTTGACGCGGACAAAACCATGTATATTGAAGGGTTCAACAGATATTGAAACAATGACGCATGTACGGATAGCATGAGAAAGTTAGCAACTACTAAATCGCCAATTCATATACGAGAACGGACCGTTGGGAAATGAAACAATCAGGACAATTACGAAGAGGTGGCCAGGCGAGTGTTTCCTTTCCCTCGATTAGGCTAAGCGAAGCAACCTTGAACCTTGTTGACTGAATAATGCCACGGCGTGAGGAAATTCCGAGCGATAACCCTTGCTGTTGCAACGGTGCTGATAGCGGGTGCATGCCGAACATTGGTGGCGTCCGTACTTCATAAAGCCATTGGTCAAAGTACGTCCTTGATACAGCAAGCGAAGAACAAGCGACGTGACGACGATGATGAATATGGCCCAAGTGCGAGAACCGCACTGGCATTCTCGGCAAACCTCGCTCTCTTCTACATGCGAGGTTGGTCTAGCCACCTGGTAGTGCGAGTGGGTATTTAGTGGAGCGCACCTCCGGTTTTCTCAACACACGTCTATACTCGCGTGGTTGCTTTTGCCTGTAAGCTTTCGTGTATCTAGGAAGACGTGTCGCGCTGACAATCAGCTCTGTGGCCTCAGGAGTCATCTCCGGACGGTTTCTGAGCGCAGTGGACAGTCCTGGAGGCACGTCAGCGACATTCGCACAAACGTGACATTGACGCTCACATCTGCCAGTAATAATGCTTCTTACGGTTAGCCATGTCTTTTCGCACATCAACAAGGAATAATTCAACTGCCTCTCTCGACCAGCCAAGAACTTTGGTCAGAAGCGCAAGGCTTATGCCCTGGAGGCCCTGACTCAAGTTTTCAAACGTCCACCGCCCAAGCATCTTTTGCTTCTGTCCCTTCGGCCAGGCTCCGACAGCCCATTTCACGACTTGCTCATTTATATTTTCGAAGCCTAAGTCCTTCATCTGTTGCGGGAATTTGTCACTGGCCATTGTATCGATGCCTCCTGTAGCGGCTGCCTCATGCACCAGGATTGCCCATTTCTGCAGTGGATCATCCTTTGTCACGCTGTCATCATCGCACCTCGTGGGGAGCTGCCCCTCTTGCAGCTCGAGCCAGCCACCGGGTTTCAGGTGCTGGTAGCATTGTGCAATGAAGCGCTGCCAATTGTGCATGCCCAGGCAGAGCATCCGAGCATGTATGAAGTCGAATTTCTTGCCGTCGAAATTCCAGTCGCTCTCGGCATCATCCACCAAAAAAGTCACGTTCGGAGGTACCTATGCCCACGTCAGCTGCGCGCATGGGAAGGCTTATTGCCGGAGAAGCCGCGTACCCATTCAGGCTGGATCGCAGATAGATCGGTGCCAATGACTTGGGCGGCGGGGTTCTCGTCGGCAAACTCAATGGCCCAGATTCCAGAGCCGGTGCCGACGTCCAGGACATCCTGCACATTGGGCGGGATCGGGGCGGCGTGCAAGGCGCCGTCCAGCGACAGGCGCCAGACATGGTGCTGGAGGTCGAGGCGGTCGGACTCGTCGTCGTCATTGGGCAGCCAGTACGCGTCTTCTTGGAAAGCATGGTAGCGTCGGCCGTGCTCGTAGCGATAGTTCACGACCTCGGAGTTGAGAGATGTCGTCGTCGAGCCGGCGGTCGACGAACCCACGGCGGAATCAACATCCGAGTAGAAGTGGTCGCTGCTGCTGCCCGAGGCGCTGTCGACGTCGAGCTGGTATGCATAGCTTGGCAACTGGAGACCGGCGGGCTGGTAGAGCGGCGGGCCGGGGACGTGGTGCTGCAGGGATTCGGGCAGCGGCAGGGAGGACTCGGCGACGTCTTGATGTGCCACCGGAGCGGAATGGGCGTCCGCGCGCGTGGAGCTCGCAGGGCTCGTTCTCGGTGGTGACGCAGGCATTTGGAGCGCGTGAGAGCGGGCGCGGTCGCGCTGGCGTCGACGGTGCTCGCAGCAGCATGCCGGCAGCGGGGAGAACGGGAGCTGGACGGGCGCTGGGTCGGGAGGAGCTGGCTGGCGGCGCAGCTAGTGGCGGCGACAAGAGAGAGCAGGCAAGCGACCAGGCGCTCAGAGCAGGGGTGTCATCTCGCGCACGTGGAAACGCGGGCCCCGATCCGCGCGCCGCTTATTCTCACAACGCCAGGACGGGAACAACCTTGGTCTCGCCGCCTTCGATATTGCGCTTCACTTGCACGAGCCTGCTCCATTGCGCCCCGTGTGGAGAGTGAGTTGCGTCGCCGTGGGCGCCGCTCCGACTCAATCGCGCCTCGATCCATTCCATTCGCTAAGGAGTTTACTATGGGAGACGACACCGCTCGCATGCTGCACTTCGAGCCGCCACCCACCAAGGTGACGCGTGTGCGCCCGCAGCTGTCGTGCATTCCGTGCCGCCAAGGCAAGCTCAAATGCAACCGCCAGCATCCGGCCTGCGACCAGTGTGTGAAGCGCTCGCGCGAGGCTCAATGCAACTATGTGCCGCCCCCGCCCAAGGACCGCACTCGCAAGGCCAAGGACATGCGTGGCCGCATCCGCCATCTCGAGAGCCTCGTTGTCGATCTGATGAGCGGCAAGGACCCCCGCACGCTAGCTCTCAACCCTCAGGACCCTCAGCAATCCTCCTCGCGCCGTCTGCCTACTCCCGATCATCCCTCTCCTGAACACCCTACCGCTTCCGACGGCCCGAAAACCCACTCTAGCTCCGGCGACGACGATCTCCTCAGCTTCCCTAGCGCCTTCGGCGCCCTCAAGATCAGCGATGAGGAAACCACCTACATGGGCGGCTCTCACTGGATGGCCGTCCTGAACGATGTGAGTCTCCTTACACGTGCCGCGCGGCCCGAGCGCACCACTAATTTGCCAACAGATCAAAGAAGTAAAAAGCTTCCTGGAGCTGGAGGAAGAGGCCGAGCAGGAGGCTGAGAAGCAGGAGAGCGAGGATGACACCGAGCTGCCGCACCGCTACACGCTGATTGTCGGCTCGCCCAAGCCGTTGAGCAAGAGGGAACTCTTGCAGAATCTGCCGCCCAAGGCCGAAGTCGACAGGCTCGTCTTCCTCTATCTTCGAGGCGGAGACCCAACGTCAATCATGTTCCACGAGCCGTCCTTCCGGCTCGAGTACGAGCGCCATTGGCAGAACCCGTCAGCCGCACCAGTCATCTGGATTGCCCTCATATACGGCATGCTATGCCTGGCCTCCATTTTTTCTTTGCGCGTGCCGGCCAACGGGATGAACCCTCAATCGCCCGAAGCAGTTCTGAAGCAAGCGGCTAGATACCATGATCTCTGCGCTTCTGCCGCGGTGCTCGGCGACTTTTCCAGACCGAAACCGTGGTCACTGGAAACTGTGATGCTCTACGCAGCCGCGGAGTTTCTTTCTGGCAGCGGGGGCGGAGGAAGTCCGACGGATGTGTGGCACATCTTCGGAACCGTCATTCGAATAGCCCTGAGAATGGGTTATCACAGAGACCCGAGTCATTATGGGATCAGTCCGTTCCAGGGAGAGATGCGGAGACGGACTTGGTACCTCATCTACGGGTTGGACGTTCTGCTGGGCTTCTCTCTTGGTATGCCTTCGATAGCCCGGGGATTTCAGAGCGACACGAGGCTTCCCCGCAACCTGCACAACGAAGACATGTCGCCAGACATGACGGACCTGCCACCCGAGAGGCCTGACTCCGAGTTGACCATCGTTTTGTATACCATCGCAAAGGCAAAGCTTCTCTCCGTCTTTGCCCCCGCAGCTGATGCAGCACACTCGGTCACACCACCGACTTACCCTGAGATCATGGATCTAGACCGGAAGCTGGAAGAAATCCACTCATTAATGCCGTTGGCTTACAGGATGAAGCCTTTGGAGGAATCGGTGGGCGAGCGGCCAGACGTCATCATGAACAGGTTGAATTTGGAACTTCTCTACCAAAAAACGCGTTGTGTTCTGCACCGCACGTATTTGGCAAAGGCGCACCACGATTCCCGCTATGAGCACTCGAGAAAAGCGTGTCTGGAGGCGTCCTTGGCACTGCTTCAGCTTCAAGCCATGATTTACCAGGCATGCCAACCTGGAGGTCTTTTGGTGCGCTGTAGTTGGTATTACGGATCACTGACAAGCCACGACTTCCTGCTTGCCGCCATGTTGCTTTGCCTGGAGATCAACTTGAATCGCGAAAGGAAGATTAAGGAGCCGGAAAGTTACTGCGAAGGGCCGTTCTCGAGTGCAGAAATGTTCGGGTCTCTGGAAAACGCGACGCATATCTGGGATTCTTATGAGGATGACCTGATCGATGCAAGTGACACCAAGAAAGCTGCAAGAGCTTTCCGCCACATCTTGGCAAAGCTCAAGGCTACTCCGGCCGAGTTTGGAATGCAACAGGAATGCGACGACGGAACAATGGCTCAGCAATGTCTGTACCCGGTTCGATATCTTCATGCGAGCAACTTGCTAACGTGTACAGTTACTACACTTCCTCAGCAATATAGTCAGCCGCCGGTGGTCCCATCCAACGGCCCTGGGATTGCATACTTGCCTACGCAGACAGCAGCGCCAATCTCGACTCAGGGATACAGTGCAGCTCCTGCAGACCCTCTCGAAGGCATGCTGGAGATGCCGCCGTTTGATATAAACTGGGTACGTCGGCATGTTGTCCTGTCTGAAAATTCCGTCACTGACAGAGGAAGGATGCCTGGGACAAGAGCGTGCTTCCCTACGAGGAATACATGCAGAATGAAGCGCAGCAGTGGCCGATCCCTTCGCAGCCTCCCGGTATGGGCGGCCCATCGGGCTATCCTCCTGGATGTCATCCAAACATGGCATACCCGTACCAGCATCAGTAGCAACAAGAGAGCCACTGGTGGCAACGCGAATGGAGGCACAGCTGAGGGTTGAGCCTCGGTCCTTGCAGGATTTCCCTGCATCAAACCTCGCCGCAGGACCGTCAAAGTCTTCGGCGTGCCTCACTTCTCTCGGGTCACGATGAACCTGCGTTGCTGGATTCCGGTGATTGGCACCCCGGCAAGTGTTCCTTGTACGGGCCTTTCTTTCTCCAATTCCGAGCTCTTTCCGTCTTTTCCGTTGCGATTAGAGGTCTCATCTCCATGAGAAACACCACGTTGAGTATCATCTCTCCGTGTTAACCAACTGACCGGCTTGTACTTTGCCAGCCGGAACCAGCGCCCGATCGGCGCTAGCCAAATCGCGATTGATCAGCGATTCCCTATGAGGTGTAGTCTCGAGAACTTCACGTAAAGCGGTGTCGTTCACAGCTCCCGAAATTCCTCGTCAGGATCCTAGAGTCGGCGACAATGAGGAGGCCGGATTTCGTGACATGTGTGGGAGACGTATCTGACTTGTGCGTGGCCATCCGCACAGTCGACATTGCAAGTGCCAGTCTGCCGAATCATTTAGACAAACTGCAGAGATCCGGCCGTAGAAGCTGGAGTCTCGGTGCATGGTGGTCTTTCTATAGGTGCAGGATAAGTCGAGTTGGCGACAGGTGTAATCTTCGATATGCGGCTGTACATAGCTGTAAATACTAGGGATTTTGAAGGCGCTGGCGGGGTTGCGACATCAGGACGCAGCGTGGGATTAGTGACTCCTTTCAATGCGGGCAGCTGTGCTTTATGTGGCTTTCCTCGACGTCCCACCAGCATGGCTCAAATCACCGAGAGAAGCCGAGCATGACGAAGCTGGGCTCAAACAAGCTTTGGACAAGTGCGAGCTGAGCATTAACACGATTCCTGTAAGAGGTTGGTCATCTACTTCCGGCAGGGTCTGTGCACAGTCGGACATACAAAGCACATGCCGGAATCCGACGACTGACAATCACATCCTATATCGGCGAGATCACGACAATTTTCTTGGTGCAGGGAGTCTGCATGGCGTGCGGTGGCACGGCTGGGTGAGAGTGGGCGGCAATCGACAGGCGGAACGGAACGGCCGAAGGGATTGCCTCCCCCTTGGCCAGGGTCGGCTAGAAGAACCACGCTCTTGACATGCGCCACACCGGCAAGTCGCCAGGGCGAGAGCAAGTCGAGCGGGTTTGCGGGGCAAGGGGGGGGAAAATTGCAGTGATGAAGCACGCGTCCGGATGTAAAGGCTGCATCTACGGCCGAGGGGCTGAGCTAGCTGCATGCGCGATTTGGCGGATTTGGCAGTGCGGCGCGGGAGACGCAAGCGCCCCAGCTCACTTTCGGATTCGCGTTCTTCTGCCTGATCCAGGCGTGGGCGAAGTTGCGGGAGGAAGGGGTGTCGGAGGTTATTCCTGGGTGGGGAGCACGTGACTTCCGTCATCGGGCCGCACCTGCCTGCGCTGCAGGGACCAGCCGCGCGGTTGCTGCGCCAACTGCCAAACACAGTTCCCTAAAGGGCGAAATAAAAACGCTGCCATCTCTCGCCCTCGCCCTCCACCATCCCACCATCTACAATCTACCCCCCAAACCTTGCAACATCTTCTCTGCACCTTTCAGCGTTCGCATTCCAGCATCAGCATACAAAGCAAAAAAGAGCTATCCCAATTACCACCTAATACGCCATGGCCTGTCCCCTGGTTATGAGCTCCCCCTCTACTCCGGTTGGCATCAAGAGACAGACCCGCGCCCGCAACGAGTCGCCCCAGACCCCCATCCGCAAGCTGGTCTTGCAGGAGGAGAAGCACGAGTCCATCCATATCCCCTCGCCGCTCGCATCGTCGTCGCGAAGCCGCCAGACATCCAACGCCCAGAAGTCCAACATCGCTCGCGACTCCCCCAAGAGCAAGAAGATAGACTTTGGCGTCTCCGAGTTCGCGCTTACGGGATCCGGTAATCCCACCCCGGCTGCTCCCACTGGCAAGAAGACTAAGAAGTCTTCGTCATCCGTCAAGCCGCGCCCGCAGAAGTCGACCCTCCGCGTGCCTCGCAACCCCACCGACCGCTTCATCCCCCAGCGTCTCACCACCGAGGCCATCGATAACGTCAACGTAGCGAGAATATCCAAGCGTGGTGAGAGCAGCCGCCCGGTTTCGCGAGAGAGCTCCACTGAGGGCTCCGCCGTCTTGGCCTCTGCTGCCAACGACCTCAACATCTTCGGCGCTAGCTCGAGCGACGACGACCTGACGCAGGCTCTGGGCCGGGTCAACTTGGACGACGAGGACGAGGAGGAGACGGTCAAGAAGCCTTCGCCCCGGACCGTTGCCTACCAGGACTCTCTTGCTCAAGCCTGCGACATGAACATCGGCTCGCGCATTCTCGAGTTCAAGCCCGTTGCGCCGCAGTCCACCAAGCCTGTGGACCTGCGTGCGCAGTACAACCGTCCTCTGAAGTCCGTCAGCGGCCAGCTTCGTCGCCGCATCGCCTCAGCCCCCGAGAAGGTGCTCGATGCCCCGAGCATTGTTGACGACTATTACCTCAACCTTCTCGACTGGTCTGCCGGCAACCAGGTCGCCGTGGCCCTTGAGCGCGCTGTCTACATTTGGTCTGCCGACACTGGCTCGGTGAACTCGCTCTTCGAGACTTCAGATGACACTTATGTCACTTCAGTCAAGTGGAGCGGCGATGGCGCCTACGTCGCTGCGGGTCTCGACAATGGCGAGGTCCAGATCTGGGATGTCGAGGATGGTACCAAGCTCCGCAGCATGCATGGCCATCAGTCTCGTGTCGGTGTCATGGGCTGGAACAAGCACATTCTCTCCACCGGTGATCGCTCCGGTCTCATCATCAACCACGACGTCCGCGTTGCCGAGCACAATGTCGCCGAGTTGTCGGGTCATAGCCATGAGGTTTGTGGCCTAGAGTGGCGCTCCGACGGCCAGATGCTTGCGAGCGGTGGCAATGACAACCTCGTCAACATCTGGGACGCACGCAGCCTGAACGAGCCCAAGCACACCAAGACCAACCACCACGCGGCTGTCAAGGCCCTTGCCTGGTGCCCTTGGCAACTCAACCTTCTCGCTACCGGTGGTGGATCGAATGACAGACAGATCCACTTCTGGAACTCGACGACGGGCGCTCGCCTGAACTCAATCGACACTGGTAGCCAGGTCACCAGCATCAGATGGTCAACTCACTACAAAGAGCTCGTTAGCACCGGCGGCTTCCCTAACAACGCCCTCTCGGTCTGGTCATACCCCACTCTGGTCAAGAACATTGAGATCCCGGCCCACGAGCAGCGCATCCTCTTCAGCTGCCTCAGCCCCGACGGCCAGACGCTGGCTACTGCATCGGCCGATGAAAACCTCAAGTTCTGGAAGCTGTTCGAGAAGAAGGCTGGTGCTTCGACGGTGTCTGCCAAGCCCCGTGCTCTTACCGCTCCTACCACCCAGATCCGCTAAAGTGTGCGACTGGATTGGCCATTGACAATTACTAACCCACAGCATTATGACAAGATACCATTCATGATCTCGGGTTGGAAGGCATGGCGTCTGGGATGGGATCTCATGTCCTAAGGATCTGGTTGTTGGCGGATTGGCGTTTTCTTTGCAATTCTTCTTGGTTATTGCTTTGTATGGCAATGGTCTGCCAGGCTGGGATTTTACTACGGATAGCAATAGCTGGACTACTAACCCATACATAGCAGCGCTAATAAAAACTGCCCTGTGGGCTTATATTAACCTTGACCGTCGCCTTTGCACATGTGATTGCCTTATGTGGATTGGTACGAGTTGCGATAAGATAAATTTCGCCGAAGTTCGGGCGGCTCATCACGACAACGCGCGCGCATCAACACGCCCGAGCGCAGCTCAAGCTTGCTTCCTCTACTACATACCTCACACCCCACCCACCACAATGCTTTCCGGTAAGTTGGCTCGGCTAGAGTCGCGTCGCGCGTGCTGATACCTATGTGCGGGAAACAGGCGAGCAGTTGCTCGAGCAGGCTGCCAAAGATGGCTCCATGGTTCCGTGAGTACACCCGCCAGCCTCGAGCTTGCTTGCCGATGAAACGCGCATGCTAACACACGCTGCAGCAGCGAGTGGCCGCGCGCCCTTGAAATCGTCTTGTCGAGACTTGAACACGTATGCGCCGCCACCAGCTCATGCCTTTGAGCCATCTCCCTCCGCAAATCGCACAAACCGCTCACCAGCGAACCTCTGTACAGATCGTCTCCAACGAATTTCCCACCCCCACGATCCCTCCACCCACCGCCGATGAGCGAGAGCGCTCGGCGACCCCCAGCAAACCGCCGCTCGAGGGCGTTCCTGCAAGTCAAGAAACCACAACTGCGGACAAGGAAAACGCACCGCCCGCCAGTAGTAGCAATGCTGCCGCCACAGTCCCCAACGCAGCCGCGCAAAATACGCCTTCGCCAGGGCCCTCCGCACAAGCTTTGTCCCGCTCCGGCTCGCAAGATGCCAACAGTGCCCCTTCACCCACCGTCGTAGGAGGCAGCGGCGCCGGTGCTGGCGATGGCGGCAACACAACCGAGGCCCACGAGGCTGCTGCGGCAACATCTTCGCTGCCGCCCGAGTTGGCGAACCTGTACACATCGATTGTGGGGGCCTTGCAGAAGCAGTTCGGACAGGAGCCGCCGCACACGGTGCAGCGGCTTGCAGAGCTTGCACTGTATCCGCAGGCACACTACCGTTTCTTGCCGCCCTACCTGCGCGCGCTGGACCGGGTGGTGAGTGTGAGCAGTTCTACGACGGTGTTTCCGCTACCGCAGGCCGCGGTGCCGGCGAGCACAGGCATCCTCAACGGCATCACGCCGACGAGCAGCACCACACCGGCGGCGGTTTCTCCTACAGCGGCGGCTCTGGGCAGCGATGAGAGTTTAGGTGGAGCTCTGCTGACGCCGATACCGTGGTTGCAGAATCGTGGTAGCAGTGGGGCTGGTGGATCGTCCAGCAACGCGAACGGGAATAGCGAACTCATCAGCGAGAGCACGGAAATGGTGGACGGACCGAACGGTGCAGGTCGCATCGAGACAGTGTCGGTCATCAACGGCGCATTGAGCTCGACTACGTCCGCTCCGAGCACCGGTGCTGGTTCTGCTGCTACCGCCACCACCTCCGCGACAACGAGCCCCTCGACTGGTGCTACCTCTGGCAACACGGCTGAGAGCCTGAGGGAGGCCGGCGCGGTGACACAGGGGGAGCTGCTGCGGCAGGAACAGGAGGCGGGCGTCGTGCCCGTGGGACAGAGCAATCCCAGACGGGGACTGCTTCCAGGCTACGCTGCAACTGCCGCCGCTGCGTCGGGGGCTGCAGCTGGTGGTGAGCAGAAGGAGGGTGAAGCAACAGTGGATGAGGGGAAGCACGATGAGATTCCACACGCGAGAGGTCCAGATGAGGTGGGCGCCGAAGACGTGGGCCCTCAACAGAGTGGCACTGGTGGAATCAATTTAGAAGCTGCAGTGGGCAGAGCGCCAGTCGCAACAACGAAGAAGGACGGAGAGGGCGAGGGAGATGCGGGAGAGACCGATGATGGTAGCAGCAGCAAGAAGCCTATGCCAGAGCAACCTCTCAGCCCGGAAGCGGAAATGAAGGATGTTGACGATGCGGATGATGAAGAGGGAGCAAAAACTGAGTCGGGCGATGAGAAGGCAGCTGCGGAGGGGGGTGAAAAGGCGAGTGAGAAGAGTGCTAAAGAAACAGAAAAGAGTTCGGATCAAAAAGATGATGGAGGCAAGTCGGACACGGAAATGACGGATTGACCTGAGCGGAGATGAAGTTTTACGAGACATGTTGCCTTCACAACACCATATCTGTGTCTTATCTTCAAGGGTTGCATGAGCACGCGTCGTTTTGCCGTTCCTTTTTCCTTTTTAAGTCTTTGTTTCTTCCCCTTTTTCTTCGCCTCGGCGTACGGAGAGCGGGCGTTCGATGGGGTCGTGGGACAGGAGGGGAATTCACTAGCGAGCATGCATGATTCCTTCTATTCGAATTAAAAAGATACAAGAATTGGATAGTGAAGAACAGAACGGTGTCCTGCTAAGTATTTGTTTTGATGAAATATAAGGTAGAATATTCAACAGGCCATTCATGTCGTCGATCATCTACCGCTATCCATCAGTTAATGGCCAAGGTGGTGGCTGACGCGAATCGAGCGCGGCGGCTTTTATCGTGCTTTTTGCAACTTTATCCATCCAGGCCGCCTCTATGTACAGCAAACATTGGATGAACATCACGTCCAAGTCAGATATTTACCAGGGTAAGATAGGACAGGCCCATATCAACGGAATACCTAGACGTCCACATTTGACACACAAGAAGCTTATATTCTACAACAGAGGCCTCTTCCCAACGAAAAATATAAAGTGTGAAGGAGGAAGCCATATGCATTGAGCTAGATCGTGCCATGCGGCAATCTAGTATCAATATAAAAAAAAAGAGGGGAGTAGAAAATAGGACCAAATGATGAAATGGGACGAAATGAAATGAGCGGCTGATTGACAACCTTGACAACTTTGCATATCTTCACAAAAGCACCGAGATGAACCAGGATAATTACCAAGCAGTTTTGTGAACGAATCGGACTCAAAAGGAAAAGAAGACAGGAGGACTTAGGTTGCCAATCTCCCTCCTCATACAGACTAGTTAATACGCTATAAAAGAGACGAAGTGAAAAGGGTAAAATGAAAGAGACAAGTGAGCACAACGAAAAAATGCAGACGTATTCTCGCTCGTACATGTATGCGCTGTCAATTGTTGCATCCACACGCACGCTGTAAAAAGCACTTGGTACGTCTTGATTCTCACGCAAAAAAAAAAAAAAAAAAAGATCCACACCGTCAGCGTATAAAAGTGTTGCGTATGCAGATGGCAGCGAGCGCATGGTATACGTGAAAAATGAAAAAGAGACACGTCAAGCCGACGCATGTGAACAAAACCAATAGACAAAGTCCCACTTTCCACTCATTCGCCAGATCGAAACGCCGCATAACGGAAAAGGAAAAGAGGAAGAGAGAAAAGAAACCGGCCTCTCCAACACCCTCAGCCCGCTCGACGTTGTATATAACCACGAAGCTACTTCTCGTGGCAAAAGACAGGCTAAGAGAGGAGATAGTCTTGTATCCCCTTAATGACTCAGCCAGTCACGGATATCTCACAGCTAACACGTCTCCTGCCACATTTGCATTTCGATTCTCCCTGTCCACTTCCAGCCTTAGCCCTTGCCACATTCGTCATTCACACAACTTGCAAAATGTCATCCATCCATGTGCCCGTCCGCCTTGCACGCACCCGGCATTGATTTGGTAGGATTGGGTCGGATGGAATAGATGAAAATTGAGAAAGGAACTTTGAGAGGACTCTTCTCCTCGGCGCTTGCAGAGTGAAAAGTGTGGTATAGATTAGAGTCGATTTTAGAAGTGACTTGACGAGTTGGTAAAGGGAAAGATGACTTAACGAATAACACCAAGCAACAGTTTCAACAAGGTACTGCAATAGCAGAAAGACGAAGAAGAAAAGGGAAAAGAATTGTTGCAGACCTCTTCCATCCGACCCATTCCACCCAACGCAACACGCCTCCCTTTCTACCGACCGCCAGAAAGAGGAGACGCAAAAACAAACAGCAGTATAGAGAGGAAAGTTTCAACACGCGTTTAAAGTCGGAAAGGAATTTTTGGGGGAATATCGAAAAGTGAGACTTGACGCCGTCACGCAAGTAACGAAAAGTTTAGATACCAGATGCACCACCCGTTCGCGTACCCGCCAGCCTAAGCGCAAGACCAGGAAAAGACACAAGAAAGTTAAGATTGATATCGAGAGGAATCGTCCACAGTAGTGACTGCTCATGGAGAGAAGCGCAGTCTGTCCGATGCGGAATTTGAGCACGGACGTACTGTGCAAGGAAGGATAACATGTCTGTAACTGGAAATAATGCACAAGTGTTGCGTGCTCCAACGGAAAGATGCTAAGATGGTCCATTGCCCTGCGCGTGCTACGCGCAAGATCGGCAACCTCAGCGTCGTTCTCGAATGTCTATCTCCGAGAAAGTCGGAAAATGCTCAGAGAAAAAGGGAGCGAGAAGAGAGGACCATCGCGGACAAAAATCTAAATGTCGACAGGAATCCTACTGGGAAAACTCGTGAGATCGGATACTCGACGTTGATGTCGTAATCATAGGGCGTCTGCTTCAACTCCATCACCTAGGAAAGCCTGATCGAAAGTGAAGGCGTTGGAGCCGGGATCATCAGTGTGCAAAAAGGTATCGAAATCGAAGTTCTCCAGCACATCGCCGCTGTCCATAGAGCCAAAGTCCAGGTTGAAAGTACCGTTCTTGAAAGCAGTTAGAAGCATGGAACTACAAGAGAGGGGAGAGACACATACGCTGTCGTTGCCAAGATCGCCAAATGGAGCATTGGCGTTGGGATCCATTGGGGGCTGGGCGGGCACCTGAGGAGGCTGGTTCGCGGGAGCGGCCGGTTGCTGTTGAGGGTTGGGTTGTTGAGCTGTTGCAGACGGGTTACTAATGGATTTCTTTTGTTGCATAGGCATTGATGGCGTACTGGGCGTGGGTGTTGGCGGAGGATTCTCGGCGTCCGAGGCCGGGGTAGCACCCGTTGTTGAACCCTTCTTGTTCGCGGCATTGGCGGCAGCTGGCGGTTTGGATGGGGCAGTCTAGAACTAGTTAGCTCGTGCGGATACAAACAACGGTGCAGCGATCTGACCTTCTTGTCGTCCTTCTTCTTGTTCTTGGGATTCGGCTTGTTGCCCTGCGAAGGAGTAGGAGGTTGATTCTGGGGTTGAGCGGGAGAAGAGGGCTGGGTCCGGCCGTTCTCATTGCCAGCAGAGGGAGCCGGCGGAGGAGGCATCTGTTGGTTCCTCTGCTGAGGAGTACCCATAGGCGGCCCCTGTTGCTGACCCGGCTGCATGCCCTGGCCCTGCTGCGGACCTCCTTGTTGCTGGCCCTGCTGCATCATCTGGGGAGGTCCGCCTTGAGGCCACATGCCTCCATTTGGCATCCGCCCACCGTTCCGGGCGAGCATCTCCATTTGCTGCTGCGGCATCTGCCCTTGGAAGCCGGGGTGCGAGCTTGGTGGTCTCATCATGCCGTTTGCCATCTGTCCCTGATAGAACTGTGGCGGCATGCCCGGCGGCATCTGGTTGGGATCAAACCCGTTCGGTAGCGGTGAGCTCCTGTTCTGCGGCATCGACCCATCCGGCATCGGCGAGCCAGGCAGGCCCGCCTGGTTCAGCTTCGGAGTGCCACGCTTCATCTGATCATTGGGATTGGGCGACGGACCAGCCCTGCTACCCTGAGGCGACATTGCGGGCGGGAAACCCGGCTGACCGACTGGAGCAGAGGCGGGATGTTGGGTGATGTTGTCCTGCTCCTGGCGCGCCATGAGGAGACGCTTCTTGTTCTGCTGCTCTAGGAGCATCAATTGCATCTGGTAGTCTTGCAGCGCATGGTTACCGGCGGGTTGTTGGCCGGGGGCGCCTGGCTGCATACGGGCGTTAGCATTGCCCTGGAAGAAGTCTTGCGAGCCATCCGCGCCTTGCTGAGCCATGGGGGAGTTTTGCATTCCGGCGTTGTTCATTTCCTTTGCCAATTGTTGGTTATTCAAGGCTGCTTTATGCTGCAAGGCAAGATTTTGAGCATATACCTGTAGACCCTTTGCCTGCACATTGGGATTCTGCCCCTGGAATGCATTAAACTGCTGCGGCGTCATGCTTGGGTCGATGCCGTTCGCCATGAGCATCTGGCCAGCCTGGGCTGCAGAAGTCGCACCCATCTGCTGCGGCTGCATTCCCTGGCTTCTTGCGCCAGGGCCCATCTGCTGGCCGTTGAACCCGTTCTCAAGACGTGGACGCTTGTTCGGCGAGGGCGCGTTCTCGGCCGAACCGGGCGACTGCGGACGCTGGTTCATGTCCATCTGCGACCCGTCCCGCTGCATCTGTTGATTCTGCATCATTTGCTGTTGCTGGTTCTTCATCTGCTGGAGCTGCTGTGCATTCCTACACCGTGGCAACGAAAGCTGTCAGTAACTATCCCACTAGGTCCATGTATCTCTGAGCCCACGTACATTGGTCCGCGATTCTGCATCATCCTCATCTGCATCTCCTTGGCATTGGTGGGCATACCCATCATGCCCCTGTACGGTTGCGTGTTATTTGTCATCATGAGGCGCTGCTGGCTTTCCTGCCTCAATTGGGCTTGTTGCTGCGGGTGTTTGTCAGCGGTGCGGCGAGCGCGGGAGGGGTATTCAGGGCAACAAACCCTAGTGTGAGCCAAATACTGCAGCTGCGCCGAGCCCGGCTTCGAGCGCTGGCGCTGCGCGTTGAAGATGTCCCAGAACTGGTGCCACCAGTCAAACAGGAAGGAGTTCTCGGAGGGGTCGATGGGCACGGCGGCCGGAGGGAGATCGTCGGGGCGTTTGTGCATTTCGTCCTTGTTGTCAGTGTCCATGTCGTCCACGCCGTTTACGTCGCGCCGGCCGCCGGGGCTGGGCTTCGTGGCAGGCCCGATGTTGATGACAAGCGCATCCTTGACCTGGCGGGCGAGATCCCAGTGGTGGTTCTTCAGGAAGTAGTCGTAGATGTACGTGTTCAGCATGGTCTGCGGATCCATAGAGTTTCGCGCGCCACCGGCCTGCATCAGCGGTGTGCCTCCAACAGGACCGCCCTGCTGTTGCATTGCGGCCATGTTGGCCTGCTGCTGGTTCATCATGAGCGGCGACGGATTGTGGGGAGCGCGGATGCGCGGTCAAGAGCGTCTGGGTCCCTTCGCGGCCGTCGGTGTGGGACTGCGGGGGAGAATGCAACGAACCCGCCTCAGGAGATGGGCGTGCTGTGCTCCAGCATGAGCGGGCGCGGCCTTGATCGTCGCGGCGGTCGTGCGATGCAGCGGCGTGAAGGCGAGGTCGGCGCTCCGGGTGCGGACGGCCGGGGTGACGGCAACGTCGGTGGGTGCTGGGGGCGCGTTGGGCTCGCGGCGTTGGGGGGTTGCGGGCGCAGGCGTGCGATCACTCGAGGTGCGCGTGGGTGATGGTGGTGGACGGGAGTCGGAGAGGCGCGGTGGGTGCTGAGTATCCTGATTCTGCTGCGCGCAATCAAATGGCGTCGGTAGCGAGGCGGCGACGTGTTACGGCAGACGGCGAGAGGGCGCGGCCGCAAGAGTAAAGATTTGCACGATGGCCACGCAGGGTATCAGCAGCGCAAGGCCGGGGAAGGAATTGCAGGTCGAGGTGTGCGAGCTTAGCGGTTGGGGGGGCGCGCCTTCATGGCCCTCCAGGCGCTGTCGATTGGGTGCGCACATAATCACGAGGCACCACGAGTCCAGCCCAGCCACTCGATACGCAGCATCACCACCACTAAATCAGCCCTGGAAAACACACACACCGCGCTGTGCGCATCCTGAAACATGCCTCGTGTCTTTCTCAGCGCTGTTCTATGTGTTCCGCTCAAATCACGTGACTCCGCCGCGCAGCCGCTCCTCCCGCCCTCTCCGCAGCGGCCAGGGGGTGGCGATCGGGGTATAGCACTCATAGTAGAATTTAGAAGAACCTCTCCGCTCCGCGCGATCCACCGCGCCCGTCGCTGCCCCGCGCCCTACGTCGCTCGCGGCCTGCGCCCTCGCTGCCAGACAATGCGTCGCCCGGTTGCACAGTTGACCAGCCCCGGGCTCCTCTACCTTAGTCTTGGCGCCCCGCCTCATCCATTTACTCATCATCGGGCGGCAGCTCGTCCTCAATAAACCGGACCAGTGTGATGCGCATCTCCGTCGTGTCGTTTCCCCGGAGCACGTCACTGATGAAATGTACCTCCACTTGCATTTGGACCTGGAGCGGAGATTAGCCATGGTGTGATCTATCCGGCGGAGGACCGCCCCCAAGTTCGAGGACGTTGGAGACCCGAAGGCAGGGGTAACTTACCATCTCCAACGCTCCCCGCAGGACTCCGCAAAGGATGTTAGAGTACCAGAGTTCATCCTGTGCACGGCCATCGTCCGGCAACTCCACAAAGTCCGCCAGCGGGTTCTCGTCGAATATCAGAGAGAACTGCTTGCTGTCGCTGGTCCAGTTTGTAATCGTCGGAGTGATGTTGAGGAAGATTTTGAACCCGACCTGTCCCGAATTGTCCATTAGTATCACATTGCTGGGCGTTTGTTTTTCAATCCGACAGTTTTGCTCGAGACATCAAGTCACCACAGCTTATCGGCCAACTACGAAACCCGTCCAGGGAAACTGCTATCTTCGTACCTTGGAGATCATTTCAGCGACTTCGCGGAAGCTGGAGCACGAGGTGGTATTGGACTTGGCGAGGAAGTCCTCGATCAGGCGCAGGCCAATGTTATATCCCATTTTATCCAGCTGTCGATTAACCTCAACATAGTCGCTGTCAAAGTCCTTGCAAAGCTGTGCGACGATGGTTCCGTAGGTAAGGGTGACTAGTTCGGCGTTCACCTTGTCGACGCGGGTTCTCGCAGGTGTCAGAAACAGCGGATCTTGCGCGGTATTCGAGAAACTCGCTACTTACTTCCAAACTCTGGGTTAAGTCAGCTCTTGCGCACGCGGAGAGTGGGCGGGGGGCTCACTCTTCGCCCAGGCGGGCGGCCTTGGTGGATGCCATAGCGCTCCTGGACACAGACAGTGCGCCCGGTCCTCAGTCGCAGCGAGATGAGAGAGGTCGGGGCGGGCGCATCAAACTGCCTCAACCGGACAAGGTGGCGATCCGGGTGAGCGGGATGCGCAGAGGGGGACTTTGTAGGCAGTTGGTTGAATTTCCGACTGAGGTATCGCGGATTGTCTGGGGTACGGTGACGCAGCCGCCTCAGGAGCTCATCGGCCCGGCCGCGTTGGACGCGCCGAGTGCTTAGCGCGGTGATCGCCGCTGTGGGCCGTAAACTTTGAGGAGCACTGCCATCACCATCTCAACCGCCGCCATTGTCCCCCGCACTCTACCGCGTACCGCAGCCTAACGTCACCGCGGCCATGTCTTCGGAAAAGCGCCCAGCTGCCGACTCTTTCGGTTCCAACCAGCTTGTCAAGCGCCAGCGTTCCGACAACGACCTAGGCAACGAAGTCGCCATCACGAATGGCTCCGCCCAGAATGGCGCCCTCATCCAAGCAGTACGTCTCACCCCACTCCCTTGGTATCCCTTGCTCTTGGGCTAAGGCGACAAGAAAGGCGAGCCATGGCTGATTCTGTAGGTGCCGCGTACGAGCGGGCTGCAAGCTCCCATTATGGAGCTCACAGGTACTTCTGCCCGACGTGGCTGTTCTCGCATGGTCTGACTCTCCCAGGACATTCCGGCGAGGTGTTTGCAACGAGGTTCGATCCGACCGGCCAACACATAGCCTCCGGCTCAATGGATCGGAATATTCGTATGTGCACCAACAGTTGGCCTTTTATCACTGCGGTGACTGAAGTGAATCAACAGTATTGTGGCGGACGTACGGCCAATGCGACAATTACGGCATTTTGAGCGGACACAAGGGCGCTATCTTGGACCTGCACTGGTCGCGCGATTCTCGCGTTATCTACTCGGCCTCAGCAGACATGATGCTTGCAAGCTGGGATCTTGAGACGGGTCAGAGGATACGCAGACACGTGGGACACGAAGAGGTCATCAACTGCATGGACGTGAGCAAGCGCGGGGAAGAAATGCTTGTCAGCGGCTCGGACGATGGGTACATTGGGGTAAGCAGGGAATCGCAGCTTTGGTAGCGGAGTGCCAGGGTATTGACATGGCGCAGATTTGGGATCCGAGACAGAAGGAGGCAGTCGACTACATCGAGACGGAATTCCCGGTGACAGCCGTGGCCTTGGCGGAAGCTGGTAACGAGCTGTACTCGGGCGGCATAGACAACGATATCAAGGTATGGGACATGCGCAAGAAGGCCGTCGCATACTCGCTGCTGGGACACACGGACACGATCACGTCCCTTCAAGTTTCTCCAGACTCGCAGACGCTCCTCTCCAATTCCCACGACTCGACTGTTCGCACGTGGGACATCCGGCCATTTGCTCCCACGGATCGCCACATCAAGACGTACGACGGAGCGCCAACGGGCATGGAGAAGAATTTGCTGAAGGCGAGCTGGGACCCCAAGGGCCAGAAGATTGCTGCCGGAAGCGGCGATCGCACGGTTGTGGTGTGGGATGCGAACACGGGCAAGCTTCTCTACAAGTTGCCGGGACACAAGGGAGCGGTCAACGATGTGCGGTTTTCGCCGCGCGACGAGCCAATCGGTAAGTGCCCAAGTTGCGGGAGGCGCCGAATTCGCTAACATTTGCAGTTGTATCTGGTTCATCGGACGGCATGCTGCTTCTGGGAGAGCTTGGCAAGTGAGGGCAGCTACCGCGTTAGGCTAGCGAGATTGATTTGAGGCTTTTCGTGTCACAGGAGCAGACCTTACATGCTGCAAAATCAAGCAGCTACTGAAGACTGGCGCGACGACTGGACAGCTGAAGAAGACAAACGCGGAGAAACGCGCGCTCCAAAGAAGGGCGACAGGACGCGCCGGCAGGCAGAGCCGCAGAGGCTCTCGCGACATGGAGGCTGCGGCGCGGGCCAGAGAGGCGCATATAGTAATTGAGAATGGGCAAATTTGTACATATGTTCGGCGGGAGCGGGGGCTAGCGCGTTCGCAGCAGTCGGCGGCGCGGCGGAGGTGATAGGATGGCGCGCGTCTGGCTGAAGATCCCCGTATTTTCGGGCGTTTCAGCGTCGCGACCTGAACCCCCATCCAGCAGCACGCATCCTGGGCGGGATGAACCTGATACAGTGGCCCGACCCTGGCATCTCATGCACCACCGGAGCCCTTGCGGCCTTCGTGCGACCGCGATGGGCTTGTTTGACAACGCCGCTCTTAACAGCGACTCATTGGCGCTGCGGACCGCTCAGTTTCGCCTTCGCCTTCGTCGCTGCCCTCTTGTGGCCCCGCGGGCTCTTTCTTTTGTCTTTCGCTCAGTCTTTTTCGCGTGCCGGTCACTGGCTGCGCCCGCGTTTGCTCTCCACGTTTGACCCACACTGCTAACCTTAAGCTTCACGCCGAAGCCAATCACTCGCCTATGCTCTCGCTGCTTGACTACGGACCGGTTCCAGTCATTGGCCCCTCAGCGAACGAATTCGCCCTCTGTCGACGAGCCTGGCGAACCGCGCATCGAAGCCAGCCCTCGCCTGGCCTATCGGCCTGTCCCGAGCTCTGCATCTCCTGCGCCGCTGTGGACGGAAACAACCCACGTGTCTGGCGTCGACGCTGAACCATTAATAATTCCGCCCGCCTCTGCACGACCCGCCCGTCATATACCTCAGGACCAACTTCGTGTGTTGGTTCTCGTGGGGACTCGACACCCAGGCATTCAGCGCCGGCCGACTTCAAGATGCCTGTGCCTTTCCACCTTCCTTTCCAGTTCTCTTTTTTCAATCGTGCCGCTGCACCGCCTCAGGAAGAGCCCGCAGCACCGCAAACGCCGCCAAACCCTCCTTCTCTCACGTCGTCTGCGTCGTCTGCTTCGCCACTTTCTAGAGTTTCTTCCACGCCGTCAACCGTCTCAGATGTCCAGTCCCACGTCCGCTCTTTATTAAACGGAGAAAGTTCGATATACGCCGATTCGCCATCACTTTCAACCCGCAGCACCCCAAAACCTCCAAGCTTGGTGGAATTTCGCCGAGGGCTTCCCTCACCCACCGGCGGCCTTCAAAGAGATTTCCAGGACTTTCAGACCCCTCTTTTTCATCAGCAGTCGGTCGGCCCTTACCGCCCTGCAGTACTGCCCAGCCCACAACATGATAGCCCCGCGCCACCTCCAGCTGCGTATACACGACAGTCGTACGAAGGCGTGGACCCAGAGACCGCGCAGCTCGCCATCCTCATCAACGAAAGGGCCAAGAAGCGGCAGCAAAGAGCATGGGTGAGGAGGCGCAGCTCTCGGAGGACAAGAGGTGGACGCGGGAACTCCCGCGGAGCTTGGGGCACCCCGAGCACGCCCGTGAGAAAGAAGGCGATGCTATGTTTGGGCAGCGGCATATTCCTCTCTATGATTCTGACAACTTGTAGGTTCTTACATTTTTCTGCGGCGTACCCAAACTGACTTTCTTCGCAGATCTTTCCATCGCTCTCACTCGTCCGCACACTGGTCAGGAAGTGCACGTGCTCTTTATACTTATCATCCTTAGCACCACGATCCTTTTCTGCCACTCGCTAGTTCGGCTTTGCATGTTGTCGTTCGGGCTGCAGCGCGGAGACGAGCGACCAAGAATACCAGATATCGCTGGGCCGGATGGTTTTCAACCTGATAGGCCGATACGCGTACATATGGCGCGCGATGAGGAGCTCGGAGAAGAAGAAAGCCCTACTGCTGCAGCAGATCCCGAGAAGGAGATACTGAAAGCCCCACCGCCCGCTTACGGTCTCTGGCGAAGCAGCGTGGTGAGTACATGCTCCGCCGGCTAACAGCAAGAAAATCGAATCTAACATCACGTGCGTGTAGCCCATCAACCCAGATCTGCTTTACTGGCAACGCGTTGACAACGTGCATCCGCTCCGACAAAACCCGGCGTCTCCAAGTCCGGTAGTAAACGCAAGCCCGCCACCAAACCAGCTGCTGGACCCTTTCCAAACTCCGAATCTGGGGCGACAGCAGCAGCAGGACGGCCGCCTCCACAGCGGGGAAGGTGGTGAGCAGGTACCGAGGCCGCCAAGCTACGTGTCGGACGACGGGGTGCGGTACGTGGTGGAGGCCGCTCCGCGTTCGGTCGCTCCAGCAGTGCATGATGATAGTCTGAGCGATGTGCACCCCGCTTACAGAGGCGGGCTTGGTATCCGGTAATACCTATGCGCTTGTCGCGGCATTTCGAAGGCGCTTTTTACATCGTTTCACAGGGAAGCGGGGGACGTCAGAAAAGGCAGGGTTTGGCAAGATGCAAGGAAACCCAGGGCAGGAACCTATTTCTATTGTTGGATATGTGAGGGAGCACTCGGCGCGCAGATAGCGCATCATACTGCGCCAGGTGCTGTTACCGCATCATGCGGGAGGTCAGGACAAGGTTTGGGGGATAGGGCCGGTCCGGCATGGAAGGAATGGAAAATTAACGGAGGGAATACCCACACGAACGAGAGCTACGATTATACGCCATAGTCCTCATCTCAAGCCAGTGCTCTGGTTAGCCAGGCAAGAGGGACACAATCCAATATATTCCGAACGAAATATTAAGAAAACGGAAACCCCCGAATAATGAAAAGTCAATTGAAACCTCATCTGCTCATGCTCATAGGCTAGCAGTCGAGACCGTGAAATTTCTTGTCTCCTACATGTTCACAAGTTGCTACACGCAGCTCTTTTGCAATTTTTCACTGCACTTGAGCACCCTTCCCGTATCCCGCCCTATTTCATCCCGTAAATTTTCTCGCAAGGTAGACTACGAAGAGGTGAAGGCCGTCGGGTTCGCATTCGGTAGATGGTTCGTCAGCTCGAGGCATCAAACCATCCCCACGTTCCCCTTGTTGCCGTCGCAGTCTCAGTAAGCGTTTCGCATCACATCCTACTGCCGACGTGGCACAGACCTCTTTTTCACGACACTCAACGGTGATTCCCGCCCAGATTAGCCGTTGCAAACGGATTGCTCCGGCGTTTGGTAGAGCTTTGCGTGGTAACGCCGCGTGTGGAGTGACAGCGTTGAAACTCGCGCGTGTGGCAGAACCCCCTACTGACCACCCACTGAATCTATTGCGGTGGAGCTCTCGGAGGAAGGTCCACCGTACTAAAAGTAGAAAATGCGGGGCTGAGATATGGTTGTTCGCTTTCTAGCCCGATCGCATGGTCAAGTGTTTGTTGATCAAGCTCCGCGACTCCTTGACACCGGAATAGAACAATGGGACCCACTAGTCTCCCTGACCCCCTTGAACCCCTATATGCATCTCTTCTAAGTGTACTCCGCTTTATGCATTTGCTTTTTCAAATATTCCGGCAAGACTTTCTTGTCGAGGGCGACATTTTAGAAGTGTTCATGGTTGTAGCCTAGAATTTAAGTTCACGAATACGAGCGAACGTTACTCTGACAACAAGGACTTCAGAGGACTCTACTGCAATAGTCAAAACGCTACTGAGATTATTTCATGAGATAAGCCATTGAGATAGCCTATTAGCAACTTCAAACTGTCTTGATCCATTCTAAGGTGCTCTTTTTTCTATAACGTTCGTTAAACTCATCAATCTCTAAAATGCGTAACCCATTCAACCAACATTACATATGGGGTATGAAATCAAAGAGGAACCCCCATGCAAACCTACATAACAACCCAGTTCTACTCCAACTCGTCAATTTCAATTACCATTCGTCTCGTTTTTCGTCGTGAGTGGTCCATTGCATATACTTCGTCTCGAATTAGAACTTCGCGCTCAAACTCCACCCCACCTTCAGGACTCTCGCCGTGACGTAGCAGGCGACGGACAGCGCATACGTCACGATGGTGAAGATGGCGACACCCCAGTAGCGATCGTTGGATGTCTGCAGCAAAGCGCCAGCGATGGGGATACCGGTGAGGGTGCCAAAGCTAACGATGGTGTAGCAGGTGGCGTAATACCGGCCGTACTGCGACGTGTCGCACAGCTGGCCGACGCAGACGGGCGTCAGCGAGATGTTGCTCCCGCTAGCGAGGCCGAACAAGAAGGCGAAGGCGATGGTCAGGCCCTTCACGGTGGCCGAATCGGACGAGAAGTCGGGCACGGGCGTCAGGATGGTGGCGGGCAGCCACAGGGCGAGGGTGGTGGCGAAGCAGAAGGTCAGGGTGGCGACCATGCAGTTGAAGCGGCCGAAGCGGTCGGCGACGTAGCCCGGGGCCCAGCGGCCGATGCTGCTGCCGGCGTTGAGCACGGCGATCAGCTGGTACGCGAACGTCTGGTCGATGGCGCCCGACGACAGGGCGAACGACGTCGTGTACGTGATGGGCACGAAGAGCCCCCACTCCATGAAGAAGACGCCGGCCGTCGTCAGCGCGAAGCTGACGTCCTTGAAGATGCGGAAGTCGGGCATCACCGACGACCCGGGCTTGGGCGGGAGGCGCGACTTGATGCAGAGCTGCGCCACGCCGCACAGGAAGATGAAGATGAAGCCGAGGATGCGCGTGGCCCAGCCGAAGCCGACTTTGGGGAAGAGCGATTGGAGCATCAGGGGAAAGATGATGCCTCCGATACTACCGCCGGCAGCGGCAACGCCGGTGGCTGCGCCTCGCTTCACTTGGAAGTAGTGTCCAATGCTGCTGATTGCTGGCGTGAAGATGAGGGAGGTGCCGATGCCGCCGAGGACGCCAAAGACAAGGAGGAATTGGTAGTACTCTTTGCACACGCCGAGCAGGAGCATCGACGCGATGAGCAGGATGTTGCCCGCGAGCACCAGGAGACGCGGACCATAGGCGTCGAAGATGGGGCCGATCTGGATGCCACAGAAGAAGGAGAGGAAGGTGTAAACGGAGAAGATCCAGCCAATGGTGCTCTCGTCGTAGTGAGACAGCTGGTGCGTGGCCAGGTAGGCTTGAAAGATGCCAACCGAATTCCTTGTGCACGAGGTCAGTTCGCATTGCTTTTCATACATGGGTTAAGGGCGCACTCACATCATTCCAAAGGAGGCTACCATGCCAGAGAAGGATCCCAGCACTACCAGCCAGGCCTCGGTGCCGCCCTCAGGATAAATAACCTCATCCGAGGGCCGGGACGAAGTGCTCGAAGAATCAGAAGACGAACGAGCGGCGCGTTCGGCATCGCCATCATCTTCATACAGCGGGGCGGGGCGCGTCTTCTTCTCGTCGTCGTCGTCCTTGGTCCATTCCTTCTCGCTGGCGAGGGTCTGCTCAGACGGATCGCATGTTGGGACTTGGTTGTCCTGAGCAGCAGGTGCAATGGGATCGGTTGCAGTGATGCTCGCGCTCGCGCCGTGGAAGGGAGGTTCAACTGGTCCTGGCTTGCTGCCTTTGGGTTGTGTGTGCATCCGTATCGCTTGGTCGGGCTATCCTTGCTCTTTCAAGAAATCTATCTGGTTTCCGAGCTGGGAAATGAGGAACAAGAGGGCGGGGGCAGGGCAGCAGGGTTTATATGGGCGGGGTAGAAGAGAGAAGGCGAGAAAGGGGATGAAAAGTGCAAAAAAAGACGTCAAGGGTGTGGGGTTCGCGTCGTCGAACCCCACAGAACGCCATGTCGAGTATCAATGAGTAATCGTATTGCCCGAAGCGGAAATTCAAGCCAACGGTGTTGCAAAGTCGAGCCGCCGTGCGCGCCGTGCCGCTCGGCTGTGGCATGGGTGAGCCGTCGGCGCCGGCATTGCGTGCAACAAGCAAAGGACGTCGTTTTTCACCTTGGCGGCATTGCATGTGCATTTTTCTAGGTACGCTACAACTTGCGGCCCGGTACGAAAGTGTTAGTCAGAATCGAACCAGGGTGTCGTGAAGTCAGGAGTGACGTTGTGGCCCACGGCCCGCCGTCGGCAGACCGCTCCTCGTTAGTCGCCGCTCTCCGACGCCTCTTGCCTGAATCGCCGCCGGCCGGGCCAACATCAAAAACCTTCGTCCTAACACTCAAGCAGCCGACGCAGACCTGCCCTGATGATTTCCTCGCTCTCCGGCGCGAGAGCCCCCGCTCCGACGCACTGCCTCACCATTCCAGCATGGACGCGCGGGAGAACATGGGCCACGATCTTCTCGAGCAGCCCGTCCATCACGGCGGTCCGGCCGAGAGCCTCGACGATGCGGTCAAAGAGATGGGCCTTGGCAGTGTACTTGCAATCTCCCTCTCCGCCGCAGGCCTCGCTCATGTAGCGGGCATAGTCGGCGCGAAACCTGTCGTAATCCACCGGTGGCATCTCACACGCCTGCACGTGCGGCCAGGCGTAGTTGCGCTCGCTGTCCCAGTCCATGGTCAAGAAGTATGGCGGGCTGCACCATCCCATGTAGCGGGGCCGGCTGTCGACCCGATCCCAGTCGATGATGGCCGTGACGTTTCCGTGCTCGTCGGCGAAGATGTTCTGGATGTCGAAGTCCGGAGGCGCGAGTATGAATTTCTCGGGCTCGCCGGCCACGGGGAACGGAAACTCATCTAGAAGCATGGAGAAGAGCCGGTAGGTGCCCAACACCTCGTTCCTCTCCGTCTGTCCCAGCCGGCCTTTGAACACCATCTGCTTCCACTCTTCAAGCCGGGCCCGGAGGAACATGTCAGAGCGGCGCGCCGGATGGGACACGGCTTCTTTGACGAACTCGAGAAAGCTGGGCGTGCGGCTGGCCCCGTAGCTCATGAGGCTGGACGGGCCGATGGTTGGGCTGTCGTCATCATCAGTGGTGAACTGGAGAGCTCCCATTTGGTCGAAGGTCAGTGAGCGTAGCTGTGCCGTTGCCTGGGCTAACGAGCGTAAAATGTTCTGGCGTTTCTCCTCAAGCGGGATGGGGCCGTCTTCGTCGAACCAAAGCTCCTCTACCGCGCGGCCTTCAACGTGCAGCAGAATCATGTGCGGCGCGTGAATGGCGTTGTCGAAGGTGGTGTCGTAAGTGATGACCTCCGGGATGGGACAGCTGGTGTGGCGCTTGATGTAGCGCATGCTAAGGGCAGAGGTGCGCAGCGTCACGGCGTCCTGCTCCGTCCATGCGCCTTTCCATGCGCACGCCGGCACACGCACGCACACCTTCAGGCTCTCCGAGTATTGTACAATGAAGACGAGATTGTTGAAGCCATGCGCTCTCTTCACCACCCTGACGTGCGACCCGTCAGCGAGGATGCTCTTGGGAATTTGCGAGCCCTTGGATGCAACGTCGAGAGCCAGCTCAACCACTTCCTCGTCGCGGATCTTGCCCACAGCCCCAAACTTGTCCTTGGGCTGGTGCGTTTCGGGCGTTGGCTGCCGCGAGGCTGTATGCTTGTGCTTTGGCGGCTTCAGGCCGAGCGTGCGGAGCGCCTTACGCAGCGTGTGACGTAGCTTTTTCTTGCATGACATGGAAGTTGAACGCGCCGTGGTAGGATCCTCGAAATCGGTGGGGACTAGGGTGGGTGAGGTGGAGCCGGAGGATAAGTTGACCTTTGACCGGCCATAACGGATGCTGTCCAAGAAATTCTCGAAGACGCGCTTGAGTTTGTGCATGGTGGTCGGTGTTTGCCAGCTCCGAAATGTGGCAGGCGCGGTGCTGGCCAAAACACCCACTGTATGATGTAATGAAGAAGGCGAAGGAAGTGTGCAGACTCAACATGTCAACCGTGGCTACCTTATCCCGCAAATTTGTGGCCCCGAGTCCCTTGGAACCACCTCGATTCACGTGTGTCCAAAAGTTTCCTGGACAACCACCGTGTCATCTTCCATTTACTCTTTTCTATGATAGTTATAATTATCCGGCAACGAAAGCTTCAATCACTCTCGACTGGCACCTAATCCCAGGCACGTGTCTTCTATAATTTATTCCAGACATCCGCGTTAGCACTACACTCACGTTAAGATTTAACAAATCACATTCATCATAATTCTACGTACCTCAAATAGCTACTGCAGATCACCTCCACATGTCGCTAATTATGTCTCAACCCCGGCGGAACCACTTTCCATGATTCACACACCACACATGCTTGCAGATGTCAATCAGTGCTGGCTCATGCGTCTGCCATTTTCCGGTCACTGAGTGCTTCAGTGTCTGACTCACGTCTTGGTGTTTTGGACGCTCCCGAAACATCTCGCATCTGAAACAGTATAAGAGCTTCGCGAGCAACACTGCCCTATAAATTACAATGCTTGCTGTTACTTGTAGAATTTACTTGAATTAAGGCTCTTCACTCTCGATCCTGATCCACCTTATCCCCCTCCAAAAACATCTCCTCCATTCTTACGCATCGCCATGTACGTCCCTGATCCCGGAATCACCAAATTTGCTCACAGTACAATAGCTCTCCAAAGCATTAGTGTGCTCATACCTATAGCCATGGGGCAAGGTAAAATCTATACCAGCAAGAACAGGGCTGGAGGGAAAAGGAGGAACCACCACTGGCTCGTCTCTCCCAAACCCCCCCTCTTGCATCTCTTCCTTAGCTAACCAGCTCGCTCCCACTACAGTCACTATTGCGGAAAAGCATCCAAACCCCGCTGTTGGAAAAAAGGTCACCAAGTCCTCTGCGAAGCCGAGAACTGCAAGTCTTCTCTGGTACCCCGACTCGGCTGCATAAAGCACCCCTACCGAGACGGCTACAACAAGGAGGCGCAGGCTCTGAAGTCGGGTCGCGATGTCGAAGTTCTCCGGCAAAAGGATGCCGCTGCCGTACAGTCGCGCAGGCAGATGGCCTCAGAGGTACTAGCTGGTGAAGATCCTTCGTCGGAGATGAAGGAGCCGCAGGGGAAGAAAAGGAAGACGGAAAAGAGTGCTATCCGTGAGGAGTAAATTTCATCTATCTAGTATATGTGAGAATATGCTTTTTTTGGTGTTGTGTTTCGTTCTACACCATTTCGCAGTAGACAACGAATGATATCCGCAAATTAAACCTTCTCAGGGGACACGTGCTGGCAATGTCTTTTGCCCCACATTACTGAGACAATGTTCCAGACTCCAGAACTACCTTTCAGCCATAAACTAAAAATAGGCAATTTTAAGTGGTGGCGAACGCCATTAGTTTTCAGGTTTGTTGTTGACGATATGAAGTCATCGCAAACGAGTGGTCCGTATTAATTAGAACGCATTCCGTCTTCTTCACTCTCTCCCAGACGAGAAAATTACGGTCTGCCCAGCTGTTAGCAACCACGTCCGCCGGCATTACTCCCTCACCTCAGCAATTCTCTGAACTTCGCCCTCACATAGCGTTCCTGCTCCGCACTCAAGCCGGCCTCCCCCACCGACACGACCAGGTCAGCCCTCCTCACCCTCGGCAACGTCACCTCCAGCACCCGATCCAGTACCTCCCTCATCTGATCCAGGTCATCCAGACTCCGCAGCACAGCCTGGTACAAGTGGCCCTTCGTCGCGTACAGCTCGAATGGAAACCCGCCCGCCTGGCCCCCGGCGCCGATGGCTGCCTGCAAGTGGGCCGCGTAATCGGCACGATACGCATCCCAGCTGCGGCCATCCTCGATAATGTCCACTGTGGCCATCTCTTTCGTTCTCGCTGCAAAGGGAGGGCGACGAGGCCAAGAGATGCCACGCGTCCAGTCCACCGTCAACAGATCTGGACAGGTTGGCCACCCGAGCATCAGCGGCTGCGTCTCGAGCCCATCCCAGCCGACGACGCCAACGACGGCGCCCGAGTGCTCGTCGACCAGGATGCTTGCAGCGTCAAAGTCTGCGGGCGGGCCGAGGACGAAGGTTTCTACTCCTTCGTCTTCATTTCCCTCACCGTGGTTGGATTTACCATAGGTGATCCTCGTGCTGCTGGAACGCTCAGGCCACGGCATCTCCTCCATCAGCAGGCGCCACAGCTTGAAGACGCCGCGCACTTCGCTCGTGCGCTCGTGGGCGATGGCGTAGGCGCGGGCTGCGTCGAGGCAGTGGAAGAAGAAGGCGCGGGAGTCGCTCTCAGGCGTGGAGAGATGGTCTTGGGGGTTGAATTTCCCCTTGGACTTCTTCATGGGACGACCGAAGGGGGCCATGACGGCGGCGGCAACATAAGGGCGCTGGTCTTTGTCGTCGCCGTTGACGGGCCGGAAGAGAAGCGGCCCCATTTTAGTAAAGGTAAGAGATCGCAGAGAGGCAGTTACGGTGGCCAGGGAACGAAGGATGGCCTGGCGTTTGTCCTCGAGGGATTTGGTGCTGCCAGCGGCACGGTCGTACCAGACTTCGGGCAGTGGACGGCCGTGGACGTAGGACATCATGAGGTAGGGAGCGCCGATGGCATTATTGAAGGTCGTGTCATACTGGAGGACATCCGGAACGGGCAGAGTGGTGTGCTTCTGGACGTAGCGCATGGTGTGGGCGACATTCCGCAGTGCATCAGCGTCGGACGGCAGCCAGCGGTCGCCCCAGCCGCAGGCCGGGACACGCACGCAGACTTTGATCAAGGAGGGACAGTAGTACTGGACGGTGTAGAGAGCGTTGTTGCGGCCATTTGTGCGGGCGATGACGGAAATGTTGGTGGCCGACTTTCTCTGAGTCGAGAAGGTGAACAGGCTGACGAGGCTGACCAGGGCTTCGTCCGAGATGGAAAGAATGGGGCCCCAGCGGCCATTGGGATCGTCAACCTCGGTATCGTCGGAGAAACGGGGGGCGTGGTCGGTAGGCCCCTTGAAGCTGCGCTGCGGAGTGATGGGATTGCTGCGGAGCTTGCGGGCGACTCTGCAGAGAGACGTGGTTGTGCGGGTGAGAACGGAGGAGCTGGAGCTGGAGCGAGGTTTCTTGGCCGAGTGGGTGCCGTCGGAGCTTGTTGCAGATCCCTTGGACCCTTTCGACGGGCGGTGGGCGGGCTGGTGCGCGGCGTCGGCGTCGGCGTCGTCGAGGCAGGCGAAGAGCCTCTTGATGCTGTTGGGCATGTTGGGGTTGCTCCGGGAGCCCTCCCCGGGCAGCAGTGAGGGTTGAGTGACTTTTCGAGCGACGCCGGCGGCGCGTTTGTCCATGATATGGCCCTACTAAATGACGTGGTGCTGGTGGTTGCCGACGGCGGCACGTGCGACTGCGGAGGTGAGGTGGACCCGCCCTGCAAAGGCTCCCGGGCCGCAGGGAGGCGCTCGGGCTGATTGTCATCAGCTGAGCAGGGGGAGCTGAATGATTTACATGACAGCTGTCAGCGCATAGGGCAAATAGGATCTTCCAGAATCGGGATGGAAGCCTACTCGGCCGCTGCCTTCTTAATAACATCAAATTCTCCCTGTGACGCAACAAACGCACTTCATTCTTGGCCTCGGAGAAGTCTGCCTGGGATTACCAGCCGCAGCCATGCGATGCCCCTTTATGTGGCCCGTGGCTTCTGCTCTCGAGTCAAGCATGCTGTAAATTATAATCCAACACATCTACTCGATATACTCATTACCTCTACTCTTTGAGGTGCCTCTCCCTATACTCGAGAAATTGGCATCGTCTCTTTGTTGAAGTGTGGCCGTTGCTTCGCGTAAGTAACTTTAAGTGAATATCCTAAATTTAGAACTCCAGCCGGAGAAAATGATCCGGCAGTGTAGAGAACCTCCACGATGGAGTTCAGAGTGGAAATGAAGAAATACCTTAGTGGAGCTTACTTAGAACGGTACCAGGCCCTACGAGTTCTCATACTTGACCCGATGCTGCGGTTTGGTGACTTCATGCGCCTAAGTGTAGGACCGGAAGTTGGCGCTGGGACACCACGTAGAACTTGAACATGGAAGTGAAATGTAGTGCTATAGAAAAAAAGAGAGAACTGATTTACTGAAACAGTGAGGATAGAGAGTGAAGAGTGTCCAGCTGGAGGTAAGAGCTGGAAGTGATTCCACGGCTTTGCCTGATTTGAGAGAATCAATCCGTGGTGGCACATGTCAGGCCCTCGCACCTGCCTGTGAACGCATGCTCGCCTGCAAGTGTACCCGCCTGCGTGTCGCCCGCACCATGCCGTCATAAAAAGACACGCCCGCTCCGCTCCAACTTTCTTCACCCGCCTACACTCCTACCTACCTCTCCATCCCGGCACCCGACCGGCGCGACCCATCCGCTTCAACGCAGCTTCGCGCTCACGTTCGTTCTCTACTTACGTCTTCCACCATGGCGGACAGGGACACTCCCAGGCGCACGGGCAAGCATCGTCCCAAGGACGTCCCTCACATGACCGACGAGCAGAAGAAAGCTCTCTGCAACGTACCTGGTAAGGCGGCTTCATGGCTCTCCTGGCCTTTCGATGACCAACATTGCAGCCGTAGACCTGTACAACGACCCGCGCAGCCTGGTCCAGATCTGGCGCGACTCGGGCGTTCCCTACCAGGAACATGTCATGCCACCGCCCACAGCTCCGCGCGCTCACCTCCAGCACCGTCGCCAGACTAGCGGCAGCCAGGCCTCGTCCGCTGTCCCTTCTTCCGGCTCCGGCTCCGCTCGCACCTCCATGTCCCAGGCTCTTGTCCCTGTGGCATCTCCTCCTCGGTACAACAACCAGCAGACTGGCAACTACGCCAACGGCGCTTACAACCACGGCAACCATGTTACCGGCACTTACCCTCAGTCTTCTACCGCCTTCGCTACCAACCAGCAGCAGCAGGCTGGCATCCATCCCGCCTCCAGTATGGGCGACCCGGCTACTGCGTACTTCGTCCCTACCCAGACCAACACCAACACTACCGCTACCAAGGCCGTCAACGCTGAGAACTTCCGTGTCAACCACGGCATCGAAATGAGCGACTTCCTTGCCAAGAGTTCCGATGCTGAGATTGGCGCCATGATCCGCCGTATGCTCCCGCAGCCCGGCGCCGCCGAGAAGGAGCTCGCCAAGTTCTATAATACCAAGAGGGACAGTGATGACGACGACCTGGACGGTGGTGTTGGCCTCGATGGTCTTGGCCACCGCCGCAACCATACCCGCTAAAGCAGCAAACATCCTTACAAGACTTACCATCGGCGAGTTGGGGGAGAGAATCGAAAGAGAGGAAAGAAGACAACCGCTCAGACCAATTGTGCGCAGCAGTGGGCAACGCAGATCATTGTCTGACGTCCATTTTCCCAGACGGACTGGCGGGTTTCTTTTCCTTTGTTTTCTACTTCTCGCGATTGGCTCTTCTTGATCCACACTGGCGTTGGCTGCTTTGCTGCTGATACGGCTACTCTTGCCTTTCTTGATCAAGGCTTTTTCTTTTCTCTATAACTGGTCAAGGAGGGGCATTTTGAAAACGGAGGACGGCGCTTGGATAATAGAAACGGATATTCAGGGCGGACTTTCTTACAAATGGGGTATTTGGTTGTGCAGGAGGGCATGCGGCTCCATCGAGGACTTGCGCAGTCGAGCTCTTATCAACCCGCAGTTCTGGCGGTTACTGGGGAAAAGATCTAGGTAGATCTTCTAGTCTTCTAGCAGCAATTCAAATCAGTTTCTCTGAAGTACTGAAATAGGCATTGAATGTTTACATGCCCGCAAATGGTTCAACTGCCTACCTTCGACCCTCCGGTCTAACCCGTTTCGGACATGCTTCTTCCAGTGTCTTCCTCTTTCGCAAGCAAACAACAACAAGATCTTCCGCATCCTCCAACAACACCATCACCAAACGACTCCGCCGCTGCCGTCGACGACGTCGTCACGAACAACGAGTGAGTACCCAGCCCACAAGACCCACACAAGAGTTACCAATGCCACTGAAGTGGAGCAGAATACAGCTCAACAGTGGAAGCAGCAGCAGTCGTCCCCCTCGTCCCGCCAGGACGGTCGCGCGTTCGCCTGGAACCCACAGGCAGCGCCATACCAGCCCTTGGCGGGCGAGGAGGACGACGACCAGCAGCTGCTGTTGGACGAACAACAGCAACAGCAGTGGCAGGCCGCCGCCTGGTACACCGGCTGGGAGCAACAGCCGCAGCAACAACAGCATCAGCAGCAGTGGGAGCAGCAACAGCAGGGCTACGAACAGCCTGCTATCACCCACCCCCATCACTTCGGGGTTCCTTCCTTCTCACTCCCGCCGCCCTCCACCACCACCGAACCCTTCACCGCGCACGACATGTCCGCCTGGCTCAATCAGGTCAGCTTCTGGACAGCGCTCATGCGCGAAGCCGCCGCCGCCGCGTCCACCGCCGGCGACAGCAACGGCGCAAACCACACAATGCCGCCGTACCAGCAGTACCAGCCAGAGTACCAGCCGGAAGATCTACTCCACTTCCAGCAGCAGCAGCAACACCAGCCTCACCACCACCAGGAGGATGAACCAGACATTACGCGCTGCCTGCCTGCTTGGCTCATCTCAGCCGTCCAGACAAGCCTGCCACTGCAGCTCGAGTACGTCGTCCAGTACGAGAACCAAGCCGACGACGACAGCAACAGCCGCGTCGACCGCTTCCTAGCTTCATCCTGGCGCCAAGGCCTCGCAGAGAGCCGGTGGGAGGGCTCGTGGCAGGGATCATCCGAGCCGCACGAGAGGTACGACGGCGTCGACTACTACTCCGAACCGTCCGACGAGCACCACCGCCGCCACCAGCAACAACAGGGCATGCGCCGCAGAGGCTACGTCAGGCCGCGCGTCGCCACAGAGGCCGACAAGAAGAACGCCGACGACGACGATGCGGAGGGCATGTGGCTCGACCTGGGAGACGTGGACAGGATGAGGTGGAGTGGGCTCATGAATGCCATTCGGGGCGATGATGATGATGATGATGATGAGGCGGATCCCGGTGCGGAGCGCCGCCGACCTTTCGCCACGCTTGCTGAGTGGGAACGCAACTGGCCGATTCCGGACGGAGATGCCATCTGGGGGATGTACTGGGGATGAAACAAAAAAAAAAAAAAACAGGCCAGCCTCCGACGACTGAGCCACCTGACACGGCAATGCACATGACAGCGGCTGGATTTCGACGGATATTGAGAAGACGCGACCACGTTCCAGGCGCGCAGCATATTGGAAAAACAGAGATTGGAACAACACGAGAAACGATAAGTTGGGATGAGCATGGAAGGAAAGAGATCCGGATAAGAACTTTTGGAAAAGCGAGATATGAGATCGGACTACAAGCGTAGTCGGAATGAAGGATCTTAGAGATATGCAAAGCGAGAAGGATTCAGTCCAGAGCGGCGAAAGAATAGGAGAGGGCTGGGCATTGTCTGACCATTCCGTGCACCAACTACTAGATATCCTATGCGTGCAATCCGAAATCCAGCTGTCTGTATTGCGTGTGTAGTTGAGGACTTGAACCGTGAAATATACATGACAGCCAATTGTAACAAAGCAGACAATCAGATGTATGTCCACCAAGTGACGTCAGAGCTCGAGCAGCGCGCTCTTGCGGATGAACGCCTTGAAGGCCTCTCGCAACAGCACGGTGTTGAGACACAACATGCGCAGCAGGCGGAGCGCGACCGCCGCTTGAGGTGGGCCCAGGAGATGATCATTCAGAATCCAGCTCTCTGCGCCGAGGTCTACTTCGCCATGTCGAAGCAGCCGGCGTCCAGGAGGAGGGAATCAAGCACGGCTGTGCCTCCGCCGGCGAGTAGCAGGAGTAACAGCAACAACTCGTCGTACCGCAACAGCCCTACCTAGACCGTCAAGAAAGCATCCTCTGCACCGCGGCACTGGCCCTGAATGTGGCTCGTGAGCTCATGCTACACGCTGCTGCACATCCGGGTCTGGTATCCCTGTTCGTCAGTAACATGCGGGGGTGGCGTTACAGTATCAGACGATTGACCAGCGATGTCTTGTTTTTCTTTTCCTAATCAGCACGAGACAAAAAGAAATGTCACATAAGGATATTGGGTGGGCGCTCTCTTGCTAGCTTCGTACGAGGAATCAACCAAAGGCGAAGCGGCGGCACGAGAAGGTCAGCCGATGAATCGATGATGAAGTGCATCCTGCTCGCTGAGACCGAAAGCGCGATGCTGCGATCTGATTTCATCTTGCCTCCCGGCTCCTGTTGGCGCGTCATCTTGTTATCAGACGCCCATGCTGCAGAAATGTGGTGCTAGCGCCGGCGTCGTACTGTCAATCAGAAACGCGGGCAGAGGGGGCGGGTCGCCAGGGCGGCGGACGTCGGTATGGGTGCTTTTTTTGAATCCGGCGTGGTTGCACGCAGGGCGCTTGGCGGTATCTCGCGTCTTCTTTGCAACACAACAGCGGGCGCTATTGGCGGCAGGCTCCGACAACTCATCAGGCGTCATCAGACGTGGTTGCTCTTGGGGACCCAAGGGGGAAGGGTTGCGGGCGGGCGGCGGCAGTGGCGGGGCGCTCCTCATCAAGTCGAATACCGACTCCTGCGTGCCGGGACCTTAGGGAGATATGCTGCGACACCAGTGAAGCGGTGATGGGTTGGGCGCGCCGGCACAGTACATGGCATGATGCGAACAGCGCAGGGTGGCGTGCGCTCTAGGTCGACACGAGTACAGTTGCATGTGCCTAAGGCGCACCGGTCAATGTCGCCGTGCTTGTCAAGAAAGCGCCACCGGCGCTGGGGGAGGGAGGGAGCGCGTAAAGCTGCTTCATGTGCGCTTCATGCTCCACTTCTTCACATATGTTGTGCTGCTGTGCTTGTGTGGCAGATCGGGCATACGGAGGAACTTGCCGGGTGTGCCTGAGGCACCGCGACGAGATGGTCTCGCCCTAGGTAGGTCGCCCTCGGCGTTTTTCCGGGATGCCGTCGGCCATATCAGGCAGTGGGCGGGATTGAATCGAGTCTTCCCTGGCGTCAACGAGTTGCGAGAAGCGAAGGATGCAGGAAAGGCCCGGAGAGCGCACTCTCGTTTCTTATTCGCATGGCTCTGGGCTCGTGGTTCCATCTCATGAGTTTTTCGCGGGTCCCACGTGGGCCACGCCCGGTGGCGCGCTCTAGCCGTTGGTTGACTAAGCTGCCGCGACTTTAGCGGCCGTTGTTTTCGCTGATCGCTGCTCAACCTCAGCTTCCTTTTGTTTCTGCTTCCGTCGTCCTGCTTCGCTCGCTTGCGGCTGGATCGCACGCATGTGCGCCCACCCGCACCCATGCTCCAGGTCACTCGCCCGCGCACATCCTGTTCGTCGGTTTTCCGTATTGGGCCCTCAGCCGAGCGCCAATCGAGTTCTAGAAGGCGCGCGGCCTCGTAGCGCCTCCACTTGGCGAACTGGAACGCGGTCTGAGGATCGAAATTTCTTCGTTGAGCCCTGCTTACCGAGATTTAGTGGTGTTGAGAACCGCAATCAGTGAGATTGCCGTCTCCCTGTGCCGCATTTTCTGTCACGCGGCTCTGCCGTTGGCTGGTGGTGCCATGTCGACTCCCGTCTGGCCCTTCGTGAGACCGTCAGGTGAGAATGCTATCGTGTGCGACATCGCTGCGAAACAGCTGCCGCACACAATACAAAGGATAGGAGTCTGGAGGCTTGGTCGTGGTACAAGCCGTATTCTTTCACGCCTCTCCACACGCGTCCCCGCGAATCGCCCCGAACATCCCCAGAGCCAAGCTCTCCGGCCACCAATTTCTCTATCCACACTTCCCTGTTGCCTCGTGCGCCGCACAACATGCCAGACGCCTCACCCGCCGGCAGCCGTGCCATTATGATCGTGCTGCCCACCATCTTCGCCATCATCCTTGTCATTCTGATAGCCACGTACGGGCCAATCTCGCATCATGTGTCCCTTTCCACTCCCTGACAACCCCCAGAACCGCCATCATCCTGCCGCGCCTTCCGAAAAACAGTGACAACGAGAAGGCCGAATGCCGCAAGAAGCGCATGCTCAACCTTGAGCGCGCGTGCAAGTCTCAGATTTTCAAAGACTGGTGCTCCAAGCACGAGACGGAGCATCCGGAATACAAGTCCGAGCACCCCGTTTGGTAAGTGTCTTGCTCCCTGGACCATGGTTGAAGCATAAGCTGACTGCCATGGACCAGCGTCATCTGCCTGGAAGAGATCGAGGACAAGGCGCACGTCCGAGGGCTGGGATGCCATCACGTCTTCCACCAGGGCTGTCTCGACGACTGGTTTGACCGCTTCAACGAATTCTGCCCGCTCTGCCATCGACCCATCCTTCCATCCGTGTGCAGCAAGAGTAAGAAATCCACCCGATCCTCGATGGACACGGCGCACGATGCCGCCGCCATGATGGTCTGAGCTTGCGGCTTTTGGGCGAAACACACATCCCCAGGCGTGCCTCCGGTGAAGAAGCTCTCCTCCATGAGGAAGCGTGGGATCACTTCGAGTCGTGAAGACGAAGAATTTTCCCCGAGTACCCACTGCCAGCGCAACGATTGCATTGCGAAGGAGCATCTTCAGTACCACGGCAGGATCTAGTAAGCGACCGGTGAAGAGCTAGCTCTCCACGGACTGATGGCCCGGGCCTCTGGTCTAGACACCTGGTCCCTGTAGAGCAATGCTCTTCACGCAAGATGGGGAGGGGCTGCGCGTATCTTGTGGATGCTTCTCGCGCTGGCCAGTGCTTTGCGAGGGTGCCGAAACAGGCAGGCGGCCGCATCCGAGACGTCCCAAGGTTACCCCAATGAGCAGCAGAAGCTCGTTCGCGTGCAAAAAGCGGCGTAGGATGAGAGATCGAGTGCTGATCTGCGCGGGCCATCCGCCACGGCGACCCACAATCCACGCTGCCGGCCTGGAGTACCCCACTATTGGCCGTCTCGCGGCAGAGATCACTGTCTCGCTTCACGGGCAGATTTCCCGTGCCTGAGCGAGAGGGGGAGGGTTGCGCGTCGCGAGCGGTGCGGGGTTCAACGCCCGTTTCCCCCGTGTGCGACCAGCGCCGCTGGATGGAATAAGAAACGGTTGAGGCGCTGGCTTAAGCTAGATCAGGGTGGCGGCGGCGGGCACATGGGCGCCAGGGTCTAGGTCTAGGTGCAGTCAGGCCTCACATACGGCCGTGGTGTATTGTGTGTATGGAGCTATAGGTGATGACTAAAAATGGAAACCCTATGCATGCAAAAGAGGGTCCGCCACAAAAAAGCAGCGGGCCGCGGCGGCTGATGTGGTGTGAGGACCCAATTGGCGCGCGCAGTAGCGGTGACAGCATGGCAGTCGAAGTGCAATATATGCAGGCCGCGTTCGACGCCCGACCTTCGCGGCCTTTCGCCATCGGCGCTGCACAGCGCGGGAATGATCCCAGTGCTGCGGCCTGGGTCACTACTCGTGCAGCAGGTCGCAAAACCGGTTCTTGCAGCGTCGCATGCTCTTAGGCCCACCCGTAGATTGCATTGCTCCATCTGGCTTGCCGTATGCGTGCAGCCGGGACGAGGGGCGAAGGCCGCGGAGCTCGGGCAGGTGTGCGGTCGCGGTGAGACAGGCCGCCGGCGAGCTAGGGCCGGCTCGGCTGCACGGGTCGCTCCCGCTGCAGCGAGCAACGGCGGCTGCTGTCTGCGTCCTCAGCAGCAGCAGCAGCAGCGCTGCCATGCCGTGCCTAGAGCCGGGCGTTGCACGGGCGGCGGCGCGCTGGAGAATCGGCAGCGCCTCGTCCTGCGCGCTCGCTTTGGGCGGCGGGTGCTTATGACAGGCGCGCTGCGCTGGGATCGAACCACCCCCCAATGCGCAAAAGTGGCCTGATCTTGCCGCCAAAGGCAACGCCAGAGTCCCAAGGATCTGCTGCTCGCGCCCCTTGGCGCTGCGCCTGCTGGCCGCCTGCGATTGCCCTGGCGCTCCCCGATGCGCAGACATGAGCACCCGACGCATTCCGCCCCTCTGCGAAACACAAGGCCGGGCCCCAGTCATAAGGAGGGGCATCACGGAGCCTGCTGCTCGGTAACCACACCGGACTCGCTGCCCAGGACAAAATTCGTGCCAGCCATCTCGTCATCGCTGACCGACATCCCGCCTCGTCCTCGAATGCACTTCACCGTCGATCCGAGCCACCACACCCTTCCGCCCCAGCTCTACAACTAGCACCCTCCGCCCTCAACGCGCCCGCCACAGGACCCCCCGCCGCTCTCACCACCCGCTCCACGCCTCCGATTACCTAAGCCTGCGACCGCACGCGTGGCCCTTTCCCCGTCGCCTGCGACTGCCGCCCTGATCACTGCTCGTCGCTGGGGATGGCTCTCAACTGGAGTTCATTCCTAGGGGACGACGGTCTGAATGCCCAGGACGGCCGCTGGGACCAGCCGTCGGCCCAGCAGCAGCAGCAACAGCAGCAGCAGCAGCAGAACCAGCGGCCTCAGGCCCAACCGCACCACCACCACCAGCAGCAGCTGCCTCAGCACCCGAGCCGCCCGCCCCCCCAGCAGCACCCCAACGTCCCAACCACTTCAGGTCCTGCCGGCCAGGTCTCCGCCGCTTCAATCGCACAGGGCCGCCCCGCCTTCAGCCCGTACGAGGACGCCACGCAGGAAACCTACTTCTCCGATGCCTTCTATAATGACCCTAATAACTACTTCCTCAGCGACCTCGAGGTCCTGGAGCCGCTGGGCGCCGTCACACTAGCCGGCTCCACCTCCGACTCGTCGCCCGAAAACTTCAACGACGTCGTCGACCTGACGGACCCGAACGGACGCATGCCGCAGTTCCAGCAGGCTCGTCCACCCAATGTCATGAACCGCCAGTCTGCGGCAGCCCAACAACAGCAGCAGCAGAACAAACAGCCCCCGTCCATGCCCACGACTACTTCGCTTGCAGAGATCCAGCAGAACTTCGTGACGGCTTTCCCGCAGGACCCGCGCTCGGCTGCTTACGTCGAGGATCTAACCTTTCCCCAGGGACCCCGAGGCGCTGCGAAGAACTCCGTTTCTACGCTGGACACTGTGAACGAGCTGCCCGAGACGGACATGACGACCAAGCGATCCAAGAACTCCGGAAAAGCCGACTCGCTCGCCGCATGCTGGACTTCGCCACTCTGTCCCAACCACAGCAAGGAAGGGACTCCACCCAACCCATCCACTTGTGGCGGGGCCTGTGCGCCGTTCCTTTTCGCCAACACGGAGGATTCCAATTTTAGTGGGGCCATCGACTCTTCGCTTCTGACCCAGGATCCCATCCCCTCCAAGGAATCGCCCGAAGGCGTGGTGGAGATTCAGAATCGGCCTCGATTGAAGCGCAGCGAGAGCGATTCGAGCCGCGAGCCCTCCGGACGTCTCTTCAGCAAGAGCACTTCAGGAACCGCCGAACCGCCGCAACAACAGCAGCCATCAGCACTGAAGAATGAAAGCAGCCCAGATTCGCATTCGCCCGAGGATATGGGCGGTGCGGGACCGGGTGCAGATGGTGCCGATGGAAAGGGCAAGACTCGCCGCCGTTTGCCACACAACCAGGTTGAGCGCAAGTACCGCGAATCCCTGAACACACAGCTCGACTCTCTCAGGCGAGTGGTTCCGGCGCTTCAGCAGTCTTCCAGGGGCTGCGAAGGTGGCGACATTGAGGATCTGCCCACACCGTCGAAGCCCAGCAAAGCCGTGGTCTTGGCCAGCGCTACGGCGTACATCAAACAGATGGAGAAGGACAAGAAGCAGCTTGCCGACGAGAATCAGCTTCTCAGGACGCGGATCAAGGCGCTTCAGGCTCTCGTTAAATGCGAGGATTGCAGCCTGATGCAATACGTGATGGATCTGAAACTTCACAACGGACCACCTGCGCCCGCTGGCTGCCCCGGCTGAACGCACGCACGCACGCTTCATGGCATGAATCTTTGATTGTCAGAAGCTGCTCCTTTTGTCGACTGCTGTTTGCGCTCGCCACAATCGCGAGCTTTCTGTTGCTACACCGTACACGATCCACCCCCCACTCCTGCACACTCACCGCCACGTTGACACACATAAGCGAAGCGCAAATGAGCATTTACGGCGCGCGTATTTCTATTGCTTTTTTCTACTTTCAAACGGCTATTGGCGTTCAAGGATACCGAAGAGCGCGCTAGTAAGCTTTTCCTTTGTTTGGCTGAACGCGCTGGAGGAGCACGGCGTTACCTGGCTGTCTCTTGATCATTCGACGTCTCCTATTCCTCTCTCCTTTCGAGTTTTCAAAAAGACATCGATTGCTCGACGAACGGTTTCTCGGCTGATGAGAATGGCACGGACGCGGACGTACGGATCGGGGAAAAATGGGAAGGGAAATGGTAGGAAAGGATAAGGGGCAACAGACTGATGGTCGGACTTTTTCTCCCGGCTTTTCTCTCTTCCTCATCTCGGCTTTTCCAAAAGTCTTGGGAAGCTTCACGATCTCTCTTCCTAAAGTTTCATCCAACTTGGCTGTCTGGCTTCTTCGCTTCAAAAAGCAGCACACACCGGGGAAGGGCGACTAATTTTGGAGGGGACGGAAAGCACTCCCGGGATCTGCTGATGTGGTATGGCGGGTGGGATGATATGGCTTCCGGAAAACCTGTTCTGCAAAGCGCCAGAATCGATCGTTAACTTTGACTTCTGTCGGCTCGAGCAACCAAAAACCCTATCGCGTGCCGCTTTTGCACTGGCATTGGTCAGATTGATGAAATTTGTCGCCCCGTCTTTTTTTTGTTTTCTGTTTGTCGCTGCTGACCGCAGACCCACATCTCCCTCTGGGTTGCGCGTCAGTTTGTCTGGACTCCCTCTTCGCTCTTACCTCATTACTCATGGCCTCCGGGTCCTTGCTTTTTTGCTTCGCGTAGAAGTGTAATCGCCGATGTCTGGCCCTTTCTCGTATTGACGCCTTTGCGCTGCCCCCGGTCGTGAGCGCAGCAATTCCGTCTCTTCCGATCGGGTAATATCAGGGACCCCCCGAGTCCTGGACCTCCCCACAGCGGAACCTCGATGTGCCGCAACTTTCTCTCCTCCATCGTTAGCCGATCAACAAGATACCCATGTTTTTCATTTTGCAAGGATCAGCAATAGGCGCCTGATAGCCTCAAAATAAAGCCGATGCACGTTGATGGATAGTGTCCACACTGCAAAAGCAACTTGCTCCTCCGAATCCGCTTTCCAATTCTTGCCTTGAGCTGTGAGTGTGTTCTCATAAAAACTGATCGAAAACAATAGATTGCCGACGGCTCCGACAAATATCATGCTTACCAGTGTGGGGGGACGCACCTTCCTCTTTATTCTCATTAAAAGCAACCCCACCGCTCTGGTCTTCTCCGCGCGACTTGCCGTCGGTCTTGCTTGCAATAATGGAGAAATGTTCAAATCAATCCCATGTTGCCTTGCTCGCTCGTCTTCGCCGCCTCACCTCTCAACCGAGGCGATGGCAGAACCTCCAATCTCCTCTCTCTCTGTCTCTCTCCCCCCTTTTTTTTTCTTTTTTCGTCGGTCGTTGCTGCGCATTCTTTCCGAAAAAAAAAAAAGCTTGATCAGACGACAGGTTTAGTTGTCCATCGTCGCGTGTCGTCTCGTGCTGCTGCTGTCGCGTCGATTCAGCTCGCAGGCTTCGTATGCTTCCTCTCTCTCTTTCCGTCAGCATTCCTCCCATAGCCATTCATGCTGTGTTCCTCTCTATCCTCGCGGACGTTGTTGTGTGTCGCATCGTACATGTCGCTTCGATGTTCGTCGGGTCACCCGTTTTTGTCGTCAACATCGTCATCCGCCACCACGCACACCCCTTGTGATGATGGTGATGGAAGTTATGATGATGATGGTGGTGATGCTGGGTGGACTTGGCGCAGTCCTGCCGACCAGTACTACTAACATGTAGTCACATCTGCCGCGTGGAGCCGGCAGTGTTGGCGGCGTTCTTCCCGTGTGGTATACCCCGTTCGACGCTGTGCGACCGCGATGAGGGCCGACTGTGGTGTACGGCCGTCGTCTTGTCGTCGTGATCTTCTTTGTCGGCCCGCCCTGGATGATCGGCAGTGGAGAATGTTACGGAGCGGCGTATAGGTGAGACGGGTGGTGCATTCGGATCAGGGACGGCGGTGGAGGAATGGGTTGAAGTCGGCGAGGACGGGGGAGGGGTGGTGAGGTCCTGAGTTCAATTCAAGTCAGCTTCGGGTCATGCATATGTATGCGTGTTGCGCAAGAGGTGGATCGGCCAGTGATGGTGTGTGGTGGATTGCCATAGGATGGGAAGGGGTGGTGACAGCGGGCAGATGTGGCATTGATAAGAGAATTGGTTCAAGAGGGAAGACTGAAGTCGGATGAGAGCTGATCGAAGATCCTGACACGAACGAAGCGAGAGGGCATGCTAGGCGAAGCAGAAGAATGCGGCGATCAACCCGAGAGAAAGACGACCACGACTACGGCGACTCGAACGATGCCCACAAGTCATGGAAATGCGCGAATCGACGATCGCATGCTCTGCGCTCCGAGATTCGGACGGTTCGATCAGCTCATCCAGGGTGATGAAATCTAACTTTTCTTTTGGGGAAAGCATGGATGTTGTGCGGGCAGGGTGAGGGCAGCAAGAGTACTTACCAGTGCTTGGCCTTCCAGGCGCCGGACGACAACCCCATCGTCGAAGGACGAGGGCTCGAAGAGAGTGGTGCGAAGGGAGGGGTGCTGGCGGAATGTGGGCGAGTATGGTGGTGGTGGGCACCGGTGGTGGTGTTGTTGCTGCGACGGCGTAGGCTCCAGGGATTTCTCCCCCTGTTGTGCTACCGGCCCATGGGAAGAAGAGGTCGAGGGGCGGGAGGAAGACGGGGACGGAGATGAAGGAAGCGGAGACGACGCGTCGAGCACAGCAGCGTATGGATCGTAGACTGTCATGCGCAGAGATTTGCTATCGTGGGGCTAGGGCTCCGAAGAGGCAGAATTTCCTCTTTGGGTAAGTGTGTGGTGGATGGGTGTCAACACCAGAGGTAAGAAGGCGGATGGGGAGATAAACAGACGGGCTTCCTCGCGCGAGAGGGCAGCGGATCAATAGAAATATGGCCAGTTTGATCTGTTGGTCGACGCCCAAGCCAAGAGGGGAGGGCAGCCGAGCGATGCCGCCTGAAGGAGCTGCAAAGTTGCATGCCCCTCGCGACCACGAGCCAGTCGAAGCGAGACCCTGCGAATCGAGATTCCCGTTTGAGTGCCCGCAGAGAAGCAAAAAACAAGGCTTGCGAACGGCGGGCCGTGCCACGCAGCGGTGCTTCCTCAAGCGTCAGCTACCGTGTTGTTGGTTGCCTGCCCGGCGGAGAGGAGGGGGCCAGTCGAGCAAGGGCTGGGCTGGGCTGTTCATCAGCCCGGTCGTCATCATCATCAGGCGATGCTGGCGGTGGGCCCACAACCACGTGTTTGTAGGGCTGTCGGATAGCGTTCTGGGGGCGTTTGGCTTTCTGTCGAATGCGCGCTGGTCGGATGCGGGCCGTCATGCGCGGAGCTGGCGGCAGGCATGCATGCGCAGCGGCACCCGCCGGGCCAGAATTGTCGTCGTCTTCAGCTGGGCTCCAGCCGTTGACGGCAGCCGTTGTTGTGGTTGGGGGCAGCCCGAAAAAGGCAAGCTGGTGTTGTTCTCCCTCGCGCGAGCCGCATGGGGCAGGCGGCTAGCTGAAACGGGCAGTGCGGCGTTACGACCGCCTCTTCAACGCGTCGGTGGTGTGACATTTCATCTGGGGTGATGATGGTGCGCATGGACGCCGCTGAGCATCTCCTTCACCCTTAGAGCCTCGTCACGGGCCGCTTGCCTGCGAGATCCTTCAGAGTCCCGGCCGGCCCTTTGCTCTCGCTTTTTCGATGTTTTCTCGGGCGACTTTGGCTGCCCGCATGCGTGCGCTGACCATCGTGCAACGCGGCCGCCCTCATCTCGATGCGGTGTTGAGACGTGGTGTTCGGCCGCTCCAAGTCACGTCATGGCTGCTCTCCAGTTTTATGATGCCGGCCAGATGCAAGGCGCAGGGTGAGATTTGCGCGCCGCCTCTGGCTTGCCGTGCTTGCCAAGAGCGGTAGCGTTCTCTCGCTTGACGCCGCGGCAGCGTCTCCGCAGCGGCGGGGTGGGGAAGTCCAAAGCTGGAGTTGACTCCTGCGCCGACCGGGGGGCTTCGAAAAACGAAACGAAGCCAAACTGACGTCGCGGTGCCGTGATCTTTCGACGGTGCGATCCAGCACCGCGCCCGCGCATGGCCTGCCCGGCGCCGCGTGCGCCCGCATCTCGATTGTACACGTTATCGCATTGGTGCCTTCCATCGCCGTCTCGAGCCCGGCCAAGCTTTTGGGGGCAGCGGCCGGGACCCTTCGTGCCCCTGCTGCGCGCGGCGCCCTGAATCGCGTGTCATGTTCTGTTGGTCTGTTCCTCGCTGCTCACGCCATCAGCCACCCGCCCTCACCCCAAACGCCCAGTACCCGTGTGCGGAGTAGACGGGAACGGAACGAAGATGGCTTGTTTGGCGGGAGCGCGCAGCGTGGAGTGCAGCACAGCAGACGTCAGGCCATGCGCCTGGGGGCCGTCAGTCGCGACCGCGCCTCTGCGCCCACCCGCTTCCCTATAAGGTCCACCAAACGCTGGCACATCGTTCGAAAGCGTCGAACGACACTTGCTTTTCCAAGCCTTCTTCACATCAACAGCGCACGTTTCTGCAATTAAAGCCGCAGCAGAAACTGAACCATCACACTACCCTTCAATCAAAGTCAATCAACCCAAAAGCGCCCGCCGCTTTGACCGGGGCCACTCTTACCCAAAACGGCAATTAAGCTATCACCGCCTCGCTCTTGCGCCACCTTTTCTCCTCCTCCCACGCCCACCAGGCACACCACCTCTTCTCAGCTCCGCACGAGCACCCCTAAATCACCCCTCTCCTACAAGAACGCCGCCGCCGGCGCCCAGCCATCCAAGACGGCGCAGGTCCACGCAACTCTCCCCATCCCGGCCTCCACCACCAACAAGATGGCGCGCCTCTCCTCCCACCACCACCGCGGCAGCACCGCCACCCCTAGCCCCACCGCCTGCGCCACCGCGACGCAGAACCACAAACAGCAAGCCGCAAAGGGAGGAAACCTCATCTCGCCGCAACAAGCCCAACAGGCCGCGCAGCTGCGCCGCAGCCTCGTCGCAGCGATGCTCAAGGACATCGGCATACACCAGCAGAAGCAGCAGCAGCAGCAGCAGCAGCCGAAGACGACGACGGCGACGAAGACGTCGCCCACGCCGCAGCCGTACGGCGCGCAGGCCATCGCGATCCAGCAGCGGCTGCGCAGCCGGCGCCGCGACGCGCTGGCGCCCGACTTCGACGTGCGCGAGACGGAGAGCGCCTTCTACCTCGAGGGCGAGCTGCCCGGCGTCGCCGACCGCGGTGCCGTGCGCCTCGACTGGATCGACCGCCGCACCCTGTCCATCGACGCCAAGATCGAAAAGGTCGACCTCGAGGCCGAATGGGGCCTGCTGCGGCCCATTCGCGTTGGCAACAAGCCGAGGAGGCCGAGCGTGTCGGCGTCGACGAGCGGGAGCAGCACGTGCAGTGAAGACAACATGGTCGTGGACGAACAGCAGCAACAGCAGCAGCAGGAGCAGCAGGACGAAGACGTGAAGATGGCGTCGCTTGAGGCGCAGCCGTCGAAGCCTCTCGTCCGCGAGTGGCTGAGCGAGCGCCGCGTCGGCCACTACCAACGCACCTTCACCTTCCCAACCGACGTCGATGCGTCCGCCATCAGGGCCAGGCTGGGCCAGGGCTTGCTCAGAGTGTTGGTCCCCAAGGTCGTCCGGACCGGTGCACGGTCTAAGCAGGTCGACATTGAGGACTGCGAGGGAGAAACATGATGTGTTTGTACGTTGTATTATTTTTTTGGGGAATCTGAGGACTATCTGGTGGATAAGGCGTTTTGCGTCGGCGTCTGCTTTCATCATCTATCCGCGCCGGCGTTTCGCATGGGGGCTCTCTCTCTTGGATGCATACATGTTGGAGGTCTGGTAATGGCGCACATACCTGGAAGGACTTGCATATCGGCGGCCTGGGTGGTGTCAAACAGCAGGGTTATGTTGGGTTTTGCAAAATTCTCTGCACATATTTTACGAAGCTATATACAAATGCAGCATGAAATGTTTTCTTTCGCAACTCTATTCTTCTACGAGCGAAACAATTGTGAAGTCGAGATTGAAAAGGTTGCGGCGTTGCGGCGTTGTTGCAATCACTTCCACGAGATCGTCCATGCGGTGGGCCCACTGCTCATACCGTATTCGGTAATGTCAATCGGCATTTCTGTTACTCACTCGAGAGAAGCATCGGGCGCGTCCGCTGAAGCGAGTTCAGGCAGATCTCCGATTGTTTGGTGCGCTCACACGATGCAGAGGGGACCCGAGCAGCTGGGCCCCTCCGGCATCTCTCGTGCCTTGCATCAGCAGGTCCCATGACTACAGCGACCTTCGTTGCCCGCGGTACGAAGTGGGGCACGGCACCGCTGTATACTCTCGAGAGGGCGCAGCTGAATCCACCACGAGGAGCGAAACCTGGTTTTGATGACTTGGTATTCCAGGTTGCGCAGCCTTCATTCGATAATGAGCCCGGCATTGGCCCATATGGCGTTAGCTCAGGGGATTGTGGTGACGGACGTGGCATCACAAGCTTCAGCTGGATGATGATGCTGTGGAACGCTCTTCCCGTCTTTGCTTGACCCACTGGCCGAACGGTCTCCAAATGGCCTCCTTCTCGGCTGGGCTGGTGGAGGCGGCAAGCCCGCTGGTCGCCGTGGCGACATAAACACGCGCACCTTGCCAGACATGGTCCTTGCCAATGTTCTCCTGGTCGTCTTGCCAGCCGTACTTGAACTCGGCCTTGGAGGGGTTGCGGCCGTAGCGCCATCGCCAGATGGACTCCCAGATGCCCTTGCCCACGATGCACACGGCTTCGGGTTTGTACTCCCGGATCTTGGCCTCGAGAATCGGGGTACCGGCGGCCTGCTCAGCCTTGGACAGCTCGGCCTCATTCTTGCTTGGACGCGACACAAGGTTAGTGTTTCCCATTGAGTACAAGCGCGGCAGATCGACGTCCTCTTCCGGGCGGCACAGTCGATCGGTCAAGCCGGATGAGTGCAGCAACTTCCAAAACAGGTTTGACGGATGGGCGTATGCATGGCCGGCGGTCGCGGTCCGCACACCCGGGTTAAAACCGACAAACACGCAGATCAGGTCGGGCTCGAGAATGTCCGTCAGCGGCTTGAGGTGGGCATACTGAGACGGCGGGGCATATTTGCTGGAGGCACGTCGCTTTTTCGCGGGAGATTGCGCGGCCGCGCGGTCGGGGCTGGTGGTGAGACCTGGGGTGGTCCTGGCTCGCTTCAGTCTGGAGGAGCTGGCTTGCGGAGAAGCCGTCTCCCCCGGACTGGTGGTCTCACTGTCGGGGTAGTGGAATTGCTGGAGGCGGCCGTTGAAGGTGGAGGCCGGTCGGGTGATGTCTCGTCTCTCGTGCATGGCCGTGTCAGGCTCGGATCGTGAGTCGTCGCCGGGCGGTGTTGACTCGGCGTTTGCGGGCAGCTCCGCTAGCTTTGTTTTGCTGGCGCGCGTCCGAACCATGACTTGTGGTGTTGCATGATGGTGGAATGGCGAGGAGAGGAGCATCGTGTGTCGTGCTGCCTGGCCGGTGCGCAACTGCCTCTCGCTAGCCGCATCGGGAATGGGCAGCTCTCCCCCATCTCAAATCTTGGAGTCCTGCAAGGGCCCGCTGCGCTGATTTGTACGGCCTCAGCCTGCCATTGTTTGCTGTCCGGGAATCCGCAAGGGACAGGTTCCGGGTACTTGTAATACATTGTCAAGATAGAAAGAGCAACAGCTTCGACGCCAATTGGCTGGCCAGACCGCACGCAGTGCTACTTTGCATCCAATGTAGCAGTACCTCAACTACAGTTGCAAGTGGACACCGACGCTACTGCTCCAATTCCATATGCGCTTTGTGCTACGCCCATTTCCCCGCATTCGACGATTTGAAAGATATAAAGAGAATGGTAGTCAACCTCTGAGACTCTTTTCGCAACAAGCAAATCCACTGAGAACTTGCAAAGACCTGAATCAACAATGCACTTCGCCGCTCTTACCTTCTCTCTTCTCTCTACAGCGCTTGTAGTAGGCGCATCTGCTTTCACCAATCCCAACGCCCCGCGTCAGCCGCAAGCGTGCAACAAGGACTACTCCTACGAAGCTTGCGGCGCTTGCCACTATTTCCGTCAGTGTCTTGACGAACGGACCAAAGCCTGGATCACTCCCTGGTATATTCATCTGTAGACAACCATCAGTATGCTGGCTAACGATATCTGAATAGCAAGAGCTGTGACCACACCTCCTGGTGCAATTGCACTGCTCCTCCTGATCTACTCGATCCCCCGCAAGATTCCCCCAAGAAATTTCGGTTCTAGGCCCCACCATTTCCGATTGCTGGATATGAAGACAGGGACTTGAGGGAATATCACGGACCATCATGGCCCTTTAACAAGCCGAGTACTGATGATCATGTACTGCGTTATGTGTAATCGTAGTGATTGTCTTTGGCAAACAAGCTCCAATCCCTCGCTATTCTATGCTGGAGTTTCTGTATCCCTTGAACAGTTCCTAGTCAAGCATGCAGTGAGCTGTGCACGGTTCAATCAAAGTACCTTTGTCCCTGCGAAAGCCAGATTGGTGATGCCACTTATCAGTAGATCCGGGTCAGTATAAGCAGTTACATTTGGGTGTCTCAACGAGGGCTACCAACAGGAAGGTTTTGCCGCGGGAAGATAGATGTATTTACAGCTAAACTCAAAATATTTACGGAAAGAAGGATCCATACACCATACCTAGCTTCCATCCACTGAGACGGCCGTTCTCATTGTGGATTAGGTTGCAGGTCAGTCATAAAAGCGTAATGCTCTGTCCAAGCTCTTTTTCCCAGCCGGGGTGATCTAGCAGGAGGGAAGAGAAGAAAGCAGGCCCTGAGCACCCTTGCAGTTGGCAGTGGTGCTAACCTTCTCGCTGCTGCCGCTGCCCTTGGTGACGCCCTTGTACTCCTGGCAAACCTTCTTGGTCTTGCCGCAAGAGTTGGTGATGGTAGCCGCTGGTGACACGCCGTGTGGTCAGCTTCATGTTCTTGTCTGCAAAGGAAAGAAGAAGACATCACTTACTATCGCCGTAGTTGGAGTTGATGCCGACGAGGTCAGAGGTCAAGCCGTTGGCGCGGACACCGTCGACGACGACGTTGCGAGGACCACCGTTGTTGGTGCAGTCGCCGCAGCTACGGTACAGCTTGCCGGCGTTGACGACGGTGAAGTTCTTGATGGTGACGGTGCCGCGGCCGTTGTGCTGGACGACCTTGTCCTTGGCCTCCTGCGCGCCACCGCCCTGGATCAGGACGTTGCCGGTGCCGAGGGCGGAGACGGCGTCTGATGTTCGAATCACTTGTCAGCAACGCCTCCTCAGTCCTTTCTCGGTCCTCACTCACCCTCGCAGACGTCACGGAACCAAACGTTGGTCAGCGTGCAAGCACCCTCGCAGTGGATTCCCTCAAGCTGGTTCTTGCCGATGATGACGTTGGAGATGCTGGCGCCGTTCTTCAAAATGAAGACGGCGCTGTCGCTACCGGTGTCAGCGTCGGTATCGCACTCCCGGCCACGGTCGAACTCCTGGTTTCCATAGTCCTTGGAGCCCGAGATGACGCTGGGCTCGGAAAGAGAAATGATGCTTCCAGAGCGGGTGGGGATGTTGAGGGTCTGGGCCGAGGCGAGACCAGCCACGGCGGCGGTCAGAGCAGCGTAGATGAACTTCATTGTGGAAACAGGAGGCAGGACAGTGGACTTGCTGGTTTGCTGATCTGGATTTGATGCTTTCCAGCGCCCTTTTAAACCCCATACCAAGAAAGCTGCCCGCCGAGCCTCGTATCATGGCTGTAACAGCCAAGTATGTCTAGACCAAGGAACATGCGCTTCCCGTTGCACGGTGGGCTTACGGTGTTGTGAGCTATGGCGGCTTCGCTTCGGTCCGCCGTGGGAGTAGTTCGTATCTTAGGCTTCTTGGCCAGCCATTGTTTCGAACAATTGAGCATGGCGTTACTTGGCAGGAACCCCTCGGCGCTAATTAAATAGAGAAATGTGACTCCGTAGAATATTTATCCTTCAATGGGAGCACTTGATGGTTCCCGAAGTACTAACGGGCTTACATCTCCCCCGCAATGGAAGGTGGCTTTAGGTAAATTTTAAGGTTGTGGAGTTACATGCAGACAAAAAGTATGCTTATTGTTTAGCTTTGGCGAGCGACGTGCAGCAACAAGGGGCACAATGAACTGTATCTCTCAGATTCCCACTGTGCACCTCTCCTTTGTAAAGGACCTTCCTTTCTTGCATGGGAAATTTGCCAATGTCCATCCATCGTGAACAGGGCACGCTCGACCCTTCACCATGTCTTTACCAACGGTTTCCCGGCGGTTTCCGCGAGCAATGTCCAACTTTTATGTGGGTCAACGGTGCTAGGCTTGCCACCGGAGAGCGCAATATAGGTCATACGTCCGCCGGTTCCACCAACCACTATATGTTTGCAGGCACATCTCCGCATCTCCATTAGGCGATCTTTACCTGATCCGGGAGAGACTCGATCCGGGGTCAGCCCCACAAGGCCCAAACGAGCGGACTCCGGTTGCGAGCTTATCTGCTCTTGAGCGCCATGAAGAAAGTCGCGGGCCGTTCAGGATTCGGCGGCTGGATGTCGTCGTTTCAGCAGCGGGTCGGCTGCAGTGAAGCCTCTCCCCGCTCGTACCTACTGTTCGGCCCGTTAGCGGGCCCGCGGGCCTCGGTGCCGCCATAGTCCTTCCGCGAGTGCCAAGATGGTGGCTTGGTAGAGCCTCAAACCTCACGTATGACCAACCCTTTCACCGACTCCTATTGCAAGCACCATCATACGTTGAGACATTTCCGAGATGTCCACTCGTCAAATCCGACGTCCGACGGCTCAGACAAGACGTCCGCTGTAACCACTTCCCCAATTCAGACCCCTTGGCAAGCCCCATGGTGCATGTTCCTTGGACGCCACCTATGTTATGTGTTGTTTGAAGTAGGGTATTATGTGCTACTGCAGGAGAGCAATGACCCGAGCTTTCATTGCCGTGTGCTCCCGCATCGCTTGGCAACAGCTTAGGGTGGGGCGACTGGTGCTTAATGTATGGCGGAGTTCCGCTCCGCCCCTGCGCCATGACCACGAACTTCCGCTAATCAGCGTAAAGGCTTCCCATAGATCGGCTCGGAAGTACGACATTGTCTTTAGTCCTGCACTTTGGCCCGACCGTTCACACGGCTCGCCACAGCTGCCTACTTTACTCGCCAAGGCGGACCATGCCCCAAATCGGGAAGCGCTTGTAGGCCCTTTTTCCTGCACTCCACCACGTGGATGCGATCCACTAGCATCGGAAAAGCTCCAAAACAGCGGAGATCAGCAGAAGTTGCCCCCCTGGCTTTTGTTTCATTATGCCTTCGCAATCTCAAGCTTAAGCCAATGCGGCAGCTCTGTTGGAGCGCGTACTGCGCCATTCACTGCAGCCAACGAGCAACGAGCATCAGGCTTGCTGGATTTATGTGCGCAGCTAAGTCCGTCGGAAAAGCGTGAGCTGGAACACATCTGTCGCTTGTGACCCGCGGCCTTCTTGCCTAAACAAAAAAAAAAAATCGAAGTCCATGGAAACTTGCATCGGACTTATTGCCATCACATGGCGCATAGTGAGAGCCTCTTGCCGTTCAGTTCGCCGGTTAGCTTTCGTGAGCAGATTTGAAGCCTCTTCTAGATCTGTGCAGGTCGACTTTAGGCCGAAACAAAATGTCAACTGGCCAGGCGTCATTCCTTGTCCAGTAGCTTGGCCAGCTGGAATCGGACCAACTGAACCCGAAGGTTGGAGACGGTGGCAGTGCTTTTGTGCCTCACCCCTCTCTGTGTCAGGCTCCGCCAGTGTGTTTTATCTTCTTTTCGTTTGCAAATCACCTGCTAGATATAGTACACGCAAAGCTAACACCCAGTGAGAAAGCAACCCTTTCATTATTCATCCCGTCGTCACCGCTCCTCATTTTATAACCGGCAATCATTCCGCACAAAGGAAATCGTTAGTCGTCGAAGTTGAAAAGTAACATCCGCAGTTTCGAAAAAAAAGAAAAATGTAGTGAGTGCACGCTCGCATTCCACCCACGCATTATCATCCCCAGAAAAGAAAAGAAGAACTATAGTCCCAATACGGATTAGAAAGTACAGACCAAGTGGAAAGGACAACCGGAGGCAGCATTCAACATGCTCAAGGGAAGGAGAGTTACCAAACAGAAACACGGTTTCTTCGCTGTGTATGAATTAAAGAGTGGATGCAGCTGCCGAGAGTCGCCGAAGGAAGTTTGTGGCTTTGGGTCTTGACAGTATTTGGGCGTACGAGTTACCCAGGTGGCGCCACAACCAGAATGTTTTTTTTTTTTTTAGTTTAGAACATCGGACTCGTAATCATCGAGAGGACCCAGTTGAAATAACACCAGGAAGTCATAGTAAGCCCTCACAGCGGAACTCTAGCGAGCATCCCCATGGCTAGAAGTCATTACTGTGGAGGGGCGTGAACTCCTCTGGCGTAGGCTGGTACGGGAACGTGAAAGGGTGCCCATGATTCCGGGCGAGTTGGTGAGGATCTTGTTGATAGCGATGAGGCTCTGCCGGGTCATCTCTTGGTGCATACTCGCCTCGCGAGCAGCCTGTGCAGCTTGTTCAGCCGCGATCTTTGCGTGCTTTGCACTGTCGATGGCACCAAGCATAGCAGTTGCAACAGAGAGCAACTGATGCTTCTTCGAGTCATCCTCTTGTTCTCGGGCCATTGTCGTGATGTGCATGGCCAAGGCAGTAGTCTGGGTGATATCGGAATTCTGCGTTGTCTCGGGTGGTGGCGACGCAGCTACGAACTCAGCAGGGTGCTTGTGGCAAGCCTTGGTCAGAGTTCCTGCGCGGCCAGGGCTGCGTCGACAAGAAGATGTCTTTGTGACTCGGTGTCCAGACCGTTTTCCCAACTCTGGCATTGGGCTCCCAGTCGATGTGACCTTCGTGTTGGAGCGCTTCTTCTTATCTCCCGCCTTGTTCAAGAATTTGTTATCATTTCTCTTGTGGAAGAAACCGCGGAAACCAGACATGGTAAGCTTAGCCTTGGACATGGATCGCTTCTCCCCAGAAACGGACCGCGATGTATCTGTCATGGCCTGTCTCGAGCTAAGACGTGCAGATGAGCCACATCCATTGGATGGTTGAGGAATGTTTGATGGAGTTGCGCTGTAACCATTTGCAAGACCGTAAGGGCTCCGTAAGCTAGTCGTACCAACCTGCCCGACAGAACTGCGCTTCTCGATTGAGGGGTTTTTGGGCGGAACCTTTGAGGCAGACCTATAGTCTTTGGCTGGGACCGGTGGACGCGACGAGGCTATAGAAACAACTGACGATGAGCGCTTCATGTTCATCGCGCCCCGAGAGAGGTTGGTAGTACGCTTGCTGCTAGCGGTGCTATGACCAGAGTCGGAACGAACCAAGCCGCCACTGCTGCGATGAGCCTGACTGCTCGCAAAGACGTCGCTCGAACATGCGCTGCTGGGTGACTTCTGAGCTTTATTCATATAGGCCCTAGCGAGTGCAGCATCTTGCTTGAACTGGGGATTTTCGGCGCCGTTCCTGTGGCCGCCCTCGAGCATAGCCAGAGTTTGGGACACTGCAGCAAGCCTCTCTTTGTCATCTGGGATGCTCTCCGCACCTTGGCTTGCACAGTTGTGGCGAGTGTAGAGGCGCGGAAGAGAATCAGAACTGCAGTGTTCCTGCTGGATTGCAGGTCTGACCGTGAAATCCTCAGCCTGGATTGAATCTGCGCTGTCCTGACGACGAGGTGTCTTCACGGGAGCTGCGTTCTTTAATTTAGCACGCATCCCGCCGCTCACATCGCCTTGACCAGAGGCCTTACGGTGCTCATTAGTGACGGCCCTGCGGTGCAGGTCGCGAGACTTGTGGCCCGATGACCTAGCAGACGCGACACTGACTGGATGAACAGGAGGCGATGGCGTTGACTTGCGTCCCATGATCAGTTCGTCGGCATCTGGGGAGATAGTCAGCGTGGGTCCACAGTCTGACATCAATCCACCAGATCCACCAGAGGAAAGACGCTTCGTACGAATTCCCTCACTGTCCTCCGTCTCCACCCAAAGTAAGCTCTCCGTCCGGCTCGAAGGCCGTGACACCGTGGTGTCAGTCTGCGCAGATATAGTCGTGGGGTCAGCATCAGTATCAGCACTGAGATGCTTAAACTCTCTGAAAGTCTTGCTGAGAGTAGGTCGACGCTGCGGACCAGGTCTCATGACGGTACTGGTTTCTATGTCCTGTTCGATCCTACCAGTGTCGGCGCTCTCAATCGTGGACAATGACTTGCCACCCAAGGACGAAGGCGTGGATACTTTGGCCTTCAGAGTGAAGACAGCAGGACCGGCGGGGATCAATTGCGGAGACGTGGTTCGGGAAGGGACAGGTATCGCACTTTTCTTGCGCTGCGCATTCTCCTGGTGGCCGACGGGAGATCGAGAGGGTCCCGTGCTGCTGGTACCTGAGCGAAGCTCAGGGGAGGTTGACTTTGGAATTTCCATGCGAGGATATCCGCGAGGGTGATCCGAGTGTGGCTGGTGAAGTTTTTGGCGTGTGTTGCTGGCTTGTACAGCACCACTGGGGCGAGCGACGCCGCGCGGACGAGGAATAGCGCCGCTGTTGGTGATGGGGGGCCTGCGTCCTTGCCTGGATTTGGGTGAAGGGATGTCTACGAGCCTGGGCTTTGGCTGAGGAAGAGAGGAAGTAGTAGTGTGGCTGTCCGAGTTGCTCTTTGAGTTGGGTGGTGAGGCCGGCCGACCAGTAGAAGGCACCGGTCCTGGGTTGAAGGATCTCAGAGAGGGAGGCGCTGAGATCTTCTCTGTCTGGTTACTGCATGGTAAGATATTCTCGCTGCTCTTGTGGGCAACCATCTTAATTGTTGGCCGCTGCTTGCCAGGCGAAGCAGGCGTACGGTTGGGTGCAGAATCCATGGGTGTGCGAGTCGGTGCGGGGGATTGAAAGGAAATCCGAAGGATTTCTGATGTCTCGGACTGAGCAGGGGACAGAGTTGGCCAATCCTCTTCGTCGGGCGTGCCGGGCGAACGGCGAAGAGGCCTTTCCGATGCGTCGATGAGCGTGCGTCCCTCGCTGTAAGGACTGGTGCTCACAACATGAGCGACGGGACGACTCGGCAGTGGTTTCTCGACTGCAGTATCGGAGCAAGCGACCTAGGCGGAGGACATGTTGAGCAAGATGCGTCAATGGATCAAGATCTTGGGCTTACCTGTGACGAGCGCTCCGAAGAAGTAGTGAGGGTATCGTTGGTGTCTTTCACTGAGGTGGCAACCTCACCCACGTGCTCGGTGCCTGGTTGCCTGGAGCCGAAGGCGGCCAAGGTAAGGAGCGAGTGAGGCGTTGGGGTGCGGCGGGGCTTGGGGTGAGTGGGCGCTTGGGCCGGCGGGGTGACGCTGCGTGAAGCGGAAGCAGTAGTACTGGTCATAAAGTGCGGGGCCGTGTTCTCCTCGGACTCGTCGGTGGAGACAAGGTCATTCTCCGGGAGACGCTGGTGAGAGAGATACGACTTGGGTCGGAAATTGTCGAGGAACTGAATGGATGAGCGTCTCGACGCGTACGCGTTGGGATCGCGCTCCCTCAGCGGGCCTGGCATGATGGCGGCGGCCGCCTCAGGCAGAGTAAATTGTGAGAAGTAATGCTGGTCAACAGGCAAAGGAGCGTCTTGTGTGTAGTATGAAGAGAGTGAAATCAACGAGTGAGGCCGCGAGATGGAAGACGGGTGACGGGACGGCGGTACGATCGCGGGGAGACCGAGGGAAGGGTCGAGGGTCCGCAAGTCTAACGGCAGTGACGAAATGCAGATCACCCCACCGGCAGCAGCAGTCTTGTCCTCGAGCAGTTCCCAGAGCTGGTCCGTGGACGCACCTCGCCCGCCCAAGCTCTTGTGCTGCACTGCCATGGTTTTCTGCAAACATACAGCCAACGTATGTGGTATGTTGGAAGAGCTTCAGCCTTGCAGAAAACAGAAAGTTCCAGGAACCGGACTGTCGGGCTGGAGCGGTGCGGTTAAGTACAACATTTCACGAAAAGAAGCGCCGCGGAAACCAAACGGGGGCGTCAGCTTGCAAGGCGCAGCCATGTCTTTTATTTTCTTTCTTAAATTGGTAGCTAGGAGGGGTTGCCTGGGAGCAGCCATCGGCCTTACGGCGCTCTGACACACGGCGCATGCTCGACAATCTATGTGACGGGTTCCTGCAGCACAATTGCATATAGATGGGCGCCATGTTGGTCGTACAAACATGGTCTAGGGCCATGCGCGTTTTCGTTCGCGCTGTTGGAGGCGTCTGCCAGCGCGGCCGGCGGCTGTGATAGGCCGCTTGCTGTGGGCTTGAGAGGCCATTAGAGCGAGGCGGATGACGGGCTTGTCTCGAAGAGATGAGAAGGTGCAGCAGAGGCAAGGGATTGGAAGGCGCGACGTCCGTCGGATCGTCGGCGAATGTCTTCCGGTGCGGTCGCGTCGGTCGGCGGGGATCGCGCGGACGCGCGCCCAGCTGATCAGCGCTCGCCGAAGAGGCCAGCTTGAACGCCCTCAGTCTTCCGCCCATTGCGCCGACTCGTCTGTCTCAAGTCATGTAAAGCAGTCTGCTCCTTTACTGCCCCCACAAAATGGTCCACGACAAGGCTGCGAAGGAGGCCTTCGTCTCCAACCTTCTTGGAGGCACCGTTTCCGAAATCAACCTTGTGACCCTCGTCGCGCCGGTGCGCCAGCTCCAGTGCCTCTCAACTTCCAAGCTAATGCCCTCTGTAGTCAGCGCTCCTTCTCTGGTCTGTCCTGCAAGCGCGCCAAAACTTCTTCACCCCGTACACCGCTGCCGCTTGCGCCACCGACATCCTCCTCAACTGCATTGCCATCCTTCTTGCGACCACGCTATATTCATGGTCGCCTCTCCTGCTCAATGCTCTTCTTATTTCCCATGCCGCATTCGCCGCCTTCACATCTGCTCCTCCGAACACGCACAGCCATCCTCGCATTCCTTCGCCATCGAGAGACTCCGCGCCTACAAAGGACCCGCTTCCCCAGAAGCCGTTTGTCACGGCATGGAGAGGTGCAATGATGATCGTAACATGCGCCGCAATCCTGGCTGTTGACTTCAAGGTCTTTCCCCGCCGCTTTGCCAAGGTGGAGAACTGGGGCACCTCTTTGATGGATCTAGGGGTTGGCTCATTCGTCTTCTCCGGCGGCGCCGTGTCCGCTCGCGCAATCCTAAAGCAGCAAGCCAGCGGTAAATCCTTACCATTGACTACGCGCCTTTATGCTTCGACCAAGCACTCCCTACCCCTCCTGGTTCTCGGGCTGGTCCGCTTGTGGAGCGTCAAAGGTCTTGACTACGCCGAGCATGTGACCGAGTACGGTGTGCATTGGAATTTCTTCTTTACTCTGGGCTTCTTGCCTCCGTTTTTGGCCCTCTTTGAGTCCGCATTTGCATTGCTTCCTTCTTTCGCGGCGTTATCAATCATTCTTGGTGTTACGTACGAGGGCGCACTGGATTTCACGGACCTTACCGCTTTCATAGTGTCGGCTCCGCGGACCAACCTTTTCAACCAGAACCGCGAGGGTATCTTCTCCTTTTTCGGATACCTTGCCATCTTCCTTGCCGGTCGCGCCACTGGAATGTACATCTTACCCAGAGACACGAGCGCGGATGAGATCCCCGCCGCCGATACCGACAGCGCTCGGGGCCGTACTTCTCGGCGCGGGTCTAACCTGCGCAAGAACTGCTTGAAGCTCGCACAAGGATCTTTCAATGAACTCCGTGGCGAACTTAGCCGCGTGAGCTTCAATCCCTTCCGCATTTCCCTCGCCTCACTTCCTCAGACGAAGCAACTTTACGGCATTCTCAGGCACTCCGCCTTTGGCCGTCTCCTCTTTTGGGCCGTTGTCTGGAGCTCCATGTACATCTTATCCACGACCTACTATGGCCTTAACCTACGTGTCTCTCGCCGGCTCGCCAATCTTCCCTACTTCCTCTGGGTTTCAGCCTTCAACTGCGGCCAATTGGCCCTATTTTGCGCTATCGAGACGCTCTTCTTCCCTGGCATCTACTCTGCTAAAACGCAAAAGGAAGAGAGCAAGAGGGCTAAGGAGGCAACGAGCAGAGTCCTGCATGCGTTTAACAGGAATGGCTTGGCCATCTTCTTGCTCGCTAATTTGCTGACTGGATTGGTGAACTTGACCATCCCAACGTTGGAAGTCACCCAGATGCAGTCGATGGCTGTGCTAGTGGTGTACATGAGCATTCTCAGCGGCGTAGCGCTGGCTCTGGACGCACATAATATCAGCATTAAGCTGTGAGATTTACATCACGGAACAAACTCCGCATATTTCAATATCTGCTTCCATCCACAATTATGTTTTCTCGGAGTAATCCAGAAGAATCTGCCGTGATGTTGTACGAGCAATGTTCTCTCAAACTTGTTAGCAATCTTGTTTCCAAATTTGGATGAGTGATAAAATTAGAGCCGATTCATGATTCCATTGAATCCTCTGTCAAGCCTTCACTCTGCCTCACCAAATGGCGAAGCCATCCTTCCCCATGGCTTCCCTTTTCTCTTCCTCAACCTCCCACGCAAGGCGGGTAGTGTTAACGAAAAGAGAATTGACACGGCCAGAATGCCACGCCAAGGCAAGCATCAGCCCGCCTGTTTTGATCAAAAATTAGGCCATGGAGAAAATGCTTTCACGAAGCATTTCATACCCGGACAATCGTCACCGCGCCGTGCAATGCAGGACTGCCGGGCAGGTGGGTCGTCTACCTGATCACAACCGAAGCACCCCAACCGGTAAGTTTTGTGAGGAAGAAAGAAAGTGGCGGATGGGTGCAGTTGCGGCGAGTTTATATATTTGGGAGGGGCCATCTAGGCAGCAACTGCTGCCTGGTGCTCATGCATTGCTGACGAAAGCGGCTGCTGCCTTGCGGCAGTGCGGCAGGCTAGATCCAGTGGTGCATTTGATGAGGCGGTGGCCGACCCGGCATCTGAGTCACCTATGGCTATCGTGTAGACGACGAAACGTCAAGAGCCGAGAGCCACTCTACCTAATCAACGGTGTCGCTCCGACCGCTCGCCGCCACCACCACGCAAGGTTCGAAAATTTTCGATGGGCAAGGAACAAGGGCCTGGACGCCCAGATCGGTGATTCTACTGATTGTACCCGCTCAAGAATTTGTCTTCCTTTTCCTTTGACGTTTCATTTCATCCAAGGATCCCCGGTCAGATCTCGGAGGCTAGGAAGTGAGAAACGGGCAGAGCGGCGACGTCACGGACGTATGCCCAGAATTTTGGAATGGCGGGGTCGCGGCTCTACCCGGAAGCTGGGATGTTGCCGGTCAAGAAAAGGCCCGGCGGGTCAGTTGGTGGTAGTACATATGTAGGGGCTGGACTGGACTCGCATTCCTCCCCACATGCCATGGAGCTGAATTACTCCTGCGCGAGTCAATATCTCCAGTTTTGTTACCAATTTTGGTAATTGCAAGGCGACCATTTGGAGAGAGAGAAAGAGAGCAGATCTTCTGGAGGACTCGTTGCTCCACTGCCCCGCCTGTCTGAAGACAGCACATCCAAGAAAGTGTTTCAAGGCCTTGTCCCAGGGCATTTACCGCCGCTGACGCTGGCCATAACGTTCATTGCTGTATGGGAGGAATGGATAGAGAGCAAGCAGAAAGGGAAACGAAAGGGAAGCCGGCAAGAATTTGCTCTTTGAATTACTGTATAACTCTGGATCGTGATGGAAATGAAAGAACCTACCAGACGCCGTTGCTTGAGTGCCTGTTCTTGAAAACCTTATCCCAAATTCCCAAGGTGTCTTGAACGTAAACGCCGTTGAATCGTATGCAACTTCTCATCGCACCACTACGCCGATGCATTTAGAGTCGCACGACAGCGTCTCGTGATGCAGCCTACAAGAACACCTTCTTCGCATCTCTCGGGTGGCTCTCGCCCGGGCAGTACGGACATTTGAACCTTGCACCTTTGCTGATCCTGTCGAGAGACTCCTTGGCGATGACGTGACCGCAGGGCATCATCATCGGAGGGTTCTGGTCCGTCGTTTGTTCCTTGGACACTGGACACACGAAAATAGAATGGAAGTAGTACGAGGGTGGCAGGGGGATTTCGACCTGGTCATGTCAGGCTACACAACATTCCGCATTGCATGTGATCGACGCAGATGACTTACCGGAAGCTCGTTCTGGGACGTCCATTCCGTCTTTTTCTCGCGCATGATGCTCTGCAGCTTTAGCAGAGTCGGAAGTGCGATAGCGCCAGCAGTGGCGGCGATGTACAGTGGTGAGTCGGCTGAGAGGCCGAGGAGCGAGCAGAATTCCCGCGTGAAGGAGTTGGCAACCTCCTCGAAGGCATGCTCGTTGTAGAAAGTCCGCTTGTAGGGTGAGTCGCTCATGTTCTGCCAGAACGCCATGGCTCCGATAAGCTGCTGGATCTCTTTGGAGTACCGAGACTGGAAGGCGCCAAACTCGCTCCTGGCGTAGGCCCACGCACGCAGCGGACCTTGGTCAGGCTCGGAGATGGAACCGTCCAGTTCGTGGCCCATGAATAGGCAAACGTACTGCAACCTGCAAAGCTCAAACTCCAAGTTGCTTCCGCGCGCCTCCAGCTGCGCGCTGTGTTGTCTGCTCCATGCGATTGCCGGCTGGAGGTTCTGCTGCTGCTTCAGCTCGTGCAGAATGTGGTACATCTCGGCAAACTGCTGCTGCAATGCACCACTATCCATCTGACCACCTGTGAATGCCTTTTCCCATTGTTCAGTTGTGTAGGAGTGGGGGTTGTTTGCTGTCAAAGAAGGGTTCGGAGGACGGGCCTTCGACTCGTCGATGAAGGTCGAAGCCACGCCGAACTGGCCTTCGCGGAGGAGATGCATGGCAATGGCGCGGTTGACGAGGTTAGGATGGGCGGACAGGGCATCGTTTCCGGCGTCCGGAAGAGGCTTGTCCTTGAATTTCTGGTATGCGGGTTAGACCTTCTCGGGGTGAGGGCTGTTGCGGCGGCGTACCTTATCGAGAGCCTTCCCGTACTTGCCGAGCGCCTGGTGGACCTCCTTGAGATCTTCGTTGACCTTCTCGAACGACTGTTTGACGGGGGCCTGCGCCTTCGCAAGCGTCATCTGCGCCGACGCCGGGTCTGCGGCGGCGTTAGTTGGGCAGTGCAAAGGCGGAGGTGGAGTGACGCACCCTCAGCGACCTGGGCGCGGGCTTTGATGAGCAGATCGATAGTCTTCTGGACGTCATTGATGCTTTTGCTGAGGTTGCCCTTCTTCTGGAGCTTCTCGTGCTCGGTCTTGAGCGTGTCCATGGCGGCGCGGTAGCTGGCGGCGGCGCGGATCAGGGACGAAGCGGGGCGGCGGGAGATGTGGCGTGAAGGAGCAGCTGGGGCTGCTCTAATGCGACGTGGTTAGCGGCAAGCGATGGAGTCACATGGGCCGTGGCCATGTTCATCGGGACATGGTGTTGAGCGGCGCTTGAAGGGGAATGGCGAGAGCTTGTGACCGGGGCTGTGACGTTGCGGGGAGCGCGCGCGCCGCACCACGACACGCCCAACGGCGCACCCGCATGCTCGCAAGCCGCCCGCACTGGCCGTGTCAACATGGAGACGCCCGTTGGAGCGCGCATCCAGTGCCACCGTGCTCACTCCTAGTCCTGCCGAGCTCGAGCTCGCCCGAACCTCGACCTCCCCCGAGGTGCCCACCATGCCGCGCAACCAACCGGAGCCCGACTCTCGCGACGGCGGACCTGCGCTGTTCCAGAGCGGAGCTCCTGCGAGAGATGTCGAGTCTCCAGAAGCCCGCCGCGACGCCCCCGAACCTAGCGAGCAGCTGCAAAGGGGCCCCGTTCAGGCCGGCCACCAGCGCTTCGTGCTGACCGACAGCGTCGCCTTCAGGCAAGTCGTGTAGGCCTGAGCCAGGCCTGCGCTAACCGTCTGCCCAGATACCTGGAAGAAGACCCCTCGACCGTCGTTCTCGACCGCCGTCGCGTTCTCGAAGGCTACGAATGCTACATCGTCGAGCAGTGGGCCTGCGCCCGCACACACCCCACGTTCGTCATCACCACTTTCACTGGCGATTCTGCCCATAAAGTCGTTGCAGGAGTCCTCAGCGTCCCTACCGATGAAAAATCCTGGTCACTGCGTCTCCGGATATACTTCAAGGCCCTCAGCCAATACCATGCACGCCCTCGAGACACGCCTCTTGGCACTCTCATGATCACGAACCTGAGCGTATTCCCCTCGTCATTGACCGTTATACCTGTCCCTGGTGGCGATGTCCGCAAACACCGCGAGTCCTTTTTCGTAAACGAGAATCTGAAGAGGTTGGGGTGCTCTGGCCGCGTTGGCATCACGCTTGCTCCACCAAGTGGCGCTACTGAAGCCAAGTTTCACCAGCTTTATCGCACGAGTGAAAAGATCCCGCTTGCTGGAGCTGTTATCGAACTTGTGAAGTTGTGTCAGGTCGCGTTGGTTCTGTTTGGCAAGCTGGAACCCGAATACGCCGACGGCTTGCTGTGCGACGTTACCGAGAGGGCTGTGAACGACTGGTGGGTTGAGATTGGAAACGAATATTACAGCATAGAGCCTCACGACGGCATCCTGGGCCCCACTACCGTGGCTGCTCTGCTCGGCACCCTGATCGGAGCGCGTAATCGTCTTAATGCATACGGAGCGCCCATCGCCAAAGATGTCTTTGACGTCGAAAACACGAAGCGAGGCATTGCTTATTTCCAGAAGTCGCAACGTCTCCCGAAAACACGTCGATTAGATCGCAAGACTCTAGGATTACTGCATCGCGCGACTGCCAAGACTGCGAGTGGTGAAGGCTGGACAGTCCCGAAGGCTGTAAAGTCTACCGTTGCGGAACTTAGTGGCAAGGGTGGAGAAATGGTCATGGATATTGTGGGCGGAAGAGACAAGGCGGGAATTGCAGAGGTGGAGACCGTTGACATCGAGCGATTTGTCCAACTGGTCCACGGCGAGCGGTCAAAGTGGCTGTGGTATGGGAAACCAAGGAAGCACCACGGTAATATGTTCAGCAGACTTCCTGATGAGGACACTAAACCGAAGGATGAGGATGACCAGGGGCCTACCATGATTCGACGGAGAGAATCCACCGCGGAGGCCCCTGGCATCCGGAAAAGGGAGACAGGAGCTTCTGTTGATAAGTCGTCCCCCGACGATAAAGAGTCACGGATCAAAAGAGCCACGGGAAAGCTTGGCGATGCTCGTAGCGGAATCGGAGGACGACTCAAGGACGTGGTTGGGCTGCGGAGTCATCAACATAAACACTCGAAAGTTGAGAATGACCCTGTTGTTGTCCCCAGTAACAACAGAAGCGAGAGCCTCTTGCGTCAGGCAAGCACTACGGAGGATCGCGCGAATTACCCGCCTGAGCCGAGCCCACGAGAATCGATGGACATGTCGAGCGCAGCTGAAGACACGGTGACAGATCGCTCGAAGCAATCGCAGGCGAAATTCACAAAGGTTTTGTCAGAGACGCCTCTGGACTCGCAATCCAAGGCGTTTAATAGTCGAGATAGTCTGCCTGCCGGTGACGAACAGCCGGAACTGGGGGCTCTCCTGGCAAACGAGGGCACGACAATATCACGGACGGAAACCGCCGAAGATTCGATCGCGGGGTCCATCTACCGCGGAATTGACTTGGATGAGCTGTTTGCAGCTAACGCGCAGTTTGAGCCGGGACCGCTCTTGCGCCGGACCAACAGCTTTTCCCATCTGATTACTCGTCGCACTTACGAGAGCCGACCCGAGGAACGCTGGCCCCGTCGGCTGTCTCTCAGCATCGCCGAAGAGAGCTTGTTCCGGTGGCAAAGTGTCACACATGACCTAGACGAGGATGAACCGGGAAATACCGATCCAACGAAGCAGCTAGCGTGCGAGCAGCTTGCCGCTGAAGAGGCGCGGCTCAACGGGGAGCGCCTTGCGCGATTGGGTAATGTGGTCAACGCGTGGGTGGAGGGCACCATCAACCACGTGCAAGAATTGAATGTCATGGCAGAACGTGACCAGCAAGAGCTTGAGGAGATCTATTATCCGCGACTCGACGAATACAAGTCGCTTCAAGAGGAATCAAAGGAAATGATTGCACAGGAGCGCGCGGCACTGCACGACGCCATCAAAGACATTGAGACGCTGGGAGCAAAACTCGAATACGAAGTCAATGCTCTGCGTGGAAAAGTAGAAGACGTCGAAGATGGCGTTACGGAGTTCGAGAAGCAGGTGCTTGTAGTTGAGGACATGGTACAGATGCTTGAGGAAGAGTGTCAGCCAAAGGAAGGATGGCTTAGCTGGATGTACAGCCGCTTGACTGGGGGCGGAGAAAAGCGAAAGGTCGATACATGATGGGGGAAGCGGCACCGCATTTTCGTCACACGCACGCTGCCGTGACTCGCAGCTTGTTGAAGATGTTGCAAGCACGACGTCTGCAGGGACGAGGGCCGCTGCAGTCATCGGTGTAATTACGTCGGGTGGGGTCAAGCAGACTTTGTTCAAGGACGCCGAGACTGGGCCTTACAGCTCATGGGGGAAAACTGCAAGCAGACCCTTTTCGGAGGCGGTGCTGGATGAGGTCATTGCCATCTATCTGCAGCGATGTCCTCGGCTCCCGCAAGATCTACGCACGTCATCCGATCCAGTGTCGCTATCCCGAGACGACCGTTTCTTGTCTCTCGTGTTCCGCCGAGCTCCGTCCATGCTGCTGAAAATGCAGTCCATGGATGTGCCTGTCTTGTCCAGATCACGTGTGGCGCCAAGTTCCGTGCGGGCCAGTAACGGCTGCCGGACGGGATGCTCTGACAAGGATGTGACGCGGCTGCAGTGGTGAGTTTCAACCGTGCATACCAGCCTCGCGTAATCCGCGCTACAGGGCCCTGCGAAGATCAGCATCATCAGTCTATGCTTCCCCGGAGAACCCTGGAAGGCGGCTTGCAGTTGGACGGCACACCCCTTTTTGCTGTCTCCCAAAAGCGGTATTCATCTGCTCCAGCCGTTGAAGATCCCGTCTCTTTTGGTCGCGATCGTAACGAAGCCGCCGCCCTCGTATGATCGGAGGCGGCATGTCGCCGTCCCAAGGAGGGGCGACGACGCGTTTAGACGAGGATTCGGAATAAGCGGACGGTCAGGGTGGGGGAATGCTTCATCACGTAGATCTGCTCAAATTAGGAATTTGTTTGAAGTGCTGCTCCAGTTTAAAATGACCTAAGACCCCCTCCACTCAACGATTTCTTCCTGCACACTGATGGAGTGAGACCACTTCCACCCAAGTACTCTAATCTTTATTATCATGTCTCAAGATCCCCAGGCCCCTCTTCCGAGCTATTATGGTGAAAAGACTCCCGATGGGCGCATCGTCAAGCGCCCTTCAAGTGAGCTCCCGGATATGGCGCCGATGAAGTCCCCTCCTCCTGAACAACTACCTTCCTCGGGCGCCCATGCCATTGTCCCCGAAGTCCAGTCACCCTCGGAAATCCTCTCTCACCAGAATTCTTTCACTGGTCCACGTAATGCTGTTCAGCGTTGGGGTCCTCTGTCGGATCCTCGTGCCAGTGAGCATGCTTGGAGGAGCACCCCCAGCAAGCGCCGGCTTAGAGACGAGTTCTACTACCCTGACTACAATGGCCCCGAGCGCATCCCATACTACGAGTACGATGAAGAACTTCCTCTCCGCCGGAACGGTACCGCTAGTGCCCGATCCATGAGGGAGTATCCTGGTGCCGGTACTTTGACCTACCGCAACGCTGCCTACTCTGAGAGGCCCCACGACTCCTCCTCGCCTCCCAACCCTCGTATCCCACGCCAAAACTCTGAAAATAGCTATGACTATCCTACTAGCCCTGGCGGCGGTGGTGTCCGTGGGCCGCCTTCGGACGTTGACAAGGTCATGCGCCTGCCTCTGATCTGGTGGTAATTATATATTTCATTGGCCCTTCCTGACAAAGGCTTCAGAGTTATTAACGCACGAACAGGATGCATAGCAATGCCAAGAACCGTAAGAGTTCCATTCGAAAACATTCCCCGGCTGCCCTGCTGACCATCCCCAAGACTTTGTTGCGGCACTTGGCGAGTTCGTTGGCACCTTTATGTTCCTCTTCTTCGCCTTCTCAGGGACGGCCGTTGCAAATATTGGATCTCAGAATAACGTACAGAACTCTACCACTGGCGAATCCACTGGCTTTGACGTTGCCACTCTGCAATACATTGCACTTGTGTTCGCCTTTTCACTCATGGTGAACGTCTGGATCTTCTTTCGTATTAGCGGAGGGCTTTTTAATCCTGCCGTAAGTTATAACGCTCTCTTCACTTATTAACATGCTGATCGTGGCGCAAACAGGTCACTTTTGCTATGGTCATTGTCAAGGCGATGAATATCCCCCGCGGTCTCCTTCTCGTCTGTTCTCAGCTTGTAGCCAGTATATTCGCCTCATATATCGTGTCCGTTCTTTTCCCGACAGAGTTTAATGGTTCGTACTTGATGCCAGATTATCGAAAGGTCCTGGGATTTGCTGACATTTCCAGTACGAACCACACTCTCAGACGGCACTTCGACCGCACGAGGCCTCTTTATTGAGGCATTCCTGACGGGAGAGCTCGTCTTTACCATATTCATGCTTGCAAAGGAGAAACACAAGGCTACCTTCATCGCGCCCGTCGGTATCGGCCTCGCCCTGTTCATCGGCGAACTCGTCGGGGTCTACTACACCGGAGGCTCGTTGAATCCCGCCCGGAGCTTCGGACCTTGCGTCGTGAACGGCCAGTGGGATCCCGAGCATTGGATCTACTGTAAGTCCACCTGCCTACCTTGCACATTGTTGCGGTAGCTAATCGTCTTCTTTAGGGCTCGGACCGGCACTAGGAGCCATCATGGCCGTGCTATTCTACCGCTTTATCAAGATGCTGGAGTACGAAATGGCCAACCCGGGTCAGGATGCGGTGCACGAGGAAGAGGCCAAGCAGGAGGCAGAGTCTCTCAAGAACAAGGAGAGCAAGATCTCGCTGGCCGCGCGCGAGCGCGCAAACTCCCTCGCGCCGCCCAAAAAGCGATACACCGGCGATTGACTGCATGGCGGGCGCAGCGCCTTGTCGTCCAGGTTCATCGAGCGCTTCGGTCACTTATTCGTTGATGAGACACAGAACAAGCGCTTGAGCTTTCACGGCCAGGCCAAGGGCAACGACAATAGCGTTAGTGATGCTAATGACCAAAGTCCGCGGTCTCCACAAATACCACGGCGCAGCTCTACGGTCCGTTTTTCGGAAGACCCGGCAGTCCATATTGGGGGACGGGGTGAATGAGGATTTTGTTCGGTCCTTTTTGCTGCGGATTGAAAGGTCGGCTTTCAAGATGAGACGATTTATGAATTGCTTTTCGAGTTTCGCCATTGTTCGCACATTTGCCGTCGCAACGTCCTTTGAAGCGAGTACTTTGTTCGTTCTGGAGTTTTGGGCTTGAGCAAAGACGAGGCATACTCCCAGGTTAACTGCGTAAAAGGGCTCGCTCCACGCTCCGTGGAGTGCATGCAGCGTCCTTCACATCCATCCCTTGAAGATACTTTAGGCAATACTATCCTATCTACCCAGTGTGTCTGTTATCTACGCGTGTGGGAAATTATAGAGATGCAACCCCCCGAGAACAGACGATTCTTCACAATATCTACGAGAAATAAGACATATATGGGTATTTGAAGCTATCGTCCGGACGTGAATGTATAATTGTTAATTCGACATTTGTGTCCGGACGATAGCTTCAACTGCCCATGGCATGAGCGAAAAACCAATTCAGCTAGCTTTCGGCTGCAACACCCCTCTGTAAGGGCCCTGCGCGAAAAAGAAATGATAGAGGCCCGACATGCATAATCGCGCATTTGAGACAGAGAGGGAAATCTGCCGCCAAAAGGGGGGAAGAAAGAAGCTTGCGCCATCGTGTTGGATGATCTGTGAATGATCTTCAAATGCAGCCGTTCTGATTCGTTCTGATTGATAGTTCAGGCGGGATGGACTGGTGAGGGGCGTGATGGTAAGGATAGAGCATGCATACACATCCAAATTCGTCACTGTCACATATAACATAGGGAATTAGGAAATGTGTGTGGATGATAATGCGGAAAGGAGCGGCGGGTAGTAGTGGAGGTGGCTGGCGGAAGGATGGAAGGAAAGTAGTTTGACATTTGTCGCGGCTGTCGGCAGGCTTCTGGCACGTTGCTTATGTTTTTTGCTTTTGTGTCAGCAATCAAACGGCAGGTGAGCTGTGACGCTTGCGCAGGGTTATCACACGCAGTCTTGTCTAAGCGAGACGATGCAAGAGCGCAACGCAGGGTGTAAGACAAATCAGTTGCAGCCACGGGTGCAGTTATCTCAAATCTCTCTCGCCAGCAATTGATGACTGTATTGGCACAGCAGGTGACAAAAGAACGGGGGGTCGCAAGATTTTCTCCTGGAATCATGACTTTCGCTTTCGAAGATATGGATTCAATGTCTCGAAGCCTTTATCTTCATCTACGCACGTAGGGATCAAATAGCATTCTTTGCGGGTGAATGGAGGTCGGGTGGATTTCCTTGAGGCAGCGGTGGCGAGAGAAGAAGAACCGGTGAGCGACCAGAGCATGCTCGGCACACGACACTCTAAAATGGAGGCTGTGGGACGGCGCTGACAGGATGGCTGCGGTCGTGGCAAAGTCGCCGATCACGGCATTTTTCTGTAGAGTTTGCCCCTGCGTTGGTCAGGCACTTCGTACGGTACGCCTATGTTGGCGGTGCCAAAGCTAAGAGTTTAATGCAGTGCTTCATTTCTCGCGGCTCTCAACGCGAGTCAGTTCGATTTCCAGCCGCTGATGAAAGAGGTGATTGCAGCTGCTATTTCGGGCAAGACGCAGCGAAGGATGCAGCAGCTGGTGGGCCGTGATTGGGCTCGACATCCAGACGGCCTCAGCGCATGCAAAGTGGACCACGTTCCTGGCAGGCTGCAAGGGACCAGCGCACCAGGCAGCAAGGCTCACCGCACCTCAGCGGTGGAGAAGAGAGATGCGAATAGAGTTGGCGCCCCCACAGCGTCCCCACAGCCACGGGCGCAGCGGGCACGTGCCCGGAAGTATTCCGATCGCGGGTTAGCGTAGGAAGTGGCTTTGATGATATCACGGGCCGCTGCTGCGGCCACTCACGCTTGGGTCTCGCCTTCTGCTGCAACTCCTTCGCATAGCCTGTTTGACCGTTGTCAGATATATCCCGGTCCACTCCTGCACTGTGACGTGTCTCAGTGACACCACCGTTTTCCTGCCCAAACCAGTGCCGGTATAATAACCAGCAGCCTTCCTCTCAGCCTTATCGCACGCGCAACAAGGGTCCCCAAGCATGAAGTTTCTCGAAGCAATTGTGGCCTTTTATGCCGGCGCCTCCGCCGTGTCGGCGCTGTCGATCCCGCGCGACGTGACTGCCCTGGCTGTGCGCGCCGCTGATGACATCTCCACCATCCACGCCTCTCTATTCGACTCCAAGGCGCTCGAAAAGCGGAAGGGCGGCGGTGGTCGCGGCGGTGGCAGCAGCAGCAGCAGTAGCAGCTCGTCCTCGGGCAGTGGCGGTAAGTTTTTTTTCTGGCCCCCTGCCAAGCAGCCGCGCGACTGACAGCACACGCAGGTCGCAGCAGCAGCGGCTCGTCTTCCAGCTCGTCCTCGTCCAATGCAGGCGGCCGCACCTCCTCAGGCTCCGGTGTCCGCCCCGCCTATGGTGGCGGTGCTTACTATGGCGGCGGCTCCTCCGTCCCCTACACCGCAGGACGCGCCTCGCCCCGCGGCATCAACCCGTTCCTCTTCCCCGTCGCCGCATTAGCCTTCCTTCCCGCCGCATGGCTGGCCGCGAGCGCGTATGGCGCGTACGGGTACCACTACACGCACCCGTACGTCTTTCGCAACACCTCGGACCCCAACAACAACGGAACGAACACGACGCTACCGGTTGAGTGCTACTGCCAGCAGTACACCGTCTGCGGATGCGATGACAACAACGACACGGCCTACTACGACAGCTTGGTCGGCAACGGCAGCTACGACGCTCTCAACAAGAGTCTCGTCACCGTCGCCCGCGTCAACGGTTCCGACACGCTCGTCATCAACGGAGTCCTGCCCAACGGCACCACCGCCTCCGGTGGCTCCGACTCCGCCGCACCCCCTGCTCTGGCCAAGTTTGGTGGCTGGTGGGCCTTCATCACGCTCGCCGTCTACGCCGTTTGCTTCCTGTAGAGAGAAGGCGAATGGCTCTTATTGCTGTTTTAGTGGAGGGCATTGGGTGTACATATTTTCTGATTCTTCTTATTTACATGACAGGGGGATGGTTCACGATTAAGATACCCTTCACGTTCAATCACGAAAGCATTCCTAGTAGGGGGAAAAAGGGAAGCGGAGAATAATGAGCATGACGGGAGGCGTGAACGAGTTATGACAGATATTGTCTCTTCTCCCTCTTCTTTGTCTCTAGTGACATCTGTAACAACGACGGCTGTATAGGCCATCGATTACACACATGTCTCCGGTTTGGGCAGAAAAGCGGCCAGGCCATCGACCCGATGATCCTTTTATACTTTCAAACTTAATTTTTATTTTGTATTTTTACTAGTCACTACTTTTCAGCAGATCACCCGTCCCGTCACTTTAAAAGTCCACGTGAAGCGTGCTTTACGTGACGTCAAAGATGTTAGAGCCTTCCAAAAAGGGTAAACGCTGTGGGGAGGGAACATCACAGTGCTCAGATTGTGGTTAGCGGAGGAAGAGCAGAGAAGTCAATAAATGCAGATGCATTATCCAGAACTATTTGTTAATTGGGATTGCCTGACTGGCAGACTGGCTCTACCGGGTATTTCATACGTCCCATGCCCGCATCGACTACCTTTTGTACCTTCACCATTCATGAGTTTTGTTACCTCAAATGTTGGAGCAAGAGCTTGCTAGGAGGAAGACGTCTCAAGAGACATCTGCTTCTGGAATTTGCTCTCGAACTCTCTCTGTAGCGGGTTGAGCGAGACGTCAGAAATGCGCCGGTCACAGCTGGTTCCGCCACTCTCCAAGTGCTGACAGAGACCGCTGAACAGACGAAAGCCGACATAACAGCCCTCGCATACAAAAGGGATCGCTTGGCTGTGGACTTTGGCAATGTCCACACCGTTACGGAAGTCTTGATGGTAGCGTGGGTGGACGAACTGGCGTAGACTGGTAGACTTGGCCATGAGTTTGTAGCTGATATCCTCGAGGCTGCAGCCGGAAGGGCAACTTCCGGACTCAAGGTGGCTGATCATGTCCGCTACTCGAACAAGCATGCGGCTGCAACCCCAGCATTCGACTGTAGCTTCTTGGTGCTCAGCAGCCATGTGCTGCTTGAGTTTTGCCTGAGTGTGGCAGTGCTTGGCACACTTGCTACAGGCGACAACGGCGGCTGCGTGCTCGTAGTATGCGTCGGAGGTGCGGAACCAGGCATGGCAGCCGTAGCAGACATAGGAGTAGCAGTCAGTTTCGTAAAAGTGCTCCTCTAGCTCGTCCCAGTCGTAACCATCGAAGCCGCAGACGCTGCATCGGTTGTGAGCGCTTGAGTTGTCCCAGTGTGCTTGACGGGCGCTAATTGAGGTGAAATGGCGGTTGCAACGCTCGCAATAGATATGGTTCGAAGAGTGAATGTAATGCGCCCGGATATTGCGGAACCATCTGCCGCAGTCATCGCAGTATTCCTCCCTGTTTGGGGATAGGTGAGCTAGCTGGTCTACCGCCCGGAAGCTGAGAACCTACATGATGAGGACGCACCGCCCTGGTGGGCCAACGCAAGCTGGGGTCGTAGCGTAGGACGGACGTGTGGTTGCAGGGTAGAGTATGAAGAGTGTAAGGGAAGAGTTGAGGAATTGGATGATTGGACCCTGGACCCTGAACTGCGGCTTCACCATCGCAGCGGGTTGCAAGATCTCTGGGCCATCGCCTCCGCAACCGCCAAGGTGAAGTGCAAACTCTCACCTACATTCTGCGTATGAGTTCGCTTTACTGCTGGGGTGGAGCCGTCACAGCCATTGTGTCAACGATAAAGTAAACCTGCACTGCCTTGTTACGAGCTCGGAATGCAGCAACGTCGTACCCGACGGTAGTAGGTGTAAAGACTTGTCGTTGTACTGCGTCTGCACTACAATACGATAACGAGGCCAGATAGAGGGCGCTGTCTTGACGTCAGGCCCCGAGTAATATGCAATAAGATGAAATCCAAACGCCTGGCGTCGCTCTTTTGCTTCAACCCGGGCCCAGAGTAGCTTTGGCAGTGCTTCGTCCCTGCACGGCCGGAATTGGTAGAGCGCACGAGGCGGAGATGCAGCATTTGCGCCGCATCTTCCGTGCCGCCGACACGTGTGAATTTCTTAGTAGGCTCGGAGGCCTGATCAGGCTCCGTATAGTTCATATCAAAGGCGCAGCAAGGGAGCAAAGTAGATGAGCGGGCCAATGGCGGGGCGCCGCGGGGATTGCTTTTTGGGTGGACAATTTCCACCACAGCGACGGCGCTGCGGGCCGCGCTCATATCAGCTGGCAGCGTGCGTTTCAGCTTGCTCGGGCGAGGAGTGCATGAGGCGGCGGCGGGTTGGATTTTTTGCAGCCTCACGCCCAAAGTTCGGCGGCGCGGGCCCTGAATTTGCGAACCACGGGCACGGGCGCGGTGGGTGCGGCGTTCTCGAACGGCAGCAGAAAATTCTTGCAGCCTGATCAGCGTGTTCCTGGTGGACGAGTCTCGGGCGCGATGAGCAATGCGGGCGGGCACGGCCCTCGGGCAGACCCTCGAAGCTTCGTCAGCTGGGCGCGGTGCCGCGGGCTGCCGGGGCATCGCTGCAGGCGGCGCTGCTCCTGATGATGCCGTCATGGCGCGACGCCCGACACTGGCGGATGGCCGCAGGGGTCGCGCATGGCCAGGCGCGCGTTGAGCTGGCGAGGGCTCGAGGATCGGGGCGATCAACTCGAGCCACGGTCCGCTACGTCAGGCGGCTCTCGAAGCGTTCGCAAGCGTCAGCCGTTGGGAAGCCATGCCATCCCGGCAGCTGCAGCTGTCCCGCATTCTGTGCAACCCATTGCCCTCGCTCCCATTCCTTCCGCAAAGCCCTGCGTTCCCCCGGCCGCGCATGTATATCCAGCGCCGCCCTCCGCTGCTGCTACACAACCTCACGCCAGCCCGGCCGCCCCAGGCCCCGCCATCATGTGGCAGCGCACCAAGCACACCAGCAAGTCTGGCTTCGACAAGCTGTGGGGTTGGGCCGACAAGCTCGGCGCTCCCGTCAACCGCCTGTCCAACAAGCTGGGCTCTGAGGCTTTCTGGCCGACCACGCTGGACAAGGAAAGCGACAAGGCTGCACGCATTCTGCGCAGCTTTTGCAGTGAGCCCATCGCGACCCGCCTCTCGCCGCCTTTCCCGCTGACCACCGCCTGACAGAGGACGGCTTCTATGAGGAGGAGGTCCTCAGCACCCTCGACGGTCCGCAGCAGAAGCAAAAGGTGCTAAAGAAGATCCCGCAAGATGTACGTCCAGCCTGCTCCGTCATTGCCCGCTCAATGCTAACGCCACTCCGTCCCAGGTCATCCGCAATGCTGTCGGTCTCGCCATCTTCACAACAATGCGCAGCGGTCTTTGGGTGTCCGGCGCAGGCGGAAGTGGAGTCCTGGTCGGGCGGACAGCAGACGGCTCGTGGTCGCCTCCTTCAGGCATCATGCTCCACACTGCCGGCCTTGGATTCCTTGTTGGTGTGGACATCTACGATTGTGTTGTCGTCATCAACACGCACGAGGCATTGGACGCCTTTTCCAAGGTTCGATGCACTCTTGGGGGCGAGATCAGCGCCGTCGCCGGCCCGGTCGGCGTCGGCGGAGTCGTCGAGTCAGAGGTGCATAAGAGACAGGCGCCCATCTTTACCTACATGAAGTCAAGAGGCTTCTACGCTGGCATTCAGGTCGACGGCACCGTGGTGATAGAACGAACCGACGAGAACGAGAGGTTCTACGGGGAACAAATAGGCGTTGCAGACATCCTTGCCGGAAATGCACGGCATCCACCCCCGGAGATCCGGCCTTTGCTGGAAACCATCAGGGCAGCACAAGGCGACGCCGACATCGACCAAACTCTGCTGTCAACCGAGCCGCCTCCAGGAGACTTCGAAATTGACGCGGGAGACCAACAATTTGGAGTCCCAGACCGCATGGACCCTGATCCCTACGGCGTTCTCGCTTTGGAGAAGGTGGGATTGCACATTGTCGAGGCGGGCACTGGAAAAAGACCAACCAGCGAGGCCTTCGAGTTCAATCCGAGCCCAGCTAGCCCAATTTACAGTACATTCAGCAGAAGGAGCACCGACCGGAACAGTTTCCGGGACAGCCGGACGGTTAGCAGGCGGAGCAGCTGGAGGACTAGTACTATCAGCAATATGACCGATCGGGCAACTCAAACTGTCGACATGGGCGTTCAGACTGATTTCGATGGCCCCGGTACGAACAGCCAAAGGGCGTCCGAGTCTGAGAGCCGTTCACCCATGAAGGAGATTCCCGAAAACGACGTTGCTGAAACCTCGACCGCTGTGCAAGCAGCCTTGTCCAGGAGGAGCTCAAACTCGGCAGCAAGGTCCATGAAGAGCATTAAAGAGGAGGCTAAAGAAGACACTGAGGAGGCACAGGAGGAAGTTGAAAAGAAGGAGGAGGGCAAGCAGGGCCCCGAAACAACCGAAGAGAAGCAAGTGGAAGCAACCCCCAAGTTGCAAGTTGAGGACGAGAAGCCAACTCAAGCCGCCGAGCTGAGCACTGGTGAGGTGAGCGAAAAGACCAAGACGGGTGCCAGCCTCAGCGCACTTGACACCAACCCTGTGAGGTTCTCGACCTACGACTTTGAAAACGTGGCTGTCGAAGAGCCTGTTGTGCAGCAGCTTCGACAGGCGGCCACTCCGCAAGCCATCCGCGCGAGGTTGGTGACGGTGAAGAAGCCAACTCCGCCTAGGATCCCGCCGCGTAACCCCATCAGGAACCGCAAGGGTCCTCTCATCATCAACGCGCAACCACACAACGACATCCATGCTCATGACAGCATGTCCCCTCGGTCACCCCCCTCTTCGTCGGAGCACCCGTCCGTCAGCACCATGGACAGCGCGTCGACGATCAGCTCTCGCGACTCGTTCTCGTCGGATGACGGAATCACGGCGATGAATAAGCGCATCAGCGTGATGCGGATGAGCGACAGCGACGAGACCGAGGGCAGATCCGAGAAGAAGAGGAACAGCTCGGACTCGGTGCACTCGGTGCCTGGCTCGCCGGGTCAGGTGCGGCGGAGTGCAGTGGAGGAAGACTTCTGTTGAATGTTAATGAAATTTGAGGAATACGCATTTGTACTGTCTAATAGTTTGGGTTTTAGCGCCGGCATATATTGGGATGGAGTCTGGAACGACCTTTGTACGATTTCGCCAAGAGGGTTACAAGCGGGCATTGGAGAGTGGGCATTGGGATGGTACATATGCTTTGGGCTTACTCGTTTCAGCCTTCCGTCTATAATGATAGATGTTCAACACGCACATGTTTGCCACCGCGGGTGTTCAGGTGACGGCGCTTGCGTCGTGCTTGTCGAGGCTTTCACCGCTGCCAAAGTATGTCAGCATTCGCAGTGTGGCAGCCGGCGTGTTCCGATTGTACGTGACGGCCAGGCACAGACGGGTAGATTTGTAACTCGCTCGAAGCGGAGAAGCGCAGCCAACGTGGACCTATGAGGCCCAGCTTATCATATGTCATTGTGCGGTCCGGGGAGTTGAAGTCAGCATTGCAAACAGTGTCAGCCCCCACCTGGTGTATCAGGCTCGTCACGAGAGCAGACAGTCGGTGGGCGTGGGGCGCGGGAGGCTAGCGGCGGCCGGGGGTGGAGTAGGGCTCCGGGGGTGACGTTGCAGATTTGAGCCTCATGGCGCAGCCAGTAGGAAGCGTGGCCGCGCGGATCGTGGAGTCCTGGCTGCCGGGTCGCGGTCGCTGACCGGGGCGAGAGCCGCACCGGCAGGATCGCGCTTCCCTTCGCGGCCACCGTCTGCTGGGGCTGGGGTGGGGCCGAGATCTTGGGACGGGTGTCAGCTCGAGCGAGAGGTGACATGCCGCGAGAAGTAAGTATCCGATCTGGCCCGCCAAAAATAGCGGCCGCGCTTCTCACACCGCGATTCACCCTCACGATGGCGATGACTAACTCGCCCTGCTCTCACGTAACCGCCAGCCACGGCACGCACAATCTCCGCCTCCGCCTGCCCACCCGTACCTGCTTCGCCGCCCAGCTGAGAGCCTCTCGACAGTCGTGCAACCGAACGCCCGCTCACCCCAGCTGCTAACGCGACATGCAGCCCTATCTAAGCATCTGTGCTGACTGCTCTTCTTCCCTCCTCCCAGTGACCTGCATGATGCACACCGTAGGGCTGCTTGCTTGTCGTCGAGAGAGCCTCTTTGAACTGCTAACACGCGCTATATAAGCCCGGAGAGCACGCTCAGCTGCCCGTCCAACTCCGCTCCTCAGCTCCCATCTACCATTTCTGCATCCTCTGTCCAGCATGTGCTACCAGGTCGTCGAACGCTACGCCGTCTGCCGCTGTCTCTACCACAAGCACGCCATCGACCCGTGCGCCCAATACGGACAGTATGGCCACAGCGTCCAAGAGAAGACGGTCCTCGTGGGCTACGCCTGCAGCGTCCACACCAACTACAGCTTGGCCGCCCCGTCGAGCTCCATACACGACGGCGAGCTGCCCCCGGATTCGGGCTACTCGAGCTTCCCGAGCCTCGACGTCTGCCACGCCCACCACCGCTACCGACGCTTCTAGACGTCCGAGTGTCTTTTGACCCGTCGTCACAACTGCAAAGAGTCATGGATTTCTCTTTTTTTTTTCTTCTCTCCTGCATCTATTCGTGTTCTTTTCCACCGACAACAAAGCGGCATTTATGGGCAATTCGGCTCGGGATGGGGGTCAACCATTGGGGTGGCATTTTACTTTCTTGCTTGGGGCTGGCGTCGGGACGTTCGGGATGCCGGAAGGCATGGTTGCTTCCGGAAAGCATGGGTCTCGGAGTCCGGGTAGCAGCAGGGAACAAAAAGGAGTCAACCTTTTCTCTTTTCCCATTCTGTTTTCAGCGGGCGTTATCTCTTGATTGTCGCTTCGGTATTAAGGTTGAAGTCTGGCACTTACACTACTATCCACAACACAATTGCTTTTTCCGCATCCACGGGCTCTGTCCATGAGTGCTATTGAGTCATGGCGTGGACGGTGGCTCAGCTGAGAGACCTGAGCAGGCAGCGATGGCGCGCAGCATGTGGCCTCCGTTCTTCCCGTCCCTTTCTTCTTCGTTATGCACTCCGCCTCCACGAGCCTCATCCTTCCATGTCACAAGCATCAGCAGGCTGCAGCGCGCGCAACCTTGCAGCTCGTCTCAGCTGAAACTCATTTGAGAAGACAACAAGGTCGTCACCGCGCGGGACGGGGCGTTGCGATTGGGCCGGGGGTCAGCGGAGCTAGTGGGGGATTACTAGCTTGCAGTGAGAAAGGGAGGGAGGCTTTTTCCAGCATCCCTGCTTCTGCTCGGATACTCAAGCCACCCGTGCTCATCGTCGTCATCGTTTTGTGTGGCTTTGCCTGGCCTGGCAGTCGCGTGCTCCACCCCTTCCCTTATTCTTCTTCCAATCGACGGAAACTGGATCAAGCGAAAGCCATCGTGTGATGCCCACCTTTTCCTTTTGGCTCCCTCCAACTCGCTTACGAGCCTGCCGTCGCGATGGCGCGTTCGCACCCTGGGGCGGTGGGCCGACGATCTGGGATGCGACGACCGGGGTACGAAAGTCTGCTCGAGGCTTCCGGCTCCGCGGCGGCCGGGGTGGCGCCCATGGTGGATGACAAAGAGCGGATGTCCAAGTAGAAGTACTTGCCAAGGACCTGTCAGCGGAGAATTTGAAAGAAGCGAGCAAAAAGCATCTCCGTTACTTAGCAATTCTCCACGAGGATCCCGCACCGCCCCTCATTGGACCGTGTCCGAGTCCGAGTCCGCCCCGCTTCCTGTCTTTTCCTCTGTGGCGGAGGCGCATTGGAGAGGAAGTGGGGTTGCGGGTCTGCTATTTTTAGGGCCTGGAGAGTGGGGGGGATTTGTTTGGCGAACAGCATCCCATCACTGATGCTGCAAAAGAACCGTCTTTCGCGCCTGCCGTGCGCGCATCGGGTGATCCTGCATCTGATGCGAGATTGTCCATCTTTTGCTTTTGCTTTTTCCTGTTTCACCCTGTCTCGGGACTTTGTTGTTCTTCCCTGTATTATTGGGCAGCAGCCGTGTTCGAGAATGCTGCTTCTTTTAGTTTTGGTGTTGCAGAGCTACCTGTGTGGTCTCAGAACCAGACACGTAGGTAGATGCTGCCCAGCCAGCTGCCCAACACCATGCAATGCACCAGAGCTTGCAGAGTGCAGCAGAAAAGGAAACAAGGGGACCTGCCAGCTCGTTCGAGAAACTTGCAGCGACAGCGAGCGCGCACCACAGCCAAGCGAATGTAACTGCAAGTATTGCATTCCTTACCTTTTCTCTCGCCACCCAACAACATGATGCACATACGCGTTTATGCACTCCGTCGTGGCATTGCTTGTCCTTTTCTTCTGCATTGCCGCAATTGCCGCTGTCTGTCCCAGTCTTTTGGTCTCATCCTTGTCGAACCAATGTCGCTTTTTTGTTTCCCTTGATCACTTCTTACTCACAATATCCATTCTCACTCAGTCACCAAAGAAATGCCCCTGTCGCCCGTTTCATTCTTTCCGGTGCTCATTCCCGGGCATATATTCCGGCTCATCCTATAGCCAGCCCCGTACTTGTCATCATTTCAGATCCTTCTCCTCCACGTAATCCAATGAGCAATTGAAAACGCTGTCTGACGATATGATTTGAACCCCGCGCAAGTCGCGATACCGTACGCTGATACCCTGCCTCTTTCTGCCCACGTCTCACACGCATTCTGCTGCGGCCTCCTCCCCCTACACCGCCGGCTGACCCTCTGTTCCACATACCCATCACGAAACATTCTCAGCCAATCACTTATCCTGCCTTTTCTTTCTCCTTTTCTTAGATATGTGCCGGTCGCGATGACTGACGAGTAATGCTTACTCACGTCCGGAAAGAAGTCTTTCTTTAGTAACGGAGCCCCACACCTTTTTGTAACAGCAATCAATTTTTTGTAAACCATCAGCATCGAGACCGAAAGAAGGGTTCCACGCACACATGCTATCCCTACGAGCGCTCGCCGCGCGTCCACCCTCGCAGCTCGTTTCCCAACCTTCTTTTCGCTGTGTACGAGAGCTATTTTCAGCACGGTGGGTCATCTACGTTGATATTGATTTCGCTCAGCAGCCAGCCAGCCCTGCAAACACGGAGGCAGTCACGCGCGCTGCTCTTTCTCCTACCACTCTTCCAAATGGAAAGTATGGATCTCGCTTCCGCCGTGGTGGGATCCAAACGTCCCAAAAGCACGCAACGTCACATCTTCGTATTATCCAGCTCGTCTCCACTCCCTCCCGCTGAGTCGTGCGCCGCAGACCTGGATGAGCACTGGGTGCCTAGCGCTACTCCTTTCGGACACGCAAGAGACCCACAGGTTCATTGCCTGGGGTTCTGGGTGGAAAGATGGGCTGGGTAGGTCGTACAACGGCACATGGTTTCCGTCACTTTCTTGCGACTTTGAAGTTGCACAGCACAAGACCATCTAGACGTCGCATGTGAATTTCTCTGAAATGACAGGCTTGACACTGTAGATCCCTCGCATACCCTGCAAAGTTGCTTTTGAGTTATCGGAGCGCATTCTCGTCGACATCAATCAACAATGTTTCAAAAAGGGCAAAAAAGTTCTTCAAGCAAAGACAATAGTCGATTCTCTACTCCTCATTGACGTGTTTCCCTCCTTCAGATGCCAGTGATAAACTATCGAAATCTTCCCGTTTCCACTGTGCCTCAGAAGGCGGATAGGATGCAGAACAAAAACCCATCATCCAATGCTTTCCCACATCTCCCCATCATTTCCTTCTCCGGACGAAAGGCGAGCGTCAGTAACCGAAAAGAGCTCGTGTCCGTAACTTTTCAATTCATTCCTTCTTTTTTTCATGATTTTCTTGTCGTATCATCCCCCTTTTTCATCGTAAAACCATCATTCCTCATGGCGGCATCGCCGGTTTCCCTTTCCTTCGTCCCAGCGTGTACAGCATGGGGTAATCGGCCAAGTGAATGCGATGCCAAAACGGTCGTAAGTATAAACTGAGAATAATCAAAAGAGGTCGCCTATTACCAGCGGATCTCGAATCCTTTTAATCTCCTCTTACCTCTCCCACATCCTCTTCCCACAGAGCAAGCGCTTCCCCAGAACCAGCTGAATATGGAAACGAAGCTGGGGAAGGGATTAGGATATTAATAAGGATAAAGAGGAGACAGAAGGGGTCGAGTCCGGACTGAGTAAATCGTCGGTCGAAGAACCTCTTGTTTTCTCGATTAAAGCCCCAAGAAGGGTTTGCAAGACGCACAATGGGTCATGGCAGTGGGGTGGTTGGCGATCGGAAAGAAAAAAGATCGCAACCCTCACGCTTCGGTCATAAGCAAGATTGCGTAGCAAGACAGCAAATCGCAGCTAGGAGACGAGGTAAAAAAGACTGGTCAGAGCACAGCACCCACCCGGGTCGTCGCATGCTAATTTAGCCACGGATGACGACGCCCTGGCGGCGGGTGGCGCGCTCGCGGTAGACCTCGTCGTCCTCAGACGAGCAGTCGGACGAGTCGTCCGAGTAGCCGCAGCGGGAGCCGCCGCAGTCGAGCTTGACGCGCTCGCCGGCACGGGTGATGCCGTAGCGCTCGCAGGTGCAGCACGAGCTCGCGCTCGACACGGATGACGGCGAAGACGAGTTGGAGCTGCGCGACGTGAGCGAAGGCACGTCCGAGTCGATGTCGCTGTCCGAGTAGTCGTCGTCGCTGCTCTCCTCGAGGTTGGCGCGGCTGAAGCGCGACGTCAGGGCCTCGACGGTGGCGGGCTCGTAGGCGCCGTTGACGATGGTCTTGTGCTGGTTGGGCTTCACCGGGCGGGGCGACTTGATCTGCGAGGGGGACAGCGAGCGGCCCTTGGCGACATCCTGAGAGTAGCGGCGCGAGGAGCGCTTGGCGGCAACGTCGGGCACGGCGGCGGTCTTGCCGGGGGCGGGGATGTCGAGGATGTTGAGCTTGCGGCCAGTGGTGGGCTCGGTGGTGAACTCGCGGGCGGGGTCGTGCGAAACGTGGTAGCCGTCGATGATGTAGTAGTACCAGTAGCGCTGGCCCTGCTTCAAGGTGGCGCCCTGGAAGCGGAAAGTGCCCTTCCAGGCACCGGCCTTAGACGGGTCGCTGGAGAGCGGGAGCTGACCGTTGTAGTTGTCCCACGAGCCGAGCAAGTGCACGGTCTTGCAGTTGGCGGAGGTGCGGAGGGTGAAGTTGAGCTGGATGGCGGCCATTGTGGTGGATTGTCTTGGGTATCGAGAGTTGGCGTTGGGTGTTGACAAAGGCTTCGAGCAAGCAAGAGCTGTAATTAGGGCTGGAGTGTCGTTATTGGATGTCGACCGGCGACAAAAGTGAATTAGAAAATCGTGAAGTGGGTGATTATTTTTTTCGTGAAAGGCGTGAAAAGAGTACCAGACTCTGAAAATTAGTGAACTAGGGGAAAAAGAATTAGAACAAAAAGAACAACACAAAAACCAAAGTACAGCTCCTGAGCTTTGCGGGCTTGCTGAAGAGAAAAAAACGAGTGCATGTCGCGCAGGCAGCAGGTATATATAAAGTCTGGCGCAGCTGCGGGCCCGTTCGCTCGCAGCTGTGGCCCCACCCAGAAAGCTTCCGGCCCAGCTGACGGACGGACCGGGATGCTGCCATGCCTGCCGGCCGCCGTGCAGCACGCATGGGCGAGAGCGAGCGCTTCGGGTCGGGCGTCGAGTGGATGGTGGTCGTGGAGCGCAGGGCCGGGCGGCTGGAGAACGGGCGCTGATTCGCCGGCGCCGCGAACCCCAGCACACGCCCGGCCCCCGCTGCAAGCCAATGACATGCCCCGCCCGCCGGCCACGAGTGACACGCTCTGCAGTCCCGCTCCCGCTAGCTCGGTCACGCTGCAGTCTCTTCTTTGCGCTCGCCTTCTGGCTGGTCCGCCGCCTGCTCACGCCCGACGCCGTATAGTATTGCACTCCACCTCCGCCGAGCCCGTGCTGCGAGTGCCTGGCGTCCGCAGCGCCCTCTGCAGCCTGCCAATGGCGGCGTGCCGGCGTGATCACGACAGTCGAATCATTGCGCGGCCTGGCGGTTACCTGCATGCAACTCCAACGCCCACCGACGCTATCGATCTTTCGATGCATACCACCACGCCCGCCTGCTTGACCAGGTGCCACAGCGCCAATTCGGCCTTGGAATGCGCAGCAAGGGGGGCCAGCCACCGGTCAATCGAGCCCACAGTCGCTGCCGCCCGTGAGGGGCCTGGTGAAGGAAGAGAGAAAAAAAAGGCTCAGGGCAACCGCCCGTCATGGAGCCACTCGGCGCCGCCGCGCAATCTCCCGGCACCGACGACTGAGAGCCGTTCTCGTCGGGTACCTGGGATCTCGCTTCCATCGCCGTGCTGGGCGATCCGACTTGTGATTGGCCTGGTGTTTTGGTGTTTCCACCGCCGTGCCTTTTCTTAGAAGTGCCTCGCCAGTGCGCCCACGCCTCTTCCCCACACCACAGCGGCTGGGTGATATCAGCGTGCGAACATTGCGCGACCAGGGCCCTTCGGCCCTTCCTCCTGCCATCCTTGCTCGTAAGGTTGTCCCCTGCAACCCGCTAATCTTTCCATGCGACAGCTGCATAACGAGGCGAGAGCTCAAGGCTCCCTCCGCTTGAGCGCCTGCAGCCGCGCCGCTCCAATCCGTCAGTCATCGCGCCACCCACTATGCAGCTGCCCGATTACTCGCGAGCGGGCCTATTGCCGCCCGGGTGTGAGCAGCATGATGACGCCGTTGACATTACCCGGCAACCCTCGAGGTACGCCATCCTTCAGCGCGGCACGCACTTTGCAGATAACGGCGATAACCGTGATGTAGATAGAGGCACTTGCTCAACGAGGAAAGCCAATATGCTTTTCATTATTGAAGCCTGGTGTGTTGCAATAACAAAAAGCCCTCGCCTAACTGCAGGACACCGACTCTTTTCGCCCTAGCTGATTTTGTCACTTAGCTGGATACCTACCCATGCCTCTTCTTATTTTTGTTTTGCTCTCTTTCAGAAGCGCCCCGACCTGCGCGTCCCCTCCTCCTCCATCGCTTCGGGGAGGGGCTGCTCTCGTCGGTCTTCCCCGTTCGAGCCATGATCAGAACTCGCAGCCGCCAGCCCTGACTCAAGACGCACATCAGCCTGACTAGCAGCCTGACGAATATGCACCATCATATTCATGCAGTGCGACCCTCAGCGCTTCCGGATTTCGGAACTCGCAGGTGTGGGAACGCGTCTTGTGTGTATCGTGGGAAAGAGGCGGTGAAGCGACGAATTTTGTTGAAAGAGAGAAGCAGGCGCGCTTGTCGCGTGCGCTGGCCAGTAAGCCAGATAAAAGGGCCCATTGCGTGAGGCGTGATCTACGTCCGCGTGCGAACACTCTGATAGCAACTAGGGGTCACCGCCGATTGCTGATTGCGGCATCCACGTCGAAAATGTTGGTAGCGGATCCTCGGCCAACTCAGTCAACCCACCGCTGTCCTTCTTTATCCCATCCGATCATCTTGGGGTCAATGTTGAGCGCCTTGAGCATCATGTCCATCGTGAAACTCTGTTCCGCATCAGCCTAACGCCTGTAACCTCGTGTTGCACCATCGTCACCGAAAATCGACACTCACATCGTCGTCTCCGCCGTCGTCGGCACCACTCTGCTTCAACGCCTCTGCCTCCGCCTCTTGCTGTTCTCGCCACTGGCGCTCCTTTTTTGCTTCTTCCCTTACTTCTGCGCGTCGTTCCCGTGCAACCAGTCTTGCTTCTTTCTCCTCGGGTGTCAGTCCAGCATTTTCATCTTCGTCCTCATCGCTCTCGTCCAGATTAGGCTCGTTTTCTTGAGCATGGAACCCCAGGCTCCACTCGTGCTGACGCCGTTCGCTCTGCTTCCAGACGCCGATCCCGCCCATACCGTCCACACGGTCCTTGGTTGTAGCGAAGACATCTTCCGCCGCGGCCCGGGTTGCATCGCGCCATTTCCTGGTCAAGGCTTCCAGCTCCGCATCCTTGGTCGATGCTGCGATCCTGAGTGCTTGACTGAGCGTGTCTAGCTCAGTGCGTACACTCCGTATCTGTTTGTGTAGTTCTCGCTGCCGTCGCTCTTCGACACGTATGGCGGTCTCGAGAGGGTCGTCGGGGCCGAGGGCGCCGGTGCGTCGCGCGAGAGGCGACGGCGTGGACAGCGTTGTAGAGTTGCGAGAACTGCGCAGCGTGCGGAGCGAGGAATCGTTGAACGATTGGGTCGCCGACGAATCCGGTAGAGTGCTCTGCACGAGCGGGCTGGGCACAGCAGTGCTGCTGGCCGTCGTTTCCGCGCTGGGCCTCTCGAGCTCAACTTTTCGATTGGGTGTCTTGAAGGGCGAGCGAAAGGGCTTTCGCAAGGCGCTCTGGGCGTCCTCCAGGCGGCGCCGCTTGGCCGAGGGCGTGGACATTGAGCTGAAGACGTATTAGTGCTGCGAGGGTTAGCGGCGAGAGAAATTGATGACTGAATGATCGTCCAGCAGAAGTTGCGTTGCGTCGGCGTGGAGACACAACACAAGTGTCGTCACTGCGAGGGAAGCCGACGGCAGGTGCGCTCGCGTGGCATGGAAGGAGCTTGGCAAGGGTCTCGACGCGGCTGAGCACGCTTGCCCTCACTGGGGCATCGTCCCCGCGTTCCCCCAGCCTCTGACAAGCAGCTTTAGTAAAGCTTCCTCGGCTAACATGGCCCCTCGCCTTATCAGCCTATCGCCGTCGTCTCCCTCCCGCTCCCGCACGGCGATACTTGCACGATCATCCCTCAATGGGCGCCATCAGCGGCCTCCTGTCTGCTCTGGGCTCGCTGACACCTGCCTCACGTCGCCCAGATATCATTTCTCTTAATCAGTCTTCCCTTTTTGGGTGTAGTTAGGTCCAAGCACGGGTACCACCAGCCCGGTTGATATAGTCGTCTTGTTGTCTCTCAGCTCTCGTCGTGCAATTCGTTGTTCTCATTGTCTCTGGTATCACTTTGTCTGTCGACATGGACGCGCCCAAGTCCAAGGATGACTTCCCTCCGGATACGATTACGCCACAGTACACGGCCGAGGAGGGGACTGTGGGCGCCGTGCTCAACGCATCCGGTCACGCACAGGAACTCGAGCGGAACTTTAGTCTCTGGAGCGCCGCCTCGGTCGGCATCTGCACGGGAAATACTTGGGTAGCTCTGGGCGGCAGCATTGTGCGTTGATGGACAAGGCCTACATGCAGCGTGCATGAGCCGTGTGGGAGGCTGACTCGCATGCGAAGGTTATCTCCTTGTATAACGGCGGTCCGCCCGGTGTCATCTACGAGCTGGTAAACCAAGCCACCTTCTAGCCGCCCGGTCTGTTGATGCTCATGTGTATCCTTGCAGTTTGCCGCCTGGTTCTTCTACTCCCTTCTGGCTGCCTGCATTGCCGAACTTGTGTCAGCCATCCCCTCTAGTGCCGGCGGTAAGTGAACTCCCCCATCTGGTAATTTTCGATATCCCCACCTTTGAACCACACTCACACTTCCTCTTCCTTAGTCTACCACTGGGCTTCCGTTACCCCCGGGCGCAAATATGGCAGAGTCGTGGGATATTTCGCCGGTTGGTGGAACGCCTTTGCCTACGTCTTCGGCGCCGCCTCGATGAGCGCCATCACAGCCAACTTGATCCTTGCCATGTACGGCCTCTTCCATCCCGAGTACGTCTGGCAGCGTTGGCACACCTTTGTGACCTACCTCATTGCCACATGGTGCTGCTGCGCCGCCGTCCTCTTCGCCAACCGCGCCCTCCCACTCGTCAACCAGATCGGTCTCTTCCTCATCGTGGCCGGATGCTTCGTGACTGTTCTTGTCTGTGCCATCATGCCCGGCACGACCGGTAACGGGTGGGCCTCCAACGCCTTCGTGTGGCGAGACTTTGTGAACCAGACTGGCTACTCGTCAGATAGCTTCGCATTCTTGACGGGTATGTTGAATGCCTCGTATGCCGTTGGCGTCCCGGACTGCGTCGCCCACTTGGCCGAGGAGATCCCCAAGCCGCGTATCAACGTGCCTAAGGCCATTGCTATGCAACAGCTCGTTGGCCTCTTTACTGCATTCGTTTATCTCGTTGCCATCTTCTACAGCATCCAGGACTTCGACGCGCTCCTGGCCAACACGTATACAGTCCCGTTGGCTGAGCTCTACTTGCAAGCAACGTCGTCACGGGCCGGCGCTCTCGGGCTGCTCATCATCGTTCTGCTCCCGACCGTCTGCACGCTCATCGGCATCTACATCACGGCCGGTCGTATGCTCTGGACACTGGCCCGCGAGGGCGCGACGCCCTTCCCCGGCATCCTTAGTCATATCTCCCCGACGTACAAAAACCCCTTCAACGCAACCGTGGCCTGCGGCCTCATAGTCACGGCTATGGGTGCGATCTACGTCGGCTCCACGACCGCCTTCAACGCTTTCGTAGGCTCCTTCGTCGTGCTGCTCACTCTGTCCTTCCTGGCCGCCATCTTGCCACACCTCCTGACCCGGCGCCGCAATGTCGTGCCCGGTCCATTCTGGATGCCCGACTCGGTCGCGTACATCGTCGGCAGCATTGGATGTGCGTACATCTGCGTGTTCGTGGTGATATATTGCTTCCCCTACGCCGTGCCGTTTGATGCCGCAAGCATGAACTATTCCTGCTTGATCACTGGCGGCTTAACAATTTTCATGGGTGCGTGGTGGGTTTGGATCAGAAAGAGGGGTTATATTGGGCCTCAGCCGCTGGTTGAGGAGGCAGCAACAGCCGGGGGGCACCACCACACTAGGATCAGTAGCGATGAGGCGTAGTTCTGTTATGTAGATATAATCGAACAACTAAATTGTACAGAGGCTAGTGAGTAAGCCTTGATTCATCTCGCTTTGCCATGCGCATCGAAGCTGCTGACCGGCCCTCGGATTCAAAGGGCGTTGAGTCGTGAGAAACCCGAAAAATCCGGAACTGGCGAGGAGCGGGTTGTAGCATAGGTTAAAAGCTATGGTGGCTGCGGAATAGGCCGTGAAGAACAAAATAGCGAACCGCTAGCATCTACGCGAAGTCGAAGCGGTGCCAGGAGTGCTGCAGATGCGATTCAAGGCAACATGGCTCCGCAAGAAATGAGTCGCAAGGAAGCGAGTGCAATCCGGAGCGGCGTTGAAAGCGCGGGCCGGTCGAAGGAGTTTGGGCGTGGCTACCTAGCCGATCCGCCCAGTGGCGGGTGAGGGGTCAACGGGTGCACGGGGCAATATGACGTTTCTCCCGCCAAGGTCTGGAGAGTGCCTGTCGACTGGCCAGATGCAACGGACCTTGTCACATGGATGCAAGCACCTTTTCTTGACGCCTAGCTGTTCCAAAACAGGGTCATTGCGCGCTACCGGGATCCTAGCCATTGACGCGGCAATCAGTGCACCGCCACGCTGCGGCGGCATCAACCTTACGGCGCGCCCCTCCAGCTGTATACTCGCCGCGCCTTGACTCAGGTCACATTTCAGCGTTTTCCTCCACCCCAGACCTCTCACCTTCCATGGTTTCCTCATCCTCCTGAGCGCCGTAACTCACACCTGCCCACCCACCATGGCTTCTGCCCCGCCGCCTGGCGACCCGCAGGCTGCTACCGCAGAGCCAAACCCGCTCAGTCAGGCTGCTGAAGCTATCGCGGCAGCTGAGCAAGAAAATGAGCTCCCCTCTCGCCGCCCTACGCGGAATGACGCATCTCTATCCAGAGCTTCCACGGGCGCATCGTAAGGCCCCACAATTCGACCCCGTCGAACAAAAGCTTATACACGGCACAGACACCAGGCACAGGATTCCCATGCTGTCCCCGACGCCATCGCTGAAGACCCGCCGCCTCCTTATAGCGAAACGCTTGGAAACATTGCGGATGATGGAGAACTAGGAACACAGGCTACCGTTGCGGGTATGCAAGCTCTCCGCGCGAAACGGACATTTGTGACTGACTGTTGTAGATGATGGGCGTGTCAACATTCGCATCGACCAAAAGAACCGGCGTCTTTCAACATTGCTGGTGCCGGCCTTGCGTAGTCAGCTCGACGTAGTCGCCCGCGAGCCAGCTCTTCCCGCGCCCTATGTTCCACCCTCTCTCGGAGGCGACTCCAGAAAAGAACCGCCCCCGCCGCTCAATATTGTCATACAAGTCGTGGGATCTCGTGGAGATGTACAACCGTTTGTTGCGTTGGGAAAGGTACTCAAGGAGACCTATCACCACAGGATCCGCTTGGCTACGCATCCCACCTTCAAGAAGTTTGTTGAAGAAAATGGCCTGGAGTTCTTCAGCATTGGCGGTGATCCCGCTGAGCTCATGGCCTTTATGGTCAAGAATCCCGGACTTATGCCTGGCTTTGACACGCTGAGAAACGGTGATGTCGGGAAGCGCCGTAAAGGCATTGCCGAGATCATCGACGGGTGCTGGAGATCATGCATTGAATCTGAAGATGGTTTCGGCGTCGATTCAGAGCAGCGCACCGAGGCTTGGGTAAACAGCGCCAACCACAATCCGGAGATGCCAGCCAACACCACCGGAAGACCATTCGTTGCCGACGCTATTATTGCCAATCCCCCCAGCTTCGCTCACGTCCACTGTGCTGAGAAGCTCGGCATACCATTGCACATGATGTTCACGTACGTATCACCAATATGACGTCGGAGAATTCAACTGACTCTTAATAGCATGCCCTGGTCCCCTACGCAGGCATTCCCTCACCCGCTTGCCAACATCATGTCAACCAATGCTGATGCTTCACTCACGAACTACCTATCCTACGCACTTGTCGACATGTTGACATGGCAGGGTCTTGGTGACATTATCAATCGATTCAGGCAGCGCACGCTCCATTTGGAACCTGTCAGCTCGCTTGCAGCTCCAGGCATGCTTCACCGCATGCGTATCCCATACACTTATTGTTGGTCTCCTGCTCTGATCCCGAAGCCCCAAGACTGGGCCAACTTTATCTCGATATCGGGGTTCTATTTTCTATCACTGGCATCAAACTATACTCCTGACCCGGAGCTGGCCGCTTTCCTCGAAGCCGGTCCACCACCAGTCTATATTGGCTTTGGCAGTATCGTGGTCGATGATCCAAACGGTATGACAAGGTTGATCTTTGATGCTGTCAAGAAATCCGGTGTGAGAGCACTCGTCAGTAAGGGTTGGGGAGGCTTCGGCGCTGATGAGCTTGGCATCCCCGAGGGAGTATTCATGCTGGGCAACGTACCCCATGATTGGCTCTTCAAGCATGTGTCCTGTGTTGTTCACCACGGTGGCGCTGGAACAACATCTGCAGGCATTGCTTGCGGTAAGCCGACAGTCGTGGTGCCCTTTTTCGGAGACCAGCCGTTTTGGGGCGCCATGGTAGCAAGAGCGGGAGCTGGACCCGAACCTATCCCTTACAAGCAACTCACTTCAGACAAGCTTGCGGAGGCCATTCAGTTCTGTCTCAAACCCACTTCTCAGGAGCGGGCGCAGGAGTTGGCCGCTAAAATCAGCCAAGAGAAGGGGTGTGATGTTGGCGCTCAGAGTTTTCATCAACAGTTGAGGGTGGACGAACTGCGGTGTTCAATCCTGCCTAACAGAGCCGCCGTCTGGAGGGTGAAAAGAACAAGAATCCTTCTCAGTGCTCTGGCGGCGGTTGTCCTTGCGAACGAAGGATTATTGAGTTTCTCTGATCTCAAACTGTAAGTCTAAATTACGGTGTGCAGATGAGCCGTTTGCTAACGAAACATCGACTTAGGCACCGACCACGTGAGTATGAGCCGGACGCTGGGCCCTGGGATCCCGTGACTGGTGTTACAAGTGCAGTCATGGGAACAGTGACCACTATGATGATGGGTGTTGCAGACCTTCCCATCGAAACACTCAAAGCCCTTCGCATTCACCCCGATACTAAGAGCAGCCATTCAAGGACAAACTCCAATCCGCAGCATCCCGGAGGCAGCTCTGGAGAAACTTCGAGCAATGCCAGGAACAGTTCCGAAAATAGGGGCCCTCTCACACCCGGAACATCAGAATCCGGCAGAAGTACACCACTGCAAACAGATGGCCCGCAGGTCAAAGTATCAGAGAACTATTCAGAGTTGCACGAGCGGGCAAGCACGTCCCTTTCGGGTACCACAAAACCCGGCAGTCCATGTGGACATAGCCACAGATCCTCCCTCGGACATGCTTTAGGACACATGCGCAGTCGCTCCAGTTCTAGGAGTAGGGCATCCGCACCGCACTCACACGATGATTCACAGACCACCAGAACCACAGCTGAGACTGAGCACACCTCGTTTTCTGTTGAAAGTGCGCTACAATCTGGTAAGGGCGTGAGTAGAATCGTTGGCGCAGGCATGAAAGTTCCTATGGATGTCATGCTGGGCCTCCAGAGAGGCTTTCACAACACGTCCAAGCTATACGGAGAGGAGCCAAGGCAAGTCGAAAAGGTGACTGGCTTCTCGAGCGGTCTCAAAGTTGCTGGGAAGGAGTTCGGCACCGGCCTTTATGAAGGTATCTCTGGACTCATCACCCAACCCTTAAAAGGAGCCAAGGAGGACGGCGCTGGTGGGTTCATCAAGGGTGTCGGAAAAGGCATAGCTGGAATTGCTCTCAAGCCCCAGGCTGGTAGGCCAACCCGTTACCCCTCAAAACTCATTCATGCTGATACGTGTACAGCTGCGTTTGCTATTCCTGCATATACGATGAAAGGCATTTACATGGGTATCCGCAAGCCTTTCGGTGCCACCATTCAGAACTACATTATTGCCGCTCGCACTGCTCAAGGCTGGGAAGAGTACAACAAGTCCACGTCGGAAGAGCGCGCTATTATAGTTGAGCTGTATCAGTTCATCGCTTCTCATGTGAAAAAGAAGAGGAATCCTGGCGAGAAGGAGATGGAAGCGATCCAGGCGCTGGTGGCCAAGCGTAGAGCCAAGGCCGAAGAGCAGCGTAAAAGCCTGCAGACCTTCCTAGGATGGCGGTCGGCCGGCGAGGGCTCGAGCGGAGCAGCGTCTGCACATCCCACATCGGGTCCTGCAGTTCCCCCTGCAGTCCAGCGGACCCAGAACACATACGCTCCCCAAAACAGTGCAGTCGGACAGTCTTCTTCCTCACAATCCCCGGCCCCTTCGCAATGGGAAGCCGAGTACGACGCCGCCACCCTCCAAAAAGCGGAGAACGACGACCTCGAGGAGGCCATCCGCCTCTCACTCACCGAAGTGTCGCGCGGCAACCCGGAAGAGGACGCGCTCATCGAGCGCGCGATGCGCAATAGCATTAAGGAGATGGAGGCATCTAACCCACACATCCACGAGCAGTTCAGCGCCGAGGAGGAAGCGGAGATCCTGCAGCGCGTTTTAGAGCAGAGCAGGCTCGAAGCCGCCGAGCAGCTTGAGCGGGGACGTGCGGATGGTGGTACGGGCGATGATGAGTTGGAAGAAGCGCTAAAGAGGAGTCGCTTGGATTCTGACATGAAGGCACGTCGGCATCACGTCAATACGGACAGCGAGTGGGACACGGATAGCAGCCCGGCTAGCCCGCCGACTGTCGGCGAGGTGGATACTGGAACGCTGGCGAGTCACAGGAGCACGGTTTTGGGCGAGCTGGAGAGTGTGGGTACGGAGCGGGGAGGCGGGACTGTGGCACAGGGGGCCATGGTGTCGAATCCGCCCATTGCAACTGGGAGGCAGGAGCAAGGGGTGATGGACGCGCAGGAGGAAGAGGATGAAGAGCTAAGGAAGGCGGTGGAGGCGAGCGAGAGGGAGCGGAGGGAGCGGGAAGACGCCGAAGAGAAGGCAAGGAGGGAGGAAGAGATTGTGTTGGAATACGTTAAGAAACAGAGTTTGGAGGAGGAGGCACATAGGAAAAGGATGCTTGGTGGTGGTAATGCTTAGTGGCACGGGGAAATGCGAGAGCGATTCTCATTAGGTATTTCCGGCGATTTGATTGATTGAGTATTAATGATACCCCGCACATTGCTTGTTTGAATCTCTTTACATGTTTAATTCATGTGACATATATAATCGAAGCTTTTCCTCCACACATGTCTAAAGTATTCTGATCAAATGGGCGTATCGAAATGCCAGTATATCTGCTAATAAGAGAACGGCCAGAAAAGCACAATGCTCCTGCTGTTGCACTGCGAGGGCAGCAAGAGCGCAAGATTTAAAGAGAGCTAAAGCAGAGATCTGATGATGCTACTAGTGCCGCCAGCTGAGATATGTCTGGACTAGCCCGTTGGATCGGCACATGAGCTTATGCATTTGTCTCATGACCTCTTTGTCGCGCTACGTGTCGGCGAGTGGTATCGTGGCCAGGCATAGCTCGACACGACGCGAGATGAAAGCTCCACCACGGGCAACGAAGATGGCGATGACGATCATCGAACTTGGATGGGATTGAACGCGTCATAACGCGACGCGACGCGACGCGGGAGAGAGCACAGGCCACGGCTTCACCGCCCTGGTTGCCCCGTGTCCGGTGGTAAACAATGAATTTTAGCGCGGCTCCGCTTCTCTGCTCCTGCCTGCCACAACCTACTTTGTTCTTGTTCTGCACAAAGCGCGCGTGCCAGCTACAACCCGGATCGCCGTCCTCTGCACTACCCTCGTCTCACGCTCCATCTTCCGCACCCATCATCCGCAGCCATGGATTCCACTCTCAACCCCACTGCCAACATTACCGACTCCATCCCGGAGGCCAACAAGGCCTCGACGCCCGCCAAGCCTGCCAACAACGGCAATGTCACCAAGCGGTAATGCTTTCCGGTGAAGCCGCCGCCTGGGAACCACCGCAGCTGACCGTCCCTGCGCAGTCTTCAAACCGAGCTGATGACTCTCATGATGTCGCCTTCTCCCGGTGTTTCGGCCTTCCCTAACGAGTCCAACTTCCTCGAATGGACGGGCACCATCGAAGGCCCCGAGGGCACGCCTTACGCTGGCCTTACCCTCAAGCTGTCGTTCTCCTTCCCGCAGAACTATCCCTACGTTCCGCCGACCGTGCTGTTCAAGACGCCCATCTACCACCCCAACATTGACTTCTCCGGTCGCATCTGCCTTGACATCCTGAAGGAGAAGTGGAGCGCCATCTACAACGTACAGTCGGTGCTGCTGAGCCTGCAGAGCCTGCTTGGCGAGCCGAACAAGTAAGTCGAATAAGCTGCCTTCAAGCTCCATGAACTAACGGTTTGTAAGTGCGAGCCCGCTAAACGGCCAGGCTGCTGAGCTCTGGGAAAAGGATCCTGAGGAGTTCAAGCGCAACGTCCTTGCCCGTCACCGCGACCTCACTGAGGAGGAGCTTGCTTCCTAGACGTCGTGCATGTTGCACAATTGACTTTTTACGATACCAGGCGGCTGTGCATGGCGGGCGTGGGTCTACGGTTTGTGATTTGGGTACTCTTTTGTGTTGGCGCTGAGGGGAAATTCGGCTGTGGCTGCGGGAGTCTGTCCCAGGTTTCTTGGTTGCATGGCAAAGGTTGCATAAAGGGAATTGCTTTTTGATCGCCGAACTCTTCGGAGTATGATTCCAATTCTGTCTCCTACTGAGTCCAACTGCTTTGGTTATGCAATTAATTTGCTCTTAAACGCATTTGTAGTTGATGCTCTTCATTGGGGATTCTCTTGCAAGTCTGACCAACTGCGTCTCCTTCAGGATCTCCACTCTTAGCTTTTCTATCTAGCCGTTGCAGGACTTTGAGGCCTGGATTCGTGAATCTTTGTTAACATGGAACGTCGTCTTGGGCTGACTTGAAAATGGTTTCGGACTACAAATACAATTAAGTGCGGATCATTCTTAGATTCGTATCATCGTCTTGCACCCAGACTCCTGGGAGCTTACATCCTCTGCGCCCTCAATAAGGCTCACTTTCGGCGAAGTGACAAAATGCAACATCCTACCGTATGCAATCCAGTACAGTGCCCTGGATGTTTCTCAGTGACTAGGTCATATACGTCACTGAAAGCTTATGGCTGACCCTTTGCCGTTTACGAGGTCCGCTTGCTATTCGTACCATTTGGGTCGATACGTTATATATAAGCCAACATGATGAAAGGGAGAGTCGAGCCAATCCGTTGCAATTATTGGCAAATTGAGGAGTTGAAAAAAAAAACCGCACAACTCGAACGGATGGCTTATCATCAACATTCATGGCTGCTCAAAATGCCTTTGATTTATTCCGGTTATTTGCTTTATCCAGACGCTTGCATCATCTTTTGGATCTTCAAAGTGATGGATTCGAAATGAATTCCACTGAAGATTTCCGACCTCATTTCATAGCGACAGCCCAGTAGAGAGCTCCCAATTCAAATGGGTCTAACAGCAGAGAGTATTCTTGCCTCCGGTGAAGTGCGACTTCAGAAGCAGCTGAAGCATGTAAGAGCGAATACTCCAGCCCCAACATTGTGCGCCTTTGGAGCCATCTAACAGCGTTCATCGCTGCTGTAGGCACTCACTTACTACTGATGATTGGCTGTACGATTAGAACTATACCCAATTAACAAACAACCATTGCTCGCCCATTCCTCATGTAGGGTGCTTCATGCGTTTCATAAATCCAACCTGAATCACATTTTCTTTGATTCAACACGTGTGTTGCTCTCAGCACATGCCACAAACTAGATTTTCATTTAAGGCCGTTCCTGCATGAAGCGTTGCCAGTTTCTCAAATCTCGACACACACATAAAACGTCAGATCAGCATTTCCCCGCCCCATCCCCAGCAAGTGATTCCTCCATCCACATCTAGACCTGTTCTCCAAGTGACTGGCAGAAAATTACAATTCATGGCCGGGTGTCGATTGGCAGCGATCACCCCACGCCTCCCAGACGCCCCGAGAGAGGATCCCGACCGATGCAGTGGAACCCGAGGTGGGATACCGGTGGTAACATTTACACAACATGAAGCATGCGCATCATCGTTCATCATGGCTGCACGCAATACACAATTGCCGCGCCAACCGCTGAGCCATTCTCGTGATCTTTTCTGGAATACGCTTGCGTGTGCAACAATACAATTCGTCAGAATGGGTCAAGACCAAAACAAGGAGCGCGAGCATTTCGGGGAGAGAGGCTGGGTTAAAGTCTAGGACATGCAGTGTGACAATGGCACAGAAGGCGGGGCGGGAGGGAGAAGAGGGAGGCACACAGCAAAGTCTGTCGCACATGAACAACTCAGTAGTCATGGGCTCCTGTGGGGATTTTCCTGCCCTCCATCAACCCGCGTCAGGCCATGGTTTGACGGAAACGAGGACAGGCTGCTGTCTGCGCATACTGCTTGCGTTGGTCGGCATTGCGCCCTCTTCAACCCCGGCCATTTTGAGTTTGCATTCCTTTGAGCTTGCTGGGCACGCGCAATATGTCAAATCGGTGCTGACGCGTCCACACAGAGACATGGCTGCACGTGCAGTAGTAGTGCGCATGCCTAAGGAATCACGCAGCTGAGGGCTTCTTCGCCAAGTGGGATGGGGGTGGCCTGAGTTCTGGTGGTGGCTGACCGGCGGAAGTGTTCGCCTTATTTTTGGAGTCTCGGCGCCTGGTTGCCAAGTGCAACAACGGTAGCCCGGCGAGGTACGGACGGTGGGGGAGGGCGTAGAGGTCTTTGGGGTCCGGTGTTGCGAACTAAAAGGTACCAGAGCCACAAAACGCGAGGAGTAAGATCGAATGATCAGTAGATTTTAGTGCCCGCGGCCAACATTGTGTGTGTGCCTCCGGCCGTGGCGATCATCCAACTCCGTGCCTGCATGCAGGCAACTCGTGCCTTGTCTGGGCGAGTGGCTTTGAGCCTGCGGCCGGGGAAAATCCACGCGCGACATACCTACAGTTGTGAGTGGCCGAATCGTCGATCCCGCAGCAACTCAACACGCTACCGCGAATCCTGGATCGGCGGATGTGTTTGGTTTTTACCCCGCAGCCAGAAACATTCTGGTAAAGGTCCGGAAGATGGGTGCTTTTCGCTTGGGCGCAAGTATGGATGAAACTGGAATGGAAGGGGAAGTTGGTTTCTGGACCTGGCTGCAAGCACGGCTGTCGCTCCGCATATGGCCAGGTCCCTTTTGTTTCGACATTTGCACAACCTCAGTCCTCCAATTATTTAAGCAGGTCGCTGGAATCAGGAAGCTCGCTCGGGCGGATACCAGGAAGCAGTAAGGCAGCAGGGTTTCCCACATCCGGACTCGGTCCGCGCAGCTTCCCAACACTCCGCAATCCCCGGATTCTCAATTGCCGACAGTAGCCGGAAGCCCAGAAAGTGGTAGGCGGCTATTGAAATCCGGCGTTCCCGGCATTCCTCCTGTAAGAAGAAGGCGAACAAATATCTCGAGCCGAACCTGCAGGCAAGCTTGGCTCTAACTGCATGTTTAGAGCCCGTCGACTTTCCTGCTCGGATGACTTAAGCAAGAGCTTCGCCGTTAGCTAGGTATACATTTGAGCGCTCATGGGCACTGGATAGTGAGCTTTGGGGCGCGTCTGACATGGGCGGCCGAAGCGGGGGCGAACTAAAGCTCCAAGCAAGATCCAAAGAGTCGGTTAGTCGGAAGCGATATTCAACGTTTTCGATTCTGGATGCCATGCAGACGTGCCAAGAGTCATTTATGCAGCAACCATTTGTTCGTACCATGTCAAAAGGTCTTGTAGCACTGCACTGGGTGGAGTTTGTAGGCACACCCTGTCATACATTAGCACTCATGCATCGAACAAGTATTTAGGGATGACATGGTGAAGAATAGAGAGCTGATGCTCGGTGCCTCACGGATCTCAAACTAACGGATTGTGTGAAGAGCTTTAGCCCAATGGCTGTGCCGGTCCAGCTTAACCGTTTATAGACCAATAGCCCCAGGGAACAGCCTCTCCAGAGTCCGAGACGGCTCATGCGGTGGGTTGCCGGGCGGCTAAGTGCTGGCGGCGAGCCCCGCTTGGCCTGTTTAGGCAGTTGTGTATAGCTCCCTAAGCCAACTTGACCTGCTTGGCACGTATAGCAGAAATACAACAGTACTTAGAAGACGGACTGCTGGATGCTTACCTCCGGAGGCCGATGGTATAAAGCAGTGAAGTGCTGGGCATCAGAGCTGCGCTACTCTCGCGGCAGCTGTCACTGCGTCCCGAGCTTCGCGCCCTCTCCAAAATGCTTGTTTCTGTCCTTGCGGCTGCGCTTCTGCTACCGTGGTGCCATGCGCTCCCCGCAGGCGCCGCCAAGGACGCTGGTCTCGCAGGGCGCCAGACGAGCTGCGCTGGCGTCCACATCCTGATCGCCAGAGGCACGACAGAAGAGTACCCGGGCGACATGATCACGCTGGCCAACTTGATCATTGCAAACAACGCGGGCGCCGATTACGAGGACATCATTTATCCCGCGACCTTCGACTACATTGCCAGCACGCAGCAGGGGATGAACGCCACCAAGAGCCAATTGACAGCGTACGTCGAGGCGTGCCCGGAGTCGAGGATCGTTCTCTTGGGCTACTCTCAGGTCAGTGTCGCCCCATGGCCGAGGCCGCTCCGCTCCTTTTCCATTCCATATTAACTTGGGCGCACGGGAGATTTTGGAGGGGCGCGCGGCTAAACCGTGTTGTTGATTTAGGGAGCGCACGTCACGGGCGACGCGCTTTGCGGTGGCGGCGGCTCTGGCCTGGGCGCTGCGACGGAGCCCGTTTCGACGGACGTCGGCGAGCATGGTAAGATTGATTGGAAACCGCCAGACCGCCAGAGTCGGTTGCAGCTGACGGGACGCAGTTGCCGCGGCCGTCTGGTACGGCGACCCAAGACATGTCGCCGGCCAGTCGTACGACGAGGGCACGGCGACGACAAGCGGAGTACGCATTCCTCTCCGGTGCCCCAAACGAGCGCTGCTGATCCCCTGGCCAGATATACCCGCGCACCGCGGCCCAGCTGGCCATTTTGGCCGAGTCCTACGCCAATAGGATCCGCTCGTACTGTGACGACAACGACTTTGTCCGTGCCCGTGTTCTTAAATTTGCAAGGCAAGCCAGGGCTGACATATAAATGGTTGCTTTAGGCGTGCGCCAGCGGCAGCAGCGTTTCCGTGCATGGCCAGTACCCTGAGAATTACGACGAGGAAGCGGCTGCGTGGGTGCAGACGTTGCTATGACGGCGGCGTCAAGGGGCTTTTCTTTTATCGTTTGGGCCATGAAACGGGCAGGGCGACGGCCGGTTTCACAAGCGCGGTTTCAGATCGCGCCCCGCGAACAATCCAGAGGCTCTTGAAATGGAATCCGCCCTCCGCATGACGGATGCGGCGTGCTCGGTGTGCAAAAAGGAACATCGTCATGTCGGCCCAGAGCGGCTAGTGGCTTGCATCTGCCATGATCTCACACGCAGAGGCCACTCGCCGGCGATCGAATTATAGGCACACCTCGAGCCCGCGTGCTGACATCCCTTCCAGCTGCTGGCGCCAGGGATGGAGGTCATTTCTCAGGCCACTAGTGAGAGGTGACTGGCGCGCGGCACACGTGAGCGCTGCCGGCAGCGTGACCCCACCGCCGACGAACAACACGAGGTCATGGACACTCCCTCCGGCGGCCCGTGGCCCTGCGGCAGCATGGCAAGTGGAGGAGGGTCGCCGCGCTGCAGGAACCGCGCCATGCAAACCAGCGGTGGCCGGCCGTCCGTCGCTGCGCAGGGCTGCTGGATCGAGGCGGTGCGCGGGGCCCTGCGGCTGACAGGGTCGTCGAGGCTCTGGCCCTGGGCAAATGTTTTCCTTTTTTAAGCAGCCGCTTTCCCGGCGACCCGACCAGGGCCCAGGAACGCTCTCCGCCGGGGCGCCGGGGGTCTGAGGGCGAGGGCCGGGCGCGCGCCGGGCAAGCGAGCGCGTCGCGATTAATGGGGGTGCAGCTGTTCTCGCCGGTCCCGGCGCCCTGAATGAGTCGGCTCGGCTCCTGCCCGTGGCTGGACCCGACGCGGGGGCAGCCAGCGGGCAGCGGGCAGCGGCCTCGGACGCCGCGAGCGCGAGAGGCTCCCTTGGGTTGGCGGCCGGGGGAGGCCAGCGACGTTTGGCTGCGCCCGTTGATCTCCTTCTGCTTTGATCAGCGCAGAGTCCCACGAGCTTGGGTTAGGGCCCGCCCGCCGCGAGATGCCGCGACATGCAAGGATGAGCGTGCGGCAACACTCGACCAGCGTCAGCGCGTGGCTGCCTGCCAACAAAGGCCCAGCGTGAACAAAGCACGCCGCAGCTGGAGCTGAGCGTGGCCGCCCGCAATGCCCGGTGAGGGTGCGCCAACCCGCATCTGGTGCGGCGGATGACGCGGGCACAGCGGAAGCGACGCCAGTGGGCGGAAGAGCCCACCTAGGGCCAACGCCAATCGATCTGGAGAGTCTGGCTGGCCGGCGGTGATGCCCTGCGCCCGCCGCCGTCCGTGGACACGCGGACCGGTGCTCGCAATATGTCTGCTGCGTGAGCGTGTGCCGGGCGAAGCGCGTGCGACGGCGGGCGGGCGGGCAGTGCCGGCGGGCATTGAAGCCCCGGCCCTGGCCTGCTGCTGCGGGCGCGATGAGGTACCGTAGTCGTAGCGCCATCGAGCTGCGCCGCCCTCTCTTCACCCTCACAAAGGCCGTTTCGATCCGCCAGCGCAGTGGCTTACCCACGCACGCCACGCCCGGCCCTTTCGTCGCCTCGCTCGGCTTTGACTGTCTCCCAGGGCTCGCTTGCACCTGGCTGCCCCGACTCCGCTCGGAACCCGTACCCTACCTCCATTCCGCACGCTCACCACCTCACTACTGCACCACCACACGCCGCTCAGCTTGCTGCGTGCTCCGCATCCACCGCTCCACCCTCCCCAAACCCGCACGCCAACGACAACCCTGGCTCTTCAATTGCTCCGCCAGTTTGCCCGTGAAGCTGCCCGCCCAGGCGAGCCGGCTTCGCGCTCCATCTCACCACCGCCGCCGCCGCCCTAACTCCGATCTCAGCCCGGACTCCCTCACACTCACTCCACAACCCGCGACCGCCCTTTCGCAACACCAGACTCCTGTCCAGCCAGCACCTTCGCCATGGGTTCCGACCACGCGTCGGCTGCCGCCGTCGCCCTCTATGGCGCCCCGGACGAGTACATAGGCGAGAAGCAGATACCCAGCTCCAGCAGGCGCACGCCCGTCATGCAGGTTGAGATGACTCAGGACGTCATCGACGACATGCTCCAGAGCATCCGTGACGGTCGTCCCCCGATGATTCAGTTCAGCCAGAACCCCGTGCGTGCTCCAAGCTCTTGCTGCCGTGTCGACGCATCTCACTGACCGTCACCTCAGATCCTCAAGATCGGAGACACCAAGATCGTCCTCGACGCGACAAAGGAGAAGTTCAGGAACGAGCTGTACCAGACCGTCGGCACCGACCCGGAAGACGGCAGCAACCATGTCGCCAGCGACTTTTTTGGCACCGTCGACTACCGACTCGCTCTCCAGAGGGCTAGTGAAGCCAGTCGGGCTATGAACAGGACTGACAGCGCTCTGGAAACTCTCAAGTCGAACATGGAGGCAATCCGCAAGTCGAAAGAAGCGCCAAAGTGGGAACCCGTCATTGTCAGCCAAATTCAGTTAAACATGCTAACTTCTAAACGCCGAAGGGTATCCATGGACATCGACATCGACAAAATGAAGCGGCTCCAACAGAACAGGTATGTTAAGACAAGCCGCGGAGCTGTCCTCGGCAGTAGACTGGTCGCTTCAAGCTCGAATGCGTCGAGCCCTGCCCTTTCCGCCGCCTCGCCGCGACCGACCGCACCGACCTCTGCACCAATCTCCAAGAAAACGTCGGCCATAGAATCAGCGTTACGCAAGGCCCTCGTCCACATGCTCGCTCTTAAGCCCGTGAAGCTGCAGGATCTCGCTCGTAAGATGAGGATTGCGAAGGAGGACATCTCACCGACCTTGGAAAAGATTGCGAAGGAACAGGGAGGAGAATGGAAGTTGACGGACAAGGCATACAAAGAGTTGGATCCGTTCAGCCCAAGCATTCGATTCTGGACCGAGGAGGAGCGTAAGCAGGCAATCGAAAATGCCATCCGAGCCCTGGATCGCCAGAGGCTTGATCCTCATGACAAGATCTGGCAGAACCTTCTTCCGGAACATGATCGCGGCAAGGGAAAGGTTCTATCCAAGTTGAGTCTGAGTGCCTCCAGCACCGCGCCGAAGTCGTCGACCCCGTCCTTGAAGCCATCTATGGGTAACAAGCAGAGGCTTGCCCAGATGACGAAGAAGAAGACAGAACCCAAGAAGAAAGAACCAAGGAAGAAGAAGAGTGAGGAGGATGCGTTCGGTATCGCCACACAGAAGAAGCCCAAGTCTTCTGCAGCGGAGAGCACAGCTGCATTGGGACAGAAGAAGCCACTTAAAAGGACGGACGGCGAAGAGAAGGAAGCTACAGCTCTCAAGAGGAAGATCGAGAAGGCTTCCAGTGAGGAAGACACCGGGCGGACCACCTTACTGAAGACTACGAAACGCCCAATGGCTGAAGACCAGGCTGGTCAAAGCACGCCCAAGAAAGTCAAGAGGTCTACCCCCGACGAGGGAGAGGTCAGCCAGGTTGCGAAGAAAAAGTTACCGAAGGCGGCGAGCGAAGGCAACAAAGGTGTCCAGAACACAGTTCCGCAGAAGACAGCCCGGATTCCGAAGGACACCACCGCCAAGTCGAGTGCAACGGCTGCGTCTGCCAAGCTTAACAAAGAGAATGCTCAGTCAGAACCAAAGGTCGGCAGCAAGCCTGTCACTAAGAAACAACTACAGTCTACCAATACCGCTCCCACAGCGGCAGCCTCCAGGAAGTCTGCAAGCAAGTTGAACGAGCAGAAAGCGGCCGAGCACACGGTTGGGAAGAGCATACAACCCAAGATCAACGGGCTGCCATTCACTTCTACAAAGAAGGTGGCGGATGCCGTATCCTCCAAGAATCCATCATCGACTGGATCTCCGGTCACCAATTCCGACGTGGAGAAGTCACGCGCGGTCCACAAGTCTTCGACCCCCGGCAACTCCGACCGTACTTTGAAGCGCAAGGCGAACGACATCGACAGTGACATTCACAAGCACGACGTCAACATCAAACACCGCAAGACCACCGGACACACTCCCATGTCCAACACTGCAGCTACAGCGACCCCTCCTAGCAGCGAGAGAACTTTGCTGAAGCGCAAGGTTGAAGGACCTATGGTGGAATCCAAGCAGCCTACGGCTAAAAAATTGGCCGCTACTTACAAGGCTCCCAAGCCGACGCAAACCCCGACACCCAGCTACTCTGGAGCGTCATCAATCTCTTCGACCTCGTCAACCCACTCTCACCAGCCGAGCGCTGGACATGTTCACCACCACGATTCCCCGCAGAGCTTTCACGATGCTAGCTCTGCTTCACCCGAGCAGGGCCAGCCTCTGAATGTCCGCCGTGCGATCGAACTGAGTGCCCAGTTCAAGCGCTGCTATGCCAAATACCATGCGCTGTACATCTCCATCCAGAGCCGCCAGAACAAGCCTCCGACGGAGCAGGAGCTCGAGGAGATCCGCAAGAAGGCGGCCATCCTCAGCAACATGAAGAAGGAGATCAAGCGGCTCACGGCTAACCCAGAGGGTTAGACAGTACATATAGTACCCAACGCGGTAATTTCATGACACGAAAATGGGGTTGATAAAGATAATTGAAATCTCCCGACATGGTCAAGGGAGCGGGTCTTCGATAAAATGATGATGGTGTTGAACGGTTATTAAAGGATGAAAGCGAAAATGAACTCGGAAGAGCTGCAAAATCAACCGTACATTCAATCAAGCTCTCAATTACCCTTCTTGCTACTACGATGATGGTTTGCGGTGCTAAATGAGTCCGCTTCGTGCTAACACAGTAGTGACGTTGCCGGTGCATGGAAGATCGTGGAGACGTTTGCAGGGCCACCCTGGTTGGTTCGGAGCCTAAATGCGGAAGCTTCGTCATCCAGCGTCCCGATGATAATGTGGAGGAAATTAAGGCAGGGCACTCGCAAATGGCACGTCGCAGGATGGTTCGCATAAGGGGATTATGGAGATTGGATTATTGAAGGGCGTCTGTGAGCAGCTCCCTTGCTGGCATGGCTGGATTGGTGTAATGCATTCGGACTTGCAAAACAGCACGTAAAGGAGAGTATTGATATGCGTACGCCCCGTCGGCCGCTAGGCATAATTATCAGCACAATGCCTGTTCGTAATGCTAGTATTTTTTTTTTAAGGAGAACAGCAGGAGCATGGGCGATCCTCCTGCCTAGATAAGCATCATGTTCGAACAGTGCGATAGCGCAAGAGAGCAATTTCTTTCATCAGACATTATGTTTTGTATGTACGCTTTGTCTTACGGGCCGAGGTGTATCTACGTACTCGAAGACTAAATCTTCTGGGCGCGCATCTTTAATAAGAGACGGCCGGCAAGCCCGACAAAGTTTCCACAAAGGGTGGCGCAATCAAGGGCCCTACGCATTGCAAACGCCGACAAGGAAACACGCGGAAACACAAGTTGTGAGACCAGACCAGGCTTTCTAAACTTCCCAGAGGGGCCAGGGTGAACAGAGCGTATGTACGATGAGCGTGCATGCTTCTGTAGACAGCCGATGTCGATAGTTGTAGGGACATCGGTGCCACGGCGTGACGTCGAGCAGGCCTTCTTGCTTGATCAGGCGAGGATTTGCTTCGAGGGTCAGTCGACGCCGCCGTTCTGGTGCTTGCGCTTGCCGTTGGTGGCTTCGTCCAATGCAGCGGCATCCCTTGCGGTCTGCGTGTCGAGCGTGTCCTTGTAGCTCTCAGGCAAGCCCGGAATGCTGGCAGGGTCGATGCCCTTGGCGCGGGCAGCCTCGACTAATCTCTGCTGTTCAGCATACTGCTCTCTCATGTACTTCACGGTGGCGTCGAGGACGATGGCTTCGCTCCGGCCCTGGCCCTCCATGCCGGGCACAATGGAGGCCAGGCGGTCGAAGCCCTGGCGGATGGCCTGGCGGCGCTTCTGCTCGGAGGCGATGTGGTTGTTCTTCTTCTCCTCCTCGGTCAGGCGCGGCTTCTCGGGCTGGCCCGGGGCCTTGCTGGCGACGGGGGGCGACGTGGACATTGGAAGCGCGGGCGGTGGTGCGTTTGGCAGAGGTGCTGCGGAGACGGAGGCGGAGGAGCCGCGGTTTTTAGACGGCGCTCAGATCGCCCGGCGCCGTCCCCACGCGAAGCTGGGCGCCATAGGTCTCCTCTCAGCCCTGCAGCGAGCCTGAGGGTGGATACGGGCACCCATCCCTGTCGTGCCCGCGCAATTTGAAACATTAACGACCTTCCACGTCCCTCTCACGACCCCCAAGACCCTCCTCAGCGAGCGGCCGACCCAGCCCACGCCCGCAGCGCCCGCCGTCCGCCGTCGCCGAGCTCCCTCGCACGCCGCCGCCGCCTCACCGCCCCAGCGTCAACGTCGCCGCTGCGGGCTTGCTATCTGTGCCCAACCAGCCCAGCCCGCCCCTCTCGAATGACATGCGCTGCGGAGCCCGCGCCTGCTCCAAGTCCGTGAAACACCACACCCGCCCGCAGCAATGTCGACCTCGTCTCACCACAGCCGCTCAATGAGCAACAATCGCTGGCGCTTCAACAGCTTGGTGCAGGAGGAGCGCTCCAACCGCCGCAGCTCGTCCTACTCCCGCAAGCGCGTGGTCAGCCCGCAGGATGCCTACACCTATGCCCTCCGCGTGGCCTTTCTCTCCTACCTGCTCCAGCCGCGAGCCCGCCGCGTGCAGCACGTCCCAGCGCCCAAGCAGCTGCACCGCTCCTCGACCTCCGTCACTGATCTCGTCAAGGACTTCTCCCTGATAAGGGACAGCAAGAGCACAAAGTTCCCCCATGGCTTCATGAAGGAGCTCGACAAGCGTCTGACCGGCGTGCTGGTCGGCAAGGAGAAGATGCCCGAGTACAATGACCCGCAAATCAAGTCGACCTTTGCCGGCTTCTTGAACGAGTTCAAGGACCCCAAGTTCAGGAAGACCATGGAAGAGAACCGCCGCGTCGAGGATCTGCTCCTGATCTTCTTCTCCAACGCCACCAAGATTATGCAGCGAGGGAAGGCTCCCGATGACGACAGTTGGCGCCTCATGGTCGATCGCCATGTCGCTCTGTTCATCCGTCTGATCAGCTCGACCCTCCGCAACCACGACTGGACCCGTGACAGGCCCGAGCTTTTGTCAAGGCTGACAACAATGGAGAAGAAGCTTCTGATGCACGACCAAGACTTGGCCGCTGCTTCACAACGGAATGGCGGCGCGGGTGGCTCGACCGTCGAGGTCGAGGTGCCTCGGAGTTACGAGGTCAAGGATATGCCCCTGGTCTTGGTAGTGTCACGGATATTCAGCGTCCCGTACGATACCGTGCAACAGGACATAAATGCAAAGAAGGACGTCTGGACGGAGAAGGCTGCGCTGCAGGACCTGAAGGCCTATCAAGCTAACCTGAGTCTGAACACGAGGCAGACACTGAGCCCCGACGATTTCGACACGGAGGAGGCGTACGACGCATGGAAGAAGGGAGAGACCCAGGACTTGTCTCAAATGATGTTGGCAATCATCCAGTCCAGCCCTGAGCTCGCAAAGAGCAGCGGTGGCGCACTACCGCAGTTCAAGCCGGATCGTGGAAGCGTCGTAGACCCCGCCTATTCGGAGATGGCCAGGAAGATGTCGGAAACTTCGGAGGGTGGTTCCTATGTCATCGATCAGCCAGTTGATGTGTCGTCTCTGAACCTGAACGATATTCCAAGCCCCACTGAGGACGGTAGCACGCCCTATACCTACATCCCTCCGGACCCAAGGGCATTCTATCGTGCCATCGTCAAGCAAGCCTTCACGTATGATTTGCAAGATGACGGTCTAGACCCCTCAAGCCCGACGGGAGATACACCGGCCATGAAATTGCTATCCAAAGACTCTACGGAGCTACTGAGTGAGATTGGCTTGCGCTGGCGGGTTCCTCAATTTTCTCGGCTCGTGCTCTTCTTGGATGTCGTTAAAGAGAAATACCAGCAAACAGAAATCAGCCTGGAAACACTGGACGACGCATTCACTTTTGTCAAGCAGCCGCCGCTTGAGAACAATAAGAAGGGCAATAGGTCTAGCGTCATGGTGTTGCAGCAGACCACAATGTTCGATCACACCAAATGGACCATTCACGATTTCGTCCTGAAGCAGCAGATTCTGTCGTCGTTGCATGAGGACCTTCTTCGTGAACTCTTCCAACTCATGCTGTTCTGCTACGACGCCAAGCCCCCAACTCTCGGCCCGGTAATGTTCGTGCTCAACAACCATATCTACGATGATCCGTTGTTTAGTGGAACGCCTGAAGACCTCGACGAGTATTCAGCCAAGCTGACGGATGCACTTGGAAAGCGGGCAGCCGAAGTTTACAGCGAAATTTTGGCAAAGAACATCCCTGACACCAAGGATGAGTGGGAGTTCTTCCACGTCATCGAACTCGGAAAGGCAGTGATCAAGCTCTGTGAGAAGATCCAGAAGCGCTACCGCAAGAACCCAGAGATCATGGGGTAAGGAGCAGTCCTCTGTCCATCTAATGCGCCTACTAACCTCAATCATAGAGTAAACCCTCTTAACGTGCTTGTCCAAGAAATTCTCCCCTCATACGCTGCGGATGCTAGGGACTTAGTGGCCAAAATCATGGAGTTCTCGCAGCAGAAAGGCGAAGAGGTCCCCATCCCTGATGGTTTCGACCTGTACAAGGAGCTGGTTGAGATCCGCCGCATTCATGCTGATGCCTTGCCAGAGTGAGCTGTGCAACCCAGTCTGTACAACCCCGTGCTAACCCAGTCGCAGTCGGCCGTTTGCTTTCCATATCGAGGACCTTCTTCAAGACTTTGTTTGGCGTTGGATTGACATGACCAACCAAAATCTCGTCCAATGGGTGGAGAATGCTGTCAAGCAGGATGACTTTCAAGTTCGTATGGAATTCCCAGATCAAGTCCCCACCGACGATGAGCGCCATAGTGTTTCGGTTGTGGATATCTTCCGCTCGTTCAACCAGTCCATCGAGCAAATCGTGAACTTGAACTGGGACGACGATCTCCAGTACGCCAAGTTCATGACTGCAACTTCGAAAGCCGTTGGCGATGCTCTTGCCCGGTATTGCGAAATGCTTGATACCATGTTCAGTAAGGAGATGGAACGCTTGACTCCGGAGCAGGAAGCAGCGGCGCGCCAAACTCGCCAGGAAAAATGGCTGCAGATGGCAAAGGATACTTGGAACAACAAAGACAAGATCGAACCGTATCAGTTCTTGCCAGAGGTACTTTTTGACTCTCAACACCAACCCGTCAACACTTCTGGGCTCAACGTAGCCCTAGTTCGGTTCCTGCTGACTTTACGCCAACCACAGTCTCTCGTGAAACTCAACAACATCGAATACGCTACGCAGCAGCTTGACAAGCTCGAACGCGAAGTCAACGTCGACGCGTGCGCCGAAGTTATTCAGAAACACACACCCCCCTCTAACCAGCGACAGAAGATGACCAAGTATGTGTTCACCATTAAGATCATCGAAGCAGAAGACATCAAGGCTTGCGATATGAACGGACTTAGCGACCCGTACGTTGTTCTGGGCGACGAGTATCAGAAACGCCTAGCAAAGACCCGTGTTGTATATGGCAGTCTTAACCCGCGTTGGGAGGAGACGGTAGATATCACGACGGCAGGACCTCTCAACATCATTGCGACCATTTGGGATTGGGATACCCTAGGCGACCACGATTGTGTTGGTAGGACTTCACTGAAGCTTGACCCCTCTCATTTCCGTGATTTCATGCCGAGGGAGTATTGGCTTGATCTGGACACGCAGGGCCGCCTCCTGCTTAGGGTGAGTATGGAAGGTGAGAAGGATGACATCCAGTTCTACTTTGGCAAGGCTTTCCGGACCCTGAAGAGGTCGGAGCGCGATATGACTCGCAAGATCACGGACAAGGTGAGGCACGCAAAGATTTGTTCAAGGTTGCTTGACTAACGCCGCGCAGCTCTCCTCGTACATTCACTACTGTCTATCACGCCGTGCCTTGAAAGCACTTCTGAACCGCGGTGTTACTGTCTCAGCAGTTGCGTCGTACTTCCGTGCAAGACCTCAGTCTGTCCAGCAAGGGCCTTCGCAAGCGGACGTCATGAACGCGCTTCAGCCGCTTTTCGGTTACTTCAATGATAACTTTGCGCTGATGAAGGAGACGCTTACAGACAGTGCTATGGTCATGGTCATGTCTCGACTCTGGAAGGAGGTGCTGGCTGTTCTTGAGAGTCTTCTGGTGCCGCCTTTGAGCGACAAGCCCAGTCAGCAGAGGCCTCTCACGCAGCAAGAGTTGGATATTGTCTTCAAATGGTTGCAGGTGCGTTCAATGCCCCAGGTCTACTTGCCGTGACTTGTACTTACTTATATCGCAGCTTCTGTTTGACTTCTTCCACGCAGTTGACGAGGAAACCGGCATCGCATCAGGAGTTCCTCTTGATATTCTCAAGTCTCCCAAATACCACGACCTGCAGAATCTGAACTTCTTTTATTTCGAATCGACGGAGAATCTCATCCGCACGTCTGAGGCAATGGCCGCTGCATCGCTTCAGAGGCAGCAGGAGAAGGCTGCTCGGAACAACCGTCTCTCTTCACCTGCCCATCTCGGAGGGCCTCCTGCCGGCCATAGCTTCGGTGGCGCTGCTGGCTTGGTCGGCATGCCGACTCGGAAGCACAAGACGGTGATGCTAAGCCGCAATTTGGGCACCATGAAGAGGGCGAAGGAGGAGAAGAGAAAAGAGGCGCAGGCAGAGCCAAGCGACGACATGATCCTCAGGATTCTGCGCATGAGGCCCGAGGCGGAGAGATACTTGCGCGACCGGTCGAGGCAGAAGGAGAGACTGGCAGCAGCAGCAGCAGCCGAGATGATCGTCAAGCAGAGCTTGCTTGCAAGCAATTCTAGGAGATAAGGGCAACCTTGCGGTAAGACTGGAATATGATTTCAACGAATTCGGAGAGAGGGATTGAATGTTGGGGGAAAATTGCAACCGGCAAGTTAGACTTGCACACGAGCGAGCAACGAACACATACACAGCAGGCGCATGCACACACCTATACTCGGCCAGGCAATGAAAGACGTCCCGGAAAGCTCTTTTGCCGCCTTTTTCATCATCATCATCGTCATCGTCATCATAACTCGGCTTCTGGTCTGCTTTGGTTTTGTGGGTCTTTTCATGTCATGACAGCGAGGGAGTCTTTGGTTGCGCAACGGCAAAGTTATGGGAGACACGTCTCCTTCTTTCCCTTCGAACCTTCCCGGTCATCGTTCATGAGCAATTCAGGTCCTTTTTTTTCTTCTTTCTATTATCTATCCTGATGCTTTTGGGACGGTTTGGGCAAGAATGAGCGATGAATGGTTCGGTGGATGGAAGGGGGTTTTCGGAAAGCGGGCCTAATTTTTCTTGAGTTTCTAGTTGCCTTTTCGTTTCCCTTGTAATGCGATAGTAGTCATGGTTGCTCTGGGAGCCCGGTATTTTCTTTCTGTAGTAATTAGGGAAATGAATTTGCTTGATTTATGCCATGGCTGACTCGTTGACCAAATGGTGTTGAGACTGAGCCAGCTGGGATGTAAACGAGAGGAAAGACTGCTGTGACGATGTGAGCCGTGGCATCTAGCCATTGGGTTTTGCTACATTCAAAGTGACGGACATCTTGTAACTAACTCCATACAGAGGGGTATCGCAGCTAAAGGCTAGCGCGAAGAATAGCAGGATCCTCGATCCAGGATAATTATGCCTCAGCATTTGTTAAAAATAAAATAAAATATGGGCAGTTGAAGCTATTGTCCGGATGAGAATGTCGAATTAAAAATTATACATATACGTCCGGACGATAGCTTCAACTGCAGATGACATGAGAGAGAAAAAAAAAACCAGATCTACGCCAGCCTTCGGATGCAATACCCCTCTGTAGGTGGTTGCAATGGAAGATCGATCGGCAGGGACCGATCCGCTAAGCTAGATCCTTCCCGCCCATCTCTGCTTGATATAGCAACGGGATCATCATCTGTCGGACTATCCAGCCACCCGAGCCGCACTTGGGGATTTTCGACGACGTCATCAAAAGGCGGATTAGGGCGAAGGGGGGGACAGTTGCGTGATGGCTTCGCGACTTGGTTTCAACGTGATATAAGCCATCCACCACCTCCTACGTCGATCCGTTATCGTGTCTACAGTCCACATGATTGTGCCCTATTTTCTTTGGTGAATCAAGCAGGAATCATTGCCATCATGTCGTCAACACGCGCTCAAGCCGAGTCTCAGCCTCACGCGGAGAGAGGGAAGCCAGCTCAGCCAGGCAAGCACACGGCAGCGAAGGAGGAGGATGACAACGCGGCACCGGTGTGGTGTCTAGCCGAGCTCGAAAGGACGGGCGCCATGCACCCGGACAGCTACAAGCACGCACCGGCACCGAAGGGCACCAGCAGCCCACACAAGCGCAAGGACAGCACCCAGGACGCGTCCGGCGGCTCCCCTCCAGCCAAAGCTGCGCGTTCCTCCCCCTCCAATTCCTTGGATCAAGGGCAAACGCAGGTCCTGCGCTTCCTGCTCTCCCCGCACGCGCTTCCTTACACGGCGCCGGAGGTTGAAGCCTCGCAGCCGTCCGGCGTGCGCACGTACGCGACGGCGCGGCTGACGCCGTTCGAGGAGCTGGTGGCGGCCGTTGTGCTGTCGCGGCCCGTCGCGCACGCGCTCGGGCAGCGGGCCATCCGCACGCTGCTGAACCCGCCGTACGGCCTCACGACTCCGAGTAAGGCCAGGGCGGCGGCGGGGGAAGGGAGGGTGCTGGAGGCGCTGCGGGAGGCGAGGACGCAGCATAAGGAGAAGACGGCCGAGGCGATTGGCAGGCTGGCGGATGTGGCGGTGGAGAGGTGGGGGGATGGGGGGTTGGAGGGTGTGAGGGAGGAGGGCGGGTGGGATTGTGATGAGGAGAGGAGGGTGTTGAAGGAAGGGGTGAAGGGGTTGGGGGAGACGGGGTTGGATATCTTCTGCAGGCGGGTGCAGTGGTTGTGGGAGGAGGTGTATCCGTTTGTGGATGGGAGGACGAAGGGAGCGCTGGAGCAGTTGGGATTGCCTGGGGAGGCGGAAGAGCTGAGACAGGGCTTGGAGAGTAGATGGGATGAATTGGGAGTGAAGGATATTGGGTTGAAGGGCGAGGAAGAGAAGAAGAGACGAGCGTTCGTGCTTGTGTTAGAGAGAGCTGTTGGAGCGAGTTTGGAGAAGAAAGTGCAGGATGTTCTGAGGGAGGCCGTAAAGGAGTAAGGCTTACGAAATGCAGAAGCTCGTGATTTCATGTGCTGTTCTTATTCATGCAAATAGCTGGCCAAACCATCATCAGACTTACAACAAACACGCAAGGCATTCATCCAGGTCCCAAGGCGGTCTACGTGTGGATGGAGATGATTCAGGCGGAACAAGACGACGCATGGCATTGCTGAAATGGAAATCCAGTGTTCGCCAAATCAACAGCGGATGCACGTGAAAATCGGCGATGACGAGTGTGGTTGTCTTAAGCGTGAAATAAAACGAAGTATAATGTGGGGCCAAACCCGGGAGCAAAAGTAAAGTTATTAGTGCAGGTGGGCGGAGTTGGATCCGTGTGAATGGCTGAAATAGGGCAACGTTCCTGGAGGGGAGCAGAGCCGTGTCTCGTGCGTGGATGGGTTAGGCAAGTGGGCGTGGCGCCATCGATGAGGATTCCCAGGTGACTGCGGTCAGCGGCAGGGCTGATCGCCATAAGCCGGCGAAGGTAGGAGACAGTCAGATGGCGCTGACGCTTTTATTAAGGCTGCGATGTCGAGTGAGGTGAGGTTTGTGCGACGCGTCACGGTTCAGTCGGTCCCCGTCGACCCGAAACCTGTCTCCGCCATGTCGAATCCCTGCCGAGCGCCATTTGCACCTTCCTCGTCGGCTTTCGTTCCCGTTCTCGGCCCATGCCGAAGTCAGCGACCCGGCCATCGGGCCTTCTGCTAGTAGCATTAATGCTTCCAGCTGAGCGTGCCGGCCACGCGCCGTGACGGTCATGCGAGCCCGTGGCGTCGATGAAAATCCGGGGCAGCGCGAGCAGAACCGTCGCATGACTCTGGGCCGGCGCGAAGGTGGATTGCGCGACCTGAGCTGATTGGAGATCTGCCGTTGCTTAGCGGCGCGACCTAAATCGTCATCTAACGGACCTCGTCGAGCTTTCATTCTGCCATTGGAACGTGCGCTGGCCTTGGCTGCCTTGCGCCGCTCCCCTGCCATCACACCGGCAAGCCCTGTACGGCATTGCAGTGTCTCGGTCATCTCCCTCGTTCGCTGCCAATATGCCATGCTGTCTTGAATTAGCCCTCGATAGCTGTGGCTATATAAGTTCGCCCGCCGCGAGCTGAGGGCTTGTCTGTTCCCATCTAGTTGTCCCTGAATCAAGTTTCATTCACCATCCATCTTGAGAACGTCATGGCCAGCCCAATCAAGCGCCTCGTCCAGCGCCTCCAGCGCCTCCGGAAGCAGAAACAAAGCCAATCCACGCCAGCAGCCCCGGCCATTCGCCGCCAGCAAGCCCAGCAGCCGATCCGTGCCACGGCCGATACTCTGAGCATTGACTTGGTGAACAACACTAACTCCAGCAATGTCTATGCCTACATTACCGGCCAGGCAATCGACAACAACAATGCCCTCTTCATCCTGAAGGCTGACGGCGTCAGCGCCTACTACCCAACCTCCCCCTCCAAGGAAGGCGCTGATCTCTCCGACGATGCATCGATTCCATTGGGTGCCCCGGGCTCGACAAAAACTGTTACTATTCCCCATCTTGCTGGCGCTCGCATCTGGTTCTGCGTTGACGACAAACTCACCTTCCTCCTGAATCCAGGGCCCGCTCTAGTCACCCCCTCAGTGACCAACAACTCAGACCCCAACATCAACAAGAAGTGGGACTTTTGCGAATTCACCTGGAACAGCTCCCAGCTCTACGCCAACATCACCTATGTGGACTTCGTCGGCATTTCTGTTGGGCTGAAGCTCACGAACACTGCGGGTGCCACCCAGTCGGTGACCGGAATGCCCGAGAACGGCCTTGACACCGTTTGCTCTGCTCTGCAGGCGCAATCCAGCAAGGATGGCGCGCCGTGGTCCAGCCTCATCGTCAAGGACTCCAGTGGTGCCAATCTGCGAGCGCTCTCCCCGAACAACGGTGCAGTCACTGGCAACGACTTCGGCACCTACTTTCAGGACTACGTGAACCGCGTCTGGTCCAAGTACGCCTCTGAATCTCTCAGTGTCAATACGCAGGCGTCGTTTGGTACTGTTACCGGCAAGATTTCGGACAACCAGTTTGTCTTCGATACCGAGACCTTCAGTCAGCCCTCAAGCGCCGACATCTTCTCCTGCAGCACTGGGCCCTTTGCCAATCCTTCTGGAAGTCAGCTCCGCAATGCCATCATTCCGCGTCTGGCTGCTGCGTTCAATCGCAGCACTTTGTTGGTTGATACCACCACACCGGCCACCAGCATCGACGAGTACTACACCGACGCCATCACCAACCATTATTCGAGGATTGTACATGAAGCAAACACAGATAAACGTGGCTATAGCTTCCCGTATGATGACGTAGCTCCTGATAATGGTGCAGATCAATCGGGAAGTGTGTTTGATGGGGCGCCCCAGGTGTTGACAGTCTACATTGGCGGCAATTCTTCGTAAGGAATCGCTCACCAACCCCCCTTTTCTAACGGCCTATTTGTTTTTTTTTCCTTATCTACAATAGTGTCTTTGCGCGTTGCAGACTATGGCATACACAATCTTCCACCGGGTGGTGGTGGTGGTGGTTGGGGTGGGTGCGGGAGCGTCAAGCAAATCTTTGCTGGGGGGCGAACTTTGGTATATAGGAGTCACGATAACGTATTTACTGTACATAAACCTTCGTTACATAGAATAACTGCATTTGTACAAGCTTTTTTTTTTTTATTTGCTGGGAGTGGGAAAGCTGCACCTGACTGTTTCCCGCAGATTCAGTGGCGCCCTTTTCCCGCTCGACGCTTTATTGATTACGTCACATGCAGCCGTAGTAAATCAGTACCATAAGCCACTCTGTGCATCATGGCTGTCCGCGGTAGGTGGGTTTTGGCTTCAGGCGATCCACTTGAGGGCCGAGATCAGAGGCTCCCGGAACGAGCCGCGACATGGTCTCAAGGGTGCTTGGTGCAACAAGGTCGTTCCAATTAAATTGACGCAGCGTGAGAGGCCTGCAAACTGTACATACAGTCCCCTCTTGCAGCCGATGGATAGCGTGGATCTGTCTTTTGCTCATGTCATGGGTAGCTGAAGCTATCGTCCGGACGAGAATGTCGAGTTTTTAATTCTACATACACGTCCGGACGATAGCTTCAGCTACCCACATATGTTATTTTTCTAAGGCAGGGCTAGGGAGCCCTGCTATTCTTCGCGCTAGCAATCGGCTGCGGGAGGGGGCTGTAAGTCGAGTTTTATATTTCTTACAATAAAAATTAAGATATTCTGTAAACTGTTGTGGTGTGGCCTCGGCCAATGAGATGCGTCTTGATTGGGGGACCATTAGGAATTGAGGCGCCGGCTACCGACTTCAACGAGCTTGTGATTAAGGCTACCAAAAGGCAGTGGTCATTAGTGCTTAGTTACCAGAATAGTGATCATTATAGCGGTACCGAGGATGCGCACCCCGCTGTGCAACCGTAAAGCCCAGCCTTAGCCCAAAGCATCATGATCAGCGGCAGACCTCGGCTTACCCCAGATTCAAGCTCCCTTCTCCGCAACGTCCGGCTTGCGCTACCACTCCAAACAGAACAGCAGCTCTGAACCTCAAAGGGCTCATCTGGGCTCGCTATTGACAACCAGAAGTTTCACATCTGGCTTTCGGCTCTTTCGCAAGCCTTCTGCCACTAACATGTCTTCCTCCCTCCCGCATTCATACGCCGATCTCCCCTTGCGGGACATCAAGCTCTCGCACCACCCTCCCTCGTCGCCGACGCCTACCCCGGTCGTGGTCGTGACGCTGCACCGACCGGGAAAGCATAATGCTTTCACCAAGACGATGATGGAGGAGCTGGAGCGCGTCTTCGACCTCCTTGATGCCGATGACCGCGTGCGCTGCATTGTTGTCACAGGCCATGGGTCCGTCTTCTGCGCAGGCGCCGACCTCGAAGTCGGCTTCGTCGGCGGACAAGAGAGGGTTAATGATCATCGCGATGGGTACATTGTCCCCTTTTGCTCTCCCTTTGACTTCTGTTTGCGTGTTCTAGTACAGATCCACCTTTGTTCAACCGAAACTGCATACCTGCTTGAACATCCCTCTTGGCAACGCAAAAAAAAAAAGATAACACTCGCTGATGCATGCATTTGCTTCCCCGCAGCGGCGGCCGCGTCGTCCTCGCCATCCACCGCTGCCGCAAGCCCGTCATCGGCGCGCTCCAAGGGGCCGCCGTGGGCGTCGGCATCACCATGACGCTGCCCATGGCCATCCGCGTGGCCCACCGCGACGCCAAGATCGGCTTCGTCTTCGCGCGGCGAGGCATCGTCATGGAGGCCTGCTCGTCCTTCTTCCTGCCCCGCCTGATCGGCCACTCGCGTGCCCTGCACCTGACCACCACCGGCGCCGTCTACCGCGCCGCCGACAAGCTGCTCGACCCGCTCTTCACCGAGCTGTGCGACCGTCCCGCCGACGTGCTTCCGCGTGCCTTGGCCATCGCCGACGAGGTCGTCGCCAACACGAGCTTGGTGAGCACGAATCTGATGAAGGAGCTGATGTGGAGGGATGCCGGGAGCGCCGAGGGCCAGCACCTGCTTGATTCGAGGATCCTGTACGAACTGTTTAGTGGCAAGTAAGTGTCGCAGCTCCCTGCAGATTCTGCGGTTGTCAGCTAACGGCGCCTGTAGGGATAACAAGGAGGGAGTTCAGTCATTTTTGGAGAAGAGGCCTCCGAAATTCAGCGGTACCATGGATAACGACGCCCCCGCCGCATATCCGTGGTGGAACCCAATCGATACAGCGGGCAAACCCAAGGCGGAGCTGGGCGCCAAATCAAAGCTGTAGATAGTCAAAAAAAAAAAAAAAAACACATGTTAGACCCGTCAATTCTGAGATGACTGTGTGATCGAGACTCGTTGGGCTTTTCATTCATTTTTTGAGCTACCGCCATGGTATCGTAGCTACAACAGAGTGCCCATAATTCCAGAAACCCTGTAGTATGACCCCCATGCACTCCCACGCAACCCGGAAAACGCTTAGAAGAAAGTCGACGGCCTGTTCGCGGTGAAGATCTTCTTCGAGGTCGTCTTGTTGACGCGGTGAGGCAGAGGGAACTTGAGGTCCTTGGCGAGGACCTGCTTGATGTAGGGGCGGCGGATGGACTCGGTCTTCTCGATCTCGACAACCTTGAGGATCTGCACATCGCTGTCAGTACTACGCGCTGTGGAATCGTCCGCGCGGGGGCCCTTACGTGGATGGACCTGAAGCGGGAGCGGTGGCGGGCGGCCATATCCTGGTAGAGAGCCTCGACGGCGTCGGTGCGGGACATCTCACGGTACTCCTTGTACATGTTGTGAGTGCCAGACCTGGAGTCGTAGCGGATCCAGATGCCGAAGTTCTTGACCTTCTGGGGGCGCTTCTCGGAGATCTTTGGGGCGCGTTAGTTGCCGCAGAATTTTCGATGAGCGGTGCAGGTGTACGGACCTGGTTCAGCGAAACGATCTCGCCGTTGGCCTTCTTGATCTTGCGGAGCTTGCCAAGGAAGTACCAGAAGCGGGACTTCGCGACGACATCGTTGGGAGCGAAGATGCGCATCCGGTAAAGCTTGGGGGTCGGGTTGGCCTCACTGGGGAGGTGACGGCCAATGACCTGGTACTCCTGAAGACGACCTGCAGAATCTAGTCAGTCTCTGGCTTCGTCGATGGTGCTGTGCGTAGGCGTGGGCGGTCGAAGGGTAGTGGCTGCGGTCGGGTGCGGCTTTGTCGAATCTTGCATCCGGCGCATTTCGAGCAATCCGCCAGCATTTCGTGGGCTTCCTCCGTCCTCGAGCACAGCACTCCTCCCCTGGCTTCGCGCTGGTGCACCCGAATGTTCCAATCGTCCCCTTCTGCCTCCAAAAAGCTGCCATTGCAGGTGTCGCTACGGTGGTGCCGGTCGGTGCGTAGGGGTCGAGGTGAAGAAAAAGAGCAGCTTACCCATCTTCGCAGCGTTAGCACGAGCAATAAAAACGGGTGGGAGATGCGGGTTGACTGACCTTGATGTTTTTTGGCGTCGGCGGTGTGGATGTCGTCCGTTGTCGTCGTCGTCTTAGGCAGGAAAATGACTTTTGCTCGCGGACAAGATGTCGGGTGTGCGATTCTCGCTTAGCTTTTGGCGCTAGTGCCGAGCCGCATGTGCTTGCCCTCCACCACGACCACCGTCCGCCCCGGCGCCCTGCCCCACCAACGCGACACGCTGCCCGAACGCCATGTTCTGCGCGCGCGCACCATAATCGCCATTGCATCCGTATCCGCGACCTGTAGTGATCATCGCCACATCCCGCCCCCGCCATGGATGCCCTTCTTAGCGACTTCAAGCGTGCGTTCGCTGCCGGCAACGGCTACGGCATCGCTGCAACAATCACGCCCGTTCCGCCACCCAAGGCTCCAGGCCTCCTCTACGCCTTCTACCGCAGTACGACGCCGCCCAGCGTCCAGTCCGACCTCCGTCACGGCCTTGGCTCCAACAATGCCATTGGGTTGACAAAGGCCGAGATCAGTGCTTGGACAGAGGTCTACGTCACATACTGGAAGGCACTGGGTGAAGTGTTGAGCGCTGAGGAGACGTCGCACCAGGGCCAGAGAGACGCAGACTGGTCCAAGGCCTACGACACGTGGAAGGACGTCGTCAACGCCCTCATCAAGGGCTACTCTGGCGGCCACTTCCCTGCTTGGACTATTCCTTGCCTCTACGTTGCCGCCAAGTACCTTCGTATCTTCGCCATCAAAGCTGATCAGAGCGCTGCTCAAGCAAAGGGCAAGGCGAGTTTCAATGCTGGCTTTTCAGATGACATCACAGATACCATGGGCAAGAACGACAAGTTAGAGGACGCTGCCAGAAATATCAACCGCATATTCAGCTTATGCATCAGCGACCGGTACGTAGACGTACCACCGCAATACGCAACATTTGCCAATACTAATACAACCGATCTATAGGGAGCCCTTGGAGGATTCCCGCAAGTGGGCGCTCTACTACATTGCCAACATCCTCTTCAAGACTTACTTCAAGCTGAACGCTGTTAGCCTCTCGAAGAACGTTCTGCGTTCCCTGCACGCCGCCCGGGGTGACATGCCGCCGTTCAGCGCCTTTCCAAAGTCTCATCAGGTGACGTTCAAATACTACAGTGGTGTTTTGAGCTTCCTTGACGAGGATTACAAGCAAGCAGAAGAGCATCTCACCGAAGCCTGGCGACTCTGCTACAGAGATTCCAGAAAAAACCGCGAACTGATCCTGACCTACTTGATCCCTTGCCATCTCCTGACCACTCATACTCTTCCAACCCAGCGGTTGTTGGAGCCATACCCCCGCCTGCAGCAGCTTTTCACCCCCCTTGCCACTTGCATCAAGAGGGGCGATCTTGCCGGCTTTGATGCTGCTCTTGTTGCTGGTGAAGATGAATTTGTCAAGAGGCGCATCTATCTGACCCTGGAGCGCGGCCGTGATATTGTGCTGCGAAATCTGCTCCGCAAGGTCTTCATCGCCGGAGGCTTTGAGCCGCTAAAGGAAGGCCAAACTGAGAAAGACAAGATTCGGCGAACAAGAATCCCCATTGCCGAATTCGGCGCTGCTCTCAATCTGAGCATGGCTAGGCGTGACGGAGAGGCTCTCGACAATGACGAAATAGAGTGCCTACTCGCAAACATGATCTATAAGGTAAGCTCCTTCAGCGTATGACGTTTCATGTTGGCTAACATTCAATAGAATTTAATGAAGGGCTACATTGCTCGCGAGCACGGGAAGGTTGTTCTCAGTAAAGCCGGCGCATTCCCCGGCACCGGCGTGTGAATTGTCACCTGAGCAGGTTGCCTAGAATTTTTGCGGCCAGAGAGTATTTCCGAAATGTCGCCTTGCACCCCTCTCTGCTATCGCGCTCATGGCTCTTGTTTTAAGCTATTGCAGCTAGCTCAGAAGCACCAATCAGTCAAGTCGACATGCTAGGGGAGGGGGGCTCTCGACGGGCTCCCTGGGTCCGTGTTAATCACGCCGAGAACAAGGGCGGAGACGCCAGAGACCCGAGCAACCGTCGGGCAGATTTGCCGTCGGACAGATGATCCGACAGGTACCCAAATAGCAATACACACCAATTCACGACGCTTTGGTACCTCTTGTACCTCGTCTTTTGGCGAATGCACATGAGCTGTGCCAATCTAGTGTTTAAATTACCAAAGGGCACGGCTCATAGGCGACCCTGCCAAAGATCAAACGCAGTGAAACACCTTCTCGTAAACGCAGAATACCCATTGTTTTCCCGACCCATTTCCGCCCCTAATGCACGCATGAGACGTCGGAATATTCCTGGGTGGGCTCTTCGTTTGACGAGTGGTGAAACGTTTCATGCCTTTCTTCAAAGATGGCTGTGATGTCTGCGCTGTAACTGCGGGCCCATTTAACACTCTCGGCATCCCTTCGAACTATGCAGTATTGTCTATCAAAGCTTGTCCTGAAAGCTTGTCTTGTGCTCTTGGTCTTTTACTAGATTCTCTCTAGGGAAATTAAGTCTTCACTACAGCCATGCCCAGCCGTTCGAAGAAGACGCTCCTCCTCGCCCTTGCCGGCAACGCCGCCGCTCAGTACAGCGTGCGCTTTGGACCTTACTACTCCCTCGGCGCAACTACGTCCTACATCGTTGAGGCCGAGACGACGCTGTACCCCGGCAAGACGCCCGATCCGCAGCAGGACCGTATGGTGCTCTGGCCGGGCATGGGCACGAGCAACGGACAGTTAGTACAGAGCATCGTGAGCTCGAGCACCGAGACCGAAGCGTGAGCCTCTCCTTATCATTCTCCTGTCTTAATCGTGTCTAAGTATAAGATGTTTTCTTTAGGCAATGCGGCGGCTCCAGTGGTCAATGGTGCGTCTTTGCCAGCACGTACACTGGCGAGACGCAGATTAGTGGCGACGCGAAGCCGATGTCTGCCAACCAGGGAGTGACAATCAACTGTGAGTAGCCCTGTGGAAATTGTGTATGTCTTTCGTGGTCTTATGTCCTCCTTAGACAAATACGACGAGGCTTCGGGCAACTACACCCAGACTGTCAGTATCGAGGGACAAGTCGTCTCGACGCTCTCGACCGCTTCTGGCAAGGCGCAGGGTTGGGGCACGGCTGTAGAGTGCCAGGATGAGTGCAGCGGCATTGTAAATGCTCACAGTAAGTCCATGCAACTCGTGTGTCATTACCTCGGACTCTTGCTGATGGCGACGTAGCGTACCAAAACACTACCATTAAGCTGGCAGCGGCCGATTCAGCTTTCAAGGGAACGCTTGCCCTTAATGAGGCTACCGCTACGGAGCTGACTTCTCCCGACGGTGGCATCACCTGGACCGTGGATAAGATTAGCATCGCACAGAGCAGCTTCACTCCCGTTTCCAGCAGCAACGCTCGTGTTTGAGCAGCTGCTTTCAACAGTCTGGTTCTTGTAAATAGTCGAGTGGTGATTTGTATAAATATGCACCGAGATAATGGTCCTCTACTTAGATGGAGAACCCTATGCGACTGCGGCCGTGATCTATGCAACACCGAAGACATGAAGAGGCCGTGATTAAATGATACAGGACGTCTAGTGATACAAACATATTAAAACAACGACTGTGCAAGGAAAGGAGCCCGCCTAAGAGAGAAACCAATATTCCGCGAGGAAGGAAATGTCTTAAAAAAAAAGCAAATCAAACAACAGATGAACACTCCTGGCACCAACTGACCTGTTCCCCAAACCCATCAACCCAACCTTCTATCAACCTTCGCGCCGTCTGCCTGATCATTCCCAACGTTGGATGGCATGTCTAATTGTTGCGTAATAGCATCGTTTACTCCTTAGGGTTGAGGTCCTCGTCAACACCGTACTCCTCAACCACCCATTGACAAAATTTTTCCCACGCTGCAATCCACTCTTTCAGCCTCTGTGCTCGAACGCCGTTTCCAAGAGCACCGATTTTGATATCTTCTTGCCACTCCTTCTGAGAACAGTCTTCGAAATTTGCCCACCTCACACTATTTTCAGCCAAGGATCCAAGACCAGCAAGTCCGAGGTTTTCCCAGCCCTGAAGCGCTTGCCAAAAGTCGTGCGTCATTCCACTAGTTCCTTGGCCCAGGATAGACGGGTCATCGTTGCAGAGAGAGACGTTCACGCCGCGCGCGAGTAGTGCTGGAAGCGGATGTGACATGATGGAGCCGGTTAAGCGCAACACCTCATTCGACACGGGGCAACTCTCAATGAGGATCTTTTTCTGTTTGATCATGTCGATGAGGAGCGGATGCTTGAAAAGCGAGAAACCGTGACCGATTCGTCTTGTGCCGAGGAGGACGGCATCAAAGAGGTTTTCATCAGTAGTGTCGCCGTCTCCTAGAGTCTCGCCAGCATGGAAGAAGAATGGCACGTCAACGCCAGACTCCATGCAGCGCTTTTTGAACCAGAACAATTCGGGGAGGAGGTCTTGAAGTGGTCGTCCAGTGTCTTCTTGGCCCACCAGATCGTAACCTCCAATGAGGTCGGGAAACTTGACCTTACTCTCGACACAGCACTTCATACCTGATTCTGTTGTTAGAGCTGCTGGCAGTTCAGGATTTGGCTCGAGCCACTTACTTTCAACAACCCGGCGCTTGTCAAGAACTCTGGGCGTCGTCCAGATGAAACGAGCACCCCAAAAGCCCTTCCCCTCTGCTGAAGCCTTGAACTTTTCCACTTCCTCGCCGAACGCCTTGAAGAATCCATCATGGTTGGGCGCAACTTCCTCAGATCTGTCCGGTCGCCAAGGATTGACGAAGACTGCCCGCACATCTACCCACTGCACGCCGTCGGCGTACAGATTTTCGAACATCTTACGCACATAGCGGCGGAAAAAGGGTTCGTAGAAGATCAGACTTGCAAGGATAGGGAAGCACGAGGCAAATTTGCGCCATACATCATTGACGCCGTAGTGATGCTTCAAGGATTCGTCAGACGTGATCATGGTGCGTGACTTGACCCATTCTCTGAAGCCGGCGCGGCCACCGGAGGGGAAGGAGTCGGCAGCAGCTTCCAAAGGAATGGGCGTCTTCGGCTGGTAGGCATCTGACCATATGGATGGGCTCCCCTGCTTGGAAAGCTTGGTGTAGGTGAAGAAGAAGGGAGCCTTGGCCAGACTGGCTGGATTGGAAAGACTCCTGTCGGACCAGACGTGGATGCCGTCCAGGCTGAAGGCCTCGTCCAGCATCCAGTCCAGCTCGACCATGGCCTCCAGATGGCAGTGCAGCAGGGCGCCCTTGGGCATGCGGCGCACAATCTGCCAGAGCTTACTCCTCTCCATGCGCTCCTTGGCGAGCGAGAACATCATGCCGGGGAAGACATCGCCGTCGTCGGCCAGGCTGTTCTCGTAGTCCTTGGTCCATAGGGTCTGCTGCTCTTCGAAGCGAATCTGATCGACAATGGAGCAGGCCTCGAAGGCCGTGGGCGACAGGCTGTCGCGGAAGAAGCGGTCTGACCACGCTTGTCAGACCCTCTTCGAGTTTTCGGCAATGATCACCAACCGCTTCGCTGTTTCTTTTCCTCTTGGACGAGCTTGTCGCGGCCGTCGAGGTACTTCTGGATGAACTGGTCCTCCAGGCGCGGGACGCCCAGCTGCTGCAGCCAGGCAGCATCGTCGTCCTGCACGGATGCGCAGTCCATAGCTGGCTACTGACTCGGCCGCGGGTAGCTCTCTGCGGGTGGACCTGAGGCCAGGCGCTCAGTGGCTGCAGGCTTCGGGGGTGTGGAGTCGATTGTCGAAATGCCGGGCGGTCAGAGGATTTGAGCAGTTGAGAGAGCGGAAAAGGGGCACGGGGGCGCGTTCGCGACCGCGGAAAGGCGCGTGCGCGCGGGAGAATGTCGCCGTGGGCTGGGGCTGCGCAGGCAGCGTCATCAGGCATCTTTATCGCGCTTATCGCCGGCCGAGACACAGCAGCACGCGTGCCCGTGACACGCTCGAGTCTGGTGCTGCATCTCTTTGCTGGCTCACCTGCGCTGCACACACGCAACAGACCGGCCGCCGCTCGCCTCCAGCTGCGCCCTGGCTCCGCGCACTTTAGCCCGGGCCCTGCCTCCTCGTTGCTCCGCCGGCCCCATTCCCCTGCGCCCAAGGCATGCCCGCTGCATGTCGTCCACGACATCCCACAGCTAGAGCTCCCACGCTCGCCGCCACCGCCCGCATCGCCGCATAGAGCCCCGCGGCCAGCCATGGCCTTCCTGATACCGCCCTCGGTCAAGCAGCGCCTGCTGCGCTTTGCGCTGTCCAAGGTCGATGTCATCGACGACACGGCCATCGACCTGGACAAGTTCAACTTCAGCTGGGGCAGGACCAGCGTCATTACCTTGCCCAAGGTCCCGCTCAAGGCTGCCGTGCGTCGACCCCAACGCCGCCTGCGCTGACATCATGCTAACTTAACTCGCGCGCAGAAACTAACCTCCTTCCTGCCGCTGCCGCCCAACTTCCGCGTTGGCGAGGCCTACGTCAACGACCTCCGCATCACTGTCCCCGCCAACCTCCAAGGCGTGTCGTTGGATACCTCCGGCATAGTCGTCAAGGGCAAGATATTGCAGCACACCGACGACGATGCGCGGCATGCGAGCGACGCGTCGGCCGAGATACCCACCGCCCAGGATCTGGCAAAGTCGTTCATCCAGGAGGAGTCGGATGAGGAAAGAAGACAGCTCGAAGCTGCCATCAGCTCCCAGTCGCAGTACTTGCACCAGGACCCCTTCGCCGGCTCGGCCGTCTTCAGCGATGACGGCGACGATTCGGACCTGGGCACCGGCGTCGGCTTGACGGTGCCCGACTATTTGACCAACTATCTCCACCTCATGGAGGATACCGTGCAGCTCTCCATTGGAGACATCGAACTTCATATCGAGACCGACATCCCTGCAGAAGGCTCAGAAGGCTGGGAAGATGACGAATCCGTTCGGGCAGACCTCGTTATTCACATCGGTGGGGTTGAGGTTGAGGGACTGACTGCACATGGGCCCGACATGTCCGAGCAGACGCGACCTGGAAAGCGTAAGATCACGTTGAGAGCATTATCCGCGGGTATCCTCCTGGACGAGAGGAGTATGGCAAAGAGCAGGATCGCTTCGTCGCTTGCTGCATCTCCCACTACAAGCAGGAGTGCCCGGTCTGATTCAATCAGCCACTCTACCCCCTCGGTGCCAAGTCCGGTTGCCACGACCTCTCCCGCCCCGCAAAGCCGCTCGCCATCAGCCACATCTGGATCACTGCCTTCCCTGCAATCAAGCCGACACTTCCCAGATATGGCTGCGTCAATCATGACCACAGATGCGGATAGGTTCGCTGATGCTGAAGACGATGATCACCCCTCGACCGGCCCCAACATGGCTTCATCGGCAACATCTGAGAATTTCGGCCAGCAGAGCTTGTATGGTGACGAGTCTATCCTTCAGTACGGCATGGACAATGGCATCTTTGATACAAAAATCGAAGAAGATAGCCCTTCTCAAAGCCGTGGAAGCCTGGCTGGCTTGGATAGCTCAAGCGCAGGAGAAAATCAACCACATATTGCCTTTTCAGGGAGTAACTCGTTGCCCGGTCGACTGCCAAACCACTCTGGACTAAGCCAAGGTGACAGCGAAGGAGATTACATCTCCAAGTCTCAGCCCATGCCTGAAAACTCTCGTTCGGAACCAAACATGGGGAACAGCGATCATAATGTTGTGGTCCGCGGTCCTCCAAGTCCAGAGAATATTAACGCACCCGATCGCTCAACAAGCACGTCTCCTTCACCAGCGTCATCCACACAAGGTGATCTTGCCGAGTCGAGGCTGTTCAGCCATGAAGAGGCTGAGAGTATGTATATGAGCGCGATCGACGATGGGGCTTCACAATCAAGTAGATCCTTCCATATGCCCGGAGCGTGGGACACTTCAAGCGTGTCCAGCAATGATTCGGATCGCTTTCACCAAACGCCAACCCCAATTGCGCCTACCTCTCTTGATCCCATCGTCGAAAAAGATGACGGTTGTGAGACCCCTAGACCTGGCAGCCGCCTTGACGCCGACCCGGCTACGGCACAGGACCATTCGACCGGCGAAGGTAAGGACGAACCGCTCGTGAAGGCTTTCATTCCGCTCTTGGATATTGATACGATTTCCGCATGGATACCTGGTCACCAAACCCCTCAGGAACCTGATAACTCTGATCCTTTGGCGTATCCCGACCAACCAGCTCGCTCGAGGGTCGCGTTTGCGGACGATTCCGGGTTTCACGATGTACCTGGTGCTTTTTCACAATATGCGGCATCCACAGCAAGATCCAGGCCTTCAGCAAGCATCATGCGAGAGTCACGTAAACTGCCCACTGAAAGCAGATCGTCAATGCTCAGCGCGGAATCATCGAGGAAACATGAACGGGAGTGGTCGAAATACGAGCTGGAGGCTTTCGTCGGCAATGTACGGCTTCAAGTAGATGTAGAGACCGTACACCTGGCAATGCGTCTCGTAAAGATGATACAGCAACTGTTTGGTGACGCATCTGCGGCAGACGCGCCGAAAGAACCTTCTAAAGAGACTGAAAAGCCGGCGAGTGGGACCGAGTCAAAGCCCGGTGGGGTTGCACTCAAGTTCAGCATGGAAACCCTACGGGTAGCTCTTCTCAAGGAACTCTCGAGCCAAAGCGTGGTCACCAACCAACCTATGGGCGCGCTACGCCATGTTGAGTGGGATATGAATGATATCTTCTTGCAGTTGCAAGCACGGGATCTTGGTGCTACATATGAGGCCAGCCAGGGCTCGCCAAAGGCCAATCTGAGACTAGGGACCTTCACATTCGGATTCAACGATCGCGACATCCTCAGTTTTCGGCCAGGGGCAGGGTTAGACGAGACAACCATGGATGTCTCCAAGCCTGTTGAGAACGACGTCTCTATTGCCTACAGGCACGATAATGGAGACCAGCGCATCGAGGTGTCAACTCTGCCGATCAATGTCTCGCTGGATATTCAAAAGCTGGATGACACATTTGCGTCCTATGGCGGCTTCAGCGGTGTTCTGAAGATCGGCAATCACATCAAGTCAACATGTGTTCTACCCCCACCAGCGCCCAAGACACAAGCTACATCCAAGCCTACTCCTGATCCTGGGTCTGAAGCACCTTTCCCAAAAATTGACGTTCGTTTTGCGGGCCTTAATTTTGCGCTTCAGGGAGAAACCTGTGCCTTATTGCTAGAAACCAGCACGATTCGCACATCTGTCCGCAAAGGAGGTGTCAGAGTCAGCATCAAGCATACAAAGGTCACAGGGCCTCATCCGACCACGTCGGTGGTATCACCAAGCAAGCCCCCATTGGACGCTGAACTTGACGGGATCCGAGTCGATTTCGCGTTCATTCCAGAGGAGGGCGATTTGTCTGACCTGCTTTCGTTGATTACTCCCACAGACTTCAAGTACGAAGCTGATGACGATATCCTTATCGACACGCTGCTTTCGCAAAGACGAAAAGGGTCGCTGGTTAAGGTGAGGGTCCAGAATTCCATGCGACTTTTTATCTCCGACCTGGACGGTTTGAAGCAGCTTGATGCCCTCGGGAAAGATGTAGCCAAGCTATCCAGCGTCGCCAAACTTCTCCCGGATGATGAGCGCCCTGGGATCCTGTCCATGATCGAGCTGGCCGACTGCAAGATGGACGTGATGGTGAATGACCGGATCGGACATTGCAACCTGCACTGCAGTCAAGTTCGCGTCGCCCACGTTGGCTTGCCCGCTTTGCTTGCACTCTCAGTTGGCAGAATTGAAGTTGAACGCAACACGTCAGAATTGATTTTGACCGAGGTCACGGAGCTCACTGGTCGAGAAGCTACGATTCCCATGATTATGGCCCGTTGGTTGGGTGATGATATGGAACCCACCCTAAAAGTCAAGCTGTTTAACCTTGTATTTGACTATCGGGTCACGACCATCATGGCCCTCCTGGACCTTTCAGAAGATTGCACCACCGATGATGTAGCCCTGGGCATGGCCTCCTCTGTTGCGACAATCAAACGGGCACCATCTCCTGGGATCACAAGGCAGTCTTCTGCTGCTAGCGAGAGATCGGGGCCACCCTCTCGACCCATGAACCTTGACTTACTCTTGCGTGACTGCGCGATCGGCTTAAACCCCCACAAGAGCCGTGCGAAGGCTCTTCTTGTTCTGTCGGATACTCGTTTTACTGGATCACTGGTGCAAGACGAGGCCATGTCAACGTGCCTGGACGTAAGGAAAGCGTCTTTACTGGTGATCGATGACGTGGATCGCCTGAAAATAGACGAAGCACAGGATGTCAGACCTTCACATGCAGAGCTCGGCACTCCCCAAGTGCTCAGTCTTTGTCGCTGGGGCTTCGTCTCTGTCGGAACCACGTCTAAGGCCAGGGCAATTGTCAAAATCACCGAGCCGGATGGGGACGGCCCCCGCGCGGTTGATGTAGAGTTCAAGAATGACCTTTTCGTCATGGGAAGTTGTGCCGACTCGACGCAGACTCTTATATCAGTCTTGGGCGGGTTGGCTCCACCGCAACCGCCATCCAAGGAAATCCAGTACAGGACAAAAGTCGAGCCGGTCATGGACATGATGGCTTCCCTCGTTGGCGATGATTTCAAGGCTCCTGTAGGAGAGCTGCTCCACCAGGATCAAGAGATTGTGGTTGATGATGATGACCAAGACATACATTTTGCAGGCAGTCTGTATGATCCTAGTCACTTGCCACGACTTGAGGATATGACTGAAGAGTCCATTGTGGAATCCATGATTCAGTCTCAGCCAAAAGCTGATTCTGAAGAGCCTATGGAAGAGCTCCAATGGCAAGAAGACTTTTTCGGTCAGTCATCGCCAGAACGCCCAGCTGCCCAAGCATGGAACTCTCGCAAAAACGAGTATATCGAGTCCAGCGAGGTCTCTGTTGTCAAGAGTCCACTCACTCTGCGGGTGAAGGATGTTCACTTCATTTGGAACCTGTACGATGGCTACGATTGGCCGAGGACACGCGAGAAGCTGGGCCAGAAGCTCGAAGAGGTTCAGCAGCGTGCTCAAGAGAGGCGCGAGAGAGGCTTCGATGAGGATGACGGCATTTCTATCGAAGAAGATCTGCTTTTCGGCTCAGTTTACATTGCGCTCCCCGTCAACAATACGCCAGAGGAGAACCGGAGACAGATCAACCGTGCAATGAGAGGCGGTGACGATACTGCTAGTGAGACTAGTTACGCCACAACCACTGCATCTCGGGCGACCGCCCGCCCACGGTCAAGAGGCATGCGCCTAAAGCTCGAAAGAGGCCGCCGTCCAAAGATCACTTTCGAGTTGAAGAAGATCTCTGCAGATGTCGTAGTCTTCCCTCCAGGCTCTGGAGAAACGCAGAATTCGGTCGACGTTCGTGTTGGTGACTTGGAGGTTAACGACCATGTTCCTTCTTCAACTTGGAACAAATTCGTCACATACGATATGAGCGCCGGAGAACGGCCCCTTGGCTCCCCTATGATCCGCCTGGAGATGCTGACTGTGCGTCCTGTGCCTAATCTGGCCGCTTCAGAGCTCGTGATTCGCGTAAGTCCTCCCATCTATCTTGTGAACATAAAGCTATTTGATATTAAATTAGCACCGCATACAGGTTTCGGTACTTCCCCTACGGCTGCACGTCGATCAAGATGCACTCGATTTCATCACGCGTTTCTTCGAATTCAAGGATGATAGACTTGGCTCCAAGGAGGCACCTGGAGAACAACCTTTCATTCAACGTCTCGAGGTTCGAACGGTCAAACTTAAGCTTGACTACAAGCCGAAGAAGGTCGACTATGCAGGCCTTCGCTCCGGTCACACTACAGAGTTCATGAACTTCTTGATCCTGGATAGTGCAAACATCACGCTGAGGCGTTGCATCGTCTATGGAATCTCTGGCTTCGACAAAATCCATAATACGTTGAACGACATCTGGATGCCCGACGTCAAGCGCAACCAAATTCCTCACATCATGGCAGGTCTCGCTATAGCCCGCCCGGCTGCAAATGTCATGAACGCTGCAAAGAGCATCGTTACTGTTCCAATGGCACAGTACAATAGAGACGGTCGTGTACTGCGTAGTGCGCAGATGGGCGCGGTTGCCTTCGCCAAAAACACCACGACCGAGCTTCTGCGCCTTGGGGCAAAGATCTCCATCGGTACTCAGGCTATGATGCAGACTGCTGAAGGAATACTCTCGCCAGTCTCTCCGTCTGCTGGATCGTCGACTGCTCAACAAGATGACGGCAATTGGCACGATATTCCGCCCCCCGGTTCTTCGCCAGCTGAAGCACCCAAGGCCTTCTCCCACTACGCCGACCAGCCCATAGGTGTTCGGGCTGGACTAATCAGCGCACGCCGCCATCTTCAGCAAGACTTCGCCTCGGCCCGTGACGCCATCATCGCCATCCCTGGAGAAGTCATGGATAGTGGCACCGCAACGGGCGCAGCCAAAGCTGTCGTCCGTCATGCTCCAGTCGTAATGCTTCGGCCCTTCACTGGAGTTGCTAAGGCAACTGGGGCGACGCTTTTCGGCGCAGCCAACGCACTTGATCCAGAGAGCGCGAGGAAGAGGGATGAGAAGTATAAACGCCATTAACGATGCTACGTATATGTCTTCCTGACTTTGCTTTGTTTTTTGATTTTCTTCTTCTCAGGAAGATTTGGATGGTCCACGGAGTATGCGGTAATGTCTGGTTTCTGTGTCCGCCACTCTCGTTCTTCGCAATTTTTCTCATCCAAGTTCTGTGTCAGTTTTCTGCATAGCGACGGCTCCTTTTTTTTCTTTTATCTTGAGTCTGGATCGGGCATGCTGCATGCGAACTGTGCATCATCATCATCTCGGGAAGCATGAATGGGGCATATTTTCTTTCCTCAATTCACAGCATGGACGATGAATAGGGCGAAGCATGACAGATAGTACAGCATAGCATAGTTCGCAGTAGCATGACATTGGAGAGTGAACTTAGGTGTTAATTTCGGTCGGTGGGACTTTGCTACTTCTTGATTTATTTTCTGGGAGATTGGAACAGATTGGCGCTAAAGGGGATTCTTATATGATACCCTCACGGAAGAAGTGGTTAGACTATCTGGAACCCTCTGGAATCCCCCTCTTCTCTCTTTTCCTTTCCTTTTAGTTCTTTTTTTTAGCCCTGTCATTGTTGCGCCAGTATACCCGACAGACCAGATGGAGTGCCATTTTTCGACCGCTTATTAAGAGCGACAGACTGCGAAAATTTCCTGCCATGTTATCCCAGCTTGATAGACGAAGATTGCTGTAGGAAAATTGAGAATGTTATCAATCCACATACATTCGCTGGTCCTTCCAAAATTTTCTAGAATCTTTAGATACTGATTCGCTGAACTGGTGTTCTCTACTGCCCCACCCCCACTCGCTCCGTCATAAGCCTGGTTTATTTACGAGGACGTCTTCAAAGGCCGCGACTCTGAGTCTCATGGATATCTTCAACTCATCTCTGGTAAATCAAATAAAAGTGGTACAAAAAAAAAGAGAGAGACAAAGGGAATACAGGTCGAATCCGAGAAAGGGCAAGAGAAACCTGGACTGAATAACTACTGATCCAAAACCCAAAAATGCGTGCATATAATACCCAACCGACACCGGCTTGCACGACTGACTAAACAATATATCGCATACGTTCTATGAGAAACGGAAGCTGGATACTCCGAGTGGCAGTACCGTCCTTCACACCTCACCCATATCGCGTAGAGGGACGGGCGCGTACCCAGCTTCCTCCCTCTCCCTCCTCCTCTCAGTCCACAAGCTCTTGACCCAAGCTACGATGCCGGCAAGACCGCCGTTGCTCTTGATAGTAGCTGACTTGCTCTCACCGGAGGCGGCCTCCAGCGCGGCGGCGGCGGGATCAAGGTTCTCGAGACTCATCCAACGGGGGCGGCGCCACCAGCGCAGCGCGAGCGAGGAGGCGACGACGGAGACGGAGGAGCAGGCCATGGCGGCGCCGGCGGCCATTGGGTGCAGTGACAGACCCCATGGTAGGAAGAAGCCCATGGCGAAGGGCAGGCCGATGAAGTTGTAGCCGCACGCCCATAGGAGGTTGAGCTTGATGCGGCGGAAGATGGTCTGCGACAGATGCAGCGATGCGGGGATCGAGAGCAGGTCGTTGGGCTTCATGAGCACCACCGACGCCGCCTCCATTGCGATGTCGGTACCGGACGCGAGCGAGATGCCGACGGCGGCTGTGGCGAGCGCGGGGGAGTCGTTGATGCCGTCGCCGACCATGGCCACGACGTGACCCTGGCCGCCTTGAGCAACTGGCCGCTGGAGTTCCTCGATGATTTCTTGCTTGGTCGAAGGTGTGGCACTGGAGTAGACGTTGGAGGCGGGGATGCCAACAGCTTTGGCGACTGCCAGTGCGGGGGCTTTCTGGTCACCGGTTACGATCGAGGCGCTGACGCCAAGGCGGCGAAGCGCGCGGATTGTTGCACGAGCGGTAGGCTTGAGGGTGTCGGAGAGCGAGATAGTGCCGGTGAAGGTCTCATCGATGGCGGTGTGAATAGTGGTCATGCCGGTGGAACCGAGGCCTTCGGTGCTTGCGGTGTCACTCGACGAGGCGACGGCTTCCTCAGAAGATGCCGGAACGTCAACTCCTTGCGATCGTAGGAAGTCGGCGTTGCCGATAAGAACGCGGTATCTCTTCTGCTCAGGAGAGATGGCAGCCTCAACAATCGCGGAGATACCCTTTCCAACGGTGGCTTCGAAATCGCCAGAGCTACCATCAAGAGCTCCATCTGCACCAAGGCCAAGGTTGTCCTTCGCAGCCATGACTACAGCGCGTGCAATAGGGTGCTCACTGCTCATCTCGGCAAGGCCGATCAGGGTCCACCACAGACGCTCCTTGGGCTTTGAGTTGGCCCATCCGCCGCGAATATCGGCGTCAGATACGCTCATCTTGCCAACCGTGAGGGTGCCAGTCTTGTCTAGAACAACGTGGGTGACCTTGGTGGCCATTTCCAGTGCGGCACCACCCTTGACCAAGATACCTTGCTCCGCACCAACACCAGTTCCAACCATGACAGCGGTAGGAGTGCTCAGGCCTAGAGCACAAGGGCACGCGAAGACGATGACAGAAATACAGAGCTTGACACAGACCATGAGCCTACCGCCACTAGCATGATCTAAAAAGACTTTAGGCGGATTCGGGAGCGCGTGGCTAAGGACCATCCAAGCAATAAAGGTTGCCAGGCCGAGGGTAACGATGACCGGGACGAAGTAGCCTGCAACAAGATCGGCCAGACGCTGGATAGGGGCGCGAGTAGTCTGGGCTTCCTGGACCAGTCGAACGATCTGGGAGAGCTGGGTGTCACGACCTGCACGAGTGACGATGAAGTCCACACGTCCAGCACCATTGACCGTGCCAGCCATGAGACCGTGACCCTTCTTCTTGAGAATGGGCATGGCTTCGCCAGTGACCATACTTTCATCGACGTAGCTCTCGCCACGAGTGACGGTGCCGTCAGCTGGGATCTTGTCGCCAGGCTTAAGGATGACAATGTCGCCAACCTCGAGGAGTTCGGTTGGGATTACCCTCTCTTCTGCGGCATTTCCATTCATTGCAGCGTCATCACCGGTTGTCTTCTCATCCCCATCCCATTCCTCCGCTGCCTTGAGCGCAGCAATGGGATCTGCGTAGATAGTAGCCATGGAGGGAGCGAGAGACATCAGGCGCGAAAGAGCCTTGGAGGTCTGGCCCTTTGCTCGATTCTCTAGGTAGCGGCCGAGGGTGATGAAGGTAATCAACATGGTGCTGGTGTCAAAGACCGTTGCAGGCTTGGTGTGCGGAGGAGTGAGGAAAGACACAAGCATGGCGGCCACGCTGAAGAAGAAGGCGGCAGAGGTGCCAAGAACAACCAGGACGTCCATGGTCGGAGAGCCGTGCTTTAATGACTTGTAGGCTGACTTGTAGAAGCGCTTTCCAATGCCAAATTGAACTGGGATGGTGAGAATAAGGCAGAGGATGTCGCCAAGCCAAAGGCCATGCATGATCTGGCATTTGCCGAAGTTCATGAATGGCAGGAACATGGGAATGAACATGCTGATCAGAAAGACGGGGATGGCGAAAGATGCCGAGATCTTGAATGCCCTGCGCCATTCCTGGATCTCCTTGGTCTTTGCAAGAGATTCAAGCTGAGCATTGTTGTCGTCCGAATCGGCCACAAGAGCATTGTAGCTTGCTGCTTCGACAGCCTCGACAATGGCTCTTAGTCCGGTGATGGAGGCGTTGTGTGTAATGACAGCTCGAGAGGTCGAATAATTCACGGATGCAGCCGAAACGCCGGGTAATGCGTTCAAGGTGGATTCCAATTCTCTTGCGGAAGTCGCGTCGACCAGACCGTAGATCTTGAGGTGTTGGGTCGTGTTGGTGGAAGAGGCCTGCACGCTGTCCACTGTAGACAGAATCTTTGCGTCAAAGCCCCTTTCCTCGATGATCTCGACAATCCTTTCCGGCGAAAGCTTTCGCGGGTCGTGAGAAATAACAGCACGCTCTGCGAGCAAGCTGATGTTGAATTGCAGCATCCCATCGACCTGGCTGAAGCCGGACTCAACGGCCGACGTGCAAGCGCCACACGTCATGCCCTCGATAGCAACGGTGGTGGTGAGGACATTCCCGCGCTTGCCAGAGCCTTGGGACTGGGAGTGCGCTAGCGCCTGCTTTGTTTCCAGAAGCTTTGCGTCGAATCCGGTGTCTTCGATCATTTCCACAATCTTCTCGGGACTCAGCATTCCAGGGTCATGCTCGATAACGGCGCGTTCCGAGAGCAGCGAAATATTGAAGTTCTTGACGCCCGCAACGTCCTTGAAGGCGCCTTCGACGGCCGAAGTGCACGCGCCGCATGTCATCCCTCCCACAGACACTGTTGTCGTCACTAGGCCGTCGGACGCCGCGTCACCCTCAGCGTCCGCAGCAGCGCTCGGGAGGTTGGTCGAGAGCACCTCCGCGTCGAAGCCGCGATCCTCGATTATCTCCTGGATTTTTTCGGCGGATAGCTTGGTGGGATCGTGCTGGACGACGGCGCGCTCCATGACCAGGCTGACCGAGACGTTCCCAGCTCCGTCGACTCCGTGGAATCCGCTCTCGACGGCCGAGGTGCATGCGCCGCAGGTCATGCCGCCGACTTTCAGGGTGGTGGTGGCCATGTGGGTGGCAGGGGAGCGCGATAACGAGCTGTCGACATCCTGCGTCGACACGGGAAGGTAGGATTTGGCCATGGCGGTGTGAGAGCCCGTCGAAGGGCTGCGTCGCGGTATACGGCCAGCTCGCGATGGCAGTCGCAGTCGGGGTTGAGGCGAGACAATGGGCGCGAGCGGAGAGACAAATAGGTCAGAGCAGCCACGAGGGCGGCGCGGCGAGGATATACTTAGAAGGCAATAAGCGGGAGTAAGCTGAAGATACGGCCTGCATATGTCAGCTTCGCGGAGCGGCGCCTCAGGCTGGCTCGCTAGTCCGGGGTCCGATGGTGCCGGAAAGGCAGGTGCTTGACGTGCTTGCGAAGGCCGGTAGGCTTAGTAGCGCAGGCGTCTAGCGGGCGGCACACGTCCAGGCCTCACAAAGAACAGTCGCTCAACAATAGAGGGTGGCCGTCGCCGGGACTGAGCCAAGCTGAAAGAACGGAGACGCAGTCTGGCTTCCAGGAGGCGGGGCGCAGGCGCAGGCTATTTTACTGCCGCAGAGAACAATTGTCGCTTACGCTAATACAGGAGGCCATCTGAGACGACTGATCTCTGGATCTCCGGCGCTGGCCAAGCCCCTCCGACGCACTGCGCCCCAGCTGGCTACTGGCGCTACGGCTCGCCTCCTCCCACGCTGACCGCCCCGCCGTCACTGGTCCCGTCCATCCGCGGAACGCCTGCGGCAATTGCCTAACGCTCCACCCAGCCCGTCCGTGCACACGTGATGGCGCTCGTTATGCCACCCGTCACCGCCCAACACCTCCACGCTGCTGGCTGAAGCTGCCTGTCCAGAGCTCGCGACGCCGTGCATCTGCCTCACCCCAGCTTGCCATGGAGCAGACACGCGCCCTCAACGCTCTCGAGCCCTTCCTGGCCCTCTCCAAGTCGGCCAATTCGCCCCGCGCCGCCGCCGACCTCGTCACCCAAGCTACCTCTGCACCCAACACCTATGTCTTCGCCGAGCTGCTGCAAGCTACCACCATCCAGGCTCTGCGGGACTCGCCAGAGCACGCCCGCTACCTGCGCCTTCTCGAGATCTTCGCCTGGGGCACCTGGCAGGACTACACCGGTATGCCTGCCTATTCCCCATGTCCTGCGTATCATTTGGACGCTGACTCTCGGTCCTCGCAACAGCCGCCAAGGACAACCTCCCAACGCTATCCGAAGCCCAAACGCAGAAGCTGAAGCTCCTCTCACTCCTGCCACTCGCTGCCCAGCCGACGACCCAGCTGACCTACGACCACCTTCGCGCCACTCTCGATGTCGCAACGACGCGCGCCCTTGAGGACTTGTTAATCCAGGCCATCTATTCGCACCTCATTACCGGCTCGCTTGACCCGGCCGCCGCTCGCGTCACCGTGACCTCCGTCGCCCCGCTTCGCGACCTGTCCCCCGGCAGCGTCCCCTCCCTCGTCGCCGAGCTGGCCGCCTGGCAAACCCGTTGCGACGACACCCTCGCCGATCTCGACGCCGAGATTGCCGGCGTCCGGAGGCGTGCCGCTGAGCGTGAAGCCAGACGCCGCAAGGAGGAACTACTACGCCAACGCGTCGAGGCCGGCTACGAGGAGAAGGCCAACGCTAAGAGGAGCCATCCTTCCGCCAATGGCAACCAGCCCGCTGAGGGCGGCGACGGCGATGCGATGGAGGTGGATGAGGGCATCGGAGAGGGAGACGACGGTGGCTCGAGCGGCGGTAAGGCCTCGAGAGGTGCCAAGAGGACAGCCTTCTCCGGCCGCTCAAGATAAGGGACATACACTTGCGGAGGGTTGAATGAAGATAATGGCCTTTAATTTGCTAAACACCTACACATGGCTGGATCCGACATGCTTGCCATGATCCCAATCATGAACGGCGCGAATACGCACGTCCACGAGCATTCTTGGGCGTAGATAAGAGAAGCATCAAGGGGGGAGCCACGAGAAACTACATAAAACGCCTGAAAGAGGATTTCGGGTTATTGGGCCTGACATGTTGCCAGACGGGACAGCCGAAAGGCTATTTCGATAGACGGACCGGCAGCTTCATTGCTATCAGCTGCACAACTTTCTAACGAGAAATGTAATTGACGATTAACATGCAATTCTGCCACCTGAACTGATATTGAATTTCCGTCGACCACGAGATAATCAGGCTGAGCTGCTCAGTCAAGCCTAGCATGCGCTCCGGATTGAGTCAGACCCCTCCACTCTTGTGCCGAAGTCTGAATTTCCTTTGCCGTAGAGCCTATTAGGATGAGATAAGCCGTGTATGAGAAGTGCGTCAACACTTCCCCGTCCCCAGACGCCCTCCTTCACCCCCAGAATACCAGACCCGTTTCAATTGCGCTAATTTTCAGAGCGCCACTCCCTGGTGTCCAATTCTTGATCGGATTGTGATCCAGCTACGCTAGATCGACGTCTCAGTCCCGTCTCTGTTGTTTGAAAAAAAAAAAAGAAAAAAGGGAGAATGACAGCCTCCGGGCGGGATTCACCGATTAAAGTTCAATTTCTTCTTCCGTGTGTCCATTGCCTGCGCAAATGAGCCCACCGAAGGTAGCCCAGGTCATCCCTTCCGAATTTCTCGCCGCCCTCGCCGCCCATTCGCGGATACTCGGTGACGTTGCTTCTTGCGCGTCTTTGCACAGCTCATCATCTCGAGCAATTTTTGTAGCAGACTGGCCCGGGATCATAGAGAGCACTACAGGATCTCTCCTAGTCTGAATGCTCGCAGAACTGAACGTCTGTCCGGTCGAAGGCGCTTCATCAGGTCTCATCTTTGATGATTCTAGGATGTTAGGAGGCAATGGTGGAGGTCGACGAATTTCTCCATCTACTGCTGCTACAGGAGCGATTCTGCGATTGGCGGAGTCAGCATGCATCACCGCTGGATTGCGTTTCCTGCGTTTCTTGCTGTTTTCTTTTATCCAAGTTTTCCCGCAATTCGCGCCGCTTGTCCCACACGCTCATCATCTTCCTATCATGCACGAACACATCATCCGAGCAGAGGTGCCCGAACAGTGCCCTCATACTATCTTCAGGTGTCCAATTTTCTTCATCCACTGTGCAGGGATGGATATCGCGGGGCCGAAAAGCTCCTACCAACTCGCACAACTCTAAGTAAGACGCGTGTCTTGCCCATGGAAAGGTAATTGTACGCGATTGCGATCCCTGTTGCAAATTTCCAGCTGCAGCCGGGATGTTGGAAACCGTGTGGGCGTTTGAGACGTGTCGCGTTTTGCCGCTTTGGGTGGCGGCAGAGGCAGCGGACGCGGGCGCGTCAGATGTGAGGCGTGCCAGCATTTCAGCCAACTTTTGCAGCGGCATATCGTCCAGAGCTTCCTGATCATCCTGCACGGTGCCGTTACTGTTGCAGAGATGGATCTTGCCTTGTCCACTGTCAATGGCTGATGTCAGCGTGCGGAGTACCTTCGACAACGTATCAGGGTCCTCCAACTTGGAGGCGCATAGGTGCATCAGTCGCTCAGTTGCAATCCGATCGTGCGTCTCGAGCTCATGTATCTGGTCCAGATCTCCTTTGCTGCCCCCTATACCAACTTCCGCGATCTCCGTGCCGTCGCTCAGTCTTGATACTATAGGTATGATGCGGATCACTCTGGGGTTCCCGTCGATTGTCGGGCAGAGTGTCCCGTGCTCGCAACTATGCAGGCGGACATCCGGGTTGGAGGTTAAACAGCCGATTTTGTAGTGATTACCCAAATGGAATCCAACCAGTGGGGGAGCCTCGCGACAAGGAAGCAGCCCGGGCGCTGTGATCAAAGAATTGTACAGGCCCCATCGGTACCTATCGAGATGGATTTGACTATCCAGATAGGAGGATAACGCGATCCATACTTCTTCGTATCCAAACGTCCAGGCCTCGAAGTGGAATATCGTGTCTTTGGGGAAGCTTGAGACCTTTGTCAGTAGTTCGCGCAGACCTTCAGCTTTGGTCGGAAACTCCCGGTTAAGCCGAGACATAGTCGCAAAGCTGGTGTCGAGATATATCTTATCGAGGCGCTTATGCCCATACGCATAGGGAAGAAGCACAGGGTTGCGCGTGATTGAATTGACCCACCACGGTTCTGCCCTGACGTCACCTGTGTAAAGAATAGCTTTACCTTGGCCCTCGATGAGGAACATTACCGCGCCAACGCAGTGGTTGGCGTCGAAGAGGGTGACTTGGATCTCATTACCGGGCGAGAGCTCGATGGCTGTAGGCGTCTCAAGCGGAATCGTTTTCAGAAGCTTCTTCAAATGCTTGTATGTTTGCACGCGAGATTCGAGAATGCCCTTTGCGAAGTTCATACGATGAGGGTATTTCTCGAGGCGCAAGAGAATCTAGTCAACGAAGTAAGCGGATCAGCCGAGACGACGTGAAAGAAAAGAAAGAAAAGCGATGCGATACAAAGGTCGTGAATGGGCGATCTAGACTAGGTCGCAGGATAGAAGACGAACAAAATGCAGTGTGTGATGGCTTCGCTAATCACACTGAAGATGTATCTCCGGCTGATATCACGACATCCCGATGCAAGGAGTGTGGCTACAATGGCGAACAACGATCGTTATTAGATCATACTCCGCGACATTCAGTCTTCTTTCATAGGATCCGCGCCTAAAGGGTAAGCACTTGCCACTCGGATAGGTGTCTCAAGCCGCCAGGTGGCCCAGGTGCCGTTGTACTGGTGCACCCGGCTGATGGATGTACTATTTTAGGGTTTGTTTTTGGCAGCCTCGCATCACAATCACCGCCGTGGCTTTGATATTCAGGGCCTTCGTCATGGATCAAGGGTGGCTCCGAGGGCTGGGCTCGCACCGATCTGCATAATGGACGTGTCGCAAGTTGCTCGTCCGAGGCTCGGCCTTCTACAGCGGCACAGCAGCGTCTCACGAAGGCAAGCTGCCAGGTGTCCGCGCATCGTCGGCTGGGGCGGATACGTGCCCTCGGCGGGCCGAAAAGCAGGATCGGCGTACACACAAGACGACGACGTACCTCTCGAGTCGCGGGCGAACAGTAGACGAATGGAGATTTTAGGGCCTCCAAACCCTGCAGGTGATCGGAATGGACATGGCCTAGCGACGCTGTCAGTGGGCGTTGAGCGCATGGTGCCCAACTGTGGGCGTCAGGAAGAGGAAACACCGACTAAGGAAGCAGGCCAACGGCGGCGGGTGATGCGTGCTGGCACGGAAGTAGTCGACGCGGACGTCCGGAAACTCTGGGCGCAGTGTCAGGCGGCGTGGCCAGGCTATGTAGGCGCGCGTGGAATGTCACCCACCCGCAACGATGCCGTCGAACGTCGACATGGAGTCAGCTCAGCGCATGTGACGATACGAGACACTGCGAGAGGCTGGGCCGGGTCGGGATGGAGCGCGACGACGCCCGGTCACGTGGGGCCGGAAGATGGAGATGGACGGATAAGACGCCGCGAGGGAATGCCGACGTGGGTGACAGACAGACAATGACAGGCAGACGTGGAACCGACAGGCTGGCGATCCTCAGGAACGGCCGAAGCGCGCCAGAGTTGGGCGGCGCAGCGCAGCGCAGCAGGTAGCGCCGTGTCGCGGCCGCCATGGTTGCGATGGCGGTGCAGCCCGGGCGGCGTCGGGCCTTGGTTTGGGCTGGGGGTGCCAATGGGGTTGGCTGGGGCTGGTCAGCGCAGACGTGTTCATGCAGGGCGAATGTGACCGCCTCTTCTGGCAGGCCGGTCAGGGCGCGGACCGGCGAGTGTTGCAGCACGGTGGCTTTGGATTGCCAGCATGGAAGCTTCTCCGTTGAGGCTAGCGACGGACAGAAACGCGGGAGAAGGGCGCGCGGTCCCTGCCAGGGCTGATGGCGCCGGTGGCGATTGGCCACGATCTTTTGGCCGCGGTCAGATGAGCGTGCATGAGGGCTCCGCCTGCTGCTCACCGCAAAGGTGCCATGGCAGGCACGCCGAACGTGCAGAGCGTGCCAATTTGCAGCTGCCAGCGTGATCCCGGGAGGCTCAGATGCGCTGGCCGCGCCTACATAAACACGCCCGCTGTCGCCAGCGCGCCCGCCGCGGCCTCCTGATTGCGACTCACGGCCTCTTGTTTGTTTCGCCTGCGCCTACTAGCGTCACCCGGCCGTCTCGAGCCTGCTCCCTGCCGCTTAGCCTCCCTTTCGGGTGCATCTGCCGCCCCCAGGAACCCGCAAGAAAAGTCCACTGCACGCCCACCAGCCCAGCGCCGCCTTCGGCCCTTTACCGCACGCCAGCGCCCGGCTTCCTGCAATTTCCCCTCCGGGCCCCAGACATATAGACCGCGCCTGCCTCCTGGCCGCCTGCCGGGCAGTTCTCTTCCCTCCTCCTGACTACTCCCGACATCTCTCCCCCAGCCCCTCCCGGACACCGCCGCCGCCATGCACCGCAAAACGCCCATCTCCGTGCTGGTCTACAACCACCTCTTCCCGAACCCGCGCCCGGAGGACCCCACCTCCTTCTCCGCCCACCTCAGCAAGAACCTGGTCGGCGAGGTCCGCATCGAGACGGCCACCTTCTACGGCTCTCTCGACACCATCGAGGCCCGGTATCCGGGCCTGAACTACTCGCATCCGCCCCACCGCAAGCGTCTCGGCCGCTTCCCCCACCACGCCCGCCTGTTCAAGGCCTTCGACGAGCTGCGCTTGACCGAGACCGAGATCGCGAGCCTCTGCCGCTGGGAGGGCACCCTGTGGGCGCGGCAACGCTACGAGCGTGACGAGGGAATCAAGGTCCTCGACACGACGGGCAACGAGATCGGACCCTGGGTCGACAGGCGGCGGACCCGCCAGTCGTCGCAGATCAAGGTCAAGACGGACATCGAGGTCGAGATCGAGGAGGTCTCCGGAAACGCTCCCGCACAACAACGCCCCCAGCAGCAAGATGAGGACATGATGGACGAGGACAGCGACGAGGAGATCGAGAGCATAGGCATCCCGCTCAACCAGCGGCTCATCGAGGCCGCTGCTCGCCGGGAGCAGGGCGCAACCAACGTCATGATGGATGCCGACTGGGAGAAGTACCTCGAGCGTGCACAGGAGCGGGGCGAGATTGCCGGGACCATGCACTACTCGATACCAGCAGTCCTCTCCCAGGGCGGCGTGCCCACGAATCCCCACGACCGGACAATGCCGCCCGCTCCTCCCTCGGCCCCCGCGTGAGCGTCCGATTCGATCTTTTAACGCGACATCATCTATCTTCCTATGGCTTCTCCGGCAACAATCGGCGTTTAAGCGAACTCGTACCTGCGTGCATTGTCCGCGATCATCCTCAGTATCTTGCATCTTCACATTTACACGGCGTTCTTGAATTTTCAAACGGGCGGCTCTGGAGGCATCATCACGGAACTGGCATCATTTTCTCTCAAGCGATCGGTTTCCGGCGTCAATACCCGTTTCCAATAATTGCTGCTCAATTATCTCTGTTGGAGTATGCCCCCGGGAGGTGTTGTTCTGACGGGTCATGTAATGGCGTTTATGTAGAACTGTTTTCCCCCACATCCAGACTGAGCAGCAACCAGCAACAAATAATACTTTTCTGCCAACACCCTCTGGCTACCAACGTGCGTCTCCAGCAGTTAGCAGACTACAGGGACTCGGCTGATCCTTCCCGCTCGCGCCACTTGCCACCAGCGATACAGAGATGAATTAGTAGATCGACAATTACACAACCCGCACCGTCCCGCTTCCCCTAAAAACTTGCCACTGCACGCATGAAAACCCCATCACCCCGTCAATTTACATACAAAGTCACGGACCATGGTCCCGAGCTGATCTAGCCCAAAATATCCGCAGATCTACAACGCCGTCGCGGACACGGGTTGCCCTTTACCGCCTTTCCACTCTCCTCTTTCCCCCCAATCACCTTCCTTGCCGACCAGGAACGCGCAACGACAAGAGTCGACCCGTCCAGCAGCCGGCATTAACCCAGAGTTCTTCCCTCGACAGCCTTATGTGAGTGAACGCCCGAGAACGCATTGCAACAAGGCCACCAATCACCTTGCCACGTTCACGCCCCGCCCCACCCATCATCCACCCTCGAAAGGCCGACAATTCGGATATTACAACAAGTGGCAAGCGACGAACCCCCCATCGACGCCTCATTCAGCCGCGTGAGGCTGTCTTGGTGTCTGTCAGCGGGTCCATGTGCGGTTTCGCCATTGCTCTGACGTGCATCGTGTTTCCGTGTGCAGCCGCAATGATGAAGCAATGCTGCCGACATCCTGCAGGCAAGACTGACTAAGATTCCCACAGTTCAGCTAGCTTCCTGTACCGGGCAGAAGCGAAAAGTCGTCTGTTCGCCGCTCTGTTTCTCCGAGCCCGCTCCGATGGACGATACCTACAACAACTCTCCTGCAAACAGTCGCGCGGAATGCAGAAAGGGTGTGGTGGACGCGGCAAGGCTCAGAGGCGAGGTGCAGAAAGATAAGGCACGACTGCAACAAGGCCGCCTGTCGGACATCCCCGATCTGCATGCGGGCTGAGGCCACCCCCAAACGAACTGAGTATTCTGACTCCTGTGGGAGGGTCGAGATAAAGTCAGACATGTATGCACGCATGCATTGCAGGCAGCATGAAAGGAGCAGAAGCCCAACAAGGCAGAAGAGATAAGCAGTGCAGGCGGGCAGGCAGCTACCTTTCGGTCAGCTACGAATGCTGCATATTCATGCGTCGCTTGAGTCATTCGGAATAGCAGCTGGATATGTGAGCTTACACGGTGAAATCAAACACAATGTAGCACCAAAGGAACTATCATCTGATTGTATTGGTCTACCTTTGCGCATTTTAGCCTTTTTGTACACGCTAATAATGACTTCTGCTCTTTGTTGCTGCTCAGTCTGCTCCGCATGCCAATCTGAGTGGGCACGCAACCTTGAGAATGTCTCCTAAAGAATCGCCAAAGAAAAAGTTGTCTAAAACAGTACACTCCTTCATCACCACGTCGCCCCGTCACCTGACATACACGGCGTAAAAGTGGATGAACTTTTTTTTTCTGAGTGCCGAGCAATGAAAACCTTGGGTCCAAAGAAATTCCGTATACCCATCCGGACTTATGCATATGCTTAGAGAAGAGAAAGTCCGAGTCGCAAGAGAAGACCAGATATTACGCCCGCCACCGCTATGCACCAATGCAGGAAACACATTAGAGAAATGGGTAATCAGAAAGAAACCGCATGAGGCAGAAGAGCAGATTCGGTTATGGCCAGGCCAGTAAGAGGGCCTTCCATCGTTGAACACGTGGCATGCAACGTGCAGTTGATCGAGATCGCAAGCCTGCACGCCATGACATACAACTTCCAAGAATCGACGGCTACGCGAGGTCCGCACAAGAGTTGACAATGCTGGAAGTTGCGTAGAGAAAAGGAATCCGTCGAGATGGATCCTCCCGCCACTGCGCTCGAGAATAAAGCGTCATGGAAGCCCAAGCAGCCTACGATGACTTGTTAGACTCGCAAGCCTCAACAAACTTGGTGCAGTCGGTATCGTCCTCGAACTTCAGGTACTGCGGCGTGATCTTGCCCTTCTCATCGGGAAGCGGGAAGGTAGCAAACTTTGCCTTGGCTCTCTTGTAGTGAAACGAGGGCTGAACGCGAGTGTTGATCAAAACGCGACCCATCGGTTCAGCCTTGAAGAGGATGCTGACACCGCCACTCTGCTTATGCTTCAGTACACGAACAGGGCCCTTCCCTTGGCTCTCCCACTTCTTCGCGCCTTTCTTTGGATCTTCTTTGATCTCGTCCTCGGACCTGTCAACCAGGTGCATCAGCGTCACAGACTGTATGTCTGTGTCAAAGAGAACGTCGTAGGTGGTCCTGTCTTCATCGGTCAGGGCAGTACGCAAAGAAACTTGTTCCTTATCAACGGTCTGCGCTTCCTCATCCTCATCATTCTCAGCCGCACTAGTCTCGTTCTCTGATGCGCCAGTAGAAACACCGGGAGTGGTGGCACGAGAACCAAAGCCTGAAGCAAAAACAGAACTTGCGCCTGAAGGCGTGGCAGCAGGAGGGTTGAACTTGAAGGGAGAAGCGTCGCTTGCGGGAGGCGTCGGAGCAGGCGTAAACTTGAAAATAGCGCTGGGGGCGGACGAGCTGCCGGTAGCAATTCCTGAGAAGGGATTAGAGCTCGCAGATGACGAGGTGGCTTCCTTCTTTCCGTCATCAGACGGAGCGGGCTGCGAAGTGCCGAACTTGATAGGCGATCCAGCATCGCCGTTCCAGGTCTTCAAGACAGGGCCTGTTTTGGCTCCGCCAGGAAGCTCGTAGCTAGAAGCAGAGAATCCAAATGGATTAGCGGCGGTCGACTTGGAGTTGTCAGTTGATGCGCCAGTGATGCGTCCGAAAAGGCCGCCCTCTTCAGAAGTCTTAGGATCACTCTCGGATGCAGTGTCGTCCTTCGTGATGCGCCCGAAAAGGCCATCGGAACGCTTGGGAGGAGCCGTAGGGGTTGTGCTGCCTTGCTCAGCATCCCCATCAGACGCATCGTCATCGTCTCCATCCTTGTTGCTCTCTTCCTGCGAGAGATGTCCGAAAGGATTGCGAGCATCAGGAGAAGCCTGCCTGCTATTGAGCACCGAGCCGGTGTCGGCGGATGATACGGGCGTAGAAGTCTTCTGTCTCTTGTCTTTTTGGGCTGTCTCGTCCTGCGACTCCTCTTCCTGCTCGTCAGAGGAAATGTCATCCGACTTTCTCTTTGAATCGGGGGTAGTTCCAACTTGACCGAATGTCGGAGCCTTGATGGGAGACTGTGAGAAGAGACTTGGCTTCGCCGGGCTTCCGATGGGGGTAGTGGAGCCAGAAGCACCGCCGCTGGTGCCGAATTTGAAGGGACTGGAAGCAGACGCCGCAAAGAGGTTGTTGTTGGATGATGGGCCGGCTTCAGCATCTGGCGAGGTTGCCGACTCAACATTGCGAAGAGGAGACTGAGCAGGCTTGTTCACAATGCTGTTGAACACGTTGGCAGTGTTCGAAGCGCCGGCAGCGCTGCTATCGTCTTGGCTCGATGGAACCTTTGACTTCTTTGGTGATCCGGCTCCAACGGGACCGTTTCCGTCAGACTCGTCATCAGCCTTACGCTTTCCGTTGCTCTTAGTCAGGGCTTGAGCGCCAGTTGCGATATCAGAAATCGCACTAGTAAGCTTAGTGTAGTTTGTCAGGTATACTTCTGCAATATGCGCATAGCTGCCGTCCTCTGGTGCCATTGACACCCTAGACTTGAACCAGGCATTCAGGGTGCGAATAGATCGGGCAGTCTCGATGTTCTTCAAGTTCATCTTAGACGTGTCAAAGCTAGCGTTCGCAGGAGTCGTGGATGTGGTTTCGGCAGGCTGTGCTGAGGCGGCACTTGACTTGGCAGGACTTCCTACTTTAGTGCTCGAGTTTTCCTCACCAGAAGACGCTCCATTAGCTCTCATAATAGGCGCGGCTGACCCAGTCAATGAAGACGTGGACGGCGTGATTGAGGAGAATGGATTGGAGCTCGAAGTCTTGTCCACTGGCTGGTCTTGCTTGGGAGAAGCAGTCTGACCTAACGATCCGAGTGTAGCCGATGCGCTTGCGCCACCAGAGGCTGCCCTTGCAAACAAATTGGACGTGCTGCTGGGCTGAGAGTCTGTGCTCTTCTGCGTGTCCTTTTGAGCATCCGCATTACCAGAAGCACTCTGGTTTGCGAAGTTGAAGAGATTCGTACTGGGCTTGGCTGGGCTTTGGCCAGTCGATCCAAAGAGGTTTGAACCAACCTTGGGAGCAGCGGATGTAGACTGAGCGAACATGTTCGTCGCAGACGTTGCTTGACTCTCAGCAGTGGCGGACGCATCTTTGTCGGAGTCGGTAGGGGGAGCAGCGTCAGTCGTGGGCTTGAATGGGCTCTTAGCGGAGAAATTGAAGACACCAGCCCCGCTGGTTGAAGGCTGGAAGCCAGACGACTGTGAGAAGATGTTGCTGGCCGAGTCTTTCTGGGCCCCGCTAGGGGTTGTGCTGCTTTGCTCGCTCGTGGTGTTCGCACCTCCAAAGTTAAATGGATTAGACTGGGGCGTAGAGCCGGCGGCTGACTTGGCGAACATGTTAGCTGTCTGAGAAGCGGATTCACTGGATCCCGAAGGTGTGGTAGAGCCAGCAAAGAGGTTGTTCGCAGGAGCCGCGTTAGAGGCGCTGAAGGCATTGGTAGGGGCGGAAGACGTGTTGGAAGTGGAAGCCCCGAAGAGGTTGGTTGTCGGCGCGGACGAGGTGGCGCCTTTGCCGAATAGATTATTAGACGGAGCGGAGGATGCCGTGGAGCCACTAAATAGGTTGCTAGACGGAGCAGACGAAGCAGGGGTACTGCTGAAGATGTTTGATGGCGCGGAGGATGTGGCTCCGCCGAAAGCATTCTTAGATGGCGCAGAAGAAGCGTCGTTGCCGAAGAGATTAGCAGACGGCGCTGAAGAGGCGGTGCTGCCAAAGAGGTTGTTGGAGGGCGCAGATGACGTAGTAGTGCCACCGAAAGCATTCGTAGGACCCGAGGTGGTTGTGCTTCCGAAGATAGTGCCAGTCTGCGGTTGGGAGGTTCCGTCTGAGGTCTTGGCTGAGGTAGAGCTGGCGAAGATGTTTGCCGATGGCGCAGACGAAGCTGTCGTCCCGAAAATGTTAGATGGGGCGGCGGTAGACGTCGAAGCGCCGAACAAGTTATTGCTCGGAGCACTAGACGCTGCTGAGGCGAATATGTTGCTTGCTGGTGCCGCGGAAGAGGTGGAACCGAAGATGCTGCCCGAAGATGCCGGTGGGTTGGCTCCGAACATGTTAGTTGAGCCCGAGGAGTTGTTCGCGAAAACGTTACTCGACGGGTCCGAGGGCTTGCTTGCGAACGCGTTCTGCTGCGTGGAAGACGAGCCGAATACGTTCGAGCTCGGTGCGGACGGCGCGGTATTACCGCCGAAGATGTTGCCAGAAGGCGCGGATGATGAGGAGCCGAAGATATTGCTTGACGGCGCCCCCGCCGACTCGGCATTGCCAAACGCGTTGTTCGCTGGCGGAGCTGAGGCAATGCTGCCGAATGGGTTGCTTGCACCGGATTGGTTGCTACCAAACGTGAAAGAGGAGGAGAAAGCGCTGCCACCGGCATTGTTATTGTTGTTCGTTGCGTTCTGCGACGCGAACGGATTCGAGGCGGGACCAGCACTGAAGTTGAAACCGCCGCTTGGCGGCGCAGGTGCGAATCCACCGAAGGCGTTGGAGCCGGGCTGCTGCTGAGCCGCGGGTGGAAAGCTCTGTGAGCTAGTCTGTTGGTCAATGTTGTTAGTCAAGTCGACATCCATAGAGCTGAATTCATCGAATGAGTCTTGGATTGCGGAATCAGATGTGAACAAGTTTAGGGTCTGTTCCTGGGCTTCAGAGGCTGGAAATCCGGACGGGTAGACGCTTGGCGCCTCAGAGGCGACTTCGAACGGGGCCTGAAACTGCGTCTGGACTTGAGGGTCTAGAAAGCCCGAAGGGTCAAAGTCTTGAAGTCCAGAGGCATCTGCCTGAGGGCCTGAGAAACCGAAGTCTGAGGGTCCAGAAGGGACTGCGAATTGGTTCGCAATTTGAGCTTGAAACTGCGCCGGAGGGCCAGCGCTTGATGATTCAGAGGTGAATTCAAATGGCGCTGTATCCTGAGCCTGCGTTGGAGGATTGGCGCTTGATGGCCCGGCTGTGAATGTGAACGGAATTGTATCTTGACCCCGCGCTGGAGGATTGGAGCTTGATGATCCGGATGTGAATGTGAACGGAGTTGTAACCTGAGCCTGCGCCGGAGGGCGATGAGACTCGGAGGGGCCCGAGGCGTCCATGCTGAACGTGAAGGGGGCCGGGGTTCCAAATGTGAATTCGAATGGAGCAGAAGCTGAAACTTGAGCTGGCGGCGCTGAAGGACCAGAGCAATCCGGAACCGCGGGGCTGAGCGCGAATGGCGCTGGAGGGCGAGCGCCAGCTGGAGGCGGAACGAGCCTTCTTAAGCGCCTCATTGGCGTTCGGGTGGAACGCATGATTGCAGCTTGGAGTTTCGTTGCGGGGTGCGGGGATGAGTGCGAGGCAATGCAAGAGCTTGGTGTGGTGTTGTCGAAAGGTGCAGAGGGAAATGGGGAAGATGGTGGTGGGTAGTTGAGTAGAAAAAAGGACTTACCGAGCCTGCGACACGCGGGCGGCCCTTGAGCGGCTTCAGCCTGCGAACAATAGCATCAGCATCAGAAGTGAACGTGACAGCAAAACATGCCCGCCTCCCCCACAATGCAGAGCCGCGTCAACAGCACGCAACCAATGGCGACTCTACGCGCTCCGCACCTCACATTCAAGCAACGAATCCGCACTTACTTTCTCTTTGCCAGCTGCGCAGCTGTAGCCTGCCTAGGCTTATCGTCCCCCGACAGCTCATTCGACCCATCGCCGAAAAAGTTCCCTTCCTTGCTCAACTGCTGCGTCGCGCCGCGCTTCGACATGTTGACACGCGCGCGCTACGAGTGTTCGACCGGCGACGTTCTTCTGGCTCGCGGAGGTTTCAACGCTACTCGGGTGCGTACGAGTAGCAACGCGCTCCCATACGCGACGGACACACGGGTGGGCGGGATGTCAGTGGCGATGCGCGTGTCTGTTGACGGTCAGCGCCTCGGCTCGGGTGCAAGAAGGTTCCACCTTATATACCTAGGCCCGACGCGCACTGCTTTGCGAACCTGCCGGGTTGCTATGGGCTGCCTGTCAGGTGACTCGAGGTTGCGGCGCACAACGTCGCGTCTGAGAGATGATTTGAACTCGCTCGCGCAAAACAGAGGACGCGATGGTAGGGGCGCCGGATGTATGAGGTCGGTCGGCTCGCAAGCGTCATGGAAATAATTTTCGCCGCCGCCCCCCTGTCGCCCCACGGACACACCCAACCCGCACACCTTCAATGCCGTTTCCACGCGACAATCACCAGCCAAGCCTGCGTACTTGCTTCTATGTGAATGCAGAGTCCAGTAGATCTGGACTGGGCTCCATTAGCCCTTCAGCAAAGTATAGGGCCTCATGTAGCGACCCATCATTGCAGCCCCGACACCCACATCCACCCGCGAGGCTCGATTAATCAACTAGATTCAAGATCCTTTGAGCTGCAAGTGGGTGCGGGATGCTCTTTGTGAAGTCAGGCGCATGGTCTCATTAGTCGTAGCCGCACAGCTGGCGATGGCATAATACCTCGGAAAGAAATGCGCATTGTGGTTCCTATTGAAATTGGCAAGACAAAGACATCAAAAGTCTCTAAGCTAACCCTGCAAAGAAAGCCCCAAGTGGAAAATCGATTGAAATGACGAGGCTCGTCGTCACTTCGAACTACGAATATAGACTAAGAAAGAGTGTATAGTCTCTCCACCTATGCTTGCTCGAGGACGCGACGGGCAACGAAGTCACCGACCTTAAACTTTCGAGCCTTACCTCGACTAGAAGGAGTAGGGATTTAGGAAACTCCTAAGTGACCCTAGCTATTCTTCAAGTTTTTCTCAGATGAGAGATTCTCCTAGTCAAAAAAAAAAAGGGGGGGGGGGGGGGGGGGGGGGTGGATTGGTATTTCTAAGAAATTTATGCGGTCGGCAAGTTGGACACGTCTTTGGTTTTAACAGCGGAGAACTCTGTTCCTCTCGGTATCTAGACATAGAACAAACGATATCATTATATTTAATATTTCAGGTAGAGCTATCTCTAACGAAACCTCAAGATAACGTCTTGACTTCCGCGCATCATGAGAGCCCCAGTGTTCACAAGGAGTCTTTTGGTAAGAACGATCGCCACAACGGTTATGTATTTATCGATCCCGTTATTAGCTTTGTGCTTTACAAGAATATCCTTCTTATGCGCAGCTTTATTTCCATTTCATTTGTTAAGATCAATGTATTAAGGAGTAAAAATCTATCCAAGTAGGTTGTAGGAGATCCGGTCTTTCTGTACCATTGCAAAGAAGAGTATGCGTCTTCCACGGGTGTAGAAGAAGCGAATTGAATCCAGGAAATAGGCGCTAGCTTCGAGACTGTAAGGTAAAGTCATTTGCAAACAGAGGGCCCAACCACCCATGGAAGGTGCAATATCTGGCTCAGAATGTTGAGTTGTTTCGCGACACACTTGCTGTTTCTCACCTGGCTAGCACAAGAGAAAGCGTTCCACCATTAAGATCGGATTATTTACTCCTGATAAGATAGCGGGCCGTTATGTGCCCTAAAAATAAATGTCGAGTCCCAACGTCCCAACATTCGGGTCGCAACTGGATCAAAAGGAGGTCGCAGGTTAGACTTCTCAGTGAGAATCCACTATGCCTAGTGAACGCTACCACACGCCACGATATACATAATCGGTGTCTGAGAGATGATTGGAGAACAAGAAAAATGAAGCACTCGACTGTACTGCTCCATCGGCAAAGGTATGGCAACAGCATTGTTCATAGCTGGATGGTGGTTGTAGAGTTTGATAAAATTGTAGAATGATGTTATTGGTAGTATTATGTACGCTTACGCATTTAATATCGACGTTGCTCTTAAGTGGAACCAGTACGGACAGAGGGGCGTATCATTGTGCGAGATGGGGCAAATGTCAAACACCCATGTTCGCTACTCCGCACACGCCGCCATGAGCGACAGGCTTGTACTCATTTCAGATTCACAAGTTAGAAGCCTAGCTTGGTCTCATAATTCCAGCCTACGAAGCCCAGAGTTCCCCAGCCGACTTGCATGGTCCATGCAACCAAAGAGTACCTTGTGCCGATCCACGCGGAGCCAGATTCTACACGTCATACCTAAGAACAACGCCAAAATACAACCCTGCTTTTCGACCCGCACATGCGGGTGATCTACAGCCACGATTGCGTCGAATACGGTTTCTCGCAGGATTTTATTCGCGTGGCACCCCACGGGGCGCCAGAGCGACTTAGTGTACTAGCAGTTGCAAAAATCGGGTCGTTTGACGCAAAGTCGAAACGGGGACCAAGCATGTCATGGCAGGCTGTTTATGCGATTTGTCTCGAGGTCCTGGTTCAATCGCGGTAGTAGCTGATCCATAATTGCTGGGACCAGATGCCGTCCTGCTTCTACTTCTCCTGTCTGGCCATGTACTTGCACAGTATCCGTTGTTTCTGACCTTTCTGGCGGATGATTGATAAGATGTCGCCGTAGCGTGCGCAATTGCGGGGAGCCGGGTTAATCTGGAGGAAACTGCTGTAGGCCATCGGCATGCGGGGCTCTGTCTGAGACGTATGGGGATTGCTGTTGGAAAGGAGCATGAAATGTGTATCCGGCATCAACGACCAGATACCGAGGCAGCGGGCTTGCAAATGCGGCCCGTCCTTGCAGTGGGGCTCCCTAATATTGATAGGGAGTATTATTAGCTTGGGGGTCAAAAGCAGACGCTGATCACGGGGGGCGTTATTGCAGATTGCGCGGCAGATCCCCCTGACGTCCGAAGCACGCGAAATGACAGCCTGCCGCAGGCATCCGACAGTAATTTCGCGATTGCGATCAGCACAGTTGGAGGAAAACGTTTTCGAATGTTGCTTGTGTTAGAAAGGGCTCGCCGACCTAAGGAAGACGCCATCCAAACATCAGAAAGCAGACGAATGCAGAAAGCTGTTGGGAACATCGCCAAGGCCGACGCAGCCTGCAGTTGTGCTCCCATGATAACAGCGGCATTACTATGACAAGGGACAAATCCACAAGCAGTGTCTTCCCGAAACACTCCTTTCGCGGGTAGTTGAATCCAATGTGTACTTGCGCTTTCTAAGTCTTCTGCGACCTACTATGAGCGGCCGCTCGTCAGCCTTACACTATGATAACCGACGCCATGGTCCATGTGCGGGGGTGGTTGAGACAGCCGGTTTTTGGGTGGAGTGCAGCGCAGTCGCAGATTAGTGCCGGACGCGTCGAGCGAGCGGTGGCTGACCGACATACGCCTCGTCGACCAGGGGGCTGAGCTGCTGACGGAACTGATATGGCCGCCGGCCTGCGCCGCTCTCGGCTTCCAAGCGACCACGGCCAAGCAACTGAAGCCGGCCTGTCATGGTGCGTCACGGAAGGCGCGTTGTGGGCCGCCGAAGCTCAAGGCCTCTTTCTCGAACTTCACGGTGGAGTCAGGTGGAGATCGATCTGGGTCCGTGCGCAAAAGAAAAAGGCGGTAAATTGACTTGCTCGCGACACATGCTTGCGGCGCTCCATGAAGGCAGCACAGGAGAGCGTGACAGAGTTCGCATGAGCCGCAGCGGGCGCTTGACGTTTCTCCCGCCCGTCGTCGACCACAGATTGCCGAAGCGCAGATCTCGGGCTGGTGTGCCAAGGCGCACCGCAGGCGCGATAACGGGTGAATTTATGGCAGGCACATGCGGTCTTCAGCTGCGCAAATGAAGAAGCGGGGCCGGAGAGGGGAAAGAACGCCCCCCGCCTGAAGGTTCCACGGCGGGCGGTGACCAGGCTCTTGGGGCGCCGGTCGATGAAACGCTGTGCCGCTGCGCAATCGTGCACTATGGGCGAGTATTTTACTCATATTGCGGCGCTCTCGGGGCAGATTCTGGCCCTTCTCGATTGCGACCGCCTGTCTTCCCATCATCTCCCGCTCTTGGAAAGAACGCGCCGCGACGGCGCGGGGCTCTGCCGTCTTAAGCAAGCTATCCTCGTCACCGGTCCACAGAGCGGTGTCTGGTTGTTGCCGCCAGACACAGCCTATCCTCGCTCTCGCCTATCCGCTCTTTCTCAGCACGCCAGGACCCGACGCGCCTACCACATTGCGCAGTATTCACTGGCCCCCTGACGCTTCCTCAAAGGCCGACGAGACTCCACCGATCCCGCATCCGTGTGTTGCGCATATTACAACATGCTGCGGTGATATTTGTCTTGCGCGACGACTCTCAACTCCTTCGGCGCTGACCGCAGACTCACAAAATGGCACCTCACCACCTCCATTTACGACCCGTACGAACGGCATCGCTGAATCGGCATGCTCCCTCGCCCACTAGCGCTCCGACGAGCGCTCCTAGAGAACTTTGCGCAACGACTTCTTCCAGCGCGATATCATCAACACACGCGATATCAGGACGACTTCATAAGCGCGGAGGCAGTAGCAACTCGAACAGTTCCTTACCAAGCCCTATCCGGTCGCACTCACCCGATATCTCGTCCCTGCCTTCCGGCGTTGGACAAGACGAAGGCCGCCGTAGCCTCGACCTTGCCGTGCACTCCGCCCGCAAGCTGCGCCCCTACCTGCGCAGGCTCCACACTCGCGACGATGTCTCTCTCGACCTCTCGGTGCCCGCGCCGGACCTGGACAGCCCGTCAGGGCTGGGCATACACGAATTCCGTGCTCCGCCACGATCTGCCACCGACGTTACGTTCGCCGCGGCCGCTGCCAGACACCGCCACGTCCACAACCGCTCGACCAGTGGCAACTCGGATTTGTCCAACTCTAGCGGGCGCCGACAGCCTACACAGCCTACCTTCCTGCGAAACACGCCGCGCCAGTTCAGCGACCTCAGCGAGCATTCTCAACCACCCTCCATCTACGACGAAGACTGCATTGCCGAAGCTGGCGACATCATGTCCGACGACGAATACCTCTACCGCCAACACGCCTACGACCCTCGTCGCCGGTCCGGTTCCATGTCCTCGACGCCCAATGCGCCTGCGCCGCTCCACTCGGCGTCAACCGGTTCCGTCAGTCGCCTTGGAAGCCGGTCACAGACCAGTCTCTCGAACCTGTATGACCCTGCTCGGCAAAGACGGGACACGATGAGGTCAGAGACGGCGACTTCGCCCAGTTCGCGTACATCTCTTGATAGAGCAATTGGCTTCGTACGCGGACGCGAATCACCCGTGGACCCCGCATCGCGCGCCGCATCAATCCGCGCGTTGCGCGCCGAATTCCAGGCAAAGGAAGAGGCCAAGGAACGCAAGGCGGAGAAGGAAGCGGCGAAGCGGCGGGATCGCGAGGAGCGGAAGCGTGCCAAGCTGGAAGAGCGGCACCCCGGAAAGCCGGAAATGGAAGAGATCAACGAGAAGGCCGACTCCACCGTCGACGCTGGAGAGTACTCGTCAGCTCCTTCGAGTAATGCAACAGCACACAACAGCGGCCTGCCGCCCTACGTCCTCCAAAGCAGCGCACCGAAGCCGCAGAGGAGCAACACAGCGGCCAAACGACCTCGGCCCCGGGTGAAGAGCCGGTGGGCAACATTCGTTGCGTGGTTCCGCACGCGGCTGCTCCGGCTGAAGTGCATATGACGACCAGACTCCGGGAGTCATTACGACAGTTTCCTAAAGCGGTTATACCAAAGGGGTGCAAAGCGCTCATAGGGCACAACCAAGGTTTGGATGCATCGAGCATAGTACATGCGTTCCGCGGCGTTGGGTATCATCTTTCTCAAGCATCATCCCGGGTCTAGGAAAGGGTTTCTTCTATCATTCTCTGGTCCGCGGCATTGTCTCAGCATCAGTGCTCACTGGCGTTCACATTTCATATTTGCATTCTTGTGACATACATTGGAAGCGTTTGGCTTGTCATTTTCTTTTTCTTTCACTCTGCTGCACACTACAGCGAGGCGTTTTCGGCAACGGGGGGTTTCGCTCACTTCTGGTCCTTCTCCCCGCAAAAAGGGCAGGGCATGCATAGCACGCATACTTGGGTTGGCACATTTGAATCGATTTGATATTCGCTTGATCAAAATACATATACAGCGTCGCCACGAGTGTGGCGGCGAGCCCCGATTCCAGTTGGCGCATGGTTCACACCGGTGAAAGATTCTCGAGAAACGACTGGGTGCGAAGTCTAGAAGCGCCAGTGCGTGCATAAGCCGAAATTGTCGAGTCTCCACAGGTGGTGAGATAAGGACCAAGCTGTTGGGCGGTGTACGTGCTCGCGACTAGGATGATGTGATGCAATCCATGGTGTTGATCGTGAAGTTCTTCGGCAGCCGCGCAGTACCTCCGGCGCAGGACAAAGTAAGCAGCGCGCTGTGCGACTTGCCGCCGGTTCTTTACAACACCCTCCGCCCGCCAATGCTGTTCTCCTGCAACCGGCCATGAAGCTTGGACATCGCATCTCATTGCAATAATGCCCATGTCGAACATGATCCGCCCGCACCCGGCCCTGCGCCGTGCTCCCCTGCTCTCGAGACCTCCCTCCACCATCCCCGCCGCCGCCGCCTTCTCCGCACGCGTCTCCTCACCCAGCTCCGCTCTTCCGCCGCGCTACGTCTCACAGCAACGATGGGCCAGCGGTGGAGGCTCCAATGGCAGAGACTTCATGGGCCAGCTGTACGACAGCACACAGGCCCGCCTGCAGAGAGAAAAAGCGGAGCAAGCTAGATTTGCAGCACAGAGAGACCTGACCGGTCGCGGAACCAAGGGAGCAGGACTTTTGGCCCGTAAGACAATTCCACGCTGCGGATCACATGCGCCGTGGAGAGTGCTGCCTTTCTTTTGCGACTCGGTGCTGACGCAACACTTTCTCTCCCAATGCAGTCATTTTTGTCGCCATCGCCGCGGGCTACTACGCCGGTTCGCAGAAGCCCGCCTCGCTTCCCACCGATTCGACCGTTCCCATCTACAAGACGGAGGACCTAAAGCATGACACATCGACTGGCAACCTGCAGGCGGCGTGGGTGGATTTCAAGGCCATTGTTGGTGAGGAGAACATCTCTACCAACGAGATAGACCTCAAGGCACACGCCGGATCCGAATGGTCCTCGTACCCCTCTCTGCCCGGCGATGTGCCCTTCGCAGTCGTCAAGCCGGCCTCGACCGACGAGGTCAGCCAGATCATGAAGGTCTGCCACCAGAGAAGAATACCTGTCACACCCTACTCCGGCGGCACTAGCCTGGAGGGGCATTTTGCGGCGACTCAAGGAGGCATCTGCATCGATTTCAGCCGCATGGACAAGATCGTCAAACTGAACAAGGACGACATGGACGTGGTCGTGCAGCCCGCCGTGGGCTGGGAGGCCCTGAACGAGGAGCTGGCCGAGCACAACCTCTTCTTCCCGCCTGATCCCGGCCCAGGCGCGCAAATAGGCGGAATGGTTGGCACAGGCTGCTCCGGCACGAACGCGTATCGCTACGGCACCATGCGCGACTGGGTGCTGTCGCTGACGGTCGTGCTGGCTGACGGCACCGTCATCACGACGCGCCAGCGTCCGCGCAAGAGCAGCGCCGGGTACGACCTCACGCGCATGTTCATCGGCAGCGAGGGCACGCTCGGCCTGGTTACCGAGGCCACGCTCAAGCTGACGACGAAGCCGGCCAACACATCCGTGGCCGTCTGCAGCTTCGGCAGCATTCGTGACGCCGCTGACTGTGTCTTCCGCGTCGTTGGCGCGGGTGTGCCTATCGCTGCGATCGAGATCCTCGATGATGTGCAGATGCGCTGTATCAACGACGCGGGCTCGACGGCGAAGCGCTGGAAGGAGGCGCCGACGCTGTTCTTCAAGTTCGCCGGCACGCCGACGAGCGTGAAGGAGCACATCAGCATTGTGCAGAGCTTGGCGAAGAGCGCTGGCAGCAAAAGCTTCGAGTTCGCGCGCAGCAAGGACGAGGCAGACCAGCTGTGGAGCGCCCGTAAAGAGGCGCTTTGGAGCGTCATGGCCAAGAAGCGTGAAGCAGGCGACAAGGTCTGGACCACAGACGTTGCGGTCCCGATCAGCAGGCTACCTCAGATAATCGAGGAGACCAAGGCGGATATCGATAAGAGCGGACTTATTGGCGCCATTGTGGGCCACGTCGGCGATGGAAACTTCCATGGTAAGTAGTCTGGCTTCTTTTCTTAGCGCGCTTGGGCGCTTGCTGATATGCCCTCCTACCACAGCCATCCTGCTTTATAACGATAGAGAGCATGCCGCTGCTGATGGTGTTGTACATCGCATGGTCAAGCGTGCTATTGAGATGGAAGGCACTGCTACGGGTGAACATGGTGTTGGCCTCGTCAAGCGTGACTATCTGAACCACGAGCTGGGTGAGACGACTGTCGACGCCATGAGGAAGCTAAAGCAGGCATACGACCCGCTTTGCCTGCTCAATTGCGACAAGGTTGTGAGGACGAAGAAACCGAAGCCCGGTGAGGTTCAGCCATGGTAAACGTGATGAAAACATTCCACGTGGAGGCATATTTATGTGTATTGCACGCTTTTGGATGCGTCCTAGTCGATATTATTTGCGGACGAGTAAATACTCGTAACCTCGACTCATACACAGCGTGGAAGATAGGGCAAGATATGTAGAAGAATACCGAACAGCTTTGTGAATGTGACCACCATGCAGCCTCATATAAAAATGGCATCCCTTTGGCTGGCAGTGTAATATGACTGCCATTCGGTCTTTGTATCTTTGAATTTCATCACGTACTTTAGAACGAACAACAGTCCAAGAATCATTAGAACCTTGATAAGTCGGCCGACGGCGGCTCATTAATGTAGAACCGATTTAACTAAAGTACTCGACTAGATGAAAAGAGCCGTTTAAACACGCCAACATGAATCTATCTACATACTACAGTGATATAATAGAGTCTAATAAGGAAGAGAGGAGACACCGATTTGTTAAAGTAGATTCAAGATAGTGTGTCAGGCCGAGTGGGCGAAGGAATCTAGCCACAGTTCTTCTTTTCTACGTCCCAGTCGAAGTCTCAGATTCTCTATGGTAGAGATAGGGCCATTTGAGATGAATTAAGCGTCACGTGTAGCCCAACAGTATGGCGTTGCAGTGGCACTATAGCTCCGGGAATGGTCATAGCCAATGACATTGCTGAGGGGCACAAAGCTTTAGAAGATAACCAAAATGTGATATTTCATGTAATTCTTTATCGTAAAGCCAAACGTACAAGTTACAAGAGAGGTACTGACTCATAGCTTGGACTTGGTCTGGGCCTTCTTCATCACAGGCTCAATCTTGGTGGCCTTCATAACATCGCCCTTGATCTTCAACTTGCCCGACATGAATAGCTTCTGCGCGTTGGCCTTGCCCGAGACCAGGTTTGCGAAGTCGCTGTCGGAGAGCAGCAGGGTGACTGGAAAATTGCGACGAGTCAGCGATGGGGTCCACTCTCGCAGGCTTCATCTCCACTCTCGACGCCAAACCATCCAGGTGTTTTGTTTTTGCCGCGGTTTAGGCGGCGGCCCACAGGCGGGCGGCGCCGAGGCCGAAGCCGAAACCATGATACCTAGCGCGCGGGGCGATCGAGAGATGGATGCATGACGATGGATGCATGTGCTGGCACGCATCCACACCACGCGGACATTCCTAAACTCACCATCAGATTTGCCGCCCTCGGGCGCGGCGCCCTTGCCGACGGTGCCCGTCTTCTTGAGGTCGATGTACCAGCTCTCCGTCTCGCCGCCCTGGTTCTTGATGGTGAAGGCGAAGACGGCGCCGCCCTTCTTCACCGCGTCCTTGCGGTCGGCGTCGTCGGAGAGGGCGGCGGCGATGGCGTCGAACGCGGCCGACGAGGGGATCTTGTCTGTTTGGGGTTGAGTGAGCGCGGCATTCTCGGCTGCTGGCCTTGCTCGTTGCCCCGGCGGCCGGGCCAAAGTGGATGCGGGCTTGCGGCGCGACACGGAGAAGGCCATGGAAGGTCATGCACGCGTGCACTTACCGCTCTTGAGACTCATAGTGGGCGGCAACGGACACGGGTGGTACTGGGGATGCGGAGGAGAGGGTTGTAGTGTACAAGAGACAGTTCCCAAGGGGGTTTATAGCCGTCAGTAGGTGTCGGTGACGATGATGCTTGCACGCGGCGGGCGCAAGTCCGGGGTTGATGAGTTGCATGTGAAATCGCCGAGGCTCAAGCATCAGCCGGCACGTGCCACTTGTCTCATTCTCAGCCCTCAAGAGGGATCAATGATTTGTTCGAGAACCAATGAGATTTCTACGGCCGTAAAGTAGGCCCATGCTACATATATCTTGTATATAGCAGGCGTACGGGGATATCTTATGAACTAAAAAGGAAAAGTTGGTAAAAGATCGTAGTCGGATCGTAATAAGATCGTGGTCGGCATCCATCTCTGCGCTCATGGATGATAGTGATGGTGGTCCTTTCCTCCCATCGAGTCGTAGCAAAGTAAGAAAAAGTCGTGAATCGTCTCTCGTTGACGAGAGGATGCTCCCTCCCGTGCGCCTCATACAACTCCACAGTTGACAACCCGTACAACCCTGATGGTACAGTACAGTTGCTTACCACCAAACTCCAGAGACACCGTTGCTCACCAGCGAGCATGCATATTTACATTAGCGCCAAGGGAACAGAAACTTGCGCATGTGTTCTTCGGCTTCGACAAGCTGTTCCTTTGCTTTGGCCGTCACCTTACTGCTGCGGGTGCGCGACCACCATTTGCTGACCGACCTCGACTCTGGCGTGTTCTTGAGGTCGTCTAGCTCGTCCGTGATGAGCAGGTCCGGCTTGATCTCGTCAACCGGGCTCAGGATAATCGGCACGTCCATAACCTCTTCCGCACGGTTCTTCCACTCTTCGCTGCCCGCGATGCGCGTGAGCGGCGCCAGAGCATCGTCCCACGTGCCCGTGCGGAGGGAAACGTCTTCGAAATTAAACTCGGTGATGGAGCGGCGGTGGCGAAGAATGAAAGTGCTAATTTGGGACGAGTCCATGACCGCGTTCTCGAGTTCCAAAAAGAGCAAGTTGGGGAACTTGAGCGCGCGGATGCCAGTGGGTCGGCTCGCACCCGACTCCGGCGTGCTTGGGGGTGACAGGCCGGGTTCAAGGTCCAAGGAAAGGGGCGAAGGTCCTTTCTCGCCGCTCCAGCGGAAGAGCAGCTTGGTGACAGAGTGAGAGAAGGTCCGCAGATACGAATGCAGGAGACGGAGATGTTCCGACGACGACCCCTCCAAGTAAGGCTGGCTGTCCAGGTGAATCGCGAGCTTCTTGATTTGTCGCCATCTCCTGTTCGATGCGGGGGTGGAACCTGGACCCATGGTTGGCTGGAGGTACAGGAGGCCGGCAGGGTGCATGGCCTTGATGGTCAGCGAGTCCAGTTCCGGAAGCTGCGCACGCTCGACGGCGATGCGCAGCGAAATTAGTGCGTAATCGACGGCACTACGTCGATGGCGCTGTGAAGATTCCTGGTCGGGGCAGTCGAGCTTCAGGTTGACCAGGCCTGGAAGTGCCTGCAGGGCTCGGATGAAAGCAGGAACGTTGGTAGCGGCATGGAAGACGGGAGGATACTGCTTGATCAGAAGGTCGGTCATTTCCCAGGAGCCGTACTTGGGAGTCTTCATCTTCCCGATGAGGGTTGGCGGCTTGTGGATCTGCGGCTCGTAGACCAGGCTCTTCTGCTCGGCGGTCACGGGATCAATGAGTGGCGGGAGGAAGGTGTCCGAGGAGTGCGGCATGCGGAATGTCATGGACTTCACGTGGTGGCCGATGCTCTCCAGGGCTTCCATACGGGCGGGCCTGCCAAAGGTGCTCGGTCGGAAGGTTACGGTGATGTCTTCAAACAGAAAAGGGGCGGCGCGACTGCTCATGTCGTGGCAGACAAGACGGCAGTTGGCGAGATCCGACTTGTCGACATGGGCCAGGAAGGCGTTGCGGCAGGGCTCCGACAGCCAGAATCTGAGGAATGCCGAGCTGGTTGACATCACGAGGTTGCATACCGAGCTGTTGGATCGAAGCGCTGAGGAGAGGGCATCAGTCGCAGCTCGACGTGCTGGGCTTCGAAAACAAGCGCAGGCAGAGGAGGGGAGCAGCGAAGTGGACGCGAAAGGACTGAGGGCCAACGGAGGGTTTATCTCAGGCACTTACACCGACTCCCAGGAGCTTCGACCGGTGTGGGGATCTCCCCAAAGAGCAGCTTTCTCGTTGAGCTGGCATTGCTGCTCTGGCTGCCAACAGTGCGATGGGACCCGTACGAGTCGCTAGAAACTTGGTGTTTCAACGACGGTCGAGATTCGCCAATCATGGGTTGTCATAGATCGTGGTTACTAGGAAAGAGCGGTGGACATTGGGGGTGTTGTTGTTGTGCGTAGAGATGGCAAAGAGAGGAGACCTAAGGTACATCAGGCACGCATGCGCCGCCGCCATGCTATTTACTGGCTGTGGACTCTGGACGCCCCCTCATCAGTCCGAACGCGAAAAGTGGGACGCAGGAATGAGTCAAGCAGATCTCCCAGTGTACGTAGTAGTAGAAACGCGTTTCTTTCGCGCTCGTAGTGGAAACATTCATTGGCTAGCACCTAGCGGGGGTGCCATTTTAAGTATAGTTCGTTTCAATGAGACTGTGGAGGTGTGTTCCCAGCCAATGAATCTGGCGTCTAAGGATAGCGGTGAAGCAGCACATGAGGCTAATGCAGGAGCGCTCACGATTACCACACGCGTGTAAAATCCCGCAACGCGATTGCTGCGCGCTGCTGCGCGTTGGAACGGGCCGCTCTGCTGTTATGCTGCGCTGGCGGAAGAGGCGCGGAGGTGATCTTCACGAGCAAACGCGTCGAACGGTTCTCGAACGGGAAGATCTGGGGTAGCAAACCACAAGCAGCCCTGCAGTCCCGGCGTGGGAGGCAGCGCTTGACGCGCGTGGCAAAGGGCCGATGCGAGTGATGAAAAAGCCCTACACCCGTTCGGCCTGGAGTGGATCTCTGCTCACCACACACAGAAGCCGGCACATTTCTCGGCTCGCAGGCTGAGGTAAGCGTCTCTCAAGGCACCCCGCGTGGTCGAATGTCGAGGAAGATTCGGAAGAAAAACGTTGATAAGAACCCGTCTCTTGCAGGCTCTAACCTCGTTTCTGCCGGCAAAGCACACCGAAGGCTAGCGTGAATATGGTTTTGCTCATGCCAGGGATAGTTGGAGCTATCGTCCCGGCGTGTAGGTATATGTGATTCCACATTCTCGTCTGGACGATGGCTTCAGCTACCCACACGTTGTTTTTCTAAGAAAAAAGGGGGGAAGAAGAAATGGAAAGGCTGGGGCATAGTTACGCCTACTATTCTTCACGCTAGTCTTCGGCTGCAGCCCTCTGTACTCCGTCCGAGAGTCAGGCCACTGCGAAGGGAGCAGTGTGGCGGGCATGGCGCCGCCTCGGAGATGCGGCGGACGTCGACCCGTACGTAAGCGGCGAGGTTGGTGCGGTGCTCGAGGACTACGGCGAGGAAGAGGCGGCGGCGGGCGGCGGTGGCCACTGTGGCAGGCTGTTAGCTGCATGCAACCGGAGATGGAGAGGCGGTGCCAAGAGTTCTGGCTGGAACTCGAGCCTTTTCCCCGTTCCTTTTAGCGTACGGGCACGCGCGGATCGACCGAGCGGATCGTCCGAGGCTCATCGCCGTGCAGCACTCTTCGCTCTGCAACGGCAGGTCCATCTGTGTAGTGCCCGCCGTGCCGCCAACGGTCCAGGCTCGCTGGTGGAGATTGGCAGTGGCTCGCGCGCCGCAGAGATTGATTTACCGGCCTGCTCTGGGGCGAGGCGAGGCCATCCTGCGGAATCTGGCAAAGCGGCCGCTGGACTAGCCTAGCCACACGCCGTTGCTGCGTCGTATGGTGGAAAGAGCCGTGGCTGCCATGGGACGCCCACCCTTCTTCAGCTCCATTCCACTGCTGTCTCACGCCCTCTCGCATCCAGCGACCCGCCGTCACCCTCGCCCCGTCCGGCCCAGCTCCGCTCCCTCGCTCCCTTGCTCGGCCGCCGCGCTCGTTCTTGCGCTTTCCGCATACAGCGTCCCGCTTCCCGGCTAATTCTTCTCCGCAGCTGAGCTCTTTGTCCGCGCCAAAGCACCATTGCCCCAAGACACTGCTCTGCGCGCCCTGCACCCTCTGAGCCCGCGAGTCTCATCTGCTGGAGTCCCAACGAGGCATGGCCGTGCTACGCACTCGACAGCGCCGAACTTAGCGTCCTCCCTGGCCCGGGTCCGTCAAAAGCAGGCGCTTCTACCCGCGGCTCCCGCAATCGCGCCTCTGGCCGTCGCCGGGGATCTTCAGGGTCTACATGGTCAAAATGCGCATTCCCATACGGGAGCAGCTTGGGTTTTTGGTGCTGCTGGTTTCCTTAGTCGCTCTCGCCGTCATTGCGGCCGCAACATGGGTCTGTCGCCCTCTCTCGTTTGCTGAAGATAGGCGAATTGCATGCCGTTTCTTGATGCGCTTGTGGCTTGCGCAGACTCGCGCTCCGTAAATTCGTGGCTCTGCAAGTGCTGATACATCGCGCAGGTTACCAATCACAACTTCGTTCTGGACATCCGAGCCTCGCGTCTGACCCTAACGGCATCGTTGAAGGCATCACAGCTTGCTTCGAATCTCCTGTTGATGCAATCAACCGTCCGTTCCGCCTCCAGCAGAATTGTGATCCAGCGCCAGCTTCAGCGTTACAACGATGGCAATGTCACCTATCGGAGCTCCGCAAATTGGACCACTTCGCAGTCCGACCTGGCCGCCGTTTTCGATGGAGGTCAGCAGATGACATTACTGCTGCAAGCCCAGGTCTGGCCCAAGAATTATACTGGATCAGCTGCAGACGCTGCCGTCTTCAGGGCTACCGCTTCAGTGGCCTCGGGCAAGCTCGCTCTTCCCATGACCTATGATAATGGTTCCACTGTCTACCTCGGTGACTCGGGCTTGGGCTATCCGCCCCACCTGTATCCCAATATGACATTCACTTCCCAACGGCTAAACGACACTTTCAACGAAACGTTGGCTCAGTATGCGGGGCAGACGCTGAACGAGACCGGAAGTATCTTACTTGGTCCTTGGGAGTTGAACAAGACATTCTCCTTGATGTCTCTGACTGTTCCTATCATCAACAACACCTCCGCATTCGATATCCTTGGTTGGATAACCGTTGTTATGGACGCCAAATTGATCTACCAGACCGTGGATGCCGGTGAAGGACTCGACAACAGCGGCATAACTCTCATTGTTGGGCCTGACACCATTGACAACAAGTTTCCTCCTGGCGTGCTTTACTCAAACAACAGCGGCAGTCCCCCCAAGGACGTGTCCGTTCGGTTCGTGTTACCGCCTTCGGAACTGGGGGGACGCCATAACTCCCGTGCGTGGGGGACCTCGCAAAGTTCTTTTAACTACAGTCAATTCCCCGCCGTGAGAACAGGATTTACCGTCAATCAAGGCGCAAAAGACAACAATAATGCGGGGTCCATTATATCAACCAAGAATGAGGAAAAGAAGGATGTGGCAGTCGGCTTTGCTCTACCAGAGACATCCTTGTGTGATTGGATTGTCCTTGTGGAGCAAACGCATGCTGAAGTCTGGCAGCCCATAAATCACCTACGCAACATCCTGATAGCTTGTGTCTTCGGTACGGCTGGTGCCATACTACTCTTGACGTTCCCGCTGGCACACTATTCTGTTCGGCCAATTCGCCGACTCAGAGCTGCTACACAGCGGTCTGTCTCTCCGACCGGGTATCTGCCAGATGACTCGAGCATTTCCTCGGGTCACATGGATGGGGCCGATGATGCTGAAGTTCTTGCCCGCAAGGAAGGGTTCCTATCGAAAATCACCTCCTGGAGACACGGGAGGCGGCGAACTGGTGTGGAACAACGAGAGGTCGAAAGAAGGCGACAGTTCAGGATCCCTGAGAAGGTCAAAGACCGTAAGCATTTGATTCACGACGAGCTCACGGATCTTACCACCACGTTCAATGAAATGACAGACGAGCTCATGATGCAGTATGAGAAGTTGGAAGAAAGAGTCAAGCAACGTACAGCTGAGCTCGAGGAGGCAATGAAGGCTGCCGAAGCTGCCAACGAGAGCAAAACTCTATTCATCGCTAATATTTCGCATGAGCTGAAGACTCCTCTCAACGGCATCCTCGGCATGTGTGCTGTGTGCATGTCGGAAGACGATCCGGTCAAGCTGAAGCGTTCGATGGGTATCATTTACAAGAGCGGGGATCTGCTGCTCAATCTTTTAACGGATCTTCTGACTTTCAGCAAGAACCAAATGGGCCATCAGCAACTCTCACTCGATGAAAAAGAGTTCCGCCTGCGAGATGTAAGCACTCAGGTTCTAGCAATCTTCGACAAGCAAGCCAAAGAGAGCGGCATCACTCTCTCTGTACGATTCGAAGGTCCAGCCGACCTTAACCCTGACGAATCTGCTCAACGAGGTGAACAGGGCCTTGCCCCACATGGGCTCGGACGCGTGAAGGACATGATTCTGTGGGGTGATCAGCATCGAATTCTCCAAGTCCTAATCAACCTGGTCTCTAACGCTCTCAAATTTACACCTAAGGGTGGTTCCGTCTCCTGCACAATCAGATGTGTAGGGGATGCGACCATTACGCCAGGATTCGGGAGTCGCAAAGGATCTCTCAATTCTCAGTCGCGGCAAGGCTCTGGTCGAAACTCTAGAAATCGCAGTAGGATGGATTCGAGCTCAATGTCCTCCCAAGTCACGCCAAGACGTACGGATACAGCGAACCATATCAATATCCTCCACGACAAGGCATATGCTCACATCCTGGAAGCGGAGAGGGCGCCATCACCGCCACCGGGACGATTTCTTGCTTTCGAATTCGAGGTCGAGGATACAGGCCCAGGCGTCCCCGAGCATCTTCAGCAACGTATCTTCGAGCCTTTCGTACAAGGAGACCTTGGGCTCAGCAAGAAATACGGTGGAACAGGCCTCGGGCTATCCATTTGCCAGCAGCTCGCAACCCTGATGAGAGGTACTATCAACCTCAGGAGCAGCGTTGGTCAGGGTAGCACTTTTACAGTGGAAATCCCTCTGAAACATCTCAAGACACGAGCAGACAGCACTGCCTCGTCAAGAGTTTCAGATCCCGCAAATGGCAGTCGGAAGAGCAGTCTGTCTATTGAGTCTCCAACATCTCGCACGGCAGAGGAGAGCACTGGAGCGGCATCTGTCCCGTTCGAGACGGACTCTCAGCCACGGTTGGTAGGGCTAAGGCAACCTTTCTTTGCTTCACCCACCCCTCTGGACTCTCCCAGTTCACAAGGTGCAGCAATGGATCGCATTGCAGCCCAGACGTTTAATAAAAGTGATAGGCTTAAGGTCCTTGTCGCTGAGGATAACAAGGTGAATATTGCCAACCTCAAAGAATTGCTATGAGATGATGCTGACGATTCACAGACCAACCAAGAAGTCGTCCTGCGGATGCTGAAACTTGAAGACGTGTACGACGTATCGATCGCGAAAGATGGCCAGGAGGCTCTGGACAAAGTCAAAGAGAGCATGGAGAACCAGAACCCTTACGACCTGATTTTCATGGATGTGCAAATGCCAAACCTCGATGGTATCCAGTCCACCCGACTTATTCGGCAAGCGGGATATTCGGCGCCCATTGTTGCCCTTACGGCTTACGCGGAGGAAAGCAACGTGAAGGTCAGTTGATGTTTTCGTTTGTTGCGTCCAGTCTGCTGACCCGCCATCTAGGAGTGCTACGAGTCAGGCATGGACTATTTCTTATCGAAGCCGATCCGACGCCCTGCATTGAAGCACGTCTTGAAGACTTACTGTGCTCCTATACCGGAAGAAACGGAGCCTGGAGACAGCCCTCCCTTGGATTCGAAGAAGAAAAAGGGCGCCGCGTATAAGCTAGTGGCGAGATCGGGCGCAAAGAATGATACTCCAGAGCCTTCGCCTTTGTCATGACGCACATGACGGGTCGCGACGTCTTTTTTTTTTTTTGACTTTCTATCTGCTCTTTTAATTCGCAGGCATAGTTTTACGGCACAAGTATTGCTTTTGTAAGCGGCGATTGGTTGGGGACTTTTTGGGAGTATTCGGGCTGCTCCGTTGTTTATACTTGGCCCTTTCAAAAACTTCCTTTTAATCGCACGCGATTGGCTTGGCGTTCGAGGGAGAGAAAATCGGGTTAGGATTGCGATTCTTATATCTTATCGTATACATCCATAGCATGGCGCTCTCAGGTAGCAAAATGGCTTTCGGCGAACTGTTTTGGCGCGTTCTGCGAGATGGGTGTCGGGAAATGGCATGGCCTTAGGTATGATGACGGCGGCTTTTTTTTTTTTTTTTTGCATCTGACGGTTTCTTTGCTCCGCTCTCGCCCCTTTTTCTTTTCCTTTTTTCTATTTGAGTGCATCCGCATTGGTGTTTTAGTGACTGGAAGCACGATTCCAGGGAATTTAAGAGCTATGCAGAGACATTTTCTTAGCCTGACGCTGAATTGAAATGGACGAGAAAAGAGACCAAGCAAAGCTCACTGTTGCCCCGCCATCCCAGAAATTTGTCAATGTGTGCTTGCTGTTGTACACTTCGGATGGTCGAATGAATGGGGATGAAGACGGAAGCTCGGAGGCCGAGGAACACAGCGATTAGCAATCTGGAGCTTGGGGCCTCCACTGGGGGTCGGGCGTTTTGCGTCATCAGAGGCCGAAGGACCGATCTGCGCGCACGCCTTTCACAGCTGCTTTCCCGCGACCCGCTTCCTCTCTCCATCTCAGTACACAGAGCCACCAGAACCATTCCGCTGCTCCAATCGTTCCATCCAGCAGCCAAAATGTTCGCTCGCCAGGCTTTCCGTCCCGCCCGCACCCTCACCAACGTAAGCTCGCGCTTCCGTGTCTCCGATGGCTTGCTAACGACGTCGCGATCCCAACAGTCCGTCCGCAGATACGCGACCGAGGCCCCCAAGCAGAGCTCCAATGCTGCTCTCTACGGCGCGCTGGGCATCGTCGCCGCCGGTGCTGGCTACTGGTACCTGAACAGTTCCAAGGGCGCCGCTCCCGCACTTGCAGCCTCCAAGCCGGCCGAAAAGACCTTCAAGGGCGGCGACCAGGGCTTTGTTTCGCTCGTGCTCGAGGACGTCGAGGTGCTCAGCCACAACACCAAGCGTTTCCGCTTCAAGCTCCCGGCCGAAGACCATGTTTCTGGTCTCAACGTTGCCTGTGAGTGCAGCTCGAGTACGATACATGCTGAACAAAAGGTGCTAATACGAGGATAGCCGCGCTGTTGACCAAGTACAAGGGCCCGGAGATGGAGAAGGCTGTTCTGCGGCCGTACACTCCGGTCAATGACGAGGGTAAGGACCAATGGACCCATTGCGGCGAGCGGGGCCTGACCTGATTGTGTTAGATTCCCGTGGCTATCTCGACCTCATCGTCAAGAAGTATCCCAACGGCCCCATGTCGTCGCACTTGCACGACATGGCCCCCGGCCAGAGCCTTGATTTCAAGGGCCCGCTCCCCAAGTTCCAGTGGGCCCCGAACAAGCATGAGCACATTGCCCTGATCGCCGGAGGTACCGGCATCACTCCCATGTACCAGCTCATTCGCGCCATCGTCAAGAACCCCGAGGATAGGACAAAGATCACACTTGTTTACGGAAACGTCGGCGAGGATGACATCCTGTTGAAGAAGGAGCTTCAGGAACTGGAGAACACCTACCCTCAACGCTTCCGCGCCTTCTACCTCTTGGACAACCCGCCGGCCGGGTGGACCCAGGGCAAGGGCCGTGTCACCAAGGAGGTGCTCAAGACGGTGCTGCCTGAACCAAAGGAGGGCGAGAAGCTCAAGATCTTCGTCTGCGGTCCGCCCGGTATGTACAACGCCATCTCGGGCAACAAGGTTAGCCCCAGGGACCAGGGCGAGCTGTCGGGTATTCTGAAGGAGCTCGGATATGACAAGGAGCAGGTTTACAAGTTCTAGAGGTTGCAAAGATTCAGACTTGCGGCATAGTAGATCGAGCATGGTCGACCTTTTTTTCCAGCTATAGAGCGTAGAGAGCACAGCACGCCGCGCTGTATTATAATGTCAAGCCGCTCGCCCTTGTTGAACAACCGCTCTAGGCTGATAGTGACCCTTTGAACGGGAAAGAAGGATCTTCGATAAATGATGTTTTGCCCGAATATGGGCCACCGATCGGTAACAGGCTACATTCGCGCAGCAGCAACAACAACGTTAGCACGATAGTCCTTTCCACCAGGTAGCACCGACGACGACGTCGTCTTCATCCTCATCCCCAAACACATCCGGTAGCAAGTCGTCGTTATCGTCAACACCAAAGTGCTCAGAAGGGTCCAGCAGCAGTCGTTCAGCAGCTCGAGCACGAACAAGAAGGTTTAGTGCTTGTGTCAGGAACCCCCTACAAGAACAACAAGGATTCAATTCGAGCTTGGTTCAATCTTCTCCTTCACCCTAATTGATACGCCGATCACAAAGAGAAGATCAACCAGGCCTGCGAGGAGTACAGCCGGGCCGGAACCGAAACTGTAGTAGTAGCCACCACCACTAGGGGGGCCAGAAAAGTAGGCGCCTTACTGAAGGGCTATTTTCAGTATATAAGACATTAAGCTAAGCGGATTGGTATGCTAGTTCCGCTCGAAGAGGTGGTGCTTGGTTAAATGAGAGCCCGAAGG